CCTATTTTCCAGGGACAGTCCCTGTTTCTGATTTGATCTTGGAAGGTTCCACTATCCCTTAAGATGTCCCTATTTTCATCAGAGAATTGTTGGAAGGTATAGAGTTATGCAACCCCCGAGCCAAGGAGATAAGTAATTATATAACCTTTAGAAGACATCTGAAGGCAATCCTGCATAGGGAAGTTTTTTTAATGTTTAATGATTTATTATGTTTTTATGTAAGTTGGAAGCTGCCCAGAGTGGCTGGGGCAACCCAGTCAGATAGGTGGGGCAGAAATATGAGGAGGAGGAGGAGGATAGAAAAGGACATCCCTATTTTCATCAGGAAAATGTTGCAGAGTATGCAGCAGAAGTTTTCATGGACTAGTTCCCACTTCACCAGATGCATGCATCAGACTAAAATGGACAGGTGAATACATGAAAGCTCATCCCATAATACAAGCTGCCAGTCCTTAAGCCTGAAAGTTTAATGTGTATAGTAGGGTTTTCACCTGTCTTGTATAATACAGTGGTACCTTGGTTGTCAAATGGCTTAGCTCCTGAACAAATCAGCTCCCGAATGTCACAAACCCTGAAGTAAGTGTTCCAGTTTATGAACGTTTTTTGGAAGCCAAACTTCCAACATGGCTTCTGCAGCTTAACTTGAGTGCAGGAAGTTCCTGCAGCCAATCGGAAGCCACGCTTTGGTTTTCGAATGGTTTTGGGAGTTGAACGGACTCCCAGAATGGATTAAGTTTGATAACCAGGGTACCACTGTACAGGATTGTCCTGTATGTATTTCATGTCTCCTCAGTCTCTCTCTCTCTCTCTCTCTCTCTCTCTCTCTCTCTCTCTGCCAAGTTAGAGATCGTCTCCAAATGCAAGGCTGTGTGAAACCACATGCATTTAAGCTCTGGGTAGCCAAGCACAGACAGATTTACAAATTCGTGTGTGACAAATTCCAGAGGGGCTATCCTGTTAGGCTGCTATAGATTGTAATGGATTGTTTTAAAGTCACTTCAGCACCAGATGAAAAGAAAAAGAAAAAGTCCCCCACCCTGTCCTATATTTTGCCAGAACAAAGGTGGCAACCCTAGTACAGTAGTGGGTGGCAAAATTTAAGACAGCTTTACTAGGTCAGAAAAACAGCAGCAGCTGGGAATTCACAAAAGTGGAGTCCACTGGCCTACAAATATCACAGGCTTATACAGAGGCATTTCCTCGCCTTAGCTTTACACGTGTGTAGAATGAAGTCATGTTCTCCTAGGAAAAGCAGGCCTGTATTATCAGAGCTGGATGCCTGATTCAGCGGGAACAAAGTGCCTACTTTCTATCAAACTGTCTCAAGGTTGTTTTTCCTGCACAAACCGTTCTTGACACATTCTTAATGCAGCCTGAGTAAGCAGATTCTCCTAACGGTACCCGTTTCACACACTGTTTTTGCATTTCTTCACATGTATAAATCAATGTGTTTATCCACCACAGGCATCACAAGCCTTCAGTTGTCCCAGTGAGTGTAGATAAGATAAGATTGTTAGCATCTTTCCTAGTTCTACCTGATGAGCTCTGTGTATCTCGCTACCTTGCATATTCCACCCGTAGAAGCCTTGTCCTAAACAACTCACTCTGTGTGTGTGTGTGTGTGTTATATCACACCATTGACACAGGCTAAGGGCTCCTCCAGCAACCGATTTCTTGGGCACATTCATTCTGATTTGCTTGCATAAAGCTCAGTTGGCAGAGCATGAACCTCTTCATCTCAGGGTTGTGGGTTCGAGCAAAAGGATTCCTGAATTGCGGAGTTGGACTAGATGACCCTCGTGGTCCCTTCCAACTCTACAATTCTGTGATTCTACATGGAGGTTAGACTGTATCCAATCTTGGTAAGCACTCGTTCTTATTTGTATGCAGTTGTTATTTTATTATATTTATATATTTTAAAATTGATATACCACTTGATTGTAAAACAAAGTAACGACCTCAAAGCCGTTTTCAAAAAGTTAAACGACGACAGTAAATATGATTTACCCGCAGTGTATTTATTTATACATCTTCCCATTAATCATTCATCTGTTCCACACTTTCCAATGTGTTTCCAAACTGCAGAGAGTCCTGGTTGTTCAGGTTTTTTAATGTGGATTTGTTGCACTACTGCAACAGACACTTTAAAGGACTTTAATTGTGCAAACCAAAAGTTCCCTGCACGTTCTTGAATCCGTCCCACAAAATAGTGGTAGTCTGAAGGCAACCCCCTCCCCTCCGATTTGATTGGAGTAGGGAGCACTTTCATATCCTGTAGTCAAGGAAGCATGTAGCAGCTGCAGTTCTTCACAGAGAACATTGTACATATTATCGCTCAAACTGTGGATCACACCTCCAAAGCCTGGCTGACAATCACACATCCACCTTTAGAGGTTATTTTCAAACTATGCTGATGTTTTACGTGCACATCCTTCCCTTCCTCATTAGTTGAGGGTTGCAGCTCAGTTGCAAATCTGGCTACAGTCTAATCATCGAGTGACCTCCAGATTTTGTCAGACTCCAACTTCCATCATCCACAACGATGGGAGACGTAGTCTCACTGCATCTGGAAAACACCACATGGGCTAAATTGACTTTAGATCTAAATTGACTTTAGAACCAGCAGGCAGGCAAGCTTATTCAAAGCCTCTGCCTCATCTCCTGTTATATCAATCATCCAAAAAGATGTTACTTTGTTTTATTTGGTGGCCCCAATATAACAGTGAAGCAAAGAGTTGCAGGTGCTTGCCACACCTTGGAAATTTGGAATAACATTGCAGCCTAGTGGTCAGAAAGAGCAAGTGAAGGTGGATTTCACATAAATGACTTATTAATTCTCCCACTTCACATAATCAATGCTGGGCATTTTTAACATATCACAGAATCATCGAGTTGTTGAGTTGCCTCTGTCCTTCACATTTGAACCCATTGGTTCAGGACCTACTATCTATCAAACTGTCTCAACCTGATTAGTGTGAGATATGTGCGCGATGGGTTGGCCTCATCAGTGGGAGAGATCATCATGTCTCACTGGTCAGCTACTGCCGCCCTTAAGCCAGGCAGCCCCCAGGCAATGAAGGGCTGACCCTCCACTGTCCACCTGCTTCAGAGGGTGCTTGGAGCTCTGAGTCTCACTCGACAAACGGTCTGAACTTCTGCACCAGGCAAAAAAGCAAAGAAACAACCCCTCTTGTGCTTAGCAAGCTTGAACATCAGGACTATGTACCCTGGCTTGTCTACTAACCAGTTGCAGGTCAACGACTGACAGAAGACAGGCATCATTGACTGTGAACAGAAAACACTCAACATTGACCTTGTCGCTCTGCAGGAGACCAGACTTGCTGCAAATGGCTGCCTCCAAAAGAACAAATAGATCAGTTCTTCTATGTGTAATGTCCAAATAGAAGCTTTTGTGTTCCACGTATGTTTTAGCGAATACAAGTGTCAAATGTAACTACTTTAAGGAGCAGTACTTGCAAAAGATGAACTTTTCTTTGTAATGTTCCACATCTGCCTTTGCAAAGTATGGTTGTTCTATGCAGCTGCTGTATGCAGGTATCAGACGAAGGATACAAAAGATCTTAACATAATCAAAATCCTACCATTTTCCCATTTCTAGGGCTTTGGGGGTCCCCACCCCCAAATCTATACCAACCAAGGAACTTGACCAGGCTGACAGGAGGGTCCTGGACTGTGAACACCTATTCCTGCTGGGAGATTTCAGTGCCACAGCAATAAAACTATTAAAATAAGGTTACCAGATGTCCCCATTTCCCGGGGGCAGTCTCTGGATTTACAAATCAGTCCCCGGATTTACAAATCAGTCCCCATATAAAATCCATTGAAATTAAAAAGAGTCCCCGGATTCATTTTAAAAAATCTGGTAACCTTACATTAAAAGCCTGTTGAAAGAGTTCCTTGGGAAGACAGATTGCTTTTTAAACCACTCTGGAAACTGGAGCGCTGGGAAGGCAATAGGCTCACTTCACAACTCTCAGCACTCTTAACAAACTACAGCTCCCAGAATTATTTGGGGGAAGAAACCATTACAGTGGTACCTCTGGTTACGTACTTAATTCGTTCCGGAGGTCCGTTCTTAACCTGAAACTTTTCTTAACCTGAAGCACCACTTTAGCTAATGGGGCCTGCCACGCCGCCGCCGCACGATTTCTGTTCTCATCCTGAAGCAAAGTTCTTAACCCGAGGTACTATTTCTGGGTTAGCGGAGTCTGTAACCTGAAGCGTATGTAACATGAAGCGTATGTAACCCGAGGCACCATTGTACTGTTTATGGTGATATCACAGTGCTTTAAATGTATGGTGTGAATGTGGCTTATGATGACTCAGTCTGATACAACCCAGTGTTTAAAATAGCGCCTGGGAATCTGGTCAGGACTTTCCCTTGCATTCTGGACAAAAATCCCTCTCCAAGCTGCTGTTTCCCCAGGGAAGGGAGCTGCTGGCAGCCTCCCCCCCCCCCCCCACTTCGGGGTCCCCTGCCTAATTCCTTTCCTCCCTTCCCTGCCAAAACATAAATTTGTGCCTTTAAATGCGTAATCCAGTTTGGCACGGAGGCACCCAAATGTTTCAAGACCTTTAGGCAGGCAGCGGAGAAATTCCCACCCCGTGGAAAGGCAGAGCTTCTTGCAAAGCTGCCTGCCTGAGATAAGCCGTTCCTCAAACAGGCAATAGAGGGGGTGTTATCCTATCATCTTATCTAGGTCAGGAAAAGCCTCGCTTTCCGTGGGTCACTGAGCCTTTTGAAAGCCAGGTGGTGGTAACATTTCACGGAGAAAGCTAATTTAGCTTTCTCTCTCTTTCTCTCTTTCTCTCTCTCTCTCTCCCTGTTTAGGAAGCTGATTGGATAATCTCACTTTCTTTGGAAAGGTTTTTTTAAACTCAGCTGGGTGACTCATATCATGTGATCCCTGCAAGTTTTAAACTTGCAAAGTGGTGCAACAACTGTAAGGGAAATTAAGGAGAGAACATTGACAGCTGACATGCCTTCCATGGATCTTTCGCCTAAACCAGAAGATTATATCTTGCAGGGTCCTGTTTTCAATCCAGTGAGTGATCATTTTTATTTTCTGCCTGCCCTGATGAGTTGTAGATACTGCTGGTGGGAAATATCCTAATTTCATAATCAAGTATAATTCTAAGGAAGGGGAGGGAGGGAGAGAGAGAAGGAAGGAGAAATAGTCTGCCATGCTACCTTTCTAGGTTTTAGTGGACAGCCTGGAAATGTGATTTTTTAAAAATAAAAAAAAGTTAACCAAACACCTGTTTGCTTCTGAGTAAGCTGTGGGCGGCCCATGCAGCCAGCTGAGATTAAGGCTGCCAAATGTCTGGTTTAAAAAAAGAACCAGGATCTGCAGAAATTTACAAGCAGGACAAACTGCACTTGGCCACAGGTCATAAAACTGTGTTGTTCATTATGTTACGTAAAGCTGATTTTAAATAAAGAACAGTGGAAGGGCCCAGCTCAAAAGGAGTGGCTTTTTAAATGGTAGGCTTGCCATTCCATTTTGTTTTTCGACTAGCCTTCCTCATGTGCTTCCAGCTAATGCTGAAACTCTTTTCCCCCCCCCCGCCCCATCCATGCTGAAGCAATAAATTAATTGCATGACTGATTTGTCAGCCCAGAGAGCATCACCCCAGGCTCTGTGTTCTCCTGGCACCTAGAGAGGTCCAACTGCAGACATCCCCCACCAAGCCTGGTCTTCGTTTGCAGCCTCCCAGCTCTGCAAAGTGATATTGCTTGTGCCCTGCAGATGTTTTGGACTACAAATCCCATCAGCCCCTGCATCATATGTCTCTGCCGGCTGGGTCTGATGGGAGTTGTAGTCTAAAACATCTGGTAAAAAGGTAAAGGAGCCTTGACAATTAAGTTCAGTTGCAAACAACTCTGGGGCTGCAGTGCTCATCTCACTTTACTGGCCGAGGGAGCCAATGTTTGTCCACAGACAGTTTTTCCGGGTCATGTGGCCAGCATGACTAAGCCGCTTCTGGCGAAACCAGAACAGCGCACGGAAACGCCATTTACCTTCCCGCCGGAGTGGTACCTATTTATCTACTTGCACTTTGACATGCTTTCGAACTGCTAGGTTGGTAGAAGGCAACAAAGCCGTCAAAGGCATCCCTTGGTCTCCTAATTGTTCTCCCTTTGCATTTGACTTGGGGCGGGGGAGGATTCCAGCATCAAGAAACTCACCCATCTATTTCCTGACCTGGCAGAGGAGGGCAGCATTGGAACTCAGGATCTTGGTAGCCTTCAGAAGTGAATGGAGGACAAGCATTAGCTGGGATATGGTGTCTCGCTGCCATCTGACCAGCAGGCTCTGGATTCCAAAATCCGCAACCCCATCGCGGTTGGTTCACTCTTGGGGCATTTCTGGAGCATGTGCAGAGTGCCGGCTGAACCAAGCACCTCTGTAGCACTGGGCAGGAAGGGCATCTCGTTTGCTCAGCCAAGCCTTTAATGCTTGACTCTGTGTGTGTCTGTGTCCATTTTTCAGATCGTTCCTTACATCACCTCCATCTTTGGCAGCTTGGCCCCTGGGAAAATGGTTTCCATCCAGGGAGCAACCCCAATGGAAGCGGAAAGGTAAGAATAAAATAAAAATCACATTGTTTAAAGAGAGGAGGACTGAGAGCTTTTGTCTTTCCAGTGTGTTAATCTTTCCGGAGGAAGGAGAAAGGAAAAGGGGAGAGGAAGGAGGCTTTCCTGCTGAATCACGCCAAGGATAATGCTAAGGTTGCAGCTTCGATCCCCGTATTGGACAACTGCATATTCCTGCATTGCACAGGGTTGGACTAGATGATCCTTAGTGTCCCTTTCAGCTATACAATTTGATGATTCTATTATTCTGCTTCTGGCAGAAGTCATTTCCAAGAAACCCACATGGGGCACAAAAATGAGGGCAGCCCCCAGTCGTTTGTCCCCACCACAACTGGTATTTGGAAGCAGACTGCCTCTGAACACGGACGTTCTCTGTCCTAAGAGCCATGAATAAATTTCTATCGTCCTTATTTTAAGTTAACATCTGATCATTTTTAGTGCTCTATTTACTGTGTTTTAATCTCATGTGTAAGGGACGCGGGTGGCGCTGTGGGTTAAACCACAGAGCCTAGGACTTGCCGATCAGAAGGTCGGCGGTTTGAATCCCCGCGATGGGGTGAGCTCCCGTTGCTCGGTCCCTGCTCCTGCCAACCTAGCAGTTCAAATGCACATCAAAGTGCAAGTAGATAAGTAGGTACCGCTCCAGCGGGAAGGTAAACGGCGTTTCCGTGCACTGCTCTGGTTCGCCAGAAGTGGCTTAGTCAAGCTGGCCACATGACCCGGAAGCTGTATGCCGGCTCCCTTGGCCAGTAAAGTGAGATGAGCGCTGCAACCCCAGAGTCGGCCACGACTGGACCTAATGGTCAGGGGTCCCTTTACTAATCTCATGTGTGCTTATTTTGCACAGTATTTTCTGTTGTAAGTTGAATTCTTTTGGCATAAAGGGATGGGGAAAAAATGAATGAATAGCAGTGAGCACCTCTTGCAGCAGTGAATTCTGTAAATTAGCTCTGTGAAGAAGTCTGTTAATTTTTCTGTCCAGTACCTGCTGCTACCCACAGTTTTGACCATAAAGGGCTTACTCAACACAGGTCATTCTGGCTCCCTTAACCACCTTCTGTTCAAACCTCAGACTCCTCCAAGTAAATCAGTTGGTAAACTCAAAACAGTATTTTCCATATAAAATTTAAGAATAGTTGCAGGGTGCTAAGCAACAGGTGCTAAAAACATATTTAACACAATTCCAGTACAGATGCAAACTGACTATGAAAGATGTTGGAAGAGGAGAGTCTTCAGTAGGTTCTGCAAAGACAGTTGATTATGTAATACAAGTCAATTTATTTGTAATAACCTTGACTCTGCTTTATGTACTGTCATCTATATTTCACTGAATGAAACAGGTTTTTTGTTTGATGTCCTCCATTTAAAAAAAAAAAAATGAAAGGAATTCACTTCTTTAAATTATTCTTCCTGCTTTTCCCCACTCTTGATTCAGGTTTCAGGTTGACTTCCAGGCCGGCTCCAGCTTGGCACCACGGGCTGATATTGGCCTCCACTTCAACCCCCGGTTCCGTTCGCGTCCCTACACAATCTGCAACTCTCTAAGCAACGGCCTCTGGATGGAGGAGGTGAAATTCCCCCACCTGCCCTTGAAAAGTGGCGACTCTTTCCTACTGCTGTTTCTCTTTGAACAAGATCATGTGAAGGTGAGGAGGTTCACAGAAGAGACACCTGGCTGCTGGTCCAGGCGAAAGGCCCATCTAGTTCACAATCTTGTTTCCACAAACTAGAGTTTGTGTTTCTCCTCCTCAGGTGAGCGTAAATGGACAGCACTATCTCCAGTATATGTTCAGCTTGCCACTGGACCGAATGAACACGCTGAGAATATCTGGCGATGTCATCCTGAGAGCGATAGCCTTTTTCCCTAAAAATGTACGGTATTGTGTTGAGCACTTTTAAAATCTCTCTTTAAAATATACATATTTCCTCAATCCAGACTCATATAAATTAATATAGGCAGTCCATATATCCAAATAGGACTGCCTAGAAAGGAAAGTGAGATGATAGAATCTTTGAGTTGGAAGGGACCCAAGGGTCATCTAGTCCAACCCCCTGCAAGGCAGGACCACTGAGGCTTAGGGTGGTATGCAACTTTTAATGCCTAAGAAGTTCATAAAATGAGGATCCAGAGTGGGGTTTTTCCCTCCCTCCCTGATATCAGAACTCCATTTTTTTGTGAACTAAGGTGATTAGCAGTAGGTTCAAGAAGTATTTCTTGATGCAAATGATATAGAATTAAAAATAAATAAATAGATCTTTCCTGAGGAGAAAATTTAGAAGGAAAGCGAATGTGACAAAGGAAGCAAACTACTGTACATCATGGGAGAGGCCTACTTCCCAAAGTGTTCATCCCACCTTTGACCTGTAGGTGGAGCTGTCACCCAACCTGATAGCCCTGTGGTGCCAATTGTGGCTCACTCACTGCCACAAGTTGTGGGGATGTGGCTTCTAGCTGGGATGGCTGTAAAAAGAATGGGAAAACTCAAGGACGAGGTGGCCTGCCACGTGGCTAGTAAATGGAACCACAGGCAGCGTATTTCTGATTTGTGCTGGCTGGGGAGAGTTAAACACTGGGGAAGGGGCTTTGAGTTCCTGCAGGCATTTGGCTGGCCACTGTCAAAATAGGATGTTGGAGATCAACAGCAGCCTCCGCCAACTGAGCACCCTCCAGATGTTTGGGGCTAGAACATGGCTAGGGCTTTGGGGAGTTGTAGTCCCAAATATGTGGAGAACCTTAGTTGGAGGAGGCTGCTATATGCTATCTTTGGGGCAATAAATAAACCAGACCCACATCCCACTGAGGCTTCCCAGCCCCATTCCTGAAAAACAAATAAAAACCCAGGTTTATGCAAAGCTTCAAACACTTGCATTTTGAATTATGCAAGAGGAGTGGTTTGCAGAAGATGCTAAGGGAAGCCATGGGGCTGGGAAAGTGTCTTGGGTATTCCCCACGTTGGAAGCTCCTGCTGTCAGATTTACGACCTGTTGTTGATCCGTGCTGCGTCTTGTTCTTCTTGTTCTGTCCTCTCTCTCTTCTTGTGTGCAGCCTTTTGATATCTACAGAACAGAATACCCTGTTGCCCCAGTAAGTATATATTTATTTATTGAATTTATTGAATTTTTTAATTTTGTTTTGACTTTTAGAAGACATCTGAAGGCAGCCCTGTAAAGGAAGCTTTTAATGTTTTATTGTGTGTTTATATTTTGCTGGAAGAGAGTAGATGGGGCAACCCAGTCATTTGGGCAGTATGCAGTCTAGTCAAGCAGTGCATAAGTTTGTGTTTGAAATAAATAGTAAATAAACATTGGGGAAGCATCACAGAAGAGCTCATAAAGGGGGAATGTGTGGCCAGTCCTGCACAAACCCACTAATAATGCACTATTATGACATCTGTGACATATTGCAGAAGATATCCCCACCCCACAAAAAATAACATCTTCAATAGTCCCAGTCTCCCTCTCCCGCCTCCCGCCTCCTGCCCAATTCCAATCCCATTTTCAAGCCAGTGCATGGGAGTCTTATCCTGATTTTTGTCTCTCCCCCACCCCCACTTTCTTTATTTCTTTCCATAGCATCTGTTCAAGAGCAGAGCCGTTCTGGTGAGTCTAAATACACCCATTGCCTTTATTTTCTCCTGTGGCTTAGTGGGGTAGCTTCTCCAGCAGCTAACTTGCTCCTTGCTATTTCTCTCACTTTTCAGGATGTCCCCCTTTCCCATCTGCTCCCTGAGAGCCTCAGGCCGAGAGACACAATGACAGTGAGAGGCTTGGTGTGTCAGGACCCCAAAGAGTAAGTAGACCCCCCCCCCCACTTTCCACCCCCCTTTGCACTTGCTGCCCACTCTTTTGTGGTAGATCTTACAGTCGGGGCTTGGCAAATGGGGAGAAAAATACAGTGGTGCCTCGCAAGACGAAATTAATCCGTTCCGCAAGAGTCTTCGTCTAGCGGTTTTTTCGTCTTGCGAAGCAAGCCCATTGACGGATTAGCGCTATTAGCGCTATCAGCTGTTTAGCGGCTATTAAAGGCTTAAAGGCTTAGGGGATTAGCTGCTAAAAGGCTATTAAAGGCTATTAAAGGCTTAGCAGATTAGATAAAGGGGAGGAAAAGCGAAAAAAATCTCAAGACTCGCAAGGTATTTTCGTCTTGCGAAGCAAGCCCATAGGGGAATTCGTCCTGCGAAGCAACTTCAAAACGGAAAACCCTTTCGTCTAGCGGTTTTTCCGTCTTGCGAGGCATTCGTCTTGCGGGGCACCACTGTAGATCCAAATCTCTGTTCTGTATGATGTAGGAATATAAGGAGCTTTGTAAGTCAGACCACTGCTCCATCTAGCTCTGTATTACTGTGTGTGATACAATTTACTACCCACTCTCCACCCTAAGGTGGAATTGTTTCCCTTCTTTCCTTTACTTTTTCCTTACTTCCTTCTTCCCCTGCTTCTCTTTTCTTCTCTTTCCTCCCCCCCCCACCCTTCTCTTTCTTTTCTTTTCTGTGGTGTCCCCTATCTCATATACCCGTCTTGGTTATTACTGTTATTACTATTGGTTTTGTTTTAATGCACCTCTCTCCATTGGTTTGCTGTGTGTGAGTATGTTTTGCATTTTGCATTTACAGTCGTACCTTGGTTTTCAAATGCCTTGGAAGTTGAACGTTTTGGTTCCTGAACGATCAAAAACTGAAAGTGATTGTTCCGGTTTTCAAAGGTTCTTTGGAACCCGAACGTCCTACATGACTTTTGCAGCTTCCAATTGGCTGCAGGAGCTTCCTGCAGCCAATCGGAAGCCGTGCCTTGGTTTCTGAACATTTTGGAAGTCGAACGTACTTCCTGAACATTTGACCTCCGAGGTACCACTGTATTGCTAGTGTGGTTTCTCATGGACAGCATAAGGGTGTTTGAGTGTGTGGTCACATCTGAGGAAAAGTGCTGTCTTCCTCCCATTTGCTTTCAACCTTTTGTTGTTGGGGCAACCCCTCCTCCCCCCTCGCAAAAAAGCAATGACGAGACAGCACTAAGACGTCTGAACTACATGACAATGACAAAGGTGGTTGTCTGAGCTTTATTTAATTAAGAAAACAGATAAAAAATGGAACAAATGCTTGAGTCCTAGAACTTTGGTTCCACCTTGGAGACCATCCCAAGGAATCCAGAACTCTTCAAGAATCCCGAGATAAATTTGGATGCGGAGGACAACAGCTTTGGAAGGCTCCCTTCCCTTGCAGCCTGTTTCCCAAATTACCTTTATTAACAGATTCAGCCTTGATGACTCTTCCAGGTTCTGCATCAGCTTGAAGAAAGACCCTTCGCACGTCTCCTTCAGCTTCCGCGTTTGCTTCACGGACCAGACGGTGTCATGGCGCTCATTTTGGGACAGAGGCCAAGAGTCTGGGGGGAAGGTGTCTGAGGGCTTCCCCTTCTACCCCCAGCGATACTTTGAGGTAAGAAGAGACGTTGAACGTCTTAAGTTCCAGTTTCCCAGGAAACCTCAGACAGGCCTGGTTCACGTGATATACTGAGAGATATGCTCAGTGGGGCAGTGGCGGCGTCATGGTTAGACAAGGAAATTGGAGACCAGAGTACTATTCCCCACTCGGCCACAAAACTGACTGGGTGTGACCTTGAGGGCCAGTCACTCCCTCTCAGCCTGGCCTACCTCACAGGGTTGTGGTGTGTTGAGCATAACATGGGAGTGGGTAGGAGAACCATGTAGGCAAACCTTGAGCTCCTTGCAGGGAAGGTGGGATATAAATGTAATGAAGTAAATAATAAAATAAGCCAGGGGTTACCAATGTGGCCCTGGTGGGTGTGTTGGCACCCTTTCTCTGGTGCTCACAGAGCCCCCACCCTCACGTCCCTCTTTGCCATGAGGGGGGCGAGGATAATTGTCTTTTTTATCCTTGAAATATACATATATTCTAGTACACCCTAGAATAGCAAGTTCATTCACCACCAGCCCTCCCTTTTGCCCCTCCTCACTCCCTCTGCAAGGGTTGCCAAGTCAGGTGCACGCAGGGAAGGAGCCGAGAAGTTTATGAGCTACATTGCTAAAGAGTTTTATTTCTAGTTACGCAGACAGAAAAGAAACATGCATGCTCTCTCTGTGAAAGCAGAGAGCAACTGAAACAAAGGAACAGGAAACCAGTAACATCACGTCCATCTCCTGTCTTCCGTGAGACTTCCAATAGTCTGGAATGCCTCTGGAATGCAAAACAGAGTCTTGTGACTCCAAGAGCACTGCACAGTGGCATAAACAGAAACCAACATCCCTGAGATTTCAGGGCCCAAACCTGAGATCTAGGGACAGCCCCTGGTGAAGTCATGGGGGGGGGGCTCTGCTGATTCGTCATCTAGTCCAACCCCCTGCAATGCAGGAATCCTGCCGACAAACTGTCCCTGGGTGGGCTCAAACCACAAACCTTCTGCTTAACTGCCAGGTGCACCGACCCATTACACCACAGGAGAGAAAGGCCTTAGCCTGTCCATGGGAGGATAACAAAGAAAGAGCCATTCTAGCCTCTCTTGAGAGGGAATCCCGGAATCTGGGAGCAGCCACAGAAAAGGCTCATTCTCAGGTCCCCACTAACCACGACTCTGATGTTGGTGGGACTGAGAGGATGTGCTCAACCAAGGATGTTAGCACTTGTTGGGGAGGTACAGCCTTTCAGGCTGCCTGGACTCCAACCAAAAACATGGGGACACATGAGAGCACCCACCCTATAATAATGCTTGGGAGAAAAGTTGGACTTTGTGGCACCAGCCCCCTGGAATCCCCTTCCTTAGATGTGACACAACACTAAGAGCCCATGATCAAGTTGCAGTATGCTTTGCCCCGGAGACAGAACGTAAGAAGAGATTGTTGCATTAAGCCAATGGGGTTGGATAAGGTTGACTTATTAGAGCGTTTTCTTCTGTAGAGAAAATGTCCTTTCGCTCGCTCATGGGGTATTGCGAGTTTTATAGGGATGTGCCTTTCCTTTTTGATTTTGGTGGCTCTTGTTTATGATGGTCAAGCCAGACCTTTTGAGGTCAGTTTTCCTTTTTAGGCGCTCAACCACTGCCATGATGTCCTATCAGGCTAAAATGAGCAGATAACAGCAAAGGTTGCTAGGTTCATAGCAGGGGCAATCAGAATAAGGGCCACTAACTGACTGCTGATTCAGGACTTTAAATTGTGCTCTTATATCAAATTTCCCTTTCTGCCTATACTGTAATGTTTTACTTGTTGCTATGGTCATTGGCTAATGCGAATAAAGTTTTATCTATCTATTCAGCCAATGGCCAATCTCGTCCAGCATCTTCTTCTGACAGGCGGCCCCAGCCAACCATTTGTGGTCCTTGGACACGCCTTCCTCGCTAATCCCTTTTTCTCCCCTAGCTGCTCTTCCTCTGCCAAGAAGACCACCTGCAGCTGGCCCTGAATGGGACCCCCCTTGGTCCTCAGTGCATCCCTCACCCCGCCACTGACGCCATCAAGGAGCTGGCTGTGGATGGAGACGTTGTGCTTTACAGCACCCAGGTTCGGTCTTCTCTTCCGAGTTGTAGCGCAGCTGCTTTGAAGATCCAAAGATAAGAACTGACAAAGACAAGCAAACCCATGGACCGTTCCTGGCATGGATTGCTTCAGAAGAAGCGCATGTCTGAATGCTCCCCACGCATAAAAGCTCCCCCACCCAGCCTATAGCATTGCAGAGATGCCGAGTCTCCAATCCATCTCCCTTCTGCTAGCTTTCCATGGGTGGGGAGTTTTTGGTGTCGCTTTTCACGGTCTTCTCTCACAGACCCACCCACTCACTCGCCATCTGCGTTATGAAGTAGCAGGAAGACCATATTTTCTCTTTCTGTCCTGAATGTTGGCTTCCTTGGAGGAACTGCAGGACTTGCAGCTGTTGTTCTCCCCTTCAGGAGAAAATATATGCTGTGACCATACATCACCCTGCTGTTTTAAATCTCTACAAGCATTAATAAAAGCACATAGTGTATACCATGATTATTATTATGTTTTCATGCCATCCTGGCCTTCAAAGGAACTTAGGAGCAACAAGAATTAAAGAATTACAGAGCTGGAAGGGACCCAAGGGTCATCTAGTCTGACCCCTGCAATGCAGGAATCTCAAAACACGGTCCCCCATCCATTTTGAAACCATACGAGACCCTGCACCAGCCTATTAGTATATATTTCATTAAATTTATACACAGGCTGATAGTTGTTGCTTTTCAAACAAACCCTCAAAACAGTTTACAAATATAGAAAACCATAAAATTATCAGTAAGAAAAATCAACAGCAATAATTTAAGACTTTCTAAAACCAGCAATAGACTAAAAACAGATCAAAACTCACGTCAACTTTCTAAACATCTGGATAGGGTTATCCTCATAACACTAGAAGTCATGGACATTGGATGTGGCTGAAGGTTGGAAGATTCAGGACAGATAAATGAAAATTCTTCTTCACTCAGCGCATTGTTAAACTGTGGAACTCCCTCCCACAGGAGCCACCAACTTGGATGGCTTTAAAAGAGGATTGGGCAAATTCATGGAGGAGAGGACGATCAAGTTTAGTGTTGATTTTAATTATTGTAGTTGTTTTCACAGATAATTTCTGTTGTATTATTTTTGTAAACCACACTGAGATTTGGGAGTGGGGGGTGTCACAGTCAAATGGTATATAAATTTTATTAAATAAATAAAGTTATTGGGCCATTTCCTCTGATATGAAGGAAGTCTGGGTGGCCTAGTTGAGAGAGAAAGAGAAAGAGAATTGGGGGGTTACTTGTCAGATCCAGTTAGCAGCAGTGGGTAGCATCAGGCGCTGTTGTTTCTCCTGATTTCAAGACGTTTATCTGTAAAAGAACAGCCACCATGTGAGAACAAACACGGAAATTTGATAACAGGTTAATAACAGTTTCTAATCTGATCTGGCCAGTTGCAAAAGGTCAGGTTGGAAACAAGAGCTCCCTTGACTCTGGGCGATTGTGGCATTGGGAGGTGGAGATGGGTGTCACCTGATTTTTATTTGATGCACAGCTTCTGCGACAGGCGAACAATGCATCCATTACAAGTCCTCTTCCTGAATTATGCACTCTGGTAGTCAGGGGGCAACGGCAACACTTCGAGGTTGCTTCCGCACGACTTAAGAAACTGAATTGTCTGGAAGCTGTGTTTACCTGAGCTCAAATTCTCTCTGTGACAATGGGAACTTTCAGGGCGTGTGGTGCTTTCACAGGTCTGATATTGCCTTTTGGAAAGAAAGGACTATAGTGTTTGGCCATACTTGTAATGATTTACAGACACGCTCGGTGGAGGTTCAATTAGAACTGTCCCAGAATCCAATGCTCCTGCGTGTGATGTCCAGGGAAGATGCTGGTACCTTTTTCTAGGGTCCTAAAACTCAGAATTGCAGAGTTGGAAGGGAGAAATTGCTCAGCCCTCACCAGTGTACTGTATTCACTGCTGCTCTTCTAGAAAAAAGAGGTGCCAGAACTCACCATGAATACCTCCCTTGTTCTCTCAGAATAGCAATGGCGCCCACCTGAGAGGTGCTGGGACTGAGTTCCAGTGAGTTCCTGCTGGGGGGAAAGGGCCTGAGTGGATTCTTCCTTTGACACAGAGACTCAGCATCACCAGCAAGGAGCAAGAAGAATGGCTGCTAGCTCAGACCTCATCAGAGTGTATGCAAAGTTGTTGTTGTTGTTTAGTCCTTTAGTAATGTCCGACTCTTCGTGACCCCATGGACCAGAGCACGCCAGGCACTCCTGTCTTCCACTGCCTCCTGCAGTTTGGTCAAACTCATGCTGGTAACTTCGAGAACACTGTCCAACCATCTCGTCCCCTTCTCCTTGTGCCCTCCATCTTTCCCAACATCAGGGTCTTTTCCAGGGAGTCTTCTCTTCTCATGAGGTGGCCAAAGTATTGGAGCCTCAGCTTCACGATCTGTCCTTCCAGTGAGCACTCAGGGCTGATTTCCTTCAGAATGGATCGGTTTGATCTTATTGCAGTCCATGGGACTCTCAAGAGTCTCCTCCAGCACCATAATTCAAAAGCATCAATTCTTCAGCGATCAGCCGCCTTTATGGTCCAGCTTTCACTTCCATACATCACTACTGGGAAAACCATGGCTTTAACTATATGCAAAGTTAGGAATTAATAAATAATAATAATAATTTGCCCTATTGTACATCGCTTCACACTTACATTGAACCACATCTGGCATTTAATACCCAGTTAAGAGAGAACCTTTTGGAGTTTAGAGAGTGCTCTTGTGCACAGGTCTGCTTGCAGAATTCCTACAGGCATCTGGTCAGCTACTGTGAGACCAGGATGCTGGATTAGATGGGCCAAGGGCCTGATCCAGGATGCTCGCCTTATGTTCTTATGAGTTCCTTTCATTTTTACTGTCCACAAATGTAGCCACCACATTTGCTCACTTGCTGAATCAACAAATGCCCTGGACAAATATTCCCAGAGGGGTTTAACAATCAATCCCTCTTTCCAGGGAACTCTGGGAATTGTAGCTCTGTGAAGGAAAGAGGGGAACTCCTAACAATTCTCAGCACCCTTAACATACTACAGTTCCCAGGATTTTTGGGGGCAGAGGGGAACCATGACAGTTTAACGTGGTTTTGTGCTGCTTTAAATGCACAGAGCAGATGGGGTCTCATCACCTAACCATATCAAGTCAAAATAATTTCTGGGGAAACTCTAAAACGGGGACATGTTTACTTCTGATACCCAAGACGTATGTTGTGCACTTTACCTCATGACAGCAGCCAGCACAGCACAAGTCAAGCCATCAACGGGAGTTCTGTACGCAGTCCATTTACACACCTGGATCTCTCGGGATTGATGTGCTTCCAATCGCAGCCAAGAATGTGTCTCCCTGCATGCAAAGGACACGCTTCATTTACTTGATTCAAAGAAACACTGTTGTTCCAGCGTGTTTATAAAAGTTCGCTTAGGCGGGTTGAATTTTGACAGCATAAAAGCCTGCTGTAAGGACGGCTCTGGGTTTAAATTTCAATTCTGTAATGTCTGCAGAGTTACTGGGGGCAGACGTTACTTTCGCCCTGTCACCACAGCCTTGGGAAGGGTCAAGTTGCTTGCCCACGGAGCACTTCAAAGAACACAAGAAGAGCCAGCAGGATCAGACCCACGGCCTATCTAGTACAGCATCCTGTTCTCACAGTGGCCAAGCAAATGCCTGTGGGAAACCTGCGAGCAGGACACCAGAGCCCTCGCCCTCCTGTGATTTCCAGTAGCTGGTATTCAGAAGCGTGGCTCCCTCCAAATTTGGAGGCAGAGCATAGCACTGTGTCTGGGCCTTTGACAGCCCTCTCCTTCTCCATGAATTTGTCCAATCCTCTTTTAAAGCCATCCAAGTTGGTGGCCATCACTGCCTCCTGTGGGAGGGAGTTCCATAGTTTAACTAAGTGCTACCTGAAAAAGTCCTGATTATTCTTCCAACATTCAGCTTCACTGATTGTCCACGACTTCCAGAGTTATGAGAGGTGGGAGATTTTAGTCAATCTATCAGCTTTCACTGCGCGATGCATAATTTTATAAACTTCAGTCATGTCACCTCTTACTCGTCTTTTCTATAAATTAAAAAATACCAATTGCTGCAACATTTCCTCATAGGGGAGTCTCTCCAGCCCCCCTTTCCAATTTTCTATAAATACATATCAGTCTTAATATCGACTGATGTTTCACTGGTGCACGGCACCCAGATATTTTATGATATGGCAGTACTGACATAGTTCTATAAATAAATCAAGTAAGCAAATACTGTCATCTGCCCTTGGTGGCCAGCCATGCTGGTGAGGGAGGAAATTACTTTGTTTGGTTGAAAAGGAAAGGGAAAAAAGACCTTTTCTATAAGCGTGGAATATATTTTCTCTTCTTCTAAAAAGTACTACTAGCCATAAGAGCTATGTTCTGCTAATGCTTATGTTAGGTTCCCAGCTGTTGTTGGACTACAGCTCCCATCATCCCTGACTGTTGGTCCTGCTAGCTAGGGATGATGGGAGTTGTAGTCCAACAGCAGCCAGGGACCCACGTTTGAGAAAATACAGTTGCTGTGCTGTTCCCCAACTGCCAAGAAAGTATCACAATGGTTTGCAAAAAGAGAAAGCCCAATCTGTTCTTGTTAAGAGGAGACGGGGCCAGTCCTCCCAAGAAGCAGATTGAAGCAGTTGACATGGGTGGCAGATTCCCACAGAGTGGGGCCCCCACAGGTGCCATGCCTGCCCCCACAACCCTGCTAAGCCAGGCTTTGGCAGTGGGGTGATAGGGGATTGCCATCTTCCCATTTCACCACCTAAGGTCAAATGGGAAGGTACCACCCTGTGTGCCCTCCCATTGCCACCCCTCCCGCATTTACCAGGATTTTGGGGAGCTTGAGCACAAGATCTCATTGGGCTCCCATGAGATTTTGTGGGGCTCTCATGAGATCTTGCCAGAACTCGGAATTTGCCATGGTTGCTTCTCCTCACTTCTCTAGCAGTGGTGGAATAGGGACATCTCTTGGATTCCCACCACCTGAGGCGATTGCCTCAGTCTGCCTTATGGACCGGCCAGCTGAGGCTGCCCCTGAGAGGAGAGCATACAAATTTGCAAGCATTTTTTTTATTATTGAAGGAAATCTAAGACACCTGGCCAACCTGACAAATGCACTCAGGCCACCTTCTGTGATAAGAGTATTTCAGTCACATGAATGGACTTTCCCTGGCAACGTCTTTGCATTCTGATGAGGTTGTACCAGAAAAGACAAAGACACACAGACACACACACACACTACCCATAGTTCCCTTCTCAGGATGGGCTGAGCTTCTGGCATCTGAGCAACCCATAAAAAAAAATCTGAATACGTGGCAACCATTGCACCATCTTGCCCTTTCAGCCTGAAACAGAAAACAAAATGGCGTCCTGGCAATGGAGGTGGGCGTGGCCTTTGTCTCCATTTCCCATTGAAGCTCTCTTTCTCCAGGGCGGGGCTTTGCTCCTTATATCTGTGCCTGGCATAACAACCAGACACAGTCTGGATCCCAGCTGTTCCAAATACCATGTCTGTCTCCTGGGTGTGTTTCCTTTTGCCACTGGCTTTTGTGCTGGCCTGGGGAGAACCACCCCAAGGGGAAGAGCAACAGTTTAGACGTCCACCACCCCCTCCAAGCCGCGAACAAATTGCAGCAGCCCTGCAGGCAAGCCATGGCGTTTGGGCAAAGCAACGCAAGGCGATGCAAGACCAGGCTGTCAAAGCTCACGAAATGTTCGTGGAGCACTTGAACAAGAAGCACAACAGCAAGTACCAGAAAGCGCCAGGAGAGGTGACCCACATTATGGTGGAGGTAAGACTGGAAGTGATGCCAGACAGCATTTGTGGTGTATTGGTTAGAGCAGGGTTTCCCAAACTTGGGTCTCCAGCTGTTTTGGGACTACAACTCCCATTATCCCTTGCTAGCAGAACCAGTGGTCAGGGATGATGGGAACAGCTGGAGGCCCAAGTTTGGGAACCCCTGAGTTAGAGTGTTGGACTGGGACCTGGGAGACCAGGGTTCAAACCACCACTCGACCATGAAACTCACTGAGTGTGACCTTGGGTAGACGCTGCCCCTCAAACTTACCTGCCTCAGAGGGTCACTGTGGGTATAAAACAGGGAGGAGAATGTACGTTACCTAGAACATCTTTGAGAAAAAGATGGGATAAATAATAATGCTGGCTAACCCTGGGTCACCAGGGCAAGGTGAGCAGAGCTGTAATCATACTTTTTCCTGCACCCCAAAATCCAAATCTGAATCCCATCACTCCCGTGGTGTCGTCCCCTGCCCCCTATGGAGTATATTCATAAATATCCCATCATTCAGAGACTCCCTAGAGTCTTTTCTGTCTATCTCCTCAGCTAGCCAATCACAGCTGTGAGCAGCCAGGCCATATTCACACCATACATTGAAAGCGATATGATGCCACTTCAAACTGTCATGGCTACCCTCAAAGAATTCTGGGAGGTGTAGTGTGTTCTGAGTGCTGAGAGTCCGCGGCGTAGCGTGGGTTGCCAGCACCCGGGGCAGGGCAAGTGTAGCACACACACACCCTGCAGTGGACTGGGCAGCTGGGATGGGGGGACATGCAGATGAAGGAGCACGTGGAGGGTGAACAAGAGCCTGCCTCCCACAGGCTTCTTGCCCACTGCCTTCATCCACCTGCCCACTAGAGCAACCTGCCTGCCACCACGCCACACCACAGCTGCCAAGGAGGTATAATTCCCAGATTGGCTTGACAACCAATCCCTCTTTGCAGGGAACTCTGGGAATTGTAGCTGTGTGAGGGGAAGAGGGGAATGCCTAACAACTCTCAGCACCCTTAACAAATTACAGCTCCTGTAATTGTTTGGGAAAAGCCACAACTGTTTAAAGTGGTATCACAGTGCTTTAAATGTATGCGGTGAATGTGGGCTTAGCAATGCAAGAGCTGTTATTACTTAGCAGCTAATTGAACTCAGCTTTGCTTCCTAGAGCTCCAGTCTGCTCCATCCCAGATGGGATGGGATTTGCTGGCCATACTGATGTTTGGGACCGGGGCTATTATTATCATCATCATCATCATCATCATTAGAATTTATATGCCGCCCTATACCCAGGCTTGAACCTGTGGCCCTGAGACTAAGAGCCGCATGCTCTACTGACTGAGCTAACCAGCTCTATTAAATGGTTCAAACTGCAGGCATTTTTACTCAACTACCCAACTATGCCAACTTCTGTAGCTTCTTCCCACCTTTACACCCAGAAAAATTTGCACGAAAAAAACCCTTATTAAGACGATGCAGAACACACAGACGCAGCCTTGGTGAGGATGGGAGGCATAGGAGTGAGGCCACTTAAGAATTTACTTGATTTCTCCCTCCAGAACACGATGGGACGCATTTACCACATGAATTCAGTGCTGGTGAAGGCCGAATGTGGCAAGGACCAGGCGGAGGGGGACGCTGAGATCTGCGAAATCCCACTCGATGCCAAGGTGAGGAAGAGGCCTCTTATTACAAGGTTTTAAAATGGGTCTGATGAAGATAAGGGACTGGGTTGCAGGGCTGTAGCTGCCTTTTACAGGGCCTTCTCGGTGGCTGCTCCCAGACTTTAGAACTCCCTCCCTAGAGAAGCCAGACTGTCTCCCTCCTTGTTGTTCTTCCGCTGGCAGGCGAAGACTGTTTTGTTCCGACAAGCCTCTGTTTGTTTGTTTGTTTGTTTGTTTGTTTGTTTGTTTGAAAAGGAAAAGGCCTTTAATACTGCTGTGCTGTTTTTCGTGTCTGTATTTTAACAAATTTGTTTTTAATATTGTTTTAATTCTGTTAGAGTTTAATTACCGGTACTTTGTAACAGCTACCTTCAACAACAACAGCAGATGCCGGTATATGGCATAGTTGAACTGGGAAGACCTTGGGAGTCACTCACTAGCAGTCCTGTGAGGTTGGATTGTTGCCACCACCTTTAGGCCAGATCCACACACTGCTGGTCTGAGGCCAACACATCTGATTCATTACTGGTGGGAAGGCCCTTCACACTCCGAAATGTGGTGTGTGTTTGTAAGCACACACTCATGTCTCAGCTACAATGGGATGGGGGGGGGGACACATTTTTTTGACCCAAGGGCCACACTTCCTAGTGGGAAACCTTCCAGGGGCCGCATTCCAGTGTCGGACAGGGCAGGGAGCAAATGTAGGCAGAAGGTGCAATTTCAACCATGCAAATGTCATGGCGTGTCAACACAAGTCTTACCCAGAATAGGCCCACTGAGGTTAAGGGACATGACTATGGCAAACTTGGGTTCATTCATATGAATGGGTCCTACTCTGAGTAGGACTTAGCTGAGCTCTGTTCAACGGCACAGTAAATGGTGGGTGGGTGGGTTCCTCTCCCCCGCTGGAGGTACTAGTAAACTCTGTAGTTCAGGGATGGGAAACTGGTGGCCCTCCAGAAGTTGGAGTCCACCAATATATGGAGGGTCACCAGGTTACTGAAGGCTGGACTAGAAGATCTCTCAGGTTCCTCGCAATGCTCTGTTCCTACCATAGCGGTGCTCCACAGAGTTAGCGAAGGCCCATTCACACCATACATGCAAAGCACTATGGTACCACTTTAAACAGTCATGGCTCCACCCAAAGCATTCTGGGAGTTGTAGGCTATTAAAGGTTCTGAAAGTTGTTAGGAGGCTCCCCCATTCCACCTCACAAAGCTACAATTCCCAGAGCTACCAGGGAAGAGGTACTGGATCATGAAACTCCTCTGGGAATTGCAGCTGTGATGGTGAGTAGGGGAGTCTCCTAATAATCTCTCAGCAGCACCCTTAAACTACAGTTCCCAGGATTCTTTTTTGGGGGGGAGGAACCATGACTGTTTAAAGTGGTATTGTAGCGCTTTAAACACACGGTGTCAACGGCTCCTGTGCTGTATGAAGCTGTATCGGCTGCCTATTCTGATTGGCTGCCTGTTCTCCAGAGGTTCTAGCAGCAGTGGTAAGACTCTGGGCTCTCAAATTTCATTGGCGCCTTGTGCGACGCTAAAATTCTGCGCCCCCCCCCCCAACTCTTGTGCTACATTCTACAGCATGGTTGTGATGCCACCTGCAACGTGGAAGAACCAGTCACTCTACCTTAAAACCACCTCTGCTGGCAAGGCTCTTAACCTGATCTGGAGATGCGCCATGGAGCATGCCAAGAAGTTTGCAATCATGCAAAAACATTTGCAATTAAATTTCCCCCCTTCCTTTCATGCCTGCAGAAATGGGAGTGCAAGGGTGAAGTCGTCCAGCTTTACGGCATCGACACACCTTACATCCACGCTGAGGACTGCACAGAGTACCAAGGCCCCGCAGTCATCCTGAAGTCCTCTAGTGCCACCCCAAGTGATGAAGAAGAAGGCACTCCATATGTTTGATGAGCAACCTGGGAAGAAGGAATCAGATCTCTCTCTCTCTCTCTTTTCCTTTTTGTCCAGGGCTCTGTAATTAAGCAGATCTAGACCAGCCTTTACCAAACCGGTGGCCCTCCCAGATGCTTTGGACTACAACTCCCATCAACCAGCCCTTGCCAGCACAGCTGAGGGGAATTGTAGTCCGAAATTTCTGGAGGGCCCCAGGTTGGAGAAGGCTGCTTACTGACCCTCACATGTGCACATTACAGATTTAAACCAGTCTTGCTTCCCCACCAAGGAATTGTGGTGTTCCGGGAATTCACAAAACAACCATTTCCGGGGATCTACCAGGAAATCCCTGGCAGATACTGCTTTCAGCAGAAGGCAGAAGCACCCACAAGTTATACCTTTTCACCTGTAAACACCAGTCTCAAAAAACCCCCCAAAAAACCTTTACTTTATTTCTTTGGTTTTGAACTTGCTTAATGTAGAAAATAAAGCTTAGCTCAACTTGCAACCAAAATTTGCTGATTATTATTTATTTGCTTCATAAAATGTATATAGTTTGGTTGTTGTTTTAACTCTCCAAAAAAGGAATAATAATAATTTTTAAAAAACAGTAAAGAGAGTTTTTAAAAAATTAAAATCAGTAATGAATGAAGAACATTCACTAACCTTCCACATCTCTGGATAGGCTTGCCAAAACAAAACGAAATCTTACTCAAGCCCCTTTGTTCTCTTTGCACAGTCCTTCTTTGCTGGCTTTCTCTCCCAAGCTTTTCCTTAGCCTGCAGAGATCCACCTTAATCTACCCACTTGGAGGCCAGCCACCTTTTTAAAAAGCCTTTGTCCACCTGCTTCATATGGACATCACTGGCTCCTCCTATCAGCTACACAAGTTAACCCTTATCACCTGCAAACGGGCAGGCACGATTGATACACACCAGACAAACTAGATGTGCATTCCCATAGTCAACTTGCAGTACGTTCCATGTGTGTGTGCGGTTGTGCTTAAAGCCGAAACAGCGTATATTCAACCCCCGAACCACGTCTGCACAACCATCCCTACCTTTCCAAAGCTGGTGCACCAGGTGTGTTTTGCTTGCTGGACTCTGGAAGACTCTTGCGTGGGCTCTGGGTAGCTCTCACAAGATCTCACAGTAGCTTCCCAGAGCCCGGTAAGCCAGTCTGAGAGCTTTTAAGCTCTCCACCGTGCATGTGTTTTAATTTGTGCAATTTCCGCTTGCCAGCCACCAAGGGTGTAAAGCTGCAATTAAATGTATGCAAGTTGTGAGTTGACTGTATAATGCCAGTTGACTGTATAATGCCAACACTCCAGGATCCAGTACCTGAGTGTGACTCAGATGTGAGTTATTGGGACCCAGAGCTGCAAAGCTGATCGGAGCTCAACACTGGCAGTAGGTGAGGGTTCCCTGACCTGTTCTCAGTCCACACAGGTTTGAAAATTTGGCTCTTACAAAGACACAGCCTACCTTTCATCCTTTCAGTGGTATAGCATCTGCTTTTACATGCAAAGGTCCAGGTTCAATCCTGGGCATGTCCAGGAAGGACTGAGGGAAAATTCACTGTCTGAAACCCTGAGAGCTGCTGCCAGTCAGTGTAGACAATACTGAGCTAATGAACCAATGGTCTCACAAAGCACAAGAAGATTCCTGCCTTCCTACCGTATTTTTTGTCCCATAGGACGCTCTGTCCCATAGGACGCACCTAATTTTTTGGGGGGGAAATAAAGGAAAAATTTTTTTCCTTTATTTCCCTCCCCCAAAACCAGGTCTGGGAACAGCGGTATGGCGGCGCTCCGCCTCCCCGCTGTCCCCCAAGCTCGTGGGGCTGGCGCTGGGGAGAAGTGCGCTTCTCCCCAGTGCCAGCTTCCAAACCAGGTCGAGGAACAGCGGGATGGTGGCGCTGCGCCTCCCTGCTGTCCCCCGAGCTTCTGGGGCTGGCCGATGTCCCCCGCAGGGCTCCCCGCAGGGCTCCCGCAGGGCTCCCCAGGCTGCGGATGTTTGCCCGGTGCGCGGGGCGCTCTGCTTCAGGGCACCCCGCGCACCGGGCGGCAGGCTGCTATCCGCAGCCTAGGGAGCCCTGCGGGAACTCCCGCGGGCTCCCCAGGCTTGCTGATAGCTTCCTGAAGCCTGGAGAGCGAGAGGGGTCGGTGCGCACCGACCCCTCTCGCTCTCCAAGCTTCAGCAAAAGCCTGTATTCGCCCCATAGGACGCACACAGATTTCCCCTTCATTTTTGGAGGGGACATGGTGCGTCCTATAGGGCGAAAAATACGGTACATTGTCCTGTAGCAGAGACTGACCATTTTCAAGAGGGGCTGAGAATGGGTAGGGGGGATGTTAGAGGGTGCTGTTAATATGGAAAAGAGACAGATTCAATGGCCCTTCAGGCAATATTAAAAGTCCAGCACCTCACTCCCGAAGGTGCTTGTCCATCTGAAGGTCTTTTAAAAATATATTTTATTGGTTTTTTTGTGAGAAAACAATAGAAACAGGCAGGTTCTCCCTCACCGCACCGCAGAAGAACAAGCCGTTGGAAAGCTTTTGAGGTTATCCCAAGTAGGAGAAATTACTGAGTCCAAATGACTACAGAAGTCACTTCAGATAGTGTTCTGCAGCTTCAGGAAGGCAGACGAAAGGTGAGGATCTTGGGGACATTCCTGAACGTACTCCACAAGTCGACTCCAGGTAGCAAGGAAGTCAAAAGACCTTTCCTTTCTTTTGGCCAATTCTATCTCAAATGTCAATTTTTCCACCTTGGAAATGCAAACGTCTGCAGAGCCATTGCTCAAAAAGTTAAGCTGCTGGCCACCTTCCAGGTTCTCGCAATTCTGCAATTTCTAGTCGAGCAGCCATGTAACATGAAGGAGTCCATTAGAAGTTAACAGGTGGTTCTTCAGAAAGGTTTGCTGTCCGGGCACAATAAGGGAGAGAGACCCCCCGGTCTATGAAGCTCATGGGAAAGAGAAGGCAAAAGTGGGGTGCCCCGGAGCTGCTCCCTAAAGAGCAGCAGAGATGATAATGGTGGCGATACCCCCACTTCATGAAGGCCCACGTGGTCCATCCCCAATGATAGGCGCTGTCTCATCGTCGGTCCACGTGAGGCCGCTGCTCTGAGGGGGCTGGAATGGGAATTTGCCGACGCTCTCCAAGTACAGCAGCAACGCCGTCAAACACCAGAAGAAGAAGTTCACCCAGGCAGCCGCCTGAAGTCGGGAAAGGAGAAGAAGGGGCAAAGTCAGAATGAAAACCCGTTTCGTGCAATAGGGTGCCCTCTAGATGTTTTGGATTTCGACGGCTGTGTTGAGCCATGGGCTGTATAGACAGGAGTTGCATTCCAAAACGTTGGGAGGGCACCAGGTTGGGAAAGGCAGCTGTAAATTTTTAATTTCTTCTAGTTCACCACTGTAGGAAAAAACTATCAGTAAAAATGGTTAAAAACATTAATAAGCTAAAAACAGAATAAGACACGCACCAGCATTCTAGATCTTTGGGTTGGCTTGTCTAAACCAAAATGTTTTTAGCGGTGCCGAAAGGGATACAGTGAAGGCGACTGCCTGCTGTCAAGTGGCAAGGAGTTCCAAAGTGTAGGTGCCACCACACTAAAAGATAAGATGCAGGATGGGTATTGAGTGGCATCTACAATGGTGCATAAAGTAAACACATGTGCAAGAATTTGGATTACGCTGCCAGAACATGGACAAATATTAAGTGCAGTTAAGACTAGATTTCTGTACGTGGTGAACATTTTTACCTGGGGGTGTGACTGAGATAAGACCCCTTTGCTGAGGAGAAGTTGAGGAACAGCGACAAACAGCTTTGATTCAATAGTCTGCCATTTAAGGACCACTCACCTCTGCAGTGTAGAGGTTGTCATAGAACCTTGCGGCACGATAGGGCTGGACCCAAGGGCGGTGCTGAGCTTCTTGACAACTGCAAGGCGGGAAGCGAGGAGAGACAAGCCAGGGCAGTTAACTCACTGTAGTCGAAAGGTGTCACTCAAGTAAAAAACAGGTGCCCAGGAAACTGTTGAGGACCCAGTCAGATTAATGGTCCATCTACCTCAGTGTGGTCTACACTGTCTGGCAGCAGCCCTCCAGGGTTCCAGGCAGGGGTCATTGCCAGTCTTACCTGGAGATGTTGCCAGGGATTCAACATGGGTTCCCCACAAAATAGAACAAGGTTCTATTTTTGTGTGTGCCATATATGTATATATAATTTTTATATCTGAAGTATTCTATAATAACATGAATACAATGCATTACTTACCTATGCATATTTATCCATATAATCTAGAATAACAATGGGAACACCTATCTAAAAGCATAGAAATATGATGCAAACTCCCTGTATCTACTACTATACTATATTCATATAATAGTAATATACAGCAAACGATCTCATAGACACACACATTATTTATATAATACTAAGGGACGCGGGTGGTGCTGTGGGTTAAACCACAGAGCCTAGGACTTGCCGATCAGAAGGTTGGTGGTTCGAATCCCCGCAACGGGGTAAGCTCCCGTTGCTCGGTCCCTGCTCCTGCCAACCTAGCAGTTCGAAAGCACGTCAAAGTGCAAGTAGATAAATAGGTACCGCTCCGGCGGGAAGGTAAATGGCGTTTCTGTGTGCTGCTCTGCTTCGCCAGAAGCGGCTTAGTCATGCTGGCCACATGACCCAGAAGCTATACGCCGGCTCCCTCGGCCAATAAAGCGAGATGAGCGCCGCAACCCCAGAGTCGGTCATGACTGGACCTAATGGTCAGGGGTCCCTTTACCCTTAAGGCAGTAAATAATATCTCATATGTGTGCGTGTTACACATTTAAACAGGAACCTGTTTTCTGAACTTGGTCCCTCTAGCTCAGTATTGTCTACACAGATCGGCAGAGGCTCTCCAGAGTTTCAGACTGGAATCTCTCCTGCTCCTACCGGGTGACCCCAGGGATTGAATGTGGCACCTTCTGCATTCAAAGCAGATGTTCTACCACTGAGCTACAGCCTGTCATGCAAATTACCCCCCACCCAGCATCCTGTATTCCCTGAGGACAGGATTTTAGAGGTATAGCAAACAAGCCACATCCAGACCTACGTTTATCTTGGAGGGTGCCTCCATAAACCACTTGCTAGCAGGCAGACACGTGGTACTCTGATATAATTTACCCCAAAGCTTCTGAGCTAGACTATCAGCTGATGAAAATTAGAGCTTGTATAACTTAAGCTATCAAGGCAAAAAGGCCTTGTGAAATCTCAGCTGCTTTCCAATTAAATAAATGTTTCATTAAAGAACTAACCAAGAGAGAATTAACCAAAGACTTCCAGTTGTTGAGTCCAAAGCCAAGAGGGGGAAAAAGAGAGAGGGGGAAGACTTCTGAGAGAAACAAATATATCGAGCCATCAATACATGGACACATTAATACGATACATTTAATGTGCTATGATGCCACTTAAAACTGTCATGGCTTCCCACCAAAGGATCACTCACTGCTCTCAGCCTGATCTACCTCACAGGCTGGCAGGATTAAACAAGGAGCGGGATGAACCAGGCCCACCATTTTGAGCTTCTCTGAGGAAAAGGTGAGCTATAAAGGCAACCAACCAACCAATCCAAGCGAGGACTGAGCATCTTTTCTGGCACTTACCTCGGTGCAGCCGCAGAAGTATGAATGGACCCACAGAGAGCATCCATGCCGACCCGAAGGATGCAGGCCGAGATGAGCAAGAAGAAGAGGACCACAGCTGAGATAACCAAGAACGCCTTGACCCACACGTCACCCCTGTGGGGAGAGACAGAGGACAGGGACTGTCAAGAATAAGCCAAACCCAACCCAACTGGAGACCTCCCCGTTTCGCTCCCCGCCTTCGCGACTCACGACCGTCTCTCGCTGTCACCGAAGCAGGAAATGTAGACGCTGCGGAGAAGAGCCACGAAGGAGGAAATGGCGGCCAGGAGGGAGACGGCCGAGACGAAGTAGCAAAGCGAGACGTGGCTGGAAGTGCTTAAGCTCAGAGTCCCGTTGTAGCGCACAGACCCATAGAGGATGCACTGGCCCCCGAACTCCCCCTGGAAGGAAGGAAGAGAGGGATAAAGTGAGAAAGGATGGGGATTCCTCCTAAAAGTCAACACCAAGGGAGCTACCACTGAAAAGGCCCTGTCACGGATCCATGTCAACCAAGCGGCCCCCATAGGCGACACCGACAATACCCCTTTTCCTGCCCACTGTACGGTCTGAGATGACTGACAACGGGGATGGTACTATTTTAGCTATTTGGGTCCTCAGCCTATTGCACAAAGGCAAAATTTATAGCCACAGCCCCGCCCACTTTTACTTTCAGCCCCGCCCACCACTGAAGGGATGTGCCCCTTGGGCTGAAAGGGCTCCCCAATCTTGCCCTAGACCAGGGGTCGGCAACCCGCGGCTCCGGAGCCGCATGTGGCTCTTTTACACCTTTGCCGCGGCTCCGGGGCGGATACTAGCAAGGGGAGGAGGCGCATTGTGCGCCCCGACACTCCCCACTGTGGCGGGCGCTGTACTGGCTGTGACGTCGCATGGGGGCGGTGCGTGCGTTAGTCACGCACCGTCCCGACGTCACCTTCCCGCCCGCCCGCTACATTGTAAGGGGCATGTACGCTGATCACCGCATTGAAAGGGGGCATGTACGCTGGTCACTGTTTTGAAGGGGAGTGAAGAACACACACACACACAAAAAGGTAACTTGTTAATTTAATGTTTATTTCTATGAGGAGGAGTAATTCTGAGGGGTCAAACAAAAAAATAATAAAAAAGTGACAAAAAAGTTATTTTTATAATGACGAGTTTTGCGGCTCCCAGTTTTTTTTTTCTTCGGAAATGGGTCCAAGTGGCTCTTTTTGTCTTAAAGGTTGCAGACCCCTGCCCTAGACAGTACAGGCATCGCCGCCGCCCCTTATGTGGGGTTGGTTGGTTACGTCCTGCCCCCCCCACATAAGTGAAAAGTGGGGAGCACCCTCTAAACACCCTTTAAATGCCCTCTCTGCTGCACTCCCTGCAATCCAGACCAAAAATACTGTATCCAAAAATATCCACAGCTAGAATGGAAGTTCTGGAGCCAGCGGGAAGCTCTAGAAATCGTGGAAAAGTGGTGGCTGTAGCTGTGCAACCCCATGCGTACACTGTTGGGGGGCGCTGAGAAGCCTAAAAAGCCCCACTGCACCTCCTGTCCCTCTGGATTCACATACGGTAATCCTCTTCTGATGCCATGAAGACTCTCCAGCTCTTTCCCGCCATTTCCAGGTTTGAATCTATTTACTTATTTATTTCCTGGGGCCCGATGCCTGTAGCATATGCAGGCAGAAGAGAAATAAACCCACAGTGACCACTTCTTCTGTCGCTTCCTTAATGTGGATGGCAAGTTCCTTGGGCTTGTTCTCTCAGAAATTGCAGAAAGCCACATACTTCCAAGAAAAACGATTAAAGGCAACTCCCCATTTATGTGGGGGTTACGTTCGGAGGTACCACACATTTAAGTGAAATCGCACTGGGAACACCATTGAAAAAGCCTGTAAACACCCTCTGGAAACCTTTAAAAAATCCTTTTTTAAAAAAACCCAAATCCAGCAAACTCCACCACAATCGCTCCCCACAAACCTCCTTCCTCCACACTCCAACTATCCACAGGCCTCAAATGTTGGTGCAAAGGTTCATGGGGTTGCTAGATGCTGTTTTTGCACAATTTTTGCCATTTTCACGCTGTTTTTGCCCCTTTTCGTGCCACTTCCAGGTTCACAGGAATGCACACAGTTTGGGTAATGCATGCCTTGAACACACATAAATGGGGGGTGGGGTTGCCTGTACTATGCTAGAAAAGGCGGGTGAGAGCGTTGCTTGCTTCCTAGCTCAGCCTGTCAGAAAGGCCATTTGGCCCATGGCAATGGGCTCAACAGGGGGCGTAAAATTTTGACACTTTTTAATTTTGTTTTTATGTATAACGGATCCAAATGTGACATACTCTCTCAGGCAGAAAAGCATTTACTGTATTTCATTTAAAAAAATAATAATCCTGTTATGTCTCAATCTCTTTTCGGTGCTTTATTTTGTGTTTGGGTTATTGAAAGCCTTATTTTTATTACAGCTAGTGGCCTTAAAGGCTGAAAGTGCCTCAGGGCCCTATGGAACTCCTTGCTACAAGAACCAGAGAGTACTCTGCTTCACATTTTGAAAATATAATGTTTAGCGTCCATGTGGTTTTTTTGAAAAGTTACAGTGGTACCTCGGGTTAAGTACTTAATTCGTTCCGGAGGTCCGTTCTTAACCTGAAACTGTTCTTAACCTGAAGACCACTTTAGCTAATGGGGCCTCCCGCTGCCGCCGTGCCACTGGAGCACGATTTCTGTTCTCATCCTGCAGCAAAGTTCTTAACCCAAGGTACTATTTCTGGGTTAGCGGAGTGTGTAACCTGAAGCGTATGTAACCCGAGGTACCACTGTAATTTCATACCCCTAGGAACTAATAATGGTGTTGCTTGCGTAATCTGTGTTGAAGCTGTTGATGATGAAAGGAAGCAAGTGTGGTTTAACGGTTACAAGGAGCAGCAAAAACCCAGGCTGAGATCATGAAGCTCCCCAGAACAATTCAGAACAGTCTTTCTCTCTCTCATTCTCTCTCTCTCCACCTAACCTACCTCACAGGTTTGTGGCGAGGATTAAAGGAGGGGGAACCCCTTGAGACCTTTGAAATACTGTAACACGACATATTAATGCAATAAACAACTTTTGTGGTTGTTCTAATAAAGGACACGTTTTAAAAAATTACTTCACAACTGTTGACTAATATTAGTGTGGCAGCACCAACACTTTGGAACTCCCTGCCTATTGATATCAGGCAGGAACCTTCACTGTATTTTTTCTGGTGCCTGCTGAAGGCATTCTTATTTAGACAAGCCCACCCAGGTGTTTAGAAAATTTTTATTTATTTTATTTATAATTTATTGAATTAAGAACTCAGGGTGGTTCACAACATAAAAATACAGAATAACAAAGCACATAATAAAAACAGTAAGAAAAACAAAACAATAACCCCCACTACCACAGACATATTTAAGGCACCAGATGAACTTCCCTGGGGAGAGAATTCCACAAGTTTTAATTTGTTTTAGTTTATTCTATTGTGGTCTTAGCTTTCTGTTATGTTTTAAATTGTGGTTGTAAATTTTTTTAATGATCACTTTATTGTTTTATCTTTTTGCAAATCACTTTGAGGTTTTCCCCCTACATCAGGTGGTATCTAAATTTTATGAAAAAAATAAAATAGTCAGGGATCACATGAACAAACCTTTTTTCTTTTTGACCAAATGTTCAAGCCTATTTATTCAAAAAGAAATAAAAACCTCCTCTCCCCACAATAAACAAAGCATCATTTAATCAATGCAGGCTTTATGGCAGTATAATTGAACATGAGAAGGAAAAAAGTGTGTTGCAGGGTTTTTATGTTAGAGGTTATTCTTGATGATAATTTTGGTATTTTTAAAACTGCTCTGAGCAAAAAAATAAACAACAACAACTGCATCTGCTCCAACCCCCTTCCTGATTGCCTGAGCTCTTTCATCTGTTCCCAGGCAATTTACTCTTAGACTTCTAAACCCAAAGCTGAGAATGTTGCCTCTTCTTTTCTGCAAACCATTGTGCCCAGGAAAAGAGCCAGTGCAACTATAAAGGTAAAGGGACCCCTGACCATTAGGTCCAGTCGTGGCCGACTCTGGGGTTGCGGCGCTCATCTCGCTTCATTGGCCGAGGGATCCAATGTCCAGCATAACTAAGCCGCTTCTGGTGAACCAGAGCAGCGCACGGAAACGCTGTTTACCTTCCCGCCGGAGCGGTACCTATTTATCTACTTGCACTTTGCCGTGCTTTCGAACTGCTAGGTTGGCAGGAGCAGGGACCGAGCAACGGGAACTCACCCCGTCGCGGGGATTCGAACTGCCGACCTTCTGATTGGCAAGTCCTAGGTTCTGTGGTTTAACCCACAGCGCCACCCGTGTCCCCAGTGCAACTATAGGCCATCCCAAAACAAGGGAGTGTTCATCCGTACAGGCCAGTAAGGTGAGTGCCAAGCACATGTGACACAGGCCAGGAAGGCTGTCGGGAGAAAGTGCTCCCGGCAGCAAAAGGATTTGTGCAGGAAGTCAGCCAAACTCTCACTCAGCTGACGAGCATTAATGTGCACGGCTGATGCTCATATGACACGACACCACACTGCCTGCTTTTTAAAAATATGCAAGTTTGGTGCATTATTATAAATCTTTTGCAACAATCTGAGGTTGGGTCAGTAGCTGTGAGCTCAGATTTCCCCATTTCCCAACGGAAAACCTTTGGAACCATTTTTTTCAGAAGCCTTCGCAGCCTTTCCAGCAAAACAGCAGACTTCCAAAGGTCCTCGTGAGGAATGATGCCACTTAGGCAAAACCGGTTTCAAGTTGGCGTAACTGTTTTGTGTGTAGCTGCCTCTTATTACAGCAGGGCCGGGTGGTGGAATGAATAGGCAGGCTCATGAGGACTAGAGACTTGACAGAGTGCACAAATTGTTGTTGTTTTAAAAAAACTTTCCAGCTCTGCTGAAACTCTCCACCACCCAAGGTAGCTCAGGGAAGTCTAAATGCAAACTCAGAAAGGCAGTAATAGATGGGTTGGGGATTGCATTTTAAATTTTTTTTAACCAGGCGCATGTGACACCCTCTGACTTGGAAGCCCCTGGACCTCTCATCCCATACATACAAAAGTTGGGTGTTCTGCGGTTATAAAAGCACACTGTTTTTCTAAAGACGTTCTGGCGCTCAAAAGCCAACAGGGAAGAGATGAATTCTAAGCCACCATGTGGAACATAAATTGCTCTCTGCATGCAATCAGAGGTGCCCTTTCTTATTGATACGTTACAAGCAAAAATGCTGGACACTCCGCACATTGGCAGGCCCAACGGCGCAGCTCTGGTCGTGCACAGCCACTCCCCCCTCTGCACTCAAGCGAAAGCCCGGCGCCCTCTTCACGTGCTCAGAAGCACTCTCGCGCCACTAAGCGGTGGCTCTTTAACGGGACGAGCGCAAAAGCGCAGAACTTTTTTGCCCGGGATGGGATGGGAAAGGGAGACTTTGCGGGTCCGGGATCGCCCTCTCTCTCTCGGGACCTTACCTGGGTAACGGTGAGGGCGGAGGAGCAAATGACCCCGCACAGGAAGGCGGCGGCGTTCAGGGCCAGCTCGACCAGGAGCAGCCCGGACAGCTGCGCCATCTTCCAGCCGACGGTGCTGGGAAGGGGCTGCCCGGCTGCCGGTCTCCGCCCCGTCGGAGGGGAGGAGAGAGAGAGAGAGAGAGGAGAGGCGTCGTCAGCGCTTGAGGGTTGAGGGTTGGCAGCCGGGACGTCAAAGCGTTTGGCGCTGCACACAGGCAAGCAGTCCAACAGCACCGGTTGGATTTCTGCCTGACAGCAGCCCTAAAGTTAACTGGCAAAGACGCACCAAGTTTACTTCTTTATTTATTGCATTTGTTATATTATAACCAGGGCCGGAGTTAGGTTTGAGGGGTGTGTGCTGAAGGGAGAGAAGAGACACACACACAAAGGATGACATTTTTATTTTATTTTACAAAAAGCACCTCCTGTGAAATATTCTCATGCACTCACTATAAGCCTGCTCCTCCCTGAGGGGCCCCTCCCAAAACTTTTAGTGGCTTCCTAAAAAAAAATTAAGATTCCCCCCCCCCCAGTGAATCTGTCTCAGTCCAGGGCTACGGACGCACGGTACATTTGAGGCACACCCCTCCACAAAGATTATTGGGAATAGTAGTTTGACCCCTCACAGAACTAGAATTTCCAGTAACCTTAACAAACTAGCTACCAGCATAGCTGTCAACCTTCCCTTTTTTTGCGGGAAATTCCCTTATTTCAGCGCTGTTTCCCGCTGCTATCCCAGATTGTTAGATATCCCGTAGACTGTCTCCGGGACAGGTGAGGCTGCTGACCCCTTATTTTCAAACCCGAAAGTTGACAGCTACGCTGCTAATCCCTTATTTTTGAGGCTGCTGATCCCTTATTTTCAAATCTGAAAGTTGACAGCTATGGCTACCAGAATTGTTGGGGGGGGGGGAGAGAGAACACGATTTAAATAATAAAATCACAGCATTGTAGAGTTGGAAGGGACCCCAAGTGTAATCTGGTCTACCCCCTCCCCGCAATGCAGGAATCCTGCCCACAGCCACCCCTGGGTGGACTCAGCCCAACAACCTTCTGGTTAACAGCATGACCCACTGTGACATCAGTTTATTAAAAGATCAGGGAAATAAAGGGCTCCTTTATTCATTTTCTCTTTTGGTAGGGGAATGGGGAGGGGACCGGAGCCCCCATTCAGAGGAGGCTGAGTATGTCCTCAGTGCCTTCACAAGCAGACAATGCCTAGAGCAGTCTTGGCCAGTGTGTGGTAGCTGAGGCTGTTGGGAGTTGTAGTTCAAAACAACTGGAGACCAGCACATTAGTAAAGGCCGGCCGGGAGCCTCGCCCCAAACCCAAATCCTTCCCCCTTCACAGTTCCAGGGTTGACATCTTTGTAAAACCAGCTCTGCTCTCCTGCCCCCAACCTCCCAGACAAGCGGTGACGAAATTGTGCCCCTCAAAAGAAGAGCCGATAAAAAAGAAGTCCCAAATCGCCAGGAATAAAACACAAGAGGTCACCGCTCTACCTGAGAAAGGCTGTGGCCCTAAAAAATGGCATTGCCTAAAGATTAAGAGATGACGAGTATTGGGGGAGGGAAGCCACATGGGTGTATGATTAATTTTCTTTGTTTGGTTATTATTTTGTATTTTTATTTCTTATTGAATATTGTGTATCTTTGGAATTTTATTTTTTTTAAATTAAGAAAATGACATTGCCATGAAGGGCACATGGCCCAGAAAGGCTGGGTGCTGCTGCCGCTGCCGCTGCCACCCTCGCAGGTCCCTTTCAGAGAGGCAGGTAGAGAGAGTATTCTGAGTGGGCCCACTTCTTCGCTGCCTTGGTCCTTCCGATCATGGGCAGCTTCTGGGTGTAGCGGGAGACGTGGCCGGGGCCGTGGTGGTGCAGGAAAGAGGTCTGGAAGAGGCGCCCCTGGCACCGCCTCTCCGCCTGGCGACCCGCGATCAAGAAGCTGAAGCGAGGCGGCCCCTGGGGGGAGAAGCGGCACTTCTGGAAGACGTCCCGGACGCCCAGGCGGTACCCCTGCTGGCGAGAGGCGCTGCGCGACCGCGCCAGGCTGGCGGGGCGCTGCAGGGGGGCCCGGCTGGCCGAGAACTCCCCACGGGGGCTCTCCTCTTCCCGCGGGCTGACGGTGGCGTTGGCTGTCAGCTGGGGCATCTTGCGGGCTGTCTCCCCGCCCCCAAAGGCCGGCGGCTCCTTTTTGGCGTCCACCACCTTGGGAGTGCTGGCCGGCAGCGGCTCGGCTGGGCACAGCCCCGAACCCGTGCCGAAACGGGTGGCAAGACTGTCCCCAAAGAAGTAGTACAGCTCCTGGTAGATCTCGTTCAACGAGGTGGTGGGGGGGTCCGTGGAGATGCCCACACCGGCCTGGGGCCCACCGCTGCCCAGCTGGAGCAGGTGGCTGGCGATGCCAAAGCCAAACTCCACCTGAGGGTCCTGGAGAGGGCTGAGCCAAGGGCAGCCCTCCCGCGGGCGCCCTTCTGCGCCAGAGCCTTCCGCCTGGACGGGCGCCGATACAGCCTGCGCCTTCATCTTCAGGAGGCGCTCCACTGCCACCTGGAGGAAGGGAGGAGGAACAGCACATCAAATGAGCATTGGCAGTGGGCAGAAGTGGGCTGGCACATAATGCGCTCGCAGGCTGGGCCTCATTGGGGGCGGGTTATGCAGTGTTTCTCAAACTTGGGTCCCCAGCTGTTGTTGGACTACAACTCCCATTGTCCCTGACCACTGGAAGGTTGGACTATATTTTGCAGGCCGAGATTTCTCAGAAATCACCCCTCCCCTCATTCGTCTCTTTTGAATTTGTTTGTAGATTTGGATTGAGACACTAAGGGACAGATCTCACATCTTTTGAGAGCAGCCTTGGCCTCAGCTGCCAAGTTTTCGAAGCCTTTTGATCTCAATATCTGGGCTATTGGTTATTCCAGCTCTTCGCAAATCACCCTTCTTGGAAAAAATGTCACATAAGCTAAAAGTGTTCAAAGGGCTTGCGATCCCTTTTTTGCCATTTGGTTTATTTCATATACAAACACAGCAGCTCAGGAGTGTCAGGTCGCACAGGTCTGTGTAAATGTCTGGATTTAGCCCAGTTTAAGATTACTTTTCCCATCTTTTTTCAGAGTATAGAAAATTGTAATTGTTCTGATTTAGACCATGGTTCCCAAATGGAGTGGCGCCATCCCGGGGGGGGGGGGCAGTGGGATTGCAAGGGGTGTCGGGGGGGGATGGGACTGGAGGTGTCAATGACTATCAGACTTTGAAAAGCTGCTGTCACAGGAACAGGTTAATCGATTTTATTCAGCGTAATTCATTAAACTAACACGTTTTAATTGGATTTTGAATAAACATGCATTGTTTTTACTGTTTTGGGATTTTATTGAGCTTCCTTAGTGGCTCATGCAAACTGTTATTGCAAACAGTGCTTTCTATAGAGTAGGGGGCGCAGGGGATTAGTTTATGGAACCAAAGGGATGGTGGCCCCAAATACCTCTGGATTAGACCATGGAACCCTTTGTAATAATAGATCACACACCCTTTTCCTCTTCCTTTTATTGATGCAGTAAAATTGTGTGGCTGCATCGTATATTTCCTTACTGGCAATAGCGACAACCTATTCTTATCACCCCTTTCTTTTTTTCTGCAACCCTGTTTGTTGTCAATGAAATTCGATTTTAAAAATGAAAAAAGTATCTCATAAGGTATCAGCAGGGACTTACCAGGATGGCTCCATAGACTTTGTGCCCATCAGCCTTCACCTGAGCATTGGACACAGAGTAGTCATCCAGCACAGCCTGCAGGTTTGACCAGTAGGTGGAGAGGTGGGGATAGAGAACCCTCTCCACTGCCTGGGTGAGAAGAGACGGAGGAACAGAGAGACAGCACATGTCAGCTGCGCTGGTCACGAGGCTGGGGAGACACAGCCAAGAGGAAGACCACTGTAGCCCCTGCACTGGCCAGGCAAAATCACTGCAGCGCGACTTACATGGAGCTGCCCTTGGGCCTGGTTCAGAAGACGCTCTGGCTGGTGCTGAATGGGGTGGCCAGACTGCTGATGCGAGCACCTGCCCAACAACACAGGTCACCAGTGTGGAAACACATGCACAAACTGCCCATCTGCTACCTGCAGTTTCAGTGTCCTCGCATTAATTTACAAATCCCTGAATGACTTACATCCAGGGTACCTAAGGGACTGCCAAAACCCTTATATTACAGCTTGATCACTAACATCATCTGCAGGAGCATCGTCGGTCATTTCCTGAGTAGACAAAGCTCATTTGGCAATAACAATAAACCTTTAGTGTCACTGGCTCAGTCCTGTGGAACTCTCTGCCACTAGGGATCCAGCAGGCCTTTCTGTGCCAACCGCTGAAAACTTTCCTATTCTGTCAGGTTTATGCAGGCAGTTAAGAATACAGTCATACCTCGGGTTACAGACACTTCAAATTGTGCGTTTTCGAGTTACGGATGTGCCGAAACCCGAAAGCTCCTGGAACAAGTTATTTCCAGGTTTCGGCGCTCGCGCATGCGCAGAAACACCAAATTGCAACCTGCGCATGCACAGATGCGGTGCTGCGGGTTGCGAAAGTGCCTCCTGCACAGATCACGTTCGCAACCTGAGTGTCCACTGTACATTATTTCATCTACGGTTAGCGGTTTTCTAATTTTAACTTTTCCATATGGTTTCTGTTGTATGGTTTTATGTGCAACTGACGCAAATGGCTCTGATATGTCTAATGCATAGGGATATCTTTAAAAAATGTAATAAATAAAATACAAAAATGCCAGTTACCTTCCATCCCAAGGCATGCAGCCCCACAACAGCCCCATAGTGGGAACAGAGCGGGCGGACAGGATCGGCCAGCACTTTCTGCAGTGATAGCAGGATCTGGTGATACAGGCCGCTCACCAAGTCACCGTGAGTCCTGAAAAAGATTTGCGGTGTATGCAGCATATATCAATTTATGGCAGAAGCAAAAGAAAAAAAAGGGGGGGACAACAGGCAGGTCCCTGCCCCAAGGAGCATGCAAACTAGCCCACCCAAGAGAGTCTTCTGAAAGGGCTTGCTTAGTGAAGCACTGTTCCTTACTGTGTCTCCTCTCTCTTGGGTGGGCTGGTTTGCAGTGGAATGTAGTGTCAGCCTCAGCTATAGAAACCTGATTTGTCAGGATAGACAAGCAACATTTTAAAAGACCTTTATTTGCAAGACACTCGTTTGGGCACCATTGTTTTCTGCTTGTCAAGACTACAAATTCAACAGGGCTTTGTTTGTTTGTTTTGTTGCTATTTTATTTATGTTGCTAATATTGTTTTATAGATATGAATGCTGTCATACTTTGTGAATCCTATAATACAATTTTTGGTGTAACTGTGATGTTTAGCTTATCTTTTAGTTGTTTTGTTAATAGTGTTACATAGATGGCAACTGTTTTATTTGTGATTGTTTTACTGATGATTTGTTGTGTTCTATACCATTTATACTGTATTCATGATGTTCCATTATGTTATTTTTATCTTTCATTTGTAAGATGCTTTGGGATTTATCTGAATAAAAAGCAGCATAGAAATAGAATCAACCAAGAGGATGCTAAAAGAGTTAAGGAGATTTTTCTCTCCACGGGCTTGCTCAACCGATGGGACAGTGCATGTCTGGATAAAAGAAAATATTTCTTCATGGAACACATTTGCTAAACTGTGGAACTCACTCCCCCAGAATGTCAGGATGAAGCTAGGGTGTGTGTACTGGCTTTGGTGTGGCAGGAATATAGCCTACTGCCGAGGGTCATGTCTGCTCCTCTGTCCACGATTGCCTCTAACGCCATCCATGAGGCCAGGCATAGGCAAACTTGGCCCTCCAGCTGTTTTGGGACTACAACTCCCATGATCCCTAGCTAGCAGGACCGGTGGTCAGGGACGATGTGAATTGTAGTCCAAAACATTGGAGAACTGAGTTTGCCTATGCCTGCATGAGGCTCCCTTAAACTTGCCAATGACCGAATGTGGCCCCCGAACTTTTGCGCTAGATAAAATAATCGAATTGTAGCATTGGAAGGGACCCCCAACGGTCATCTGGACCAACCCACAACTGGAAAATCCCTGACACCTATTAAAAAAAAAAAGCAGAGTCCACAAGACATTTCAGGGGGCGACATCCCAAAGACGACGGTGCACCTCCCAGCCAGTTACCGCAGCAGGAAACCAGGGGGTGGGGGAGGCTCTCCCTGCCCCAAAGGAGGAAATGGCGTACCAGAAGATGTGTCCCAGCAGCATGGCTGCGTAGTCACGCAGGGTCCAGTGATCATTGAGGGGGTTGATAGAAGCCGCCAGGGGTTCCAGGACGCAGTACATGACACTGGCAATGAGGCTCTTGACGTAGGAGCCAAGGCACAGGTAGGGGTTCTGGATGAGGCTCTTGGCCACGTGCAGAAGGCGGTTCAGCTGCTCCAGGTCGTGGCTCACGGACTTGACCTGCCAGGGGATCCAGGAGAGGAAAGGCAGGTTCAGAAGCCAGCCTCGAACCAAGCAGAGGACCCGGCCGTACATCACCCTCTGGGCAGCCCTCGGGCCTTAGCTGACTGGCACACAGCCTCTCCCTCAAGGGTGGGCACCCCTCGCAGCCTGGAGATGCCTTCCTTCCTACCTAACCTTACAGCGGTTGTAAACACAACCTCCTTCTCTCATTCCCACATAGGCCCCAAATGTCTGAGAGGTGGCCTTCTTTCCCACAGTCCCTCCTAGGTGTTAAGGTCAGCAGAGAGGGGCCCTCTTGGTTGTTCCATCCCGCTCAGAAACTCAAAGGGTCGGTACACCTGCTCTGTGGCAGCTGCAAAGTTGTGGAACTCCCTCCCCACAGAGGAGCCCGGCGCCTTCACTACACAGCTTTCGGCAAATGTTGAAGACGCAACCTTTGGCATCTGCAGTGTGTGCTTTTAGGACCCAAGTTGTATTCTTGTAAACATAATACGTTTCAACTGTTTTTTGATTATGAATTTTATTTTTTCCATCCTTTCTTTAAAAAAAAAGAAAAGTTTTCCTCAGAATTTTCAATCAGATATTTAATCTGGTTAAACCAAGCATCAAGGTATATTGATACACCAGCAAAAAATAAACTAGGTTTTAAATTGTTGTAACCCACTCTGGGAACTGCTAATAATAATCCATTCTCACACATAATAAGCTTTGGGTATTTGAAGACGACCATCATATCCCCTCCCTGTCTCCTCTTCTCCAGGCTAAACATCCCTAGTTCCCTCAACTGTTCCTTACAAGATGCTGTTTCCAGGCCCTTTATCATTCTGGTCTCCCTCCTCTGAGCACATTCTTGTGAGTGAGCTGAGGTTCCTGCCAGCTTTCACAGAAAGTGCCACTCCAAAGAACACCTACAGGTCTCATGGTTGTTGCAGAAGCGCTTCCCAAGGGGTGGGGAGAAACTGGGCACTTGCCACTCAACTCACCCCACTCACAACGTAGACAAAGTAAGGCAGGAGAGCTGCGATCTTTGAGTTGGTTTGCAGGTCCTGAAGAGCCACCTGAGCAGGATGGAAGTGGAAAGGTTAGGGGGCTGGCAAGGTGGGGGGCAGAGGGTGGTGCCCTTGGATGGGTGAGACTTAATTCTGCATGGTTAAAGCACCATACTCCATAAGAACATAAGAAGAGCCTGCTGAATGGCTCAAGCAGGCCAGCATCCTGTTCTCAGATGCCTGTGGTGAAAACCACAAGCAGAATTCAAGCCCCAGAGCCCTCTCCCTTCCTGTGGTTCCCATCAAATGGTATTCAGAAGCATTGTTGCCTCCTGACAGCAAAGGCAGAGCATAGACATCATGGCTAATAGCCATTGATAGCCTTCTCCTTCATGAATTCATCCAATCCTCTTCTAAAGCAAATTAAGTGGTGGCTCCAATCATGGCCTCCTGCAGGGGGGAGTTCCATAGTTTATGCTCTGTGTGGGGAAAAGTACTTTCTTTAACCTGTCCTTAACTTTCCAACATTCAGCTTCGTTGGATGACCACAAGTCACGAGAGTGCTTGGTCTGACCCATAGCTGAATACTGATTCCCAGTTCATGCCCACTCCTTTTCCCTTCCAAAGGAAGTAAACATCAATGGAGTCAGGGCCTGTTGCATCCTGGGAATAAATGGAATGGGCCTCGCTTCAATTATGATGGTGTGAAATAAAGGATATAAGAAAGAACAATGATACACAAATAGCCCCTGCCAGCTGGGGCTAATGGGTACCGTTGTACTAAACTACTACTGAGCTAGGTTCAAGGCTGTTGTATTATTTATAAAGCCCTGAACCACTTTGGTCTTTTCTATTCCATGGTTGGCAAACACTGGTCGGGATGCACTTCCAAAACTCCAGGCCGCAAACCCAAATGCTCCCCAAACCACTCTCACCACCACTTTGCACTTGACCTGTCTGAGGTTGCGCCCAGACCAGAAAATATCTGCTTCTTCCTTTTTATCCACCCAGCACAATTCTGCTCTCTGATTCCACCTGTGGCCCCAGCTGTTGCTTTGTCTGCTCCCTCACCCCTCTACTCATTGCCCACCTTCATCAGCTGGGGGTCGTCCCCCAACACGGCCCGAGTCACGTGCTGGTAATACTTCAGCAGGTCGTCTGTCAGGGCTGAGACGGCGCTGGGCACTGGAAGGATGAGAGGGAGAGATTTGTGGGGGTTGTAGCGGGTGGGGGAAAAGGAAGCAACCAACAAACAGGGTTCCTTTCAGAAACTGCAATGCGCTCCATGTGGGGCTTCCCTTGCGCTTGATCCGCAAGCTGCAAAATGCTGCAGCATAATTGCTGAGAGGCGTGAGGCCTGAGGTTTATCACCTCAGTCCGGCACAGTTCAGCAATCCATCGCTTCCTTGTCGCCTAGGCCAATGGAGCAGAAGGTCGGGGCGCTTCAACTGGCCACACAGAGCCAGGGCATTTTTCAACCCGAGGGCCACATTCCCTTCTGTGTGACCTTTCAAGGGCCATGCACCACTATTGAGCGGGTCCTAACATACCTCACAAACTTGTTTTTGCAAGGCAGAGGGGGAGGGAGAAAGACATTGATTTCACTGGAGGAAAGGTGGGGTATAAATGTAATAAACAACAAATTACAAAAAACAACAACATTAAAGCCTGGAATTCGTTTTGGGGGGCGGGGGGGGGAGAGAAGCAGGGTTGTTGTTGTTATTATTATTATTATTATTTCAAATAAATACAACTAAGCAAACTGTTCTTACCAGAGCCTTGTGGTTCCAAGTTTCCTTTCCCATCTAGGTAAGAAACATGAACTAGAAAGAGAGGAAAGAGAGAGGGTCCATGGTTTAGCTGCTCAACCCAGCCTTGGACTACTGCAATGTGCTGTGCATGGGGCTGCCCCCTTGAAGGCAACTCAGAAACTTCTATTGGTCCAAAATGCAGCAGCCAGATTACTGCCTGGGGTTCCATTTAGATCTCAAATAATTCATTGCTTGAAAACAACTTGCACCGGTTGCCAGCCCTTTTCCAGGCCCGATTCAAGGTGATTGGGTTAGTACTTTAAACCCGAAGCAACTCAGGCCCCAAATACCAAAAAGACAGCCTCCTTCCCTGCAGATCCTCTCAGGTGCTAAGGTTGGTGGAGGGGCAGAGCCATTTTGGCACCGAAGGCGAACCACAAAATGGCGGTCTCCCCTCCATCCCCCCCAGGTAAGAAGGGGTGGGGACATATCTACATTAGGAACAAAAGGGGAAGACAAGAACTACATTGGGATCTGCTGCCCCTGTGGACCCTGCTGCCTGGGGCAGGCATCTCACCCCTTTGCCCTGCACTCCCCACCCCATGAGGCCTACCTCTCACGGCTGCTTCAGCACAGCCCTTGGGGATGTTGGTGGCCAAAGCCAGCTCCACCAGGTTGACCTCACGATCCTCCTGGAAGTACAGTTCGCCGTCTTTGATGGCACGGAATGGGAGGGCGTCCTGAGAGCCATAGCCACACACCGCCTGCAACAGACTGGACACCCTCAGTCTCTCTCACACACACCCCATTTCCTAACTGGCCTGCCAACCAATTAAAAAGGACCCCTTGAAGTGGCTACTAATCTGCCTGGTTTTAGTTGATAACATGAAAGGCTTGTTGGATCAGGCCAATGGCCCATCTAGTCCAGCATCCTGTTCTCACAGTGGCCAACTGTTTTTGGGAAACCCGCAAACAGGCCCCGAGCACAAGAGCCAGATCTCCCGTCCTGTGGTTCCCAGCAAATGGTATTCATAATAAGTTTTATTTATACCCCGCCCTCCCCAGCTAAGACAGGGCTCAGGGCGGCTAACACCAGGTATAAAAACAATTGATTAAAATACAACTTAAAAACAAGATTAAAATACAACATTAAAATGCAGCCTCACTTCAGTAGAAACTCAAATCAAAAACTTTTTGGGGATGAAAACGTCAAATCTTCACCAAGGCCAACTATCCAGACTGGTCCTACGTGGGACAGGGAAGTCCCCAAATAGGAGTTCCATCACAGATGGAGAAAGGAAAAAGGAAAGAGGGGAAGGGGATCAAGTTGATTCCAAGCCAAAAGCTAGGCGGAACAACTCTGTCTTACAGGCCCTGTGGAAAGAAATCAGATCCTGCAGGGCCCTGGTCTCATGAGACAGAGCGTTCCACCAGTGTTGAAAAGGCCTTGGCTCTGGTTGAGGCTAATCTGACTTCCTTAGGGCCCGGGACCTCTAGGGTGTTGCTATTTATGGACCTTAAGGTCCTCCGCCGGGCATACCGGGAGAGGCGGTCCCAGGAGAGGGTCCTGGGCCGTGAAGGGCTCCAGAAGCATTACTGACTGCCAAGGGAGAGCACAACCACTGTGGCTAGCCATCATGGATAGCCTCCATTAATCAGTCCATGAATTTGGACATCCAATGAATCTGATGGCTGAAAGATCAAAGAAAATACTTCTCTGCACAGAACATAGTTCAGCTACGGAACTTGCTCCCACAAGAAGCAGTGACGACCAACAGCTCAGGTGGCTTTAAAAGCCATGGAGAAAAAGCTAATCAATCCATGGCTGCTACCCATGATGGTTATCCTCTGCCTCCATTGTCAGGGGCAGTAAATGCTTCTGCATACCAGCTGCTGGAAACTGCAGGACGGAAGAGGGCTCTTGTGCTTGGGTCCTACTTGAAGGTTTCCCAATAAGGCACCTGGTTGGCCACTGTGAGAACAGCATGCTGAACTAGTTGGGCCACTGACCTGATCCAACAGGAGCTTGTGTTCTTACGCTCCTTTGCATCTTACGTCCCTCCAGCCTGGGCGAAAGCAGCATCTTAAATCATTCTAACTATCAAGGAGCTTCCTGGCTTTTAGCTGCTGCCAAGAGGGAAGGTGTCCAGAGAGGGGTCCATTTGGGGCCAGCTGATTTGCCCAGTTCTCAAGACAGCCAGGCCTCCCGGGTTCACCTCGACATTGCTCCAGCGCAGGGCGCGATTGAAGTCCTCTACCGTCAGCTTTCTCCGTTTGGTGTGTTTCATGAACTGGGAACTGTTCTGAAAGCAAGAGGGAAGAACATACAAAAAGTCACATCAGATGAAGTCAGGTCCTTGGGATGTCTATCACGGTACTGTCTGCTCCAGGTGTGCCCCCTCCCCCACTGTGGACCTTCAGGCATCCTTAGACTACAACAGGTTGGGGCTGATGGGAATAGTAGTCCAAAATGACCATGCTGCCCACAACTGATGGGAGTTCAGGTCCAAAATATTTAAAGGGCACCAGGTGGAAAAAGCAAGTGAATGCACTTTCAGCATACATTGTTGGTTCCCTTGGCTTTTCTTACATACATATCTGAATTTTTAAAAATGTATAATTTTTATGTCATTGCAGGTTTGATTTCACGTTTTTCTTTTCTTTTTAAACCTAAGGAATGGGGGAAATTAGTAAAGGTAAGGGACCCCTGGGCGGTTAAGTCCAGTCAAAGGCAACTATGGGGATGCGGCGCTCATCTTGCTTTCAGGTTGAGGGAGCCGGCATTTGTCCACAGACAGCTTTCCAGGTCATGTGGCCAGCAGGACTAAACCGCTTCGAAACACCATGACAAGTGCCAGAGCACACGGAAATGCCATTTACCTTCCCGCCACAGCAGTACCTATTTATCTACTTGCACTGGTATGCTTTTGAACTGCTAAGTTGGCAGGAGCTGGGACAGAGCAACGGGAGCTCACTCCGCCATAGGGATTCGAACCGCCAACCTTCCAATCAGAAAGCCCAACTAGCTGATCAGTCACCAAAATAGTGTCCTATTGGCAAACTGGGGCTGGGAAGGAGACAGATCGTCAACAGCAGGAGAGATGGAGGGTGCAAAGCTGGCCCCCCTGTTTCCCAGAATCCTCAGGACTGGACCCACTACGACTTTCCTCACCTGAGTGGCTTCTCGCAGGCGGTAACAGACATCTTCAGCCAGGAGGGAGGCCACCTCGTCCGTCAGCTCCACCCCGGTGCTCTCAGCCATCAGCCGCACCGACTCCCGCGGGATCTCCACAAAGCGGCGCTCCTCCCTATCCGACATGGCTGTGGCAGCTGGACAGGTAAACGGGCTTCACTGAGGCCTACATTAAAGAGAGGTTGAGCATGAGGCGAGAGAGACAGTGGGGGTGTAGTGGTTGGTGCCAGACTAGGACCTAGGAGACCAGGGTTCAATCCCCACTTGGCCTGGAAGTTCACTCGGGTAATCTTGAGCCAGTAATTGCATCTCAGCCTAACCTACCTCATGGGGTTGTTGTGAGGATTAAATGGGGAGGGGGGATTTTATTTATTTATTCGATTTCGCACAATTTATACACTGCTTGACTGTAATGGAAACCTCAAAGAAGTTTACAAAAAAGAGTAAAATTCAAGATAAATTTACAATAGTTTAAAAACATACAAAAAGTTAAAACAAATTGAAATTCACATTAGCATTTCTAAGCATCTGGGAAGGGTTAGAATGCTTTTGGCAGGCACCAAAAAGAATACAGTGAAGGTGTCTGTTTGGTATCAGTAGGAAGGCAGTTCTAAAAGGTAAGTGCTGCCACACAAAAAGATCAAGTTCTTAGAAAGGCCGGACAGGTATTATGTGGCACTTGTAATAGTGCCCATTTTGCCAAGCAAAGAAGTCAAGTGGGTATATATAGGGAATATGAATGTGGCCTTTGTCTGACAGCCTATGTACTGACAATGTGATCTATGACTCTATCTTTTTTAGTTATTTTTATTTCATAAAGTGTATCTGCTGCTTGATTGTAGAAGAACCTTCAGAGTGGTTTACTAAAAGGAATCTATTATGCACCTATATGGTCCCAGGTTCAACTCTCAAAGGCATCTCCAAGAAGGGCTGGGTTGAGATTTCTTGAATGAAACCCCTGACAGCTGCTGCCAGTCAGTGTAACAGACAATTCTGAACAATCTGACTTGGTATAAGGCAGCTTCTGACCTCCTAACACCTTGCGCAATTTTAATCTGGCCAGTGTCTACAGTAGAACTGCATCTGGGAACTACCTGAGCTCCACCACAGAAGCAAAAGGAGTGGGGGGGGACCTCAATAATAATAATAATAATAATTTGGGGTCTTAGGTTACAGGCTACGTATGGTATGAAGGCACACCAGGCCGCCATCATTCTTCCACCTAAGCAGGGCATGGTCTATTTACTGCCTGATTGTGAAATGGAGACCCTACCATGTGATCCACATCTACAATGCTGTGAGTGGCAGGAAAGGAGGAAGGTGAGATGTAATGTATTGTAACCGACGGGGTGAGCTCCCGTTGCTCGGTCCTTGCTCCTGCCAACCTAGCAGTTCGAAAGTACATCAAAGTGCAAGTAGATAAATAGGTACTGCTCTGGCAGGAAGGTGAACGGCGTTTCCGTGTGCTGCTCTGGTTCTCCAGAAGCGGCTTAGTCATGCTGGCCACATTACCCGGAAGCTGTATGCTGGCTCCCTCGGCCAATAAAGTGAGATGAGCGCCGCAACCCCAGAATCGGTCACGACTGGAACTAATGGTCAGGGGTCCCTTTACCTTTACCTAACCGAATCTGGGACCTTCAGTACAAAAGAAGAGCCTGCTGGATCAGGCCAGTGGCTCATCTACTCCAGCATCCTGTTCTCTCAGGGGGCAACCAGATGCCTGTAGGAAACAGGCTAGCCAGCTCTTTCCCTTACTGTGGCTTCCAGCAACTGGTATTCACAAGCATCTATGGCATAGCCATTGTGGCTAGTAGTCACTGATAGCTTTATATTCTATGACCTTAGTGTGTAATAAATGAACCATTCGATTAATACTACTACTATAAATAGTGCCACCACCAGCAAAAGAAAAAAAAACACAACAGCAATAATTGTAAGGGAATAAAACAAACCTCTCCATTATCTCCCGCCTTCCAGTCGCCATTGCCAAGCTCCCTCTTCCCGCCCCCCGGCCCGCCCCCAGCCCCATAGGGGTAAACGTTCATTCAAAATTGGGAAGAGATATTGGAAGGAAAGGAGAGCTGGATCCTTGAGAGGATGCACAAAGAGTTTCTTTACAAATCTGTACAGCATGAGACGCTTGATCACAGGGTCGTGAGTTCGAGCCCCACGTGCAGCAAAGGATTCCCGAATTGCAGGGAGTTGGACTAGATGACCCTCGGGGTCCCTTCCAGCTCTACACTTCTATGATTCCATAATTGCATGCGGGGAGGGGGGGAGGAATGGGAGCAACCTTAGAGCCGCCGCCCGGACAATAGAAAGCGGCAAGCGAAGTGGAAAGAAGTTACCTGCTTCCCAGCTCCAAGACCTCTGCCTTCTCCAACCACGCCTTTCTTTGTGGCTCAGCCAATCAGCAGCAGCAGCTCGGCGAGAAGCAGGGCCACGCAGCTCACCAGAGCTCCTATTGGCCCCGCTGTCGCAGTGCCTCGTCGCCACGGTACGAAGTAAGGGCAGAAGCCGCCGGTGTTGCCAGAATCCCGTCATGTGACAGAGCGAGGTCAGCCGCTTAAAGGGGCAGCAACTCTGAAGCAGCCGCGTTTAAGCAACGGAATTTTGTTGCGGCGACTCGTATAGTTAATTCTGACATGAGCTTAGCTACATAGATGCATGAAGTTGGTAGGTATATGGAGCATACGAGGTGCAAAGGGATGGGAGGGAGTTATAATTAATGGGTTGAGTTCAACTCACAGAGTAGACCCATTGAAATGAATGGATCTTAGTTATGTCCATCATTTCAGTGAGCCTACTCTGAGTAGCACTATCATTGGATCCAACCCAGTGGGGCCAAGCAAGCATGAAATTGTAATGGGACAATTCAAATACAGCTGCACGAATGTAGCTACACAGCATGCATTTAAAGCACATTCAGTGCATGTTTAAAGCACGTGACCCAAGGAATCCTGGGAGCTTTAGTTTCCCCACCAGAGAGCCAGGATTCCAAGCACCTGTAACAGACTACAGTTCCCAGGATTCTTTGGGGGAAACCATGTACTTTAAATGTGCACTAGGTGTGCTTTTAATGTATGGTTTGGGTATGCCCACAGTGATCAACCTCGGATGACTGTTACACCAGTTGCTGCTGTTGTGATTGGCCATGGTTTTGTAGTTGCATTGATTTACATTTCAGTGGAATTGCCAGACTGTCCCACTTGCATTTCATCGCCCTTTACAACACACACACACACACACACACACACATATATATATACACACACACACACACACACACACAGACTACCTGTTATCGGAGGATAGTACTTCACACACCTGACGAAGAGGACTCTAGCTCACAAAAGCTTGTGTCAGAACAAATATTGGTGGAATCTTTGAGGTACAAGACTTTGGTCACATTCATACCATACATTTAAAGGGCTTTGAGACCGCTTGAAACAGTCATGGCTTCCCCCAAAGAATCCTGGGAGCTGTAGTCTATTAACAGTACTGTGGTGGGTGAAAGCCATTGGAATTAGCACAGAGCTTGCTGGCACTGAAGTCCTTTTGGAAATCGCCTCCGATCCTGCTTGTACAGGCCTGTCACTGATTCATAGGCTTGTGACCCAGGTGGAACACCAGGCAATGAGACTTGCAAGGAAATGACATCCTCTTCAAGTAGGAATTTACAAAGAGGCTTCTGGTGCATGAGCTAGCTCCACCCTAGACATAGGCCAACAGGCTGACCACCAGCACCCCCAAGCCAACAGCTGACAGCAATGTGAAGGGCCTTAGGCACACCTGAATCTATGTATGTAGGGCACCCTTGGTGGGGCCACAAGTCCTGGTCAACCAGCATCTATGTCCCTAGGGTGGGTGAGACAATGTTACTGTAGCACCTCTGTGAGTTCACCTCTATACTGGTGGGTCTTTAGCAAGAGATGTACAGTTGTGGTGGGAGTGTGATAAGCTTATTGGGGTTTGGCAAAACATTTTTGAGGTTGTTTCCCAATATTATTGGTCAAATCATTGAACCCAAACCACGTCATTGGGTGCCCCTCCCCTTATACATAAGGACCCAACTGCCATGATGTTCACCGATGTCCATTTAGAGATCACCTCCTACTGGAAAGACCCCAAAGGTTAATCTATGACAGGATTACAAGTCTGGGATCTAGCACTTTCTGAACATTTAGCGCAGCATAGAAGCGTCATTCAAAGCCAAACCAAACACAATCATTTTGACAAGATCTAGTTCCTGTATATAAGCTATGTAAATATAAGTGATGTTGATGTCAGACCTCCAGCCACTTATGGAGAGGCTATGTTCGAGAACTGAAGCCCTGGAAATGCATTCAGTGATTCAGTTATTTGAGTGCCCCTGCTCAATTTTCTAGTGGGGCCCACCACAGAGTGGCAAAACACTGTGACAAGTCTACGCACCTCTCTATGACCCACTGGGAGGGACAAAATACTTAGTCCTGTTTTACAGCAATCTTGAAGTCTCATATTTGTGAAGACTGAGGCCCAGCGGTTCCTTCTGAACTGGAAGATGGTGGAAGAGGGTAGCTGCTCTCTAGGCAAGGCTATGTTTTAGAACAATCCTTTCGCACCCAAATACGCATTCTTCCCCTTAACACTTCCCAACCAGTCTACATCAACAGGTCTGTCTTTTTATTTCCTTTTGTAAAAAATTGACATAAATAGAGTCACAAGCAGTGGTTGAAGCACACCCAACACTCAGTGCCCATGAGCCAGGCTTGTGATGGGGAGACAGAATTGCTCCTTAGGGAGGAGGAAGACAGCCCCTCTCCGTTGCCTTGTAGTCACTGGGGGTGTTCAGCTCTTGATGGTGCTGTTGATATAGGATTCCAAAATGAATATGGTCTCATCCACCTGGTTCTCACTTGCATCAATCCTTTGTTAAAAGGGGAGAAATATGAATATATATATATATATATTATTCCAGCTACATTATATGTCAGTTTTGATTACTCAGTTAAGAATATGTTAATAAACTAAACATGGTACTTGATTAAAACCAGTTAACAACTAAACTTTTTTTTAAAAAAACCCAAGTACTTTGAAAACTGCAGATGGCAAGTGACATTTTAGAAGTGGTCTATTCTCATTTGTGTGAGAAAGAGAGAGAAGGTGGGGTGTGCTTCCTTACCCTGATAGCTGCTGTGACACTTGAGTATCACTTTTACTAAGAAAAGTAATCAGGTGACAATATTGATCTTATATGTCAGATACACACAGGGAGGGGTGTGTGAGAGAAAACATTTAAGTTTCCCCAAGAAGCAATTTGATAGGGCAATTTGATAAATCCACATTATTAGCCCTGTGGTGTGGTTTAAGAAGAAAAAAGTAGACACGCTCACTCTCTCAAAATTTATGGAAGTCATTCCACCAGATGTCCTAGAGGCAATTCTGGCCACAGAAGTGACCCTTTAAATACAACAGAGGTCATGCACTCTGATTTGGGCAGCACAAGAACCACCTGTCTGGGTGGGTTGACTGAGGGTGTGTTTACCCTCCAAATTTCCTCTTTCCTGTAGTGTCCAATCAGCAGCTTCTGAAAAGCCCACAAGGAAGGCATAAAGGCAACAGCCCTTCCCACCTTTCCATGTGTCCCTCAGCAACAGGTATTGAGGGGCACACTCTGAGCAGGGAGGATCTGCTGAGCAGCCCCCTGTCCAGAACGCTGTAGTCAGATCCTACACTGAGCAAATGGCTTGGACTTGATGACGTCCAAAGTCCCTTCTCTGATCCCCACCATCTGCTCCTCCTCACTTACTTGTTGACGTTGTGCTTGAGGCTCTCCAGCTGCTGCCGTTCGGGGGCTGTGATCATTTCCTCGATCTCCTGCAGCTGTGCCTCCTCTGCCCCTGAGGCCTGTATTGAGGCGAGGATGGCCTCCACTCGCTGGGATTTTTCCAGCAGACGCCTGGCACAGGACAGAAGCCACGGGTCAGACAGAACCACACCACTTCAGTTTAAGGCTGGCCAAAGATGTGGCAAGGCCCGAGGCAGAGAACCAAGACTCCTTCACAAGGCAGAATTCATGAAGTCCTCCTGGGGTGAGCCCCACTGAGACAAACTCCCATAGAAGAATTGGGGGTCCAGCTCTGCGAGTTTCCTACTTTTAACAGGCCTTTGAAAATCTGAGATTTGCAACCTGTCACACAGCACCACAAAGCTGTGACGAACGGAGGAAGAGTGACCCTGCGGAGGTGGATCTTGAGGGCTCCAACTTCTTGCCCTAACCACCCTCCTCCCCCCAGGACAACTCACTCACCGGTTCTCCTTGGTCTCATGCAGGCGTCTTTCTATCAGGTTGGCCACGCTCTGGAAGGGAGGAGGAAGAGAAAAGGACTATTGCAATCCAATTTCTCCCAGCAGATTTGTTTAAAATATATTTTTTTTAAAGGAAAGCAAGGGCAGTGAAGCCACAGGACACCCACCTTGTAACAGCGGTGGAGCAGCATCCGCGCAGATGAGAGCCTGTTCACTGTATATAGGTAGAAAGTGCGGGAAGGGGCATGATCGGGGGTCTTGGGGATTTCCTGTTTTTGAATGAGAGAACACCCACTATGTTTGCTTAATAATGAAAAGAGAACTGGAATGCTGACTTATTTATATACCTCTACAGTGGTACCTCCGGTTGTGGACGGGATCCCTTTGGGAGGCCGGATCCCGAGGTTTTCACAACCGGAGAGACCGCTTCTGTGCATGCACGTGCGGCAAAAACCCAGAAATATACTTCCGGGTTTGTCGCTTACATATCCCAAAGTTTACGTAAGCAGAGGGATACGTAAGCAGAGGTACGACTGTAATTCATAACTAAAACATCAAAGTGGTTCACAAGAACAGTACATGAAACCATATGAACTTAAAATAAAAAAGTTGTCAAGGAAATAAACAACTATCTGACTTTTAGAAGACATCTGAAGGGAGTCCTGTTTAGGGAAGTTGTTAATGTTTGATGTTTTATTCTGTTTTTCATCTGTTGGGAGCCGCCCAGAGTGGCTGGGGAAACCCAGCCGGATGGGTGGGGTATAAATAATAAATTTATTATTATTATTTATTATTATTATATTGCAGGTGGGGGGAGTGAAGCTGAGAAAGAGCATGTTCAGTGGCAGTGATGGGATTTGAGACCAATGATTCCTGATTTGCAATGCAGTCCCTTAGCCACTGGGTGGCCACTGTGAGAACAGGATGCAGGACTAGGTGGGCCACTGGTCGAATCTAGCAGGCTCTTCTTGTGCTGCTTATTTATTTAATGCATTTACAGTATGTCCTGCCTTTCTCCCAAGCTGGGATTCAAGGCGGCATCCTTATAACACCTTTATAATATACAATGCAATAAAAACAAACCAGTTGAAAGCAAGTTTCACATGAAAACACATGAAAAACACATTTAAGCCTAGCATTAAAATGCAGTTTGCCCAAAGACAGCCCAGTGGTCAGCATCACCTGCACCTTGGTTTCCAAAGGCCAATCTAAACAAGGTTTTAACCTTCCAGCAGTAGGCTAACAAGGAGGGAGCCAGTCTAGCCTCTCTCGGGAGGGAATCCTGCCATCTGGGAGCGGCCACAGCAAAGGCTTTCTCTCATGTCATCACCAACTTTGCCTCTGATGTTGATGCTCAAGCACACTACTTTCAACTTTTCTATATAGGAATCTATGGAGCCTTTCAGTGGAATAGAGGCCATAGACAAGGGGCCAAGGTGTGGGTGTACTAACTACACCTCTTTCCCGGCTCCCTTGCTCTTCGTAATGCTTGTGTCTGAGTTTTCGTCCCCATAAAATTCCATGGGAAGCACTGAGAACTGGTTTTGCTCCAACCTGTAGAACCCCACCCCTTAATCAGCGCAGCCCTGTGACACGTCTGGTTTCTTGATGATGCTAGAGTGTGACGGAACCTCAGGAACTGGTTTTCACGCTGATGAAAATAGCACACTGGGAGTTGAGAAGGGTATGCACAGGAGTTGCAATCTTGCAAAGAATTCTGCTTCCACCTTATTTCCTCAGGGCCTGGATAGTTCACAGTGCTCATCTTGACTTGCATCCAAGCAGCTCAGGTCTTCCATGGAACTTTGGTTTTGCATAATTTATTTTTCAGACCTAGATTATTCAGGACAGCCCCCCCCCCCCCCCCCCGGCAAAGGAGCATACCTGCAGGGCTACAAAGTTAGTTGATAGCATTTTGTACATCATTTCCTTTGCTTCCTTGGCAGGGATCATTGCAAAGTCTTCTATTTGCTTCTGTTCCAGATGCTTCTTCCTCAGGAGCAGGCGGAAGATGCGAGCGCAACGAGACCCGAATCTAGATCAGAGAAATAAAATGGCATAACAGGCTGGTTTTTTGCACTCTCTGAATGCATCATGCAACGCAGCATCAGGCTTCTCAGTTTGGCTTCTAACTGATGGATGCAGGGAGTCCAAAACATCTGGAGGGTACCAAGTTGTCAAAGGCTGAAAGACGTGTAGAGCTCTAACTGCGCCTAGTTTATTCCATCATTGGGACTCAATGGCTATAAGCACTTCAAGGTATTACTGAGATACAAAGAGCTCAGAATGATTTTCTTTACTAGAAAAGAAATAAGCAGTTTATTCAAAACTATGTTTTCTCTACTAGGAAACCATTAAGATAAAAGGTCAACAAATTCAGTACAGTCCACGGTTAGCATTGCTGTCAGTCATTGACAGCCTGATCTGTGCTCTGCTTATCAACATTTTTATAGTTGCTGCTTGACATTGGAAAACTGTCCTTGAGTTATCATTAACCAGATGGTCTACAAATGTATGGCAAACAGGCTTGGCTGAGAAGCTAATGTAAAACGTTGAACAAAAATAAAAATCAGATAAGACAATTTTTATACCACCATCAACACACAGGAAACCTAGGGAGACATTCTCTTAAGAAACGAGTCTTTTTATTGTAAGTCAATATAAAAACATGTACTAAGTTTATATGGTTTGTTTGCATGTAAAGGAAAAAAACAACAACTCAGGACCAGTTTACCTGTGAGATCGCTGTACCCCATGTATGCCCACATGACCGCTTTGGTCTGTGAAACTAGCACCAGTATAGGTGCCACATAATACCATTCCTCATCTGTAAGAAATCAATCTTTTAGTGTGGCAGCACCCACTTTGGAACTCTCTGCCTATTAACATCAGGCAGGCAATTTCACTGTACTCTGTTTGGTGTTTGCCAAACCCATTTTTGTTTAGACAAGCCTACCCAGAGATGCAGAATGTCATGTGCATTTTAGTCTGTTTTTATCTTAATGTTTTTTAATTAATTTAAATCATTGTTTTTAAACTGCTTTTACCGATAAGCTTATTCTTTTCGTAAACCGCCTCGAGCTTGCTTTAAAACAATCAATCTGTATATACCGTAATTCTTATGAAACAAATGAATGGGATGTTTTGGTTGCACCCTGCTGGCAGGAGGAAATAGCACATTGCTTTTACCACTGCGACTAAAGATGTCTGCAGCAGGCACAAGGAGCCGGCCTCTTGTTACATTTCTGGCTTGAGGCAGGCCTGCATGCAAGATAACACTGCAAATACATTAAGCCAATGAGCTCTGACATGCCTGCTATCTTGACTCAAAGCAAGTTTTCAACTCCTGCATCTCCAAACAGGCAGGCTCCCCATTACCTTTCCTGAACTATTGATTCCAGCGTTGCGGTGGCCAGAGACGCCAGGGCCTTATGAAGGTCTGTTTGAGGGAAGGTTAGGGGAAAATGTCAGAGAGAGTTCAATTTTAGTACGCAACAAGTGGTTTGCCCCTCACCTCCTTCTAACTGACTGACGGGAGTTTCAGTTTGGGTGGTTAACTTGGGAGGCACCTTCTAGGCTCTCCGATGATGCGAAGACACATCAGGGCCACCTGCTAACCTGCAAGATTCAGGACAGATAAAGGAAAAGTCCATCTTCATGCAGCAAATGGTTAAACTATGGCTCCCACAGGAGGCAATGATGGCCACTGACTTGGATGGGCAAATTCATAGAGGACAACAAGGCCATCAATGGCTACAAGCCAAAATGGCCAGAGACAGTGATGCTCCATCCAGTGGCCAACCAGATGCCTGTGGGAAACCTGCAAGCCGGACCTGAGCCCAAGAGCACACTCTCCTCTTGCCGTTTCCAGCAACTTTTATTCAGAAGCACTGCTGCCTCTGACCATGCAGGCCCAGCTTGTTTTGCCCCTGGCCATTTTCTCTCAGTTTTTCTCTTTGGATAAACTGAGTGAGAAAATGTGGGGTAGGGAGAAGAGAAGAGCAGAGAACCAACCTTTCCCTTGGTTCTTTCCTCACTTGAGAGGACATTGGCTGCTCCAAGGTCTAGGCTGTAACAGGTTCCTTAAAATTCACCAGTCCCTCTTTAAGAGACGTGAGAGAAGCATCTCTTTAAGGCATTCGGTGGCTGAGGTGAAGAACAGGTGGGCTGTGCAGGGTCCAAGGATTGGTTGCTCTTTGCCCTAGTGCCGCAGCTGGGATCAGCACTGTGAAGGAGCTCCTGTGGGCTGCTTTGGCTCCTGCCCCCCCTCTACCTGTTCTCTCTTCCTCTGGGCCCCACAATCCATTTGCTAGGTAAGTGAGCTGCTATCTCTGGCTTCTGCTGCATCTCCCCCAGGTTGGCTGAGCTGAGCCCGTGTAGCAGCTGGCACCCCACAATGGGCGGGCTGGAATGTGCTCTTCATGTACACAAGTACACGTGTTCAGGATAGAAGTGCAGGCACACCCTCCTAACAACTAGCACAGCTTGCCCTCAAACACGAAACCAGTCCTCATGATACAGCCAAGTCAAAAAGGATACTGATGACGTACATTCCTCCGCCACTCTCCCCCGACTTGCCAACAAACTCCAGCTGTGGGGAGATTAAAGGATTGAACCAGACAAGGTTTTATTATCAGAAAAAGGAAGTAAAAAAGAAAAGAAAAAGAGCATGCCATTTCAAAGGCACTGTTCCAAATGAGAATAATAATCCAGAAGAGGACTTTCTTACCGGATCATCTGCTAATAGAGTGAGGTACTGATCGAGAATCTGTTTGGAGATGTTGTAACCAGCCGGAAGCGACCGGAATATCTTTAAAAAAACAAATCAGAAGTCCAGTGTTGTAGCTATCCTGTGACTTCTTACAGACTTTAAACTATTACTGAACATAACCAGAGAGCGGATGACCTACAAGAGGTTCTTTACAGAACAATGTATTTTAATGAATAGTGTGGTTTCCATTTATAACCTTCATAACCAACAAAAGTGTATTACACAAACCTGAAATGACTCATGTTAGCTATAGAGGGGATATTTGCCTTCCCCTTGAAGAATTCTCCTCTTGCCTGGCCTAGACACGTTTCAGACTGTCCCCTTCCCTAACCAATTGATTTGTTGTTGTTGCGGATGGCTCCTAAGCTGATGTAAGTTCTGATGTAAACTCTGACCCATCTCTCCATAATTATTTCTTAGTATTGATATAGAACCTCTGCATTGCACTCTGTCACAGTTATAGTTATGGTTTTAAAGTCTCTTTTTATTTGATCTATACATTTTATTTACTTTTTACAGCTTTATTTTCTAAACCTATATAACAGTGTGCATAAATATACAGCCATTAATCTATAATACCATTATTCCAGAACAAGTAGTATAGAAGTCCTATGAAAACCAGTGGAAAACGTGGAGTATATTTAGCCTGGAAAAAATTAAAAAGGGGGGGGGGGGAGACAGGATGAAGACATGATACCAGGCTTGAAATATCTGAAGGGCTGTCATGTTGTTGGTGGAGCAGGCTAGCTCTTTGATACTTCAAAGGGAAAAATGAGAAATAGAGCCAGGAACTGAAGGGAAGCAGATTTTGACAAAATCTCCTAACAGTAAGAGCTATTAGGCAAGAGAACAGCCTTTCTTGGGAGGCACAGGCTCTGTGCTGCTGGGTTGTTGTTTTTAAGCAGAAGCTGGGCAGCCATCTGCCAGGTGTGCAGTTGCTGGAAGATCCCATCACTGAGCAGAGGGTTAGGCTAGATTACCTCCCCAAGGTCATCTTCCAGCTCTACGATTACATAAAACGAAGAAAGAAATGCCAAACAACTCACAAAAGCTCTCTCCTGCTCTCTCTTAATGTTTTGTGGGGCATAATCTGTTGCTCTTTTGGCAGGAAAATGAATGCATTATATCCTTTTGAGATGTTAAGATTCAGTACGATTTGTATTGTATTTGCGCTGATATGTTTGTATTTGCATTTGTAATTTTTTATGAGCTGTTCTGGGGGCCTTTTTTTGGCTGAAAGATGGCATATAAATAAATAACAATATCACATACCAAGGCAAGCCATGTGCCCCTGGCAAAAACGAGCCATCCCCTCTCTAGTAGCTACTCCGACCTGGGGAAAGGACAGCAATGAAATCCTGACTGAACCTCCAGTCATGGCAGGCATGAGCCACTCTATTAGAGGGGTTTATTACAGGGGGTCAGTGACCTCTTTAGGGCAAGGGCTGCCTTGCCTCTGGTGCCATCCTTCCAGGAACTGCACACCAATGGTGGGAGGGACCCAAATGAAAGTGGGTGTGGCAAAAAGGGATCAAGGTCAGAGCTGGAAGGCAGGGCCACCCCACAAGTACACAGAGCACACATGCCCACACACTCCACACGTACACTGAACACGTGCCTTACACACATGCTTTCATACACATCTGTCAACAAGTCCCAAGTAGCTGCTCACCTCGTTGGAAGACAGGGGCATGGTGTACGGCGCGTTGGAAGAGGTTGTGACTTCACTCATTCGCAGCATCGTCCGCACAATTTCACTGCTGGTCTGTCGGAAAGGGAGGAGACAGAGGCAGAACTCTTAGGGAAGTCCTTGTTTTGTGCATAGACTGTAAAATGTAGGTGGGAGCTTGCATGATTAAAAAGCTCTGCCATACCAAAATCAAGTAATAAATCCCTGCACGTAGAAAACCAGTATGCCAAGGAAAAGGGAAAAGCTAAAACTCTTCTTTGATAAACTAAAAACTGGCCAGGGGAGGAAATGCCAAAGCAGAGGAAACAGCCTCCAGTAAGAACGTAAGGACTTACTGTATGACAAGCCTGCTGGATGAGCCCAGTGGCCCTTCCAGTCCAGCATGCTGTTCTCATGGTGGCCACCCAGAAAATCCACAAGCAGGACCCGAGCACAAGAGCTCTCTCCCCTACTGTGGTTTCCAGCAATGGGTATTCAGGAGTATTACTGTCTCCGAGTATTGAGGCAGAGAATAACCATCATGGCTAGTTGTCATTGATAGCCCTTTCCTCCATGAATTGTTCTAATCCTCTTTTAAAGCCATCCAATGGCCATAACTGCCTCCTGTGTGGGCAAGTTCTACAGCAGGGGGCTGGTACACTGTCCCTCAGACCTTGTGGGGGGCCAGACTATATTGGGGGAGGGGGAGAATGAATGAGGGACGATGAGTGGCACATGAAAGGGCTTCAGAGAGGGGCTGCTTTAAATAGCGGCCATTCGAGAGGGGCACTCAGCCAACCGCGGCTCCTGTGTCTTGCAAGCGGCAGGGGCTGGTGGCACGATGAGCGGCACACGACTCCGGAGAGGGGCTGGCACCAACAAAGCCCAGCCCCCTTCCTCCTCTAGGCAGGGCAAGGAGAAGCAGGTATGAGGGAGAGGGAAAAGCATGCGCAATGGCAATCCACGCGGCGATTCCCGGACCGTCCGCAGGCTGGATTTAGAAGGCAATTGGGCCTGATCTGGCCCGCAGGCCTTAGTGTGCTGACCCATGTTCTACAATTTAACTATGTGCCACATTAAGAAGTGTTTTCTTTTATCTGCCCTGAAACTTCCAACATTCAGCTTCACTGGATGCCCACAAGTTCTGGTTTTATGCAAGAGGGTGTATAACTTTTCTCTGTCCACTTTCTCCATGCCATGCATAATTTTATAAACTTCTATCGGGTCTCCTCTTACTCGCCTGTTCTCTAAACGAGAAATTCTCCAATGCTACAACCCTTCTTCATAGAAGGGTCACTCTATCCCCTTCATCATTTTGGCTGCCCGTTTCTGAAACTTTTCTATCTCTAGAATATCCTTTCTGAGGTGGGGCAACCAGAACTGTACACAGTATCCCAAATGTGGCTACACCATATATTAGTCTAATGACATAGACCCCCCACAAGAAGGAAAGCAACACACCTGGTCCATTCTGTTGGCCACAGCGCTGACAATGGCTTGATCTCGGAAGTGCTGGTGGAAACGGTCAATGTTGACTTGCCAGTAGATTCCATCATCTGATGGAGACTGAGAAGTGTTGATTGGGAGAAAGCGGGAAGCAGGTGTTACCCTGTGTATCAAATTGCACTACTGGGTGTGCTACTTGTACCCCTAGCATACTCCAACCAAAATTCTGTCACCACAAACACTAAATCCTGCAACTTGCATATATTATGCTAATAGAGCAAGTGTGCAGAAACTTCATTTGCATGATTTATTTTGCTTTAAAAACAAGTAAATCCACGATTCCTTTCGCTGCACTGGGAGGGAAAAATCATGTTGGCTGCTTCCTCTATGGCTTCAGGAGACAAAGCCCACATGCCATTGAGCTGATCTGCACAGCTATAATGACCAGCAAGACAAGACTTGGGGTGGGGGTGGGGAGAGATAAAGAAATAAATGAAATAACCAGGACAACTGCAGTACACTTTCGGTGCTAAAGGTAATAAAACCAAGGGTTGCAACCAATGATAGTCCTACTTTGAGTAGATACATTAATGAACATGAGTAACTTAGGTCCATTATTCTCAATAGGTCTATTCTGAATTGAACTTACGTTGATTACAACCTCAAATGATGTTAGTGTTACTCTTAATTTACATGGGGCACACCCTGCCATGAAATCAAGCCTTATCATGCCCTAAACGTGGGTAGGATCTACCCTCCAACTACTGCCAAGGCACCACACGTCCACCCCCCCTGTTCTGCCTCACAATATATATTAAGACTGCTCACCTCCTCCAAACCCATCATTTAGATATTACAGTCAGTAGAGCACGAGGCTCTTAATTTCAGGGTCGTGGGCTTGAGCCCCATGTTTGGCTAAAGATTCCTACATTGCAAGGGGTTGGACTAGGTGACCCTCGTGGTCCTTTCCAACTGTACAATTCTATGATGCTATGATTAAAACCAATGGGAGATTTGCTCTTCCTTTCAAGGTGATGGAGAAAGCTAAATTTCCAGTACCCGTTCATGAAGGGATGCACTACCCAGCTCAGCTGCCTCTTTACCTCATTGTTGTCTGCCTCCTGCTTTTGTCGTTTCGCTTTGCGTTCTCCATTGTCTTGGCCGTTGTCGGAGTGCCTCCTCTTCCCCTTCCCTGATGGCCAAAAGAAAGGTCTGCACTTTGAGTAGCAATAAGGGTGCAGTCTGCCAAAGCCCACCTTTTTATAGCTGCTCAGCCTTCATCTTCCATCAATGATCATGCTTTGTAAGCATGATACGCTATCTATTTCTCTCAGGGCAAATCCACAGATGTTTTCATATGATTTAACAATCAAACCATTATCATTGGGAACCCAAGAATTGTGGTTTGAAAGGGTGTGAGGAGAGAAAAGCAAGGACAAACACTTTTCAGCATCACAAGCTACAATTCCCAAGGGTTTCTTTTTGGGTGGCGGCGGCAAGGGGATGAATTAAGATGGCATAAAACCAACTGTAGACAGGACCACCATTTCCTTTCTCTCCTGAAACCACCTGAAATGAGCTTTGCTGAGCCTAGACATCTTTGCTGTTTAGGAAAATAGCTTTGAGACATTGCTTACCAGTCGCCAGCCAATGCTGCACATCATCTATGACGATGCAGTTTTACAAGGATTAATGAAATGATCATGGGGCCTCCGAGTTGTTTCCTCACCTATGAGATTCAGTTTTGGAACCACATACATATCCTTTTCGTTAAGCTGCAATGTGGGCACAGGAGGAGGTGGGCCATCAGAAGGCTCTGGACCTTCAGGGACTGATGGGCATCTCTGAACAAAGTGGGTGTCTGCCAGGCGTACAAACGTGCTCGAGACTTCACTGTACTCCATTGTTTTACCATCTGAAGAAAAGGAAACAAACCCTTGACTCAGACCTTAGTTCCAGGCTCCACCCAAAAGTGCTTTTCCAGGGCTGAGCCCCACCTTAAATTCAGCTCACCTTCCATTGTTTCTGTCAGCCGGTCAGCCACCTTCTTCACTGTGGCGCTCATGGACATCTTGCCATTGAGCAGCAGCTCCTCCACGATCAGCTCACCCGTGTCACTATAAAGGGTCTTGGCAGTGTAGATATAGCGGGGGTAGCGGAGGATCCGCAGCACTCGGCTGCACTGGGCTTCATACTCCACCAGGCCTCGCTTCTGCAGCTCATACGTCACCAAGTTGTGCTGGATCAGGACACAGAGTGCCTTCCGAACCTGTGCAGATGGGAGAAAAGCACGGTGTATATATGGAGATCTGCAGACCCTACCCAACCCCAGTCCAGAGCACAGCATTCAATTTTGAGCAAAACAGTGTGAAAAGGATTCAAAGAGTCAGAATGAACCTTATGGATCATCCAGAGAAATCCTTTGCCAGGAACAGCAGTATTTATAATGCACCCCTTTGCCCACTTACAACACCCCTCTGAGGTGGAAGAAGTTAACAGGCCTTAAGTCATGCAGGGACCTTCATGGCCAAGCAGGGATTTGAACCTGGGTCTCCCTGACTTAAGGCCAAAACTCTATGGTTCTCTAGTGCAAAGCCATTATTCATGTAACAGCCTTTCTTCTGCATCAGTGCCATCTACCACTACGCATACCTGGTCAAGTGACATCCCAGTGTCATGAGCTATCATCCGTAATGGCTGGCTACCCATGCGAATGAGGTGCGTCCCAATCTTTTCTACGATCTCACCAAAATGTTCAGAGAGCAAGAGGGAAGAGAGCTTGATTTCTGCCTGGGTCATCTTGCAGGAATATATCTGTCTGGCCCTCTGTAAGACAAGAATGTATCCACACAAGTCAGCACAAGCACAAATGGACATTTTACTGTGGTCGTAATGGCTAGAGATGTGAAGGCAAGGATAAGATGAACAAAAGAATCCCCCCAGTCTCTGCATGGGGTATTCACATTTTTACAGCTAATCCACCGTGAGAGCCAATATACACATTCAGCAGATTCAAGTACTAATGCTTTTCCTGAACTGTGTTGGAGGTAGGAAGTGGAGACTGCTTGCTTGAACACCTCTTGTAGAAAATAAATCCCCTGCTCCTTTTAATCTTTTACTGTGCAAGTCTGTAAACCTCATTAACACTGACAACACATCCGCACAATGGTTTTGGTTTTTTTAATGCACCCCACACAAAACACCACACGTGGTGTTTTTACAGAATAGCAATGGGCGTCGGTGCTGAGAAGCTTACGATTGTGAATTTGACACAAGAGGAAAGGGCACGAGATCAAGGCGAGGGTTCAAGAAGGGGGAAATGCACATCCGGTTAAGTTTCACATTCTTGAAGTTACCTGGTCTACCGTGTAATAATAACAACAAGGCTTGTTCTTCCATATGCTTGGCCATTCCCTGATGAACCCAGGAGACCCCAGCTGACCCCCTATATCGACCCCGCCGCCTTGGACCAGAAAGACGACCAAGTCCAGCCGCTCCCTCCCCTGATGAACCCAGGAGTCCTGGCTCCCAGCTCTCCTCCTCCCTACGTGGCCCCCACCGACTCAACACCCCCGTGGCCGCGGATCCAAGAGTCCTCCCTCCCCTCTACCTACCCGAATGGACTCTCTTTACACCCGAGCCCGTAACCTTCGGGTCAGAGGGCGGCCCGTTTTCCCTACTCGACTAGGCCTCCGCCTCCCTTTCCATGGCGGCAACCATGGCAACCACGCTCCGCCGGACCCTTCGCTATGCCCGGGGAACCACATCCGGTACCCAGCAGTCCTGACGCCCCGCCCCCTTTAAAAAAAAAACTTCTCCTAGGTTTCCGCTGCCAAGGCTTGGGAGGAGAAGGAGAAAGAGGGAAGTGAAGTGTGGAAGTGTGGCGGCTAGAGCGTCCCCTCGGCGTTCCACAGTGTTCCGCTCTAGGCCTCGAGTCCTCCGTGTGGTCTGTGGCGGCGGAGCGTTGCTGGTTCAGGAGGACTGACGGCAGCGGCGACGACGACGACGGCGGCGGAGGGGGAGGGGAAGCAAAATGGCGGAGGCGTCGGCGGCTGCGGCGGCCGCCGTCTCCCAGCACCGCTTTTTCTGCCACAGCTGCAAGGGGGAAGTCAGCCCCAAACTGCCGGTAAGGGAGAGGCCGGGGCGGGTCTGTCTGAATATGCCCCCCCTTCCCTGTCTTTGAAATAACCACAAGCGGGCGGGGTGGGGGGGAGGGGAGAGGGAGAGAGTTAGGTTAATTCGAGAGGGGGCCCAGGACTCCAGGGTCCATTCTTGGGACGGGGTGGGGAGGTGACGTTGCTGAGGCCAGGATTCCTGGGTTCATCCTTTGAAAAGTGTGGGGGGGGGGGAGGGACGATTCAGGCCAGGACTCCTGAGTCCATCTTTGGGAGGGGGAGGGGGAAGGGATTTGAGGCCAGGACTTGTTGCTTCATCTTTCTGACTGGGGGGTGTCTGGGTTCCTTGGGTCCTTTTCTCAGACTGATTGTGGAGCCTAAGGAGTTAACAACATGATCCTGTACCTTGTCATCTCAGGCCTAACCCTCATTGAATTCAACGAGACTAGACTCTGGGGGTCATGTTTATTCGATTTGCAGCATCTACGTAGTATGGTGGTTTTGTTTTTCTGAACAGAGTCTCGGTGTTCTCCTGCCACAATATGAAAGGGCAGGGATCTGATTGGAAGGGTGGGGGCGGGGACAGGAGAGAGAAGGCCCCGTCCTACTTCCATTCACCACCAGTAATAGGAATGGTAAGGGATTTTAGGTTTTGAACCCCATATGCAACTTGAATCCAAGTGAAGTGGGTGGTGGGGTTCAGACAGACCACAAGGTCCTATTATCCTTTGCTCTCAAATGTATTGTGTGAGGGTGGTAGTGGTGGTAATAGATTTGTTATTGCTGCTACTACTACAAAAGAGAATTGGCTTCTGTTCCTTCCCACCTTGACCAACACCAAGGTCTGGAGAAGGCAAAAGTGTATCTGGGGAACTTGTGCCCTGTGCTGAGGGTAGAGGGCAGAGGGAAATCAGGGCACAGACGACACTCAACTGTTAAGCCAAAATCACATATAGGCAAAACACGTTGGGTTCAATGTTGGGTTCCTAGATGCCCACCCCCTTTTCACCTCCTTTTTATTTATTTATTTAAAAACTGCTGAGTGTATAAAGCTGAAGTGGCAGGTTACCTGCATTATGTTGCCCATATACAGAGTTCTGAGGCTGAAAGTATGGGTGGAGGCTGCAAGGAGTTGTAGGGTTTGCTCATACCTGCACATCCCTTTCCCCCTTTCAGTGATCAGTTACTCGACAGTGCAAGCCAGGGAATGGGGTCATTTTTCCTCCTGCCTCCAATATTATTTTCCTTTCTAAAAGGGTTGTTGGGGACTCTTGGCAACAGAAATGGTGTGTGAAACAAGGTGGAAAAAATCTGGAGTTCTCCTGGGTCTATAAATTGGGAGGCTGATGGAGAATGGTACGGGGCCATGGGTCCACCCACTGGAGCCAAGAGACAGAAGGGACCAATGTCAAGGTTTTGACTCCAATTTAGGAAAGAACAGATATGGAAGCAAATGCAATTGCATTCCATCATCTTCTCAGTCCTCTTCAAAAGACAGGTAAACTATCTTGTGGGAAGCGGGATGAGGGAAAGGGACAGAAAAGTGGAACTATCACTCTTCCTCTAGAGAAGAATAAGAAGAGAAAGCAAAACAGAACACTGTTTATCTTGCCCCATCACAAGGGCAAGAGGTAGGCAGGGTTGGAAAGTCCCAGGTTCCTGGTTACACAGAGATCTAAAAAGTAGTGCCAGCACTTGGGCATTTTAAATTACCGGTAGTTCCCCCTCTTCTGAGAAGGCAAATGCCTTTTTTAAAAAAAGTAAATGCAAAAAAAGTATACATCAAATTAAAAACCATTCCCCGATGAAGTCTTAGCTGTTCAGTTACAATATCCTCAAGCTTGGAATTTGGTGAGTGAATTTTTTAGCGTGGTTCTTGTATCTAGCCAACCTCTCAATCAGAATTGATGTTGTTCACTGATTTGATTTCCTGTGGTGATTGATAATTGCATGTAGGCAACCAGGCAATTCTCTATTCCTTCTGGCCTGAAAAGGCTACTGATGCTCAAAGGTTAGATGGAAGGTGAAGAGTGCCTAGTGTGCAGCTGTGTTTAATCCAGAACTGGAGCCTGATCATTGTCTGCCTTCAAGCAAAATTAACACCCCTCTATGCTACTTTCAGAATGTAGCTAGGTCTTAACCAATATGTGACTGCCTCCTTATGCAAGGTGAAGAACAGCTGCCATTAGCAGTGGAGTCATTCCATTAACGCAGGATATCCATAGATGTGTTGCAGGTTATCTATAGCTGTGTCCTGGCTTCTGGGAGCGTGGTGGAGAGACAGCATGTGGGGTGTTCCTGTGAGCTTCTGTCTGCAGAATTGAGAGGCCAGCGCTTTGCTTTCCCAGTTGGCATGGTATGGGGGAGGAGGTGTCTAAACTCCTGTCTTGCAGGAAGATATTTAAAAGGTTGGCTTCAGTTTGGTAGAGTACAAACTTGTTTGGCTGTTTATTTGAAACATTTCTATGCCACATATGAAAAGAAATTTAATTGTGTTTTTAATTGTTTCCAAAAGTGAAATAATATTTAAACAATTTAAAATGGAGAAATTGGTATCACAGAGAACAGGGTAGAAGGGTACAGCGCTCCTGGGCAAGGAAAGCCCCCCAGACAATTAAGTGTCTTCTGAAGGGTATTCCAGAGGGTAGTCGGCACCATGGAGAAAACCTGCTTCTCTACTGCCTCCAGATAACACTTTTCAGGTCATGGCATTCTCATAAGGCCTTCTCTGATTATCTACCAGGCCTGTATAGAGGAAGGTAGGCATTTTAGCACAAGAGACTCTGTGAAATGTACTGCATCACTGATGCATGCTGTGGGACCATGTTACAGAGACCCGTCTGTTTTGGATGCTTCCTTGGCTGCTGGACTCAATAAGCCTTGGGTTTCTGCCAGCTGCTTTTGACTGTAAAAACACGATCATGCCTGGTACCCTATAGTATGCTGTCAGTGGACTGTGTTTGCCTTCATGGATCATGAGTTGTGCAGACATGTTCTATAAATAATGGCTGTCAATAGGTTCTCCCCCAAGCCTCTGCAATGCAAATGGGCAGAATGCAAGATTTTTATGTGGGTGTTTGACGCAGATGAATATGACACTCCTTTCTGGGAGGATTGTAAACTGGGGGAGTTGCACTTCTTGGCAACCATTCTTAATAATCTCCTCCCTTGCACTGACAGGCCTGTCTGGCGGAATCCCTACAACTTCCACTGCAGGGGATGTAAATGTGTGGTGGCTTGTCGTTCAACCCCCAATTGTGCCATCTGCAAAATGGAAACGGTGCCCAGAGTTGGAAAAATCCCAGAAACTTTGTTGCCCACACATTTACTTCTGGAAGCTGCTACCCACCCACCACATCCCAAGCATGATTGGCTCCTGAAAGTTTGTTGACAGCACCTACCACCATTGGCTGATAAACTCTTGGAATGTAGAATCTCTCCTACCCCCTCCCAATGCTTGCCTGTCTCGTTAGTAGGAGACTTTGTAAATTTGCACATAGGTCCATTTCTAATATGTTAAAGAAGGTGCTAGCCAGGCTTGACAAACCCCAGGCCACCTGTCCTTCCAGAAAATTTCCACACTCTACCTCTCAGACCCTTTGGAGGGTCAGGCAACGAGGAACATGATTCGGGCTCCAAAACGGCGGTTATTTGTGGCCTGGATCTGGAATGCTTTTCAGGCCTGTGTTATGGGAAGGAAGATGCCAGTTCAGCAATCCAGGCAGCAACATCTGCCCTTCTGCCTTTGCTCTCGCTGGTCTTTTGACACCTGAGAAATGGTGCCCATGTCTCTGGGGAATTCTCATAAAGACAGTCCCTCTTTATTTCCAGGAGGAATTGTTTGTTTTCTGAAATTATGTTAGCCTGCTGGGATCATGCATCTGCTTTTCTCCAGCCCTCTGCACCATCAAGGACGAAGAGGCTCAAGGACTTCTTTTCAAAACCAAGTGTACGTGGCACCTCGGTCCTCTTGCTCTTGTTGCAGATATCAACGCCAACGGGTTCTTAATCTGTAAGCAAGGAATCGGCTCTGAGAGAGGCTTTCTGACTGTATTTCTGATGGTGCTTTCAGAGATGGCAGAGCTTTTGCTTTCTAGACCCTTGCATCTTGACTGTCTTGCTTGCCTAGGAGCGCTCTTGCTCTCCCTCCCACCTCCCCGATTTATGCTTGTCTCCCTTTTCTGCTGCTGACTTCGGCAGTTTCGCTGGGCTGTGTTTCAGCTGCCCTTTTGTTTCAGTGAAAAAATGCTGTCCCAAACCCCCTCATGCCTTATGCTTTCCATAGCTGCAGTTCAGGATTTCCTGATGTCATTAATGCCTTTTTTTAATAGTGCAAGAATCTAAGCTGGGCTAATCTCTGCAACACAAGATTTAAATTGTGCTAGTGGAAGCCATAACCTGAACATCTCAAAAGTTACTACTTGCGTATAAATATATGCAAACTTGTATACAGGTCGCATAATGTCAGTGAGCTTGGTGGAACTTCCTTTTTTCGTAAGAGGATGTGTCTGCATATGCTTAAGGGCTGAGCTAAAACTAGCCATGCAGTTTACTTTAGCTATTACCACCAAAGCTCTGCACTTCTTATAGTTCTTTGGAGCTTCCCATAATACTGCACCACCCCCTGTGAGTCGTGTTTTGCATCCAAGGCTTGGATGAGAAATTACCAAGAAAGCTTTAGATTATTTTATTTTTTACAGTGCCCACTTGGGCTTCTTCCTCCCAAGCTCAAGCCCTTCTTTCACTCTTTAAGTGGAAAATTGTGAACAGTAAACCTGAAGCTGGAGTTGAAACCTGAAAACAGAGCGTTTAGAAGTGGCTCTCAGACCGGCATGAAGAAGGAAGAACTACCTTGCATTCAGAGCTCTCCTCTTGACAGTAGTCTTCAGAGCCTCAAAGGCAATTTGCTCAGTATATTTGGACAAATTCCCTCTTGACCTCAGTTCCCGTCTCTGTGAAATGGGGACATGAAAGACCTACTTCCCAAGGTGTGCTGAATGTGGGGGGTTGAACACGAGAATAACTTTCTGGACTAAATGAGAGCGAGGCCTGTGGCCACCTATTGGATCAACAACAGAGGCGATATTTGAAGTAGGCCATCTTTGCAGACAATCTCACACAGGCTGAGACAGAGTAGGCCCAGGGCACCGTGAACTAACAAGGTCTCCTGCACGGAGCCCTTGGAAATCAATCAGAGATGCATGCAGGAGAACATCTATCAGTATTTGATTATGTTTGTCATGGGGCAGGGGAGAATGGTATTTGGAGAGAGTTGGGTTTTTGGTGGGGGAGGGAACTCTGCCCAGCCCCAAATAATTGGGCATCAGTTCATTCCTCATTCCCTTCCCTTGAAAGAGTAATCTGCACAAGCAGTAATTTCTTTTTTTAAGAGAGAAAGCACAGCTGCTGCAGCTGCTTCAGTCGTTCCCGGGCCCTCCCTCTTCACAAAACTGCTGTGAGGTTCTGCTTTTCACTAAGTCATGTAGTTAGATCCACTTGTTCTGTTGCTCTCCTTGTTGGGGGATGGCTGAATGTGGGCTGGTGTGATTATGGAGCTCATGCACCAGGAGGCTGAATAGCTGCATTCTCCAGCTGCTGTTTTGAATCAGGCTGTCTGCTGCAGGTGTATGCTGCATGCCAAGAAAGGGTGGGGGTTTTTGGGAGGGGGGCATTTTTAGATGTCTCATTCAAAACAGCACACTGGGGGTGCGGGGAGAACTCTGATACTGGCAACTAAGTCAATTTGCTGGAGGGGAAGTAAAATGGTGGTGAGAGGGAGCATCTTCCCAGTGAGGAAAAGATAAACGGATTGGTGCTAGCTAGCTTACTTAGGAAAAGCTTTGTATTTCCTGTTTCTCTCTCTGTCAGGATTGTAAGCCCCTTGGGGCAGGGGTAGTTAACAGGATACCCCCCAGATGTTGTGGACTGCATAAAAAGAGCCCTGCTGGATCAGGCCAAAGGGGGCCTATCTAGTCCAGCATCCTGTTCTCACAGTAGCGAACCATGTCCAGACCCAAACACTGCTCCGTACTGTGATTTCCAGAATCTGGTATTCAGAAGCACTACTGCCTCAGACTGTGGAGTCAGAGTATAATCATTGTGGCTAGTAGCCATTGGAGGTTTTTAGGCAGAGATTGGGTGGCCATCTGTCAGGAATTCTTTAGCTGCATTACATCAGTTACACTAGATGACCCTTGGCGTCTCTTCCAACTCTACAGTTCCGTGTTTTCAGGTACAAAAAAGGTCTCTGCCTTCAAGAGCATACTGTCACATTTCTTTGTTGTTGTTGTTTCACAGTGTTGATTTGCAGCCGTACAGGTAGGAAGAAATGGAAACGGTGAAGGTACTAAAGAGGTGGCCACAAGTGGGATAATGTTTAACTTGTGAGAATCTAATGTTGTTGCTTTCACTTTTGCCTGCAAGAGGAAGCTAGGAACTAGAAATATGAATTTCCATTGGAAGCAAATCCCAGAGGGATTAATCTTTTGCAGCAAATGCAAAAGCAGTGCTGTGGTATAATTTAATGGCTCACAACCACAAGTACTTAAGAAAGTGGCCATGTAATTGAGATACTTCTGAATTCTCAGGGTAAAGAATCTAGTTTTGGAAGACAGAGCCCAAATGCCCAAGCACCTTGACTTTCTCTGCATCCTCACTAGCAAACTAGTGGCTTTCACACTGTTTGGGGAATGGAGAGTGTTCTTTATGAGAAGATGCGTAATGGCAGGTGAGCTTCCCTAGATGTTGGCTTTCCCAGTGTGGCCATTCTCCCATTGCATAGCACAGCTGTCTGTTGTTAACTGGTAACTTGCAGCATATTGCCAACTTCAGTGACCTCTAGATATTTTCAGCTATTACTCCAGTTATCCCTGCTGGCTGGGATTGATGGGACTCACAGCCCCAAACATCTGGAGGGCATCAAGTTGGAGGGGTTCTTCAGCAGAACGTTCGCTTTGTGAAGGTTATGCAGCTTTCAAAATAATTGCTTTAGAGCCCTGGAATATTATGGGATGAGCCGCAAGTGGTGATGGTGTTCTCTTCCGCCGATTGTGGAGAGTCACCAGATACCTTTAAAGCAGGCGTCAGATGTCTCTTAGAAGCTGACTGGGTTTTGGTAACAGAATCGGTGACCCCCCCCCAATAGATTATTCATGTCATTCCTGATGGCGGTCCTGGCATTGTGCAACGTGAACAGTTGTGTGTCAAGGGGTGTGAATACAACTCATTGAGCAGCATCACCACTGTGTTGTTGAGCCTGCAATGCGATATCCACTTGTGGTGGTGCCAATACAGCTGAAAGGCATGGTGGGTGAAATAAAGTGGTATGGGGGCTTCATTGTGTGACTGGACCCTGCTGATCATGTTATGACATTATGGGTTCTGATACATCAGTAATAGGTGATAGCAAGTTTAAACAGCTAGCTGCAGCTATAGGGTCACAAAGATGTGCTTCAGTATAGCATTTAATTCACCAGTTATAGGACTGATTGAAGTTTTCAGTGCACTTGGGGTTTAGTCTCATGCGATTATGGAGGCAGAGTGGGTGTTGCACCTGGTTGAGTAATTATAAGATTGTATTCTTTGCAAAGAAGCACAAATAGCTCCATAAATACAGTTAGTGGGACCTTTGCTTAACCTCTGGGAGGGATGGGCAACCTGTTGCCCTCCTAGTGCTGCTTGACTCCAATTCCCAGCATCCCTTGATTATTGTCTATGTTGGCTGGAGCAGCTGGGAGTTGTAGTCCAAAACATCTGGAGGGCACCAGGTTGGTGCAGGTTTCTCTAGGGCAGTGGTTCTCAACCTTGGGTCCCCAGATGTTTTTGGCCTACAACTCCCATGATCCCTAGCTCACAGGATCAGTGGTCAGGGATGATGGGAGTTGTAGGCCAAAAACGTCTGGGGACCCAAGGTTGAGAAAGGCTGCTCTAGGGTATCAGCAAATTTTCCTGATGCAAATTACATATGCAAATATCCTCATTTGCATGAGAAAATTTCCCACATTTCCCCCCATTCAATTCCCCCCCCAACCCCATATCACTGATCTTTTCCGTATCCCATACACACATTTTATCATTCTTTATTTTCCCTTTTACATATCCTGTAAAAGTGCCTCCATTGGATTTTTCTCTCTCTTCCCCTCCATCCCAATCTTTAACATTTCTCATTTCCCCCAAATTTCATCTTCACAACAACCCCATTAGGCAAGTTAAGGCAAGGAGAAGCAACTGGCAAGGTTACAAGAAAGGGATTTTGTAGGTACTATAAAGCTGGAAAAAGATCAAGCCAAAGGAGCAAGGGCTAGAGCAACTCTTATGGCGAAAACTTATGATGTTTGTGACATTTCATTTAGAAAAGGCAAGTAATGGGTTGGAGGTGGACATGACTGGTGTGGAGAAAGTGGATAGGCTTTTCTTGCAATATGTCAACCCAGTAATGAGTAGGGTTATCCAGTGAACCTAAACAGTGGGAGATCCTGGACTAACAAGAGGAAATGTCCTTCACACTGTACAACATTTCAACTGTGGAAACCACTTCTGAAAGATGTGAATACCACCAACTTGGGAGGCTTTAAATGGAGATTACACAAATTCATGAACACTCTGGCTATCAGTGGCTACTAGTCATATGGCTGTTAATCTGGTGATCCAGTTGCCATTAGTGCACGCCATGCCAAATTCTGGCCGATCCACCAACATTCATTGGATTGCAAAAAACAAACAAACAAACACCAGACTTCTGATTGTAACCGAAATGATTCACTTGCTGTATATAGATAATTTTATAGCATTATTAAATGATATAAAATGGAGTTTCCATATAGAAACGTGAATTTAGAGGTGTTAATACAAAATAAAATATTTGAAAAGAGCAACTTGTACATGTTTAAATCTAAAGTAACTTGGAGCAATTGGATATAACTTGCATATGAACTCATAAGTGGCATTGACAAAGCAAGCAGTCATCGTGAATAACAGAACTTCCAACTCCCTCCAGCCCATCTACAGTGGTACCTCGGGTTAAGTACTTAATTTGTTCTGGAGGTCCGTTCTTAACCTGAAACTGTTCTTAACCTGAAGCACCACTTTAGCTAATGGGGCCTCCTGCTGCTGCCGCGCCGCTGCAGCACGATTTCTTTTCTCATCCTGAAGCAAACTTCTTAACCTGAAGCACTATTTCTGGGTTAGCAGAGTCTGTAACCTGAAGTGTATGTAACCTGAAGCATATGTAACCCGAGGTACCACTGTAGTTGTGAAACAAATCTAAGTTCCCTAGCATACTGGTTAACTAAAAATTTCTTGGTTGTCAGTCTTAAGGATGTAGGCTAGGCCTTGTAGCAGTCCTCAGATTGAGGAAAGCATGTGAACTGAGGCAGATTTGTATTTTATTTCTTTATTGCTCAAGGTGGTGTCCATTGTCCCCCCCCCCCATCTTATTTAATCCCTACAACAACCCTGTGAATAGGTTAGACTGGGAACCACTGACTGACCCCTGGTGAACTTCATGGCTGACTGGGGAATTGAATCCTCGTCTACCACGTCCTCATCTGACACTAACTCCTATACCAAGAAGAACAAAAAAAAACCCTTTTATATCAGTCAGCAATAGGACGAGTTTTCCATTAATTTTACTGTTCATGTAGGCAAACCCACATAAAACATAGACTATGAAATACCACAATCTGGGAGGTGGGGTGGGAATGAGCAACTGGGACCCTGCTGTATCAGCTGTTCCTCACACAGAGAACTTTGACATGCTTCCAGAGCTTTTGGTTTGCTAGAACCTGTTATGCTTTCGCTTTTGTTTGGACGTTGGGCTTGCTTTTCCTGTTAATCTTATCGTAAAGCCAAGGTCTCCACCTAAAGCTGAAGATATCTGCACAAGGGTCCAAGCAACCTCTGCGGGAAAGACCCAGAGATAGCCTAGTATCGTCCACTTCGATACATCATGGCTGCTCTGCAATGTGCATGAAACACACACATCCTGACTACTGGGTGTGATGGATACATGTGTAGGCCCAGCAAGGACCAGGTTAACAATGGCCATCCATTGCCTGCAATATCAAAGGCAGCATACATCCTCCTCTTCCTTATTATTATTATTATTACATATTAAATTTGTATACAGCCCATCATCTGAAGATCACAGGGTGGTTCAGAACATAAAATTACAAAATGAGAACACAAAATGATTAATTAATTAAAATTTTATATATAGATGTTTTATGATGGCCTATCTTTGTAATGCCTAATAAAGGTTTGGCAAAGAAGTAGAGAACAGAAAATACATAATAAAACAAAAACAAACCAATCCCCCCCACAAAAAACCCAACCACTTATAAATGGACATAGAATGTTAATCAGCTAAAGTCTTGGTTGAAGAGGAACATTTTTGCCTGGCCCTTAAAGGTGTTTAATGCAGGCGCCAGCCAAACCTCCCTGGGGAGAGCATTCCACAAGACTTGCGTTGTCATCCTCTGGACCTCTCCTGGAGGGGAACATGAAAAAGGGCCTCAGATGATAATCACAGAATTTGGGTCAGTTCATATGGAGAACCAGTGTTCCTCTAAAATTGCACACGGGCCAGGAGGTGGGGAATCCAGATGGAAGTCAGATCAAGGACCAGGCCCTCCCCCTTTTCCTTGGTCCTTTCAGGTATCCCACCCCCTTGCAGCTTCCTAGAAAATCTGGTCAGCTCTGAGGCTTGGAAAAAATGTTTGCTTGTGTGGATCAGTGTAGATTGGGTCACAGGATATCCTGAAGTGGTTTCCACTTTTGCCGGGACTGCCCTCTACAGTGTAGTTGGAGAATGTCTGATCTCCAGCTGTCACTGATGTTGCAATACCCGTTAGGCAAGGCTGTAATCGTGGGGTTCACACAGCCTGGCTCCCTGCGTCTAGATTTCAAATCTTCCTGATGAATCATAACTTGGCTGTGTTGTAAATAATAGCTCTGAGCCTTTCCCCTTGCTTGAGTACCAGCCAACAGTGTGGAATGTGGCTCTTTGTCCTGCTGGCTCATTATGATTGATTATTGCCTTACATCTTCACATCTCACTTCCTCCTGCTGTGCAAACCACAGTGGTGTAGGTGTGGTTCCCACGCTGTCACCCATCCAGGTACTGTCCGCACCCAGACCAGCTTAGCTTCAGGAAAGTGGTGGACTCAACCTGGACCAGAGCCTGCTAATGACAGGAAATACCCAAAGTTGAATATGCATGTATGGTTGACGTCTTTACCCAAGGTTGCCTCTGAGTGCTCTACCTCCAGTGGTTAGGTGGGTGGACACCAGAGGCAGGGCCTTTTTCAGTGGTGGCACTTTGTTTAACTCAATAGCCCACTTTGATGGCTTTTAGGCAGCAGGTAGAAACTTTACCAGGGCATTTGGTGGACGTGATTGGACGTTCTGCTCTTGCCTCAGTTGGTCCTTTGTTTGAGTTCTGATTGATTTTTCTTCTTTTTTAAATGCAATTTTTTTTATTTAGCAAAATATTGCTTGACTGTAAGAATAAAACCTCTCAGCTGTTTACAAGACATGGGGCACATGTCACCTGATGAGTTCTGTCAGCAGAAGCCATGCAAGGACTTCTGCTGTGTAACGGGACTTTTCCTCATCTCCCTGCAATGGGCCTCCCCCCCCCCCCAAGTATTTATTTATATATTGCGCTTATATCCCACCTTTTCCTCCAAGGAGCTCAAGGTGTGGCATACATTATTCCCCCCTCCTCATTTAATCCCCACAACAACCCTGTGAGGTAGGTTAGGCTGAGAGGCAGTGATTGACCCTAGGTCACCTAGTGAGCTTCATTTCCAAGTGGGGATTTGAACCCTGACCTCATAGTCTGATACCCTAACCGCTACACCATATTGTCTTGGCTCGGGTTCGGTGGGAGAATCCAGAGCACAGGGTGGGGGTCGTTTTAGCTGGCAAACTGAAATGCTTGCACTGATGAAATGATCAGAAGAGCGCAACATTAAAGTCTTCCTCATCATGTATATATTGCCTTGAAAACCACCTTCACAATTACTATTGAAACTTAAAAATGGAGGCACTAGCAGGCGCAAAACAATCCATTCAGACACCCTGGTAGATTTCTATCCCAGAATTTCATCAGAACTCTTGACATTCTTTTCAGTGGTGCATCTACACTCAAGAGAGCCAGAACTTTATAAAGCTTTTTATGCAAACTGAGATTTTCAATATTATACAGCAGGGTTTGGGTGCTGGGCACCCTCCAGATGTTGCTTGGTTCCAGTTCCCATCAGTCTGGTCCATCATCCTTGCTGACTTGAGCTGATGGGAGCTGGAGTTCACTAGTCAAGGATGGTGGGAGCTGAAATCCAGTAACATCTGAGGGACCACTGGCTTCCCATCCCTGCTGTACAACAAGAGTTTCGGGTGGTGCAGTTTGCTCCATTCATTTACTATATATAAAGGTAAGGTAAAGGACCCCTGGACAGTTAAGTCCAGTCAAAGGTGACTATGGGGTTGTGGCGCTCATCTCGCTTTCAGGCCGAGGGAGCCGGCGTTTGTCCACAGACAGCTTTCTGGGTCATATGGTCAGCATGACTAAACCGCTTCTGGCGCAACGGAACACTGTGATGGAAACCAGAGCTCAAGGAAACACCGTTTTCCTTCTTGCTGCAGCAGTGCCTATTTATCTCCTTCACTGGCGTACTTTTGAACTGCTAGGCAGGAGCTGGGAAGGAGCAACAGGCGCTCACCCTGTTGCAGGGATTCGAACCACCGACCTTCCGATTGGCAACCCCAAGAGGCTCAGTGGTTTAGACCACAGCACCACCCGACTGCCCCACTATATTTATATAAGAATGCCCAGTAGAATTGTTAAAATGATCCAATGCATTTAAAATATGGTGCCATGAAATGACATCCTAAAATAACAGCTTGTAGCCTAGAACTCATTGGGTGGTGAGCCAGGCACACCTGGTGGTTTGGGTGTGTTCACATTAGGCGTGTTATCACATTACATTAGATGAGCGTACACAGTCTGTGTGCACAGATAGTTGATCTGTGCAAATAAACAAGTGCACACCCCAGGATTATTATGAGTAAGAGTATTGTTTGTTTTTGAATGTGAAATTTGTAATGTATTTCCTACGTTGATTCATTTGTTGCTGGGATTTGTAAGTCACTAAGATTTCTGTTGATATATGAAGCGGTACATAAATTTGCTAAATAAACGTGTAGAGGTGGTTTGTAGCTGTGTTCAGCATAACACATGAACTACTGAACTGTTTTCGTCGAGAAAGGGCAGCGACTGAGTTGGTTTGAAAACAGTGCAGGGGCAGCAGTAGGTGGCAGGAGGAGGTTCAGTAGAATCATAGCATTGCGGAATTGGAAGGGACCTATCTCATCCAACCTTTTGCAATGCAGGACTCACAGTAGCTCGGCAATAACGCTTGGCATGGGTATTGTACATTTTTGCAGTTGTGTCTTGGAGGCCGTCGCTCACCTGAGGCTGCTAAGCAGAGTTTGCAGCTCTTGTGCTTCAGGCCCCTTCCACACACAGCCGCTCAAAGTTGTTTGGTAGCCCTTTGCTCATACTGCTACCCCACGTGGACACAATCTCTCTGTAAAAGTTTGCAACTGGGGCTAGGGTGGCTCTCTTCTTGCTGATCTTCCTGGCGTGTTGCAGCCACACTATGATGAAGTGGTTGTTCACCTGACTCAGCAAGAGAGGGGCTTTAGCTGTTGTAGCCCAACAGCATCTCCTGGACTATAGGAAAAGGGTTTCAGGATTCCAAAGATGGCAGGAGGAGGTGTGAAGAGGAGCCCTGGGCTTTGTACGTATCCTCTCCCTCTGCCCCAAAGCCTAGAATAGTTTTACAGCCAAAAAATGCATGCCTCTCATACAGCTCATTTCAATGCCTTAGCTGAGCTGCCCTCCTACTGGTGCATCTCTAAACAATTGTGTTTCTGTGACTGCTTGGAGCTGCGTTTGCCCACAAGTCCATCCTTTTTGCATCCTCGGGCATGGCGCGTTGAGTCTTCTTTGCTGAATGATGAGGCCGGGCAGTGAGAACATCTCTTGATGGCGGTTCTGAGGAACCCTTGTGAGTTAGAAGCCAGAACTGATGAATTGGGCCATGTGATTTGTGATAGAACTGGCACTCGAGAAACAAACACAGCCCTAAGCCGGTTTTCATTTTATCAGGGATCTTCTCTGGGACTGATTCCCCTATGCAACAAACCCAAGTGTGTGATGCAGAGCGGTATAGCTGTCATTCTCTTACAAACTTCACAACCCTATATAACCTCTGTTTTGAAACAGCTGCACAGCTTGCTAGTTCGTTTCTGGGCCCAGTTCACATTGCTGTTAAAAGCCTTAAATTAGACTCATGCCCCAAATACCTGAAAGATTGCCCCCTACCCTACAGACCCTATCGGGTGCAAAAATCAACAGAAGGGGCCTCTGGTTGTTCCACCACCCACAGAAGCTCAGGGGGGCAGGCACAGGAGATTGTCTTCTCTGTGGTGACCCCTAAGTTGTGGAATTCCCTCCCCATGGAGGTGTGTCTGGCACCTGCATTGCATAGCTTCTGGCGAATGCTGACGATGCAATTCTTTAGCCTAGCTTTTGACACTTGAGGTGTATATTTTTAGGACCCACCTTATTTCAGTCATGTTAGGTTGTTTTGGAATGCTTTTAATACTGGGTTTTAATTGTTGTAACCTGCCCTGGGACATAGGGGTGAAGGGTGGATAATGAATTGTATTATTAATAATGATATCTACCATGTCATGACTGTGATCTCTGTGCTTGATCATAATGATTGCCAATCCTAGTAGTGCCAGCCAATCCTAGTGTATTCTGCAACCCGTATAAATGATTGGCATAATTAGTTTTGCCTGCATCAGTCTTGTCATCTTTAAAAAAAGTGATTTGCATAATTTATTCCTAGTTTGAGCAATCAAGGGGGAGAGAGAGACAGAGCTCCATGCAAGGCACTGAAAGTCTCTCCATCTCTCTGGCTTCTGGGCTCCCAGCTGTCACAGCCCACGTCCTTCCTTTATTTATTTACAACATTTTTATGCCACCCTTCATTGTGTCAGATTTCAGGGTAGCATAAAGCATGAAACAAAGGCAAAATGTGCAACTTGACGACATGCAATAAAAAAAGGGCAACACTGGATAGGAACGAGAATAAGAAGATCCTTCCAAACATTCTGTGCGCAGGACACACCAACAGGATTTAGCCTTTGTTCAGAACTTGCCTGACCTTCCCCTGACCAGGTAGCGAAATCACTCCAGATTGTTATCCAGCATTTCACATTTTCACTTGCCCCGACAAATAAGACAAGTGGACTGCAGGGTTGGGCAGTAACTGTCTCAGCAGTTGTACGGGGTCTCCATCCCCACAAGCCACTGCCTCCGTGCCCCTTTCCCTGCCGGGCCACTTTGTTGCCTGGAGGTGTTTCAGCTGCAAAACAGCAGACTTCCCTGCAGGGCATGTTGACGGGATACCACTTTGGGTGCTCGAAGTCATGATGCTCCAAGCAACCAAACAAACACCACCCTGCCAGTCTTTCCTACAGGGGAAGAGCCACCATGATGCAGTGGTTAGAGTACCCACTCGGCCATGAAACTCAGTGGATGAACTTGGACCATTCACTCCCCCCCCCAGCTTACATCACCAGGTTGTGGTGGGGATGAAATGAGGAGGAGGACCACATGCGCCACCTTGAGCTGCTGGCATCCATCAGCAGCAGTTGCAGGCCTTTATCAGAAAGCCTTTGTGTGAAGAGATAAGGTGGTGAGTGATGGGGCAGACAGATGAGCTGCTTAAACTTGATAGGATTCTTGTTTTCATTTCTGTGGATGAATGAGAGGACTGGCAACTCAAGGTGACCCCCTTCAGGGAACTGGGTTTGATTTAGGGCCTCTAGAACGATGAGCGCCTACACCAGAGGTCAGCAGAGTGGTGCTCATAAGGTGGAAGGGCACCCTTTGGTGTTTACCTTTTTCTCCCTTGAAAAATATGGAGATCTGAAGAAGGAAGTGGCAAGAGTGACATTCTTTCCCACTTCCTCTTCCAACTCTGTGTGTTTTCGAAGGCTCTGATTGTTTATACTTTATTATCAGTAATTTTTTATTTTATTATTCATCAAATTTCCATACTGCCCTTCATCCGAAGATCACAGGGCAGTTCACAATATAAAAACACAAATATGCATACCACAATAACAAACAAAAGCAATACTCCCCACAGTTTAAAAAACCATAGGTTATTTAATTCGCCAAAAACCTGGGAGAAGAGGAAAGTTTTTGCCTGGCACCAAAAGATATGTAACGAAGAAGCCAGGCGAGCCTCCCTGGGGAGAGCATTCCACAAACGGGAAGCCACCACAGAAAAGGCCCTCTCTCGTGTTGCCACCCACCAGACTTCTCATGGAGGAGGCACATGAAGAAGGGCCTCACATGATGATTCCAGGGTCTGGGTCAGGTCATGTAGGGAGAGGCGGTTCTTGAGGTATTACAGTCCTCAGCTGTTTTAAGACTTTATAGGTTGAAACCAGCTCTTTGAATTGGGCCTGGAAACTAATTGGCATCTAGTGCAGTAGGGCCAGGATTGGCATATACTCAAACTGTCTTGCCTCAGTGAGCAACCTGGCCACTGAACTGTGCACCAGCTGAAGTTTCCAAACCATCTTCAGAGGCAGCCCCATGTATGACGAGATGCAGTAATCTAACAGAGTGGCTACCAGAGCAAAGACAACAGAAGTTAGGCCATCCTTGTCCAGATAGGGGTACAGCTGGGTCAGCAGCCGGAGCTGATTGAAGGCTCTCCGTGCCACCGAGACCACCTGAGCCTCAAGTGACGGGGATCCAGAAGTACCCCCAAGCTGTGTACCTGCTCCTTCAGAGGGAATGTAACTAAATCAAGATCTCTTGGAAAAGCAACTTCTATGTGTACATGCACTTTTTCTCAGGTGTGTGTGTTTCATTTGCAATGGGTGACAAGAGCGGGCAGTGCACTCTCAAATATCCAAATGTGCCCATGAACCTAAAAAAGTCTGTGGCCTTGTTTTTGTGTGGCATATTTCCACCTGTGACTGTGTAGCCTCCACCATTCTCAGCCTAAAACCACCTTCCCTTTTCTCTTCCTCTGCAGGAGTACACTTGTCCCAGATGTGAGTCTGGCTTTATTGAAGAAGTGACAGATGATTCCAGGTATCTTTCACCCTCAGAGACTCCCCTCATGTTGCTAGATTTCTCATATCTACCCTCTCCCCACCAAGTGTTTCTTCTACTGATGGATATGCTACCTCTTTTGGTGTTTATTTTATTTATTCGTTTATTTCATAAAAATAATATACCGCTTGGCTGTTTTTTGTTTCTTTTAAAACCTTCAAAGCAGGTTGGCTGAATTCTGCACCATTTTATACAATAGGTCTATGGTTCCCAAACTGGGTGGGAACTGCCTCCTGCGAGGCAGTGGGATTACCTAGGGGGCTGCTAAGAGTTAAAGAGACGGCAAGAGGGCACTAGAGGTGTAAATGACTATCAGACTTTGAAGGTAGCATTGCTGGATCAAATTCATCAATTTTGTTAAATTAATTGAACTAAACAGTTTTAATTGGATTTTGAATAAATATGCAGTTGTTACTGGTTTAAATGTTATTGTGTTGTTACCTTTCTTAGTGGGTCGTGCAAACTGCTATTTTTAATATTTTTTTTATAGAGTAGGGGGCACTGGGGATTTGTTTATGGAACCAAGGGGGCAGTGGCCAAAAACGTTTGAGGACCACTTTGATAGAAACATCGCACCTGTAACTTCCCAGGTGGCTGACATCCGATGGCTCTGTTTAGTCAGGACTATTCGCCTCCTGTGGGCTTTCCTCACTTCCATAGAGTTGTGGCACAGACACAGCCCTGGCTGAAATGCAGGCTAACAGGAGAGATCAGCTGGGCTGTATAAGTGGAGAACTTCGTGGTTTGCAGCTAGGCTAAAGACCTCCATTGCTTTGACTCACACAGAAGAAAATGTTAGAGGTGGGGGGTGAAGTCTCGTTCAGATTTTTTTTTTTGTGGGGGGGGGACCTCTCAGTTGTGTCAGACAGAATAAAGGTAAAGGGACCCCTGACCATTAGGTCCAGTCGTGGCCAACTCTGGGGTTGCGGCGATCATCTCACTTTATTGGCCGAGGGAGCCAGCGTACAGCTTCCGGGTCATGTGGCCAGCGTGACTAAGCCGCTTCTGGCCAACCAGAGCAGTGTACGGAAACGCCGTTTACCTTCCTGCTGGAGCGGTACCTATTTATCTACTTGCACTTTGACATGCTTTCGAACTGCTAGGTTGGCAGGAGCTGGGACTGAGCAACGGGAGCTTACCCCATCGCGGGGATTCGAACCGCCAACCTTCTGATCGGCAAGTCCTAGGCTCTGTGGTTTAACCCACGGCGCCACCCGCGTCCCATGTCAGTCAGAATACTCTGGGCTAAATAATCTGTTCCGCCTTCTTAAGTTTGCATGCAGAAGGTCCCAGAATCAATACCCACTGGTGGCAGTGCTAGAGACCCCTGGAGAGCTGCTGCCAGTCACTGTAGACACTACTGGGCTAGATGGGCCAAGGGTCTGACTCTGTATAATGCAGCTTCTAGTGTTCATTGGTAATAGCTGCGAGAAAGAGCTCATTTCCCCCCAAGGTCTGACCTTCAGCTTTTTCTGCATTTCGACTCTTCCCAGAGAGAAGGTGGTGGTAGACAGAAATGAAAAATTATGCCAAGTCAGAGACCTGGCTATATTTTATCCTGAGCAATCGGTGACACGCACGCTAGATTTAAAAAACAAACCTCGTGCGACAGTTTAAGATCCAGCTGCCAAATTTGGAAACGGTCCTCAGGAACGTCTGACTCAGTGTCACCTTCAAAGCTGGAAAAATGGCCTGCTCCTCACTCCCCCCCCCCCAGCTCCTCTAGTCACTTTGGGAGGTGGAAGCCCTGATTCAGCCCTGCATAGATTTGGTGCTGGGTGGGAGGGGTGATTTGTGGGGCACTCTTTGTCGCTCTAGCCCTGCTCCTAAGGATATAACAACAAAATGGGTCTATAATTTGAGACAGATTCCAAGTCCGTACTTGTTTTGTCTAGCCTTGCTCGTAAGGATATAAGAGTCCTGTTGGATCAGACCGAGGCCCATTTAGTCCAGCATTCTCTTTCCAAGAGAGCTCTGTCAGGTGCCTTTGGGAATCTGGCAAATAAGACAGGAAGACAACACTCCTTCCATGTTCACCCCCAGTACCAGGTACTCAGCAGCCAGACTGCCTCTGAACCCGGAGGCTCCATTTAGCTCTCACGTTTATTTATATCCTCCTCTGACATGTCTGATTTTCTAAGGTCTGCCCTGCCATGCTTGAGGGATGTGTGAATGTGTGTCATTGCAGACGATAAAAGCCCACCTTTCATTGTCAGAACTTTGTGCCAAGGTGCCAGGGTGTTGCAGTCCATTGGGCCTCAATGGACGCCAGTTCAAAGGGTTATCCGTTCACTTTTATTACATTGTTATCCTGCCTTTTTTTTGAAGGAGCTCTAGGTGACATGCATGGTCCTCCCTCCCTGCCTCCCTCTCGTTTATTCTCACAGCAACCCTGTGAGGTAGGATAGGCAGAGAATGGCCCAAAGTCACCACTGAGCTTCACTGCCTAGTGGGGATTTGAACCCTGGTCTCCCAGTCTCCTACACTGGCCCTTCCCAAATACAATGGGCACAGTGGGTAACCTTGGCCCACTTCCTTTCATCTGTAAAATGGAAGCATTGAATTTACTGTGTGAAGAAATAAATCCCATTTTTACACCGAAGGGCGCCCCTTCACTTACTGTAGATGTCATTGGCACTTGGCCCAGAATCCCTTGGGATTGTAGTTCTGTGAAAGGGTTCTGGGGACCTCTTAAAAATAAGAATTTAGCACCCTCTCCCAAAGCCCACAGGTGGCCTTCATGGCTGCAGTGAGGTTTCAGAATGACTTAAACATCTTGACAGACGGGATATTTATGTTGCAAGATATTTCACAAAAATGATAGCTGGAGAAATAATCCTGTATGGCAGGGAAGGAGAACCTGTGAGTGGAGACCCTCCTTATGTTGTTGGACTCAGTTTATTGATATAAATCTTGATATTAATAGAAACGAAAGTGGAAATGATGTGAAATAGAATTATGAATGATACGGGATATTTGCTGAAAATAGAAAATTGACTATTGCATATGGATTAACAAGTGGCGTTGACTCAAAAACCGTTGACAAAGCAATCAAAGGGAATCAGTCTGACTTCCTAGCATATTAAAGCAATAAAAAGCATAGTTACCAAATATTAGAGCAGTAGATCAAGTCTTGTAGTAGTTAGACAGAGGATACAAAGTGTAGCTGGTGGTGGCAAAAAAGGAAAAAAGCAAGTATTTCAACTGTGCCCACCCAAAATGTAGTACAGTAGAAGAATAACCAACTAGAAAAACTCAGTACGCCTTTTGTATCAATCAATGATAGCATGGGGCTGGGAGATCAGGGACACTAAAAAATTCCAGCAATTTTCCTGTTTGCATGGGAGAAGCCCACATAAAATATGGACTATGCATGACCATGTTGCACCTGGCAGGGGGAGCAACTTGGGACCCTTGTTGCATCAGCAGTTCCCCACACAGGGACCTTTGAAACACTTCAAATGTCCGCTGTTGGAACATGTTACGCTCCCCCTTTTGTTTAGGCAAGAGGGCTGCTTTTCTGCTAACTCTAATCAGAGTGCCAAGGTCTCTGTGAGCTTTTATCGAAAGCAGCAAATCTGTGCACCAAGGTCCAAGCAGCTTCTAGAGACCCAAACATGGCCCGGTGCCATCCATTTTGATCCATCATGGCTGCTCTATTGTGAGCATAAAACATACCATAATTGCTGGATGTGATAGATATCTCAGCCAAGCAGGGTCCAGATTAACAGGATAAAGTGCTTCCAGGCCAGACTGACCAGCCGGCTTGGGGCAGGCAAGCTCTCCAGAGAGGCACTTCCAGTTTGTTGCCTGTGATGTGTGGCAGCGGCCTTTGGGGCCAGTCTGGCACAATGACTAGGGCAGGGATGGCCAACTCTTTTCAGACTCAAGGGCCACGTTCACTCTGGGGGGCCGTAAGCTGGTGAATGTGCCAAAGGTGGGTGTGATCCCCTTCTCGCTCTTGCACATGCTACAAGCCCCTCCCTTCAGCTTATCCCTGCAGATCAGCTGATGAAGGGGGTTCACACCTCTTCCTTTTGTCAAGTGATCCACCTGACTCTCAGTGTTCAAAATTAGCATTTTGCACCTGCCAATCAGCCAGTTGCACCAAGTGAAGATGCCTGGGTGTCAAGACTGTGTCTGACTTCTCCATCTGGAGGTGCATGCCTGGGGATCCTTGGATCTTGACTGTTTTCACACACTAATACCTCCCCCTGTAGAATTTTATCAGTTATATTTTATCTGCACAATCGGAATGAATTTCAGGAACCAAAATGCTTTTTCTGTGCAGCCTGAACAGGAGCAGAGAACAACGTTATAGTTAATTGTTATAGCTTGTCTTCACTTACCTCCCCCCGCTGCCTTGCTCACAGTTGTGAAAAAGATTCTTACATTATGAATGGGCCATGTTACCATTAAGAAAAAGAAGTAGGAATAGGCCAGTATATGTATGGACTGTCCCTAGATCAAGTGACTTTTTTTTCTTAAGTTCTCAAGAGTTCTTAACCTAGCTCAGGGTTGTCATCTGAACTAGCCGGGTGTTTAACAGAGAATCAATCACAGCCCATCATTTGAAAAAGAAGACTTTAGAGCTGTCTTGCCCTCAAATGGTTGAGTGGTTTAAACCTCTCCACACTTTCCTGTGCTGGGTCTGCTTTAGTTTAATTTTCTATAATTTTGTTGCTGCTGCCAAAACAGGTGAGGGTCTGCAGTAATGCTTTTGGGGATGGGTTGGATAATAATGCCCCTGGCCTGGGATGCCAAATTTGGACGTGGGAATGGCAGGTCCAGTTTCTTACTTAGATTAAGATTTGCAAGGTAGTGACCCTGGGCTGAGACACCAAGGAAGAATTAGACTGATATAATTTCAGGAACTGATAAGATATACCTCATTCTTCAGCCATGTAGTCTTCAGCCCCTCTGATCTCCCCCTCGCCAGCACCCTGTTTTCACCCTGTTTCCTTGGTTGCTAATTACGTGGCCTTCAGCCTCTGTTTTTAGCCCTTGGCCCTGCCCACCCCACCCCCCTTAGAGGCAGGCTTTGGGGGTTATATTTCTGGAAGCAACTGCTGCTCTCCCTCACCAGATTTTTCTCCTTCAGTTTTCTAGAAGGCGGCGGCAGCGGGATAGACGACAGCCCTTCCACCACATTTGCAGAGGTGAGACTCTTTCCTGTTAACAATTTGACTGCTGCTTTCAGAACTGTGTAAAATGGAGGTAAATGAATTGTCTTTTTGCTGCGCTTTCCTCGGATACTCCATGTGGGATACTTTGTGGGGGCATCTGAGAGGAGAGAGGGCCATTCTCGGTTATTGATACTTTTTGTACTGCCAAGAATCATCTCAAGAAGAAGTTGATGTGACAGAGGCAGTCCTCTCAAATGATAGGGACTAGAAGCTTGAGGTTGCAATTGCCTTGTGCCAAAAATAAAGCTCTCCTTGGCTAGCGGGACTTTTGTTTTCAAGCTGTGTTGGTTTGTAATCTTCTGTAAAAGGTTACTAAGTTCTGTGGGGTGTTTGATGGATCCTTTTGGGTTTTGCAGATGCATCACAAGCAGGGTTAATTATAGCATTGGGCTGAAGTGATTTATATATTTAGGTTGATGACTGTTGTTAATACCTCCTGAGAGAGGTGGCTTTTGGAGTATGAGGCAAGCCTCTGCTTCGAAGAAGTGGGCAGGCGCTCAGAGGAAGGAGGGAGAGCAGCTTTATTATTTTTGGTGAAGGTTTTTTTTATTTCATTTCATAAGGTATAGAAAACCGAACAGTTATAACAACAGATGAAAATTGAAAGATGAAAAACAAAACTATAGATAGGCACGTAAAATAAGTACAGTTCCATGTGGGTTAAAATAACAAAGTCCAAGTCATGGAGGAAAAAAGTGAGAATAAATGTTGTCTTCACATAAAGAATATGAGTGTTAACTGATAGCTCCAGATTTGCCAGTCTTGGAACAAGTGTTCTTTTGAAAATGATGGATCCATGGTAAAGCAATGCCAAATCAAATAAGAAGTGTCTGGTGGTTCTAAAAAGGTAAAGGACCCCTGACAGTTCAGTCCAGCCTTGTAGCTTAGACGAATTTAAAACTAACCTTCCCATTTCTCCCTTGCCTGGCTTCCCAAAGTTCATGACAACTGGCAGTATATTAAAATGAGAAGATGGAAGCTAGGGGCAAAAGCATCAACCCATTCACGTATCTTGGTGTGTGTGTGTTGGGGTTGGGACTCGTTCTTATCCAGTGGCATCCCATCATGCCATGTAATACACTAGAGTTGTAAATGGAGGTGGGGGTGGCAGACTTTGAGTGTAGCATTATTTACATGAACCTTTGGGCATTAAAGCTTCTCTGAATCCTAGTCTAGCAAAATGCCCAGGTAAGCTGTTCTGTGTTTGGAAGCTGTGAGCCACCTTAAGCCAGTCATTGAGAGGAAGCCCAGGCAAGATGAATCTTATACAGAGTATCTGGAAATTGCTTGAGCTTGGATTCTGGCAAGTCCCCCAGGGTGCAGGCATAAACCATTAGGACTAGAATTGTTTTTTTTTGTTACTTTATTCTATGACGTCCCTAGGCCCCACAACTTTAAAGCTTTAAAATGTCTGCCTCTTTTCTGAACTGATCCCAGGTTGCTTCAAATTCTCCCAGCCATGAGCAGTTTTCTTAAACATAGAGGTCTGGGCTGCCTCCTGTGTTGGCTCACCCTGGATTTAGCATCTACACTCAGCCTGTCAGAACCCGCTTCCTTTTCAGGTGACCTCAGCTAGGTTTCAGTCTCTGAGCTCATCCTGAACTCAGATTCTGCTGCCATAGCTTTGCCGCTGCTGTGGCAGGAATAGACAGTTGCTCCCTTTCTGTTTTGAGGCTCTGTGGGCGATATAACATGGAGGAAGGCAGGGTTACCCACCCAGTGTCACTTTGAAAGGTTAGCTCTTGCACAGGTGTGGTGCCCCTCAGCTCGCTTCTGTCATAGAATTTTGTTCTTGCTTTTTCTGGTTTAATTCCAGGATTTTCTCTCATTCATATATTCATTCATATATATGTATACACACACACACACACACACACACACACAGTTATACCTCGGGTTAAATACGCTTCAGGTTGAGCGTTTTCAGGTTGTGCTCCGTGGCGACCCAGAAGTAATGGAAGTAACTTTCAGGTTTTGCCGCTCACACATGCGCAGATGCTCAAAATGACGTCACGCGCATGCGTGGAAGCGGCGAATCGTGACCCACACAGATGCGCAGACGCGGGTTGCGTTCGCTTTAGGATACGAACGGGGCTCCAGAACGGATCCCTTTCACATCCAAAGGTACCACTGTTATATGAGCTGCTTTGCTTGTGTGCTGTGCAGAATTAGACATAGATTTTGTACACCTTAGCCCAAATTTGAAAGGGTTTCCTAAAAATGCCAGAGAGGCAGACCTACAAAAGATCACCTGCTTCCCTCTTCCAGCAAGTCTCTCTCGGCCCTACCTGGAGATGCCAAGGATTGAACCTGGGACCTTCAGCTTGCAAAGCAGAGGCTCTGCCACTGAGGCACACCCTTTCACAAAACTCTAGCTTAGCATTAATGTGAAGGTTGCTCAGGGGGCTTTTTGTGGAGAAGAGGGAGATAAAGCAAAGATCACTCATTTTCTAAAATCACACGTTACCAGAAAAAGGCCCATTGCATACCCTCCCCTCGTTTGCTTTCTCTATACAATGGTACATCGGGTTACATATGCTTCAGGTTACATACGCTTCAGGTTACAGACTCCACTAACCCAGAAATATTACCTCGGGTTAAGAACTTTGCTTCAGGATGAGAATAGAAATCGTGCTCCGGCGGCGCGGCAGCAGCAGGAGGCCCCATTAGCTAAAGTGGTGCTTCAGGTTAAGAACAATTTCAGGTTAAGAACAGACCTCCAGAACGAATTAAGTACGTAACCTGAGGTACTACTGTACATCTGTGTGTGCCACATGTCCCCAGGATGGACGTGAAAATAAGTGTATACTTATGCCAGGTACTTTCACTCTAGCCTGTTAAAACAAGGAAGACCTGAGTTTCCCCATGGAACTTGCCTCTTTGCATTGTGGGAAATCCTCCATGATTTCTCCAGCCAGAGATCTATAGCCACCACGGGAAGTTCCTGAATCTGCCATTGTTTGCTCAGATGCTTTGTATAGGGAATACCTGCTTGGCATCCCGCTTACGCTTTGTGTCTGGAACCCTGTTCACCTCCTGACGAAAGGGGGACGGGACTATTTTGCAACAGATAATAAAAGATCAGCTTTGCTTTCACTGGATTTCTGCCTCAGATTATGAATCTCTGACCAGTAATGAGCTTGGGAAGTTGGGCCATCGAAAGGCACCCCGTTATTTTCTGGGAACACCCCCCATCAAGTTTTCCAAGTTGCCCCCTCTTGGCTCCATGGGCCATAGAACTCTGCCAGGTTGTCTTTTTGACCCCCCACAGAGGTGGTTGCCAATCCTGTGTCTTAAGCTATACTGCTTAAGATTGCACATAGAGACTCACATGATGGAGAAAGCAAGCCTCCCTCCCAACATGCTGGTGGAGTGAGATAAGGGTACCTAAACTGTGAACAGGATCCAGCCAGTTGGCTTAAATTTCATCTCGCCCTGCCTGGAAGCTGCTCCAGAGTCCCTCCCCAAGTCAGTTGATCTGGGAGGCTCTGCTTACCTGCAAGGGCTCAGTGTCTCCCTGAGTGGCAGGTGGGTTTCGGATCGCCTGAGTCCCCAGGTGTGTGTCTGAGTCAAAGAGGTTCTGGCAGCAGCAGCAGCAGGCGGGCTGGCCTGGGGCCTTGCGTGTTATGAGAGCCTCTTGGCTTGCACACAGACGAGGGCAAGCAGTGTTGCTCAGTGAAGAGGTGGGTGCAATGCCCCAGGCCCAGGCTGGCAAGTTCTTTCCCACGTTGCTTCTGTTATGATTATTTCCTGCTCAGTGGGGTACTATCCTGCGGAGAGACCATTTGCTCTTTATTTGTTCCATTTACAGTGGTACCTCGGGTTACATACGCTTCAGGTTACAGACTCCGCTAACCCAGAAATAGTGCTTCAGGTTAAGAACAGAAATCGTGCTTCGGCGGCGCGGCAGCAGCAGGAGGCCCCATTAGCTAAAGTGGTGCTTCAGGTTAAGAACAGTTTCAGGTTAAGTACGGACCTCCCGAACGAATTAAGTACTTAACCCAAGGTACCACTGTATACCCCACTTTTTCTCCATGGAGCTGAAGGTGGTGTGCGTGGTTCTCCTGCTCCTCATTTAATCCCCGCAACAACCCTTTGAGGTAGGTTAGGCTGACAGGCAGCGACTGGCCCAAGGTCACCCAGGGAGGTTCATGGCTGAGTGGGGATTTGAACCCTGGTCTTCCAGGACCTAGTTCAGCACTCAGACCGCTATACCACCACTGGTGCTTTGCAGCCAGGCATCCGATGGGAGCACAGCCTGGTGGGGAAGAGGGTCTGAGGTGGCCTGTGAGCTGCCATGGGGAACAGAGAAGCCAAAGCTCCTGTACTGCTGTGTAGACCAAAGAATCATAGAGTGGTCGAATTGGAAATGACCCAAAAGGTCATTTGGTCCAACCCTCAGGTCCACTGAACCAAAAGCTGCAGAGGAAGTCCCCAAAAATGCAAGCAGCTCAGGTGTTCTTCCAGAGGCACGGTTCAGTGGCAAAGTGTGTGCATCAAAGGCAGAAGGTTCCAGGTTCAGTTCACAGCAGCCTCTGCAGGTTGGGCTGGGGAAAAATCCCTCATTCCTGCAACCCCAGAGGGCTGCTGCCAGTCCGTTTGGACAAAACTGAGCAAGGTGGACCAAAAGGTCTGACTCTGTCTAAGGCACCTCCCTCCCCTTTTCCTGTGTTTGTCCTGTATGCGTTCCAGGCTGCCTTGTGAGCTGCATATCTGAGCAGGCCCCCTGCCCACAGGTCTCCATAGGATGGCAATGAAAGCATCCTGGTGGCCTCTTCAGACCATCTCCCACCTGGCTGGGGGTTGAACCCGGGGCCATCTGCATGCAAAGCAGATGCTCTGCTACTTTGCTACACCTCCAGGAAGACTGCAGGAGCATAAAGTCTGCACACATTTTCAGTCAAGATTTTGCATCTCTTCCTCAAGTCCTCAAAGCACAAAGTGGCCAGTGTGCTGCTTCTCTTTTCCTTAGTTCTGTCGTCTTTTTTTGCTCATCAGCGGCTGTCATATTGTGCTGACTTAGCAAGGGAGCAGCCCAGACAGCTTATCTATCCAAAAACAGCACCGGTCGCAGCGTAGCTGGAGCAGTGAGGTCTGGAAAAGGACTTGCCCAGAAGGCGTTTACGTATTGATGTGACTATTATTATTATTATTATTATTATTACTATTATTATCTTATTCTCCAGTGAACTCAAGGCAGTATGTGTATGGTTCCTCCCCCTCCCATTTTATCCTCACAACAGCCCTGTGGAGTGGGTTAGACAGAGATACTTCATGTGAGTGACACACCCAGGGTTCACCCAGCGGCCATCATTGCCAGGTGAATGTTGGGCCAGCCCTGATCTCAGCATTTTAACCACTGGGCAGCCTGGCAATGCTTGGCGGTTGCAAAGGGAGTGTGCTTTTATAACAAATAGAATGGTATAGAATAAAAGGAAAACGGTGAAGCAAAATAAGAGCGTTAAAACAATGCAGAGCAAATGGAAGCAAAAACAGCCAAAGCCGAAAGGTCTTGACTAAACAAATTCCCACTGAGACAGGATTATCTTAAGTGCCCATGGAAAAGTGGGCAATAAGGAAACTGAATGCGCAGTCTTGATGTGGCCTGGTGACAGCTGTTTCCTGCTTGCCTGAGCCTACACCAAACCTGGGGGTATCCCACCGCACAACCACTCACAACATGCTGCAGAGCAGGGCCCTACAGCTCTGGGTATCACTTCCCGGGGGCAGGGGGCAAAGCGATTTCCTTCCAGCTGGCACGGCATACAAAGCCTTGGAAGCAGGAGGCCCCCATGATGAGCCTTTCAGGTTTGTAAATAGCCCCTCTCCTGTGGAGGCTTGGCATGGCTTGCAAGCGAGCGGGTGGAGAAGTTTTTGTAAGCCAGAAGAGAACGTGGGTTTGTCTGTCCGATCAGAAGAGCTCCGCTTAGTAAATCCTGCTTTTCTCCTGGCGTAGACATTGGCTGAGGGGCTGCTTCTGAATTTTGAGAGTCTCCAGTCATCGCAGGAAAGCTTCAAGAACCCCTGAAACTGCTGGGCTAGAATTTATTACCCCATTTGATTTCTGGCCCTTTAGAAGTTGACTTCTTGATGCGCTTTCATTTGCTTCCTCCAGTTTTGGGACCAGTTGCATCGTTCTATGGTCTTCCAGTTCCCAAGCAACTCTATGGATCACGATGGCAGAGACAATGAAAGGGGCCACCAAGCCCACGCAGACCTCTGGGGACCAAGTAGACCCCTCCGACTGCCCATGACACGGAGGTACAGATCCCGGGTCAGCGCACGGCCTGACAGATCACCTGCCATTGAAGGGTAAGGATTTGGAGGACTTGGAGCAGCGGTTCTCAACCTGTGGGTCCCCAGATGTTGTTGGACTACAACTCCCATCATCCCTGAGCTCTGGCCTCGCTAGCTAGGGGTGATGGGAGTTGTAGTTCAACAACATCTGGGGACACACAGGTTGAGAAAGGCTGAGAGGATCCAGGATCTGATCTGGAGGGGAATAGTACGTTCAGTTGCTCTTGGAGGCTAACAGGAGATATGAGGGTCTGGGGTGGGGAAATCCCCCCCCCCCCTGTCTGGGGCAAGAGGGTGGCCTTCAGGTCTCTGTCCACCACACTGCTACTTCTGACTTCCAACAGTCTCTACTGGAAGACTTCAAGAAACCTGAAACATAGAATTTATGTTTGATTCTATTCATTTGGGGCTTAAGCTGGATTAGGGTTCTTTCACATAACCAAGGTGTTCAACTTGTGTGGCCTAACTAAAAAGACAGCCTTGTTGTTCCCAATTGCTGCAAACTGATGACTGTTCTTGCCTCGTATATATCTGTCAGGTCTGTAGGTCTGTCCTGCCCATCTCGCATCCTGTTGGTTGCCTCACTAATGCAGGGGAAGCCAATGTGGTACCCCCTGTGTGTTGTTGGACTACAATGCCCAGCAGTGTGGCTAGTGATCAGGAATGATGGGGGCTGTAGTCTGACACCACCTAGAGGGCACCACATTGGCCACTCCCAAATTAATGTAACATAACGTATGCTTCATGTACTGGACAAAGAGGGCGCTAGTCCCTGGAAGCAAGTGCAATGATCAGTCTGTTAAGGCTTGCACAGCTTTCTCTCCTGGATGCTGTCACTGCCACCTCCACTTTACTTTTCTGCCTCTTTCTTACATGTTTTCGTTTTGTCTCCCATCTCCTGGCTAGAATAATACAGCAGATCTTTGCAGGCTTCTTTGCGAATTCAGCAATTCCTGGGTCTCCTCCTCTCTCCTGGTGAGTATGGGACATTATTTGCAATTGTATATATATTTTTCTTTACAAGGTTTGTGTCCGAACTCAAATGCGTGTCTGGCACTCACATGCAGTCATACACACGCTATCAAGAGGTTTGGGATCTTTTGCTAGAGTTATGACATGCGTCCGTTTATGAATATGTGTTTACCCTTAGCCAGCATTCAAAATTTGCCAGGTGCATTTTGCACCTCACTATTGGCCACTTGCTACCAAGTGAAGATGCCCAGGCGCCAGGATGGTGCCTGACGTCTCCACCATCTGGAGGTGCATGCCTGGAGATCCTTGGATTTTGACTGTTTCCACACGCTAGCAATACATCCTGTAGAATTCTATCAGTTATATTTTACCTGCACAATCAGAATGAATTTCAGGAACCAAAAATACGACTTTTGAGTCGACTGGCCCCAAAATGGCAACTAGGCATTCTGTTTTGGTGACTGTAACCCTGGTTTAAGGAGCCATTTGGCACCTAGCTTATATATTTGAGTTTCTAACACTGCCCTTAGCAATATGTCCACAAGAAGTTCTTACAAAAAGGAACACGGAAAGCTTGCTTTATTATATGAAATGAAATTGGCAGAATATATAAATGCTGCATCAGACAGCAAAATTACAATTTAAGCAGGCAGCAAATCCCATCATATGTATGCACCCTGATTGAAAAGAGTGAAAGAATCAACTATTCTCAAAACCACGCAGGAAAGAAGTGTGACTGTTTTGCCACAGAACTCACACCAAAGGCAAGTTAAGAAAGGGGAGAGGGGAGAGTACACCTGTCTTTAAGGCAAAGCGGGTGTTGGATTCCTTGAGAACCCTGAGTAAGTTCTTTGTTAGAGCTTGGAGAGCTAATTTACAATCTTAAAATCTTGGGGTGTTGTACTAATTTTAGCCAATACAGTCGAATGGAGAAGGGCTTTGAGATAAGCTAGTGGTTTTCAACCTTTTTGAGTCCATGGCTCCCTTGACCAACCACATTCTTTCTGCGGCTCCCCTGTGGAAGCCACGTACACTGGGGCTCTATTACAGGGCGTGCAAAAGTGGGGACTTCCCCATTTTGCACCCACCTCTTTTTGGCACCATTTTTGGTGTGTGTGTAAGTGGGAACGCATATGTCGATGGGAACCCAAGCAACACCACTGCTCTGCAGGGCCGAACCGACGCATTCCCCATGGCAGCTCCAGCCTGGCTTTCCCGAAATTAGTGCGCACATGGTGGGGGATGCGGGGAGCAAAACAAGATTAAGATCGGAAGCAGAAATATTTTGTTGTTGTAGGGAAGGAAAGCGAGAAACACATAGCACAGGACACACATGCAAATACTGTCCTTTCCTGCAACATTCTCCCTGTCCCCATAAAGCTGGGTGACTGTTAAGGAGGAGGGGGATTACTTGCAGGGGTGGGGGAGAGAAGAATGGGGGGGGGTAGAAGGAGTGTGAAACACAGAAGACACTCCCCACTTTCAGGGTTATTTTTAAATCCATCCTTATAGAGCACACACACATCCAGGCACAAACACACCATCAAACTACTTTGCTATTTTCCTGCATTTCTCAAGCCCTCTGTGCAAAACTAAGGAATTGTTATTTACTGAAGCTGGGGAGGATAGTTGTTTGTGGTGGAGAGATTTTAAGAAGATAATTAGTCATGCAAAAGTGTTTCCTCACTTGCTTGCCACTGTTTTATTTTGGGAAGATAATGGGCTCCCCTGACCCTGGCTTCCTCCACCCCCAGAAGAACAAGTTTGGAGCCGCAGAAGCATGATAAAGGTTGAACCAATGCTGTGTAGGCCCTTGATATCCTATGACATGGAAGCTGGGCAGCAGTGGGCGTGCTGCTTCCTTCTCATGCCCCCACCCTGAGTGACTCTTTCTTTCTTTCCCTCTTGCAGGGGGGGCATGTTGCACTCGAGTCCTGGGGACTATGCCTGGGGACAGAGCGGCCTTGATGCTGTCGTCACACAGGTAAAGGCTCTGATCATTCCACCTGAGCCATGGCTGCATTCAATATGTGTGCAATTTTTAAACAGAGGTCAGGTGGACACCTGCCAGGGTTTCTTTAGTTGTGATTCCTTTATTGCAGAGGTGGGGTGGAACTAGATGGCCTGGGGGGGGGGGTCCCTTCCAACTCTACAGCTCTATGATTCTGTTTCAGCTGCTGCCGAGGCTCCACGGGCTTAGCACAAATTAAGTGGGTGCCCTGTAGCACCCCTAGGATCCTGCACAGCACCCAGTCAGCGTGGAAAGGGATTCCTGAAGGTCAAATGTTCTGAAGGCAGCTGTCTTAATCTTTCTTGATGGATGACGAGTAAATGCTGTGAACGTTTTTTCCCCATTCAGTTCAGTTCCTATTAAATTTCATGTTGTGAGAGCAAATAATCTGTGCAGCGATTCCAGTTCTCTTCCCTCACACCAACCCTTCCTTCCTCTCCCCTGCAGCTCCTGGGACAGCTGGAGAACACAGGGCCTCCCCCGGCAGACAAAGAGAAGATTTCTTCTCTCCCGACAGTGACCGTCACTCAGGAACAAGTTGGTAAGTAGTTCCTGCTTCCTGATAACTTAACGCTTTTGTAAATGTGTTGTTTGGAAGCGGTTGAATTGAATTTTATTATTACGGTCACAGACCAGTTCCGGCTCACTTACAATATCAGGAAAATCATAAAACACAACAGGAATACATTGAATTACAGTTGGGTATAACAGAGACAATTCAGATATAGCAGCAATTAAAAATATCTATTAAATCTTGATCACTAAAATATAACCTAAAATTGGGAAGGGGTTGCTTTCTTCTGTCGCTCTGGACTGAGCACCCAGACCAAATTCCAGAGAACTGCCAGTGTCAACCTCCAGCTCAGCTTAGCTCTACAGCATTAAATGAACTGCTTTCCAGCTGCAATCCTCTGTGGTTCCCTCTGATTCTGATTTAAGGAACTGAGCAACAGCTCACGGGGCTCTCCAGGCATTGTGGATTTACTCTAGAACCCCAGTTGCACAATAGCTCTCCTCTTCCCTCCCCAGTCCGTTTTTCTTTTGTGTCTTGTCTATCAGGCTGGCCCCACCAGTTTGCAGTCTCACAGGCAGTGATGCCAAAGGCAAGCAGGTTTCAGGTACCAGTTCTAGAAGTTGCCTGGAGATCTTCTTGCGTTAAGCAAATCTTCCAAACCTCACTATGCAGAGTAGGAGTCAGGCAATCGGTCCCTCTAGTTCAGCACTGTCTCTACAGATTAGCTGCAGCTCTCCAGGGTCTCAGGCAAGTTTTTCCTCAACCTGGAGATGCTGGGGATTGAACCTGGGGCAAAGTAACAGGTGAACATAAGAAGAGCCTGCTGGATCAGGCCAGTAGCCAACCAGATGCCTCATTGGGAAGCCTGCAAGCAGGATCCAAGCATAAGAGCCCTCTCTCATCCTGTGGTTTCCAGAAACTGCTATTCAGAAGCATTTACTGCCTCCAACCATGGTGGAAGAGCGTAGTCATTGTGGATAGTAGCCATCAGTAGTCTTGTCCTCCCATGAAACCAAGACCCTTACCTGAGTGATCTTGAGTTGGTTTCTTCCTCCCTCCCTTTTTATCTTTCCCCCTCAACAACATCAAGCCCAGAGACAGTCTGAAAAGCTCCTTCCACAGAATTATAAGGTCTCACATGCCTTCCTAGTCTTTTTCTCACTCTTTAGTTCTCCGGTAACCTCCTTCTCTACTTCCCCTTTCCCCCAATAGCTGCCTAGCAGCCAATGCCAAAATCCAAGTTTGGGGCAAGTCCTCTGGTGAGAGAACTCCTGCAGAGTTTTAAAGTCACAAAATATGCAGCAAAGTAAAGTGTGGAACTATACGCTGTTAGACCTTCAAAATATGCCCTTGTGAGTTCCAAAACTTCATTCTTCCCCTAGCATAGAAGACCACCACAAGTTTGGTAAGTTAAAAATGGTTTACTAACAAACTTTCCAAGGGTATTATTCATGTGCTTCTGGCAGTAGAACTTGGCTTAGTTCCATAGCAGTCGAAGTTCCTAAATTATTGGTGTAGGAACTCAAGAGTGGCTTGTTGAAGCCATGCGGTCTGAGCTTGGAGCAACCAGCTCAGACCTCCTCACATGCTGAGCTTGAAGGGAGATTGAACAGTAAGCTTGATTACCCAGTTCCTCCCAAGGTGAACACTTGATCTCACTAAGCCTGGCAGGACAGCTTACTCTATGGTATTAACCCCTTCATGCATTAAGCATGTTGGTTATACGAGACTGGTTATCCCACTGTTCCAAACTCGGCTCTTCATTCCGGTGTTCTCACCCCAGTTGCCTTTTCACTTCTCTTGCCTCTTGTGCAGCCAGCCTGCAGGCAGGACATCTACCTCTTGCCTCATCCTAGAGAGCTGGCGTGTTGCTGCCCTCACGTGACCCTGCCCTGTTTTCTCCTGCAGATATGGGTTTGGAGTGCCCTGTGTGTAAAGAGGACTACACTGTGGCGGAACAGGTCCGGCAACTCCCGTGCAATCACTACTTCCACAGCAGCTGCATTGTGCCATGGTTAGAGCTGGTAAGTTGGCTTCCCTGTTGGCGTGGGGTCAGGTGGAGACTGGCGCTAGGGCATCCTGCCTGGCACAGGGCAGCTCTCCTGTGGGACGAGGGGTGGCCACAGATGTTGGGTGCTACAGTGGAATACGGACCTGGTCTCCAGGGCGCTATTCAGTTGGAAGTTCTCCTGCACAATGAACAAGAGCACTAGGGTGTGACTGACTTACCCTCGGGCACCAGAGTATCTGAGGCCGGATCTTTTGGCTGTCCTGAGGCTCTGAATTGGCAGATTTTGCCAAAGGCTGTTGGCAGAGAGCCACATGCCACCTAACGGGGTTTGGGCCTGGGTCTCAAGTAGCCCAGCTGCCCAGACAGGAGTCTCTAGGTGTCCTGAGCACCCCGCAGCCAAGGATCTGATAGTTATTATCACAAACACAGCATACAGCAGCTCCTAAGGTGCCCCAGACACACACACTACAATCATCTCAGCTGCTGTTCCCACATCCATGCCTATGGAGCACTTGCAGCAGCAGTGAGACCAGCCCCCCACCCCCAGTTTATGTACCCCTGATCTGATGGGTACGTGCACACAACCTGAGGCTTCTCCTACATGGAAGCCATTGCTGCTCTTTCCTCTTCAAGCCCCTGCTGGTTCTAGGAGACAGCGAGGTGGGAGATGGCTGCCTTTGCGCATTGCTCTTTTTCAGAGGAAGGCTTTCGGCAGTGCCCTTTCCTTAATGTGGTCGCCCCAATCTCAGGTATCGGCTCTGGGAGGCATGACTGTTCCCAGCAGCCCCCCCCACTCACTCACATGCGTGCATTTTCCCTCCCCAGCACGACACGTGTCCCGTGTGCCGGAAGAGCTTGAACGGCGAGGACTCCACTCGGCAAGCACCCAACGCGGAGGCCTCCACAAGCAACTCCTTTAGCAGCACAAGCCACCTACACGACCGATGGACTTTCTGAAGCCTCCCTGACACGGTGGGGGGGGGCGAGGGAGGGGGCAGTTCAGGCCTGTAGTATCCCTTACTACAGTTTGTAAATTGTATGATACCTATAAAACTACAGAACCGAGTAGCAAGGAGGGAGAGGGAGAGGAAACGGGTGCAGCCGGTGGAGCTGCGTCCCCACCCCATGGCCATGGCGAGGGCGGCCATCTTTCAGAAACCGCTAGCATCTCCTGCTGGGTCGCCACAGCATCCAGACGATCTCTTTAACCCTTAGTTTCCGGAGTGATCAGTTTCACCTTTCAGCGAGGGGTCGGGAGGGTCCCTGAGAACCTGTGCGAGTCCTTTCCTTGGGTAGCAAGAGAGGCCTCCACCGTTACGATTCCCATGGCTTTGCAGAGGGAGGGGCGGACATTGTCCTTGCCCGCCTGTCCCAGTCTATTTTTTGCGGCAGGGTGGGGGGGAGGCTCAAGGAGAAGGCAGCCAGACGTTGGCTAGGAAGCTATTTCAGATGGGGCGAGGGGAAGAGAGAGGCAAGTCAAGAGGATTTGCACAGGGATCCAGGCCTTTCCAGTGTCTCCCGAGTCTGTTTAATCGACTCTGCCCATCTTCCCTGCAGCCTAGGATTTTGTTGAATTTTGGGTGAATTTTCTTTGGATTAGGTTGACAGAGTCCCTGACTTCCTTTATCTCGGTTCTGTTTTTTTCTGGAAAAGAGTGGGGGGCAATTTGGCTCACAGAAAGAGAAAAAGAGGGGTGGAGAAGCAGCACAGGGGAGCCCTGCATTCCATGAAGGCAAGTATTCGATGCCCCTCGAGCGAACGCTACCTTTTTCCTGCTTTCAGCCCCTCGGCCCCCTTGGGTTTGCCTGAACCAGCATTCAACCCACCTGCTACTTAAGACCCATTTTTTGCTGCCTTGTTTATCAAATGGACCACGTGTAGTTTATCCTCCGGATCAGAGACTGTGTCTTCTTTTTCCAAGCTGTTCTTCAGTATTTTAAATGAGAATGCCATCGCTCGATATACCATAAAGAATCACTTTTTGTTGTTGTCGGTTTCCTTTTAAGTGTTGTTTTTTCCCCTCCCTTGCAACTCTTCCCTCCCCTCCAACCTCCATCTACAGTCTTTTTATCTTCTGAATCATGTCTGAGCTCAAAACTTTGGTGCTGCACACTGACCCCCTCCCCCAAAGCACCTTCCGCCTGGAACCAGAAAGGAGCTTTGGTAGGAGAAGGGTGGGGTGGGGGGTATGGCAGAGTCGTGTCCCAAGGAATGGACGGGGAAAACACAAGGCAACCCCCCCACCCCCTTCGTGGCCACTTCATCGCTGTAACGGTGTACCAGGTACACTCCGTTTCAAACTTAGTGTCTTCTGTTTGCTATCGAAAGTTGAATAAAAGTCTTTAATAAGAAAAACAACGATAGAGTTCTTGGTTGGGGGTGTGTGCAGGGGGAAAGGGACCATCTGAGAATGTGCAGGACAGGTGGGTGGGGCTGCTTCATATTTGGACATACAGATTGCAAATATATTAGAGAGAGAAATCCAAAGATATAGTTGGAAAAAAGCCTTTATTAGGACCAACTAAATAAATGTCAAAGTAACCAAATTTCATAGTTTTGCCTAATGGCTGGAGGGCATGTACATCCTCACCCTGCTAAGGCCCTATCATTTTACATAGTCGAAGGTCCATTCCTAGGGTCATTTTCCTGGACAGTTGAATTATTCTCTAAAACATTGGGGGGGGGGACAGGTAGTTTTCCTGGCTTCATGAAAATAAAAATCCAAGTGCACATGTAGGATGCACACTACTTATTAGGACCAACTGGAAACTGTGATGAAGGTGTGAGCAAGCTTTTTAGCATCCCAGAAATCTTCCCCAGGCTTTGGGGCCACCAGCGACATCTTTTGCACTTGGTTGTCTAACCTCATTTGCATAAGTTCTCTTCCTCCTCCTAACTAGCTTAAACTAACTTCTCCTAACTAATTAAAACAGTCATCTTGGGCTCCCCCACCCCTCACTTCAACCATTTCCAGGAATGTTCCCCCTTGTGGCTAGCATCAGCCTGAAGAAGCATTCTGAGGAACCTGAAAGCTGGCTCATTGCTTGAGTTATTTTAGTTTGTCCTAAATCATTAAATTTGGATTCACGTTTGGAGCTACTGACATAGAGGCAAAACATCTGGCCCTTATTAAGGTTGCAAACGAAAGGCATGAGAGTATGTGGGCAATGCCTGGTAAAATCCCCAGACCCTACAGACAGCAGGGAGGGAGGTTGGCCCAACAGGCTTCCCCACAATCTGGACACCAGGGCTCTGCATGCCTCTTTCCCTTCCCTGGATCATGGCTCTTGAGATTTCAGTGGCATTGGCATCCATGGTGATTCCTCCTATATTTGTACCTTAACAAAGACTGAGCTTCTCATGGGACCAGCAAAGAGGTGCAGTGCCTCTGTGTCCCTCTCCATGACCGACAAAGCAGAATGAATACTGTGGGGGAGAGAAACTTGTTTATTCAATTCATGCAGCTTAATGGCGGTGCAAAATTATTTGGCCTAAGAGGGAAACCAGTTACCTCCTGGCTCTCATCTTTGTGAGCTTCACGATGGGCTTCTGGTGAGACATTTGCTGGGGCTGGACAAGCAAATCCTTACATTTCCGTTGCACAAACAAGTTCAAAAAAAGACAGCAGTAGGGAGAACAGCACGCACCTCGACTTTATCCCATCCCTTGCCCATCACCTTCCATTGCAATCCTGGCTCACAGTGGGAGGTTGGCACATCCATTGGCATTGGGTAAGCCTACAACTTCACACAGCACATAGTTAAAACTATGGAACTCTCCCACAGGAGGCCATGATGGCCACCAACTTGGATGACTTTAAAAGAGGATTGGATCAGCTCACGGAGGAGAAGGAGACTGTCGGTGGCTGCCAGCCATGATGGCTCTGCTCTGCCACCAGAGTTGGGAGGCAGCAATGCTTCTGAATACCAGTTGCTGGAAACCATAGGAGGGGAGGACTCTTGTGCTTGGGTCCTCCTGCTCATGGGTTTCCCTTTGGGGCATCTGGTTGACCACCAAGAGGCTGGGCTAGATAGGCTATTGGCCTGATCCAGCAGGGCTCTTATGTTCTGATCTCATTCTCCCATTTGTGGCCAGAAGGCAGCTCCATGCACTTGGTGGGCAGTTTGTAAGCCTCTGGTTGCACACAGGGAAGGAGAGCGTTGGGGGCCTTTTTCAGGCCAAGGGCCAAATCCCCTTCTGGAAGCCACCTGCCAGTGGTGGGTGGGGCCAGGCACAAAAGTGGGTGCAGCAATATATGCAAATTTTACCTTTTTTACAAGGGGCTGGGTTCCACAGCCACTGGCACATGCCCCTCTCTATCCTCCATCCGGACAAGCCAAGCAACGGGCACAAACCATTCCCCTGATTTCCTGATGGTGCTCACAGCTGCCAAACCAAAGGGCCCTACCCTTTTGCAATTCCAAGTGAATGAGGCTGCTCTGCACCAGCCACCAACACACCCAAAAGGTAACAGGAATACAGGACTATGTAAAATTCTTTTTTGCTTCTATGCAACAAAGTTCTGTTCGAGGGAGACGAGAGACGCTCCACCTTGTCAAGACAAGCTGCTGCATCCCAAAGGACTGATGGAAACTATTGAATTGTAGAGTTAGAAAGGAGACCTCCTGCAATGCATGAAGAAAGTATCTGGAATAGAGATGCTCCACATGATTTGAGCACTTAAGTCACTTTTCACGGGGAAGGAGCCATCTTTGAAACCCATATCTCTGTTGTCTTGTCACCTTGAAGGGTTGGGCCTAAGCTGGCCTGCACGCACTACTTTTTCTCCACTCCCTGAACATGGGAAGCAAAATTGGATGTTTACCCACCCCAGTCTGAAGACCAAAGTGTGTGTATTGGTGTGTTTAATTGTGGCTCCAACACGGGGGGAAGGTTGTTGCATTTTCTTAGCTTCCCAAAAGCAAAAGGATGCTATGAGATTGCAGATTGTCTTCAGAACTGCTGGATCTTCCATCACTTTTTACAAGGAGTCAAAGGAGGGCAGCAGCAACCACCCACTGGATTTTCTCCCCTTGCTCATTTTTCCTGTGTGAAGCCCTTGCTTGAGTCCTTGCTCAAATTCCATGTTTTATTGTTCTTCTTTCTCTTCTTCCCCAGGTTTTTTGTGTGCAAAAAATCCAAGCTGGAGGAGGTGGTAAAGGAAAAGGGAGCAGAAGAAGAATATATAGATTAGCATGAGAAAAAGATGTTTTGTTTTTCAGCTACAGGGAACCTAGTCTTCTGATGTCTTGGGTTCAGGGCTCTCTAAACAACCTACTATATATTGAGCATTCATCCTGATTTGTCTGCAGGGAGGTTAGATGGCTCTGAGTCAAAGCAAGCAGCACCTCACATTTTCCTGTGCATTCCCATCATTTTCCATATTGCAAAAGGGCCAAACTGTTCTGGGGCTTGCTGTGGAAGAGCTCTGAATCAGCTATAATTTTGCAGCCTGAATTTTCTGGTATGAGATTGAATCCCACCTGAAAACAAGCCTGAAAATTTCCCCGAGATGAATCTTTGTGCTGCTCTGTCTCCATAGAGAAAAATCAGGTGGTAGAGAATGCCTAGGACTGTACCACTTTCAACCACAGGTGGATAATTGTATGTAGCTGCAATACTCTTGTGTCAATCTCAGTTTTCATGAACCTTTGGGAATAAACAGAAAGCTAGAATTTAAATCTCTCCCTGGCCCACTAGGTTCTCTTTATGTAGGGTTCCCTTCGCCACCTACTAGCTGCAATGGCTATCCTCTGCCTCCACAGTTGGAGGCAGCAAGGCTTCTGAATACCAGTTGCTGGAAACTACAGCAGGGAAGAGTATTGCACATGGTTGACCACTGTGAGAACAGGATGCTGGACTAGAAGGGCCCTCTTTGGCCAGATCCAACAGGCTCTTCTGATGTCCCTATGGTGACCTCCAAATGTTTCAGACCACGATTCCTGGGAGTTGTAGTCCAAAACATCTGGAAGGCACCAGGCTGCGGAAAGGGAACTTCCCCCCTGCCTGTGTCGACAGTCCCAGGAATTTTGTACCATGTGATTTTTCTTTTGGTGCTGTGTCTCAGCAATTAAGAATCCATAAGCTAGAAGGCCAAACTAGTCATGTGACCTGTTTAAGCTTGTCTCCCTGTGCAGGTGCAACCGGAGGCCGTTAGCATGACTCTTACCCTCCACAAACAGATGATAATCAGAGCCAGCAGCAGGAGCCCCCCAATGATGCTGCCAATCAGGATCCAGAGCGAAAGAGGGACCAGATTGGTCTGGATGATCTCCAAGATGGTCTGCAACGAGAAAGGGGAGAAATCTGCTGAATCCCAGCAAAAAGCCCACTGGTAGTGTTGGGAGGCGTGATGAGGATTCAGAGCTGGTTAGCTCAGACTGAAAGGGCATCACAAAGACAGCAAGAGAGCAGTTGACATGAACAGGGTTTTCTCACTGATTTCTCTTAAGCCTAAGCCCAATGCACTCAACTCTTTTTAAAAAAAACACACCAAGCTTTCATCCCTTATTGCGATTGTGAATACATACAGACAGGTCCCGCTTACCATACACATTGCATTCCCTGGAAATCATTCACTTGCATAACAAAGTCAACAATTTCCATTCATTCTTAAGGGGAATTTTTTTTTGCTATGACGCAGAAGCTGCTGCAGCTTGAACCACCACCACCACCACCCCAGCCTTGGAAAGGCCAGCAGCCCCTCCTACCTCCCGTTGATGGGCAGCCTCTGGCAGCAGAAGGAGGCTCTCCTCTTCTTGGCTGGTCAGTGTGAACCTGCTCACAACCTTCACAGTCTTGAATTTAGCCTTCGTCCATGAGATGGAAAGAAAGAAACAAGAGGGGTGTTAAGAAGAAGAAGAAGAAGAGCCTCCCAAGGCAGGTTCCCAGCTGGCAAGTGCATTTATTTTTATTTATTTCATTCTTGCATTTATCCTCCAAGGGAGTGTGGTGCATATGGCTCTCCCTTACCCCACAACAATCCTCTAAGACTGAGAGGTTGTGATGCCCCTGGATTCTCAGCACAACACTGCTTTACTGAACAGAGGCAAGTTTGCCTTTTTAGGAGTTGCATTCCACAACCACCATCGCAGCCTCAACCTGCTACCAGATGCTCTCTAACCCTGTTGCGTTCTTGAACAAAGCAAAGAAGGAATTCTATTCTGGTGACACTCAAACTCAGCAGGTGATTCCAGGGGAGTTTACTGCTGTATCTGAACAAATTGGACATGCAGGTTTTATGCAGGGTCCACACAGTCATTGTCGTGACAGCCTGCACCTACCTACCTACGTACCTACCTATGCACACAAACACATTCAGTCCAGATTTTCCCATGCTACCAGCAAAGGGCATATAAGACCCTCTTAAGCAGTAATTCAGGGGTGCATGCATGAGAGAGGGTACAAAGTCTGCACTCACCCTCCTGAAAAACTCATTGTGAACCGCTCTCAGCAGGTGGATGGAGACTTCCGCGTTCCTCTCGATGTGCGGCAGCTCACACTTCACCACTTGGCATCTGGCGTTGGTGCAATTCTGGCAGGAAAGAGAGACCTCAGCCCTTTCTTTGCCTCTGCTCGTTCCACCCAAAACCCAATCAAAGTGTGGGCAGAATTCTAGGCATTTTCTGTACCTTTCCCCAACCTTCCCCGCTTCACAACCTAGGCTGCTTCCAGATGTGGGTGCATTATTTATTTGATTATATGTTGCATATTTAAGCCCCACCTTTTTTCCTCCAAGGAGATCAACGTTCTCCAGCCCTCCTCATCTAATCCCCACAACAACCCTGTGAGGCTGAGAGGCAGTGACTGTGTTCCGAGTTACCCAGGGAGCCTCATGGCTGAGTGGGGATTTGAACCCTAGTCTCCCAGTTACTAGTCCAACACCGTAACCACTGCACAACCCTGGCTAGCACCCCATTAGTAGCACCCAATCCTTGCTGTCCTCCTTTAAGCCTGCAACTGGAAGATCAATTCTTCTCTCGGGCTTCAAAAATCCAAATAACATTATGCAGTGGAGGGGGTGAGTAGCCCCCTCTTTTACCAGGCCCAAATGGGGTGGTTATGGGGTGGTTTTCATTGGTAACATGGTGTGCATGTGGTAGGTTTAGGGGTTTTAATCTGTTTTAGTTTATTGCTGATTTTACTTTACAGTGGTACCTCGGGTTAAGAACTTAATTCGTTCTGGAGGTCTGTTCTTAACCTGAAACTGTTCTTAACCTGAAGCACCACTTTAGCTAATGGGGCCTCCCACTGCTGCCACACCACTGTCGCACGATTCCTGTTCTCATCCTGAAGCAAAGTTCTTAACCTGAGGTACTATTTGTGGGTTAGCGGAACCCTGAAGCGTCTGTAATCCGAGGTACCACTGTATGTTTTAAAATATATGCTGTTAACTGTTTTTACTAATAATTGTATTGCTTTATTTTCTTTCTAAATCGCTATGAAGGTTTTTTAAAAAACAATCAAGCGGTAAATGGTTCTCATGAAATCTAAACAAACAAACAAATAAGTAAAAATTACTGTACACATTCTGCAATCGTGGATGCAACATAAAATGGGGTGGGGGGGAATATCTCCACTTGGTACTCTCCCTATTTACCTTTCTGGATGGTAGCATTTTAAATTGTGTTAAAACAATTTTAACTGACCTTTTAGTTTGCACTAAAATGCTTGCAATGGAAAAGCAACAGTTAGGTTATGATAGAGACAGCCAGTCTTGAAGCTGCCTGAGTCACAGTGAGGAAGCCAAAGGAGGGAAAGTTGGAATAAGGCAAATAACATCTCCTTCTCTTGAGTTACTTTAAACCACATGAGGGCACACTTTGTGTTGCAATCTGGCCAGCACCTGTTTGTAGTTTTTATGTCTATGTTAACTTTACCCATAAAAGCTGAGCCATTTTGTTTGCTATTCTCTCCAGACATCTATTATTTTCTCTGTCATCTCCACTCATATTGTACATAGTTCCTGCATGAATAAAGCCTTTAAACTCCAGCAACTTCAATCAAATTCACCCAAGCTGCAAGGTCTGCTAACATGGCACTCACCAGTTTCTCTACGTGCACAAGTTCTTCTGGATGAACAGGGATCATCACACCACCAGCTGCATTTTGAGAGGCCTCTGTCAGATTTTGCATGGTGCAGGTCACCTGGAAAATGGAAAGGGACATCACTATGTGTGAGGGGTCCTTCTAAGCTTTTCCTTGAGCACCTTCAGCAGGCCTCTGCACCCAGGCCTCTGAACAGGAGCGGATTTCCTTCCCTCCCCTTATTCATGTTTGGCCCCTTCTCGTTTTGCGCTCTCTGTCTCATCTCTTTTGGCATTAAGATGTCCTAAACAGCAGTGCTATTTTTCTAGAAAAAGAGGTGCCGGAACTCACCATGAACACTGTCTTTGTTCTTGTATAATGGCAATGGCACCCACCTAAGAGGTGCTGGAACTGAGTTCTGGCAAATTCTGGCTGAAGAAAAGCCCTGCTCAGCAGCCAGCTAAAATTAAGAAGAACCTACTGAACCCAAAGTGCTAGAGGAAGTGGTCAGAGCTGTTTGCAAATTAAACTTTACTAAAGCTGGGCTTTTAGAACATTTAGATCTAAGGACTTGTATAAGAGGACCTTGTGAACCATGAGCATAGGGAGAGTCTGGTCGCTGGATCAGGCCAAAGGGGGCCTATCTAGTCCAGCATCCTGCTCTCACAGTGGTCAACCAGATGCCCCAATGGCAAGCACAAGAACATCCTTTGCCCGCAAGTTAGTAGGTGTTCACTCTAAACCAGATTGCAGATTTTGAAACTGAGCAGATCAGCAGCAGTAGCCTTCTGGGCCCAATCTATCCCGATGTCATATGTGGTGCATTGCCAGGGCTGTGCAAGAGAACTTGCTGTCCCATGAGCAGGAAAGTGTCATTTGGAATTTTCCCATAAGACCTCAAACGACAGCAAGAACAGAGGCCCTGAAACACTTATACTGGTGAAGGCCTAGTGACTCACGTTATCTGCAATGATGCGTGTGACGGAGAGGAATTCACTGTTCTGATAGGCTGTGGCAGGCAGGTCCATGACAAGGGAGAGATTCTCCACCGCATAACAGCCAAGGTTTTGCACCTACAGGGATGAGAAGAGTGTTCAATAGATGAAGCAAAAAACTGCACAAAGCTTTAAAAAAAATAATCATGTAGGGTCACCATTTTTGGAAACTGGAATCTGAAACTCTGGATTTCTCTAAGCTGAACTTTGAAAATCTGATTGTGCAGGAGATATAAACTCAGTCTCTGAACCCACAGGAGTGAACAGTGCCTTTGCCAGTTGCTTTTCTTCTTTTTCTTTTGGGCATTGCAGTGGTGAGAAGAAAGATGGTCACAGTAATAAATCAACAGGTGTGTCTGTGGAACCAGGTGCCCAAAAGAAAGAGAGGGGAGCCTGTGGCCTTCTAAATGTTATTGGGCTCTGATCGTCCCTGACCATTGGCCATGCTGGCCAGGGGGCTGATGGGAATGGGAGCTCAAAAGCTTTTTTGTTTCCTGCTTGGCAGGGGGTTGGACTCGATGGCCCTTGTGGTCTCTTCCAACTCTATGATTCTATGATTCTGGAGGGCCAGCCCTGATCTTAAAGCATTGGTACCTCAATTTGCCTGGGTCTGCTGGAGAAGCATTTAGTCATGTGAGTCCTGCAGTCTGAATTAAGCTTCGAGACTTAGACCCCTGATAGGCTAGACTTCTACACAGAGATATGCTTGTCTATTTTACATAGAGGAGCCCCTACCTGCGATCTGAGGTGGTCCAGCCCAGGCACAGGTTCGCCGCTGCCTTACTAATGCCGCTAATGATAAAGCGTGATATTCTGCAGAGGAGCCCTGCCAGAGAGAAAATAGGCCACCCTTCCCTGTTTTACTGCCGACATACAAACCCTGTCCCAACTCCTTATTTACCTTGACAGTAGTCCTAAACTCAGGGCTCATACCGCTTGGAAATGTCCCAACAGGATGCACCTCGTAGCGGTTCAGGGTAGACTCGCTGAGGGAGAGAAGAACCATAGAAAATAAACCAGGTCAGTTCTAGATTGTGTAGGCCGCAGTTTCCAATTTCTCCATGGCAACCATTGCAAATAACCCAGATTGTTTGCTTACTGCACACTCTACAGAGATGACCCAAGGCCTTTTGTTGCCTGAAGAAGAAGATCCATATAGAGTGGTACCTCTGGATGCGAACAGGATCCATTCCGGAGCCCCGTTCGCATCCTGAAGCGAACGCAACCTGCATCTGCACGTGCCGCAATTCGCCGCTTCCACGCATGCGTCATTTTGAGCGTCTGCGCGAGCAGCGAAACCCGGAAGTAACATGCTCTGTTACTTCTGGGACGCCACGGAGCACAATCCAAAAATGCTCAACCCGAAGCTACTTCAACCCGAGGTATGACTGTACCGTCCACCTAGTCTCATCTCCTACGGTGATATAGCACTTAAGAGTGTCAGACCAGGGTTCGAATCCCCACTCAGCCATGAACCTCGCTGGGTGATGTTGGGCCAGTTACTCTCAGGCTAACCTACCTCACAGGGTTGTTGTGGGGATTAAATGAGGAGGGGGAGAACCATGTGAGCCACCTTGAGCTCCATGAAGAAAAAAGTGGGATATAAATGGTATAAATAAATACAGTATTTATAAATTGACACCCTTTAATAGCACCTGTTTCTCCCCCTGGAAGGTAGGCCATGTAGATCAATTGTAACTTCATTTCTTTCCAAACTCCATATCCATTCCAATATCCCTTGATGGTTCAGGCAGCTATCCGTGGAGGGATACTCCAAAAGGAAGAGATCTTCCCAATCTATATATTATGAAAATGGGAGGCCTAGAGATGTCATCACCAATCCTCGTATTCAGACCACCCATAATGACAATAAGTGCCGTGGGATGTTTAGAGATAATGAAACTCAAAAGGTTGTCAAGTTCAGCCCACCCATCTAAGGTAAGTAATGTAGGATAAATTAGTGTCGGATAACCAGTCTCATATAACCAAAATGCTTAAGTCTAATTAATGGATGAAGGGGTTTATGCCACAGAGTAAGCTGTCCTGCCAGGCTTAGCTAAGTCACTCCCCTTCATCTTGAGAGGAAGGAAGTCAAGTCTACTATTTCCCTCAGTCTACCATGTGAACTCCTATGTGTAAAGAGGAACTGGTGGCTCCCAGCTCAGACCTTTCTGCAAGCCACCCTTGTGTTCCTATACAAATAATTTAGGGACTTTCACCACTTTGAAACTAACCTACCAAAGTTTTGCTGTCTGTGTTTTCTCAACGCTGTATGGGAAAACACATGAATCTGACCTTTGAAGAGTTTGTAAGTAAACCATTGTTAACTTACCAAACGTGGTCTTTTTCTATGCTAAGGGAAGAGGGGAGTTTTGGAACTTAGGAGGGCATATTAGACCTTTAAACAAACAGCCTATACTTTGCTGCATATCTTGTGATTTTACATCTCTGCAGGGGTTCTCTCGCAAAAGAGTACTTGCCCCAAACTTGGATATTGCCATCCAGGGAATTCTCCTTTACGCGCCTATTTTTTTCCTTGCCAGCCAACAGTTAGAAGGATAATCTAAGTATTAAGACAGGCCAGGGTAGTCCTTTTGGGGAGTTGCGTCAGAACTGAAAGCATCCCTGCATGAGGAACCGGAGCCTCAAATGTCAACAGAGATAAAAGGTAGCCATTGGACTGAATTAGCCAAGTGATGATGGTGTTCACATTTGGTTTACTCTCCACCCTGGGGGAGCTGAATCATCCTGCCAGGGACACCTTGCAAGGAGGGGGCTCCATCCTCTTATTCAACCTGCATGCAGCTCACTCTACACAGAGGTCCTCACCTGGTCAGCAAAAGGTCGGGCTCATAACGGATATAGGCAAGGGGCTGTGCCATGTTGTCGGTTAGGGTCTCATTCAATTCATGGCTGTCACTGCAGGAAAGATAATAGAATCATAGAATTGTTGGGCTAGTAGGGACCCAAACCGTCAAGTCCAACCCCTGTGCTGCAGCAATCTCAGATAAAGAAGGCAATCCAAGCTCTGTTTAAAAACATCCAGTGAAGGGGAATCCACCACTGTCAAGCAGCTGTCCTGTCAGAAAGTTATTCTTTCTGTTTAGTCAGAATTTCTTCCTTGTAATTTGAACTCATTAGTCCTCTGCAGCAGCAGAAAACAAGCTTGCCCCATCTCCCATGTGACAGCCTTTCAGATATTTGAACATGGCTGTCCTATCAGCTCTTAGTCTTCTCTTCTGCAAGCTAAGCATCCTCAGCTTCCTCAATCATTCCTCTTTAGGCTCAGTTTTGAGGCCCTTGATTTTGAGGGCCACCCTCCTCTACACAACTTTTAGTTGGTCAAATGCAAAGCCAAATAACTTTACAGTCGTACCTTGGTTCTCGAATGCCTTTGTACTCAGGTGTTTTAGCTCCCGAGCGCCACAAACCCAGAAGTGAGTGTTTCGGTTTGCAAATTTTTTTTCGGAAGCTGAACATCCAACATGGCTTCTGACTGAGTGCAGGAAGCTCCTGCAGCCAATCGGAAGCCACGCCTCGGTTGTCGAAAGGTGCCAGGAGTCGTACGGACTCCCAGATCGGATTAAGTTTGACAACCAAGGTACAACTGTATTGTACTAGTCACTGGCCATGATGAATCTGAATCAAAAATAAATACAAAGCTAAAGAGGTGGTGATTGATATATATATATCTATATATCTATATATATATCTATATATCTATATATCTATATCTATGGCCTTCATTCTGACTTTCCCTGGTTCTCACCTGCTGGCTGTGAGCTTCACCTGTGCTTTGTTCAGAAGGGTGGAGCAGCTGAATTCAAACTCCAGGACAAAGGCTACCTGTGAAAGAGAGAAAAGAGAGAAACATTTCCGCATCTGCTTTTTCTACACCATTCATAAACTCTGTACCACAGCTGGGTATGTGCCATACATTGGCTTCCCTCAATGAACTCTAGGAATTGTAGTTTGTTAAGAGTGCTGGGAATTGTAGCTCCACGGGAGGTAAACTACAGTTCCTAAGATACTTTGGGGTCAGTCATGTGCTTTAAGTGTATAGCGAGTACACAGCCCATGTCTTCCTTTAGCTGTCTTTTATTTTATTTTTCCTACGTGAGAAAATGGAATACTGTTCACCTAGGAAATGTTCCAAGGAGCCCCGCTCTAAGGTGATCCTGAAGAGCTGCTCTTTCTCTCTCACCTTTGCTAAGGACCTGAAGACAGGGTAGCCCACACGGCAAGCTCGGGTTTGGGAAGACGGGGAGGTGCATTCCACCTTCACTGAGTTCTCCCCCTGTGGAAGGAAGGAGAGAGCAAAGCTGCAAAAGGAGAGAACCATCAAGCACATGGAATGGGATCCAGCCTCCTCAACTTGAGTTTCCACCTTTTGCTTTCCTGGCAAGAGCTTTCAAAAAGGTTCACGGGAGGCAGAGATCCAACGCGTAAGGTTGCTACACCTCTGTGCTAGAGAAAACTGTGCCCATTCAATTTCTGCTTATCGCACAGGTGTTTACAGAGCCTTGGGCTGCAGAGACCGGGTTGTATACCTTCTGGGCTACAGAAAACCTGCAGGATTTGGTAAACAGTCGCATAATCTCTGCTTTTGTTTTTTAAAAAAGAAAACATACACATAGACCGTGTGATTGTGACAAAGCACCGTTGGCTGCGAAGACAAAGCTTGAATCCTTGGTGCAATCTCAGAAGTGAGGGGAGCTGCTGAATTTCTGGAGCTCAAGTCCCCCCCCAGCCCCCCAATAAGAAGAAATGAAGAAGCAGAATAAATGATGTGAAAAATGCACATCTGCATGATTCACACAGGAGTTTTCAGGTTGGCACCATGACATTTAAGCCTCAGAGATGTGACAGCCTCTCTTTCCAGAATGCTATGGCAACTCTCAGTCCTCCTGGAGTCAGCATCGTCCCTGGCCAGAGAGTGACCCTCAGTATCCTAGCAATCATTTCGTTCTGCTTCCAGCCCACCACTTTTGACCACAGCAGAACGCCAGTCGGGAACAGGGCCTCTGCCTTACCTTGAGCACGAGGCTGGAAAAGTGGAGGTTTCTGGAAAACCAGAGCCACAGACTGGCATTGTAGGCGTTCTCCTGCTTGTTCTCCAGCAGGACATCCACCAAGACTTTCCGCTTCCCTTTGCGGATCACGTGCGGCTTCTGCCTGGAACGAGAAGAGGAGATGGCAAACGCCTGCCTTGCAAAAGGTGAGGAGGGCAGGAGTTTTGATTTCTGCCCAGCCTCCCAATCAAATGATTCTCAAGCTGGTTATCATCTGCAACAGATCTCCTGCCACCTGTTAAGAAGGAACTGGATTAACAGGGTCCTGGGCCAGGAGGACCAGCAAGTGACTGATGAACTAAGGTGATGAACTACTTGCTTGGCCTGATGTAGTGAAAGAGGGACCTTTCACTCTAATTCCTACCTGGATCCTGTGATGTCCATCTGAGCTCGCAACACCAGATCTGTTATACACTCATCGTCTTCACCACAATCCTTAAAGAAGGGGATCTAAAGAGAAAGAAAGAGGCAGGATGATTCTGTGTGATGCAAACCCCTCTCCACAATATTATTAACTTATTAACTTATTTTAATTTTATATTGTATTATGAATTAATCATGATTCAAAAACAGATTAACTTATATGAATAGGTTACACAACTATATAGTTCTCAAGCAAGGTACATAAAGGGGGAATGCTGCTCTGTTTCTAAAAGCAGCCATATATGCATTAGATCCTTTTAAAAATTCATTTCAGTAACTATACAATAAAGTTATACAAATACCACGTAGGTCATAATAAGGTCTAATTGTAACAATACAAAAATAATAATATCAGTAATAGCAAGAATTAAGTATCTCCAAAATGATCTTGACCCCCCAGGTTAGCAAAGCAGGAAGCAGGTCTTGCAGGACATGCAGCAAAGATGGTCTGGTTTGACGTGCAGAACGGCATGGGCAGCAGGTAAAGGGGCATCTGTGCATGTGCTACTCACCAATTTCTTAACACTGGTGGGTGACTTATCGTCCAGCACAGGGCCTGGCTCAGCATCATTCAGTGCGAACTTCACCAGGACTGCAACCGGCCTCAGGTAATCGGAGGTGTCCTGCAAAGGATAAACAAATCCAGGGTTGTCTTTAGACAGCAGGCCTGGTAAAGATTCACAGCATTGCTGAGATTAAAACAGGAGAACACCATGCACCTTGGTGGTTTTTAAGCAGAGGTTGGAATATTTTAGCGGTGATTCCTGCATTGCAGGGGGTTGGACTAGATGACCCATGGGGTCTCTATCTGCATCAGTCGGAGTCAGAACTGACCCACCCACACTTGTAATGTACTCACAATCACGTGGAAACGGACTGCCGAGCAGGTTGTCCTGCCCACGGTGGCCCGGGTCCTCTTCTGCAGCAGCTTTTGGGAGTTGCCATCGAAGACGGCCCTTGCCCCAAATTTTCTGTCATCCAGGGAGACGTTGTACTTTATACCTAGGGCCAAGCAGTGAGTGGAGTCAAGCAAAGCCAGCCTTTGCTAACCTTGGACTACATTTCCCATCCTCCTTGGGCACTGGCCATGGGGGCTGGGGCTGGTGGGAGCTGCAGTCAGAAACTTATGGAGGGTCCTAGGCTGGTGATGCCTAGTTTCAGTCATGTGATCAGCCAACAGCCAATCGCAAGGCTCCTCAAGAGCTGGCCCAGAGGTGTTGCAAAGTAGTTTAAGATTAGGGCAGGCATAGGTAAACTCAGCCCTTCAGATGTTTTGGGACTATAACTCCCATCATCCCTGACCACTGGTCCTGTAGGGATGATGGGAGTTGTAGTCTCAAAACATCTGGATTGCCGAGTTTGCCTATGCCTGGATTAGGGGCACAGGCCTACAGGCACAAAAACGAGTTTAGATTTAAAGTATCACAGAAGGCAAGCTGCCTGATTTCTCATCCATATCCCCCTGGATAAATTCTTCAACAAATCTGCCTCCTGCCGCAGATTGCCCCCAATCAGCTTCCCGTTAATTAATTTACCCCCAGTTAATTTTCCAACTGATCCTGTTTGCAAATCAATTTCCCTTCCATTGCCCCCATTCATTATCCTGTAAATAATCTCTAGTTAAAAGTTACCTTATATTTAGTTATTCCGTCCCCAAATTAAGATCCTGCCTTGCAACCCAGATAACACTCCAATTCAAGTTTTCTCCAAATGCATTAACTGCCCAGAAACAGTCCAGAGGACACCGTGGAGAAGATCCTGCCCACCCCCAACAACACGCCTGCCAAGAGGGCGCTACTCACTGAAGTGGCTGTCCCTCGGGCCCAGAGACCGGGAAGACACCCTGAAGCAGATGTTTGCCGTCACACAAAGAGACTCCTTTCTGTTCCTCTGGCAGTTCTTCTGAATCACATTGATGGACGGAGGGTTAGCAGTGACCGAAGTGTTGACCTGCACAATCCTCCTTGACCTGCCCCCCTCAGCAGGAAGGAAAATGATATTGTTAAATAAATAAAAAATCCCAAAGTTGGGCCTAAGGTCTGCGCTATACGTCTGAAGCAATATCGTATCACTTTAAACAGTCATGGCTCCATGCAAAGAATCCTGAGAGTTATTAGGAGACCCCTTATTCCCCTCACAGAGCTACAATTCCCAGAGTTCCCTGTGAAAGTGAAAAGGGATTGATTGCTAAATATGGATCTTTCAACAGCTCTTAAAATACTACAGTTTCCTTTGGGGAAACTGTGATTGTTTAAAGTGGTATGATACTGCTTTGAGGGGCAGCGTGGTGTAGCGGTTAGAGTATCAGACTAGTCCCTGGGGAGAGACCAGTGTTCAGATTCCCATTCAGCCATGAAGCTCACTTCAATGACCTTGATGTTCCCTCTGCCCGGGTGCAGCCTTCATTCCCTCCCACCTTTCAGCTTTCCTCACCTCAAGACCACCGCAGCACCCTGTGCTCCAACGGCAAGGTCCACCAGGCCATCCCCATCCAAATCGATTTGCCCGTCCAAGCTGCGGCCAAAGTAGCGGAGGCCTCGGCGGAGGCCGGCCGACTCAATGCGCTGTCGGAAAGAGCAAATCAAAAGCTGAAGACACACAGAATGTGTGAAGCCCCGACAATAACGGACTGGCATTACAAGCTACAAGAATTTGCTGATATGGCGCAGTTAACAAATACCCTGAGAGGCAATTCAAAACAAAAAATTATGGAAAAGTGGGATAGATATAAAACATATGTTCAAAAATACAGTAAAGGTTTGCTATCTATCCTAGCATTTGATTGACATTGGAGTGAGACTGAGTTGAGAAATAAGACTAAGAGCACATATTGATATAGGAATGTATTAGATAATATGTAAAGAAATATACAATAATAAGAGTACGTTCATTTCCAAAAAAGGAATATACAATGGGAAAGACAGGAAGTCTAGTGTGTTGGTATGTATATGATTGGGGGGGTTGTTTTTGTTTTTTCTCTTTGTTCTTTCTTTTTTTTGTTTAATCTTTCTTGGTATATAAAATTTGTATATAATTTTTTTATACATGTTGGAAATTATATTATAGTAAGTCCTGTAATGTAATATGACAACGTTTACTGATGTAATATAAGAATGTTAACAAATAAATAAAATGCAAATCCAAAAAGAAAAAGGGGGGGGAGAATGTGGGGTGTTTGGTTTTAATCAGTGAGGCTGCTCTGTAAGAGCCCTGACTGCAGTCGTTCCAAATGTACTTAAGAACATAAGAGCCTGCTGGAACAGGCCGAAGTAGACCCCGTCTAGTCCAGCCACTTGTTCTCACAGTGAGCAACCAGATGCCCCAATGGAAAGCCGTCAAGTGGGACCTGAACTCAAGAGCCCTCTCCCCTTCTGTGGTTTCCAGAAGCATCACTGCCTCCGAGAGAGGAGGAAGAGCACAGCCCTCGTGGCAAGTAGCCATTGACAGCCCCCTCCTTCATTAATTTGTCTAATCCTCTTTTAAAGTCATCCAGGTTGGTAGCCATCCCTGCCTCCTGTGGCAGAGAGTTCCATAGTTAAACCATGCGCTGGATTTTCTTTTATCTGTCCTGAACTTAGTGCGGTGAGAGAATCAGAATCAAAAATCAAAATGGTACGAGGACATTGCTTAATTTTGTTATCTATGGTTTTCTTTCTCATTTCTCTCTTTTACATTTTACTCTTCTCTTTTGCTATTGGTTTTCGTTGATATATTTTTGTGTGTCCTGTCATGGTTAAAAATGAAATAAATAGTTATTTACCAAAGGCAAAAAAGAATCAAAATGATATTGACAGGTTGGAGCTGAAACCTAAAACAGCTTGTGATACTACAGAGTCAAATGTGAAGCGCTGCGTTTAGTGGCAATAAAATAAAATAGAAGGTGCATGTTTAGGATGAGGGAGGGAGACTTGGCCTGGCAGGAGCACAGCTTAGAAAGGACATGAGCTAAACATCACCCAGCAGTGTGATTTGCCTGCTGAAAACGCAAATGCCATCTTAAGCCCCCCGGATCATCGGAAGTGAATAGGAACAGGGCCTGGGGGTGGAAATGGCAAGGGGCACCGATTTTGGCTAAACACTGGGGGAAATGTCCTAGTGGGAAGAGCTGTTGGAATAGTGGGGAGCACTCAAACACTGGAGCCAGACACTGGCTCCCACTCACCTGTTTGAAGCGGGGCAGCACCGTGGTGCGGTAGCCATGATAGATGTAGACTGCCCCCTGGTGGTTGTCCTCCAGCGGCGCACCCACCACAACGTCATTGTAGCTGTCGTGATTAAGGTCAGGGACAGCCAGGAGGGAGTAGCCAAAACGAGCGTCTTGAGGTTTCGGGTCGGCATGGAGGGTCCCGTTGAAAGACACAAGCAACTTCAGAAGAGGGAGAAAGGTTAAAATGGGAGGCACAGTGGAGCCATTGGGCATTGGCTTCAGGATAGAAAACCCCCTCCTCCACAATGGTGTGCCCTGAAGAACTGTGAGGAAGGCTCAGGACTGAAGCACATGCAGAAGGTCCCAGTTTCAACCGGGGCATCTCCAGTTTAGAGGATCTCAGATAGCAGCTGATGAGAAAGAACCTTTTATGCCTCAGATCCTGGAAAGCGAGTTCTCAGCAAAGTACTGGACCTATGCTCAGCCAACAAAAACACTGCAATGCTTTGGACAATGGCTCCCATCATCCCTGACCACTGGCCATTCTAGCAGGGGCTGATGGGAGTTGTAGTCCAAAACACCTGGGAGGGAAGGCATCAGGTTGGGGAAGGCTGAGTGCCGCAATACAGGTGTTGCACTTTTTGTTGCAGGATGAGGTTCCAGGAGGGTCATGTGTCAGAAGAGCTTGAAATTTACTGGCTTTGTAAGCACCTCTTCCATGTGAAAAGTAAGGGAAAATGTGTGTGCGTCTTATGGAGCGAATGCAGGCTGTGCAGCTATCACAGAAGCCAGAACAGCAAGAGGGATCCCTCTTGCTGTTCTGGCTTCTGAAATTCAGAATTTTTTTTTCTTGTTTTCCTCCTCCAAAAACTAGGTGTGTCTTGTGGTCTAGTGCATCTTATAGAGCGAAAAATACGGTATTTCTTTGCTCAGCAGAGGCCAGACTGGAAATGGCATGGCTTGGAAGGGAGTGGTCAGCCTTCCTGTTAACACTTGGGAGGAGAGAGTTTGGCAATTAGCTTACTCAAGAATGCAGGAGAGCCAGAGGAGTAGGCCTAATAAAGTTGTTCAAACTTGGTACCCATTCATCTGTTAGGTGACTGAAAGTGGCTGGGAACTTCCTGGAGGAACACTTCCTTGTCTACTTCATTGCCAGGATAAACTCAAATGTTAGGGAAGTTTTAATGTTTGATGTTTCATTCTGTTTAATATTCTATTGAACCGCCCAGAGTGGCTGGGAAAACCCAGCCAGATTGGGGGGGGGGGGGATGTATAAATAAATAAATAAATAAATAGTAGTAGTTGTTGCTGCTGCTGCTGTATCGTGCTAATGTAAGATGATGGAGACATTGTCGTATCCCATTGCTATTGTCTGTATTCCTGCTAACTGTTTCTAGAAAACCCTTTTAAAAAAATAGTTTTTTTAAAAACCTAAACAACACCACTCACCTGCCCCACTTTGTAGATGTAAACGCGGCCTGTCTCTTTGTTCTGTGGGCCCAGGTACATGGGGGCAGCCACCAGCAGTACATCTGTGATTCCATCTCCGTTCACGTCCACTGGGCACATTTCACTGCCAAAGTAGGAGCCAATCTGCAGAGAAAGACGCCACCTGCTATGTCAGAACTGCACAAGTTCTTCTGCACTGGACATCAGAGCAATCCTGCATCTTAAGCCTGATTTTGCACGTTTCCAGATCTCAGTAAATAAAGATGCACCCCCAGATACCTAAATGTAAACTCAGAGGTCCAGGGGGCAATTTCATGGCTATCTATCCATCTAATCTATCTATCTATCTATCATCTATCTATCTATCTATTGTGTGTGTGTGTGTGTGTGTGTGTGTGTGTGTGTGTGGTCAGGCAAGACTCTGAATCTTGAGGAATTCAGAGTTTTCAAACACCTGCTCTTTATAAAGCATCATCTGAATAGATGGTGCTGTAGAAAAAAATCAATACATTCAGGTATTTACATTCAGGTGCAGAGGGTATTTCAGTTCAGTCCCCAATCCATAATGACCCCCACCACCCCCAACCCATCCTTGGCTGCTATAAATTGTGCTGGAAACCACCTCCATCTGTTTGGACCCTGAAGTTCTGTGTCACGAGTTCTAGTTGTGCCTGCAAAGATAGTGGAAGGGTTGCATCTCCCTTCCCTAAGGAGCAGCATCCCTAACCCCTGCCTCCTCCCACCATAATGAGTCTGGGCCTCAGCCTTAGCCAGCAGGTGAGGTTATATGAAAGGGAGGAGTGTCTCTGATCATGTACAGACTGTCTTTTACTCTCTTCTCTCAGTAACTGCACACATATTTGGGAATGAAAGAACAAAGTTTCTAGGGACGCAGTTGTCACTCCAGAAATCAGCTACTATCATCTCCACTGCCCCGAAACTCACTTGGTCGCCAGTAAGGGCCTGGGAAATGGTTACGCTGCCATCGCTGCTCATCTCAAACAGGATCACTTTCCCCTTGTGCTTGAAGCGGGGGGCACCAGCCACATACAGCCCCTTCCCGTTCCTGAGCTTGATAGAAGAGACTGTGTATCCTGGGGAAGGAAAAGAGAGAGAGAAATAATAAAGCTGTGCGGACTCTTGTTTTGCCCTGAACTAATTGGCTAGCTTTTCACTCACAGCCTTAAGTTTTTCTTTCTGCAAAATGGGACAAGGAATGACTGGCCTCACACACTTGGTGAAAGGGGAAAGCAAAGGACTGCCTTGCTTTTATTCATCCTACATAAGCCAGTGGTTTAACAAACAAACAAAACAAATGATTCTCACTTTAGTTTTCTATTCTGAACAGGAGCCGTGCTTGAAACATGCTGGGATCATTTTATCACCTTGATTTTGGAAACAAATAGCCACTGAGAACTGGGGAGATGGGGTGAAGAACAGGCCTGCCAACTGCCTTGACTATTAAATGAAACCTCCATGTACAGGGCAAGTCTACCTGTGGATACCAGGGGAGGACTACTGGCTTTCTGATCTCCTTGTGGACTTCCCAGAGGCCTCTATGATGTTGCGCTAGAAGGACCTCTGGCCTGATCCTGCAGGTGGTCTGATTTTATCTTTGTGCCCTTTGTGGGTCTCCACTCTTTCCCTCCCTGTATAATGGGAAGCGGCATCCTTCCTTACCCAGATAGGCTGCGTGGTTTTTCAGCCTCAGGGGGAACTCCCTCTCAAAGGCCTCCCTTGGCGGGATGAACCGCCCACTCCTGCTCTCCTTCAAGACTGCGCCATCCCAGTCATATGCCCCTACCATGCCAAAGAGGATCCCGTCCTGCCAGGGAACAAGCAGATACATAAGCAGTCCAGCCAGACAACACAAGTAAGACTGCAGCCGAAACCATTTGCCCCTGCCTTTCACGCAGTGATACCAGAGGTAGCCAGCAGGGGGTGTACCATATGCTGTTGCACCATGACTCCCATCAGCCCCAAGCAGTAATGGCCACTGGGCAAGAGCTCATGGGAGATGAAGTCCAACTACCTTAGGAAGACATCACGTTGGCTAAACTTGGGCGTGTCAGTTTACCCTTTGTGGTTCCCAAACTGTGGTCTGTGGACCAACGGAGAGACCCGTGAACTTAATTCAGAGCTCTGTAAAAAATAATGGTGCCTGCTTAACCAGGGTTTGGCTGTCTTGGATTGAAGGTCAACAATGGAGACTGTGGTGTCGTTAGTGTATATGATTGTATTTACACATTTATACAACCTGAGCATGGAGGATGGAGAGGCTCACAGCATTCGTACCCCAAGAGATCCTGCTTTCCTATTAGATTTCAAGGGAAGGCCCAAATCCAACACAGAGCACACACATCTCTGTGTATCCAGCTTCCAGCACCAGCCAAACTCTCACCCACAACTCCCTGCTTTGTCCTATCATTCCTAGGATGCTGAGGTATCCAGCCTGGTGAAGTGAGACAAGTCTCACTATTTGTCTCTATGGAAACAGAGCTCACTCCTTGAAGATGCAAATGACGGGCACTTAGCTGATTAGCTAAGGCCTTTATCTTGACATGGGAACTGGCCTGCTCACTTCAGTCAGCTTTCTTCTATAGACTCTAGCCTTTGATACACCGGATCCCAGGTTTGGAAAGGATCTTAAGGGGTCATCCAGACTGAACCCTCTGAAGCCCATAACATTACAAATAGAAGTCATACAGCATTACAAAAGCTACAAACAGGCAGAACAATCCTTAAGTGGCGAGGCCAAGAACCTCTGCAATTTTCATATGGTCCATGAGGGAAGGTTTGAGAACCACACTTTGCACCACAATGTATCTTCTTACCTCAAGGAGGTGCATAGAGAAGCCAATCTGAGACATTTCCAACTCAAATGAGCTGTATTCACGGGTCCCTGAGGAGAAGGGGGGGGGAAGAAGAAATCTGTTAATAGTTGCACACCTCTTTGGGTATTTATTTTAGCAGAAAAGCAACAAAGTAGTAAGATAAATATAGTAGGCAGATTGATAAATGAACAAGATGTGCTCTGTTTGCTGAAATAGCAGGTGAGCACTGACAGGGAGGGAGGGAAGGGGCTTAATCTGCCCTGCCAATTCTCCATTACAAATGCCCCCCTTTATGAGATTTACCCAAATCTCCCTCAGCAGAGAATCTTGTGCCCATTGCTTGTCTGGTGTCACCACACAGCTTTTGGCAAAGGAAGGCACTATTTTAATTCCTCCACAGTGCTCCCAATGTTCTGTTGCTCTAGGGCACTGCGGGAAATTAAAATGAAGGGTCACCCGACACTGACTGTGGCCACTACCGTGTAAGCCCAACAGGGGGCGCTATTAGTGCAGAAGAGGGCCCCAGTGCTGAGGGCCCTTAAGGTTTGAGCCAGGACTGTGCCCCACTCATACTGAAGTTTACAAAGTCAGCTGGGAGCTTGTTATGAAGGAGGTGTTAGAGAGCTTCCTACTAACACTTCTTCTGCACTCCATTTTGTTTAACTTTCATAAACCACAGGGAATCTGGTGGTAGCCTCCCCCCTTTTCCACACTCCCCCTTCTCGAACCTTCAAGGCTAAATATCCTGTCCCCTAAGGCATCCACAATATCGTTCAGGGCCGCCTCATCGGTCACGTTGAAGAAATACTTCTCATCAGGGTCGCTGGCAATGTATTTAATCTCGTTGATAAAAGAGTCTGGGTCTTTCTGCCGCCGAATGTAGTGCCCCAACACCTGAGGGAACAAAAGCCATTTTTCAAAAAAAGTTTGAGGTGCAAAAAGTGCTCATTATGACACATTATGACAACTAAGGGTGTAAGAGAATTCCGCAGAAAATGGAAACGGGAGCAGAAAATTGCCCACGTTTGCTTATTTGTTTAATGTCTGGAACGGGAATCAATCCAGCAGATATGACTGGTATTCACTGTTGTTGTTGATTTCAGTCCACAAACAATTTGCAGTTGGTTACATTTCCCTCACCACCACCATTTGCATTGTGCTTCCTCTGCACTGAAATTAATGAGGTGGAATAACGTAATTTATGTCGCCATGGTGGAAAGCGAGATGAATAATGTTGTTTTTAGAAAAGGGTGGACTGCAGGAGAACAGAAGCAAGGGCTGCATGGGAGGAACACAGGGTGAGACAGAAAGCAATGCCCTTCTTACCTCCCTACTTGAAACTCACCTGAAAATATTTGGGTGGGTGGGGGATGAATACAATAGTGGGGACCAAGAGAGAGCAATACAAAAGGATTCAAGCAATAGATTCTGCTAGTTATCTCAGAAGAGCATGTCAACTTCCGCCTCTTTCACACTGAAATCATTAAATATATAAATTTGCAGCTCCTTCATATGCAAGTTGGAATGAACCAATATTAAATTTAGTACTGAAACCATTTAGTAATGAAGCCCTTATTATCTGTCAAGGCGGAAGGAAGCTAGACGTGGAATCATGGCAGAAGAACCTGCTTTGAACTCTTTTTCACATGGCACCTCTCTCAGCCCTTGCTCCTTCTCTTTTTCACACGCATGCACACCCACATCACTGCCGCCACCCAAAAGCCTCCTGGCACCAGCGCATGCTCACTGCAATGGCGTAGCGTGTCACGTTCCGTTTCTCACACTCTTCCAGGGCGTCTTGGAGTTCTTCGCCATCGTGGGACTCCCCGTCAGTCACCACAATCATCAGCTTGGTGGCTCCCTCTCTCCCGCCTCTTTCTGGGCTAAAGGCCTCTGTGCTGAAGAGAGAAACAAGAGGTGAGGAGGGAAAATAACAATGATGCGCTCCTGTTCTGAGAATGGCATTTCTTGGAGACGCTGGCAGTAGGCAAGATTTTGTGTGCCATTCAGACCAGCACCAATGGAAGCCTAACAGATCCGACTCACCAGAGCACCACCTGCCAGGATGTTCTCCTGCACAAACCATGCTGAAATGCAGGAGAACTTATTTATTTACTTGCTGCTTTTCCTTCCCATCTTTCCTCCAAGGTGCCGCACAAGGCTCTATAACACCAGTCCTGAAAGACCTACATTGGCTCCCAGTACATTTCTGAGAATAATTCAAAGTGTTGGTGCTGGCCTTTAAAGCCCTAAATGACCTCGGCCCAGTATGCCTGAAGGAGCATCTCCACCCCCATCGTTCATCTCAGACACTGAGGTCCAGCTCTGAGGGCCTTCTGGCGGTTCCCCCACTGTGAGAAGTGAGGCTACAGGGAACCAGGCAGAAAGCCTTCTTGGTGGTGGAGCCCACCCTGTGAAATGCCCTCCCATCATGGAAATAAACAACTATGTGACTTTTAGAAGACATCTGAATACAACCCTGTTTAGGGAAGTTTTTAATGATTGATGTTTTATCATGTTTTTAATATTCTGTTGTGAGCCACCCAGAGTGGCTGGGGAAACCCAGCCAGATGGGTGGGGTATAAATAAATTGTTGTTGTTATTGTTGTTGTTGTTGTTGTTGTATCCTCACAACAACCCTGTGACGTAGGACAGGCTGAGAGACGCTGCGTCCATACATACCAGACCATCGGAGCTCATTCAAAACACAACACACACACCCCAATAAAGCCACTTGCTTCTTTGCAAAATGCCTCTTTCGACGTGAGCTGGGCTCCTGCTTGTCTGTCTCTGTCAGGATCAAGAGACACACACACACACAAACACACACCAGGCTTTGTGGATGGCAGACGCTGTCCTAGTTTCGAGCCCCTCCTGGCGGCTGATGTTTTTGGCGGCTTCAATGACCTCCTCTGCTGTTTGGTAATCCTTCAGAGTCCATTCGTGGACAGCAACCTCGCTGTACTGCAATACCCCAACCTACAAGGAGAGAAAGATTTGCTTGGGTTTTTTTTTTCCTTTTTCCTTTTTATTATTACAAAGAAAGCAAGAAAAGTGACTGAAAGAGAACACATCATTGGGTTAAGAAAAAGAAATAGACACCAGGCTGGCATAATTCAAAATATAAAGATAAGGAGGATTTTAAACATAGAATAAAATAAAACCATGCATGCTGTGGGTGGAAAGAATCTTAAAGAGGAATTGCATCCTATAGTATTGGATCAACCAAATCCATTGATAAGCAGAGAGAGGGGACAGACCATGTTATTGCTTATTGACATATGTAATAAAATAAAGCCAGACCTCTACAAATCTATCTTTTCTACGTTGTCCCCTGGAAACCTAACTCGCAGGGTTGTTGTGGGAAATAAATGTGGGGTGGGCAACCATCTACACTACCCTGAGCTCCTTGGAGAAAAGGGTGGGACATAAATGAAAGAATAATAAAATATCTGTGTTATATGTATGTCTGTGTGTGCATTATTATGTTTCGGAGCTAATAATTATACTGCAGTTAAGGGTCAAGACTGCAGTAAGGATCACCAAGTAAAATGTGAAAGAGCTTCATAAGTGATAAGCATTCATGCTACATGAATGATAAGCATGATATTATTATAAAGGAGAGCAGCTGCTACAAGCTACCTGGCCGTGAGTGTGACCCAGTGGAGAGGGCAAAGAGGGGGAAACTGCAAGGGGCAGGGTGAGGTAGAAATTCTGCAAAACTCAGTAAGACTAGTGTTACTACGTAAGAGGGCTGTCTGGCCACAAAACTGGATTCAGGAGGAAACCTAACACTGACTGTTAAGAGTGAAAAACAACTCTAGATAGAGGGCTTTGCACGTACAGCAAAAAACTTGAGGAAGTGTTTTCAAGGACTGTGATTGGAAGAACAGATAGTGTGGTACTCAGGCGGCAGAAGGTTGGTTGACTGGAAAATAACCGGCGAAGATGACATGTATTTTGCCCATCTAGGATGTGTGCTAATGGAAATGCTTCCACAGGCTATTTTGGATTCTATCCTGTAATGCAATTCTGAATAATTCTGACTAACTGAGAACTTTGTGTGAGCCAAAAAAAAAGGAAAAAATGTTATTTATGTATGCCACTACTGCGGCTCATGTTTTGCTAGCCCAAAAACAGAAAAACAAGCGAAGTCCCAACTAAAGAAGAATGGCAACTTAAGCTGGCAGAATATGCGCAACCTGCAGATTTAACATACAGAATAAGACAGTAAGAAGACCCTTATTGAATATATGGGGGGAAATTGTATACACTTGAAAACGTTGGCAGCATTAAGATAAATTCAACAGTGTAAATAAGTTTTGATGGATGTAATAATAGAATACTGAATGGCTTAGTTTTTGTAAAATATGCAGGGATTTATGATATGCAAAATGAACCACGGAAAGAGAAGAAGGGAAGTCACTGATCTTTTAAGGAGGTTTAAATGAGTATTTTAAACTGTAAAATGGAAAATTTAATAAAAAATATATATAAGGAAAAAATTTAAAAAGAGAATTTGATGTGAGCCTCTGTACTGAACCCCAAAGGGAATTTTCTCCCCTCCCCCCAGCCCACCAGATGTCCCTGAACTACAGATCCCATCTCCCCAGGCTATTGGCCATGCTGACTAGCAGAGCTTCTGGGAGTTGGAGTCCGAAACATCTGCAACAACAAAAGGTGTGTTTTGCTTGGGGAACTGTCATCCGCTCCCCTTCTTGCCAACCCTTCCTTAGCCTCGGAGAAGGTTTTCGCGCTCCTGCTGACTCAGCAGAGAGCCCCTCTGCCGCTCACAATGAGCCCACACAGAACCAGGTCCCCTTCCCTCCCTCTCCCTGTTTTCTTTAAGCTTCCTGTTTTCCACAGGCTGGGGTTTTCAAACGTCCCACGCCTCTGCCCTGGCACAGGCTCCATCCTGCAGCAGCAACGGAGATGGGGAAAAAGGTCAAGCGATACCCCAGCACGTGCTGCTAACCGGCCACGGAGAAATAAAGTGATTAGGGGTGAACTCCAGAACGTGGCCACACTCTGAGAGTCACACATGGCCATTAGGGGCACATTCCATTTAATTTACGGTTTCCCCTTTTTTTGAATTAATTAAAAGTTGGGGCAATTTAAGTTTTTGCATGGATGAAGTGGAGGAGACCCTGGCACAGTTCCTTGTCAATTCTGGAGATTTTCTCCCTCTCTCACAATGCTAGAATTCATGGAAGCTGAATGTTGAAAGGCTCAGGACAGAAAAAAGAAAGGATTTTTTTAGACGGCGCATAGTTAAACTACGAAAATCCTCCTGCAGGAGGGCATGACGGTCCTTATCTTAGATGGCTTTAAAGAGGATTAGACAAATTCATGGAGAATAAGGCTATCAATGGCCACTAGCCAGGATGGCTATGCTCTGTCTCCACAGTCGGAGGCAAACTGCAGGAGGAAACTGCAGGAGGGGAGAGTTGCTCTTGTGCTTGGATCCTGCCTGAAGGTTTCCCACAGGTATTTGGTTGGCCACTGTGAGAACAGGATGCTGGGCTCGATGGGCCAATGGTCTCATCCAGAAAGGTTCTTTTTACGTTATTATGTGTAGTGTAATTGAGTTATTAAAAGTTAAAATTCTGCTCAGAAACAGTAGTGGATATATAACTGAGAAGGTGGCTTTGCATGCCAAGGTTTCCTTATGTTTCAGAGCTGAATTATTATACATAAACTTGACATTCCGTAGCTTAAATATCAAATGATGGCTGTTGTTAAGACCAGCCATCTGAACAAATGCATTACACACACACACACACACACACACACACACACAAAATAGTTTTCCCAAACTCTTCATATGGGGTATAATATTTATATGCAACCTAGCCTTCAAAAAGGTGAGCATTGCTTAATGGCAACAAGTTAAATACGGTCAAAATTTTAAAATTACTAGAAGCGGCAGATTGCCACCATCATAATCTGGGTCAGCGAAATCTAGGTCCTCTGACACTTGAGTATAGCAGTGGATATTCTGAGTTTACATTCTGAAACGTAAGACCTTTTCTTGCAGGATTTGTTCTGGCTGCCAATTTACTATCTGGCCAAGTTCATGGTGTTGTCACGAACATGTAACATACACTTCTGGTCCAGCTTACTTGAGGCTTATCCCTTATACACCCAGCAGATGGCAACAGTCTGCGGGAGAGTTTATCTTGCAAGATCCAAAGATCTCAGAAGCCTGCTCTGCGGTGAACTCAGAGCAGGGCTTTTAGTGTGGCTACCCCTGCCCTTTGGAACAGCATCCCTGCCCATTAGACTATAAACTTGTGAGTAGGACTATGTTGCTTTCTTAATCTCCGGTGCCTAGAAAAATATAGGGTGTAAGAATACCAATAATAATGACTAGTGGTGTTGATGGTAATAATGCCTTGCCCTTGGCTTTGGCCCAGCACAGCTTCCTTCTCATCATGCGTGAGTCAGGGAAACGGTCCAAACAGAGTGTCTAAGCGTTTCCTCAGCCAACATAGCCGGAGGATGTGGGGAGGAAGCCAAGCAGACTCTCGCAGGGATGTCTTGGGTGGCTCTCAACCCTCTGCCCCTTTTAAAACAAGTCACACTGTATACTGGCCTTTCCTGACCTGCTGCCCTCCAGATGTTTTGGATTTCAACTCCCATCAGACCAGCAAGCACAGAATCCTCTAGAACCACCCCCCACACATCAAATCTCCAGTTTGCAACAGTGATGTTGCCTTATAAAAGCAGATTTTCTCCACAGTGATTTTGCCCTGTGAAAGCTGATTTAGAATAAGTAAGTTACTGTGAAGCTAAGTTATCAAGAGGAGAGTTAAATGAGTGGAACTGAGTGGTCCCATATGTTTACTGAGTGCTAGAAGCTGACAGTTTTGCAATTGACCGTGTGAAGCTGCAGAATGACAATTTAACAAATAATGGAAAGAAACAATACAGTGGTACCTCGGGTTAAGTACTTAATTCGTTCCGGAGGTCCGTTCTTAACCTGAAACTGTTCTTAACCTGAGACACCACTTTAGGTAATGGGGCCTCCTGTTGCTGCCGCACCGCTGGAGCCCGATTTCTGTTCTCATCCTGAAGCAAAGTTCTTAACCTGAAGCACTATTTCTGGGTTAGCGGAGTGTGTAACCTGAAGCGTATGTAACCTGAAGCGTATGTAACCCGAGGTACCACTGTAATTTATAGATTGAAGTGTAGCTTAGTATATGAATAGGTAGCCGTGCCTATACTGCAATTTCGAATAACTTATATTTTTTCCATCATATATGTTTGGATGATTATTTAAAAAGTCATTTCAAACAAAATAGCAAACTCACTTGGATCTGCTCTGGATCGATGAAAAATTTGCTAAGGATGTTGCTGAGAAAGTTCTGCACCTCGTACCAAGGATAAATGCTGTTGGAACCATCCAGAACAATTATTATGTCCATGTAAGTTGAGCATCCTGTATGAAATTGAAAAGGCAGAAAGTTAGGCAATGGCAAAGAAGGGTTGTTTTTTCAGGGGGGATAAAGGTAAAGGTAAAGGGACCCCTGACCATTAGGTCCAGTCATGACCGACTCTGGGGTTGCGGCGCTCATCTCGCTCTATGGGCCGAGGGAGCCGGCGTTTGTCCGCCGACAGCTTCCGGGTCATGTGGCCAGCATGACTAAGCCGCTTCTGGTGAACCAGAGCAGCACACGGAAACGCCGTTTACCTTCCCGCCGGAGCGGTTCCTATTTATCTACTTGCACTTTGACGTGCTTTCGAACTGCTAGGTGGCAGGAGCAGGGACCGAGCAACGGGAGCTCACCCCGTCACAGGGATTCGAACCGCCAACCTTCTGATCGGCAAGTCCGAGGCTCAGTGGTTTAACCCACAGCGCTACCTGTTTTTCTCCAAAAAGCTGGGACTAGCAAGATGACCCATTTATGGGGGATGGGCAACTTCCAAACATATACACACCCCTCTCTTCCTTTACAAAATTCCTAAATTGGATTTTGACCAGGCCACGCTCTTAAAATAGGGGTCTGCCCTCTGTAAAATATGGCACACGGCCCCACTAGCCTGAAGTGATTCAACAGAGGCCTAAGGCTGCCACCTCAGATAGTCCATGGAGAAAAGTCATTGGCACACGATGCATGACTGATGTCCCAGCACGACTTTTCAGGCCTGAGTCATATGGAATCATTGCAATGAGTCCTCCTGGGCCTGCAGGCTGAAGGAAAACGCTAACCTTGGGGGGGACTTAAATGCTCACAGCGGTTTCTGCATTTCAAATCATTAAAACACTCAACAGCTTTTAACAAAGGAAGCTGCCATATATATTCAGTCAAACTGCTTGTTCAGACCAGCCTACTCTGGGAGGCAGCAACTCTATCCAGGATTTCAGGTACATAAAGGCCTTTCTTGTCATCACCTGCTATGTTAAATGCTACAACAGGAGGGTGCCATATTGGCTAGCCCAGAGGACTTCTGAACATGTTCGAAGTGGCAATTCCCTTTCTCCTGGACCGACACAACTATTTCTGAGGGACTTGGGAGCAGAGAGAAGGGTTTCCAGCAGAGGCCCTCAATGCTGGCCGCTTTAGAAATCTGACACACCATGCAGGACACCAAAACTTACTCTGAGCTGTTGGGGCGATGTTTTCCGTCAGGCGGAAGTTCTCGTCCACGCTGGTGCAAATCCCAGTGCTGAACATGGACGTGCCACATTCCTGGGACCACAGGGGAGCACAAGCCTGTCAAGAGAACCAGACATAAGAACCTGCCCAGCCACACTGGAGAGGAGACGCAAACTGGTTTAAGTGGAGTGTTGCCGCTAGACTTTACTGAGCTAGATAGACCAATGGTCTGGCAGCTTCCTGTTCTCTTTTGCCAGACAATTCTTAGCATGTTCAGAATCTGAGAGAGTTTTGGGTACAATCAGGAAGGGTTAAAAGTGGGTGGTACTGCCCCCTGTGGGCAGTGGGGATTACCTGGGGGGAGCTAAGAGGCAAGGGGGCATGGGGGGCGCTGGAGGTGTCAATGACTCTCAGACTTTGAAAAGGTGGTATCACTGGATCAAGTTAATCCATCTTGCTGAATTAATTAAACTACCATACTTTTCCGTGTATAGTGGTACCTCGGGTTAAGTACTTAATTCGTTCCGGAGGTCCGTACTTAACCTGAAACTGTTCTTAACCTGAAGCACCACTTTAGCTAATGGGGCCTCCTGCTGCTGCCATGCCACCAGAGCATGATTTCTGTTCTCATCCTGAAGCAAAGTTCTTAACCTGAAGCAATATTTCTGGGTTAGCGGAGTCTGTAACCTGAAGCGTATGTAACCTGAAGCGTATGTAACCCAAGGTACCACTGTATAGGTAAAGGGACCCCTGACCATTAGGTCCAGTCGTGACCGACTCTAGGGTTGTGGCACTTATCTCGCTTTATTAGCCGAGGGAGCTGGCGTACAGCTTCTGGGTCATGTGGCCAGCATGACTAAGCCGCCTCTGGCAAACCAGAGCAGCGCACGGAAACGCCGTTTACCTTCCCACCGGAGCGGTACCTATTTATCTACTTGCACTTTGACGTGCTTTCAAACTGCTAGGTTGGCAGGAGCAGGGACCGAGCAATGAGAGCTCACCCCGTCGCGGGGATTCCAACTGCCAACCTTCTGATCGGCAAGTCCTAGGCTCTGTGGTTTAACCCACAGCGCCACCCGCGTCCCGACTTTCCGTGTATAAGACTATATTTTTTTACTCTAAAATAATATTCAAAATCTGGGCTCGTCTTATTCACGGATAGTATCTCCCCCCATTTTCTTAAATCAAAGTCCCCCAAAATAGGGGGCGTCTTATACATGGGGGCATCTTATAGACGGAAAAATATGGTAAATAGTTTTAACTGGGTTTTGAATAAATGCGCAACTAAGGGCTCATCCACAATTACCTTTTGCCCTGTGCTTCCTAGGCACAGGTCTGTGCTTTAAAGTACTGTGTCTGAACACACCCACACCCGGCGCTTTCTTCATGAAAACCCACTGAATCAGAATAAGTGGCAATTTGGGTTTTCCACTTTAAAGCGCAGAGCTGTTTCGTGGCACAAAAGCAAGTTTGGATGAGCCCTAATTGTTACTGTTTTGAATTTTATTGTGTTATCGCCTTCCTTAGTGAATGATGTTTATCTTTTATGGAGTAGGGGATACCAGGGTTGAGTTTAGGGAACCAAAGGTGAGATAGCCCAAACAGGTTTGGGAATTTCTGGTTTAAAGGCCAATTCTTGCACCAGTGACACGGATTAAAAGACAGAGCTTGTCCCCGATAAAGTGGGACAGCTGGCACATGTGTAATTCATTATACAGGCTGTAGAATTCCAAGTTTTCCAGTGCAAAACTTTTGAATATTTAGTTATTCATTCCATTTGTTCACAGCTCCCATCTCAGGAACCCTTGTCAGAGCTGGGGACTCAGCCCCATTACCAACAACTGCAGCTCCCCTGTGTTCATTTGCTGTTTGAAAGGCTGTCCTGCTCAAGCCGCTTTCGGGGCCTCGCTGCCCTCAGGCCAGCTTCAAACAGATGCTCAGGCGGGCTTTGAGAGTAAACAAGAGCCTCACCACAAAAATGCCAGCCAGCCAAGCAGCAGCTAACGGCCTCCTCTGCTTGCAGGGAACGCCCAGCCAAGCTGCCCTAGATACCAGCCACAGCCTCCCTGGCCAGCTGTTCAGGGAAGGAATTAAGCTCCTTTGGGTGTGCCATCGTTGGCTGCAGCTGTGATCTTTACAGGCACACCTCCATTAAAGAAGGGGCCCCCGACCCCGCTGTTACTTGCAAGTCTTTGGCAGGCAGAAACACGACAAGCAGAGCTTTCACAATCTCTGCCTTTCCATCAGGGGCCACGTTTCAGACTCTGCACAATGGTTCTCCCAGGTTGCCGGTTTCTCGTTTTCAAGGCCACGACCCTCCTACACATTAAATCCCCTTGCTTAGTAGGAATTAAATGGGTTGTTTGTCCATTGACAACAACGAGCTTGTTGTTAGGCATGTGACAATAAAATTGCCGTAGCTATCATGAGACACGACAAAATAACCACAATAAGTATCCTTGAAATACACTACTTTAAAAAATATAAATAGATCCTGACTATACCCAAGGCAACATTTTTGTCAATCTTGCTCCATTCTGCTACTGAATTGCCTTGCCTGTTGATTTTCAGCACACCACACGGCTCCTAAAAGACATAGGGGCTTTGCTGAGACTGGAGGTGGGGTGAATGGGAACAGTACCATCAAAATCCCTAATTTTCGTTTCTTCACTCTGCTTTTCCAAAACACACCCTGCATCCTGTTTGCAGGATGCATGCATGCACTTCTTTCTTCCCTAGTAAATGAACTGTTCTATGTCTTTTCATTATCTTTGGTAAAAATGACAAAATGTTTTTTGCAAAGCCAGGTTGCAAAACCCTCCGGCTACCACAAATTCAGTGCTTGAAGCATTGTATCCAAGGAATGGGACCGGCCTCTTGACTGACGACTGATGGAGATATCATATATAAACTGATGCCCCAGATGCATGTGAATCTATCCCCCAAAGGGCAAAATACACATACCACACACATACCAAAATAAATGAAAGACAGACCAAAATGGCAGACACCCCCTCTTTCAAACAAACGAACTTCATTTTAGAAATAAAATATGGGGCCATGTTGGGGACCCTAGCCTTATGGTTCACCTGGCTTCCATTGAAATAATAGCAGCCTTTCCTAGATCTCATTTTTGTACATCTGTCTCTGTTTGTGTTTTCAATTTAAATACAGAAAAAGACACCACAAATATTGCTCACCACAAACCCGTCATCTTTGTTGGCCACAAGCGACATTCCAAAATGCATGTTTTTGATTTGCCTGGAGTTGTTCTGCAGGGCCATGTCACCTAATTTTAGTTCACAAGAGGCCAGCAAGAGGGTGGGGGAGGAAGAGAAGTAAGAAGAGGAAGTGGAAGGGGGGGGGGACACATACAAAAATATGAGCCTTGCATCAGATCATGGCTGGGAGTGGAATGAGAGGTAATAGCTACCCTGCACATTAAAACCCTCCTCCGTGATGTATGCCTGCCCTTGCCTCCCCCAAACCCTCCATGAATTCTGCTGCAAGACTCAGGATCACACCCGATTTATTTATTTATTAAGGATGGTCACAGAAGGGTACAACAAGCCCTAAATCAAGGAACCTGACGATAAATCCAACAGTGAGCTGGTCCTGCTGTCTCTGCTCCATCTCCCTTCCAATTCCACAATTCTATGAGTCTATGAATCCAGGGACACAGTGCCAGCATGAACAGACCATGCGTGCTTAACCCTCATGGAGACTTTGGACCAGTCACTGCCCACTCAGTGCATACACAGCGTGTATGTCAAGGCTTCAGGGAATCCTATTCCTCTCACGGTGGGATGCCAAGAAGCGGAAAAACACAAAGAATTCTTACCAAGTAGTTTATTCAATATTCACAGAGAGAGACGAAGGAATGCAGTCTCTCTTAGTTAATGGTGTTGCTCCAAGTAAAGTCCCACCCCCTCAGACCCTCCTATTCTACATCACCCCTGCGCCGGCTGATCTGTGCTTTCTGCCTCTGAGTTTTCTGTTCTATTACTCTCAAGGCACACCTTGTTCTGGGAGAAGGGGGGGGTCAGGAATGCTTTCAAGGGACACTTCAGTCTGTTAGCTGTCTATCCCCTGCTGCTCTCCCAATATTTCCCAGCTTCTCCCCCCTGCAGCCTCTGAACTATGACCTTCTGCAAACCACTGATCTAAATCTATACTGTCCTCCTCTTCTAGGGAAGGTGCAGGAGGGGGAGGCAGTTCCCACCATTTCTCTTCAGTCTAGCCCCTGACATTGGGTGTCCCAATTTTTGGAACAACATCTTAGCTTACCTGCTGTGCCTCATGAACTTGTAACTTCTAGACTCGTTTTTGGGACACTGTGCTAACTTACTGAATAAAACCTTTAAACCATCCAATCCCAGCAACAGTATGAGTTCTGAAACTGATGGGGCAGAGGCAGGGCAAGTACTTCCCAGCAATGACGACATTACCTACCTATGTTGACTTTGGCGCACGTTGAGTTGTTCTTCTCTCCCACAACGCACTTGTAAACGTCACCTTTTCTGTCATCTGCCGTCCCATCCCAAGGTGCCCCCACCAGCATCCTGTTGAGATTTCTTTATATCATTAAATGTATAAACCACTTGACTATAAAAAGAAAAAGAAAACTCAAAGCGGTTTACAAAAAAATATATCAATAAAACACAGTTTAAAAGAGCCATTCATAACATTCAAATAATAATTAAAACCAATGGTAAACTAAAAAAACACATGTCAACATTCTGGATAGGCATGTCTAAACAAAAATGTTTTCAGCAGGTGCTGAAAATCCTGCCTGATGCCATTAAATGATTTAAAAGTCACAGTAACATGAAACCATGCCAATATTTGTATATTGTTTTCTGGAGTATTGTGGCATAATTTTGCAGGTAAAACACGGTTCTTTGCAACGGGAGTTTCACATGGAATTAGGAGCCATGGGTTCATGTCACTGATTAATTCCCTGGCTTTTAGGGGTTATAAAAACACTGTCAATTGCTGCACCCCATGTAGCTTTTTAGGAGCTGCCCCAGAAAAGAGGAGACGGAGGCAGCAGTGGCCCTATCTAGCAAGTAGCCATCCCCCTCTATTCTAGCACTGTATCTGTAAAATGGTAGAGTGAATGTGCTGCATTACCTCACAGGATTGTTGTGAGGGAAATCACATCTTGCAAAAAAAAAAAAAAAAGAAGAAGAGTAGTTTGGATTTATTTTTTTTAAGCACTGTATTACTATTACTGTACTGAAAACTAGATGATGAACTGTGAAATTTGGCAGGACAGAGTTGGATGGAGGTTTGTGCAAGAGAGAGAAAGGAAGGGAAAGGAAGAGGGAGGCCCATTTCTCTTGCATTTCCTTCCTCCTGCTCACTTTCCCCTCTCTCATTTCTCCCCCCACCCTTCATTTTGTCCATCCCCTTTCCCAGGGGGTCCCGAAAACTGTTCTCACCACCTCATCTACTCACTCAATGTGTCTGGAAAGAAGCTGGAGAAAGGAAAGGGAGGCATCCCTAATACATTACTGGCACACCCCCCCCCAAAGTGTTGGCTTTGGAGAACCCAGTTCTTGGTTTGGGGGGGGGATCGGACACGCTGCCCCACTTTCTCACTGAAGCCAGTCCCCCTAAGCTCATTAGCCCCATTGCCCACTCTGAGATGCCTTTTCCATGGGAAACAGAATGATCATGTTAAGCTTTGCATCTGATTCCTGGATTCCTCATCGCCAGCAAGATCACAGATTCCTCCTTCATTCTGGTAATACAATGGAAATATATTATGGGGAAGTAGGGCATTCCCCACAGTTTTCCTCTGAAGGTGCTGCTTGGGATTTAGCCTATCACCCCAATGTTCTACCATATTACAATATCTGGAGGTATCAAAAGATGCAACTGTGTGTCAGCCCCACTCCTCATCAGTGAGATGAATTCAGCAGGCCAGGTTGCCCCCAAGATGGTTTGAGTATATAACACCAATCCCCCACATGATGATCAAGGGTCTGGAAACTAAGGCTCATGAGGAGCACTTGAAGGAACTGGGTGTGTTTAGCCTGGAAAAGAGGAGACGGAGAGGAGATATGATAGCCATCTTCAAATATCTTAAAGGGCTGTCATCACAATGGAGGCGAGAGCATGCTTGTTTCCCCCCGCTCTGGATGGTCGGACTTGAACCAATGGCTTCAAGTTGCAAGAAAGGAGATTCCAACTAAAAATTCGTAAAAAAGAACTTTCTGACAGCAAGAGCTATTCAGCAGTGGAACCGACTCCCACGAGAGGTGGTGGACTCTCCTTCCTTGGAGGTTTTCCAACAGAGGTTGGGTGGCCATCTATCATGGATGCTTTAGCTGAGATTCCTGCATTGCAGGCGGTTAGACTAGATGAACCTTAGGGTCCCAACTCTAAGATTCTGTGAAGAAACCCAGAGCCTGTGTTCATCCTCTGAGGCCCTTCTTCATCTGCCCCCTCTACAAAATGTCTGGGGGGTGGCAACATGAGAATGGGCCTTTTCTGCAGTGGATCCCCACTTGTAGAGTCAGCGGCGGAGGAAGGCGTTCGGGCGCCTGGGGCGGCGCACCTAGGGGTGGGGCGCACCGTGGGGCCTCGGGAGTCTGCCTGCCTCCTTCCACTCAGCCACCCTACAGCTGGGAGGAGGGAGGAAGCGGGCGAACCATTTGGGCAGCGCAGAGCCTGCGTGCCGAAACCACCGCGTCTCTCCCAGTGAGTGCCACCCAGCATTTTGTCACCCCCCCTGAGTGGTGACACCTGGGGTGGCGTGGACCTACTGCACCTCCTTCCTTCACCACTGTGTAGAGTACTCTCCCCAGGGAGGCTCACCTGGCACCTCCATTACATATCTTTAGGCACCAGATGAAAAGGTTTCTCTATAACCAGGCCTTTGGCTGATTAAACAATCCATGGCCTTTTAAATGTGTCTGTGCAAGGGGGTTATTGGTTTGTTTGGGGGTGGGTTGTTGTTAGGTATTTTGTGTTCTTATTTTGTATTTTTACGTTGAAACCCACCCTGTGCTGTTGGAAGTTTAAATGCATCAGCGGAAGTTGAATTAATCACTGCAGGAGGAGCTGACTTTAACCTCCTGCAGGAGGCAGAAAAGGCCCACCAGCTTGGACGGCTTTAAAAGAGGAAGAGACAAATTCAGGGAAAAGTCTTTATCAATGGTTACTAGCCGTCACAGCTGTGCTCTAACTCCAGGAAATGCTGCCAACTGTTCAAATGGATCTTGCAGAGAATGACAAGCATTATCTCCAAGCTGAGAAACCTTTCTACACCGCAAGAGAAGGCCTGGATCAGTTGGCAAACCTTAACCCACACTGAATCCCATTTTCAGGTCAAAAGCTCAGGTCTCCCTGTGTTATGTACTGAGTTGAATAGGATCCAAAATGCAGCAGTCTGATCGGTCCTAGAACAATAGGATTCAGAATGCAGCAGTCTGATTGGTCCACAGGAGCCACCCAATCCAGCTCCAGGTGGAAGTGAATCCGCGACCTGATTGGCCTACAGGAGAATCCCGGAATGAGCCAATCACATGGGGCCCATTGTGTAAATAATATATATAAAGCAGACATTCTGGGGTAACTTCCATTCCTCCTCACCACTATGAGCTGAATAAAGAACATGAAATCCACTCTCGACTCCGAGTATATTTCACCCTGATAACATAAATTCATGAGACATCCCATTTCCAACTCCCCCACAGCATCATTTCAAGCTAAGGAGGCCAGACATCTGGTGAACCCATTCAGCAGGACAGCCTCCATGTGGCTCTGAGCCATCAGGGGACGCTCCAAACACCCACCAGCAGCTATGGCGGCTGCACACAGAGGCTCTTTTTGAGTGCCTCTGTGTTTCATGTGATCTTTGGACCCAGTTCCCTGGCCACCCTTAATGGCAGCATATGGAAGTCTGGCATATACTGAATTTCTTCTCCATCTGTGAATTATTCTCAAGTGCACGAGTGCTGCCAACAGTTCCCTTTTGTTCTTTTGTTCTTTAACAAGTCCAGCGGATGTACAATTGGGGAAATCATTGGTGCAGCTCGGAATTTCCCTTTCTGATTCAGGACTGACGCAGGACTGAGGTCTGGAAGCCAGAGAAGAGGTGGAAGCTGCCTCAGAGGAAAGGCAGAAACGAGCAACAGGGGGCTGTTTTTAGACCTGCATTTAGGCCTCAAGGGTGTGGTGGGGGAAGACAGATTTTGAGGTACCACAAGTTGTCAGGAAATCATTGCCTGTTTCATTCCTTAGATCCTTGGCCTCAAGGCCAAAACCTTCATTCAAAGAGTCTCCCCACCCCCCTGCCACTAGAAAAGGAACGCTGAATGTTTCAGCACATACCCTAGTCTCTGTAAAAAAATCCACTCAAAATCGCCCCTTAGAGATATATCTAGAAATGCTTAAGTAATCATCTTTATCATCATGATCATCATGACTATTTCAGTTTATTACCTGGGTTATTGACCACTAGGTTCTAATGTTATGAGAGGGGGAAAAGCTTTTCTCTAACCACTTTCTCCATGCCATGTGTAATTTTATAAACTTCTATCATGTCACTTCTTTTTTGCTTTTCCTCTAAATTAAAAAGTCCCAAACGTGGCAACCTTTCCTCATGGGAGAGTCACTTCATCCCTTTGATCATTTTGGCTGCCTTTTTTCTGAAACCTTCTCCTGCCCTACAATATCCTTTTGGAAGGGAGGTGTCCAGAACTGCACATAGTATTCCTAGTGCAGTCGCACCATAGATTTATATAACGGCATAATGATATTGGCAGTTTTATTTTTCAAATCCTAACAATCCGTAGTGCAGATCATTTTCAGAGCTGGCGCACACTGGGGTCAGCAGACCCCAATGTTTTCCCAGGACAGATATCAAGCTAACTAGCCTGTAAGGATCCATCCAGTTTCCTTTTCTAAAAATTGGTGTTACACTGTCTTCTTTCCAGTCCTCAGGTGTGGAGGCTGATCTGAGGGACCAAGTTACATATTTTTGTTAGAAGATTAGGAAATTCACGCTTGAGTTCTAGGGTGGATTCCATCCGGACTTTTGTCAGTTTTCATTGTGTCTGTTAGGCCTAGAACTTCACCTCATCACCTCTATCTGCCTCAGTTCCTCAGACTCCCTTCCTGCACAAGTTAGTGTTCAGGCACTGGGAATCTGCCCTAGATTTTCCACTATAAAGACGGATGCAAAGAATTCCCTCAATAATTTTTTTCCCAACCTGTGAGAGGGTACAGACAAACTCCACTCCCTTATGTCTTGGCACTCAAAGTGCTAATTTGGCTCCCTCCTTTGGAGCAATATAACCGCCCCCCCCAACCCCACAGAAAATATATTTGTAGACAGAACAGGCCTAAGACAATTTGCTCCCTGTGGTGGAGCAGGAAATCCTCCACTCACCACTCACCGCCCATCAAATTGCAGTGTCAAAGGCTAGCCAAGTTATTTTGGCACCTGAAGCCTAAAGATAATCCCATCAGCATATCTTCCCCTCCCTGGCAGCAGTAAAAATGCAACACACTTTTATGAAATAATAACATGTTAAATTTTAAAAACTAAGCAGCAAGTAGGTTGCCCTTCCACGACACTGGAAATTAGCTGCCTTGGTCAGTCAGCTCACTTTGTCTAATAGTAGGGCTGGCCCTGGAAGGACATGTCTTCCCTCAGGTTTCTGGATAATTGAACTAGAGGCAGAGGCTGTGGTTTTAAGCTTCCACGTACATGTAAGTTTTGGTGACAATCTATAAAAAAGAGAGGAATGGTCATACTCAAAACAGCTATTGCAGGTTAGGTTTAACCAGCCTTGACTTACCATTTCTGCCCCTGGGCTGTATACTGAAGGACTTTGTACCCAAACTGGGCTTCCTGTGGGCCACGGAAGATCTGAGGTCTCTTCACATCAATGTTAAATGGAGTTCCAAACCCTTGAATGATTGAGAAAAGGAGAGAGAGAAATTCAGAGCATTTTTACAAATATATATACACATATTACTTACATTACTGTCACCTGATATGTGGTTTTTATTGTGAGATGCTTTTAGCACTCAAATGAAAAGGCAGGATAGAAATCTGCTTAAATAAATAAATGACACAGATTTGACCCATTAAGTGACACATATTAAACATGTAATTAAATTGTCCTCGTGATGTTTTTTCTACTGGCGGTGCTGGTTGTATTGATACTGCTTTGAAGTCTGTTTTGCTATCTGTTTTTGGTCTGCATTATATTTCATGATTTGTTCACTGTCCTGAGCACTTTCTGTTGAGAATGGTGTAAATAATAGTGATAATTATGGAGATCTCGGGGACTGCAATACCTCAGGTTTCATAAGAATGAAGGTCACTAGAGACGCTGTAATACAGTATATGATTTTATTTATACATACGGGCCGAGTATAAAATTGAAAGGCTCACAGCATTAACACGCCCACAGACACTCCAACTGGTCACCATTAGGTTTGGGAGCAGGGGCTCCTGAATGCCATCGCTCTGGATTCTCACAGCAAACAAAATCAGGTCTTTATGTCCTCCCAGCTCCACCTGCAGATTAGACTAGTCCTCCTTCTTTCACACGCACTTCCACTTTGAGGTGTGCTCAGTACAAACATCACTATTCCGCACCCGGGTGGGAAATACAGCTTGGATTGAGAAAATCTGCCCAAAATGTATCATGAGCAGAAGGTCATGCAGAGGATGCATAACCCACAAGAACTTTAACGGCAGCAAACTAAACGGAAAAAGATGCTGTGCGGCAGGCTGCAAACAGCACTCCAGAACTAGAACCAAAAAACCCATGGCCTGAGTGAGAGGCGACTCAGGCACTTCCTAGTAAGGTAAGCTAGAAGGGCCAATATACACTATGCTGGCTAGGGAGGGTACATATTGGCTAGCACTCAGGCCATCACCAATACACAGGAGTGTGTTGATTTATATTATTTATAAGGTAACCCAAGCATTACTGAACCACTTTTCTATCTGACATCCTCCAAATTGTCTCATGGAAACATTAAAACACACACACACAGAGTGAGTCAAAATATTACAAAATTACCCCAAAAAACAAGCAATAAAAGTAATAAAATAAACGTCAACAGGACTCATATTCCACAGGCAGAAACAAATACACTGTAAAAAGACTCTTTACAAAACCCCAAAGAAGAAAGGGTTTCAGTCCTCAGGAAGGGATTTCCAGAGCCAAGGTGCCACCACAGAGAAGCCCCTGCTGCTCATACTCATCAAGCTAACCTGAGATAGGGTGTGACTTGGAACTTCCTCTGAAGACCTTAATGGCAGTGGAGGCTAGTCCACTGGACAACTGCGGCACAGCTCTCCCACTAAAAATGTCAAACAGGGTTTGTTTTTTAAAAAATTCCTCCTCCAAAACTCAAAGCCAAACACTACTTCTTGTCCCACACATTTTATACTTCCTTGAAGTTACTGAGGCATTTTTGTCCATCTTCTGTTCTCTGGCCAATCAGCTCTCTGCATCACTCAGCCAGTCCTAATCCAGAAATATAGCTAGAGGTCCTTCCTATCCATCTCTAAACTGGTAAACTGTGTGACTGATCGGACTGCCAGAAAGTCAGCCCTAGTAGAAAAGCTCCTACTCTGTCTGTTGCTATGGGACCTGTTCAACACAGCCACTACAACAGATGTAGGAGATGCTTCAAAAGCAGCCCTCTGTGCTTGCATTAGCCTATCAGAATCATACACTGCTTCTGAGCATGCTCAGAGCTGTTTCCTTGAAAGCCGCAACCCCACAGTCACCTTGACTGGACTTAACCGTCCAGGGGTCCTTTATCTTTTTTAAAGTTGTTTCCTTGAAAGCCAGAAAAACAACAATCCTATTTTGAGGAGCTGGGGGGCGGGGTTAGTTTAGTATTTGTTTTGTGACAGACACACACACAGAGAGAACAAGCAAGCCAGCAATTATGAGTCTCTTTCTATAGCAAATACCGTTTTTATCATTAAATCACCTGGCGTTATGAACCCTGTACATGAACAGAGATTATTTTGCCGCATTTTCAGGACTGAGTCAGGAACTGCAAATGTGTTCTGCTATGCTCTGATGTGTCCTGGCTCAAAGGAAAGAATCTCCCCCAGCCCCTGGGTTGGAATTCTTTGTTTTTTGATGGGGGGGGGGGAAATGTTTTGGATAATGAATAGTTAAACTGATTTTCCCCCAGAGGTTTTTTTTGGGGGGTCTGCATGCAACGGGAATAAAATTTTCCTCGCATTTATATCTGTGGGTTTTTTTGGCAATGGGTGAATACATGGATTCAGAAACTTATGTCATCTGATAAGGCTCAATTTCCAAATAAGAGTTGTGGAGTCAATCTTGTCTGAAAATCATACTTGAGCCCTCGCACATGGACCCTCTTTCCCTCTCCATAGATGTGCAGAGAATCTGGCGGGTTGTTTTTTCAGAGAGGAGGAGACAGTAGCACTCTGCACGTGTAGAATGGCACACTTTCCTAAATAACTGTTTTACAAGTCCTACTGGGATGAAAACGGCAGGGTTAAAAATTGCAGCCCTACCAGGTCAAAATATTTCCAGCAGACACTGCTTGGAATAAGAGAATTGTAGAGTTGGGGGACCCTGAGGATCATCTAGACCAACCCCACCTAAAATGCAGGAAGGAAGAGCAACAAGGGATTTGGAGAGTGAAAGAAAAGAGCTATTCTAAATTCACCTATCTCTTGCAGGTAGTGGACCTGGAAGCATCATTTTGGTTACTGTTTGGGGCTGCAGTTTTGAGTGGGGTGTGTGTGTGTTCTTCAATCGCCATCCCTCTCCAAAACTGCACCTCCAAAACTGGATGAACCACTAATTTGGGGGTGGTTTGATACAGCCCTATATGAAAGCAAGCATTATTTCCAGAAAACAGGATCCAAATCATTTTTAGAATATATACTGGTATTTTCCTTTCTTGTGATCAAATTTCAAACTGTAAGCTCCTCACAGGAGGGACCTACCTTATTTTTTGCTTATGATTTGACATATGTGCAGTAATTGTACTAATTATTAAAAAAATAGTCAGTCCATAAACAAACAACTTTGTGGGCTGAAACCTGTTTCTACATGTCGATCACAGGAACTTGGGCTCATGGCCTGACACCAGTGATTCCCAAGGTGAGTGGTACCATCCCCTGGGAGGCCGTGGGATTATTTAGGGGAGCACAAAGAGAAATTGGGGTGCTGGCAGGGTACCATCAGACTTTGAAAAACTGGTATCACTGGATCATCAATTTTGTTCAATTATTTAACTAAATTGTTTTAATTGGATTTTGAATAAATGTGCAATTAAAGTAGTACCTCGGGTTAAGAACTTAATTCGTTTTGAGGGTCCATTCTTAACCTGAAACTGTTCTTAACCTGAGGTACCACTTTAGATAATGGGGTCTCCCACTGCCGCTGTGCCGCCGCCGTGCGATTTCTGTTCTCATCCTGAAGCAAAGTTCTTAACCCGAGGTATTATTTCTGGGTTAGCGGCGTCTGTAACCTGAAGCGTATGTAACTCGAGGTACCACTGTAATGGCTAATGTTTTGAAGTTGTTGTTGATAGCCTTCTCTTCCATGAATTTGTCCAATCTTCTTTTAAATCTATCCAAGATGGAGCCCATCACCACCCCCTGTGGGAGCAGATTCCATAGTTTAACTGCACGCAGTGGAAGGACTTCCTTTTATCCGCCTTAATCTTCCAACATTCAACTTAACTGTCAAGTGTGGGAGTTCCCGTCACCCTTCAGTAGCTCACAGATAATAATTAACGAGCAGTTGATAGTTTTATAGTCATTTATTACAATATCATGTTGCAAGCACAAACAGAAAACCTTCCGCAAGATCAGTTGCCTACTCTGAATCCTCCTTCTGACTTCCGCAGCAAGGAGTGCGCCAATGGGAAGTTCCTCCCCCTCTCAGCCTCCTATGTTCTCTGATACGTTTGGACCTCTGAGTCCCTGGGGAGGGGGGTTTCCACACACTCTCAGTTGATGTGTCTCCCAGCTGCCCCCTCCCTTCTGGATCTCTTGTCATTATCTCATAGCTGGGTAACTCCTCCCTAATCTGCTCAGCTTCTGTGTCTATGTATGCCTCTCTCTCTGCTTCTGAAAATGCTGGAGGTAGGTGTGGGTGTGGGTGTGGGTGTGGGTGTGTATTCCCCCTCCTCTTCTGAGAGGAATTGATCTGCCTGCAACTGCATTCCCCAATCTTCAGATCCAGACCATTCCCTGACGTTAACTGAATGTCCACGAGTTTGTGGAACCAAGGGGGTGGTTGCTCAAAACAGTTTGGGAACTACTCTCTCACACAGACCTTCTACCGCCATCTGCCTGCTTTGCATCTCCTAAACTTACGGCCATGTTGTTGGGAATGTGTGTGCTGAGGAGGGGTGAGGTTTCTTTGCTCAAGAATAAGAAAAACGATCTAATGCTTGCAGCTGCTAAAACAGCAACCCACCCACCGCAGTCCGCCATGGCACAGCCTTATGAGCCAAAATTCCAATCCAACTTTCACAAAGTTCCCAACAAATTTCGTCCGTTTCAAGTTACCGGCACAATCCCACATCCGCTCAGCGAACGCACTCTGGAGGGAAGGGAAGGCCAGGAGCAAACATGGGCCAGTATTTGAAATTTGGACAGAGAGTTTATCTTGGCCCTGCAAAAACATTGTTTACCCTTCTGGCTGGCTCAGAAAGACTTCTCTGTTCTCCTGTGGCAGGTAGTCGTTATAAGAAGGATTAAGCTGCGCCTGAGAATCTGTTTTCAGCCCTGCAGCCCAGGTGCATTTGAGACAATAGTAAAAATGGCAGTGTTCCTGATCGTGTGCAGAGTGCCTCACTTTCCCCCTTGTCTCTAGCCATGGATCACTCTTTTACACACATCTGATATCAGGGTAAAGGCAGTGGTTTAATTTGTAAAATGGAGGGGAAGACCCCTGAATGATGTCTATCTCTGTCAGTAAGGAAATGTTGGAGGCCAGCAAATCCACCTGCACATCACTATCTGACACTATTATTATTAGCAGTAGTATTTTGTTAAATTGGAAGTATTAATTAATGCTGTAGTAATTTTGTTTTACCTTATGATAGAATGGTTATGTTGTTTATTGGTCCTGTGTATTTGATTTTGTAATTTTTGTATATTGATTTCCTCTGTTTATTTTTATTACTTTGTTCCCAGCTCCAGGATCGAAAACATTCAATAAAGAGTGAGCTATAAATACTGCAAATAAATAAATGACCTGAAGCCTACAGAGCAACCATACTATCTTATGAATGTAATCCTGCTCTCCAATTGCTGCAGTTACTCCATGGCAAAGGAAACGCACTCTTACACGCTGGAAACCTGGGCTTAGCCAACAATACATACATAGCTGATTGTTGGAGGGCCTTCATACAAATTGTACAAATTGCTTTCCATATGAAAATTAGTATTAATGTCCCTAGCATTCTGCCTGGGGCAAAAGACAACATGGAAGCTGTCGAAATCTATTTGTTGGAAATAAGTGTGCCAGTGTTTTACATTTGTCAGCAAGGAAGGAAGAAAAACAGAAGCAGGTAGCGTCAAAGTCATCATCGCCAGTATCTGAGGGAACGATTTCCAGAAACGGAGGTCAGCAGCAATAGTCCTGCCCTCCCAACGGCAGCTCAGAATCTGGCAAAGCCCCGGAGAAAAGAGCAAAGCGTTTCCTGGCTCGCAAGTGGATGTGTATGGAAAGGGTGTCGCTGTCAGTGCCTCTCGCACAATGGCACCTCTGTCTGTCCCTGCCCCAGATTCCAAATGCCAAACGGAAACAAGCAAAGCAATCATGGACTGCTTCTTACTTATGGAGAATGTGCCCGGCAAACCTCCACTACAAGTTCAAAAGCAAACCTTGCTGTTTGTACCGTGTAGCTTGGCCTTTGCCAGATGTTTTGGACTCTTCACTGGGGCTGATTGGAGTTGTGGTCCGAAACATCTGGAGGGCACCAGGCTGGCTGGTGTAGTTCAACTACTGATGGAGAGGGGAGGGAATCCAAAAGTCTAGACTCTAAGGCTCTGCTCACATTCCCCTTTACTGGGAAAGTGAGCACAGCCTTACAGTTTAGACTTCTGGATTCCCTCTGCACACTCACTGCGTTCCCACTGCTGTGTTTTAAAAAAACCTGAGTTCACATGATGTTATCCAGAATTCAGGTGTGCGCCCTATACTTTGCTGTAATGTTGGATACATTGTTTCTCACACCGATTTAGGGGTTCCAGACCTCCAGGTCTGAGCTGAACATCTCCAGGTGTGCCTGGTTCCCTCCAGGTGGCAGGTGGAGATCTCGAATCTCCAGGTGGGTGAGGGGCATTTAATAAATATAAATATTAAGAAGACCGTGCGTGCAGCTTGCAAGCTCCGGCCCAACAGGAGTTGGCTGCAGATTGTAGCATAGACACTCCGGGAGTGGAAGGTCGGTCCTCCTTTGCTCCCTCCCCCGCCGTCCCTATTGACCTGTGTCTCCAGGGCCTGCCCTGTGACATCACCAGGTGCTGCCCCTAGATCTCAGGTTTGGGCCCTGAAATCTCAGGGTCTGGGAGGCTCCTAATGTGGAGCCCTGAAGCCATTCCTAATTCATCTCTCTAGCCATAGGGTCTTTGCATAGGTTCAGCGCCGGCCCTACGATTAGGCAGAGTGAGGCATCTGCCTCAGGCGGCAGATGCTGGGTGGAATGGCGATGAGGTGTGGGAGGGCAGAACAGCCATAGTTTGCTGTCACCACTACCATCACTGATGCTAGTGATGTGTTTGTGTGTGTGTGTGTGTGTGTGTGTGTGTGAGAGAGAGAGAGGGGGGGGAGAGAGAGAGAGAGAGAGAGAGAGAGAGAGAGACTGGGAAAAGGATACTGCTAGACTTTTTGTTTTGTTTTGTTTTGTTAGACTGCTGTCTTTTTGCCAATTTAAAATACATTTCTTTTCTTTTTTTTTAAGAAAAAAGTACCAGGTTCTTTCTCTTCACAAATCCCAAAATTTTGGTCTCCTCCTTGCTTCCCAGAGATCTCACATGAGCAGTCAAAATGGCTTATTTTCTCCTGTGGTGGGTGTAGCAAAAGCTTTGCAAAGGAATCATAGCCCACAAGCATATTTTAGGAAACACCAATTAAAGGGGGCGAATTCAAACCAATCCGTCTTGCCTTTGTCTTGGAATATTGACTAGAGATGGGACACAACGTCTTTATTGAGTTCGCCTTTAAAGGCAAACCTACCAAATTTGCATTTTTGTTAAATAATGCACAAACTGAAACACAGCCAGCCTTCAAAATTCGCACTTCTCTGAATTTTGCAATGCAGTTCTCCAACAAAGGAATGTTTGCAAAAAATGCACGTTAGGTAAAAGTATGTATGCATGAAAATGAACATATTAGTGAAAATAACATACAAAAAATGCACCATATTAGGAGAATTTGTTTTCAAAAACATGCACATTAAAGTGCATACAAAAATATGTTTATTTGGAGAAATCCACACTCATTCTCACAGCTCTGAATTTTGCAACGCCAAGTAAAGAGCAATGCAAAGTAAAGTGTGCATATAGTACTGAAAATAAGATACTAAAGATTAAACATTATAGAGGGTTACTTTGCAAAAAAAAAAAGAGTGCATTAGGTAAAATTGCATACAAATGTGCACACTGGGGGAAATTCGCACTTAAATTTTCATTAGGACTTGGTGTTTCTTTTTTAGATCACCCTAAACTGACGTGGAAATCTGACGTGGAAATCTGAATTTAAGAATGGAAAATTTAGAAACCAAAATTTGCAGATTCACCTATCCCTACATTCTTCCAGCAGCTAAGAAGTCCAAGGAACAGTTATAGGCAGTTCAAACACATTACATTGTTGGTGCAACCGCTTTTGGAATACTGGGGACAGTTCTGGTCACCTCTCCTCAAAAAGGATATTGCACAGTTGGAAAAAGTTCAGAAAAGGGGATGGAGCAAATCCCTTTGTGAAGAAAGGTTGCAGTGTTTGGGGGCTTTTAATTTTATTGAGAACGCGAGTATGAGGTGACATAACAGGTGAGTAGAAAATTACACTACAAGTCAAGAACATACAACGAAGCTGGATCTCAGAAGATTCGGGACAAATAAACGAAAGTTCTTCTCCATGCAGCACACAGTTAAACTATAGAACTCCCTCCCACAGGAGGCAGTGATGGCCACCAACTTAGATGGCTTTGGAAGAAGATTGGACTAATTCATGGAGAAGGAGGAGGAGGAGGCTATTAATGGCTACTAGCCAGGATGGCTATGCTCTGCCTTCATGGTCAGAGGCAGTACAGTGGTACCTCGGGTTACAGACGCTTCAGGTTACAGACGCTTCAGGTTACAGACCCTGCTAACCCAGAAATAGTACCTCAGGTTAAGAACTTTACCTCAGGATGAGAACAGAAATCGCACGGCGGCAACGGGAAGCCCCATTAGCTAAGGTGGTACCTCAGGTTAAGAACAGTTTCAAGTTAAGAACAGACCTCCGGAATGAATTAAGTTCTTAACCAGAGGTACCACTGTAATGCTTCTTGATACCAGTTGCTGGAAACCACAAGAAGGATGGGAAAGGGATCTTTTGCTCAAATCCTGCTTGTGGGTTTCCAGATGAAGTATCCAGTTGGCCACTGTGGGAACAGGATGCTGGGAGAGATGGGCCATTGGCCTGATCCAGCAGGCTCTTCTTAAGCTCTTAATTTCTTTTAGGCTTCACTTTGCCCTCCTCCCCAAGTCTTCATTCCCATCTGAAAAAGAAAATGAGCTTCTGTGCCCTTCTTTCCCCAGAGCTTGTGTGGGGTAGTGACATAAGAGTTTACTCACTAAGGGCAGCATCCAACTCACTCATTCCACCAGAACAAGGATTTCACAGTGGAAAGAGTCAAGAAAACTATTGTCGAGCTTTGGTTCTTAAAACTCATTCTTCACAGAGCAAGAGAAAATTGGTAGGTGGGGTGGGTCTTAGAGGACCATGTTAAGTTCTTTTTTATTCTATCCATCAACACACCTAACTCAATACAGTGGTACCTTGGTTCCTGAATAGCTTAATTGACGAACAAATGAGTTCCCGAACGCTGCAAAGCATAAGAGTTCCAGTTTGCGAACGTTTTTCAGAAGCCGAACATCCATTTCGGCTGTCGGAATTGTTTCCAGAGCCTTGGTTTGCAAACGTTTTGGAAGTCTAATGGACTTCCAGAATGGATTGAGTTTGAGAACCAAGGCACCACTGTATTTTAATACAGTGGTACCTCGGGTTACATATGCTTCAGGTTACAGATGCTTCAGGTTACGGACTCCGCTAACCCAGAAATAGTACCTCGGGTTAAGAACTTTGGTTCAGAATGAGAACAGAAATCATGCGGCGGCGGCAGTGGGAGGCCCCATTAGCTAAAGTGGTGCTTCAGGTTAAGAACAGTTTCAGGTTAAGAACGGACCTCCAGAACGAATTAAGTACGTAACCAGAGGTACCACTGTAGCTGTAATCTTGTTTTTTTTCTAATGCAACTGATTTCTCTGTTTCTGTGAGCAAAATTCTCTGACGTGGGGGTGTAATGTTTGTCAACATTAGCCTTGAGTCAAGTCCATTGTTAATCCTGCTCTCTATTTAGACTTGAGGCAGGCAAATTTAATTTATTTATTTTCCTACACTTAACCCCCCACCTTTCACAGGAATGCAGGAAGCTGCATAACACTGACTCAGACCTTCGGTCCATCTAGCCCAGTATTGTCAGCACCGGCTGACAGAAGCTCTCCAGCTTTTCAGGCAGGGCCAGGATTAGCAATACTTAATACTGGCAAAGTACAATATGAGAGAAGAATCCCAGAATCCTTTGCAACGTTTCAAGGACTTGCTGTTTTTCAAAGCCTTAGCATTGTCAATAGATTTGGGGGGAGGGAATGGGGGAGTGGAGAACAAGAGGATCTGGTGGAATAAATGGAAACCAAAGCTACCTCCCTTCTGCCCTCCTGGCTTGTAGGAAGCTTCAAAAACAAGCTTGCTAAATCACAACGGGTGCTGCAAAAGGAAGGCTCTCAAGAAGCCTGCAATATCCATTCATAAAAATATAAGCTGGTTAGCAGCATCTCCAGAGCTGGGAGTGGTCCAGAAATAGTCAACAGAGAGAAAGAGTAAGGCGTGGGAGGGAAAGAGGAAAAGCACAATGTAGGGACCAGAGGAGGGTGGGAGACTTGCTTGAATCATGTCCTTGAGATGGAGAATGAGGAGGAAAGGGCTATCGATAGCGATTAGGCATGATGGCTGTGCTCTGCCTCCATCACTGAAGGCAGCAATGCTTCTGAATATCAATTGCTGGAAACCGCAGGAAGAGAGAGGGATCTTGGGCTTGGCTCCTGCTTGCAGATTTCCCATTGGGGTATCTGGTTGGTCACTGGAAGAACAGGATGCTGGACCTTTGGCCTGATCCAGCTGCCTCTCCTTACGTTCTTATGAGTGTGGCTGAAGTGGCCCTGCCTGTGTCTCACCTGGAACACTTCCTGCAATCAAATCCATACAGAAAAAATCCTCCTACACAGAAAACCAGCATATTATGTGGTGGTGGCGGCGCTGGGAGTCTAGCCTTGCGATGCTAGTTGTTGAAAAGCTAAATTTCATCCAGTCACATGAGTTCCCACACACCTGTACTCTGAAGTACAATTACAGTGGTGCCTCGCAAGACGAAATTAATCCGTTCCGCGAGTCTCTTCGTCTTGCGGTTTTTTCGTCTTGCGAAGCACGGCTATTAGCGGCTTAGCGGCTATTAACGGCTTAGCGGCTTAGCGGCTTTAAGAAAAAGGAAACAAACTCGCAAGACATTTTGTCTTGCGAAGCAAGCCCATAGGGAAATTCGTCTTGCGGAACGACTAAAAAAACGGAAAACTCTTTCGTCTTGTGCGTTTTTCGTCTTGCGAGGCATTCGTCTTGCGAGGCACCACTGTACAGGTGAAGTACGATTAGGATTATTGGCTGAGGTTGGAAGCTGGGGAAATAGAGGCATGCCCTGCTCTGTGCTGAATCCAAAGCAGGAGGGGAATGTGGGGGTGTCTCCTAACCACTCTCAGTACCCTGAACAAACTACACTTCCTAGGATTCTTGCGAGGAAGCTGTAACTGTTTAAAGTGGCATGATATAGCTTTAAATGTGTAGGTTGGGAAGGACTCTTGCCTGATAGCCTGGAGAGCTGCTGCCAGTCAGTGTCAACAATACTGGGCTAGATGGGTCAGTAGTCTGGCTAGGGAAAAGGCAGTATTATATATTCAGCGGTCTGTGTTTGCCTGAGCTTGAGTCTGGACTAAGGATCCTGAGCTCGTGTGTTCTGATTCGATACATGATGTCCAATCACAGAACATTTCAGAATTTGGGCCTCTGCCATTGGTCCTTGAACTCTGAGTCGTGATTCGCAGCTTGGAAGTTTAGACAGCCAATCACGTTGGGAGTGGCTCAGGCTTTCAGAAATGTATATAAGCAGTTGCTTTGCCCCTGTTTGCCAGTCATGTAGTTTAATAAAAGGTTCTTGCTGTTATCACTGCATCTTGCATCGTGGTAACCCACCTATACTTCAGGCAGCTTCCTTTGTTCCCATGTAGTACAAAGCAAGTTCTTACTTCCAGTAAGATGTTATGGGTGCCATTAATGGGTGGAAGAGTGGGAAATGAGACGGATCTGACCCCCAGGGACACAATCCACCTTCAGAAAGTTCTTCCAAACAAGCCCCTCTGAAATGAACAGAAGTTGTGCAAAACTATTGATGTGCAATGTATGTAAGCCCCAGAAAAGAAAAAGATCTGGGGTGATTCCTCCTGACCCCAAGGCTCAAGAAGCCCCTTGGAAATGTAGTTTTGGGGAAACATGGAACAAAGTTATTGTCAGTCCCAATGCAATAAAAGGCAGTGGACAGCTTTGCCAATCAGACCTGATTTCTAAACGTAAATAAAACTTGGCTTCACTGTGTAAGATTGATTTTTATATTCTGCTTTGCAGATCCACCTAGTACCTGCAAGATGCTAGATCTCTGCTGTCCAGCAGCTGAGGTTTAGCAAAGTGTATTTTCATGAGAAGCTCTTTTAACTTATCATGCTCAGGTCTTGCAGAGCTTACATTGTCGGGGTAACCCTGCAGTGAAGGCAAAAGTGACCAGAAGCGATGAAGTTCTCATTATAACTAGAGAGAAGGAAATGAGGACCCCTCTTAAAGAGAGAGAAAAAAGGTGTCTCCCACTCAGAGCTGGGAGAGAGCTGGCCGTTCATGTTATCTGGCCAATAGCTATTCATAGTTAATCTCCCTCCAGGTTACTTTTGTGGTCTCTGTGCGAGTAAATCCAAGATTAAATTGGTGACTTTTTATTGTGGACTTTGAAACCATAACATGCTGGGTTACGGCATGGCTGTGCTAGCGGGGGCTGATGTGAGTTGTAGTCCAAAACATCTGGAGGGCACCAGGTGGGCGAACACTGCTATATACTTTTATGTATAGCAAGGTAATAGTTTTCCACATTTCATTTCCCTCCAACCTGTTTGCAATCCCTGCTTCCCCTCCAAAAAAGATGTGTCTTTATACCTATAGCTCAGGACAACACTTCATGCATGATGAAGTAGTCTGTGAAAGCTTATGCCGTAATTAATATGTTACTTTTTAAGATGACACAAGATCTCGCCTGTGTCATGACTTCATCTCTCGGGGTTATCCAGTTGTGACATCCTGCTTGGTTAAAGAAGAGTTCCACTTCTCTCCCCTCGGCAGCTTCTCAGTTCCCTCCCCCAAATCTGGTCCACAGGGTAGGGGAACTCTGGAGCAGATTTGGGTGGGTGGGCGCTGAAGAGGAGAAGAGAGGAAGGGAGACCCCGTAACATCCCAGGGTGTGATGTTGGATCTCGTCCACCACTTCAATGCAGTGGTACCTCAGGTTAAGTACCTACTTAATTAATTCCCGAGGTCCGTTCTTAACCTGAAACTGTTCTTAACCTGAAGCACCACTTTAGCTAATGGGACCTCCCGCTGCCGCCACGCCACCGGAGCACAATTTCTGTTCTCATCCTGAAGCAAAGTTCTTAACCCAAGGTACTATTTCTGGGTTAGCAGAGTCTGTAACCTGAAGCGTATGTAACCTGAGGTACCACTGTACCTTCATTTCTAATGTTAAAATAATGCTTCAGACCTACCTCACAGTGCTGTCACAGGGATTACTGATATCATGGATGCGAAGTTCTTTGTATGAATGCTCTAAGGCACTGATTTGAACCCAAATCATTATTTTTAAGACAGATCACTGGGACATAAGAAGAAGGCTACTGGATTAGGGCAGCGGCCCATCTCGTTCAGCATCTCATTCTCAGAGTGGTAAAGTAAAGGACCCCTGGACGGTAAAGTCCAGTCAAAGGCAACTATGGGGTTGTGGCGCTCATCTCGCTTTCAGGCTGAGGGAGCAGGCGTTCATCCACAAACAGCTTTTCCAGGTCATGTGGCCAGCATGACTAAAGTGCTTCTGGCGCAACAGGACACCATGATGGAAACCAGAGCGCACAGAAACGTTGTTTACCTTCCCGCTGCAGCGGTACCTATTTATCTATTTGCACTGGTGTGCTTACGAACTGCTAGGTTGGCAACAACAGAGTGGACCAACAGCTGTCTGTGGGAAGCCCACAAGCAGCACCAGAGCATAAGAACCCTCTCCCCTTCTGTGGCTTCCAGCAACTGGTATTCAGAAGCATGACTGCCTCCAACCATAGAGAGCGTAGCCATTGTGGCTAGTAGCCATTGATAGCCTTGTCCTTCATCAATTTGTCCAGACTTCTTTTAAAGCCATTCAAGTTGGTGGCCACCACTGCCTCCAACTTGAACCTGAGCTTGTGTATTACCTCCTCCCGCCCAACCATTTTCCTTCTGTGCTGTGTCTCTTTCAGATTCTAAGCCTGAAGGCAAGGACTGCCTCTTTTGTAGTGGTTTGTAAACCACTCAGAGAGCGATTTTTTGCTGATGAGTCAGCTTTTTTAAAAAAATGAAACACTTAAAATAAAAAGATTTAAAAACAACAACAACTACTACTACCATTTGCAGAGAGGCTAAGCCAAAGGAAGGCACAAGGAATTTTGAATGGCTGGTTGCACAATCAGTCCATTGCAGCAAGACTGAGACATGGTCTCCCCTTGGGTCAGTTCTGCTTTCCTCCCACTCAGGAGCCCTTAATGACATCCAGTAAACCTGTATCTTGATAGAGCTGCCCCCCTTCCATCCCCCTGTTCTCTCCTAACTTCAGGAGAAATTCTTCAGCCACTTAGCCTTTCCGTCTTTTAAAATGGGCTTAAATATTCTGGAATAAGGGTACCTGGTAGCAGGAGAAGGAAGAGGTAGCAGGAGCAGCTGTATGGCCCCATCATTATCACTCCAGTCAGAATCCACACTAGTAGCAGGACGTCCCGAAAGAAAATCGAGGCCGTTTGGACATTTGGACCCTCGCCTCAGCAGCTGAGTGGTGGCGTTTGCAGAAGCAGCAGAGCCTCAAAGGTTACACTGTCTTCTGCTGGCCTCTCTCGTACACCACCAATTTTTTTTTTTCCTTTCCCTCCTTCATCTCGGGAAAAAAGTTCCAATTGGCTGCTAAAAATAAATTAGACGTTCAGCCTTCCCTCTGTGCTCCTTCCTCCGTCATGTAGATGCAACTCGCTTTAAAAAAGAAAAAGAAAAAAGAGAGGGAAGGGGAAAGTTATTTATTTTAAAAGATACCAAAATCACAAAGTAGAAAACAACCCAAATTATATGCCAGAAAATGGAGAGAAAATTGCTCATATTTTGTGGGTGAACCATGGTGATAAAAAGCTGTAAGAGACCAAGAGTCACTGTCTGATATTCTTTAAGTTTTAACCATCTCTGATCGTACACAGAGTGCAATTATTTTACTGCTGAATAAGCACAGCCGATTCTCCCACCTGAGGCATTCCAGGAGCAGAAAGCCCCAACTTCCCTGGCAATGATCTTCAATGACACTCTTCATTTTTATAAACAAGCATTTCCTGTTGTTGTTTATTAATTATTAGTTTTATTAAAGTAGCTGACACACTTCTCTGACATTTCCTAGGCTTCACTCCAACCCTGAGATGGCCCTGGAACTTGATGACAATGCCAGCCGTGGTCTCAGCCCTGGAACGTAGGATGGAATAGTTAAAATGAGTTAGCCTCTGAACATAATGTAGAGTGTAATTTCTCCACAATTACAGCCATTCCCTAAACATTTGTGAAAACAAGGATCAGGGCCTCTTGATAGACTTCAGGGGACGCTTGTCCCAGTGTCACCAATGCCACAATACAGTGGTACCTTGGGTTAAGTACTTAATTCGTTCCGGAGATCCATTCTTAACCTGAAACTGTTCTTAACTTGAGATACCACTTTAGCAAATGGGGCCTCCCGCTGGCGCCGTGCGATTTCTGTTCTCATCCTGAAGCAAAGTTCTTAACCTGAGGTAATATTTCTGGGTTAGCAGAGTCTGTAACCTGAAGCGTATGTAACCCGAGGTACCACTGTACTTAAGACTGTGAAACTCACAGACTGTGGAACTCATTCCCACAGCAACTTGGATGGCTTTAAAGCAGGATGGGACAAATTAATGGAAGAGAAGGCTATCAATGGCTATGAGCCATGGTGGTTATGCTCTGCCTCCAAAGTCAGAGGCAGCAATGCTTCTGAATACCAGTCACTGGGTACCCTAAGAGCAGGGAGAGTTCTTGTGCTCAGGTGCTGCTTGCAGGTTCCCCACAGGTATGTCAACCACTGTGAGAATAGGATGCTGGCCTAGATGGGCCATTGGCCTGATCCAGCAAGCTCTTCTTATGCTCGATGCAGCTGAGTCAGTAAAAGGCAACATTTGTGTGTGTGTTTTTCGGTTTCCTTCCGCTTGTAAAGCTTTGCCGTTGCCCTGGAGCTGCAAATTCCTTTGTGGTAAGAAATTAAAAGGTTTGTGTGGAAAGCGAGTAGGAGCTTTGTGCAACCGAAACCCCGAATTAAGGACTCCTTGTCAGCACAATGGGGCATGGGAGCGGCCTCCCAAACCGAGCCACTCCTTGCCAAAGTGGTCCAGTCTGAGCAGGAACTTCGAAACATTTGTTGAAGGGAAGCCATTTCCCTTCTCCTTGAAGCCCTTGGCATTCAATGGAGCAGCAGTCCAGGCTGGATCAAGGTTTTGAGCAGGCGGAGGACAAGATGCTCTCGCAGTACTGCCCGAGGACACCCCACCCGCCTTGACACTGTCACAACTGCCCATTCACTTGGCCTGCTTTGCCTCTGGGCCGAATCCACTAGAGGATAAGGAGTGAGCCGCTGGTGGCTCCTTCCTCTGACTCCTTCCATGGCTTGCTCCCCTGGAGAGGGCAAGTGAACAGGTGGCAGCAACAGCGATGGGCAGCAACAGGTCAAGAAGGCTCCGGGGATTAACTAGGAGGCCCCTGCCGTGCCCATGGGCATGTGCCTGGCAGTGCCAACCTCGTTGGCAATTGCACTTATTGAATACAGCAGGAGAACATGCAGCCCTCGGGCCGGTCTTGGCCAACTGGGGGGTCAGTTTGGCCCGCAAGACACCCCCCCAAAAGCACACCCATCAGCTCATATCACTGGTGAATCCTGAATATTTATATTCTGAAGACACAAAATGCCAAATTTTCCATAGGTGCATAAGGGCACAGGCCAGATTTGCCTCAGAGCAAATTGAGACATTTAGTGGCTTTGCAGTGCATCTTGGATTTGAAAGAAGGTGCTGGGCAGCCATGACCTTCACACTCTTCCTGTCCTGCCAACTCCAGGGATAGACAGATGGGTGATGGGTCATTCATTCCTGGGGGTGCAGCTCCCCCTGGTGGACAAACACACCCACAGCCCCCATTGCTGTGCCCTCTTCCCAAAATAAGTACAGTGGTACCTCGGGTTAAGTACTTAATTCGTTCCAGAGGTCCGTTCTTAACCTGAAACTGTTCTTAACCTGAAGCACCACTTTAGCTAATGGGGCCTCCGGCTGTCGCTGCGCCGCCAGAGCACGATTTCTGTTCTCATCCTGAAGCAAAGTTCTTAACCCGAGGTAATATTTCTGAGTTAGCGGAGTCTGTAACCTGAAGCGTATGTAACCCGAGGTACCACTGTATAGAAGTATAGAAGCAGAGTATATTTAATATGGGGGAGAAATGGGAATATTTCTGGCTCACAGTTAGGTGAGCTTTTCTGGACATCCGCCTGTCTTTCCTGTAATAGTCTTGGTTTATATCTTTATTTTAAATTGTCTATACACACTGTATTTTCCTCCTCCTTTTTATTTACATACTTACTGTTAGCTGAAGAACACTACTCAGGGCAAGTGGATAGAACAATGCTTTTATAATGTTTTTAACTGTAACTGCCTATAAAGATGGTTTAATTGCAATTATTTTTTAGATTTTTTCTCTCCCTTTGCTTGTTTTTAAATTATGTAGAAGTTTGCCGTGCTGGGCAACTCCTGAAGGAAGAGCCTGATATAAATTCAATAAACAAAACATATTGGGGGGGGGATTTTTAACTTCTTTTGCTTAAAATTTTTGCTCAGAAAAAATTTCCCAAATTTATAGTTTGACAGCAAAAAAGCAATGTGCTTTACAAATTTGCTATAAATTTGCGAATTTTTTTCTGAGCAAAAAAAAAAAAATGCAAACCCAGCCAGATGGGTGGGGTATAAATTATATTATTATTATTACTTGTGTGTGTACAGTGTTTGTGTACAGTCATACCTCGTGTTGCGTTTGCTTCAGGTTGAGTGTTTTCAGGTTTCGTCCTGTGGCGACCCGGAAGTACCGGAAAGGGTTACTTCTGGGTTTCACCTCTCGCGCATGCGCAGACGTCCAAAATGACATCATGTGCAGCGAATTGCGACCCCACGCAGACGTGGGTTTCGTTCTGCTCGGGTTGCGAACGGGGCTCCAGAACGGATCCCATTCGCAACCAGAGATACCACTGTATCTTCTTCTTCTTTGGCAATCACTTGTGGCCAAGTCTTCCATGAACATGGTCTTAACAGTGTGTCTGTAAGTGACTGTGGAGGCCAATTGTGGATCCACACCGTCCTTCCATACTGAGGACATAGGTTTCCGGGCGGGAGTTGATCATGGTGAGGGTTTGCCAAACGTGCCTTCCTCTTAGAACATTTCTCCTTTCATCCTGAGTTCAAGCATCTTCAAAGTCCATGACACCTTTGGTAAAGGCTGTTCTCCAATTGGAGCGCTCACAGGCCAGTATTTCCCAATTGTCGGTGTTTATACAGTACTACATTTTTCTAGATTTGCTTTAAGAGACTTGTTGTCCACCGGTATTTAGCTTTCTGTTCTTTAGTTGGGAATAGAGTAGTTGCTTTGGAAGATGATAGTCAGGCATCCAAATAACAGGTCCGATCCAATGAAGTTGATGTTGAAGAATCATTGCTTCGACACTGGTGATCTTTGCTTCTTCCAATACACTGGCATTAGCTCACCTGTCTTCCCAGGTGATGTGTAAAATTTCTTGGAGACACGGTTGATGGAATCTTTCAAGATATTGTAGTTCTAGTTACAGGTAGGTAGCCGTGTTGGTCTGCAGTAGTCGAAACAAAAGAAAAGAAAAGAAAAAGAAAAGTAATAATAATAATAATAATAATAATAATAATAATAATAAATTTCTTCCAGTAGCACCTTAGAGACCAACTAAGTTAGTTATTGGTATGAGCTTTCGTGTGCATGCACACTTCTTCAGATATTGGGGGGGGTGTGTGTGTGTGTGTGTGTGTGTAGGGTGATTGTAAAATGGCAGCAAATGCGTAATTATTCCCCCTCCGCCCTCTTTTCGCGCGTTCCTCAAATTATCCCGCCTTTTCGGTTCTCCCAATAACAAGAGCCTCCCTCCTCCATAGAGAAAGCGCCGAGAAGCCTAGAGCGCCGCAGCCGTCCTGTTTTTATGGCGCTCCGACCATAGAAAGATCGTCTCCATCGAATCTCTATGAGTTTAGCTCTGGACTTCCCTGGGCAAACGTAGGAAGCCTAGAGCGCCCTCTAGGCCGCGCTCCTCACGTCCACCTTTCCTGTCTTACCCGGAAGTGGTACCGAGGGGAGCGCGGGAGCGACGGTTGAGGCGAGAGAGCAGGTGAGCGGCTCGGAGGGCGGGAAAGGGAGCGGGGGCGGCCAGGGGGTGCCGGCGGTGAGGGGGGCGGGTGAAGCCCCTCAGGTTTGGGGGAGGCTGGCGGCTGCCTGGGTGGTAATAAGAACCATAAGCGAGTGGCCATGAGGCGCCGCAGCCGCCGCCTTTCCCTCCATCCGCCCTCTTCACTGGAGGCGTATTAATGGAGCCTCTTTAATCCCACAAACATTACACCCCAGAAACTTCATGCTGAGCAGTTTGAGCTTCTCTCTCCTCCCACCGTCCTCTCCATGTATTTATCTTTTTCATGATGGTGTCGGCCTACCTTCCAGGGATGTTGTTTGGCTTATTCGTTTTAGGCCTCTCCTTTTTGCTTAAGGGCGGTTTCACAGAGAGCGAGAAAGACTCCAGGATTAACAGAAGGAATTGCAGTAAAACAGCTGAAGGGAAGTTTGTTTTTAAACTTTTTTTTAAAAAAAGTTTGAAAATCACTCCCCCAAGATGTTTGTTTTAATGTTCGCTTCCAGAAGGGGGATTCCTGCTCCAATAACTCCTAAGTGAAGATGTCAAAGCAGTTACTGCTTTTTAAAAAAGAGGGGCTGGGTTTGCCCCTGATGGATAAGCAATGTGGGTTTTCGGGGAGAGAAATGTTAAAATGGGCGAAGAGGGGATTACTCAATCCCTCAGATTATGGGGAACTGATTTGACCTTTGTCGTAGTTACCAAACACAATTCGGGAAGTACAGCGTGTTGACTTTGTATGGTATGTAAAAATAGCTCCCATTTTCTCCATGAACAATCAGGCAATATCTGGGGAGAAAGTTCAACCAATCACATTCACAAATCAGTCCTGAGTGTAGTTAGTGGGCTGAAAACTGCATTCTTAAGCATTTTTTAAAAAAGGAAGGAGTCCCAGTGAACAGTGAATCCTATGGTACTCAGAAGTAAGTCAATAGGAATTCAATTGAGCTTACACCCAGATAAATGGATTAATGGGGCTTAACACTGAAAGCCTTACAGTACTTGGAAATGATTTGTTGGAACATTTTCAAATGTTTTGGGACGTAATATTAAGACATAACAATGTAACATTGTTTCAAGCCCTCCCAAAGAAACTGACTGGCTTGAATGAGATTTGTAGTTGTTCTGCCTTAGTTGCTGTTGGGAATAGAAAGACAGTTAAGACTTGGGAGGTAGTGCCCGTCAGTTCCTCTGTGCTGAGCTACCTGAGATTTTCCTTAATTCATTGTGTCTTGTTTCAGCCTTCCCATCTCTGGCTTAGGTTGCCTCATCTTCCCCAAGTATTTGGAAACAGAGTGTTTGGGTGTGGTAGACTTTTTCCATGGGGATTGTTGCTAGTGAAATCAGGAAGGTGGGAGGAGAAGGTGAGGCAAAGTGGTGCAGGCACCTACACTCTTCCCAAGCAGGCTGCTTGACTTGGCTCTTCACCCCTCACCCAAGTGTTCCCACCACCTGCCCTCCCCACAGTTGGAATAATATTTTTTTTTTTGGTATTGTATTGTAAACTGCCCTGTGATCTTCAGATGAAGGGCGGTATAGAAATTTGATTTAACAATAATAATAATAATCTATACTCACATTTGTTGATTGGTTTTCTCACATAAATTTAGCTTTGGGGTCTCTGCTCTGAAGCAGCAAACAGTCTGCTATTGAGTGCTAACTTAGAGCTCTGACCTTAGTAGGTGGGTTTATTTTCATCCTAAACCTGTAATGATAAGAAATAGCCTTTTTTACTATTATTTGGAAGATGAAGTAAGAACTTTGGCATTAGGATTCCAGCCTCAGTGAACCAAAGCAACCTAATGCTGGAGAGAGAGGAGGGGTTAGGACAGGTATAGGTAGCCAACAGTCCCTCAGAAGTTGTTGAGCTACAACTCTCATCATCCTTACCTACCGGCCATGCTATCTGGGGCTGGTGGAGTTGGAAGCCTTAACATCTGGAGGACCAATTATTCTCCATGCCTAGGTCAGGAGAGGAGCACTACAGTGGTACCTCGGGTTACGAACTTAATTCGTTCTGGAGGTCTCTTAACCCGAAACCGTTCTTAACCTGAGGCGCGCTTTCGCTAATGGGGCCTTCTGCTGCTGCCGCCGCACACATGGGTGTGCAATTTACGTTCTCATTCTAGGGCAAAGTTCTCAACCCGAGGTACTACTTCCAGATTAGCGGAGTTTGTAACCTGAAGTGTTTGTAACCCAAAGCATTTGTAACCTGAGGTACCACTGTACTAGCTTTCTTGACTGCAGCAGAAGACTAGCATTCATCTGAATGAGTGAGAGGCTACCTCTGGTGTTCCTTCCACCAGCAATAGAACCAAGAGGATTCTGTGGAGGTGAGGTAGAATGTGAAAGTGCTTGGATCTCCTGAATCCTAGGCTAGTTTCTTTCCTGAAGAGCAGCCCAACATAGGTCCTGTGTCATCCTGGCAGTACTGCAACAAAAGAACTCCCTAAGCCACCTTCTGCCCTGGCTGGTGATGGTTCTGCTGTTCCAGTTAGCCCCAGGTGCCAGTGAGGAATCAAAGGAGACCAAGCCCCACCTCATTCCACTGAGTGTTCTTCAATTCACTCTCTGGTAGGTGGCGCTATTACCTTATTTAGCTGCCTGCCCTTCAATACCGCTTTGCCTTATTTAGCTATGTCAAGTAACACCTCTTGCTGCTTCCCTGGCTGTATTCCCTTACCAGGAGGCTATGTCATTATTGCAGTCATCAGTTGGAGGCTGTGTGAACCTAGGGAGCAGTAGCAACCGCCACCCTCTGGCTGGCTGCTGTTGGAATCAGAAACTTCCAAAGATTGTAGCAGCTGTTATGAAAGCTGTAATGGCCCTAACTGAGCCCCCTCCCACTTTCCAAGTGTGAACTCTAGAACTGTCCAGTCAAACTATACCTTTTGGCCTCTTCCCCATCTCCCCTAAACTGGGTACAGCTAGTAGGAGCAATGAGATCTTGTTTTTGCAATCTCAGGTGCAACCATGGTTGAGAAGTGGTGCGTTGCCTCTGATACTTGTGTTGGAAATAGTAGCAGCGCTGCTGACTATGCTTTATTTTACAAATGGTTCTTTGCAAAACACCCGCCCACATTCTGTGTACAATCTGAGCAGCGGTGTGCTCTGAAAACTTTTGAATAAACATTTTCTGCTTCTGTAACCAACTGGGATCTGATCTAGTATGTCTGACTCACTTTGGTAACCAAACCCTAAAAATTAACATAAAAGCACTGCATGAATGCTTCCAAATAAATTGCTCAATAGCTGGAAGGAGATGATTTTTTTATTTTTATTTAAATTTAATTTCCTGATTAAAATGTACATAATGAAGTATTAATCTGTGCTCAAAGCTTTAGTTGTAAATTATTTTTACTTGATATTTGCCTTAAGATATGTACATAACACATTAACATAAGCTTATGTACCAGTCCTTGCACACACAGCAAGCTGAACCTTATATATTTTTGTGTGTGATCTCAAAAAAGTTAATTACAGCTTAAAAACTGTCCAGTTTATATATTGGCTCATTTACATTTGAACCATATATAAGTCTGGTTTGCATTTTATTTACTCAGGCAAACAACAAACAAGCTATGGTTCTCGGCTTGTTTCTGACTTGGGTGTGCATTGTTTGTTTGAAAGGAACAAGTCATGCACTGAGTTCTCACAACACAACAAGCCATACTCTTATATGTTTGTGTTGTGTGTGCCACCTGCATAGGGGATGGGTGAAAAGCCTTATTCACATTTAAACTAAGATTTAACATGGCATTTGAGCCAGGTCACTGTCTTTAAATACATCCTCCAACTTGGACAACAAATCTCAGCATAAATTTTTTTTACCACAGTATCAAAATAAACACTAAGTGTTGCCAAACACATAAATTAGCAAAATGTACACATTTAATTTATGCTACAGTTCCTAATTTAAATGCATGTTTTACAAGTGGAAAATGTTCTGTCCTGTGCCCCTGCCTCTAAGGTATGGTGTGGCAACATCCATGGGCATTCTAAAGAAAGCTACCTAATGCTGGAGAATTATTGTCTAATTCACTGCAGGCTTTCAGCTTTTTGGCCAACCAGGCAGGGGAGTATACACTCCTAATGCAACCATTGACATGGCTCACTCTGTTTCTTCCTCCCTGGAATAGTAAACAAATAAGCTGTATGACAGTTGGCCAAGAAGCATGTGGAGTTCTAGCATCCTGTGGGTTTTCTCAGCTGCCTGGTGATGCTACCCACCCTCTAGTTCTGACACCTCACTGATCTCTTGAGTTCCTTTGCAGGCAGAGCTGCAGGCAACATGACCACCAGTCAGAAGCATCGGGACTTCGTGGCTGAGCCCATGGGGGACAAGTCTGTTGGTACTTTAGCTGGCATTGGAGATGTACTTGGCAGGAAGCTGGAAGACAAAGGCTTTGACAAGGTATCTTCTGGGACAGTGGGTCTGAAAGCAAAATAAGTTTATGGAATAGGAAATGAACTTGGGCAGAGTGATGCTTTCTAGCCTCCAGACAAACCTCTGCTGTGGGGGGTTCACTTCAGAGGTACCAGGAGTACCCGCAGGACTACAAGATCAGGAGAGACATGCTCCATTTTGATGACTGCTGCAGCCTGCTTTTCAGGGCCTATGCAATGCAGCAGTCTTTTTGAATCTCAGTAGGCCTGCGTCCAATTAGTCTTTGTGGTAGAGTGAGTAATAATAATATTATTATTTATTATTTGTACCCCGCCCATCTGGCCGGGTTTCCCCAGCCACTCTGGGCGGCTTCCACAATGACCAAAAATACACTAATATGTCATACATTAAAAACTTCCCTGAACAGGGCTGCCTTAAGATGTCTTCTGAATGTCAGGTAGTTGTTTATCTATGAGGACTTGAACCCAAGTCTTGAGTCCAAAACTCAAACTGCTGCACTGAAAGGATAACTTCTGTGTTCCCAGATTTTCTGTGCTTCTAGAACAGCGTTTCACAACCCTAAGCCCTCAAGATAGTTTGGGTTACAACTCCCATCAAACTGAGGCAGCTGTAGTCCAAAACCTCTGGAGGGCACCTGGTCGCGGAAGGGTATTCTGGAATTTTCAGTCTCCCAAAAGAGTCTGATATAGGTAGCCTCTCTCTCTCTTTTTTTTTTTTTTTACCCAAGTTGCTAATCCTCTGTGTGCTCCCCCCCCCCCCTGCTTTCTTGAACCCAGGCATACGTGGTTCTGGGACAGTTCTTAGTGCTGAAGAAGGACGAGGACCTCTTCCGCGAGTGGTTGAAGGACACGTGCGGCGCCAATGCCAAGCAATCCAGAGACTGTTATGGCTGCCTGAAGGAATGGTGTGATGCTTTCTTGTGAATGATGTTGGCCAAAGCCTGGTGGATGCTGTTAGGGCTTTTGTAGTTGAATAGAGATTGTTCCTCCCCGTCTCTCTCAGCACCCACTTCTTATAAACCTTCCGGCATCTACATGGGCTGCTGGGGGCTATTGCTCCCAACACTGGGGTGGGGTGGGGGGGAGCCATGACTGCCTTTTAATGTAACCGAATCTTTTTTCCTCCAGGGAGAGGGTTGAGAAACATCAAATGTTCTAATTCGATGCTCCATGTAGGTCGTTTTTTACGTGGCTTTAATTGCAAGCCCCCTCACTGTTAGGCCACCCAACTCCAGAACCAGACCTGCCTGCTAACAATAATGGAAGTTCCCCTACTCCCTTTGTTTGAGCTCCAGTTAGACTGAGATTTACCTGTCAATTCTGAAGAAAAAAGATGTTATTAGGCCTATTATTTTTGTGATTTCTCTCCAGTGTTTGATCCCTGCTATAATTTTTATGCTACTCGGTTTATTGGCAAGAACCAAAAATCATTGCAAAGTTTTTAAATCAATAAAAATCAGCTGTGTTAACTATTCAGTGTTGCTTGAAAATTAATTGGGGTGAGCTGTTTCGGGGAAAGGGGTGTGGGAATCCAATTTGTGTCTTGATCCCACAAGGAAGTGTATGAAGGGTTTAGTATCTACCTGAGGTTGCTGAAGTGATGGCGAAAGTCAGGAGTTGTGAGTCTCAGCCTCATGATGGGGCACAGTTCTTTCCCCAAACTCATCCAGGTAGGAAGAGAGCAATCCAGCACTGCTACTGACTCCAACCACTCTTGGCACGTAGCCCCTTCCAACAGAATGTGACCTTTACAGTTGCCTGTTTTAAATGTATGCCGAAGGAGGCTGAGCATTCTTAGGATAGAAATTATCCCAAATAGTTGGGCTAGAACAATGCTCTGCTGCCTTCCCTGGGCATCGTTCTAAAACAGGCAAAATCTAGATGGCTGTCAAAGTTAGGAATGGTAAGGAATAATCTTGCCCTGGCATAGAAATTGAAATTTACACAAAAATATTTGTGCCTTACAATAAATGTTACTTGGCCTCTCCCTTGAGGTTGGAACAGGGAACCTATTTTCTGTGAGAGCTACAGCACAGTGAGGTAATCTGCCGGGGAGGTACCTGCTAGCAGTGGGCAGAGTTTGCAGCATTTCAGGACTGCATAACTGCTACCCCATCTCCACCCATTTTGGCTCCCCCTATGTTTCTGTCTTGTTGCCAGAAGGCTCCCATCACTGCCCAAACCAGCTCTTCCTGCCTTTGTTCCTCACCTTAGGGGTGTGGAAATGTACTCTCCCTTGGCTATCTTGTGGGCAGATGCCAGCAGGAGCCGGGTGAGTCTTTGCTGCCCAGAGTCGTGCAGTACATTTTAAATTACATGCTATTTCATCTCGTGTTCATATACTGTCCTACTGGTTCATGGCTTTAAAAGAGGATCAGACATACATGGTGGAGAGGGCTATCAATGGCTACTAGCCATGATAGCTATGCTCTGCCTTCACATTTGCAGACAGCAATTGCTGGAAGCCATAGGAGGGGAGAAGGCTTTGTGCTCAGATCCTGCTTGCTGGCTTCCCACAGGCATCTGGTCGGCCACTGTGAGTATAGGATGCTGGACTAGAAGAATCAAGAGAGTTGAAAGGGACCCTGAGGATCATCTAAGTCCTGCAATGCAGGAATATGCAGCTGTCCCTTGTGGGGATCAGACTTGCAATCTTGGCGTTATCACCACACTCTAACCATCTGCTGGTTGCTGGCCTGATCCATCAGGGCCAAACATAGGTTCTTACGTGCTTTACCCCTGCATGCAGGGATTGTGGCAAGTTCAGAGAACAATATGCAAACATGGGCAGATGAATTTCATGTTGCAGTCCCATGTGTGTTTTGGGACAGATAACAAGTGTCCATAGCTTGGATCTGTGGCACACGGGAAAATCTGATCTCGCCATTGTACAACAGGAAGATGTAGCTACACCCTGGCACCATTACTATGTATACAAACACATGCCACGTTTCAGGTTGCTTGGCAGCCAGGCGTTTGAACTTATTGTTACCTTGTTTTCCTCCAGCTGCTGGCATCTAGTGTTCTGCTGCTTCTAAAGCTGTGCACACTTGATTCTCCCCTGTTTTATGGTCACAATAACCCTGTCCAGTAGAATTAGGCTGACTGCCCCTCAAGACCACCCAGTGAACTTCATGGCCAAGTGGGAATTTGAATCCAGATCCTAGCCCTCGAACCTCTGCCTCACATGGGCTCATGCATTGGCCCTTGTGGCCTGCAAGATGCTCAGGGTGAGGGTGCTGCCTGTTCTCATCCCTGTGCCTCTCCTCACCCCACTGGGGGTACTCTCCAGGTGTGCAGGAAGGGAAGGGTCCCCGTGTGACGTCACATGAGGGGGGCTGCGGGAGTGAGACCCCCGCCCCTTTCTCCTGGAGGGAAGCCGGGATTGCCTCTTGTTTTTCGAGGGAGAGGACCAAAGCCAAGGGCAGCGAGGGCGTTCAGATGACGCCGGGTGGGCGGGGCATGGCGTTGACACGCCTCCCAGCCTCGTCGGCCAAGGGGACGCCACCCAATGCCCAGCCGTCTGCCTCAGGCCCCTCCCACTCTGCCTCAGGCCCCGCCCTTTCTCCCTCCCTTCACCCGGCCGCCGGCCCGACTCCCTTCAGTCAGAGCAAGGATGGCGCAGGCGTCGGCTGTCCCCTTTGTGCTGCTGCTCCTGCTGGGTGCCTCCGCGGCGATGCCGGGGGGCGCCCGGGAGGTGGACGTGAGGAGCGGCCAGGCCCGTGAGGCGGCTCGCTTCGCCTTGGCCGAGACTTTCCAGAGCGACAAGGCGGGCTCCGGAGGTGGCGGTCGCCTTTGGACGCTGCGCTCAGCCCAGACGCAGGTGAGATCCAGAAAGGCTGGGCGCAGGTCAGTGGCGTAGCGTGGGGGGTGCAGGGGGGGCCGGCCGCACCGGGCGCAACATCTGGGGGTTAGGGTTAGGGGGCGCAAATCCACGGGTTAGGGGGCGCAAATTACTTGCCTTGCCCCGGGTGCTGACAACCCACGCTACGCCACTGGCGCAGGTGCGGGGGGACGACCTTGGGGCTGAAAGAAATGAGGGGGAATCATGACTTGGGGGGCACGGGTGCTAGGAGGGAGGAACCTTGGGGCTGGAAGAATTGGATGGGGCTCATCACTGTGGAGGAGCATGAAGTATTTTGGGACTGAAGCACGTCGGGGGACTTTGGGGCTGGAAGAAGGGGGGGCTATGATTTAGGATGGGGGAGGATAAAGTATTCCTCGTAATCCAAAGCATCTGGGGTCAAAGAGGCTGTGAGGACCTCATGCCCCAAGTAGCCCCCATCCAAGTCCATTTATTGCGCTTATGTCCGTCCCCCTTTCTCCAGTGAGTTAAAAATGGTGACCTATATGGTTTTTCTGCATCACATTTAATCCCCGTAACAACCCTGTGAGGCAGGGGAGGCTGAGAGACAGTGAGCGAGCTTAACTGTTACACCACCACTGGCTCTCATGCCAGCCATTTTTGCCAATCTACCCCAGTATTGTGTGCTCTGGCTGGCAGCACTTCTCCAGGGTCTTGGCTATGGGGTCTCCCCCCCAACACCTCCTTGATCCTCTGAACTGGGGATTTAACCCTGGACCTTCTGCATGCAAAGTGTGTGCTCTTTGTTTTGCCAAGAGACCCAGAAACCCCACCCCTTCCAGTCAAATTAATTTAATTTAGTGAACTAGTTAAGGCATTTGTACCTTGCCCCTCAGCCAAAAAGAATTCCAGAGCAGCTTACGTTCATTCAGTTAGAACAAGACTGACCCTGCCTTCGGGATTACAGTCTAAATGACAGGTTGTCAGTGCTTTTTTTTCTGGGAGTACTCAAGTGTACGCAGTACCAGAACCTTTAATTTTCAAATGTTAAAAGTGTGGCACTTACTGTAACAACGTCATGATGAGTACCGGCACCATTTTCTCTAAAAAAATTAAGCACTGCACGTTGTCCAAGGAAAAGAATGTCCTTCACACAGTGCATAGTTAAAATATGGAACTCACTCCCACAGGAGGTGGTGTTGGGCACCAACTTGGAACGCTTTAAAAGAAGATTGGACAAATTTATGAAGAAGGGGTCTGTCAGTGGCTACTAGCCACAATGGCTATGCTCTGCCTCCACAGCTTTTGAATACCAGTTGCTGGAAACCACAGGAAGGGAGAGTGCTCTTGTGCTTGCTGGTTTCCCTTGGGCATCTGGTTGACCCCTGTGAGAACAGGATGCTGCACTTGACGGGCCCCCTTTGTTCTTGTGAAAAAGCGACTGGAAGGGATGGGAAGTAAACTGAGACATCAGTTTTTAAAATTAAGTAATAAGTTCCCGTAATTACCAGCTGTCATTACAGTTCAGGGCAAGAGGCTGAAGCAGCCTGCTACCAGGTGACATTTGAGGGAGGGGAGGCCTGATGGCATCTGTAGAGAGTATTTTCTCTATCGGCCCCCGCCCCGAGCTCCACAGGCATCCGAAATGGCAAACACAGGACTTAGGAAGTACAGAGGGCCGGAGAGTCTGCTGCTGAGGATGTTATTTTTTTTCTTCTTGCTCCCTTTGGGATCCTTATTGCTGTCCCAGGTGTCTTCTTGTTGACAATTAGAAGCACAATCCACTTAACTCTTAAAATAGTTACAGGTGGCTTCCATCAAGCTAGACTGCTTTAACTGGTATACTGGCAGAGGGCGAGGGAATCTGCCTCCATCTGATTAGCTGGAGTCCTGGATAATTGATGCTGACCTGCAAGTAACAAACCTCTGGGCCGAGGCTGTCACTCCATGCTGGAGAACTAGGTCAGTGACTAAGAGTAAGGCCAGTGGAATGCCCTTACAGCTGACAGTCAACAAGAGAAACTCAGCCCCATGCATTCCTGCTCCTCCCTCAGAACCAGGTTCCATCTTTGATGGAATCTAAATATCAGAAACAAAAGGGTGTGTGTGTTTTATCAGTATTTGAAATGGTCTGCAGGCCTAACCATAATTCCCACGAGGAGGCAGCCTGCTCTGTTTAATTCTTCACTGTACAACTGTTGTTCTGGCTCTCACAGAAGTGTTTTGGCCACAGTTGGCCTCGAGCCTCCAGTATTGTGCCTGGTTAGTTCTCCAAGTGTGTGTGTGTGAGGCTTTATTTACTTCCTGGCTTTCATGAGAGCCTTTTGCTCAGTGTTTGGGATTGTGAGACAGAATCACATAAGAAGAGCCCTTCTGGATCAGGCCAATGGCTTATCTAGTCCAGCATCCTGTTCTCACGGTAGCCAACCACTCTCTCATCTCCTGTGGATTCCAGCAACTGGTATTCAGACGCATACTGCCGCTGACCTCCATGGAAGCAGAGCATAGTGATTGTGACTAGTAACCACTGAAAGCCTTCTCTTCCATGAATTTGTCTAATTATCTTTTACATCCTCCTATAAAAGTGTTTAACTATTTGCTCTGTGAAAAACTCCTTCCTGTTATCTGTCCTGAAGCTTCCACATTCAGTTTGATTGGATGCCCATGACTTCTAACGTGACGAGAGAGGGAGAAAAACTTTCCTCTGTCTACTTTCTCCATGCCATGAATAATTTCATGGACTTCTGTCACGTCTCGTCTTTTCTCTACGCTAAAAAGTCCCCAAACGCTGCAGCCTTTGTTCATGGGGGAGTCATTCCATATCCTTGATCATTTCAGTTTCCCTTTTCTGAATCTTTTCCAACTTTACAGTATCCTTTTTGAGGTGAGGTGACCACAGACTTGGCCAGCCAGCAAGAGGCAGAATAGTCGTGTGCCTTTGTCTGTCAGGAATTGTGGAATGCTGAAATGTTTCCCAGTGTCAGCAGTGTGCCAGGCAGTGGCTGTGTATCGTTTTCCTTTCATGAAGTTCCTGTTCTATGCATGTATGAATTGAACTTACAGTGTGAGCTTGTGAACCTCAAGTTTAAAGCCGGGCGGTGAACTTTTGAGTCCAGCCATAGTTATCTGCTGCCTCCTCCTTCCAAACAAATAAACAACCAGAAAACCATTGAGGCCACTCTAGGTCTTTTCCAGTTTCTTCCAAACTGGTTTTGGCTGCTTGCAGGCAGTGAACATCACTGGGCAATTTTCCAACGTTTCCCACTTGCCTGAGAGCTGTTCTTTCCTCATCTCCAGGTGGTGAATGGAATCAAGTACTACCTGGATGTGACTCTGCTGCAGAGCAGTCAGTGCAGTGGGAAGCAGGCTGTGGGGCAAGATGCTCCTAGTTGCCTCACTCCAGAAGAGCCGGAGCAAATGGTAAGAATCAGCATTGTACTTTCGCTTTCTGGTTAAAAGGGGCAGGGGGAGTGTAGCTAGCACCTTCAATGTGCTAGAAACCTGGAGTCTGGTTCCCAAGGTATCCTACTTTTGCATGGCACTATTTGATTTCTCTTTTGAGTTTTTTAAAAAATAATCTGGTAGCATCATGCAAAACACATGGGGCTGCAACAGTTAGCACAGGCACTGGCACATAATATCTGTTCCGCATTTGTAGGAAATCAGTCTTTTAGTGTGGCAGCACCTGCACTTTGGAACTCCCTGCCAATTGATAATCAGGCTGGCGCCTTCACCAAACTCCCTTCAGCGCCTGGCTTAAAATATTTTTGTTTAGACAAGCGTATGCAGATACCTGAACATTGATGTGTGTTTTAATCTGTTTTTTTTATTTATCCTGATTTTAATTTTTTGAATGTTTTTACTGGTAGTTTTTAGGGTATTCTTGTTTTCATTTACCACTTTGAGATTTTTTTACAATCAATATAATTTATTTGTGTACCTTCCTTCACCCGAAGATCACAGGGCGGTTCGCAACATAAAAATACAAAATGAAAACACAAAATACATAATAAAGCAAAAGCAAAACAAAACAATAACCTCCCCTCCCACAGAAACATATGAAAGGGTGGTAAAATGACCCCTGTTGAGTGTATCAGCTCTTGTCTCTATTCCAACAATGCTACAAGTCCCTGAGTATGACCTCTGTGTGCATTAGGAAATAGGATGGGTTGAGACTGAGGGGCACCTGAGGCTGGCACTTTGCAGAATCTTTCCCTGGTACCTCAGTTTCCCTGGAAGTGTGGATATGCAGATGGCAGTGAAGTGGGATTTCTAACTCTCCCATCTCCAAACAGACACCTCTTTGCTTGAAGAGGAGCAGACCTCCCACTGGGACCTGTGGCTGGTGCAAAGTAGTTTGTCCAAATATGGTCTCCTCCTTCCAATGTGTTGGAGAAATGAGGGCAAGTTTGATGTCCAGGAGATGAATGGGGAAGTAGCAGGTCATCGCCCAGAAGCTTGGGAAGGTTACAGATTTGCTTTGGTTTGCATAAAGCAGCGTGTTAACAACAGTAAACATTGGTACTGTTGACTCAGACTTCTCATTATCAAGGCTACGATCTCCATAAGCACATGCCAAATTCAGTTTGTCCCCCCTGGGTCTCACATGTTTATCTTGTGACCTGGCATCACTGAATCTCTTTGCATAAACTTCCCCTCAAATAAGAGCAGTTTGGTTTGGCTGGCCAGCCTGTCAGCTGACAGTGCCTCGTGTAGCTCCAGGGGTTGGGTGCCAAGGAGGAAGATAGAGAGCATTGACATCATGTATACTGACTGGCACAGTTGCTTTATCCAAAAGTTTATCCTAGCCTTACCTGGAGATTGAACCTGGGTTGTTCTGCATGCAAGGCAGATTCTCTACCTCTGAGCTACGTAAGATGGGTTTGATCCAGCAGGCAGGCTCTTCTGAGATGCATATGGTGTGCTCGATCCCCCAAGCTGAAGACTGAAGTGGTTGCAACCCAGGCACAACTAGCCCTCAGTGCAAGATATCTGACAAGTACACACACTGACCCTCTTGCTAGGACTTACAGTGTTACTTCGGGTTACATACGCTTCAGGTTACATACGCTTCAGGTTACACACTCCACTAACCCAGAAATAGTGCTTCAGTTTAAGAACTTTGCTTCAGGATAAGAACAGAAATCGGGCTCCGGCGGCACAGCAGCAGCAGGAGGCCCCATTAGCTAAAGTGGTGCTTCAGGTTAAGAACAGTTTCAGGTTAAGAACGGACCTCCGGAATGAATTAAGTACTTAACCCAAGGTACCACTGTATTTTCATGAGATCAGCCTCAATTAAGATGCAAAAGGTCCTCCCAGTGAAGTGGCTGGTAGGGATAAAGCATCTCTGGTAAGATGAACGCCCCAAGGCACCTTACTGTTTGGAGTCATAGACCATTAGGTCATAGAATCATAAGAGTTGGAAGGAGACCCTGTGGATCATCTAGTCCAAACCCCTGCAATACAGGAATATGCAGCTGCCCCTTACGGGGATTGAACCTTCAACCTTTTGGGAGGAGGGCAGCCCTTTCCTGCCAGAGCCAGAGGTCCTGACTTCCTTTTGCCTCCTCAGATAGCCCAGTAGGCCCCATTTCCTCTCCTAGAGTTGATGGCAAGGCAATATTTCTGATTTCCAGCCTTGCATCCTTCCGCCTCACGCATCTTATCTGAGTGGCTTGTCCTTGCTTGCCCTCCTAACCTTTTCTGTTCTTCCCTTCCAGTCATGTCACTTTGAGGTCTGGAGCCAGCCCTGGGCAAACAGGAAGAGGCTGGTGAAGCAAGAGTGTCGCCTGGCTGGTAAGTCAGGTCTGGGTACTCTGTCTGAAGCGTTAAAAGCAGAAAATACAGTCAAGAAGGCAGGGCCCCAAACCTTTGCATACTGTTGACATAAACAGTAGCTCCCTGAGCCAAGCTTTTCCTTCAAGGATATTGATTGTAGAAACCAGTAGCAACCAGAACGGGTAAGATAACTCTTGTACCGGCCTACCTACTTCCACAGAATTCTCCTTCAGGAGGCAAATAGCCTCCACACTGTAATGCTCCATCCAGGTTGGACTCCTATCAGTGCAAATGAGCAAATGCAACTAGGTTCAAAGTCATTTGGAATTCCTTCATCTGGGGCTGCCAACCATTCTTTGGCCCATGGGGATTTACAATCGAGTGCTGTGGGCGCCACCGAGCCTGGTTGCTTCTCTCTGCGTCCTCTGGATCAACCCTCCTGTCAGAGTCCACACATACACACTCTTTGCCTTTCCAAGGGATCTGGATAAAAGCCAATAATATTAATCCGAGGCTTGAAAAGCACATAGAGTTGGAAGAGGAAATGGGAAAGAGCGCCACTTTTCCAACTTCCTCCTCCTGTTCAAGCAGCCCCCCGTTTACTCGGGCTTTACGTTCTGAGGTACTGCGTGCGTCAGTGAAATCATGTATAATTGAAACCCATTGAAAAAGCCTGCAAACACCCTGCTCTGCCCTTTTAGTGACATTTCAGTGACAGCTTTATGATGTTTCTGGGTCACTTCTGGGTTTGGCGCAATGCACACGCACATGGTTGCACACATATGGAACGTGCCTAAATGGGGGTGGGGGTGCTGCCTGTATGTACCTTTAAAGGGAGTAAAAACCTAACCCTAAGCCTCACGGCCTCATGACCAAGTGGGTAGTGCGGGGAGGGGCTTTGTGGGGGCCAGGAGAAGGTTGCAAGGCACTATGATGTTGATACCTGGACTTACATCATTTGCGAGATGGGTGTCCGTGTGTAATTGATACATGGCCTCACCTTTTCTCCCCAGGCACAATGAATCATTCAGGGGCATGAATCATTAAGGTGTCGGCTGCTGGGTAAAAGATTTCCTTCTGCATATCTGGTTAAGCACATATTTCTGCGAGGAGGTGTAATGAGAAGGATTGGGGGTTTAGCTGATAGCCATTTAGAATGTAGGTGACTTTTGGAATACAGTAGTACCTCTGGATACGAACGGGATCCGTTCCGGAGCCCTGTTCGCATCCAGAAGCAAACGTATCTAGTGATGGCATGTCTGCGCACGCACGCATCACTTTTCGCCGCTTCTGCGCATGCGCGTGATGTCATTTTGAGCGTCTGCACAAGCGCAAGCGGCGAAACCCGAAAGTAACACGCTCCGTTACTTCCGGGTTGCCACGGAGTGCAACTCGAACGCACTCAACCTGAAGCGCATTCAACCCGAGGTATGACTGTATCCACTTAGTCTGGTGACTGAGTGTGGGATAGTAAATAAATAAACACACACACACCCCTTGTTCTTGCAGAGCCATCGGAAGTAGTCCACGCAGCAAAACTGGGGGAGTGGGAAGTGTTCCGTCCGAAGGCACCTGCCAAGGAAGTCGAGGAGTTAGCCCAGGAAGAGAGGTTTCTGCAGGTGAGTGTTATTCATCTGCCTTTTGGAGCTGGGGTGTGAACTCTCTTAGCAGGGCAAAGCAGGGCTGTGTTCCTGCTGACTGAGTTGTCTCTTTCTCTTTTTTCCCTTTATATCAAAAGCGTGTACATGTAGCTTGGATCCCAAACGCCTTGGTACTCTGACGTTTTAGCTCCCAAATGCCGCAAACCTGGAAGTGAGTGTTCTGGTTTGCGAACTTTCTTTGGAACCCGAACGTCCGACATGACTTCCGATTGGCTGCAGGAGCTTCCTGCAGCCAACCAGAAGCCGTGCTTTGGTTTCCAAACATTTTGATAGTCGGACGGACTTCCGGAACGGATTCCGTTCGACTTCCGAGGTATGACTGTATACATTTGAGACAGCCACAATCTTCCAATTTTGGTCAAAAGTGCACAGCGTTCCTGTTTGCATGTTCCTGATTCTAACATTAGGGAAACTGGATGGCTGATTCATCTTGGGTACTTTGATATCATCTGCCTAAGATAACCTTGCTTCTGATACAGTGATTTAAAAAAAGTAATTGGCTAGGGTAATGAAAGGTCAAAGGTCAAAGAAAGATGGACAGGTTTTTGGCAGGCTGGCATTTATTCATTGATTTCATAAAATGCTAGGAATCTGGTAGATCAGTTCCAACTATATATAAAATAGTTTGGTCTTTTAAAGAGTAAGACAGGATTCATTGTAGAAGGGTTAGATTAATTAAGAAAAATGAAACGTGCATCTAATTAATGGAGTCTTTTGTTTAGATTATAGGTTATAAGAGACAATGAATGCTGTAAAGAAAAATAATAATACTATTGAAGATCAAATATTATGTTTAATAGGTTCTTAATACTACTCGTAAAATATATTATGCTAAAGAAATACAATATTATGCTGGAAATACTGTTCATAGGAGGGAAGGGGGCTAATTTATATTTATGCCCTAGTCAACATTATTTCTGCAAAACAGTTTGGAAAATAAAATCAAGTCGCAATCTGCAGTTGAAGGCAGCAGCTCTGTTTCTGTGATTCAGTTTCTTGTGTACCAGTTTCTCAGTTCTGGATTCTTCCATCCCCAGAATGCCTCCAACCACCTGGTGCCCCTCTTCAAGGAGTTCTTGACAACTTATGAGAAGAGCTACAAGGACAAGCAAGGTGAATGTTGGGTGAAGGAAAGTGTCAAAGCAACAACATGCCTGGGCTGCCCTGTGTGGTGTAATGGTTGGTCTAGGACCTGGCAGAGTCCAGAGTTTAGAATCCCCACTCAGCCATGAAGCTCGTGGGATAACCTTGGGCCAGGTGCAGTTTCTCAAGTCTGATGTGCCTCGCAGAGTAATTGTGAGGATAAAATAAGAAGGGCTGGGAGAACTGTGTGCGCCACCTTGAGCTCCTTGGAAGGAAAGCAGGATATAAAATGCAAGAAATAAATATAAGCTGCAAAGGTCTGGCTAGCTTCTCAGCAGAGTTCCTCTGACGTTCAGATTTTGCAGCAGGCATGGCTGTGCTTGCTTGGGCGGTTGGGAGTTGGGAAGGCAGGCATTGGGAAGGCCACAGGCTCCCCACCTCCCTTGTCTGTCTTCCAGCTTCTCCTGATCCAATTTGGCATCCCTCCACTCCTCGGAGCCCACCAGCCCACGTACACACTGCTGGCTGTAGCATTCTGCATGTTAAGCATCCTTAAAGAATTGTAGGCATAACTGCTCATGGATAAGAACCAATAAGAATCAATACTCATGCTCAGTCCTTGTTTCCCTGGCCTGCTCTTTTAGAGACCGAGAGGCGTTTCCGCATCTTTGCAGAGAATCTGGAGAAGGCCCGGCTAATTCAGGAACTGGATCAGGGCACGGCAGAATACGGTGTCACCAAATTCAGTGATCTGACAGGTAGGTGAGGACGGGGCAGGGACTCTGCTGCTAGCTTCCCCTCTGAATCGCAGAGCTACAGCATACCTGTGTCTGGTAGACCCACCTTCGCCAACCAGGTGCCCTCCAGATGTTGCAGGACTAAAACGCCCATCAGGAGGGCACCAGGCTGAACAGGCTGCAGTAAACAAATGGTATTATCTACAAAACTGCTGCCACTTAGTCCTAACAGTGCCACCACAAACCCTCTCTGAAAAGGCTCCAGCTAACAGGTTAGAGTCTTGCCTTCTTCATCCTGCAATGTGGTAAGTTTTACATATCCCAGCTTCCTTGGAAAGTGCAGGTGTCTCAAACCAGATATTTTATTTTTACATTCAGTTACTCGCATTAAGGAACTGGGATAATACATTATCCAGATGTGCATGTTAAAAGGGGTTTTTTCAATAAAAGAGAGAGAGAATGAAACAAAGTGAATAAAAGTAGCATAAAATAAAGCAAAAATGGGTATCTAATGTTTTTAAAATTACAGCACAAGTTCCGAAGAGGAAAGATACAGATCTGTATTTGTGGCAGATAGAACTCAAGAACTTCAATTAGCCAGGAAGGCTAGAGTGTCATATTTTATGAAATCTGGTGCTTTCGTCTTTTCATCGTGCAATATATCTTTCTCCTTTATTTTAGAGGAGGAGTTCCGCTCCACGTACTTGAATCCGCTGCTGTCCCAGCTGCCTGGTCGGCCAATGAAACCAGCCACCATCCCTAAAGATCCACCCCCTGATGCATGGGACTGGCGGGACCACGGGGCTGTCACAGGTGTCAAGAACCAGGTTGGCTTTCCTACGCCCCACTATGGAAGCAGCTGCTTCTTCAAGGGGACCGGGTTGGGCTTAAAGTTTCCAAAGGGGATAAACGTTCCACTGTTTCCCTGTGTGGGTTTGTTGCGTGAGGTTGGTGAGGAGCTGGAAGAAGGTAGTATCCCAGCTTTGTATCAAATTGGGATGCAAGGCAGCTTACAACATGTAAAAAACGTCCTCATAAAATGAAAAGTAATAAAACTAATTGAAAGCAGTAGTTGAAATACATCGAAACACATTTAAAACCAGCAGCTAAAGTACATCAGCATCGTCTGCACCTTAGTTTTCAAAGGCCTGTCTGGATACAAAAGTCTTAAGTCTGCCATCAGAAGGATGACCAAGAGGGAGCCAGTTCAACCTCTCCTGGGAGAGGATTCCACAATCTGGGAGCAGCCACAGCAAAGGTTCTGTCTCGTGTCACCACCAACCGTGTTTCTGATGTTGATGGGACCAAGAAAAGGTACTCACCTGAGGATCTTGGCACCCAGAAAGGTTTATATAGGGAGTTATGGTCATTCAGGTAACCTGGTCCCAAGCCATATGGGGCTTTCTAGGTCAGAACCAGCGTTTGGAATTGTGCCAGAAGTGGACCAGTAGCCAGTGAAGTTGTTCAACAGATGTGAGATGCCTTCTTCCAGGCTGCTTCTGAATTGTCTCCTTTTTCATCTTATGGCCAGTTCATACTATCTGGAGTAACCCTTTCCTTTTCCCAATGACTGCAGGGTTACTGTGGCTCCTGCTGGGCCTTCTCTGTGACGGGCAACGTGGAAGGGCAGTGGTTCCTCCACAATGGCACTTTGGTCTCCCTCTCTGAGCAAGGTAAGGGAATTCTTTGAGGAGGCCTGGCCTCTCATGTTTGGATCTGGGAGCTTTCTGGGCAGCAGAGCCAAAACAAAACAAAAAAACCACCAGTGAAATCATTGGTTGTGCCTTGTTTACATGGCCGCGTTGACTCAAATGTTTTACAGGTAGAGGATGCCTGCATTCTCGAAGCAGATTTTATTTTTTGCTTTCATTACCTTGTTATAACCCATCCTGAGATCACATATGGCGAAGAGCGAAATGTAACTGCTTTGAGTTTTTTCTTCAATCAAGTGGCATATAAATTTTATGAAAGAAATGTCATCAAGAAATAAATTGGGAAGTTGGCTGACTTCAGGAGCAAGACTGGACATGTCTTTAGGGGTGCTCACCCTCCAGTTTCCAGCTGACCTGATTTCTGCTCCCTCCACAGAGCTGCTGGACTGTGACTCCGTAGACAAAGCCTGTGGAGGAGGACTTCCATCCACGGCCTACGAGGCCATCGAAGGGCTGGGTGAGTCGGCAAAATATTCTTGCTCCAGCGCGGCACTTGGTCTGCAGCTTGTTCCTCTGCATGTGCCTTGACATCCAGAGAATAAGAAGTTTTCAGTGTTCAGAGACTTGTTTTCACAACAGTCTCTGAACTGGAGGAACTGGGTGCCTTGAGCACGGTGGTGCTGGAAATGCTGGTTTGTTCCCAAGGCTAAAACGTAACCGAGTTTTGTCAGTTGCATCTAGAGCACCATTCATGCCAGATCCTTCCCTTTTAGAAAAAATCCATTCCCTCTTTCTTGGGGCAAACCCTGAATTTTTCAAGAGTGCACATGCTGCCTTTACTGCAGTTCCCCAATGGCTGTGAAGCAACCACCACAGTGAGGCTGGAAGATGCTCTGTTTGTTCAGCCGTTTGTTGACAATGCAAAGTCCCTCTTCAGAACTGCTGGATTCTGGCTGCTGTTGATTTCTCACGTAGGGGTTGTTGTTCCTCGCTGCTTTTATTGTTGGAAGCTGCCTCTAGAAGTATTAAGGTAAAGGGACCCCTGACAATTAGGTCCAGTTGTGACCGACTGTGGGGTTGTGGCACTCATCTCGCTTTATTGGCCGAGGGAGCTGGTGTACAGCTTCCGGGTCATGTGGCCAGCATGACTAAGCCGCTTCTGACAGACCAGAGCAGCGCACGGAAACACCGTTTACCTTCCCACCGGAGCAGTACCTATTTATCTACTTGCACTTTGACGTGCTTTCGAACTCCTAGGTTGGCAGGAGCTGGGACCAAGCAATGGGAGCTCGCCCCGTCACGAGGATTCGAATGGCCGACCTTCTGATCAGCAAGTCCTAGGCTCTGTGGTTTAACCCACAGCACCACCTGCATCCCACAGAAGTATTATTAGGGCATAATAAATGTGTAGGGTTTTTTTAAAGCCACTCTTAGATCCTTATTCTGCACAGCAAGAGCCCCGTCTGTACACAGTTTTCCTTGCCAGGTCATCACCTTCCTTGGCCTTCCTGATTCTCCTCTTCTTCCCCAGGCGGCCTGGAGACAGAGCGCGATTACAGTTACGAGGGGTTCGAGCAGAAGTGTGGCTTCTCCAAGGATAAGGTGGCCGTCTACATCAATAGCTCCGTATCAATATCCCGGGATGAGACAGGTACGTGTCTGAGACCATGGCTTGGGGTGCCAGTTAGTGAATCAGATTGTGGGCCTCTTAATACCTAGAGAGATCTGGAACACTCTGCTGTGGAATGAGGAAGGCCACTTGCTACTGCCTAGAGCAAGGGTTGGGCAAACTTTTCCCAGCCCCAGGGCTGCCTTTCCTCTTGGCCAAACTTCCAGAGGCCACATGCCAGTGGTATGTGGGGCCAGAGCAGGCATAGGCAAACTTGGCTCTCCGGATGTTTTGGGACTACAGCTCCCATCATCCCTAGGACCAGTGGTCAGGGATGATGGGATTTGTAGTCTCAAAACATCTGGACAGGGCAACAGATGTAAGAATTGGTGTAGACATATATATATGTTTATGAAAATATTTATATGCTGCAAATCATAACAAAATAAAAGCAGTGTACAATAATAACTATATAATATAAAAACACATTTAAGATCAGAGACCATCATCTAAGTGTTATGGAAAGATGGCTTCTTAATTGCTGGCATAAGCTTGACGACATGGAGAAGTTCTCAGCGGGTTTTTTTTTTTTAAAATAAATTTTATTAACCGACCAATCAAATCAAATCAAATCACATCACATAAATTCCGAATTACAAAGCCGAATTTTAATTTTTTTGTTGTTGGGGGGACCCATATTTCAAGTTCCGAAGGGGATTCCAATCATCTTCTTGCTGCAAATCTGTACAAATAATGTTCATAATTCTATCCAGTCCTATCTTGCTATTCCCACATCTCGTCTTATTCGTATATTTTTCTTTTTTTCTTTATGATCTCTTCTGATAATCTCCTTAAGCAGGTAAACACCAGTTGTAATCCTGTGTGAATTTTCCCATTCGTCCAATCATCATGTCGAGATGGTTTCCATATATCATCACTTTCATAAATAAAAGCACTCTTTCCATCATTAGTCTCGCAAATCTGTCGCTTTCTTTAGTCCCTCTGAGGAGGCTCACCCACAATATGAAAACAGATCTGTTCCTCCTCCCAGACATAAGTCTTTCGACAGAACTTGCCAAAATGGCGACACTATTTTTTGCTGCGTCATTCCAAAGCTCTTATGCTTTCCACGGTCTCCTTAAAACATGCTTTGGTTAGAAAAATATCTCCACACAGTCTTAAATCCTCAGCTTAAGTCATTTAAACGGCACTTGTGACTTGTGGGGGGGGGATTCTTGGTTAATCACATAGAGAAAAGAAAGGAAAGTCCCCCCCCCTCCAGTCCCGTTGCCGAACATACCGAGCCTTGGTGTGCCTTCTCATGATTTATTCCTGTTCCTCCGACCCGTCTTGTTTACCAGAGATCTCTTCAGTTAGCAGTCTTTACTCCCCATTCTTCCTTGAAATATGTGCATTAGCTTCCTCCGAATTGTTACTTTTGAAGTTGCTGCAGCTAGAGGCGCGAATCAGAGACAGCGTCCAGGAGCGCCAAAATCCGCACAAGGGCTTTCTGCCTAGTGCCCCCACCCCCTCAAGTTCGGGGGTGGTATAGGGCACAGCAGGCAAGGGCAGTCCCCCCCCACGCTTGGGGGGGCCGGGAGGCTGTTTACTCCCATCACAGCCTCTTAATTACCTCGTGTGGGTCAAAGAGATGTTATTGTCAGCCATCTTCCGATGCGCCCTTAGTGGCCCCCCCTTCTCAGCGGTTGTTTAAAAGGAGCTGGATGCTGAATCTCTGTTAGCAGAGTGTTCCCCAGGACTAGGCCAATAAGACTAAAGACTCTTATTTCACGTTGATGTCAAATGACCTTTGCCAACTCAAGGGATGACCAATGAGGTTCTTCCAGGTGATCTTGGTAACTGAGCCAGGATATAAGGGTTCAGGCCATCTCTAAGGTACCTTGGATCTAAGTTATTCAGGGCTCTGTAAAATCAATACAAAGACCTGGCTCAGTAGTAGATGGGCAGCCAGTGCAGAGGTTATTTACTCCCTCTTCATCCATACAAGCAAGAGGTATTATCATGGTCCAATAACACATTCTGGCTAAGAAAAAACACAGGGCAGGGTCATAGACACTTGTGGCCTGTGGGATGGATTTAGAGGTCTGGATGACTGCATAGGTCCCTGAGGTACCCCAGGCCAGCCCTGGATGTTCTCTGGACTTGATAGGTGCCCTTCTTGCCGCTTTTATGGCTAAGAAACATTCGAGACCACACACTTTGATACTTAACAGCTTCTCTGCTGAGCCATCCTGCTACGATCTCTTGTCTTACCTGCTGCCACCATGCATGGGTGTAGGAAGTGCAACTGAGGCCAGGGAGAGGCAGCGTATCAGTATCTCAAATGCATGGTGATCCACATGTGTAAAATGCTTTTGTTTTCTGGGGCAGGGCCTGCAGCGCAGCTCCCATAAGCTCCCTCTCCCTCTCTTATATCTCTCTGCATCATATAATGGCTTTGCATATTAACCAGTCACTCTCTCCGTTTCAGAGATCGCTGCCTGGCTGGCTAAGAACGGCCCTATTTCCATTGCTCTGAACGCCTTTGCCATGCAGGTGAGGGAGCCCCTGGAGGGCCATGCTTCTTTTCCCATGTAAGGAACAGAGGTCACCCTTTTGGTCAAAAAACATTCCCCCACATCATTTGTTGAGCGGGTGGGGAGCAAAATGAAACCCTCTCAAAAAAATCACAGTGGAGGGACAGAAATCTCTATGTAAGTTTGAGCAGGGAGTTGCATTAACTTTATGATGTGGCCATAGGTTTTCCATTTTCCCTTGCTTTTTAAAACTTAAAAAAAGAAGAAAAGAAATCCTGGGATGCCGTTGGAGCTCTGCCACCTCCTGCCCCAGGACTCAGAGCCATCTCTGATTCAGGACAGGCAAAACAAAGCCCTTCTCCACACAGAAATAGAACTGTCGAATTTGCAAGCGCTAAATGCAGCAATGGCCACTAATGTGACCGGCTTCCAAAGCAGGTTAGACAAACTCAAGGAGAATAAGCCTGGTGACGGCTGCAAGCCATGATGGTTATTTTCTGCCTTGGGAAGCAGCATGCACCTGAACACCAGTTGAATCGCAGGTGGAGAAGAGAGTATTGCTGTTGTCCTTGCGAGCTTTCTGATTGGTCACTGAGGCAGACTGCTGGGCCTCTGGTCTGATCCAACAGTTAGCCCTGCTTGCATTTCTTTTACACGGCTTACTCTGCTTCCAAATTCGGATTGGCCTAGTTCAGTTTTTCTTGCTGTTTGAGAGAGGGAGGGCTGAGTCATGCAGAACATGAGGGAACAGATCTGTTCAGAGGGGCAAGGACTCCTTGCAGCTAGGACACATTTGACTTTCTTAGTAGCTTCACACACAGACCTTCAAGCCCTCCCAAATTGCCTGAAGGCCCAAACATTGCACAGGGTGCAATATGTATGTATTAAGTTGCTTGGAGTCCAGGATTGTCTCTGAGCCCTTTCCCCCTTCTTCCCCTGTCCAGTTCTACAGGAGAGGAGTTTCCCACCCCTTCTTCCTGCTCTGCAACCCCTGGATGATTGACCACGCAGTCCTCTTGGTGGGCTACGGCACACGTAAGTGGCTACTTTTACTTTCGGGGGGGGGGATGCTCCCAAAACGTGAAGGTGGGGAGATTCACTCTGGAATCTCCATTCCTCCACCCTGCAGTTTAGCGTTCAGAAGCAGTCTCCATCTGTGTTCAATAAGCTTGCTTTACTTTGTTCTTTCTAATTTATTTGCGTGACCTATCTAAAATATTTTTTTGGTGCCACTCTACCTCATTCCTAAAACACTCACACAAAGAGTTAGAAAAAATGCAGATGAGACCTTAAATTACCCTAAAGCTCGTTCGGTTAAAACCTACTTGCGTCTGGGCAAAATATATTAGAGCAGTTTTACTACCGCTGGCACCTGATGTTTGTCTGATCTAAGTCCCTAGTTCTCATGATTCCCAAAGTTTCGCTTCAGTTGTAACAGGTGTGACTAATAGAGGCTGAAGGAGAACTACACGTGGGGTGTTTCCTTGCTTGTGATGGATGTTCAGAGGTGGGCAGGGAGCGGTGGGTGGGTGGAGGAAGCAGGAAGGGTTGAGGATGAATTCCTTCCTGCTTGCAAAAAGCTGCTGGCTTCCATCCAAGGATGCTGCAGAGATCAGATCCGTCTTAAGCCACTTCAAGAGATCGATGGGTTGAGAGAGCGGGGGGGGGGGGGGACTCTCTCGAGGCATAGATGGAGGATTTTATAAAATTTATATGCTGCTTTTTGGTGGGGACGACTCAAAGAGGTTTACTGCTTGCTCTACCCCTGACGACTCTCTTCTGTTTCCACCTGTATGCACACGCAGGGGGCCGTACTCCATTCTGGGCGATCAAGAACAGTTGGGGAGAGAACTGGGGAGAGAAGGTAAGCATTCTTCCAAACTCAGCTGGGCGACCTTTCCCCCGCTCTTGGCAATCTCTGTTCACATCGTAAGGAAGGGGCTGATACACTGAAAGCTCAAGAGTCAGGCTTGTGTAACTGCCTGCTGCCAACCCCCTAACCTAGTGTCTCTTTGCTTGACAATGCTTTTGAGGCAAGGAGGAGCCGGTGCCAGGGTATGGCTGACTTCTTCTTATGTTGTGCTGGCCAATGACATGCTCATGTGCAGGCAGAAGGTGGAGATATATTTTATATATTATATATATATATATATATATATATATATAGTCACAAAATGTAAGCTCAGTACAATCACATTTTATGTAGAGGTTCAAGTCCAAGGGTTCTGCGTATACATGAAAATTGAAGTAAGGCAGAGCAAGCCAGGCAGAGAGCTTAGAAGCTCTTTGCGCCCCAGGTAACTGCAAGTGGACCCAATGCAAAAAGAGCTCTTAAGCTATCCATCTTGCTTGGGACTCGACTTGCACAAATTCAGCCAGCTTGCCTTCAATGACATATGGTTGAAACTTAAATGCGTGTAAGATGTGATCATACTGTGGAACTGCTTGATTGTAAAAAATCTCAAAACAGTTTACAGAAAGGATATACAGTGGTACCTTGTGGTACGTACTTAATCCGTTCCAGAGGTCCGTTCGTAACAGGAAAACTCTTGTAACATGAGGTGCGCTTTTTCTAATGGCACCTGCTGCCGCGCCGCGACTTCTACTCGCATCCCGGGGCAAAGGTCGCAACAAGGGGCATCTACTTCCAGGTTAGCGGAACGCGTAACCCGCAGCATTTGTAAGGGGGATGATACATAACACAAGGTACCACTGTAAAACCATCAATGAAAACTGTCAAAACCAGCTTTTAAAAACTTTACTACAAACAATTAAAAACACATGTAAACATTCTACATATTTGGCTAGGTTTCCATAAACAAAAAAAGTTTTTCGCAGGCACTGAGAAGAGTAAAGAGAAGGCGTCTGCTGGGCAATGGTGTCAATGGGCAGGGAGTTCCAAAGTGTAGGAGCTGTCACAATAAAAGGTCTATTTCTTACGAATGTGCAACAGGTATTATGTGGCATCTGTAACAACACCAGTTTCACAGATGTAAGTGGGCATATATATGGGGTGAGGTGATCTCACAGGTAAACTGGTCCCAAGTTGCTAAGGGTTTGGTATGCTGATAGTAACACCTTGAACCTGGCCTGGGTAGCAAATGGGCAACTAGTGCAGATCTCTGACCAGAGGGGTTATATGCTGATGGGGTCCTGTCAGCAATTGTGCTGCAGCATTCTACACTAACTGCAGCTTCCCGATCAAGCGCAAGGGGTGCCCCATGAAGGGTGTGTTGCAGTAATCCAGTCTTGTAGTAACCAATACTGTGGCTAGGCTTTCCTGGTCAAGGAAAATCTGTGCTGCTTACTGACAATTGCCCCATGTCTCTTTTCAGGGCTACTACTACCTATACCGTGGCAGCCACGCCTGTGGCATGAACTCAATGTGCAGTTCTGCAGTGATAGAGTAAGCCTCTCAGGCCCCTTGGCTGCCTCCGGTCCAAATCATCAACTTGCTGGCTTTCCATCCAGCACCAAGATGAAGATCGGAGCACCTTCCCTGTACATTATTCTGACCCTGTTTACCTATTTCCCTTTCCAAATAGCCCTGGTTAGGCCTAGTGCATAACTGAGAAGATCTGCCCCTGCTCCTGCCTGCTGCTATGAATGGTAGAGACTGGAGGTAGCATGTCCTAGGATAGGACCTTAACCTTGCTGAGATCCTTCAACCAGGCCAGGATTGGTGCTGGTGTGTGTTTAAAGGGTGCTCCCCTTTCCAGTAGGAGCAGATTCCTTCCCCCAGCTCTCAGTGAAGGAGTACTTGGTGCCTGGGCAGATGCACAGAGGATGGTGAAGGGGACTTGCTCCTCTGAAATGGTTAGGTCATCAGCTGCTCCTCGCTGTGAGCCTCCTCTTTTACCTTGGTCAATCCTGAGCTGCTTTTTGGAAGGCAGACTGGGAATTGGGGCCGGGGAGGAAGGGGCAGCGATCTAACTACCATCTCCCATCCCAACTCCCTCTGCAAAAAGCAGGTTTCATTACTGTTTTTTAACCATAGGCCTCTTAAGTTTGGGCCACAGCTCAGTAGAAGAGCACCCACTCTGCACGCAGAAGGTCCCAAACAGTTATAGAATCTCATACAGTCCTGGAATTGTAGAGTTGGAAAGGGGACCCAAAGAGTCATCTAGTCCAACCCTCCAATTCTCAGGAGGCAGGGCTAGGGAAGGCCCCCCTCAAGTTGAAGAGCTGCTGTGCTAGATGGACAGCAGACAGTCTGACTTGGTCTAAGGCCAGCTTCCTGTCTCCATACAACTTGGGGAACCAGCTTGCATTTAAGATGAGATGTTCCAAGGAACTTCACAACTCACTCAAGCCCACTTAAATAAGTGCAGGTGAATTTTCCCTTCCTTGTGGAGACGAGGGGAGCACATTTAACACCCTTATTTCCCAGTTAGTCAGGGGCTTCTTTCTTTTGCACTATCCAAGTCTTCCCACTCCCCTTAGGGATTGTAGCACTGATAAATGCCCCCCCCCCCAAAATGGGGTACCCTTGTTTCCGTTAGCTCAAGTCTTCCTCTGCTTCTGGAAGACTTGACGTGGTGGAGCCACAGCCTTGCAGGACAGTCTTGCCTGTGGCTGGGCGGCTCCACTAGCCTGTAGGAAAAGTAACCATTCCAGTATTAGTCAGCTTTTGCACTTAGATGCCATGAAATCTTTCTCCCTGCACCCACTACAAAAAAAGAGGTCAAACCCAGCCCACATTTTTTTTTAGATTTAGCTGCTCTGTATTAATGTTTGCTGCTAGAATGGAAATATTGGTGGAAGGTTTGAAGGCAATGCTGAGAGATGATCCCTAGCTTGGTCAGTCCTAAGCACCACCCAAACCTTCTCCTCCAAGGAATCCTACTTGAGCATCCCCCCCCCCCCCATTGAGCTCAGGGCTTTTGGGGAGTGGAAGGCATAACTAGCACTTGCAAAATGGCTGCTATAGAAAGTGTTTTTCCTTTTATTGCTGCTCTGAACACCCCACCCCCACCCTGAAAAAGCTGTTTCCCCTTCAGGGACTCTAATCTCAGCCAGAATGGCCTGAAAGTGGCTGCAAAAAAAGTGTTTCTGGAAGACACAGCTGCTCAGATGGCTGTGCCTTCTGTCTGTTACTTTAAAGATGCAGCCTTTGGTGTTTCTGTAATTCCACACTAATAAATACTGATGGACTCTGAACTAAAGTGTCTGTGTGTTTCAGGGGTGAGGGTAGTGTGACACCTGGAGGCTTGAGGGAGGGAGACTAGGTTTACCTCCTGCTGAGTACTCCTGAGTAGGTCTTGCCAGCATCCTTCCAAGGCGGATGAGAGACAAAGTGGGTGGGAAGTCATCAAAACAGGCTTATCTCAGAGGCAGTGCTTTTTTTCTTAAAAAAAATGTTTAGGGGTACTCTCATTTTCCTACTCATATTGAATTACTGCCCCTCAATGAGGCCAAACTTAGATTCACAGAATGTTTAGGGGTATGCGTACCCCCAGAAAAAAACGCCGCTCAGAGGTGACACAAGGCGAAATGGGAAGTGCTGCCCCACCACTGCACTGCTTGCCTCTGCCATGGGTGGAGAAGTGCCAGCACTGACACTGACTTCCAACAAGATTTTGCTGGAAATTTGCACAAATGCCAGGGGCAGGAAGGTTGTCCATGGGGATGCTGCCTCAGGGGCTTCTGCCACCAGAGGCAGCTGCTTCACCCTGCCTCGAGTGGGCCAGGTCTGCATTCCACTGTTGAACAGCTCTTACCATCAGAAAGTTCTTCCTTGCCATTTGAAGTGATTGGTTTCGGTGCTGCCCTCTGGAGCAGCAGAAAACAAAGCTTGCTCCATCTTCAGATATTTGAATCCATCCTCCTGAATATTGATCACTGCCGTCATGGGTGACACAAACAGTCTACAGAGGGCTTGGGAAGATGGGCTGGCTTTGGAGAAACGTGAACATGGCTACACAGTCCAAGGCTGGCTTAAAAATAACAACTTGAATATAAAAGGCATATATAAAACTTAAATTGCTCTTTCAAAGCTCCACTTTGTTAACAACTCAATTTCACCCCATATTGGAGAGATGGTGGCACTGTTGGCTCTCTTGCACATGTGATGGGATTGTGCTCCAATTCACAATTTTTGTTTTAGCTCCTGCTTCAGCTTTGGAAACATTAGGAGCACATAATAAGTTAGTTGTGGTGTTATTAGCAGCAGCTTGTATGGAAGTAGCCTTTCAGTGGAAAACACCAGGCAACCTTTGGGTGAAAAGATGGACGGGCAAGAGTTTGAGAAGTGGCTTTGTCTGAAAACCTGATGTGATGCCACATGGAATTGTATGTTGAGATTCCTGTATTGCAGTGGGTTGGACCAGACGACCCTCAGGGTCCCTTCCAACTCTACAATTCTATGTCTAGTTCCCCTTCTTTTCATACGTGACCAGATCTGTACCAACATATTCCCCCAGCAATCACTCAAGTTTCTCTTTGGAGAGGTTATTTGGGACAAAACAGATACTTTGGGTTATTTTTGTTTTGTTTGTTTCATTTGGTGCTTTTTTTTAAAAAAAATGTTTATTTGGTTTTCAGATCAAAGTTTTACAATCACATATCCAATACACAACATAAAAACAAGATTCCAAAGAATCTCCTGGACTTACTTCCTCCTCTTTGTGGGTCCTATGGTTAATCATTTCCTCCTGCATCTTTTATGATAATCCAAATATTTTACATCTCCATTATGTCCAAAATTCACCATTAAACTACAAGTGTTATCCCAGTCCTACTAACGGTTTTAACTGTTTAAAATGGTTTTTAAGACAAATTATAAATTTTCCCCATTCCTTATTAAAATTTTGGTCTTCCTGATTTCTGATTCTTCCGGTCATTCGGTGATCGGATCCGTGTTTCTCTTTCGCCCTCTCCTGCACAAATCAGCAAGGCTGATACGACAACAAGTCATTGACAAGTCAATTCTGAAGTGGCTGCACCCGCAGTGCTCTTAACTCACAGGTATATAGTCCAATTAGGGCACCTTTCCTCGGAGGTGGGGAGGTTTTTAAGCGCAGCACTCCGGGAAGGAAAAGCGTGGCGCACCCGGAAGTCGGGTCCAGGGCAGCCGGAAGTAGGAAGTTCTCGCTTCTCACGCTTCGGAGGGGACGAGAAGGCGCCAGTTCTTAAGCAGGTATCGACCAAACTGAGGGCTGGGCTGCAGGTTTGGGGGCGCAGGACGCTTTGAAAGGGTAGGTTCAAAAATAGATGAGAGCCCGATACTGCCTTCCTAAGGGCGGGGAGTGGGCCGGTCCTACCTCACAGGGCTTGCCGACTTTGTATTTGTTTATTTCATTAAATTTATACGCGGCTTGACTGTAAAAGAAGCAAACGAAAGCGGTCTGCAAAAAAAAAAACAAAAAAAACCACCCCCCCATAGAATGATCAATAAGAAAAACTAACAAATAATAATTTAAGAGTTAACACGCGAAGCGCATTGAGTGCTGAAATATAGAGCACCAAAGTGCCAAGTAAGCTCTGTGAGTGGAATCCAACTAGCTTACTCCCATCAAGGGTTGCCAGGTGAGGAGTATCCCAGACCTTGAGATTTGGGACTTCTCTGTTTAGAGAAAAGGCAAGTAAGTGACAACATGATAGAAGTGTATAAAATTCTTCATGCCATGGAGAAAATGGATAAGGAAAAGCTTCTCTCCCTCTCCTCTTACACTAGAACTCATGGACATTCAATGAAGCTGCATATTGGACGAAATAAAAGGAAGGACTTCTTCACACAGCACATAGTTAGACTGTGAAACTCATTGTGGGATAGAGGATGTTGGAATAAATCACACATGCACCCCCCAAAAACTCCAATGCTTTGTGTACTCCAGATGTTTTGGACTACAACTCCATGCATCTGGAGCTGATGAGAGTTGTAGCCCTTAACATCTGGAGGGCGCCAGGCTGAGGAAGTCTGGACCAGATGAATCTTTTCTTCAGATCCAGCAAGGCAGTAATTGTAACAGAGTAGATAAATCTATGAAGGATCAATGGCAGCTCTCAGTGGTAGATCCATGTTCAAAAGCAGTATACCTCTGAGCCCCTGAGACTGTCCTTGTGTATGATGACATTATTATTATTACATCTCTCCACACACACACCCTTCAAGCTCTTCCAGAACTGTGAATGTACCAGAGAGTGAAATCAGCACTGGATCCACAGCCCTTGAACTTGGACGACGTTGGCTGTTGTTGGAAACAGGTCAGTTTTCTATGGACCCTCACCCCCGCCCCTATACAAAGAACTTCCCCATCACTGAACACAAGCGAATTCCTATGGAGGTACTTTGGTCCCATCCATTCTTATGTTTTAAACCTGTGGGTTATCTGGCAGGCCTTCCAAGAGTTGTGAGCAGGAGGGTGGAGTGAGAGAACAGGCCTTTTCTCTGGTGCCCCCTGATCATGGAATTCTCTCCCCAGGGAAGCTCACCTGCACTGACATTGTCATTCTGACACCAGATGAAGATGTTTTTATTCTTCTTGGTGCTTGCTCTTTTATTTTTTATATCTGTTCGTAATTTGGGTGGGCTGGCTATCTTATGGTGCATGATTTTTTTGGATGAACACTCCCCCCCCTCAATCTAAATATTTCCCCCCTCAATATCGTTCCAATAACAGCCTCATTATAACAATGTCAATTTTATCCAATTAATACAATTATTAAAACCAATTATTAATATACCAAATTATACAGTTTAGCTAGACCGCTGTTCCTCTCCCACCCAGAGAGGAATTCAAAGAGTGAGTTTCCCCCACCATTCTTTGTTTATCTCCATCTGCCTCTCCCTGCGATGTTGAGGAAGACCTCTATTCCTGGTGCAGGCGGAACAGGATGAACACTTTTAGCATAGATTTTTCATTCTGATTTTTAAAATTGTATATTTCAGGAGTAAGCAACCTAGTGCCCCAATGTTTTGGACTACAACTCCCCTCACCACTGGCCATACTGGAATGAGCTTATGGAAGTTGTAGTCTAGGAACATTTGAAGGCCACTACATCGGCTACCCCTGGTATATTTTGCATGCCATTGTCCCTGTAAAACGCTTTGCAGCTCCTTCCAGTAGTGAGAAGCAATGTGTAAACTGAATGAATTAAAAATGAGGAGCAATTGGACCTGGCTTCCATTATCTCCCAGCCCCATGCAGTGCTCCACCTGTCCTAGTTGATATTTCCACTGCTAAAGCACTTGTGATGCTCTTCCATTCATTATTCAATTCACTTTATTTTGGGCAGCCTCCTAGAACGTGGACGTATTCTGCAAACGGCTCCTTGCATCACCCCGCCCCCGGCAGAGACACGGTTCCCCAGGGCTAACAGAACAGCATGTCCCAAGCCACAAAACGCAAGCATGTGGTGAAAGAAGTCCTAGAAGAGTATGTGGTGCCTTCAGAGAGACAGCAGATCGTCCGGGTGAGGCCTCCCCACTGTGCATCTCCAGCCTGGACTGGCCATGGGCTTCCAGATGTCATTGCACATTTTCTGTCCTGATTTTGCAGTTCTATTTCTAGCAGCTGTGTTCCATCCAAGACAGCTGTAGACTTGGTTGTTGTACATCATCATCCCTCATTCTAGTGCCTTCTGGTTACTTTGGACCACACCTCTCAGCAAGCTCGTTAGTACAGCTGCTTTGGACAACTGCTCTCAGCTGAGCTTTCTGGGAATCACAGGATTCATAGTCCAAAACATCTGGCAGTTGGGGAGGGCTGTCTTAGATCTGCATTAACCCTGATTATGGATCTGGGGCAGCTTTTTGCAGATTGTACTAGATTATCCTTTGTGTCTACTCCAAAGCTACAGTTCTCTGATTCTTTTGCCTCCCTCTGTTCATCTTGTCTATAGCTGGGCGGTTCAAAAGAGGTTTGGCTCTTCCTCCCCTGCAGGAGAGGAAAGCGGAGTGGGTGGGTTTCAGGCCAGTCGAACAGAAAGGGCCCTTTTCATGGACTTACAGTGATGTTTGTGGGTACAAACTCCAGCACAACTTTACAGTGTGGTTGTTGTTTGTTTTGCCTATTTCCTCCAGGTGGTGGGGACCCCTGGCAACAATCTCCATGAGGTGGAGACATCTGAAGGGACGCGGTTCCTTGTGAGCATGCCCACGAAATTCCGCAAGAATATCTGGATCAAGAGAGGTGAGTGGCAAAGGCTGCTGTCCACATAGCAAGTGATGGAAATTGTGTCCTCCTCCTTCCCAGTTCCTGCAAGTTTGTGTCTGTGTGCAATATATACACTAAGACCACAACATATACAAGGGTTACATTCTGCAGATCACAGCTAAAGCCAACCTTGTACATAGTCCAAGCCTATTGAGTTCAGTGGCAGGTGGGATTGCTAGTGTCATTTTCCCTAGAACCTCTCCCCCTTTTAAATTTTTGGCCATGCATATAAAGCTGAATACGCACAAGGTAAATGAGCATAAGCTGTGGGCTTACATAGACACACACTTATCTTTTTCTCCCCTCCCAGGTGATTTCCTGCTGGTAGATCCCATAGAAGAAGGGGAGAAAGTGAAAGCAGAGATTAGTTTTGTCCTCTACAAGGACCATGTTCGCTACCTGAAAAAGGAAGGATACTGGTAAGGACCAAATACCCACTGGTGACACTCAGAATCCCTGCAACCAAAATAGGGTTCAACCCTCAACAACCCGCCCCCCCCAACCCAGATTTGAGAAGCAGGAATCAACACTCCCGCCTCGCTTCCAGCCAAACAATAACAAAATATAGAAACTGGAAGGGGTAGGAGGTCTTGGAGGGTGCCAGGGGGTGTCTGTGGGTATCAAGTTGGACCCCCCCAAAAAAACTTACACAATTGCTGATAGCTTTATTACCACCCAGCTCTCTTCCCTCCAGCAGTAGTAGGAAAGTTGCTACTGACAAGGAGAGCTACTGACAACACCCCTGAAGCCTGCTAGGCCAGCCTCCTCTGCAACCTGGTGCTTTCCTAGTATTTTGGATTACAATTCCTATTATCCCTGACTTTTGGCCTGATTGGCCGATGGGAGTCTAAACCACCCCAGTGCACCAGGCTGGGTGAAGGGTATGTCCAGGCTGCTGGTGTGATATACTTTCCTGACTAGTTTTATGTAAGGGGAATGACCCATCTCTTCTGCAGCTCCCACCTTTGTCTTGGGGCCATCCCTTTGTAGGCTCAAATGTACCTTCCAAACTACTGAGCTACCAATATCCCAGGCTGCCCTTCTCTCTCCTGTTTCTTTCTGCAGGCCTGAGGCCTTCTTGGGTGGTGTGGCAGGAGCTCAGAGCAGTGCTAAAGACAGGTGAGTTTGGGAATGGGACTCCTGTGATGTGTTTCTGTGGAGGGTGGGAGAGCACTCTAGGGACCTCCTGTCTCTCACCTCTAAGGTGTTGTTGTTGTGATGTAAGTATTATTATTAATTATTACAATTAATTCATTGCCTTCTAAACCACCACATAAGATAAATAAAGAACAACATATACAGCTGTACCTTGGAAGTTAGATGGAATCCGTTCTGGTAGTCCAGTGTGGCTTCTGATTGGCTGCAGGAAGCTCCTGCAGCCAATCGGAAGCCACGGAAGCCCTGTCAGACATTTGGCTTTCAGAAATAGTTCGCAAACCGGAACAGTCACTTCAGGGTTTGCGACGTTCAGGAGTCAAAACGTTCGGGAACTTCCAAGGTACAACTATACATCTAAAACAAGATTAAAACCCTAGCAAGTGGACACTTGTGGTAGAGATCCATTTATCCAGCTGAGAAAGCCTGTTGCAACTGCTTCTGGAAAGTGCGGATCATGGACGTCTGTTGCGTTTTGACAAGAGACGTTACCCGCAACAGGCTATACAATTACACAAAGCAAGAAAAAGGGGAGGCAAGGACAAGTTATAATAGTACAAAAATTAGGCTGGATGTTGTAGCCATGGGACCAGCTGTTAGTAGTCCTACTTTGCTTCTAATGTTGTGTTTTGTTATAAACTCTGCCCTCGGATCATAAACTACACCCTGGGACCTTAGCATGAAAGGCAGATAATAAATGGAAGTAATAATAATTAGAGAGAAGTTTACGCTAAGAGCGCCTTCTGTCTTCCTTTAGCAGGGATGGGCCACAAAGCCCACCACGTTCTGCGGGGGAGGAAGACTCTGAGGACGATGATGCAGACTTGTTTGTGAATACAAACAGGGTGAACTACAACTACCTGGAGAGTGAAGACAGCAGCGACTCGGATGAGGAGGAGAAGTGACAGGTCAAGCCAGCCTGGGGGCTTCCATAACTTTGCTCAGAGAAAAGGGGCATTGCCTCAAACCCCATCCTCTTGTCTAATAGGGTTAGTTGTTTGTCCCCTTTTTCTGGAGGGGAGCTTGTACTTGCAGGAGCATTTTGGAGCTGCTGTATTGCAGGCAACAACAACAACCAAAAATCTGCTCAGCCTGTTAGCAGCAGCCATAGCTCATTCCTTGAGGAACTTTGACCCTGTCTTGACCAGATGCCTCTACTGTATTCCAGGCCTCTTTCCCTTTCGTCCTTTGCCTTATTTAATACAATGTGTATGTCCCAAACCCAGACACTGCCTGGCATGCCAGATAGCAGTTTTGCAGTAGGTCACAAGCTTCAAGATACATTGATCATTTTGAAGTGGCACTCCTTTCTTCTAAAAGTAGGCTGGCCTACATTAAGAGGTGGTCAGCACACAATGGGAGCATCCAAGAGCAAGTCGTATTTAATAGGCAGGTGCTGAATTAGATGGTATTGGGGCTGATCTCAGTGCTTTCTATCCAAATTCTCTGCACCAAAGCCATTCCTGGGTATTGCTTTAGGCTCAAATCACCTTGCCTTCTATTTCTCCTCCTTCACATTTGCTAGATTTGGCTCTTGAGAGGCAAGGGGACATCCACAGTGAGGGACTACTTCTCTTTTGTATTGTAATATTCAGCAAATGTTTCAATAAACTTTAAAGAGAGACTGGGGTGAGAGCACTCTTGTTTACAAGTGTGGCCTTTGTGAGCTTGCTAAAGCAGAGGGAGGAGGGGAAGGTTCATCTTAAAAAAAACTCTGCAAATGGCTTTCTGTGAAGTTCTTAAACCATGTAAATACAGGAAAGCAGCTAGGGGGACAGTTGGACCTTTAGACAAGAGGATTAAATGATTTACTGTGTGAGGAAAGGGCGACTGTAGAGAAGCTGCATTCTTTCCAACTGCCTTCAAGGCAAAAGATGCAGGGCAGCACCCCGTGGCCTGAAAGACTTTCTTAGGAAGGGAATCAGATGTAAATAGTCGCGGCAAGGTTTGCTGATGATGCCAAACTGTCTGGGGTGGTTAAAACAAAGGAGGGGTTGCAGAAAGCTCTGAAATGGTCTCTTTGAACGGTGGCTGGGTAATAAAATGTTAAAGATGGTTCAAAATAAAGAAATGCAATGCTAATAAGGTCTGAGCAGGCAGTGACTGACCAGCAAAGAGATGTGGGGCTTGAGGTGGATAACTTGATGAACTTGTTAATTAAGCAGTGGCTGTGAAAAGTGTGAACTCTGTGTTGGAGATCATTAGGAAATGAAACAAACTGCCACTATCATAATGCCCCTATACATTCCATGTACGACCACACTTGGGGGGGGGGATTATGTAGCTTTGGATGATGGGAACTCGAGTCTACCAACATTACAGAGGAACAGGAGGCCTCCTTAGAGTGCACACCAGCCTTCAAGAATCTGGTGCTGTCAGCCCCACACAGCATAGCATGATGGGAACTGCAGTCCAAGAGTTGCAGAGCAGCAGGTTGACAAAGGCTGCTCTACACTAAATGGCGGCGGCGGCTCTTTCTCAGTCCTGCTTGGGAGAGAACCTGAAGGTTTTCTGCATGCATAGTAGCCCCCCTTGTTCTCCTGCCCTCTGCTGCCAAGCAGCTTTAGATGGAACCAAAGTTGCTGAAGTTTGTACCATTTCAAGTGGAGGCTTACTGGACATTCCCTGACTAAGCCAATTTTCTATATGCAGGGAATGTGCAAGGAGCCGTCAGTCCCATGAGCCTCTTAGCTGCAATCTAAAGTGATAGAGGGGAAGATTATATGTAGCCCAGTGTGTGCTCCCCATTTCATCAGCCACCAAACACAGCATTTTAAACTCTTGTACATACCGGGACAGTAGAAGGAAGAGGCTCAACAGTGAGTGAGGAAGCAGTTACTTTTACTTAAGCTATTTGGTTTCACATATAGATACAAAAAAATGGTGCTAAAAACTCAGCTCCACAACTATATACACCCCTCCCCATATTTCAAAGTGGGGAAGGGACATGATGAACACGTTTCCTTCAGGAAGCAATGGACCTAGGCCCTCTGCGGGGACCCCAACCACAGTACTGCTCCGCAGAATCCTGAGCAAACATTTCTCTCCGATGCAGAAAGCAAAGACCTTTATTTGGTGATGGTGTTTCTGTTGAGGGAGAAGAGAGAGAAAAACCAGTTAGCAAAAGGCCTGGATGCAGCAAGCAAGAGAGACGCCACCTGCCCACTCCTCCAGAGAATGGAGAAGCTCTTAGCTCCTCTCCCCTAGCAGGGAAAATGAAAGGGGTGGAAACAGCAGCTACAACGCCAGAATCCATCTGGTTCAAGCCTCAGCCACACGCTTCCTAGTACAGATGGCTTAGAATGCACAGCACACCATGAGCATTTAGTACTGCCCCACTCTCTGCCGATGTGATCGGCAAACTTTTGTGAGGACTGGCTGCTTGAGAGTGACTTGTGGAGATATTTTCAGGACTTTATCAAGGCAGACAGGCGAGCCAAACAGTCAGCTGCAGAGTCGACCACAGAGAAGGCTGTCTCCCTTCTCCTTAGCAGGAAGGATCCCCACCTGGCAGCCCTGTCTCTCTCACACCAGCCCCAAGACATCCCCTCCCCCTGCAATTCCTTACGCATTCATGCTCTTCCCGCTGCCACTGAGCACGATGTAAGGAGTCTTCTGGGCCTTCTGCTTCTCCTGCAGCAAAGCCACCGTGCCCAGAGGGGTGTCGCTGGAGCTCATCTTTTTCAAGAGCTGGAGGAAGAGGAGACAGATCCAATCAGGACCACTTCCCTCACCATCCCTGTACTCCTGCCCTCTGCACAATTCCTCACCCTAGTCGATGTCTCACACACTAATGTAAAGAGGCACATTTCAATGGCTGGTCAAAAGCTACCCTTCCTGAAAGGGGAAATGGGCGCCACACTTCAGCAGGCCCTGGAGAGACCAATCATTTTGGGGAACAGGCAAGTGGGATGGTCTCAGATCCTCCACGCTACTGGAACTGGCCAGTGCCTCCCTTTCCCTTCACTCACCGCCTCCTCGTCTAGTTTCTTCATGCGCCGCTCGGTCTTCATCTTCCCAGAACCCTTCCCGTGGAAGCGGTGAGAGAGCTGTCGGAACGCCTGGAGCAAGAAGAAGACCGGAGGGTTAAACAGCTTCAGCTGGGTTGGCTGCTGCACCTCAAGCAGACCAAGGCTGAGAACTAGGACCACAGATGCCTATTAGTTGAGACTGAGCCAGCCTTGCCCAACCAGGCCCCCCCCCCCGATGTTTTGGACAGCAGCTTCCACTAACCAGCCAACACACAAAAAAATATTTTATCAGGCAGCTGCCCTATTGAGAACCAGTTACTCCCTCCTGGAAGTGAGGAAGCTGCTCCGTTAAAACTGCCTTGCTTGGTTTTATTATACCATATGCATAGTATACCATAATATAAGCCATCTATCATACCAGAAGAAGGCTGATAGCCCTGCCTAGTAGTACCTCTTTGGGTGTGAGTTTGCGCCCAGTCTCATCTACATATTCTATTTTCACGTCTGGCTTGTAACCGTCTTTCTCCTTGAAGTCCTGAGTGAAGCCCCGGTATTCTTCACGCCGGCTGTATTTGTCATCAATGGCCCTGTAAGGAGGAGGGAACAGAGCAGCCTTAACCTCACTGGTCCAGCCTGGCAAATACTGAGTCTTCAGCTCTGCTGGTTTAGCCACGTCTAGAAATTTCCTACCCCAGGCTATCTGGTTCCAGGGATGTCCCACCTCCACCCTTTGAAGCATCTCTGCCTGCCTGATTTGGCACTGGAGAGCCAGGAGCTCCTTCCCCCACCCAACAAGCCACTCACATTTTGTCCTCAATGCAGTAGACTGCCGATGGCAGCGACTTATTGGGTGCCTTCACTCTTGCCACCTTCTGTACGGTAGTCTCCAGCAAGCCTAGTGAGGAGGAGGAGAGAGAAAGAAAATGGACTTGCAATATCCTACTCATGCAGCCCTCTTGGAGGAAGAGTGCCAGCGGACATGAAATGCAGATGGAGCCCCCTCCTCTACACCAATGGAAGGCTGACCAACACACAGGCCTGCAGGTGGAAGGCTCTGGCCAACCCCTCACCCTCCACACACACACACACACACACACACACACACAAACAGCCCTTACCTTTGTTTTGGCAGAGCATAAGAGCAGCCGCCAGGCCCCTGTTCACAATGGGCTCCTCGTCCAAGATGGTGGTGGAGGATGCTGAGAACTGCATAACAAAAACAAAAAAAAGAAGAAGAAGAAGAAGGGGGGGGGATCACGCTCAGTTCACCCCGCCTGTACTGACCCACTGGAATTTAGACTCCAGCAGATGCCTTCAGCACATTTGGGTGGGAAATCCCTTGGAATCCCAGTTACAGAAAGGAATGTGTATCTTAGTGGAATCCGACTGAAGACACCACGCACTGTTTGCTGTTCTCTCCTTTGAATTTGGAGCCCACGGGGAAATTCCTCTCACCTGATCCTCAGTTGTATCCAGATCAATAACTTCAGGAAGTAGTTGCTGAACTTCTAAGCTGAGGGACAACTGCACATTATACACTTGGTAGCTACATCTGCACTAGCAGCTTAGAAACGTTCGAGCCGTAACAGGAATTATAATGTATTAGAAATCTAAACCCCAATGTTTTGTTACCCCTGCAGGATGGTGTACACGGTTACTGCCGGTGGTTCTATGATTTCATATCTAGCTTTTCTTTAAATTCATGAACTGGGTTGGAGATTTTATATTCTATATCTTGTCAAGGCCTCTGGGCTTACTGCCGCTGCTGGCAAGAAGGGGAAGGGGTGCCAGTCCTAAACTGGCTGCCAAGGAATCTTAGAGCGCCAGCCTGGAACACCCCCCCCCCACATACACACAAAAGGCAAACTCACATCCTGCTGCTGTTTTTCCTCGTCCAGGTTGACAGTGCTCCAGCCGATGTTCTCCTCCCCGTCTGAGTCTGAGCCCCCATTTGCTGACCTCTCGTCATCTCGCTCAAAATCCTGAGAGGGGATAAAGGGAGAAGGAGGAGGAGACTGTGTTACAAGCCAGGGGAAGAGCAACTGCTTGGCATGCAGAAGGGACAAAACCCCAATGGCAGATGGACTCAACTCTAAGACAACTTCTCATGTTATGGTCTTCCCTCGCACTTTAATTTATTTAATTTCATAAAATGTATATACCGTTTGCTTGTTAAAAAAACCCTCAAAGCAGTTACAAAGAACATAACAATACCTGTAAAAACAGTTAAACAGAGCTATTTAAAACACTGAAATAATAATGAAAACCAGCAATGAAGTAAAAACAGGTTAGACCACACTTCCGCATTCACTCCTTTGAGGATTCCCCTGCCCCCTTTTTTACAATCAAGCGGTGCGTACATTTTATGGAATAAATGAAAACTATCTCACAGCAGTGAGTTCCAGAAATTAACGCTGCACTGTGTGAAGAGCCATGGCTACATCAGACAGCTGCTTCTTGGAACACAATACTGGGAGGGGGTGCTGGTTAGCAATCCACTTGGGTCTCATCTGCACTGACCAGGCCAGCATCCCTTAGAGGCTTATTACCATGAGCTCTTCCTGGTCCTCGCGGTTGCCGGCCAGCCCGTAGGTGGGGATCTCGCCCAGCGTGCGGCAGAACTCGGAGGTGGCGTTGAAGACTATGGCCCCCTTCCGCTCCAGCTCGTCGTCGTCCTCTTGGCTTCGGCTGGTCTCCAGCTTCTTCACTATTTCTATGACCTGAAAAGTTGACAGGAAGGGGAGGGTTAGTAACACTGGAGAAGAGGTAGCTAGGGTCCAAAGGCCTCCAGGAGGCTGTCTGGAAAATGGGAGAGTACTTAGGGGTCGAAGAAAGTGAGATCCATTTGTGGGGACACTGAACACCTTTACGGAATTATGTGACTATGGTGCAGTGCTTAGTGTCAGACCACGACCTGGGCAATCAGGGATCCACACTTGGCAATAAAGCTCACTGGTTGACCTTGAGCTCAGTCGCTGCCTCACGGCCTACCCTACCTCGTAGGGTTGTTGTGGGGATTACACGAGGAAGGGGAAAAATACATACACCACAATGAGCTCCTTGGAGAAAACGGTGGCACGTAAAAGCCATAAATAAACAAAATAAACAATACACTGCTTCCAATCAAGCACAAATCTGTTTGGCCTGATAGTTATATGCATGCATTGAATCATAACAACAACAACAACAACTTATTACTTGTACCCCGCCCATCAGACTGGGTAGCCCCAGCCACTCGGCAGCTTCCAGCAGAATGTAAGAGAATACACAATACATCAAACATTAAAAGCTCCCCAATAAAGTAAAACGAATATGCTTTGGATGTTCCAGCAGCATTAAGCTCTCTAGCAAAGGGGGTGGCGGTGGGACTGAAGTTTCTGAGTTCCAAATGCAATATGTTTTTTTCCCTATCTATTTTTGTGTTTGTTCTGAAATTATATTTTTTTAAAAAAAACGACCTTCGGGAAATGGTCTCAGAAGCTTATGCAGAGGTATATTTGGTGGCTACCCAGGCCCCATGGCACCCACACTTCTCCTTGCCCTTGAGGTGCCAAGGAGAACCTCTTGCCGCTTTACAAGGTCAGCCTCTGTGGCAGCTGGATCCCCTTCGCTTCCTCACCTTCTCCCCACTGTCCTTCAGCTGCTGGATCTGCCGCAGCTTCCGCCCCTTTTCCAGCTGCTTCTGCAGCTCCAGTTCCGCCTCATCCTCCTCCAGGGCAGCAGGAGAGTCAGGGCCTGCAAGAGCGTCTTCTGCCAGAAAGAGGGGGAGAAAAGGAGGCAAAAAGGTCTTATTTCCACAGTGTTTCACCCTGGATTCCCCACCCTCGCGCTCAGAAAGATCTGCCTCCCAATGGACCATGGCCTTTAACCCTCACCCCCAAGTTTCTAGGTTCAGCCTTCCCGCAACCTCGCACCCTCCAAATATTTTGGACTACCAACTCCCCCTTTCATTTCCATTTCACTTTTAATTTGTATGCCACCTTTCTACACTGCTGTTATACACAACACAGTTTATAAGCCTGTTGAAACAAAATGTAAAAAGAAAGAGCACACATCCTAGAACAATCCAACCCAATGCAACTAAGTCATAATGGGGAAAAATGATTTTACAATAACCTATCAAATAACGTAGTATTCAATAATCCCTTTAGAATACAGGCAACTCCCCATTTGCGCATGAACCACGAATGTCTGTGCCATTTTCGCCACCGCAAGGGGCAGGGCTGGAACGGGGGGGGGGGGGGAGGAATGGAGCAGGGGCAGAATGGGGCAGGCTGTGTGGTGCCACAGACGCAGCCCCCACATAAATGGGGAGTAGCCTGCATAATAAGATGGACTTTCAAGGTACGGTATCCAAAAATTATAAACCAAAATTCACTCTCAACAATTGCAACAAATCATTATTCGACTATAATAAATAAAAGTAACAGAAAAGTAACTATACATAAAATACTATATAACAAGATAGCTTATAAAATTACTCCCATCAGCAAAACTGTGTTGGCCGGGGCTAACTGTAGCTGGTAGTCCAAAACCTCTGAAAGGAGCAAGGTTAAGGCAGGCTATGCCAGAGCCAGTGTTTCAGTTTATGGGGCAGATAAGGCCAAGGGAATGTGGCCCTCTACCTGAAACAGGTTCTCCATCCCTGTTGTAAACCAACCCAAACACCATTGGAAGTCAAACAGAATCCATTCCGGAAGTTCATTCGACTTCCACAATGTTCGAAAACCAAAGTGTGGCTTCTGATTGGCTGCAGGAAGCTCCTGCAGCCAATCAGAAGCCGCAGATGCTCCATTGGAGGTTCGGCTTCCAAAAATAGTTTGCAAACCAGAACACTCCTGGGTTTGTGGCGTTTGGGAGCCAAAACGTTCAAGAACCAAGCTGTTCGAAAACCAAGGTATGACTGTACAGAGGTTTTTTCAATTGTGTAAAAAAAAACCACAGGTCTAAAATGAAGAAAATAAAACATAGACACCTTCAGCCAATCCTTTATGCACTTTCCTTTGAGAATGCCTCTAACCCCCTCTCCTTCGGCCACCCAATCATCCCCAAGCAGACTCACCATCTTCACTGCTGATCTCCATTCTCTCCACCCGAATGTCGTCTGACTGGGGCAACTGCTCTGAAGCTCCATTCCTGGCATATTCCGTGTAGCCCTCACCATCTTCCTCCTCCTCTTCTTCCTCCACCACGGCAGTCTTCCTCCTCCTCCCCCGGCCACGAGCCCTAGAGAGCCATTGCAGGGGAGACATTGAGCACAGGAAGCAGTTCTCTGCCCCAGAGGTGATGCGATCACAAGCTGTGGCACCCCAGACCTAGCACGGAGACACTTCTTGGGCAGAGGGGTCTAGGAGGGATAAACCCCCTGCCTGCTCACCAACTGAGGTAACACGCGAGGTGGGAAGCAGCACTCAAGAGCCACGGAAGACTTCTGCAGCCCCTCCCCTGCTCAGCCAGCCCCATTCTGCCCCTGTTACCTGGAGCCAAAGTCCCTCTCGCTGTCCATGCTGCTCAGTGGCAGGAGATCGTCAGCCTTCACTGGCTTCTCCTTCTTGCGGATCTTCTTCACCCGTCGCTTTGTCTTCTTGAAAGTGACATTCTATGGCAAGGAGCAAAAGCATCAAAAAGCAAGCCCAGGCCTGTGGGAGAACTGCAGGCCTGCCCTCCTGCACTCATACAAGACTCTCCCACCCCAAAGGCCTTCTGCTACTCAAGGCTATAAAGCGAAGTCCTTGGGCCCAACATGCTTCTGGCATTCCCATCTTGAATTCTGGGCTAAGCTCCCAAGGGGAAAGAGCTCAGTTTCCTTAGGAAAGGAGTTTGCCACATGGTGTGGAGGAAGGCAGGCCATTTATATGGACGTGAATATTTGATGCAGTTGAATGCAAAGCTTGGAACATGTGCAGAGGTTTTGTGACCAAGATGATCCAAGGGCCTGGAAACAAAGCCTTATGAGGAATGGTTGAGGGAGCTGGGGATGTTTAGCCTGGAGCAGAGGAGAATGAGAGGAGATAGGATAGCCACCTTCAAATATCTAAAGGCCTTTCACATGGAACAAGCTTGCTTTCTGTGTATCTGGAGGGAAGGACCCAAAGCAATAGATTCAAAGGGGATTCTGACTAAACATTAGGAAGAACTTTCTGATGGTAAGAGATGTTTGACAATGGGAATGGACTACCTCCAAAGGCTTTTAAGCAGAGGTTGGATGGCCATCTTTCAGAGATTATTTAGCTGTGATTCCTGCACTGCAGTGGTGAAACTTTGGCTCTCTTCCAACTCTACAATTCTATGGGCTGATGTCCAGAAAGGGAGGATACATTTGCATTTTTCTACACTTCCTGACTGCAACAAACCATTCATTCATCCCCTCCCACTGCAAAGGCCAGAGCTAAGGGAAGGAGACTCGGGAGAGGAGACCTCTCCACTCCAAAGGCTTCCTGATGTTCCTCCATTCTTGTGCCCTGCTGCTGACAGCCTGTTGAGACCTCCCTTTCCCCCTCTTGACTTTTCTCACAACAGGAACTTTCCCCCTTGCCTCTAATCTTCCAGGGTCCAGGACACCTGCTCTTTCCTCCAGCCTAAGTTCCTAGGACTAAGAGCTGTGGACAAAAACACTCAAGGAACCCCCAAGAACCACATGAGGATAGAGGATCCCTGCCTTACCATCTCCTCTGGCGAGAAGTATTCTGAAGCCAGGCGGAGGCCCGGCACATCCAGGGTCTGAGCCCGGTTGTGCAGGCTGTCCCGGATCTGCTGCAGCTCCCGCTCCCAAGACCCGTCCGCCATCCCCACCGAGTCCAGCTTGAAGGACTTCTTCTTCTCCCCTTCAATCTCTTCATCGTACTTGGACAGGACACTCTTGTGCTTGTACTGGAGACAGAGAAAAAAGAAGGGATCAGAGGAGAGAGTGGGGATTCACCAATGTGAGAGGAGCTCCAGGGGCCTGGAACAAGAAGGGGCTGTTGGGCAAAGCCGAGGGACTTGCCAGGAGGCTTAAGAGCAGCAACACTTGAAATTTCCCAAGCCTGCCAGCAAGTCACTTCCTCCCAACACTCGAGCCTGACCCCTTTGTCCTGATATACGGCTGTGGGCTGTAGATGCTCTCCTTGGGCAACCTGAGCTACTACAGAGGGAGGGAAATATATATCTGTACCCAAACCTGGTGCCCTCTGTATGCTTTGGGCTTCCAGGTCCCATACAGTTGTGCTGCCTGGGGCTGATGCAAGCTGCAGTCCAAAACAGCTCCGGGACAACTCTATCCACTGCTGCCATGCCACGCCTATTTTTCTATCCCAATGCTTTATTCTGTATATTCTGCCTGGTTCCCTCCCATAAACAACAAAACAAGGAAGCTCCCTTACGAGCACCATGTCGTCCACGCTCTCCTCTTCCTCATAGGGCTTGTATTCCGGCTTCTTCTTGCGCAGCTCCACGTTCTTCTTGGCTTTCTCATTGTCCACTATGTTGACGTTCACCAGCACATCGCCACCCTCCTCCTCCAAGACTCCTAAAAGGAAGCTGGCAGTCAGCTTGAAGTCAGCCACTTCACAACACAACTCTTTCTGATGCTGCTAACAATTGTTGAACCCGAACCCTGTCTCATTGGACGCCGACCTAGACCCTCCCCTTGTACATAAGGACCTGCTCGCCATGCTCTTTACTGCTGCCCGTTCAGAGATCTCCTCCCATTGGAAAGACCCCAAAGGTCCATCTCTGGCAGGCTGGGCAAGGGGAAAGTGCAGAAGGGTGGAAACGCCTTTATTTTGAACAGAGTGAATATGTAGAATAAATCTCAAATGGACTTCTGCTAGCTCAACAGGGCTTCCCCCTCCCCATGCCCCCTCTCGAAATTGGCTTCGGGGAAGGTCAGGAGAACCCCCCAGAACATATGAGAGAGAGAGAGAGAGAGAGAGAGAGAGTCACAGATAGCACACATACGTATGTGACTGCATGTGTACAAGTGTGGGAGCAAGAGTTGCAGCCTGCAACCTGGTCACTGGGTGGAAAAGCCAGAGGACAACCCAAGAGTGTTGCAATCTCTGTCCCCCCACCTTTGTCCTTGAGCGTCAGGATGACTGTCTTCCCTTCCTGGAAGGAATCAATGGTGTGCTCTACTGTCAGACCCTTCAAATCCCGTGAGCTGTAGCTCACCTGCAGGGAAGAATATTAAAAGCAGCAATCAGAACAGCCCAAGCAATCATCATGTTTCATACAATTCTATTATTGTAACTGAAGATTCTATCCCTTTGATGGGATGCTCTGTTGGGACATGAACCCAACTCATGTCTGTGAGCTTGTGGGATTGCCCTCCTCACCTTCTTATTCTGCCCAAATTCCTCCTCCACGAGGCTGCTGACGCCAAACTCCTGATCCATCTCTTCCAAGAGCTTGGCCTGTTGCAGAAAAGAATACAAAACATGGAGTACAGCTCTAGATAGGACACACTGAAAGGAAAGGAAGGTGTGGAGGTAGGGAAAGTACATGTCCAGTAGTCTGGGCAAAGCAAATGCATGGAGGAAAGGAGTTAGCATTAAGGACAGGTGAACTGGCTCCCTCTCTCCACCATGCCAGGAGTGCAGGACAGAATGCTGTCTGCCAAATTTCCTGAAGGATGGCACAGGAATTGAATGGTACAACAGGCTCCCCACCTCCCATCAAAGTACAGTCAGCTCTCCAGGGTCTCAAAGGGGGCAATACCAACCCTCTTCTCAGCCATATCCTTCTCCAGCTGCAGCTTCCGACTTCTTTCAATCCAGGCAGCGGTGTCATCGAGCCAGGGGTCATCTTCGCCAAGTGACTTGATCTTCCTGAGGGCAGGAAACCAGAAGAACACCCTGCTCAAAGATGATCACCCCAAGGATTCCCCAGTCACCCCAAAGATTTGAATGAGACCCTAAGTTTTCACCAAAGACAGGGTGGAACAGGAGTGCAAGAAGAGGACTTGGAGGAATGTGGCGTTAAATTAAAGCTTAACAATGAGCTAAGTCAGCTAGGGGACTTCACAAACCTAGGACAGAGTGAAAACCCAGCCAACTTTCCTTTAAGTGCTAGGCAGAGACCTTCTTTATTGTTACCAACTGCATTTCTGTATAAAATATCTGCCTGAAAAACAGTCTTCATTTCTTAAGCCCACAAAATGACTTCAGTTCAGTAACAAGAACCGCAGTTAGTAATAAGAAGCCATTGATTATTATTATTTTTTAAATGACATGGCAAGTTTGGAGAACTGCAGCCATCAAACAACTCCACAGAAGGACTTACTGATTCAAGCTGGAATCTGATGAAGAACTTTTCCTAGGGAACTAGAAGCCATCAATCTGCTGCTTAATCTCAGAAAGACTTCTCAGTGAAACTTTTTTTTTAACAGGTGGTTCATCGTATTCATTTGGGATTTTGTGTGTTTGTAAAATGCTAGTACTGTTGATTTTATGTATTAGCATTATATAGATACAATTCTTCTAAAGTCTTTATTTAGTGTGCTTTCTGCTCACTTTACTACAGCTGCATCCACCTGCACGGAGTTGGCTAACTGTTAATTATTTTTGCATTAGTTTTAAAAGTTGTTAGTTAATAAGTTGCCATCAAGTAATTTCCAGTTAAAGCAGAATACAAACATATTAAACAACTAAATAACTCAGAAAAGCAGCTTAAATGATGAAATTGCCAACCACTGGAGTAAGGAGTCAGCCAAGCTGGAAACCTGACCTGCTAGTGGATGAGAGTAGGAGATCTAGGTCAGTGCCTCAAAGGAGATGTCCCTTTCCAAACAAAAGCAGAGATATCCCTCACCAGAAAAAACTGAGGGCAAAATAACCAGGTAGGCCAAAATGGTGCCCTCCAAAGGCTGCGGGACGCCAGCTCCCAGCAGCCTTGGCCAATATGGCAAGTGATTAGGATGATGGGAGTTGAAGTCATACACGCACACACTGTTACATCTTTGATTTAGATGGAGCAGCTGAAAATGGAAATGGTACCCCAGTTTCTGGTTCAGGAGCCTCTTTTCCTTGGCAGCAGCAAGCTTCTCCCGGATCTCCTCTCGCTGCTTCAACACTATTGGGTTGATGACCTCAGCTGCCACAGGGTCCTCCTTGCTGCCAGTTTCTGCAGGGCGGGGAAAAAGCTGAGGTTATCAAAGGGCCATGGAGGATGGGAAGATGGCTGCCTTAGAAACAGTAGAGCTCCTCAGTCTTCTCTTTTTAAAAATAGGTAACTGGACTAGGATGGAGGAAACCTCTTCTTACAAGAGTCCACTGGGTTCTCAGCAGTACCCAAGTTCTGAGCCCCAGCAGCTAAGGCTTACTCAACCCTGAGATTGTAAATTGCACCACTTCAGAATGTACTGGCTCTTGAAGGAAGACGAGAACCACCTTAAAATGGAGCCTGCAAGTCACATCCCATAAGGAGACCATGGTATCAAAAGCACTGGCAGGACAAACAGGGAAAGACTCCCTTTGTCTGGTTCCAGGTACAGATCCCCACCCCCCACCCCCGGATCTAGGCCCTACACAGCAACTAAGGAGGCAAAGAAAATCCCCCAAGCACCAGCCCCACAAGCGTTGATCAACCATCTTTTACTTTCACCTTGTTTTATTTCTGAGAAAGGCAGGCTAGGAACTCGGCTATGAAGGCAGGGGGACGGAGAGAACCTTCAGCACTCCCCACAGCCTCCCCACCCCACCCTATTTGCTCAGCTAATTATTTATTGCATTTCTATCCCACCTTTTTCTTCAAAAAAGTTCAATGATGTGTTTGTGGTTCTCCCCCTCATCTTATCCTCACAACCACCTTGCGAGGGAGATTAGGCTTAGAGACGGTGACTGGCCCAAGGTCACCCAGTGAGCTTCATGGCTGAGCAGGGATTTGAACTCTGGCCTCCCAGGTCCTAATCCGACACACTAACCACTACACTACACTAGGACCTGTGAGAAGCCTGGGCAACCAACAGAGCCACAGTGCGTGGGCTAGTGTTCCCCTTTAACCAGCATGCCATGCTTCCTCTTGCTTTAGCAGCCAGCAGCGGGGAGGCAAGAATCCTGGAAGGTACAGCAGCAGCAGAGGAACACCAAGGGCTTTTCTCTGAATGGAGTCTGAGGCCATGAAGCCATGTGGCACAGAAACCGGAATCACTCACCCTTTTTGACAGAATTGATCTCCAAAGGCTTCAGCCCAAGTTTAGCCCGAAGCTTGCTGTCGAGAGAAAGGCAGAAATATCAAACCCTGCTCAGCAAGTCACAATGGCTCCATTGTCTATGCAGCAACTTCCTGCTTCTCCAGAGATCACTTTGGGGAGTTTTCTGCCCAGCTCCAAGTTAGCAGCTCTCTCTTTTTTTCTTCAATAATTTTTTGTTATTTTCCTTACACAACCATTCTTACAGTACATTAATCAACATATAAACCTTTTTGCTCTGCTGAGCTTGTGACTTCCCTCCTTCCCTTCAGCTGGTATCCCTTATCAAATCCAGTCGAGTATTTAAATCCGAGTTAGCAACTCTCAAATGCGCCAGTTTTAATTAGTCAGCCCTGCACAAGAGCCAGCTCTCAAAAGATCACAGCAGGAGGCATTTTCAAAACTACAGGGATACAGAAAGACATCAGGCTCTGTCGCACTCACTTTGTCTCCTCAATGCTGAGGGAAGCATCTCCCGAGCTAGACTTTGGACCGACAACTGTTAGGGAATAAAGACAGAGAGAAGTTTGGTTAGCTAAAGGGGAAAAAAATATTTAGTCCAAGCTATGAACGTTCTTGCATTTCTCCCACCATGTTTAGATTCCAATCTTCTTCAAAGGCAGTCAGGATGGGATTTACATGGGGTGGTGGGTGGGGAGTTATTGTTTTGTTTGCTATTGTGTTATGTCTTTTGTGTTTCTGTATTTTAAATCGCCCTGTGATCCTTGGATGAAGGGTGATTTATAAATATTGTTGGCATCCATTTGCCTCAAGAGATAATAATGGAGTGCACTTTTGGGGGTGAAGCCAAACCACTGCACTAGCAGCACCAAGGTGAAATAACAACAATAACAACAACATAGTGACACAGTGCTTCGAAGCCCAGGTGGTCAGGACTTCAAAGAACAGTGTGGGGCTGTTTGAAAGCCATTTTGCAAGCAACACTACGTTACCCTTTGAACCTCCCAAGCATGGGGCAGTTTGCAAAAGGGCTTTCACACATCACTGCACTGAGCTTTCACTGTACATGCCTTGTGCTCACAACCAACATAGAATCAAATCCCACCCCATCAGCTGATGTCCCCTTCCATTCCAGTGATGTCAGCTGACTGACAAGTGTGTGTGTATTTTTTAAATGGCCTCACAGGTTCTCGATCTCTGCTCCAATGCAGCTGACAATAAAACAACATTTAACATATTTAAAAAAATGAAGCGGGGCTAGTGACTAATAACTGGAGCCGGGGCTTTGAGTAAAATGTCATCTCTATGGTCCTCAGATGTTCCTACTGCTCTTCTTTATCCAAAAGTATTATTAAATATAATACTTTTGTACTCTGTGGGACAGACACCCCTGAAAAGCATGCTTAAGATTGTAGCCATGCATTCCCTGCTTAACTCCTGTCCCCCAGAATTCACTTCAAATGGCCCTCTTTCGAAGCCAGCACATGCAGGGCTGCAATAGGGCACTCTGACCCTATCCAGGCTCACAGTCTGCCTGAATTCAATGTCAGGAGAAACCTCTTACAGCCATGCAAATGAACACAGGGACACCTAACATGTCATTCTCTTTCCTGATCATTAAGCATTACCCAAAGCACAAGAATTCTCATGATATATATCTACAAGAATACAGAATTGATATAAAATAGCCCTCCCCAACCTGGTGTCCTCCAGACATTTTGGACTACAACTCCCATAAGCCCCAGGCAGCCATAATCAAAGATGACATCAGTTTTAGCCCACAACACAGAAGGTTGCCTTTTGCCAGGTCAGGCCACAGGTCCATCTTGTACTGAACAGCAGGGGCTTTCCAGGGATTCAGACTTGGGGACCCAATTAATACTCAAGGTACATCTCCAATAACTGATAATGTGCCATGTTTTTCTAAGGCCTAAACCCCCACCCCCTGGCTTTTAAATCAGTTGAGGACTGGGTTATTGCAAAGTAAATACTGTATTGCGTACAGACTTCCAAGGAAGAAGCCATATCAAGTCTGCTGCAACAAACACAAGGGTTTTGTGACACATTAAAAGATTAACAAGCACATTACCCTTATTAGTTTTTGTAGATTGGAATCCACTTCAATAGGTAGTATTGACAGGGAGTGAAGAGCCTTTAAACTAGGGAAGGGAAGAAGCTCGGGAAGTGATGCTTGGTGATCCAAGCACATTCCTATTTTCTACCAGTGAAGTGTTGGAATCTGTAAGGTGTGGGCTCTGCTGCAACAAAGGAATACAGAAAACTGTGTTGCAGCCTTCACCCACCTGGTTAATTTGGACTAAAATACCACCAGGGAGTGGGAGACCCAAACATCTGGAGGGCCCTGGGCTGCTGCATTGGCTTATCTTTCTTCATGCAAAGCATATGCTCTACCACAGGGCTGAAGTCTTTCCTCACTGTATTTGGTGGCATTTACTCCCAGATAAAGATGAGTAGGATTCCAGCCTTACTCTTTCTCCCCGTCCCACCCTTTCCTAGGGTGTAAAGCAGTGATAGCCCTTATGGTGGTATCCAGGTGTTATTAGGCTACAGTTCACCGTTTGTGACCATTGGGCCTTGGTGTAAAGGAAACTGGTTCATTTGAATCTCCTTGCTTATTATTTGGCTGCTCAGATATCTATCCCTCCACCCCAGGAACTCAAGAGTGGCATGTAAGGTCCCCAAAATGGACCTTTCAACCATCACCTGAGCCCCCTTTTCGTTAATCTACTTGTTGGGAAGTGTGGTTGGTGGCAGCATGAGAACAGGGCCTTTCCAGTGGTGGCTCCCCATTTGTGAAATGCTGGGGGGGGGGCTCGTCTGGTGACATCACTACATATCTTCGGGCACCAGGTGAATACAATCCATTTTAACCCAGGCATTTGGCTTTCAATTATCTACAGCGGCTTTGAGTGGGTAGGTGAGATGTTTCCATCCTGCCTTTTTAAAAACAAGATGCCTCTTTTATATTTTTTTGAGGTTTTGTTTGTTTGGGCTGTTTTTTTTTATCGTATGTGATCCATGTATTTCAAGTCACTTTCAGTTACCTTAGTGCGGGACGGGGAAAAAGCGACCAACACATTTAACAAATAATGACAAAAAAAAAACCTCGTTGCCGTTTTGAATATCGGAGTGGGCCGGACCCCTCCCCCCGCCTTCCCTTGCCCATTTTCCCCCACCTGAGCTTTGGGCGGCTTCATATCCTTCGTCGCGCTTCTCCCGCTTGATCCGCCTCCCCACCTCGCCTTCCTGGCTCCCGCTAGCGGCAGCACGGCTTCCCCGGGAAGAGGAGGAGGAGGAGGCGGTAGCGGTGGCCGCCTCATCCCCGCCGCTCCGCCGGCTGCTCCGTTCGCCCCGGCTCCGGCTCCGCTTGCTCCGCCGCTCGCTCCCGTTGTTGCTGCCGCCGCCGCCGCTGCTCCGATGCTTGTGCTTCTTGTGCTCGCGGTGGCGGGACGACGACGACGACGAAGTCCCGGTGCCACCGGTGCCGGAGGCAGGAGGCGGAGGTTCTTCGGAGGTCTCGCCCCGCTCCCGGTGCCGCTTCGACGAACCCATGGTCGCGGCTGGACGCTGAGAAAATGGCGTCTCTGCGAGCCAGTGGCTCAGGTGAGTGGCACTTCCTGGTTACCGGCGCTCCACTTCCGGGTTAAACGCGGTGCTTCCGGCCGGCGTGAATAGGCATCCGGCGCTGGCTTTGGGCGAGAGCAGAGAGTTCCGGCGATGGGTCAAGGAGGCTTGTTTAGTCGGGTGCGAAGGTGTGGATTCATTTGCTGTTTTAAAAATCATTATTTGTTGATATCCCTATTCTCAAACCTTTATTGTGTACAAGATTCCAATAGGGTTCAATACAAAAAAATAATAATCCTGCATCTAACACTTCAGTTAGTGTAACACAGCATTCACGAATCCTCACTGGGTGTTGCAGAAACCTGTCTACTACTGTATCTCCATCTTAATTTTTTGTTTGATATGTGGCCTGAAAACTCCAGAAAATGCAACTGTTTTAAATCAAACTGCAACGGGCTTTAAAAATCTTAACAGGGGGAAGGGGGAGCCTAGCATAATTTGTATAACTGCTACTTGTTTGCGTGTTTAACATAATATCCTCCATAATCTTTTCTCCACATTTAAAATGGGAGGCTGTAATTCTTTTAACTACTACTTTTCCCCACCCCCTTAAGCTTTTGGCATTTTGACCACATTTGTTTCTTCGTTGGTTTTTTAAAAAAATCTGAGCTGCTCAACAAAAATCAGTCCTAAACTGACCTACACACTGTGTACCTGAGCATGACTGCTAACAGAATTGGCAGGACTTACTTCTGAGTAAATATGTTTAGGATTGCCTTTCCCAGCTGCACTCCTGTGCATGCTTTACTGAGACATTGTAGGATATATTTGTGAGTTAATATACTTAACAGCTATTCTGCAAGTGGCTTCAGCTAAGAATACAGATAAATGCAGTTACTGTAATCTATCAATAATCACCAGAATAGTGTCTGTCTCTTGTGTCAGCCTTTCTTTACTTGGGAAAGCAAAATTCTGTTTCAGATCATCACTCCCCTTTCTTTTATCATTTTTAGAGGGTGAACAGTGCTTGATTCCTTATTTTAGAGTCTTAAAATGCAATAATGAGGTTGGGACCCACCCCGATACCAGCATATTTTGATGGAAGTTCAGAACATAAGCACTTCAAATTTAAAGGCTGTTGCTCATAGTTGGGACCTTTTGTATGCAAAGCAGATGCTCCAAATTCAATCCCTGACATCTGCATACCCTCCAACATTTCTCCAATGAAAACAGGGATGTCCCATTCCATAAAGATAATTTTACTGTTTATACCCAACACAGCTTACTGGGTTACTCCAGCCACACTTGGCAGCTTCCAACATATATAAAAACATAATAAAACATTAGACATTAACAAAAACTTCCCTATACAAGATTGCCTTCAGATGGCTTGGGCTCAGACAACATCATGCCCTCTTACATTTCTCCAGTGAAAATGGGACATCCTGAGAAAAGGGACATTCCAGGATCAAATCAGAAACCAAAACAGCTTCTCTAAAAATAAGGACACTTGGGGGGTCTGCATCTGTAGGGAATCTCTGAAACCCTGGAGTGCTGCTGCCAGTCAGTGAATACTGAGCTAAGTCTGACTTCATACAAGGCAGTTTCTCATGTTGCTAAGCCATTTTCATGTTTAAGATGATGGGTCACTTTTAAGTACAACCAATACCATATTATCTATTTTTTCCTTTACAGCTGTTGTTTCTAGTGAATATAATATAATTAAAGAACACAATCTCCAACAGTGTTGCCCTTTCAACTTAGCTGCCTGTCTTTCTCTAAGTTCCTTGTGATCTTTAGACAATTCAACCATATGTTTGATTTGCAATGACAAGGCTTATTCATAAGTAGGGACGGCTGAGAAAGTTAATCCTTTTTAAAAAAAATATATATCAGCATTTCCCTGTAACCTCACAGATGGTTTTGGACTTCTGCTTAGAATCTTAAGGACTGTCAAATTTATGTAAAGAAACTTCACTATAGCTTGTCACTGCCAAAGGAAAATTTGGACACAGGTATTAATAGCAATTGTCTGTGTTCTCTTACCTGTGGCCCACATACAGCTCTAGGACATTTCCAAGTGTCAAATTGATATAGAGTTGCCTCCCCAATACATGCCTGCTGTCACATTTTCTGGCATTTATTATTTTTTGCCCCTTTGGCGTTACCTTGTCAAAATTTCAAGGATAAATTGCTAGTATATCTTTAACCTTAAGCAACAAAGCCTTCTTAGCTCTGTAAGTTGCTGCAGAGTAAATTGATACAGCAGGCAGAAAATACTCTCCACCAATGTGTAATAGTAGAGGAGGTGGAACTAACAAATTGATAAGTATTTTTAAGCTGGTGCTTCCTATCCCTGGAATGCTTGCCTCAGTGGCAGGCACCATCATTAACAGTTTTCAGACACCAGGTAAAGACTTGTGTCTTCCAGGCGTTTTACTGGTTATGCTTTATTTTTCTGCTCTATGAATGAGAGGCACTTTAGTCACTTATTAACATAATATCCTGAAAATATAAGAATAACAACAGTTTTAAGTTGTTTTGGACTGTTTTTAATATTACGTTTTAATTGTTATAACCTGTCCTGGGACCTTAGTGTGAAAGGCGGGTAATTAATAATACTGTTATAGTAACGAAACATAGTGCTACAAGCACCATCTGTTTTCATCTGTGAAATGTTGGGAATGTTAATTTTTCCCTGAGGGTTCACTTCTTTTTTAAACAAACCGACTCTCGAGCATCCTGTGGTGCATTTATTTGCACTCTGTTCCTGCTCAGAGGCACTCTGTTCACCATTCTTTATCCTAGAACCAAAAGGAAATCGGGGCTGGGGCTGAATTCTTCTCCTTCCCTCCCCACCCCCACCCCGGACACATTTTTGTTTATTTTCCGCTTTGTCTTTAAACCGTCCTCCATTTAAACATCCACTTTCCCACCCCTCTTGGATTTAATCGTTCTTCTTTTTCTCTCCGCCCGTTTCCACACCCGAGTTTGCTTCGAACGCCCATTATTTCTATTAGCAGTGAAGCCCTCCTAGTCGCCCTTAACAGACATGGCCGCCCCACGCTCTTTTTACCATTATTATTTGAAAGCGTTACTATCCATCACAAAAGATGGCGCGGACAGCTTCACCCCGGGCCCTTTCGCCCGTAACAAACATGGTTGCCTTTAGGTTATTATCCATCACGAAAGATGGCGGCGGCAGCTTCTCCGCCTCCCACCCCAACCGGGAGGAAGTAGGTCGCTAGGTCGGGTGATGCCCGGATGTGGGCAGCCCTGCTTCGGCAGGAGGGAGGCGCCGGTTGCCCGGATGTTCCTCTCGTTCCAGCCGCGGCCGAGGCTCGGGTCAGAACCGGCCGGGCGGGGGGAGGAGGAGGAGGAGGAAGAGAGATTGGAGAGGAGCGGATGGATCCAATATGGCTGCCCTGATGGCCCTGAGGAGAGAGTGAGAGGCCTAGACAGCCGGCCCAGGCCCTGAGCAGGGAAGGGGGGGGCAGGACCCTGAGGCCTATTTTGGGGAGGGGGAGGAGGAGACACCACCACCACCCCGTTTGGTCACAGGCTGGGGAAGAGGGAACCCTTCACTGGTGGGGAGAAGGGAAGGGCCACTCCCACCCCCCACCCCAGCTGCGGAAGGGCCCACCCCCATCAGCCAGGGGGAGGAAAGTGGGGGTGGGGTGAGGAGAAATACAAGCCCCCCCCCGCCTCCCTTTGATTTAAAACTACCCTCTTAAAGTATTCCCTCCCCCCTCCCCAGTTGCCCGTTAGGTAGGGCTGAGTGAGGTGGTGGTTTAGGGGTGGGCAGGGGCAGTTGATGAGGAATTTATTAATAGGTAAGGGGGGGGAGTAGAAACCCACCCCTTTTATTTCGTCGCCCCCTTGAAGTTTAACCTCTCCTATCTTATTTGAGGGGAGCTGGGGAGTTTGGCAAAGGTTGGAGGGGCAGGGGAGGCCCTTTAAAGCATTTGCCCCACCAACTCAGTTTCCCCTGGACTTTTTTGGGGGGGTAGTGGGAAACATTTGGGGGGCACAGGGTTCTGAGAGATTGATGGGTTGACAGGGGAAAGGGCAGTTGTAGGAGGTAGTGGACCTGGCCCCAGGAAACCCAGCTCACGCGTTGGTGGTTCTTAACACGCTTGTGACATTTTACCTTGTCAGTCCTTATTTTTGTTTTAATTTCCCCCCCATTCATCATTAAGCAGAAGGGGCAGCAGAGGAAGGAATAATAAGGTAACATGAAAAGAGGAGGTGGATGTGGCACAGTGTGGGCCGGTTTTTTTTTACTTAAATCAAGGTGCTCTGTGTGAGATTAAAAATATTCACCTCTGTGTTTCAAATAAACAAGCCTAGATTTCCTTGCTTTTGAACAAAGGGGATACATATTAATGTACTGTAGATCAAAGAATGAATTTAGTTCTTAATTGCTTGATGAAAATAAGAGAGAGAAACCAATTGTAGGTATTTTAGTTTAAATATTGAGCATTAATATGCTAGGGGTTTCTGATGAATCCTATATTGAGCTAGCTATGTGCTTTTCTCTTATTCAGGAGAGGTTTATTTCTTTCAAATTAGGTTTTTAATATATGAAAAGTTAAGAACTGGTCAATAACTTTTCTGCTTTGGGGGAAAGCGAGGACTCTAATCTGCTGGATGAAATAGAATTGTATGTGTGTGAGAGAGAAGTACTAAATATTAGCCATGAAATATTTTTATAGTGTACCACAGCTGAAAGTTAAGCATACAATAAGTTTGTGTTTTATTTTTATTTTTTATTAGCCTCGCTAATCTGGTGACTCTGTATATGTATTTGAGTGCTAGGAAAGGTCTTCTTGCTAGAAGTTAAGATAGAACAAAAGAAAATAAATCAATGCCCCCAGACTTTACTGGATGGCTTCGGGACTTTTCCTATGTGGAATTTATTTTTAAAGCCAAAGAGAGATGGAGAGGGTTTGGAAACTGGGGGCTCTAGAACCATGTAGTGAGAATTTTAACTTTAGGAGAAAAAAGTTGTCCTGTCCTCCCGTGAGCCATATATGAAATCCATTTGCCAAGTTTTTTGTTTCTTTGGTCTGTCTTTTTTTAATTTTAAAAAAGTAAAGCAAAGTGGACTAGAGACTTCGTATGTTCACATTTGGCCTCTGTGCCCCGCCAGCTGTGCAGGACTGGATCTAAACGCGGCAAAGAGGGAACCTCCAGAAAACAAGAAGACATAAGGTACGGTATGTTGTTGGGTGATAACTTGTGCCAAACTCTGCAGTGACATGCCTGGTGGTGATTCATTCCCTTCCGTTGCTCTTCATGGTGGTTATTAACATAAGTAGAGCAAGGCAGTGGTTGGCTAACTGCCTTCCTGTTGATTGACCTGCCCTTTAGTGTGGAGCTTGACCGAGTTTCTGGAGCTGTCCAGGAATGAGTGGCTGGAAGGAAGGAACCTCCTTCCACAGAGTGATTCTTGACAGCACTGTAAATGAGCTCTCAACTAGAATGGGGGATGCTGGTTGGTGCAAATGAAACATAGCTGTTGTTTGCTTCTTGGACAAATTCAAACAAGGATTTAGGGGCGTATCGGATCAGGGCACAATGTGTGGCTCCTCTCCCTTGTTTTGTTTTCTGTGACTTTTGAGATAATCCTAGAGCAGTCAATTAGAATGTCCTTATTGTGTATGTGATTTTTCAGGAAAAAAGAGTTTGTAGTTAAGAGCTCAGTTATGGACTCAGCTGTGGCCTGTTGGCAACTCTCTCTTCATCCCATACCCCTCTCCTTCAGCACTCATTATGTATGATTTGACTTGGTGCCCTCGCCAGGAGTACGGTGAACTTCAGCAGGAAGAATTGTAGACCTCAGTTGTATGCAGAAGGCCCCAGGTTCAGAGTTAGCTGAAATACTCTTTAATAGTGGGGCTGGGAAGGTCGCCTCTGCCCCACATCTTGGGACCTGCTGCCTGTGAGAGGAGGTCATCCAGAATGGCCAGCAGTCTGGCTTTTGTACAAGTCAGCTTTGGGTGGAGTGCATGCTACACTGAGGCTGCGGATGCATTGCCTGTGGGATGGTGAATTGAAGGTTCAAGTGCATTCTCTCAGTAATCATTGCAATAGGTACTGTAAGGCAGGCCAGTGTGATCCCCACCCCCCAGAAAAGAAAAAAATATTGTAGGTGGGAGGTTGGGGCATAGTAGCAGAGTGTACATGTGGACGAGCCCCTGGTTTGTTGTTATAATGTGTGGAACAATTCTGAGGGTGATTTTTTTTAATAACAAAATCAGGAAGGCAAGTTGTCTTTGTGGCCTGGGGTTCTCGCTTGCCAGAGTTCATGGATTTCAGGCTGTCAGTGATAGCGTTGAAAAGAAATACTATTGCCCAGCTTATTAAGCATAATTATGCATTGTGAAACTATACTTTTCTAATCGGATGACATTACAGTGGCAGTGCCAGGACAAAATACAAGGACCTCATTTTTGGATCAGATTTAGAGAAACAAGCAAACTTTATCTCTTAACAGCCCGCTTCTGCTGTATAGCAGCCAAATTAACGGAGCGTCCTTTCTGTGAGTTTTGAGGGATCCTCTTTCATTGTGTTGAGTGACTGCTTTTCCAAAAGACACACACAAACGGCCTGGGGTTTTCTTGGGTTGTATTAGTACTGGGGTTTGAAACAGGAGCCTTTGGGAATCTCTGGCTCCAGTGTTACGCCAGAGGTCATGATCGAGCCATGGAAAAGCCATGAACTAGGTCAGCTGTCTTGAAGGGTCAGAGGCATGGCGTGTGGCAGTAAATGGAGATAATCTGGGATCAGGGACTGAATCAGGAAGTTGTGCTGAAAGTGAAGTAGGACAGGGTCTGAAATGGGAGCAGAGAATGGGCGTCGGGGGAGGTCTATAGTTGCAGGGTTCATGCAGCGGATCCCTTATGGGAGACAGCCTGCTTAACTTTTGAACCAACTGCTGGCTCCCCTTGGAGTTGAGGTAGGTAGGAAATCAAAGTGCATTTTCACACATTTCATGCCATGGCATTTTAATAGAAGCTTGTGGGTAGAGTACGGGTTCTAGTTCATGCCAGTGATTGTGTTAAAGGGCTTTGAGAGATGGAATCTCTCAGATCAGAGGACGAGATCTAGTGTGCATGCATGTCAGTTTAGCTTACTCTAGCCAGCTGTTCTTTGGGGTTTGCTACCAACTCATTTCCCCTCCCCTGGGCCACAGACTAGGAGAGAAGCAAAGTCCCCTCTCAGTTGCACAGGGGAATGGATAAGGTAAGAACCAACAAGATCCTTTCGCACAGCTTGGGAGAAGTGTGTGCCGCTGCTTGCTTTCTCCAAATGTCAGCATTGACTGTAGAGCTCTAGGAAGCCCAAGTTAGTTTACTGGTGAAGCTTAAGGTTGCTGATCTGGACAGCACAATTTAAATATATATATATATATATACATATTTTATATATGTATATATGCGATAGCTCAGGTGGTAGTGCATGAGGCTCTTAATCTCAGGGTTATGGCTTCAAATACCACGTTGAGCAAAAGATTCCTGCATTGCCGGGGGTTGGACTAGAAGACCATTGTGTTCCCTTCCAAATCTTCAATTCTATGATTCTAATATATATAGCATTTAGTTGCTGTTCTAAATGGTGATGACTGCTCCCCCTGCCACTCCAGGAAAAAGAGATAAGAAAGTTATAGGTGCCTTATTTTCAGTTTGCATCATGAGATGAAGACAGAACTGCATATGACCTGAAACTGGGCATGCAGAGCTTTTGCCTTTTCTCTCTCAGGAGTTTCTACCATCTATAAACATCCCCTTGTGATAATGTATGCCACCTATGCAAGTATAAAAACTGTCATGGTCAGGCACTTCTTACGTCACCCATGTAAATGGGACTTGGAGAATTTCATTTTTTTAAAAAAGCAACTAAAGGATTTATTGTAAATAAGCCCTATGCAACTCACTGGGCTGGCCTCAAGAAGCCTCTGTCTCTTAGCCTAGCCAGCCTCACGGAGACTTTTGGGGGGGTATTGGTATGGGATCAACAGTGTGGGATTTGGGGGGTAACATGTACTCAGTTTTGATGCAATTGGTTCACAAATGAAAGCTTAGCACACTGTTCGCAGGAAAGACTGCCCATCTACAATATTTTATTTGGCATTCCATGTTGCAATATCTTCCCAGAACTAAAATAGTCACGTCTAATAAAACTAATGTGCATTTAATGCAGGTGTGGGGAACCTCTGATCCTCCAAATACTGCTGAACTACAGCTCCAGCCATCCCTGACCATTGGGCCATGCTTGCTAGGGCTGGTGGAAGTTGCAGTTCAAGCAACATCTGGAGAGCCAAAAGTTCCCAAGCCCTGTTTTGCTGGGTGCACAAAAGTACAATCAAAATGCCAACTTGGGGGACAAGTAGTTTCTAGCCATGATGGCTCTGCTCTGCCTCCACGATCGGAGGCAGCAATTCTTCTGAATACCAGTTGCTGGAAGCCACAGGAGAGAGAGCGCTGTTGTGCTCAGAACCCGCTTAGGGGACTCCCACCAAGGCATCCGGTCGGCCACCGTGAGAACAGGATGCTGAACTAGCTGGGCCATTGGCCTGATCCAGCAAGCTGCTCTTAACATTATTCTGAAAAGTCATAGTGTCAGTGTGTCAGGAATTTAAATCTCCTGGGGGAAAGAAACCTCTCTCATTCACCCCACTTCTGTACCTGTATGAAGAGCGTGGGAGAGGTATCTCAGATGGGATTGCAGCATAAAATACAGTGGTACCTTGGGTTACATATGCTTCAGGTTACAGACTCTGCTAACCCAGAAATAGTACCTCGGGTTAAGAACTTTGCTTCAGGATGAGAACAGAAATCGCGTGGCGGCAGCGCGGCGGCAGCGGGAGGCTCCATTAGCTAAAGTGGTCTTCAGGTTAAGAACAGTTTCAGGTTAAGAACGGACCTCTGGAACGAATTAAGTACTTAACTCGAGGTACCACTGTAGTGCTGTGTGTAGACATACACCCTCCCTACCTTTCAGCGAGCAAAGCTCTGAAGAGATCTTGTCTTTCTCTTTTTTCCCCAGTGTCCCACTTTTAGGAGCCACCCCACCCCCCTTGAACCCCGTGGAAACTGGGCGGCCCCGAGCAGGCCCCGCAGTCGCTCGAGATGGCCGCCTTCAAACGGAGCCGCCGGCAGGCCTGGCCAGAAGAGGAGGGCGACCGGGAGCACGGGCTCTATAGCCTGCACCGCATGTTTGACATCGTGGGCACCCACCTGACCCACCGCGACGTCCGGGTCTTGTCCTTCCTCTTTGTGGACGTCATTGATGACTACGAAAGGGGGATGATCCGCAGTGGGCGGGACTTCCTCCTGGCGCTGGAGAGGCAGGGCCGCTGCGACGAAACCAACTTCCGCCAGGTGCTTCAGCTTCTGCGGATCATCACCCGCCACGACCTGTTGCCCTATGTCACTTTAAAGAGGAGGAAGGCCGGTAGGTCCTCTCTGGTTCGGGGGTCTTCTACAGCAGGCTGCATGTAGCCCATCTGCTGACTCACACACATACCCTTTATCCCAATGGTGAACCAGGTGCAAGTCTACAGCTGGGTCTTCAGCCCAATCTAAAAGGATTCAGTCAGGGAGCGTCAGGCATTGTCAGAAACAGCCAAGTGTTTGAAATAACTGGTCGTGTTATAGCTCTGCAGCAGTTTCTACAAGCCCTGGTCTTTTTTAGAAGTAGCGCTGAGTTGTGCTGAATTAGGGGGGGTGAGTGAAAAGGAGAGGGTGTGAAATGACAAGGTAGTAGATCTCATGAGCTTATCTCTCAGAATACTTGCCACGCCTTCCTCTTTCCACCACCAATCACAGAGCCCGTCTGAAACTTTGGCCTACTTTTCTCCTCCCCTCCCTTGAATCTATCACCTTGCCACCTTACATAACTGTATTGATGTATTTATCCAGACTGAGGGCACTTCTTCCTTTTTTAAATACCACTTAGCTTTTTATTGCCTATTTGAACTCCCATCATATCTTTTTATTTGTATTTTTGTCCCTTTTAACCACAATATTTAATTGTATGCCTCGAGTAGCAATAGTAGTGCAGGCAACGACCATTTTGCATGGGGGTTCCCAGCCCCTGCACACGGTGGCAGAGAATGCATAAGCGTGCCCCATTCCGCCCCGCCCCATTCCACTCCCGTTCTTGCTTCTAGGTACAAAAGGACCTGCGCATTGGCAGTAGCCCGTCATTTGGATGTGCCTAAAATGGTCGCTGCTTGTAGTAATAATAGTTATTATAATTATAAAACCCTTTGGTAGAAAAACAATGTCAAGGATTTAAAAACCATTAGCCTCCTGAGAAGAATGAAGAGTGGCCTAGAGTGGCAGGCGAGACTCGGGTGCCAAATTATCAGTCAAAACAGTTAAAAACAACTATTATTTTTAAAAAAATAATAAAGAAGAGCAATAAACTAAAAACAGATTAAAACACATGTCAGCATTCCCCAGTATCTGGGTAGGCTTGTCTAAACAAAAAACATACAGTGGTACCTCAGGTTACATACGCTTCAGGTTACAGACTCCGCTAACCCAGAAATAATACCTCGGGTTAAGAACTTTGCTTCAGGATGAGAACAGAAATTGTGCTCTGGCGGCGCGGCAGCAGCAGGAATTTAGCTAAAGTGGTGCTTCAGGTTAAGAACAATTTCAGGTAAAGTACGGACCTCCGGAATGAATTAAGTACTTAACCTAATTCTGAATAGAGTACAGTGACAGCGCTCACCTGATGCCAATAGGCAGGGAGGTCCAAAGTGTGGGTTCTGCCACAGTAGCTCAATTTCTTACAAATGCAGAACAGGCATTATGTGGCACCTGTAACAGGGCCAATTCTGCAGATTGAAGCAGTTGAGTGGGTGCACATATATAGCGAAAGGTGATCTCATAGGTAAACTTTCTCTTGTTGACCACCCCACCGATTAACATGCCCCTCCTTTCTTCCGCAGTGTGCCCGGATCTTGTAGACAAGTACCTAGAAGAGACTTCCATTCGCTACGTGACGCCGCGAGCCCACAGCAGCGCAGAGCACGTTCCTTCCCACCAACACAAATCTGGTGAGACTTTGCGGCCAGATAGATGTCAGATGCCTTTGTCCAGCTAGTTTCCTTCAGTGCCCTCCATTGCCCAGGCATCTGTGTTCTGGGCATTCCTGCCCTCAGCATTTAATGCAGGCGTTTGGGACCTCAAAAGAAATCCAGACCCAGCTTTTTGGACAGTTTCTGTGTCTTCTTCCCTACAGGCAGGCCTCACTAGCCACATCTGCTTGATGGCTCTGTTCCTGAATGTCTGTTTCCCAGCCAAATCCAGAGAACTGGATGAGCACCAGAAGCTGCCTTAGACAGAGTTGGACCGGTTGTTCCACCTAGTCCACCTGCCCCTGACTGGTAGTTGTCCTTCAGGGTCTCTGGCAAAGGAGGATCTTTCCCAGTCCTGCTACCAGCATTGGAAATGCTGGGGGGATTGAACTTCAGCATGCACAGCAGGTGCTCTTTTAGAATTGTAGGGCTGGAAGGGACCCAGAGGAGTGTCTAGTCCAGCTCCCTACAATGTAGAAATCACAGCTTTGCTGTAGCCCTTTCCCACAGTAGAAAGGCATTGGATTCTGTGCACCACAGAGATTCTCGCCTCTTGATCCCTTGAGGGTTGATTTGCTCCTTGATGAAAGCCAGACTTCAATGGCGGCAGGTTGTTACTCTCTGGTTGCTTTTTGGAGACCAGAGTACGTGAGGGAGGAGTGATTTTTAAACTCTGGCAATAGTAACCTTGAGTTGCTTCCTGTATCTGTGGGTTTCTGGCAGCTTCTTTTATTTAGAGCACTTGATGTAAAAATAAATAAATCTGTAAGCTGTTTACATAAAAGGTGAGAGTGTCTAGTCCTCATGAATTCAGGAATCATTTTTAAGGGCAAAAGCCTCGTCTGTTGAGATGCAGAGGATGGAATGGAGATGGGGTTGCTGTGTCCAGTGAGAGTCCTAGGTTCCTCATCATTTCTCCAGAGTCTTGTTCATCTTGGCTATCAACATAAAAGGCCTGGGATGCTGGTGGGCAGAATATTTACTTTTTAGTACTTTTTATCCCAAACTTTTATCTGATAAGCTCAAGCTGGTCTGGCTGGCTCTTCCCCACCATAAAAAAATTGCAACTCATCTTTGGTTATGAGGGCAGTCAGTCAGTGAAGTTTATTGTACATACTTTACACTATATGAAATATAGAATTTACAAACCAATATATGAATTAAAATAGAAATGTGTTACGGAAAGTCACTGGGCAGCCATTAATTGCTGTGTATACCATCCAAGGATAACAATATTGGATTAAAAATTATAATGTATTATAATTCTGGATATGGTTAGATCACAACTTCTTAGCTGTTAGTGCAAATTTAGCCAGATAGAAAGGAAGGGGCAGAGGGCCACATTTGGCCTTCAGGCCTGAGGTTCCCCGCTCCTCTTTCAAGTGAGGCAAAAGCCAAAAAGTGATGAGAAGACGCAGCACCAATTTGAAACCAGGAATTTTGTTCTTTGCCCCAGTGAAAGGTTTCTGAAGGCGTTGTTTCCAAGTGCCAGGCAAGTCTGTATTGAATGACAAAAGTAGGAGCCAGTCCTGGTCTTGTAATCCTGGTGAAATAAATATTGTCAGTTCTGTTTGTTCAATTTAGCAGTCCAGACATAGTATTTATAAAGCAACATTAATTTCCAGACAGTTGGAGGTTGTGTTTAATTTTGTCACTGTTAAGATCTTGAGATTGCATTGTCACCAGGTCTCTGAATAAGCTTCCTCCCGCCCCCGCATTTGGCATTTTTATGGAAGATCTTAAGATCTTGAAGACTCTCTCTAGTTTTGGTTTGCAGGTTTGAAGTGGTGTCTGTGTGGGTGGAAGAAGCTGGCCGGGCTAAAATGGGGAACCCCTCCCCACACCACGACCACCAAACTAGCCTAGGCTCCAAGCAGGATAGGCAGGATGCAGATTACACAGTATTTTATTGTATTCTGATGATGCTTCAGCCTACTAGGCTTGCTTCCATTAAGGATGGAGCAAGTTCTGTCTTACTGAGGGCCCCTGCCTCACTAGTCCTCAGTATTCAGGACAAACAAAAGAAAACCCTCCTTCATGCAGCGCATAGTTAGACTATGGAACTTGCTCCCACAGGAGGCAGTGATGGCCGCCAATCTAGATGGCTTTAAAAGAGGACAACAAATTCATGAAGATGGCTGCTAGCCATGATAACTATACTCTGTTTCCATTGTTGGAGGCAGGTAATGCTTCTGAATACAAACTACAGGAGAGGAGTATGCTCTTGTGCTCAGGTCCTGCTTGCGGGTTTCCCATAATGGATATCTGGTTGGCCACAATGAGAAAAGGCTGCTGGACTAGATGGGCCATTGCCCTGATCCAGCCGGCTCTTATGTTCTTGTGTGATGCTGCCACATGAGCAAGACCAGGGGTTATCCCCAAGGAAAAGATAAAAACCTTGCTTCTTTCTGTTTCTGTTCTTTTATGTGGCTGTGAGTGTTATTGTCGTGAGGCTTTTTTTGGTCAGCTGCCTTGAGAGCCTCTTGGGGTTGTGAAGTGGGACTTGTGCATTCCCCCACCACACCAAATAATAATAATAATAACTCCCAGCCTCTAGTCCTGCACTGAGCTGTCTGAGCCCTCACCTTTGTGCCTCCTCCCAGTGCCTCCCCACCACCCGCTGGTCTGCTGCTCCTCTTCAGGCCCCCAGATCTGCACCAAGAGACCTGGCCGGGGACGAGCCCTCCTTGGGAGCCAGCGGAAAAGGAGGAAGTCGGTGACGCCAGACCCAAAAGACAAACAGACGTGCGGTAAGGATCCTGACAGTAGCAGCAGCATGGCAGCAATGTTTGAGTCCCCTCCCAAGATGGATGATCTGAATGCAGGTCTTGCTAAGACCCAGGACTATCACATAGCCCAACAATCTTCTATGCTGAGACAGATGTGGGGTGTGTGTGTGAGACAGAGACAGAGACAGAGAGACATCACACTGTTGACCCTTCCACAGCACTGAGGATCAGCAGCTTGGGGCCTCTGGTACAAGTTTGTCCCCTCCCAGTATTGCCAGAGGCAAAGAGAGGGTATGAAATGAGGAACACATTTTGGGCATAAGATTTTGCAGCAGGGCATATTGGAGCTAGAGGTGCAGCAGGACCGCTCTTGATTGATTTATAGGTAGAATTTATATCCTGCCCTCCCCCTCCAATGAGTTGCTGCTGTTATTCCTTTGTTAATGGCTTCTGAACCAGGTATCTCGCGCCTTTTCAGATCCTGGATCCACTTTTAACCCAAATACAGTTGTAGCTCAAAAGTCGAACAGAATCTGTTCCAGAAGTCCGTTCAACTTCCAAAGCGCGGCTCTTGCAGCCAATTGGAAGCCCTGTCAGACGTTTGGCTTCCGAAAGAACGTTAGAAATCCGGAACAATCACTTCCAGTTTTCGATCGTTCGGGAGCCAAAACGTTCGACTCTCGAGGTGTTCGGGAGCCGAGGTACAACTGTATGCATTTGGGGACCAATTTCTAAAATCTGGCACAACATATTTGCGTGGTGGTAGCACTCCTGTCGTGACCCACCTTGAATCAGGCTGCAACCCACTAACGGGTCCTGACCCACCAGTTGAAGAGGTAGCCAATACAGTTGGACTACAACTCCCATCAGTCCCAGCTAGCATGGCCCACTGGTCACTGACCATGGGAGTTGTAGTCCAGCCGCATCTGGAGGGCACCACATTAGCTGCTCCTACCATTTAGCAAAGAGCACCCGGTTTCTGAGATCTCACATCCGGGACATTTGGATGTTTCGAGCAGAGAGAGCATTAACGTATCTCCTGTCTCCTGGCGCTTCCCTTCCAGACATCCGCCTGCGAGTCCGAGCGGAGTACTGCCAGCACGAAACGGCCTTGGAGGGGAACGTCTTCTCCAACAAGCAGGACCCCCTGGAGCGCCAGTTTGAGCGCTTTAGCCAGGCCAACACCATCTTGAAATCCCGGGACCTGGGCTCCATCATCTGTGACATAAAGTTTTCGGAGCTCACTTACCTCGACGCTTTCTGGCGCGACTACATCAACGGCTCGCTACTGGAGGCCCTCAAGGGGGTCTTCATCACAGACTCGCTCAAGCAAGCGGTGGGTCACGAGGCCATCAAGCTCCTGGTCAACGTGGACGAAGAGGATTACGAGGTGGGCCGTCAGAAACTCCTGAGGAACTTGATGCTCCAGACGGCACCTTGAACCTCGGTTGCTGTTATTCCCCCCACCCTGTCCTCTGCCTCTCCTTTGGATGATTTTTTTTCCGGATTTTTTTTCTCTCTCTCAAGAAAAGGAAAAAAAACATCTTAAAAGGAATGAAACCTCAAGCTCCCTGCCATGTACTGAGTAACTGTACGGTCTGTTTCGACACGAGGATGAGCGCTGTGGTTGGTTTTTTCTTTTTCCCCCAGTTGGGAACCAAAACAGGAGATGGAAATTCCTGGGCTGCTCCCTGCCTGCAAGGGAGATGCGGGGGCCCTTTCCCTGCAGGCCAGCTGAGCATCTTCGCTCATTGACCGATGCTCCTCTGGTCTCTCGTCTTTTCTTAACCACATTCTCTCTTGTGCTGTCTACTTCTCTCCTGGGTTTTTTTGTTTTTGTTTTCTTTTTGGTACTGTCTCTCCAAAACATTAGACTGTCCTGTGGTGTGCCATTGCCCAGAAAGGTCTAAGCAGGTGCAGCGAGGTCCAGAAGGCGAGACTTCCACTCTTTATATTAAAAATAAGAAGCAAACCTGAACATGGCTCTTCTTGTGCCAGGAACATCTTAACACCGGTGTTTTTTCTTTCAAGCTGTGAGTTCCATGGGTGGTGGGACGGTGGGTGGTGGGAGGAATGGGGCGTCTCGGAGTGGAGTTGGGGAAGAGAGCGCTTGCATCTTAACCAGACCCACCACCTGCCCCCTCTATGTAGCAATGTTCTTAAAAGTGACACTCAAGGCCTGCCAGTTGGATTTAGGAATGGTTATGCAATTGACTTTGTTGGTGGGTGGGGAGTGTGGATGGGAAGGACCCTCGCCTAGAAGGAAGTCACGGCAAGGGTGGGGGTCCAGATACAAGGGATGAAATGGTCTTTGGGACCTTAGCTGCTCTGGAAGACTGTTTTCTTCTGTGCGTGTGGGAAGAGCGTGCTTTGTCCCAGCCCAGCTAGCTCAACTGAATTAAATTTGAGTGTTTGTTCTCCCTCCCACCTAACCCTTTCCCCTGATGTGTGTCCTGAGCGGAGAGTATTTCCAGCCCCCCCCCCCCCGATCCACTGTGTGTGCCTTTCCCTCAACCTTTGGTGGAGGGATTGTCTGCCTCCAAAGACAACAGAGAAAGGGCCACCCGTCTGAGGCCTTTTCTCACCTCTCTGAAACCACACAAGCACCACGGCCGGCCTTGCATGGGTGCAAAGGGCAAGGAGGAAGTGGAAGGAATTGTTCCAGCTGCGAATGGCTGTGTCAGATCAGAGCCAGGAGGACAAGGCAGTCCAGCCTTCCACCTCCTTTGCCATTTTGTGTTTTTTTCCCCAGGAACGTGATCCTCCAGTTTCTCGATCTGGGCTTGGCTCTCGGCTTACTCCCCTGGGAAGGCTGCAAAAGGGATGTGTGGCAGGAGCTCTTTCCGCTCTTGCCTTCTGTTCAGGTGGTGCTGGGCACCACAGCAGTTGCCTCCCGTGTCTTGTCCTATATTAAATAAGCTTTTTCCCCCTCTCTTTTTTTGAGCTGCTGGGAGAGGATTGAGGGGTGAACATTCCCAGTGCAGGGGGCAGAGAGGACCCTGGTGGTTTATTGTTGGGTGGGGCAGGTGGGCTTAAAATGCACTGTTAGGTTTTGGTAAGACTGCAACTTGAGATGGGGTGACTCCCTGTCCCAGGAGATAGATTGGGACTTCCTTAGGCTCCGTCAGTGGGGGAAATCAATTATTATTTTTTATTATAAAAGCATACGTATTGGAAGAAGCCTGCTCAAGTATCCCAAGTCACTCTTTAAAAGGGATTATCTATTCTTTTTTCTTTAATTTTTTTTAAAGTTTTGCTCCTGAATTTTTGTGTTTCCATTGGGTGAGTTACACATGCTGCTTTTGGGATTCCATTGGATTACACTAAGTACGTATTGTGAAATCACCTTGGCAAGCCATGGTGGTGTTTCCCTTGGGTTTTGGATGCCTATTCCAGAAAGCTTGTAACTTCTGAACAGCATCATTTCCCCCCAACCCAGGCAATATAATCTTTCAGATTTCTTTCAGATGGCACAGATGGTAGTATTCACTCACTTCCCCACACTCCTCTTCAAGTTTCTCTTTTCTGGCTTACTAGTCAAACAAGAAAGAAGGCTCCATCTAAGAAATGTATGAACAGGAGCGTTCCAATGGTGGGGCGGTTTATCTGACTGGCAGGCAAAATCAAGTGGCATTGCTCTTTACCCTTGGGCTGTACCATTTCAACTGGGTTTTTTTTTAATGTACAGAAAAACAAAGGGCATGTTGATTTAGCTTTAAGACATGGTCTTTATATTTGTTTTATTGGGGGGAGAAGAAACTAGAACTCTTACCTTGCATTCTGTAAATTGCTTTAAAAAAAACCAAACCAGAGAGAAAAGGGCTAGAAAGGACAAAAAAAAGCCTTTAAAAAGAAAAGGCTAATGATAGGAAGAAAGCAGAGGATATTTTGCCCTAGTCTTCTCCTTGACATGCCACTCTTGCATAGCAACCCTTGTTTCAGCCTGAAGTTGGTACAGTCCAGGGTAAGCTATGCCACTCGACTCGATGGATTGTGTAATCAGATTTTGAGCCAAAATCTAATCCTGCATTGGTTGGGAAATATTCCACTTGATGTGCAAGTATCTAATGTCTCTTAAGCTCTGCAACCGCCTTCGCCAAGCTGACATCTTTCGGACGTTGTGGGAGTACAGCTCTCATTAGCCCCGATGGGAGTGTTAATCCTGCAACATCCAGGGCACACAAGCTTGCAAAAGGTCAACTGTACAAGGTATCTTGGCAAAGTGTGCAAGGGCCCCTGCCGCTATCCTTTGTGTACCCCCCCTCACTCACTCACACGCACACACACTCCCCATTTCAAAACACATCTGGCACAAATTTGTGTAAAATCTGTGACTTCTGTTTTTTTTTTTTTTAAAGGAACTTCCAGTGTAACTGGTCATAATCCCAGTGTAGCTTTGTTTTTCCTCAGAATAATAATAATAAAAATCTTCTGCCTTTTGTTGCTGCTACTGTCAGGGGTCTGTGCTTTGCTCACCTGTGTGTGCAGGAGAAAATGGTAACTTCCAGTTGAGGCAAAAAGTCATGCGTTGGATGAACCTTTAGTGGCTCATGCCCAGATTACATCGGCTTTTCTTCCCCTGGTACCCCAATACCTCTGTTTTCCTGAAGATACCATTTTCCTTTGCGTGTGTAGATTATTCTAGCCGGTCAAAAAACTTCTGGCAGTGGCTTTGGGGGACAGAAAATAAAGAGCGGGGAGGGCAAGGATGAAGCCCCAATTCTGTTCTCTAGCCTGGGTTATTTTAAATCACGGGAAGCTAACCTTCCCATCAGTTCCCATCAGTTCTGGCCAGTGGCAGTACTGGGGCTGATGGGAGCCAGAGTCCCAACAACACGAAGGCCACAAATTCTCCATCCTTTGTTTGAATTTGCAAGGAAACAAGGCTCATTTAAATGAGGTTTCCCACTGGTAATACTTCAGGGGGGAAATGATACAAATCTGGGCACCAAAACACCCATTTACAACTGGCTAGAATTTAGCTCTTGCCAACCTGGGTGCCCTCCAGATCTTTTGAAATGTAACTCTTCAGCCTCAGTCGTTCAACTATAGCTTATAAAATTATGCATGGCAGGGAGAAAGGCGACACAAAGGTTTTTCTCCCTCTCTTGCATAACGTTACAACTTGTGGACACCCAATGATGCTGAATGTTGGAAGATTCATGGCAGATGAAAGAATGGACTTCTTCACACAGTGCGTAGTTAAGCTATGGATCTTCCAGCCTTAGGAGGCAATGATGCCCACCAACCTACATGGCTTTGAAAGTGGATTAGATAAATTCGTGGAGAAATTTAGCATTGAGAAGTTTGGAAAAGTGGCTGTTGGCGACCACTTTTCTGAAGCTAGGGGACCCAAGCCTGGGGGCCTTGATGGCTGGCTCCCATTCAGCAACACCTTTTGCGGGGGTTGCATTTAATTAGAATCTAAGCCAAGCTTGCTGGATCAGGCCAGTGGCCCATTTCGTCCAGCATCCTGTTCTCACAGTGGCCATCTAGACGCCTGTGGGAAACCCAACAAGCGGCAGTTGCGCACAAGAGCCTTCTCCCTCCCTGTGATTTCGAGCAACTGGTGTTCAGAAGCATTTTCTTCCTCTGACTGTGGAGAGAGAGTAAAGCCATCACAGCTAGCAGTCCTCCATGAATTTGTCCGATCTTTAAAAGCCATCCCAGTTGGTGAGAACTACTGCCTCTTGTGGGAGTGAGTTCCATAGTTTAAATATGTGCTGTGTGAAATAACTTTTAAAAAAATAATTAAAGGCTTCAGAGTGTCTACTTTATGCTTAGCTGTGCATGTGGCAGTACTGCGCATGAACAGCCATTACATTATTTATTACATTTGTTAGCTACCTTATACCAAAAGCAAACCCCATTCTCCTAGCAACTTAACAAGATAAAATACAAACAGTTAAAATCATTAGCTTTAAATTGGTTTTAACAATGCACATGCAACAAACGGATAGCCCTCTGCAGAAAGTTATGATTTGGCCACAGGATGCAGGTGTCTGGGCACCCTGACCTTGTGTTTGTTTTTAAAACCAAGCTTCTAGATCTTGAAAAATAATTCAAGTAAAGCTGCCTCGGAGGAGTTGCTGAACAAGATCCCAGCAATCAGGGTCAAGGTGCCAGTGCCCTTGCCTCTCCCTGTGACTACCAAAAGTGCAGAAAATGCAAAACAAAAAGAGATATTCCAAGTCTGCATCATGCATGCAAGTGACAAATTTATTTGCTAAAAACTTATTCCTCATCTCTAAGTTGCAATCAAGTGGAAGGATGATGTTCAGCACAAAATAAAGTGATCCGAAAAGTTTGCATCGTGTGTGCGAGTTGTGATACTTGACTCTTAGCAGCAGAGAGATGGAAACTTAAATGCAAAGCACGCTTTGCCTAAGGGGCAGAACCCTATTGGAAGCCAGCTGGGTTCTGAGGCCAATACTGTACCCTTTTAAAAATGGATTATTAGGTGACGGGAAGAAGTGTGGGAATCCAGCAGGGACAGATTTATTTCAGTTAGAGGGCGGGAAACTTTGACTCTCTGAATGTTCCTGGACTGCATCTCTCATCTTTCCGCGCTGGCTGGAACTGATGGGAATTTAGGTCCAGCAGGATCTGGGGGCTTACAGATTCCCCACCCCCTAATTTAGGGGCAAAGGATTCACTGGAGCTCATCTGAGCAAATGCACCCTCCCAGGTGGAATAAAAGACCAGGCTTATGGGGCGAGGTGTCCTTTCCTGGATCCACTTGGGAGAGCGGGTACATTTCTCTTAGTCGTTCTACTTATCATCCACTCTCTAGCAGAATTGCTGGAGTGCCAAATTGGTTGAGGGAGCGAAAATCCACCCAGGTAGGTCATTAGAAGGATAAGAGGTTCCGGAGGCTGGTCCAGCAGCACCCGAGCAAATCATGGGGATGGGAATCCCTTCTGAGCAGCCACCTGGCCATACAGGTCGGCCCGACGATGGGAGAAGACTGGCATCTCCTGCCGGATGCGGTGCAGGTAGGCAAGGTCGATCTCTGCGTAGCACACGCCCGGCCCCTCCTGGCACTGGGCGATGACGCTGCCCCATGGATCCACTACCATGGCATGGCCGTAGGAGGTGCGGCTTGCGTGGTGCTTTCCTGTCTGAGCAGCTGCGACCACATAGCACTGGGTCTCCACAGCACGAGCTCGCAGCAGCACCTGCAGAGGAGGGAGGAGTATAAAAGAGTCAGGGGTGGAGCCTGCGATGTCTCCGCCCACTGCAAATTTTAACATGAGAACATAACACATCCGAACAGTGGAAGAGATGACTTCAGATCATGGTGGTTTCTCCTTCATTGGAGGTTTTTGAACAGAGGTTGGACGGCCATCTGTCAGGGATTCTTGAGCTTTGACTCCTGCATTGGGGGTTGGGCCAGACGACCATTTGGGTTCTTTCCTTTCCCCCCCCCCCAATAATTTTTTATTATTTTCTTTACACATTAATTCTTACAATACATTAGTCAACATATAAACCTTTTGTTCTGCCGAGCTTAGGACTTCCCTCCCTCCCTCCCTTCAGTTGGTATCCCTTATCACATCCTATCGCGTATTTTATCTTTTTACATCTTAATCATCCTGCCTATGTTGTAGGAGTTACTTCAATCCTGCTAGAGTCTTTAAGTTTTTACAATTATCCTTTAAATATACCATAAATGTACTCCAATTTTCCTGGAATCTTTGATTGTCCTGATCCCGAATTGGCTAACTCCGCATAGTCCATCATTTTCGTCTGCCACTCTGCAATGGTAGAAACTTCTTGTGATTTCCAGTTTTGGGCCAACAAAGTCCTTGCAGCAGCTGTGGCATACATGAATAATCTTTGATCTTTTGTCTTAAGACTTAAGGCATTTGGGTTCTTTCCAACTCTGATTACAAGCTAAGAGCCTGCTGGATCCAGGTCACTGGACCATCTAGTCCAGCCTCCTATTCTCAGTGGCCTGAGCCCTCTGCCCTCATGCAGTTTCCAGCAACTGGTATTTGGAAGCACTGCTGTCTAGAGACGGGCATAGTAATCTTAGCAAGCAGCCATTAATAGCCCTCTGCTCCATGAATTTGTGCAACCCTCTTTTAAAGCCATCTATGTTGGTGACCATTGCTGCCTCCTGTAGGAGAGAGTTCAATAGTTTGACCCATGTGCTGTGTGAATAAGGACTTTATTGGTCCTTAACCCTCCTGCGTTCATCTTCACTGGATGTTCACAAGTTCTAGTGTTATTGGGGGGCAAGGAATCTGTCTACTTTCTCCATGCAAATGTGTAATTTTCATTCCCGTCACCTCTTACCTTTTCTCCAAACCAAAATGTCCCCAACAGAGTCACTCCATCCCCCTTGATAATTTGGGTTGCCCTTTTCTGAACGTTCTTTCCCAACTCTGCACTGCCCTTTTTCAGGCGAGGCAACCAGAATGCTATCATGCAGTCACATCACAGATTTGTATAACAGCATTATGGTAGTGATGGTTTTGTTTTCAAATCCTTTTTCTAACTATCCCTAGCATGTAAACTTACATTATCGGAAATCTAGGGCTTTGAGTGCCTCTGAGCTGGTTCAGAGGGCCCCTGCTCTTGTAGGGCAGCTGCCCCACCCAAAAAATAAAACAAAAATGGTACTCTTTGGGAGTTGTAGTTCAAAACATTTGGAGGGTAACAGGTTGAGAGAGGTTGATTCAGGACAGTGGTTCTCAAAGTGGGCGGTACTGGCCCCAGGAGGTCAATGGGATTACCTATCAGAGGGGCACTTAGGTCAGGAGGCAGGAAGGGTCTAGGGTGGCGCTGGGGGTGTAAATGGCTACCAGACCTTGAAAAGCAGATCTCACTGCTGGGTCAAGTTTGTTAAACTAAATAGTTTCAACTGGATTTTGAATAAATGTGCAATGAATTGTTCATCTTTTGAATCTTATTGTGTTATTACCTTCCTTAGTGGGCCGTGCAAACCACTATCCTGAATAATGCTTTTTATAGGGTAAAAAGGGGCACTGGGGATGGGTTTATGGAACCAAGGGGGTAGCTGCCAAAAACTGCTTGGGAACCACTGATGTGGGAGAACAGGAGGAGCAGGGAGGGAAAATAGGAAGCAAAGGGGTAGAAGATACAGTTTGATGCCCAATATGTTTTTGAGCACTTAAGTCCTTCACTGAGGAATTTCAAACGCAGAAGTTCAATGTTATTTGTTGGGTTATGCTGTCTCCTCCTCCCTTCTACTGTCGTTTTTGCTGCACTAATGCAAGAGAACAAAGGCGTTTCTTCTTAGGACAAGGTTGTCTGAGCATGGGCAAACTGCCCTATGTGACGGCAACGAGCTACTATTTCCAAAAAGTGTGTTGGCACATTCATAGCTCGGTACAGGGCACACTTTGCTCCAGGTTCAACCCCCATAACCTCTAATTCAGGCATAGGCAAACCCGGCCCTCCGGATGTTTTGGGACTACAACTCCCATGATCCCTATCTAACAGGACCAGTGGTCAGGGATGATGGGAATTGTTGTCCCAAAACATCTGGAGGGCCGAGTTTGCCTATGCCTGCTCTAATTGAAAGGATTCCTGGAAAGAACCCCACCCAACCGCTGTAATGTTGGATCCACTTACCTCCCAGTGGGCAGAGCCTGTTGTCACAGTGAAGGCTGATGGGTAGGTGAGAATCTCTGCCCCTTCCCGGGCCAGAGCGATAGATATTTCTGGGAAGCGGAGATCATAGCAGATGGCCAGACCAACCTGAGAGGGAGGACAGAGGGGGAGGCTAGTAAGCACTGGATCTTTGCACCCCGGCGCCGCATATGCTTAAGACAGCCCTGTACCTGCCAGTGGCAGAAAGCACCAGTTTCATCCCACTTATATTCTCCTCATTTATATAGTAACTGTATCTATATTTCTGATTTTCCTGATCTTAGTCTGTAGACCACAATAATCAATCATTCCAAATTTTTATGTTGGGGAAGAGCCTTTGGCAGCCTACATAAGTCTGAACATAAGAAGTGCCTGGGTGCAGGGTCAGACCTATGGGCCATCTAGTTCAGCATCCTGCTCTCCCAAGGCCCAATCAGATGCTCCAGTGGGAAGCCCCAGAGCAAGGGAGTCTGAGCGCAGACTTCTCCCCACCTGTGATTCTCTGCAACTGGCATTCAGAGACAAACTGCCTCTGACAGTGAAAGTAAAATACAGTGGTACCTCTGTTTGCGAACCGGATCCGTTCCGGAGGCCTGTTTGCAACATGAGCAGAATGCAACCCGCGTCTGCATGGGTCGCGATTCGCCGCTTCTGCGCATGACGTCATTTTGTGCGTCTGCACATGCACAAGCAGCAAAACCCGGAAGTAACCCTTTCCGGTACTTCCAGGTCACCGCAGGACGCAACCTGAAAACGCTCAACCTGAAGCAAACATAACATGAGGTATGACTGTATAGCTACTGTGGCCCATAGCTGTTGATAGCCTTCTCCTCCGTGATTCGTTCTAATCCTCTTTGGAAGCTATCCAAGTTGATGCCCAGCACTGCCTCCTGTGGAAGGGAGTTCCATAGTTTAACTCTGTGCTGCATCATGAAGTACTGTGCCTTCTCTTGTCTGTCCTGCCTGCACCTGCATATATGAATTTTAGGATTTTTTTTTGCCCTGATTTGCAGTACTACGTTTGCCATTTTAATGCTCCTTTGTCCAGTTTGGAGAGATCTTTTTTGAAGCTCCTTACCATCCCTCTTTATTTTAACCATCCTGAACCATCTGGGATCATCAGCAAACTTGGCCACCTCGCTGCTCATCCCAAACTCCAGATTAATTACAAACAATTTTTTTTTTATTAAAAACACCACCACCACGCTTTGCACTCAACTTTGCTTAGCTTATTGGTCTCAAACGATGTAACCAACACCTGTCTGTGGAATATTTTGCACGTACCTTTCCGGCCGGGGTCTCCACAGGAGCCACTATCTTGGAGCCTGGGTTGGTGAAGGCGCTTTCCTTGAGGGACACTCGCCCCTCCATCTCTACGTCAAAAAGATGAGTCTTCCGATAGGCAGCCACCAGGCTTCCTGAGGCCAGCCTCCCCGAGAAGAGAAGGATAAGATTAGGAGATTCGGAAGGCGGGGGCCGGTGGTCCTTATAGTTTCATGGCTGCTAAGGCATCAACATAGTGAGGCTAGCCATGGGAGCTGCAGGGAAGCTGGAAGGAAGAGGCAGGCCACAGCGTTTCTATCCCTTCCCTGCTGGCTGGTTTCAGGAGGGAGCTCTTCTGACACCAGTGTTGCATGAGACAGCCAGTATGCTGTAGCAGATAAGCGTGTCAGACTAAGACCTGGGAAAAACTGGGGTTCAAATCCCCGCTCAGCGTGCCCAGTCACCATCCCTCAGCCTAAGCTACCTCACAGAGTTGTTGTAAGGATGTACGCCACCTTGGAGGAAAAGGTGGGATATAAATGGAATACAGTGGTACCTCGGGTTAAGAATTTAATTCGTTCTGGAGGTCTGTTCTTAACCTGAAACTGTTCTGAACCTGAAGCACCACTTTAGCTAATGGGGCCTCCCGCTGCCGCTGCTCTGCCGCTGCACGATTTCTGTTCTCATCCTGAAGCAAAGTTCTTAACCCGCGGTACTATTTCTGGGTTAGCTGAGTCTGTAACCTGAAGTGTATGTAACCCGAGGTACCACTGTAAATGAAATTGAAAATGAATGTGCCATTTGGTTAGTGAAGAACTGATTGCGAGAAAGAGGGAGGGAAGGAAGGAGTGGTTTAGGGAGATTTGGGCAGTTTGGGGAGAGAAGGCATCCTATACGAAGACAATTTCGTCACCTTTGGGATCCAAGAGGAGGTGGCAGTTGTAGATCCTTCCTGTGCTCTCCCAATCACTGCCTTTTTCATGGAAGCCTCCAAGGGACAACCATACGCCACATTCCCTGTCAAAAGAGGAGAAATGGGGGGGGGGTTGAGGGGGGGTTACCTGCAAGTGCCTGGCCATTGCCTCTGCCACACTCTCACAGACAAAGCCCTGCCACATCCACACAGGGCAGCCCCAGCAAGTCCTACCTAGCCAGCCCGATGTAACGCTGCAGGTGGTCTCCCTCCAAGGGCTCAGCTAGGCTCAGGGCCTCCTCCACGCTGCTGCCAATGAAGTCGAAGGCTTCTGGGAGGAAGACGACGCAGGCCCCCCTCTGGGCAGCCTCCCGGACGAGTTGTGAGCAGGATGCCCAGTTGTGGGCTTTGTTGGGAGTGGAGGTCATCTGGCAGACGGCAATAAGGGGCTTCAGGGGTCCTGCACCCCCCGTAGACATGGCTTTGAATCTGGAGCAGCAGGGGAGAGAGCAGAACTGACTGTGAAAACCCACACAAGCACCACATTAAGCCAGCCACTCTGTGGTTTGTCTCCCTGCTCAAGAAAGGGAAGAGCAATGTAGAGACCGTTTGAGCTCATGCACAGGCTGGTTTGACTAACTATGGTTTGTTTCGTGCAAATACGCTCTGATATTTAAATCCCTGCTCAAGCATGAAGGCTACTTGATCTCCTGGGGCTGTACTGTATCAGCCCAAACTACCTCTCAGGCGTATAGAGTGGTGGAGAGACCCTGAGCTCTTAAAATGTACAAATGTCATTGTCAGTTCTTACATCTTCTCAGAGGCCAGTTACCTGTGGCCACGGGTTCGGCTTTGGATCCTTGCAAATGGCTTCCCACCAGCGAGGCAAAGTGTTTGCAATGGCTTCTGGATCACCGCTCTCAACCTAGATGAGACAATGGGGAAAAAACACATCTTCTTTCGAAGCATCTGGGAAATGCATGCCTCCAACACAAAGGGGACCTAGAACAGCCTTCCCTGACCTGGTGCCCTCTGGCTATTTTGAACTACAACTCCCACCAGCCACCAGCGAGAAAAATAGTGTTCCACAAAGCAGAACACTGCAGGATTCACCTAGATATAAGGGGGTTTGTGTTTCTTGCCTCTGATTATTTTATTTTTTTAAAATGAAACAAAAGTATTAAAAAGCAATTTAGGAGTAAATTAAGAGTAAATGAGTCCAGCTGGATATGACAGCCTAACCTTTTTCCTTTGTTCCTTCAATCATACACAGATTCAGGGGGAAAGATACTGGGTCTCCCTCATCTGTTCTTTCACAGGCAGGAAAGCAATAGAGAAGAGGGTGATTTGGAGCTGGAAAATGAGCAGAGGGAGGGCCTCCCCTTGCCTGCTTTTCTCCTACGCAGACAGGGAGTCTGCAGAAGCCACTTCTGGCTAAGGGCAGAAACAGAGAAGAAAGCGACTCAGAGCTCTAAGTGACATCTATTCCTTGCACCAGAAGTATTTAAGAAGCAGGCTCAGTCCCCATCAGTTTAAGAGATGAGAAAGACCCATTGGTCCAGTTGCCAAGGAAATGGTGCACAGTCAGATAGCTGCACCCTTGTATCCCTCACATCAGGGGAGATGTTGAAGGTCCTGTAGCACACCTTTCAGATCACATATTGATACGACGTGGGTTGGGAAAATGTCTCAGGGTGGTTCTGCTCAGGGAAAAGTTAACCCAAAGCCAGCAGGCTCTGCTTTTTCACAGTAAGCCAACACATAGACATTGCAGCTAAAATTTGTCAGAGGAACCCCGAGAAAAGCTTTCCAGTGTTCCTATGTGTCAGGATCACGGAATCATATCCAGTTGGAAACCCCCTGCAATGCAGGAATCACAACTAAAGAATCCCTGACGGATGGGTGCAGTTAAAAGGGGAAAAGAAAAGCCTGATTAAAAAAACCTGGAAATTAAAGATAACAAATAAATCTAAAACAAAAATAAAAAGGATAAGGTGTCAAACCCTATCATTACCCTTCACCATACATGGGCAAGGCGTTCCACAGGGCAAAACCAATTACTGTATGTTCTCTCTGGACTTCCCTTTCTTCTTCCCACCTCCCTCCCTAAATCAGGTTTACTTGATATTATTTTTATTATATTACAGTTATTCTTTCACGCCTCTTGCATCATTTTGCTCAGGGCTGCTTTTAAATTCCCCTCCCCTTATCTCACCCTTCCAATTCCCAGCTAATATTTTATAGTTCAAAAAGTAACAGTCAACTTTCTCTTTTCCCCATTACAGTCATAAACAAACTCCCCCTCCAAAAGATTCACCCGCAGTGATTACATGGAGCAAAAGGAAAAAATGACAGCAGCTGCCGTTGCTCCCCTAAAAGCCAGGGGGGAAAGTCCAGTCCGGAAGTAGACCTGTCCCCAAACAAATATGGCGCTTCTGTGTAGTGGAGCCCATACTAAAAATGGTGGGCAAAAAAAATCTCTACTTGGACTTAATACTCTATATAGATTGACAAGTGAGGCCAGTTTCAGGTGTCTGTACAAATGGTTTTTTTTGTGTGAAGGTTCATCACAGAGATCAGTGGAGAAATGCAGTATTTTTAAGATAGCAGTGATTGGGGAGCACAGCAGCTAAACTTTTTGAAAATAATAATTCTAAAAAGCAACAAGGAAGGCAGGAGCTCATCCTCCTTCTACCTCAGTTCTTATTCTGATTAGAAAACCTTTAAAGTTTTTAGACATTTAAAAGTGCAAAGTGTCTGCATGTGAGGTTCTGCATGCAACTGAGCTCTGAATTTGGGCTGGGAGAGGATATGAGAGTGAGACTCGATTTAAGTATTTTGTTTTAAATAAAATTTGTATACCTCAAAGCAGTTTAGAAAAAGAATACTGTAAAACAATTTTAAAATATTGGTAAAAACAACTATGTAAAACATTTAAAAAAGCAATGATAAATTAAAAATCGCAGTCCATCTCCCAAATATGGGGCTAACATGTGTTCTGACATCGGCAGGGATCTCTCCCCCACCCAGAAAAACGCTTTAAAATATATACAGTATTTTTAATTCTACCGCCCCCCACACTAAATAAGATATAAGATGCAGAGTCAGAAAATGCTTGAGCGCCTCATTGTTGGCTGATTGCCTTTTGCTTGACGGTTTGTTGAACACGTTTGCTGTAACTAGCGTAGTTATATTTAAAATCCTGAATTTCTCCATTGATTTCTATCAACGACTGGCAATTCTGACCCCGCTAGAAATTTCCAAAGAAAACTCGGAAATGTTCCAGCCTGAGAAGTCCATGTGCAGTTCTACACTTTTTTATCTCTTCCTGACTCCAACGAATAGAAATCATGGCTTTTAAAAGGGCTGCGCGAGGAACTTCTAGCCCGCAACAAAGATGGTGCTGATTTGATAAAGCCGCGCCCTCAAGCAAAATGGCGCTTTTGGGATTACGTAAGAAAGGACTCCACCTCCACCACTACCTATAAAGTTCGTATGTTTTCGGTAATTTAATTAATGACCATTCTTTATCTGTGACTTTATTCTGCGTCGTCCTCGCAAGCTTCGGGCTCCTCACTTCTACTGGGTTTCACTTGTGCCCTTAACAAATATGGTGGCTGGAGATTGAAGCCCCAAAGTGCGTCGACGGAAGCAGAAACGGGGAACCTTCCGGTCACGAGGGAAGACAGTGACCTCTCTCGCTCCGGAAGTTGTGGCGTTGTTAGGCTGGCCTTATGTCTCTCGAGGGCCTGGCCAGGTGAAGGAAGATGGCGGAGAGCGGCAAGACGAAAAGTGGCCCGGCGGCTCCTCCCAGCGGCGTCGGCGCTGCTGCTTCGGCTGGGGGCGCCGGCAAGGCCATGACGGCGGAGCAGGTACCGGGGAGGGGCGAGGAAAGGGAGTGCCTTTGAGCATGTGCAGAGTTCCCCTTCCCGGGAGGAGATGCGTCAAGTCACGACGTCCAACAGCCCGAACCCGTAGCCCGCTTTGGCCTCCGCGTGTTTCGCGGGAGGGTTTCTGAGCATGTGCAGAGCGAAGGGTGCCGTTATTAGGGGTGGCGCCGCTCCTGTGGACGTTGTAGTGGTGGAGAAAAGACACTCGGAATCTTTTTAACTTTTCCTCCGAGCAGTCCTAATAATAATAATAATCACCACCATCATCATTGTTGCAATTTTTTACCCACCTTTCATCCCAAGGCCCTAGGACGGATTGCAACAATTAAAACAATATCAGTATTAAAGCACAATATTAAAAGACAGGTTAAAACAACATAGATATGACTCCCAATAGGAAGGAAAAGCTTCAGCTACTTAGGCATTCAGGTTACCTGTAATTTAAACGCATTATAGCAAAGTATGGAAATCAATAAATATGGTTATATGATGCTGGAAGAAAATGAAATTTTCTATCACGGACTGACTGGCCGAAACTAAAATTATACTTATTCCACCAGCCCATAAGTCCAAATGGCAAAGAAAACAACATAGTCATATTTCAATCAGACCAACGATGCATTAAAAAAAATTGCTGTTTGTTCACAGAACTGTTGGAGGATGGGGATTCCAAAATCTAAACTGCTAATAAAACACATGTCAACTTAGCACATGACAGACATAATATTTGGCAATAAGGGAATTCAGTGGAGCAGGTTAACGAACTTAGAAGTAAATGGTGTCCCTATAAAAGTAATACATTTTTTAAAAAATCTGCTCTTTACATTCACAACTTTCAAGTTTTTGGTCCCAGGCCTCTCACCCATTATTCCATTACAGTTCCACCCAGTTTTCAAAAATAAATATAGAGACCATAATACAGTTAGATACCTGAAAAAACGCACAATTGTATTGTCTGAAATAATTTTTACAAAGATGGACAACTGCTTACCATTAATGAAATGCAAATTCAGGTGGGAAATGTTCAAATATGTCCTTTTTAACTATGTATGTATGTATGTATGTATGTATATATGTATTATACTGCCCTTCATCTGAGGATCACAGGCTGGTTTACGATATAAAAGCATAAGAAATGCATAACATAGTAACAAACAAAAACAATACCATCCACAATCTTCCCTTTCCAGTTTAAAAGGCCATACAAACCAAACATTTCTCCCACGTGTTAGAGAGGATGTCCCATTAGAGGGACATATCAACACATGTGGTGAGGGTGTCCAAAAATTGAAAAGTTCTGGGAAAATTATTTACAGAAATATCTTTTGTCACAAGGCAGACAACCCCCATGACCCCAGGACTTGTATAATCACAATATGTTGCAAATTAAAAGCAAGATCTCATAATACATCTATTAGCCACTGCAAGGACAGCCATTGCTAGGACATGGAAATCATCACAGTTATTAACTATGGACCAATGGTATTATGCAATTTGTCAAACAACATTATTTGAAAAAGTGACACAAAAATTAAAATTAGCAAGAAGCCCAAAGAAGCATGACAATTTGTATGCAGTATACACAAATACTGGGGCATATGGCAAAACAGTACCAATATAATTTTGGTATATATATTTTGACACAATTTTGTTACTATATTCAGAAATGCTTTTCTGAGTGTTTATTGTTTAATCTTTATTTTTATATAATTTTTGCATGCCATATCCTCTAATGTAAATGTATATCTCAATGCAACCATGTTAAACAGTTTAAAGATGAACATTAATAAAAACTATCTTGCCAAAAAAAACCCCAAACAAACCACCCTTAGGTATGGCGTACACGTTTTCTTTTCTCAGTTGGTCTAATCCTAGGGCTGTGGGATGGAATGATTTGAAAGTCCAGAGATCCATGAGCAAAATACTCCACCTTAGCAGTGATTCAGGAGGGTTTAGGTAGGAATGGTTGTGATGTATACTGCAGCCTCAGTTGGCAATTCAAGTAAAACATGGCAGGTTTCTAACCCCAAGGAACCTTATAATCTAAAGTATGAGAGTGGGGAAAGTAAAAGCAGCAAGGGCCAATGTGAATAGTCCCTGTGTCCATGCTAACTTGGTTGTGGCTGGTGCAAGCCCTTGCCTGCTGTGACTGACCTTTCTCCCCTTCTAGGTGGTAGCTGGATTTAACCGTCTGCGTCAGGAGCAGCGAGGTCTAGCCTCAAAGGCAGCTGAGCTGGAGATGGAGCTGAATGAGCACAAGTAAGCAGTGGATTTGAACATTGTTCCCCCTGCTAATTTTGGATATTGCTGCTTGGTGGTTTTGCAGTTTTCTCTGTTCTTGCAAGCAGCCTTGCAAATAGAATTGAGAAAAAACATCAGAAGAGTCTGGCTGGTGGATCAGGCTAAGGGGGAGGGGTCTAGTCCAGCATCCTGTTGTCACAATGGCCAACCAGATGCCTCTGGGAAGCTTGTAAGCAGGAACAAGATGCAACAATACTTTTCCTACTTGTGCACCTCAGCAAGTGTTACTCAGAGGCAAACTGCCTCCAATGGCGAACATAGCCATCATGGCTAGTAGCCATTGATACCCTTCACAACTTCCCCACAACCACCCAGTGAACTTTGCCTTGTTTGTATCTTTGAACGAAAGTGCTCCCAATTCAGAGTTTTGACTGCTAGATTTGGAAATAATAAAATAGCAGCACAGCGATGTGTCATGTCTTTCCCTGCAGTCTTGAGGCTGTTGGTCACAAGTATACTTCCTGGCTGTGTGGATTTCTAGATCCTTTGATACTGTCCTTATCATAAGCTGGTGTACAATGCTAAGATATTCTGCCTTTCTTCCACTTTGCAGGCTGGTAATTGAAACACTCCGAGAAGTGGACCCTACTAGGAAATGTTACCGGATGGTGGGAGGTGTGTTGGTAGAACGCACTGTGAAAGAAGTTCTCCCAGCCTTGGAAAATAACAAAGAGCAGGTAATGCCTCTGCAGACAGTGGGCAGACTCCCTGCTTCTCCTTGGAACAGGGAATGCCATTAGCCTCAGCAATACTTGCCTTTAGTTATCATGGCTAAAACTAGGGAGACCTAGGTTTGAATTCCTGTTCAGCCATGAAACTCAGTGGGGGTAAGTCACCTTGGGTCGGTCACCTTCTCTAAGCCTAATCTACCTCACAGGGTTGTTGTGAGGCAAAAGGAGGGAATTAAGTATGCCAACTAAATTCACTGATAATAAGGTGCATATATATAAGGAAAGCTAATGATATATAACTGATTGTCATTTCTGGCATCTGAAGGCTAGAAAGAAAAGTAAGACCCAGCGTTTTTGCAGTTTACAAGACCTTCTCTAGCTGCTTGCCTGCTGCAGATTTTTACTCACCAAAGGCCATAGTGTGAGTGGAAGTTAATGAACTTCACATAAAACATATTGGTCTATCATCAGTAGATCACAGTAGAGTTTGAGACTCTTAATCTCAGGGTCATAAATTCAAGCCCAGCGTTGGGCAAAATATTCCTGCATTGCAGGGGTTGGACTAGATGATCCACAGGGTCCCTTCCCACTCTACAATTCTATGATTTTATGACTTGTTTTTAATATATATATATATATATATATATATATATATATATATATATATGCATGCTGTTTTCAATTCTTTTGTTTGCCACCATTTGTCATTCTTGGCCACTGCTGAAGAATAAGTGAAAAGTAATCAAATGTCCAGGTGTTTTTGTGTGAGTAGAGATTCTTCATTATGCAACTTGGTTATATTTCTTTCCTGCTTCCACTGCTACCCAAATTCTCAGAGAGAATGTGAAAACAATAATAATAATTAATAATAATTTATTATTTATACCCTGCCCATCTGGCTGAGTTTCCCCAGCCACTCTGGGCGGCTTCCAATCACGTGTTAAAAACAATACAGCATTAAATATTAAAAACTTCCCTAAACAGGGCTGCCTTCAGATGTCTTTTAAAAAGAAGATAGCTGCTTATTTCCTTCACATCTGAAGGGAGGGCGTTCCACAGGGCAGGCGCCACTACCGAGAAGGCCCTCTGTCTGGTTCCCTGTAACCTCACTTCTCGCAATGAGGGAACCGCCAGAAGGACCTCGGTGCTGGACCTCAATGTCCGGGCTGAACGATGGGGGTGGAGACGCTCCTTCAGGTATACAGGACCAAGGCCGTTTAGGGTTTTAAAGGTCAGCACCAACACTTTGAATTGTGCTCGGAAACAACTCAGTCATGACTTGGGCCCAGGCTCCCTGAAAGATCATGTCTCCCTAAGATCCTTAGGTGAGCCCCTTCTCTCAGTTCCATCAACTTTGCCACCCTTCTGCCCTCCAGATATTTTGCAGTACAGCTCCCATCAACCACTGCATCGTAACACAATGCTGGCTGGCACTGATGGGAGTTGTAGCATTGCGTATGGAAGAGCTGTTCTAGATAGTGATGTGTTAAATGATGGTGCTGGAAAACAGCAGAAGGTTCCCAGACTGTGGTCTGTGGCCCACCAGTGGCCCCAAAACTTCATTCAGATGGCCTACGGTGCATCTGTAAAAATACAAATGAAAACCATACAGCATCTAGCACAGTAAATTATAATTGCTACAACAGGCAGAAAAAATCATTTAAGTAATCCACCAAGATCCTCAAGCAATTTTCAAGTGCTCCATGAGGGGGTAAGTGGGGAACTGACTGCCTTCTATTTACTTTAGCCTTTGACACTTAAGATGTGTATTTTCACACCAGGCCCTGTCACCTCTTCCTGGGCTACACCCCCCCCCACTCCATGCCCTCCTCCAGTGCTCTTGCCTGACTGGAATGTGTCCTTGAACCCTGTTCATGCCTCTTTGCTGCCTGGAGGGAGGATGGAGAGAGATACCATATTTTTCGCTCTATAGGACAAACATAGGAGGGGGAGAACAGGGGGGAATTTTTTTTTTTTATTGTTCTCCCCCTCTAAAACAAGGTGCGTTCAAGGTGCATTCACCCAAAGCCTCCGGAGCGCAGCGGGGGTTCCCGCTGCGCTCTGGAGGCTTCAGGCGGCTACCATCCCCAAGCTAGAACAGCAAGTCTGTCTCGCTGTTCTGGATTGGGAACAGCCTTTCTAGCCTCTGCAGGGCAGTGGGGTGTCTTGACCCCGCTGCCCTGCAGAGGCTTTGCGCGCAGCCATCCCCAAGGTAGAAGAGTGAGACGGAGCCCTCCGTCTCGCTGTTCTGGCTTGGGAACAGCCTTTCTAGCCTCTGCAGGGCAGCGGGGTGAAGGCACCCCGCTGCCCTGCAGAGACTTTGCGCACAGCCATCCCCAAGCTAGAACAGCGAAAAGGAGCGCTCTGCAGCGCTCCGTCTCCCTGTTCTGGCTTTGGGCTTAGCCGCGCAGCCTGCATTCGCTCTATAGGACGCACACACATTTCCCCTTAATTTTTGGAGGGGAAAAAGTGCGTCCTATAGAGTGAAAAATACGGTACAGTGGTGCCTCGCAAGACAAAATTAATCCGTTCCGCGAGTCTCTTCGTCTTGCGGTTTTTTCGTCTTGCGAAGCACGGCTATTAGCGGCTTAACGGCTTAGCGGCTTTAAGAAAAAGGAAACAAACTCGCAAGAACTCGCAAGACGTTTCGTCTTGCAAAGCAAGCCCATAGGGAAATTCGTCTTGCGGAACGACTCAAAAAACGGAAAACTCTTTCGTCTAGCGAGTTTTTCGTCTTGCGAGGCATTCGTCTTGTGGGGCACCACTGTATGTATGGAGTGGGTGTCAAAAGTCTCTTGTGTTTTCAGTCTACTGTATAAAGAGAAGAGTCATATCCATTGTGCTGCCCACTTTTCACTCTGGCTTCACCCGCTCCTGGAAGGTTGCCCACAACAGAATTCTTAAAAGAGATTTTTGAAATGTCAAGACGGTTTATAAATGCCTTTAGAATGGATAAATAAATGCAAAGTGATCTTGGGAGGATGTCGGGGAGCTCAGAGCCCTCATTTGCCGCTCCCCAGATAAAATGTTCCATCTTTCCCGTCCTGACTCTCCTTCCCTGTTTGCAGATCAACAAGATCATCGAGACCTTGACCCAGCAGCTGCAGACGAAAGGGCGGGAGCTGAACGAGTTCCGGGAAAAACACAACATCCGCCTGATGGGCGAGGACGACCAGAAGGCTCCCTCCAAGGACAGCGCTGAGGGGTCAGGCGGCAAGGCCAGCTCCACAGGGGTCCTCGTTTCCTAGTGGGTGCAGCAGCCGTCTCTCAAAGGACTTTTTTACCGCCTCTCGCTCTACAGTTGTGGCTCTTGACCTCAAAAGGCTTAACTTTATTATTATTTTGGTGTCAACTCTGACAATATTTTTTGTTAAATAAAACTTTTTGGTGTGTCACATACTTTTGGGACCAGTGCGAACATTGGCAGCTGTGCTGAATCGCCACCCATCCCTTTACAAGATGATGCCCATCACCCAAGGCTAGAGCATGTGCTTTGCATGGAAGCCAAGGATGGGGAACTTGCTGCCTTGCGCATGTTGTTGGACACCCAACTCCCACCATCCTTGATCATTGGTCTTGCTGGCTGGGGCTGATGGGAGATGGAGTCCAACAACATCGGGAGGGCCACAGGTTCCCTCATTCCCAATGGAGGCAGCCTTAGCTTCAGTCACTGGCATCCCTAGTTAAAGGAGGTTACACAGCAGGGCTGGGAATGATATCTCAAGAGAGGTCTCTGTGCAAGACTTCACAAGGCATGGGGAGGCACAAAGGCCTGTGGCAGCACACATGTTTTGGTGTGCAGAAGGTCCCAGGTTTGGCCTCCAGCATCTCCACTTAATGGCTCTCACCTGGCTAGCCCAAAGCCAACCCAATGCTCCCCAGATTTTTTGAACCACAATTCCCATTAGCCCCAGCCACATGGGAGTTGTCCAAAACATTTGGTGAAGTTGGGCTAGGTAGCTTATAGGGCTGGTGTTTGAATGCCAAGATGGAACTACAGCAAAATATGAGCTGTTGGCTTCTTCAGAGTGAGGTTCTAGCCCGTATTGGGCACAAATATATACTTAAAATCTGAGAAGCCAGATGAGGAATGTCGGTGTGTAGGAATTTACCTCGCCCCACACCTTTCCAATAAGTAGCACAGCAGAACAAAGTTATGTGCTTCAATCATCATAAATCAAAAGAATGGAATCATCCAAACTAAGTGGCTACTATGCTTAAATCTGTTACTCAGTCAAAAGCCCAAATACAGTGGTACCTCGGGTTAAGAACTTAATTCGTTCTGGAGGTCCGTTCTTAACCTGAAACTGTTCTTAACCTGAAGCACTACTTTACCTAATGGGGTCTCCTGCTGCCGCCACGCCGCCGGAGCACAATTTCTGTTCTTATCCTGAAGCAAAGTTCTTAACCCAAGGTACTATTTCTGGGTTAGCGGCGTCTGTAACCTGAAGCGTATGTAATCTGAAGCATCTGTAACCCAAGGTACCACTGTAGTTGGGGAACACTTTAAAAATACATTGTCAACACAGGGGTCACTTTAAAAGGCATTTCCCCATCTCTTGCTGGAACAATGCTGTTTTCAAGATGGGGTGCGCATCATGTGAAACAAAGTATGCTTCACCCTCACCCCTGCCGCGCCACAAAAGACTTCATGTATGTAGACTTAGTTGATTAAAACTCATGTTAATCTGCTAAAACCAGACTCCCCCAAATAAGCAAAATCTTGCAAATGCGCATAGACGGGGTGAAGAATTCAGCTTTTGTTTGTCATTGCAAAAGGTGAGTTGCAGATAAACATGGATCAGATTTCAATACTGAAGGCCCTCAGAAATCAGTAAGATTTTTACATGGAAAAACTTTATTCATAATTTTGGAATCTTCTCACACACACCCCTGCTCAATGAGGCACTTTCTTCCTAGTGTCCTTCAGTCTGATCACTTCCCCCTCTTGTACGTTTACCTGCAGCAAGAGCATCAAAGTCTCTGACATGCCAGAGGGGTGCTTTATTTCACATGGCCCAGGGGCTCACTTCCCCCTGCAGGCGAAAGGGGAGGGGAGCAGAATTGAGAGCGCTGTCCGCTTGAGGGTGTTGATGAGAGCCAGTAGCAAGAGGCTTCAGACTTCACAGAGCGAACTCCAAGCTGCAGATCTCTGGGCAGGGCGTTTTTCCATCAGCCCCAAACCCTCCGATGAGGTAGAGCTTGTCATTGCAGAGGCAGGTGCGGTGGCCAACTCTCTTCTGGCCCTGGTTGGAGCAACAGAAGTGAAACCAGTTTGCTGGCGAAGACCCTGAGAGAAGAGACAAGCTCTGTGAGGTTCTTAGGAGAGACCCTATCCCATCAACTCTAGCTGCTGGTTGAGTGCATAAGGCTCATACCGAACCTTCTGTGTGTGGAGAGATGGGATAGGCCAAGTTGTCTTGGTTAACAGTTGCTTCAGTTCCCCCCTACATTTTATCTGAGGAGTACTTGTTCCTCATCGTGGCTTGCTAGGCGTACAATTCCCAATTCAACAACCCTATGGGCAAGTGAAGAATTGCCGTGGGGGGTGGGAGATGCTACATAGCTGAAGAATTTACATGCGTGGTTCTAATAAGCGCCCCCAAGATTTGTCCCAGCTTCTGGCCAGAGAGATTCTTTGCACAAAGATGCCACTTACTTGTATCATGGATGTAAAGATCATTGCAAATGGCATCCCTGCCGGTCGATAAAGTCTCTCCACCAAAGATGACAGCAAAAGGCCCTACCACGGTGCAAGATTGGTGCCTCAGGCCTTTGGGACCCTGCCGGGATCCCTTTTCAGTGCTGACCAAGCGAGAGAGATTCTCTGTCAGCCCAGGAGCATGGACAGAATCAACCTGAGGGAGGGAAAGGGTGCAGCAGACCTTGAAAAGTGCAGAGAGATGGAGGCTGTATAGGTTTAAGCGCCACTAAATTCTTTTATTAGAATGTTGTGGATTAAAAATGCTTAATTTTATTGAGAGAATATGGATTGTTAAGCCGAGGGACTGGATTCCAATGGGGCAGGATGGTTGAATGGACGATGTTGAGGACAACAGGAAAGGCTGAGAATGCCAAGAGCAATAGGAGCTTGAGGGTAAAGCATGGGGAGAAGAGGGTCTGATGCAAAGGGGAGGAAGGTGGCACTCCAAGAGGCTCAATTTCACATCCTGATCTGAACCCATAAGAGCATTTTCCACAGTACTAGCCATTTGGACCCTACGATTAGCAGGGGAGGCCTTGTTGGTGGTGCCTGGCAATCCCTGAGATCACTGGGTGGAAGTATGTTTTTAACTGCAACTACTTTTAGGTTGTTGTTTTTTTTAATATAGTGGAACCTTGGTTCTCGAACGGCTCAGTTGACAAACAAATTGGCTCACGAACGCCGAAAACCAGGAGGTAAGTGTTCCAGTTTGCGACCGTTTTTCAGAAGCTGAACATCTGACATGGCTTCCGCTTGAGTGCAGGAAGCTACTACAGCCAATTGGAAGCCATGCCTTGGTTTTCGAGTGTTTCGGAAGTCAAACGGACTTCCGGAATGGATTACGTTCGAGAACCAAGGTACCACTCGCCCTGGCCACCTTCAGGAGGAAGGGAGGGATGCAAATAATGAAATAAAATTGCACTGGTTTGGGGATTTGCAAGGGTGAACACCAGAAGTTTGCTTATACTGAGACAATTCATCTTGTTCACCATTGTCAACACTGACTGGCAGAGGCTCTACAGGAGTTTTATCCCAGCCCTGCCTGGCAATGAATGTGGAACCTTCTTCAAGTAAAGTAAGTGCTCTACCACTGAGCTACAGCCCACCTCCATATACACACGTGAGGGGATCTCGGCTTTCCTATTTCTGCAAGGCCACATCGTGTGCCCACCCCACTCACACTCACATGGATTTTGCTTTTCCCCCAGTGTCCAGCTATGTCGAAGTCAGCAGAGTCACGCCCTCCAAAGACCACCAGGTTGTAGCCACTGCTCTTCCCGCTTGGGGTGGTTTCGCGCAGCAGCATGGCAGAATGGCCGGCCCGGGAGGCCGTGCGCGACTCCTCTTCTTTGTACCTGGCAACAGGAGGAGAGAGGCAAAGGATGCTCTTTTAAAAATAATAATTTTTTTTATTAAAAGTTTTCAACATAAAATACAATGAAAATCACACTAATCTAGAAAAGAAAAATAGAGAAAAGCAAAAAGAAACAAAGAAAGAAAGAACAAAAGGAAATTAGAAAGCCCTCTATGAAGAACTCAAAGTGTGTACATGGTTCTCTCATTTAAACCCCACAACAAGCCTGTATGTTAGGCTTATAGGCAGTGAGTGAGCTCAATGTCACCTAGTGAGCTTCATGGCTGAGTGGGGACCTGAACTTTGGTCTGGCCTGGACCATCTAAGATTGTAGGTGCAGCCACATAAAATAAGAAGAGCTTGCTGAATCAGGCCAGTGACCCATCTAGTCCAGCATCCTGTTCTCACAGTGGCCAACCAAATGCCTGTAGGAAACCTGCAAGCAGGATCTAAGCACAAGAGCCCTCTCCCCTCTGGAATTCAGAAGCATTGGTGCCTCTGACGTAGGAGGCAGAGCATAACCAACATGCCTAGTAGCCATTGCTAGCCTTCTCCATTTGTCCAACCTTCTTTTAAAGCCATTCTGTGTTCTGCAGTTTTAACTATGCGCTGTGTGAAGTACCGTATTTTTCGCTCTATAGGACGCACCTTGTTTTAGAGGGGGAGAACAAGAAAGAAAAATTCTCCCCCTCTCTGCTCAGAGCCCCTTCAGCGAAGCGGCAGGAGAAACGGAGCCCCTTCCATTTCTCCTCCCGCTTCGCTGAAGGGGCGCTGCGCAGCTCTCCCTCTCTGCTGAAGCCAGGAGAGTCTTGCTCTCCTGGCTTCAGCAAAAGGAACCCAAAGCCTTCGGAGTGCAGCGCAAGTTCCCGCTGCACTCCGGAGGCTTCAGGTGGCTATCCCTGAAGCCTCAGGAGCGCGGAGGGAGCGCTCCCTCTGCGCTTCGGAGACTTAGCGTTGCTATCACTGAAGCCAAGGAGCCTGCATTTGCTCCATAGGACGCACACACATTTCCCCTTAATTTTTGAAATTAATACGGTACTTTTGAAGAATATGGTACTTTCAAAGAATACGGTACTTTTGAAGAATACGGTACTTTCTTTCATCTGCTCTGACCCTTCCAACATTCAGCTTCTCTAGATGCCCACGTGTTCCAGTGTTATGAGAGAAGGTGAAAAACCTTTGTAGGACTGAAGTCCTTGCAAGCAGCTCAGTATTCTGGGCAAGGTCTTACCAGTAGGTCTTGCTGGCAGGGTTGAGATGCAACGTGAAGATGCTGGCGTAGCGCCGCTGAGTTCGCAGCCCGCCCTCGCGGCCCACCACCCGTGCCTCATGGTCCGTGAGCTTGGTGCAAGTGTGGCTGCTGAGCCCCACGGGGGCCTGGTTGGAGGGCCCCGCAGCCCAGCGTTCCCACTGCCCCCGTTCGGCATCAAAGCAGCACACGTCAGAGACCCGGCGGGAGCCGTCCCAGCCCCCCACCACGCACAGGAAGCGGTCAGACAGGACCACAGCTTCGTGGTGGCTCCGGCGGTGCTCGCATTCGGGAGCCATCCTTTTGACCGTCTGGAGTGAGGGGTCGAAGGCCACCACATCCCCAAGGGGCGGCTCCTGGGTCTCCTGCGACTTCAAGCCCCCAAAGATGAGGAGTTTGCCCTGCACCACATTGCACGAGTGGAATGCACGGCCGAGGAGGTCACTGCACACCACTGGCCTCCACTCCCAGCTGCGGCCGGTGGCTGCCATACCAGGTTTGACCTGCAGGGGGCAAAGCAAGAAGGGTCAAGGGACCAGGTGGTGGACAATCCAAAGAGGGTTTTATTTATTCATCTTAATGAACTGCAAATAGCCATGTTGGAACAAACCTAAACAATTACAAGTAAACAATTTTTTCTTGCAGGAAAGAGGAGAGATGTGGAGATTACCAACAATAAAAAATACAGACAGGTCTTATCGTTAGATGCCCAATGAAGCAACACTCCTTCATAAACTGGCTCTCATATCACCTCTGTCCCCTCTGTGCCAGGCTAAACTTACCCAACTCCCTCAACTTCCCAAGTCTCCCAACTTCCCTGGGAAGGGGGATTGATTGTTAAAACCACTTTAGCAACTGTAGCTCTAAGAGGGAGAAGAGGGGCTTCCTAACAGCTCTCAGCACCCTTAACAAACTACAGGTCCCAGAATCCTTCAGTGTATGCCATGACTGTTTAAAGAAGTATCATAGTGTTTTAAATGCATGGCCGAACTGACTCCAGGAATGTGCTCCAATACACCATATGTAAATAGACCACTTCACTTAAACAATGAACTGAACTGAAAATCTACCCTTACGATACACAAACAAGCATATGCATCCTCACCCCTGACACGCTCTTCCTACCCCTCCAAAAACTAAAATAAGAATAAACATATTTTTTTTGTACTTGGGTTTAAAAAGTCCCTGCACCACTGAGCCTAAACTGAAAATCAATGCCCCTTTCCCTGGCTGCCCCCACCAAGCTCAGGTCATTTTACCAAGGCATGCCCAAAGGCAAGAGCAGGAACAACAAGCATGTTATACCAGGAACAGGTTAAGAAAGGGTGCCCTTCCTCTGGTAAATAGGAAGGGTGGAAGCATTTGTGCAAGGAGTTTGGTGCAATTAATTTTGTTTTGTTTTTAAAATGCATCCTGTCCTACTCCAAAATAACGTTCCTCCTCTTCATATGGTAGCTGTCAGATCACAAACTTCAAGGCTTGTCTCCCCCCACCCCCCCGCCGGCAAAAAGAAAAAGCTTATTGTGCACATGCTCCCAAACACCTCTGAGAACACTGCCAGGGTGTGTTTTCCAGTTATGCTGGATAAATGTCCCTCCCCATTCCCCCCAAAAAAACCTCTCAAACCAGATTTGTGTGTGCATGCAGGAATGGCTGTGTCATCAATCTCAGAAACAGTCATTTGGGCCTACCTTAAGAGAAGAAGCCTCTGCAGAGCAGAAAGCCTGGTTGCCTAGCAATAGGCAGCCCCTAGCAACCTCATCATGTGTCTTGGCAACCGATTCTGTGGCTTACAGGAAAAGGCAGGCCCTGCCAGAAAGCATTTGCTGAGTGTGGTAAAGTTAGCAGGAGCATTAATAATCCGGGTGTGTGTGTTTGTTTTACGACCAGCATAGGGGCGTCACGAGGAATCTGGAAAGAATTGGGATTTGCCGAGGAACAATAACCATTGATGGCAAAAATGATGAGCTGGGGGTGACAGGGGGGAATTGGAGGTGGTAGTATCATAGAGCTTCCTTCGTTTGTTTTCAAAAAAGTTGAAACCGTGAGCTGTAGTTGTGCTCACTAGAGCTGCCAGACCTCTGGGATTGACTTGAAGTATCCAGATTTGCCTGGCCCCCTCCAGGTGGCAGGGGTAGGGCTTGAATCTCTAGGTGGACGAGAGTGTATTAAAAAAAACCCCCAAAAAAGCAAAATTAAGAATACTGTATGTGCAGCTTGCAAGCTTCAGCCTGCAAATTATTGCATAGAGTCTTGGGGGTGGGGTCTGCCCTTCTTCCCCAATTAACCTCCACCTCTGAAAATTATTGCATAGACTCTGAGAGGATGAGGGTTTGCCTTTCTCTGCACCCACCTCCCTTCTCCCAATTCACCATCTCCAGGGAGGTGGTAGGGAGCACAGAAGAAGACTCACCAGGCGCCATCCCTAGATCTCAGGTTTGAGGCCTGAAAGCTCAGGATCTGGGATGCTCCTGACCTGGCAACCTTCATGTTTACATTCCTGTTTTCTGTACACACGCACTGCATTCCTAGTGTGGGATTTTTAACCCATGTTCACACAATGCTGTCTAAAATGCGCATGTATCCTGTACAGAGCTGGATTAAGCCCTTTAGAGGACCTAAGCACTGAAGAGTTTATGGTCCGTCCTCCACCATATGTAATTCAAAATAAAAACAATACTAACCTGTAAAATAAAATTTTCTTTTTCAAAACTTACATGTATGCTGAAATGTACATGCATGGGACCTGATTCCCTCGTATTATTTCGATAAACGTTAGTAGGATGCCCCTATGGTTTAGGTGGGGATAAGTAATAAGAGAACAGAAAAATGGGGGAACAGCGTGGGGTGAAGGAAAACTAAGAAAGCTGTGTTTCTCCCCATAATGACTGTTTTGATGCTTAAAAAAAATCTATGTCAAATTCTTTCAAAAAAAGCATCTCATTTCTCTTTGTGTGTGTCTCTCTGTGTGTCCCTGCTTTGCTGGTGCCCTAAATACATGCTTAGTCTGCCTATTGGACAATCCAGCACTGATCCTATAAAGGTAAAGGGACCCCTGACCATTAGGTCCAGTCGTGACTCTGGGGTTGCGGCGTTCATCTCGCTTTATTGGCCGAGGGAGCCGGCGTACAGCTTCCAGGTCATGTGGCCAGCATGACTAAGCTGCTTCTGGCGAACCAGAGCAGAGCACAGAAACACCGTTTACCTTCCCGCCAGAGCAGTACCTATTTTATCTACTTGCACTTTGACGTGCTTTCCAACTGCTAGGTTGGCAGGAGCAGGGACCGATCAACGGGAGCTCACCCCGTTGCAGGATTCAGACCCTGTGTTTTAAATGGCTCCTTGACAAAATTCTCCCTGAAATTTATTTGTTATCAAAGGGGGTTGCTATTCCCATGCAATCCAAAACTCTTTTTCTCTGCCTTTAACAGATACATGGCAGGCAGAAATTCAACAGGTACATCCCCCCAACCCCACCCCACATAGAGATGTGGCTATATGGAGAAAACTGTTGAGTTTCTGTTTCCTATGGAAGGGGATCAGAACAGAGCAGCCCCCTGCCCTGAAGCACCAGGAAGGAGAATCCAGTGGACTGTTGACAGTACACAGAATGACTGTTTGCAGTCGCTTTGTAAGGTTTTGCTCCGTTCCTCCTGTCCCAGTGACCTCCAGCCTCTCCCCAGCTCTCTGTGGCCTGCTCAGGTCGGAACTGGTTTCAGAGCAGAAAGCGGTCGTGCCATACCTGTTTTCCTGACCACTTTCCCTGTATAATAATAACATCCCCCCTCCCAAAAGTAGGAACACCGCCCCGCCAAGCCTGACTAAACCTTGAGAGCAGAAAGAGAGGTCAGGCTGATCTAAGCATCCACACGCAAGGAAGGACTTTCTCACTCCTCGTCTCCAAATAGTTTGGCACCTCTTCCAAAAGGTAAGGCTTGACCTTCAGGAATTCAGTGTGGGTGGGAATGGGTGCTCTTCACAGCTTTGGACCACAGTTGCCAATGGTGTGTTTTCCATGTATTTCTGACGGGGCTCCTGTGCCATTAACGGGTGCATGACAGGCTGATGAATATTTTTCCAGCCGCTTTATCTCCACACAGAAACAGCTTTCACCGGTGAGCATTCCACCTGCCCTGCAATGTTGTTGTCGTAAAGGCACAGAAGCCCCACTAGAAAAGAAAGTTGGCAACCATAGCAAAATGTACACTCCAGCTTAGGCAAAGTTCTTCCCCAGCTGTGACCCACCATTTGAAGATGTGTGGGGACAGGGATGGGCTGCAGAGGGGTTGCTGGGTGCTGAAAGACTCGGGTGCAAGCCCCTGGTACAACACCACACTTGCTAATTTTATATGTGCTTTCTGTCTGGGCAGATTAAGATGTTGGGTGACTGTGGTCTTACCAGCATTGCGCTAAACTGCCCTGTGTGAGCATATTTTATATACAAAAGTTTCTGAAAGCAGCAGGAAATCTGAAGCTCAGTGCAAAAGACCCAGAGCATGGGTCCCACCCCACCCCCTGCTTTGATTCATCCTCCCACCCCATTTCTGATGCAGGTATTGTTGCCGTTGAAAGTCCTACCCTGCGGCCTCATCTCACCTTCCAGAATCATGGAGTTCTCCAAACTTCCGAAGATTGGGGATGCAGAAAAGGAGAGTGAGATGGGATTTGTGCATGGTGTCTCTGGACCAGGTAGGTTCTCTGGCACTTGGAGAAACTTAATAATACCCTCCAACAACCAAAGTGGAAAATAGGAGCAAATGAGTTAACTCTGCAATGAATAACCCAATTTTGCCCTTTGTGTAGCAAGGCATGTTAGTAAACCAAACTGAACATAACACTTCCTTCTTCTTTTTTTAAAGTTTGAACAGTCTGTTAATCAACATCTAAAACCTCTGGATTGTGCTAACTACAAACAAGGATAGGGAACCTGTGGTCCTCTAAGATTTTTTTATTGGACTCCCATTCTCAGTATCCCCCTCTCTTGGCTTCTAACACTTTCTGCAACATTTGTGGTTAAAATAATTGGTAGTTTTGAAAGAGGTGGGGCTGGGATTGGAAGGGAAAGTCTGCTTCTGTCTGCACTGCTAGAGTCAAGATGGCTTTCCCCCTGGGAAAGGAGCAGGACCATAGCTTTGCTGGGGGAAATGGAGTGCTCCTGGATCAAACATTGCCATTGGAGGCTCAGGTGACCTCAGTGGTCAGGAGTGGTTAGGAGTGTTTAGGGAAGCTTTTAATGTTTGACGCATTACTGTATTTTAATATTTTGTTGGAAGCCGCCCAGAGTGGCTGGGGAAGCCCAGCCAGATGCGCGGGGTATAAATAATATATTATTATTATTATTATTATTATTATTATTATTACTACTATCATGAGTGCCTCTTTCCAGCTCTTTTTGGAGAATAATGACTTGGCCACTGTTCTCCATGCTCTCTTAGCTTCCAGACTGGTTTACTGCACAGGGCTTACGTGGAGAACTGAAACACTGAGATTTGTTTGTATCATGGTTTGCAAGCCCAGTTATCTGCACATGTGTAACTGTGGTTTAAATTAAGGCAGATACTGAGGGCCGGCACTAGCTGGAGAAGCAAGGAAGCAACTTGTGATCGAAGGTGGGGTGACTCTCTCTTTCCTTCTCCCCACTGCCAGTGGTGATTGCCTGCAAGATGGCTGGGGCTGCCATGTACGAGCTGGTGCGCGTCGGACACTTTGAGCTGGTGGGCGAAATAATCCGTCTGGAGGGTGATTTGGCTACCATCCAAGTCTATGAGGAGACCTGTATCTTTCTGGAAAGGGTGAAGATGATGCCTCCACCTTTTTAAGCTTGTTGCCTCCTTTGTCTCCCTTCCTCTGCCCTGAGTCTACCTGCTCCCTTTACCTCCTTCCCTCCCTCCACAGTCCCTTTCGAGACTTGCGTTTCCATCTCTCAACCACCTTTGGGCCTCGCCTTCCTAAGACGCACGTCTCCTGTGTTCCTGGTTGCAAGGAACACCTCTGACCTTTTACTTCTACAAGGCTTTTCGTAGTTCAACGGATTTACAAATTCTGTCGGGGTTGTTCTCCATGCTGCCTTTTAAACTATGACTGGGCCAGTCCCTATGCTGCCCCACCTTTTCCTCCCTTAAATCTGGAGGTTCCCTGTGCTTAGAGAATCCAAACAGGAATGCTACATCAATTTAGGAGGAAGAAAATGTAGGATAGCAGTAGATGGAGGGGAACGCCACATGGTCGAGGGGGAATCAAAGGAGGCATGTGGGGTTCACAAACCACCTTCAGCCAAGGTACAGAAGGGCCCATTGCACCAATCATTGGACTCAGCTACATTAGTTAAAAAAAAAAAAAAAAAAAAGCGTTTCAAATGCATTATAACACTATGACACCAGATGGCGCTGTAGAGTCCAGTCCTTCTGCAATGTGATTTCTCATGAGTTTTACACTGTGTTTTCCTGAAACAATTTTTTTTATGTTTCTGGATCCAACCATTGTTTCTTCTTGTTGTTAATCCCCGCCCCCCAGACACAATCACGCGTATGTATTGAAATCACTATATATATATGAGGTATGGGAGGTGTAGAAATTTGAAAGTGGAGATATAACCAAATAATGTTTAGCACACATAAACAGCCAGCCATTGCTCTAACGGTGTTGTGGGGACTCTGATTACATTTCCAAAAAGTAATGACTCCATTGAGGGACGGTCACAAGGCACAAGTGAAGACTGTCCTTGGAAGTATTAAGAGCACGAGAAAGCCCTGTTGGATCAGGCCAATGGCCTATCTGGTACAGCATCCTGTTCTCACAGTAGCCAACCAGAGACCTCAATGGGAAACCAGCAAGCAGGACTGGAACACACAGGTTCTAATATTATAAGAGAGGAAGAAATTTTATTCTCCGCCTGCTTTCTCCACGCCATTCAGAATTTTATAAATTCGCATCATGTCTCCTCTTACCTTTCCAAAAGGCAAAGTTCAAAGCAGTACCTGTGCAAAGGTAGATGACAATATTAGAGTATCTATTTCAGGTCAGCCTGGCTGGGAAGGAACCCCAGTGCTCCCCCCTTCTGCCCTTTCTTTGCTCTCTGTTATCAAAGTCTTTTTCCTGAGTAACTGCTACAGCGGGTGTTTGCGTGGGGGATCCCGTGCTGAGGACGGGGAAGCCACTCTCGGTGGAGCTTGGCCCAGGCATCATGGGGTCCATCTTTGACGGGATCCAGCGCCCCCTGAAAGACATCACAGAGCTCACCAAGAGCATCTACATCCCCCGGGGCATCAACATCTCGGCTTTGTCCAAGGACCTGAAATGGGAGTTCAGTCCCAGTCCAAACATCCGGGTAAGAGACACGCCATTGGTTTTGGGACGCAACAAGGCCCTGGGCCATAGGGATGAGTTTTGAAACCAAGGGGGCAGTGGCCCCAGAAAGTTTGGGGAACCACTGGGCCTTAAGGTGAGCTTCTTGGCTGAGTGAATATTGGAAGCTGGATCTCTTCTACCCTAATCCAACTTTCTGTCTACTCCAGCCTGCTGGCTTGCAATAGAAACATAGGAAGCTGTCTTAAATTGAATCGGGCTATTGGTCCATCTATCTCAGTATGTATTTCCTGGCAGTGGCTCCCCAGGCTTTCAGACATGGGAAGTGGGTCTCTCCCAGCCCTAACATGGAAATGCTGGGAACTGAACCCAGGTGCTTTTGTAAATGTTTGATTTACAGGCTGATGGCCAGAAATTTAATAATGAAAATGTGCAGGAGTGTGTGTGTGTCACTAAGAAAAGAACCTATGCCTACGCTAAGGCTGAGGTTCAAAGAAGAACCAGAGAACTAAAAAACACCTGATAGATTAAAAAAAAAAGCTCAAGAGATCCAGCACTTAGCTGACACTCATGATGCACAGAGTTTCTTTAAAGCCACAAAGACCATCTATGGGCCAATAAATCATGGCATATGCCCCCTATGCTCAGCAGACAGTATCACACTTATAAAAGATAAAGAAGTTATTTCACTGCGCTGGAAAGAACATTACCAACATCTCCTTAATCACAACCCCCCCTGTAGCTACTGAGGTCCTCTCACAAATTCTGCAAAAACAAGTTAGAGATGAGCTTGCAGTATCTCCAAATCTGGGAGAGTTGTGTACAGCTATTAACCAAATTAAAAGCAACAAAGCCAGTGGACCTGATGGGATACCTGCCGAAATCTTCAAAGTGGGCGGAATTTGAACTTACACAACAACTTCACAAGCTCATCGAAAAAATCTGGGAAAGAGAAGAAATCCCAGAAAACTTTAGGGGTGCCAAAATTATCAATCTCTTTAAAAAAGGTGACAGAACTGATTGTGGAAACTATCGAGGCATAGCTGAGGCCGGCAAAATTATTTCAAGGATCTTAGCAAACCATCTCATAACAATATCCGAGGTGACCCTTCCTGAATCCCAAAATGGTTTTCAGCCTTCTAGGGGGACAGTGGACATGATTTTATGGAAGACAATCTTACTCAGCTATGAGTGATCGCCAAAGAAGACATGTGTGTGTGTGTGTGTGTGTGTGTGTGTGTGTGTGTGTGTGAATCAATTCTGATTTGCTGCAATCTTCGTAATAGTAGACTAACATTTACTGTAGAATCATCGAACTGTAGAGTTGAAATGGACCCAAAGTGTCAACTAGTCCAGCCCCCTGCAATACAGGAATCACGTTGTGATTGTATTGTGTTATATGTCCATGCAATGGAATGTAAATTTTATAACGTGTAAATCTTTTTATAACATTTTAAATAGGGGCATTTCATTCATTGGCCAGAATGCTGGAAAGTTAACTCCTTATGAAGGCTTTGGGCAGTGGACACTGCCTGTGTGTTCTCCCTTATATCTTCTCAAATAAAAGGCTAGAAGCTCACTTTAAAAAGAAGAAGAAGAATCAGACATGCAGAAAAGTGGCTTCAAATCCTTAGTGGGACAGTTCCCCATAGGCATTCCTGCGGCAACATAGCTGTTGATTTCAGTAGGTGTTTCTCATACATTTCAAAGCCAGTTTTCACACTCATGAGGATTAGAAGTTTGCTTTAAATGCAAAGACAAATGAAAGCTAAGACTCTCAGGATGCTGAACTGTACAGCCAATTCCCCCTTATGTGACTTCTCTGTGCTTGTGTGAACTCTCACAGAACACATCCAGCCCCTGTCTTGGGTCTTCTTTTATGTTGAGATCCTGTTGTGCTTCTTAATCATTTCTGCTGTTCTCCTTTCTACTTCTTTAGGTTGGGAGCCATGTAACTGGTGGCGATATTTACGGAACAGTGCGCGAAAACTCCCTCATCAAGCATATGATCATGGTGCCCCCCAGGTGCCGGGGCACAGTCACCCACGTTGCTCCGGCTGGGCAGTATGATACTTCGGTAGGTAGTGTTTTATGTGTGCTTCTTCTATGCAGATTTATTCGACTAATTGGCTAAAACTTGTGCATTAAATTGACTGGGAGTTCTGTAATTGGTCGACACTGTTACTTTTTAGCCATACAATGCAGACGTTGACATTTTCCTAGCCTTCCCTTTTAATAGTGATGATGTAAAGGTAAAAGGTAAAGGACCCCTGGATGGTTAAGTCCAGTCAAAGGTGACTATGGGGTTGCGGCACTCATCTCGCTTTCAGGCAAAGGGAGCCAGTGTTTGTCCATAGACAGCTTTCCAGGTCATGTGGCCAGCATGACCAAACTGCTTCTGGCACAACGGAACACCGTGACGGAAACCAGAGCGCACGGAAACGCCGTTTACCTTCCCGCCACAGGGGTACCTATTTATCTACTTGCACTGGCGTGCTTTCGAACAGCTAGGTTGGTAGGAGCTGAGACAGCAATGGGAGCTCACTGTGTTGCGAGGATTCGAACCACGACCTTCTGATTGGCAAGCCAAAAGGCTCAGTGGTTTAGACCACAGCACCACCTGTGTCCCATAGTGATGATAATAACAGCAGTAACAATATAAAGCATTTATGTAGCCTTTTAGAGCATCCAATGCACGTCACATTAGCTCAGGAATCATTTGAACAGCTCTGTTCAAAGGCCATTGTCATTCTTATTATTCCCACGTTGTAGAATGGGAGGTGGAAATAGTGAATTTGGGCTGAAATGGGAGATTTTGAACAGCCAGCCTCTGGCAACTGCACCGTGGCCACTCTCACCCCTGTGCCTTTCTCCCTGAAGGATGTGGTGTTGGAACTCGACTTTGAGGGAGTGAAGGAGAAACTCACGATGGTGCAGGTGTGGCCTGTCCGGCAGATCCGTCCCGTGTCAGAGAAGCTCCCGGCCAATCATCCGCTGCTGACTGGCCAGAGGGTCCTGGACGCCCTCTTCCCGTAAGCCAGGGGTGGAGCTCTTTCAGCACTCACATTCATCTTTCAGGGGCCACATGCCAGTAATGGGCAGGGCCAGAGGGAAAGAGGATCCTGATTCTCACTGCAATTAGATCTTCCACCAGACGCCAAACCATTTTGGAGGCTGGGTGGGCTGGGCTTCAGAACCTTTTCCTTCCCCCCCCCCCATTATCCCCTCCCCCCACTTCTTCCCACAGGTGTGTCCAAGGCGGGACCACAGCCATCCCAGGCGCCTTTGGCTGTGGCAAGACAGTCATCTCCCAGTCGCTGTCCAAGTATTCCAACAGCGATGTCATCATTTACGTGGGCTGTGGCGAGCGGGGCAATGAGATGTCTGAAGTGCTGAGGGACTTCCCTGAGGTGAGATCAGTGGAGTGGGCAGGGCTTTGTGCTGTGGGCGGAGCCATCCTGGTCCTTTGCTCCCAATTCCTTATTCCTTAAGGCAAACATAGCATTATTGTGCACTGCCCCAATCTCTAGCTCTCCCCACCCCACCCCAACCCACAAACTCTTCCCTAAACCATCACCCCCCGGCCTTCTCCTGCCCTGTAATCACTTTGCTTCCTTTCTCAGCTGACGATGGAAGTGGACGGCAAGACGGAGACCATCATGAAGCGCACCTCGCTTGTCGCCAACACGTCCAACATGCCTGTGGCCGCACGAGAGGCCTCCATTTACACAGGTGAGGCTGCCCTTCTCTCGCCCTGTTTTATCAAATGTATAAAAATGGCTTCCTGGCATCCAAATAATCCCACTGTTAGTTCCATGCGATGTCAGCCTTCTCCATGAATGCTCCCCAGCTGCAAGGAGTGGCACCAGCCAGGCCACTCTCTGCTGGAGACAGGATGCTGGGCTGGGTGAATCTTTGGTACCCTACAAAAGCTTAGGCAAAACTGAAAATGCTGTCCCCACCTCCTCCTCCTTCTCCACAGCGGCAAGATCCACACTCCAAGGAATGGGATGCATGCCGCTGCCTCCCACCCTCCCACCGCTGTCATGTGCGGGGGGCGGGGCGGGGGCCTACCACCTGTGGCATTTTCCTCACCTCACCTCACAGGCAGGCCCTGAGCCGAGATCATCTTGTGATCTCAACCTCTTCCCTGCATTTGGGGTAGGGAAGAGATGTTCTCTCACGCTATATTTTTGGAAGATTTCTTGTCTTCCCAGCTCTTCTGCTTGAGACACTTGCTCCTCAGAGGGATCTCCTCCCACCCACAATGCCTCTCTCTCTCTCCCTCTCTCTCTCTCTCTTCCTTTCTCTTTTCTGTTTACCCCACCCCATCCAGGGATCACACTCTCAGAGTACTTCCGTGACATGGGCTACCATGTAAGCATGATGGCCGACTCCACTTCCCGCTGGGCAGAGGCACTCCGTGAGATCTCTGGACGTTTGGCTGAAATGCCTGCAGGTAACCCTCTTTTTGTTTTTCGAGACTTCCCTCATTTCCCAAGGCTAGGGGATTTATATAGGGTGAGCATGGGACAAGCAATCCTGCCCCCCTGACTCTTATTTATTTATTTGTATTTATGTAGAGCCTTTGTACCCCACTCTTCAGTCAGTTTAAAGACTGTCCCTGCCCACAGGCTTGCAGTCTTAAGAAAAACATGACACACAAGGGACAGGGAGACACCAAAAACATTATAGTGAAGGGTGCCTTCCTGCCTGATGTCTGTGGGCAGGGGGTTCCAAAGTGTGTAAGTGCTTCCATACACACACACACACACAAATGCAGAACAAGTATTAAGTGGTAGCTGGAACAGTGCCAGTTCAGTATAGAATTCTGGAATTGGAAGGGACCCCAAGGGCCATCTAGTCCAACCCCCTGCAATGCAGGAATCACAACCGCATTATATGTCTTTAGTCACCAGGTGAAAATGTTCCTCTTCAACCAGGCGTTTGGCTGATTAATATTCTACGGCATTCTTAAATGTGTTTGTGGCTGTGGGGGTTATTGTTTTGTTTTAGCTATTTATTTTGTGATTTTATCTGGTATCTTTATCTTGTGAACTGTCCTGAGACCTTTGGATGAAGGGTGGTATATAAATTTTTCTACTACTACAGTGGTGCCTCATAAGACGAAATTAATTCGTTCTGCGAGTTTTTTCGTCTTGCGAATTTTTCGCCTTGCGAAGCACGGTTTTAACGGTATTAACAGTTTTAAGAAAAAGGAAACAAACTTGCAAGACGTTTTTGTCTTGCGAAGCAAGCCCATAGGGAAATTCGTCTTGCGAAGCAACTAAAAAAACGAAAAACTCTTTCGTCTTGCGAGTTTTTCGTCTTGCGAGGCATTCGTCTTGCGAGGTACCACTGTCCTACAGAATTCCTAGCAGCCATCTAGCCTCTGCTTAAAAACCTCCAGTGAAGGAGAGCATCACTTTCTGAGGGAGTCCATTCCGCTGCCCAACAGCTCTTGCTGTCAGAAAGTTCTTCCTAATGTTTAGTTGGAATCTCCTTTGTTGTAAATTGATTCCACTGATTTGGGTCCTACTTTCTGGAGCAGCAGAAAAAAAGCTTGCGCCGTCTTCCGTGAGAAAGCCCCACAGGTATTTGAAGATGGCTAGCCTATCACCTGAAAGGGACGCGGGTGTCGCTGTGGTCTAAACCACAGAGCCTAGGGGCTTGTCGATCAAAAGGTCGGGGGTTCAAATTCCTGCGGCGGGGTGAGCTCCCGTTGTGCGGTCCTAGCTCCTGTCCACCTAGCAGTTCAAAAGCACATCAAAGTGCAAGTAGATAAATAGGTGCCGCTCCAGCGGGAAGGTAAACAGCATTTCCGTGCACTGCTCTGGTTTGCCAGAAGCGGCTTAGTCATGCTGGCCACATGACCCAGAAGCTGTACGCCGGCTCCTTCAGCAAGTAAAGCGAGATGAGCACCGCAACCCCAGAATCACTCGCGACTGGACCTAGCGGTCAGGGGTACCTTTACCTTTACCTTTTAGCCTATCACCTCCCAGGCTAAACACCCCAACTCCTTCAACCATTGCCCATAAGGCTTGGTTTCCAGGCCCTTGATCATCTTGATCCCCCTCCTTTGTACCCTGACATCAGTCACCTTCAATGTAAGCTTTTCAGCGCCTCCCTGTCCCTTATTCTTTGTGCACCATTTTTTTCTTAGACTGTAAACCTGCACACCATTATTATTATTATTATTATTAGTAGTAGTAGTAGTAGTAGTAGTATACTGTCTGTCATCTGGAGATCACAGGGTGGTTCACAACATAAAAATACAAAATGAGATGGCCACCACTTTGAACAGCTTTGAAAGGGAATTAGGCAAAATCCACGGAGGATAACCATGGTTACTGGCGATCCTGGCTCTGTGCTATCTAAATCCAGGCTGCTGTGGAACAAGAGCAGAAGAGTGCTGTTGTGCTCAGCTCCTGCTTGTAGGCATCCCATGGGAGGCACTGTGAGAACTGGTGATGGGCTGCTGACCTTGTAGGACTCTTCTTATGTTTACATTCTTAAATTCCAGACAGCGGGTACCCGGCCTACTTGGGTGCCCGCCTGGCTTCCTTCTATGAACGGGCTGGGCGTGTGAAGTGCTTGGGGAGTCCAGAGCGGGAAGGGAGCGTCAGCATTGTTGGAGCGTAAGTTTTCACCACCTCGGTGCCCTACCAAGGGTGTGGTTGGAGAGAAGTGAAGCAGGGGACTCCTAAACCTGGTTAAAGATCTCTGAGTGGATAAACCGACTGCCTTTCAAGCAATTAATTGATATCATTTACTTATTTCAACACCTCTCTAAAGGTGCTCAACGTCGGTGACAGACAAGTTTCTATTGAGTAAGGTTTTTAAAGATAGCACCTATTATCTTAAATCCAAAACCAGGAAAAGAGATAAGCCATCTTCCTTCCTTACATTGAATTTTGCGTCACGTAATTTCTGGTTTTTGTAAAGCTCTAGGTGTGTGGATGTTGGTATATTAAAAATAATATCAACGTTCTTTAGTGTTTGCAGTAAATTTTATTTTGTGAGTTTAGCACAGCCTCGTGTCAGCCTGGTGGCCTCTGATATTTTGGGCTAAAGTGTCCATCAGCCCCAGTCATCAAATCCATTCATTTTGATGGCTTTCTCCACCCTAGTGCCCTTCAGAAGTTTGAAACTACATCTCCCACTAGCCCTCAGCCAACACAGCCATTTTGCACTCCACCTCCCATCAGCTCTCAGCTAGCATGGCCATATTGGACCACAACTCCCATCAGCCCCAGAGTCAGTATTAGACCAGGTGCTCGGTGTTCCTAAGGTCCCAGGTTCAGGGTCCAGTCCTGCTTTCTTGTTTTAAAAAGACCTCTCTGTGGACTCAGGCTGAATTTTACACACGCCTCCTTTTTTCAGACTTGCAAGAGGCCTGCATTTTTAGTAAGTAGGTATCTGTTGGTTTCATACCTGGCGTGTGCTTGGCCACAGCTTGCCAGCTTCCAGTGGGATCAGATCCTCAACTGAGCTCTTGCTGGGAGTTTCATCTCACCTTTCTCATTGACTCCTAGGGTCTCCCCTCCTGGTGGTGACTTCTCTGACCCAGTCACCTCAGCAACGCTGGGGATCGTCCAGGTGAGTCTCTCTCCTAGAGTGTTGCCAGCTCCTTGACACTACCTGACATGGTCCTGCTAACTCCTCACCTCCCTTCTGGTCCTAATAATTCCAGGTCTTCTGGGGGCTGGACAAGAAACTAGCTCAGCGAAAGCACTTCCCATCAGTGAACTGGCTGATCAGTTACAGCAAATACATGCGGGCCTTAGATGAACACTATGAGAGGCACTACCCGGAGTTTGTCTCCCTGCGCACTAAGGCCAAGGAGATCCTACAAGAGGAGGAAGATCTGGCAGAGATTGTCCAGCTGGTTGGAAAGGTGAGGAGGAGAACAGAAGGGTGTCTGCAGAGGGAGGAGAGAAAAATCATTACTCATCAATTTGTTTCTGTTCCTTTAAAAATCTTCATTTGCCTCATTATCGCTTCAGTGGGATGGTATTTGTGCCATCACAAATTTTTCACCATTCCAGTTTGTTGAGACCAGGGGCCTTGCATTGCCTGTAACCCTGGCGCTGTAGCTCTGTGCCTTGAAAGGATTAGAGGAACCTGATTTTGCAGTTTATTTTGAAAAGTCACAGTGATGCGAGTGCAAGTGGCATTTCAAAATCTATTGTTAACTCAAATCCTGGGGCATTGGAACTCTGCAATTGGCTATACTCAAGTCACCCAGACTGCTAAAATAGACATCTTACAGGGTTTTTGTGAGTATTCCTGATATAAAATATGTGAAGTGGTCAAAACACCCAAAAATGGCTACAAAGCCCTGGAATCTGTTTCCAATCGCAGCAGGGCTTAAGCCTAGATCACTGACTGTGCACAGTGTGCCTTGCATTGCCGCACTTCCCTGTTGGGGAGAAATGAAGCTGGGTGGGGAATCTGGGATTATGCAAAGAATGCCTGGAAGAAAAGGTGTAATTTCCAGGCAGGTTTAAACCTCGGCACCTCTTCTTTTAAGCACCGAGTGTTTTGTTTGAGAGAGATGGCAGGCAGGGCTATTGAAGGTGCCTAGGTCCTGATTCTTCTCTTTCCCCAACCTCGCTCTTTTCCTGCTGCTGCTCCCCATTTATAACTATTGCTTTTGTCCAGGCGTCTCTTGCTGAAACGGACAAGATCACCCTGGAGGTGGCCAAACTGATCAAGGATGACTTCCTGCAGCAAAACGGCTACTCTTCCTATGACAGGTAACCCAACACCAGTCGACTCGATATTTGGACCTCTCTCTTTCACACAGCACTTTTGCCCAAGTTCTACTTTCCTCATTTAGCTCTGCCAAGGTGTTGTTTTTCTGTAATTAGCTGAAAACAGAATTAAAGTGGAGTTCCCAACACAACACTTCAATGCAGTACTATATTGTTCAGCAGGGATGAGGAGCCTGTGGCCCTCCAGATCATAGAACTGTAGAGCTGGAAGGGATTTCCAAGAGTCATCTAGTCCAACATCTTGCAATGCAGGAATCACAGCTAAAGAATCCCTGAAAGATGGCCGTTCAACCTCCGTTTGAAAACCTCCAGAGAAGGAGAGCATCACTTTCCAAGGGAGTCCGTTCCACTGTCAAACAGCTCTTACCATCAGGAAGTTCTTCCTAATGTTTAGACGTAATTTCCTTTCTCATCATTTGAATCCATTGTTTTGGGTCTCCAGAACAGGAGAAAACAAGCTCGCTTCATCTTCCATGTGACAGCCCTTCAGATATTTGAAGATGGCTATCATATTGCCTCTCAATCTTCTTTATTTTATTTTATTTTATTTTATTTTATTTTATTTACCATATTTTTTGCACCATAACACTCACCTTTTTCCTCCTAGAAAGTAAGGGGAAATGTCTGTGCGTGTTATGGAGGGAATGCCTACGGGTGGCATGCCTACAGATTTTCCTCCTCTAAAAACTACGTGTGTGTTATGGTCGGGTGTGTGTTATGGAGCGAAAAATACGGTATATACCGCCCTATACCCAGAGGTCCTCAGGGTGGTTCACAGAAAATATCACAATATGTAAAATCAAAATAAGAACAATAATCCAATAGCCCCACCACCACCAAAAAACCCCCACATATTAAAAGGGCATAGGATGTCAGTCAGATCAACCAAAGGCCTGGTTTAAAAAGGAACGTTTTTGCCGGGTGCCTAAAGGTGTATAATGAAGGTACCAGGCGAACTTCCCTGGGGAGAGCGTTCCACAGATGGGGAGCCACTGCAGAGAAGGCCCGTTCTCATGTTGCCACCCTCCGGACCTCTCAAGGAGGAGGCACACAAAGGAGGGCCTCAGAAGATGATCTCAGAGTCCGGGTAGTTTCATATGGAAAGAGGCAGTCCTTGAGGTGTTCTCCACACTAAGGTGTTGTTGGACTCCCATCAGCTGCAGCCATCATGCCCAAAGGTCAGGGGTGATCAGAGTTGCTACCCAACAACACCCAAAGGGCAAAAAGTTCCCTAGCCCTGTTGCACAGCAGCTCCTTTCCCCCGACCAAGATTCTTCAGTGATGTATCGACATGGGAGTGAGTCTGATCAGCACAAAGCCTTTCCAATGTTAATTACTAGCTTCCTGTCCGTAGGCCCTACCCATACTATTTCCTTGATTATTCATCCTTTCCACTTTTCTGTAGCAAAACAAATGTATCTTTTCTTATTTGACAGACATAATGGTATGCAGGTGATAGGTTTGGGGAGGAACTCCCTACCTATTGACATCAGACAGGTGCTTTTTGACATCTGCTAAAACATTTTTGTTTAGACAAGCCTACCCAGAAAGTTGAAGTTGATGTGAGTTTTAGTCTATTGTTTTAATTTTTCAAAAGTCTTAAATTATTGCCAATTTTTCATATTGATAACTTTGTCCTTCTATCTTTTTTGCAAACCACTTTGAGAGTTGTTTTTTACAGTCATGCGATGTACAAATTTTATGAAACAAATAACTAAGGAGGGTGCCTCCCACAAACAGCACCCCAGTAAAAAAAAAAAATTCAAGACATTCCACAGCACTTGCACTCTGATTTATTCGCTCACCACTGAGCGTGCATTAAAGTACTTCAACGTGCTTCTCGATTCCAGGTTCTGCCCTTTCTACAAGACAGTAGGAATGCTCCAGAACATGATTGGCTTCTATGAGTTGGCCCGCCATGCAGTAGAGTCCACTGCTCAGTCCGAGCACAAAATCACCTGGGCTGTCATCCGCGAGAACCTTGGGGAGATCATGTACAAGCTGAGCTCCATGAAGTTCAAGGTGAGGCTGGGCCGTCTACCTTCAGTTTAACGAGCTGATTGCAGCTTCCCTTTTATTTCTACCTGCCTCCATCCTAGCAGAGGCGGTTTTAGGGTGGTGCAACCTGTGCGGTCTTACAGGGTGCTGTGCTGCAGGGGGCACCTAAACAGAGCTGTAGAACGGGGTGTGAGAGGTATGGTGGGGAAGAGATTTTAGTGTCACATAGGACACTGTTGAAATTTGAGAGCCCACCCAGAGATGGAAAGAAGAAAAAGTCCTTACCAGAGAGGAATGGCAAACCAAGCTGTCGGACTGTGCCAAAATGGCAGAGCTGACCGGAAGACTCAGGAACCCAGAGGACAAAAACTTTATAAAAGAATGGGGGGAAATTATAAGTTATTTAGGAGACCGCTGTAAGCAGATGGAAACTTTGACAGGATTTTGATTCCATTTGTACCATGGACAATATGGATTTATATAATATTTAGAGTATGGAAGAATATGCAGTTGTAAATATTTAAAATGGGAGCCCATGGAGTGGGTGGGGAGAAGTCACAAGAGTTAGAGTAATCTCTGTATATGGATATATATTTGGATCTCTACAACTTTGTATTTGTAAAAACAAATAAAAAGAATTACTTTTTAAAAAGAAAAAGAAATTTGAGAGCCCAAAGTCTGCTGCTGGTCCTAGTAGCTCTTTTCTCTTTTCTTTTCTTTTCTTTCAATATGTCCTCAGCCTGCCATTCATAAATCATGGTTTGTCTCTTTATCCAGGATCCAGGGAAGGACGGAGAGGCAAATATCAAAGCTTACTATGCCCAGCTTAGTGAGGAAATGCAGAATGCCTTCCGCAACTTGGAAGACTAAAAAGGAGGACTTGGAGTACTCAAAACTTTGAGTGATTTGCAGCAGGACTTTTCACATTTCAGGGTGGCGGCGATGTAACAGCTCCAGTTAAGAACTCATTGCTAAGAGCTCATTTTTCATGTCAAATAGGGGGCTGGGGGCTGACACCAACACAGTTTGTAACCAGTCACGTGTGGCTGTTTGGTAGCAGTTTTAATATTGGAAGCAAAGGAGTCAGGTGCAAACCTTTGGATTTGTTTGTAGGTTTTTAATTTGCATAGCTTGAATAAATTTGAGTATGTGTTTATCCATCTATACTTCTGCATAACTCATTATATGAAAACGTTAACAAAAAAAACCTTATCGATGGCGTGGTCAGATGAGGTGGGATATGACCGGTTAAACTGTGTGCTCTGCTCAATTCCTAAATCAACCCTACTGTCAGAGCTTTGCAGACCCTGAATCCTATTGAGGAATTCTTAATTGAGAACAACGAATGTTAGCACTCCCAAAATGACAAAAATCAGGTGAGCTGTTGGAAGAGAGAGCAAGAATAAGAACTTAAACAGCAGCTTGTCCTTTTACAATTCCCAGGGAGGGATGGGTGGGGCAAGGCATTTGGAATAGCTTCCCCCCCGCCTGCCCCAATGTCTCTCCCCATAACAATACCTGCCACCAGGATTTTGTAGTGCACACTGCATGAAAGTAAATGTGCATAAGTGGACGGCTTAGAAATCTAGCAGCTGGTCCCCTTGTTTCTTGTTATTTTGCCCCCTTTTCTTTCTTTTTATCTTTGCTCCCACACCCCCTTCACACATAGGGGTAAAGGGGGGAAGCTGGCCCTGGCTAAGGCCAAGTACTTGCTTTTCCCTGCTAACCCCTTCTAACCTCTCTTATACCCCATAAAGGTAAAAGGACCCCTGACCATTAGGTCCAGTCCTGACCGACTCTGGGTTTGCGGCGCTCATCTCGCTTTATTGGCCGAGGGAGCCGGCGTACAGCTTCCAGGTCATGTGGCCAGCATGACTAAGCCACTTCTGGTCGAACTAGAGCAGCGCACGGAAACGCCGTTTACCTTCCCGCCGGAGTGGTACCTATTTATCTACTTGCACTTCGACGTGCTTTCGAACTGCTAGGTGGGCAGGAGCAGGGACCGAGCAATGGGAGTTCACCCCATCGCGGGGATTCGAACCGCCAACCTTCTGATCGGCAAGTCCTAGGCTCTGTGGTTTAACCCACAGCACCACCCGCATCCCCCTGATACCCAATAGTTATGAACAAAAACTGACCATATGTGAAACCAGGGATACCCATATATGTTTATTTTACGTATTGATTGATCATATTTGTATCTCAATGTTATCTCCAAGGAGCGCAAGGTGGCATATATGATTCTCTTCCTCCCCATTTTATGTACACAATAACCCTGCAAGGTAGGTTAAGCTGTGAAGGCAGTGACCAAGGTCACCAGTGAGTTTCATGGCTGAGCAGTGATTTGAACTCGGGTCTCTCCTGGGTCCTAGTCTGATGACCAACCACCACACCACTCTCTCTTCAATCATTCCTTCATTCATTCACTTCTCACAGATGTGGCTGCTCGCTGGCTGCATCTCTGCATGATTTACTGCTCTGGCTGTCTCCTCCTACATGGCAGAGGCTGCCTGCTGTGTCCCGTGCATTTCTCTTTTCCGTCAGAACAGGGACTCGAGCAGAGGCTCAACTGGAGGATTCCACTTGTACACACCCTAAATTTCAGTTCAACGGCATGCTTCCCGTTTTAATTGGGGAGTGGGGAGGACACACAAAACGAGTGTGGCTCAGCTATATAACAATTGGGAAGCATCTTCTAAACAATGCAGCAACTGATCCCTGTGGGTCATGGAAAAGGGGAGTTTAGGGGGTCACAGGATCTGCCTGCCTTGCTTATTCCCACCACAAGAGAAAGGACTCTCTCTCCCCCACCCCCCAATCTGGCACCTGGTCTTCCACACATCCTACATCAGCAAAAGCCTGCAGAAAGGGAAAGTGCGAGATGCTTCCTGGCTATTGTCAGCCTGGTCATCCATCGACAAAGCGACAGAGGAGGCAGCTCTATAAAAGTCCCATCTCTACAGCATTTTTGCTCTCTGTTTGTTTTCAGAGGGGGAAATAAAAGTCAGAGGAGAGAGCGAGAGATAGAGAGAATAGTTAATGGTGATAGCAGAAAACTTTTAGACTTGTTAGCTGGGTTTCTTTGTTTATTTCTCTCTGAATTTCTTGGATAATGGTCATTCTGAGGATTGAGCACTGAAGGTAAGCTGAAACATAAGGCTTGATTGGAACCAGGGAGTGTTCTATGCAAAATCTTAATTTCACATATAAGCTCCTGGGGTCTAAACTGGGGTGACTGTTAATCAATTCATAATACATAATGAATTGGGGGGAAATGTTTTAAAGTACTTTCCCAAAAAAACCAGAGTCCTTTTTGTTGGAGATGATTCAGACTGAAATTCCCAGGTATCAAAAAAGGTTATTTATGTATGCTACTATTGCATTAGCCCAAAGATAGAAAATGAGCGAGGTCCCAACTAAAGAAGAATGACAACTTAAGCTGACAGAATATGCGCAGCTTGCAGACTTAACATATAGAATTAGAGAACAAGAAGAGCATACGTTTAGAGAAGATTGGAAAATATTTATTGAATATATGGGGGGAATTGTGGACACCTTAAAACGTTGGCAGCATTAAGATAAATTCAACAGTGTAAATAAGTTTTGATGGATGCAATAATGGAATACTGAATGGTTTAGTTTTTGTGAAATATGCAGGGATTTATTATACGCAAAATGAACCATGGAAAGATAAGAAGGGAAGTCATTTATATGTTCACGATGTTTAAATGAGTATTTTAAACTGTAAAACAGAACATTTAATTACACACGCGCACGCACACACACACACACACACACACACACACTGGGGTGACTGACCAGGAACAAGAACTTGGGGTCATATTGGACAGCTCAATTAAGATGTCAACCCTGTGCGTGGCAGCTGCGAAAAAGGCAAATTCCATGCTAAGAGATCATTAGGAAAGGGACTAAAAATAAAACTGCCGATATAATGCCATTATACAAATCTATGGTGCATGTGGAATACTGTGTATAGTTATGGTCTCAACACCTCAAAAAGGATTATTACAGGAAAGGGAAACCAAAATGATCAAATGGGTAGAGAAATTCCTCTATAAGGAAAAGTTGCAATGTTTAGGACTTCTCCGTTTAAAGGCAAGGAAGAGGTGACATGATAGAAGTTATGCATGCCATGGAGAAAGTGGATAGAAAAATGTTCCCCATCCTCTCTGATAACACCAGGGCTGGACCTAGAAAACATCAAAGAAGCAATTCAGTTTAAGGTGTTGCAAACTCATACAGTACAGAGTAATTTGGTAGGGAACCGAAGGATTCCACAGCGCCATCTGGTGTCACAGTGTTATATCACATATACAACGTATATAAAACGCTTTTTCTTTTCCAATCTTGCCGAGTCCCAAGGCATGCAACGAAGCTGAACGTTGGAAGATTCAGGGCTTTTTCCATGCAGTGCATAGTTAAATCATGGAACATGCTCCCACAGGGTGCTGTGATGGCCACAGACTTGGGTGGCTTCAAAAGAGGCTATCAATGATTACTAGCCACAATGGCTATGCGCTGCCTCCACAATCAGAAGCCGCAATACTTTTGAATACCCACTTTCTGGGAACCACAGGAGGGAAGAGTCTTCTTGTATGAATCAGGAATTGTATTGGGTTGAGTATGATTTTGTGGGGTGATAGACGGTCTTTGAGCGCCCTGTAATGTTGCGTACTTGTCTCTCCTCAGGATTAGCAAAAACAAAATAAAGGGTGGGGGGGACTGAAAAAATAAATAAATGCTTTGCTTTGCTTATAAGACACAGTTCTCAGAATTCAGTTTTTCTCTTTCTGAAGAATTTAATACCTGGTGGTGATAACTCTTCTCTCCTTACCCACAACACCCTGGCCGTTGGGGGCCCCCTCCCCAGGCAGACCCGTCCCCTCTGGTCCTTCTGCAGGAGGAAGGCCCTCCTCCCGAGCCCCAGACCAGCGAGTGGTCCGTGATGTTCAACTTGATGGGAGGTGGGCTGTTGTGTGCAGCCTCCGGCCTGGTCCTCCTCATCGTTGCCACGGCGACAGACTTCTGGATGCAGTACCGCTACTCAGGCAACCTCAGCAACCAAGGCCTCTGGCGGTTCTGTGTGGGGAACAAGTGCCACCCCCACACCATCACACTCGGTAATGGGGCACTGCACAACTTTTAAGAAAAAGGCTATTTACTGCATTTGGATCCCTCATATGAAAAATGGTTCGTGATGCCCATGAGAACACATGATTAGCTTGCGGGCAACCCGCTTCTGAGCAGGAAGCCAGGGTGTGAGAGAACCAGAGGTGGTGTAGTGGTTAGAGCATTGGACCAAGAGTTGGGAGAGACCAGGATTCAAATCCCCACTTAGCCATGAAGCTCACAGGGTGACCTTGGGCCAGCCACTGTCTTTGTGGGTACATAAAGAGCAAAGGTAGCCATTTTGGTCCAAAATCACCGTTGTGGAATAGTTATTGGGACCAGCCATGCAAGAGGTTACACACAACACAGAGTGAGGGGGAGGAGGATTAAAAAATAATAATAATAATACAAAAATTGGGCTGACAATGTAGCCATGAGGTCAGTTTGTAGATTCAACTCTCCAGACCACCTTTTGCAATCAGTGACCAGCTTTGCCTAAATGTATCCTCAACAGATTTAGGCTAACTTATCCTTAGCTTTGCTTGATAATTATCCTTACTCTTGGCTAATTTTTTTAAAAATTAAGTTAATATCTTTGGCTATTCACTACTACCCTATGTCCTGCCACTTGGATAAGAAAAAGCACCCAGCTATCTTAAAGAGGGACTTCTAGATCCCAATTTGCAAAATTCATTAGCAAATTCAGGGCAAAAGGCGTTTGCTCACCACTGGTCTACAGCCTAGTAATAATTATCAACCTATTTAGCAACACTAATGTTCCTAGATGTTTTTTTCATGGCTAGGTGGATCAATCCTTTGCCAAAAGCAGTTATGGAAGCCAAGTGTAGCTAGCAGGCTGCCTTGACAACCTGAGAATCCATCTTTGCAAAAGTGGCCCAATTCAAATGTTAGCGCATGTCCTTCTATACTGTAATTTTTACAGGGATATAAGATCCTGATTTACATCTTCAGTACTTTCCTCACAATTGGGAAACTCGGACGAAGTTTATGTTTCAAGTTGAATGGCTCATTCTAACTCTAAAATCACGGCATGGTTGTTGATATAATCCCATTTTACATACCAGAATTTGTATGCCTGAATATTGTGATCTCCTCCACTTCTGCTGTGGTCACCTTGATAGGGTTTTGGGGCTGTGGCTGTAGAGCATCAGCTTTGCATGCAATCCCCAGAATCTCCAAGTAAAGATCTACCTGCCGCTGGTTGGTGCGCACGATACTGAGCTACAAGGACAGATTCCTGTGTTCCTAACCCCACTTGAGGTTAAGCTAAGTCTCTGGCTGGCCTCTCACGCCTACCGACAGCCGGTGGGAATTGAACAGGGGGTTGCACGCAAAAGATGTGCTCTGTAGCTGAGCCCCATCTTGAGGAGGCGGAGGAGAAACCCCTAAACCTATAGCCTGAGGCAGGGCTGGGCTGGGCTGACAACAACTGCCCCTGCAGGTCCACCCCACAGGGGTGTAGCTAGCTGCTCTGACACCCAGAGTGGCAGGGGCGGGACGATTTGCCCAGGGGGGCAGGCGGTGAGGCACGGCACAATGAGCTGCCCACGCAGTCCACCTGGTGAACACAAGCCCCATGCTGCCGTTTTGGGCAGCGCGGGACCCTGAGCCACTGTGTCAGTCCCAGGAGAGACTCATGGCTTGGGCGTGTTGCAAGCCAGGCCCTGCGGTAAGTGCCGCCTGTGCGGTGTGCCATTTTGTCACCCCCTCAGGGATGACACCCGGGGCGGGGCAGGCCACCCCCCTCGCACCCTCCTTCCTATGCCTCTGCCGCCCCCCTGCCTTTGCCCAGACTGCATCTCCGGATTGCTGCTTCTCACTGTGCCTTCCTCCCTGCACAGCATTCTGGGATGCCACCAGAGCCTTCATGCTCCTCTCCATCCTCTCCTCCTTCGCCGGGATCGTATTGGGGCTGACCATCTACTCCAGTAGTGCCCGATCCACACGCACTCGCTCTGCAGGAATCACACTCTTGATCGCAGGTACGTGCTGAAGTGCAGGTGGGTTCCCACGAGGCCAGACAGGGTGATAACAGCAAGAACCTTTACTGAACAAACAGAACTGGACAACAGGGGCAAAGCAACTGCTTATATACATTTCTGAAGGCCTGGGCCACTCCCACTCCCAACGTGATTGGCTGTCCAAACTTCCAAGCTGCGAATCATAACTCAGAGGTTAAGGGCCAATGGCAGAGGCCCAAATCCTGAAATGTTCTGTGATTGGATATCATGTATCGAATCAGAACACAGGGGCTCAGAATCCTTAGTCCAAAACTCAAGCTCAAGCAAACACAGACCACTGAACACATAACACGTGCAGCAGGCTGGAGGAATCCAGATTATTGAACAACCCAGAGCAGAAACACTAGCCTGCTATGCATAGGGCAGCTGTCAGCCCCCGGCTGACTATGCCTCTCCTCCCCACTCCCAGATCTACTTGCCAGCCTTCGCTTACATGGTGCCCTTCAGAATTTTTGTGTGGCATTTCTGCTCCGATAACCCCCAAACCTCTACTTGCAAGAACCCTAAAAATCCCAGCAGTTGGCCAAAGGTCCTTGCTGAGAAAATGGGATGTGTGGAATGGGATGGTTCCCCCACAACCTCACTCTGGGCTCCTTCCCTGTCTACCCTTCCTTCCTCCAGGACTCTTTGCTTTGCTGGGTATCTCGGTGTATACGGGAGTGACAGTGAGTTTCTACGGAAAGCGTTACGCCGAATGGAGGTTCTCCTGGTCCTACATTCTGGGATGGATCGCTGTCATCCTCACCATCTCAGCAGGTACCAGGAGCGTCCCTCAGTTTCTCCACCCCAAACATGGGTGTGGATCCAAGGGGCATATGGTCTTTCCAAAGGAATTTATTTGCATATCTTTTCCTATGTTATTTATTTATGCTAAGGTTAAGATAGGGAGCCCACTTGCTACTTCTACTACCTTTGAAAGCTTGGGGGTGGCAGGCTGGGATAGGGCCTTCTCTGTGGCAGCCCCTAAGCTGCCCACAAAAATATGCCTGGCACCTTCATTACACAGCTTCCAACAAATGCTGAAGACACACCCTGGCCTTTGACACATGGGGTGTATATTTTAGGACCCACCTTCTTTCTGAGCTTTTTAAGTTGTCTTAAACTGTTTTTATTATTGGGCTTAAATTATTGTAACCTGTGACCTTAGGGCGAAGGGCAGGTAATAAATTATAAATAATAACAATAACTATAATTCTCATGATTCACTGGCTTCCCCGTTCTCTCCTCAGGTGTGTTCCACATTTGCGCTGTCCCCAGGAACTCATCCTCTGACGGCTCTGACGTGGCAAGCGGTTGACCCTGTGGGACGCTGGCCCAATTCCATCCTGTCTAGATGTCTGAGATTATTCCCACTTGGGACTCCTGACTTTGTCGCTGCCTCTTCCCTCATAAGCCCTCCCCAGATTGTCTTTCTGGATCTGCACAACAATTACACAAAAAGTCAAGAAGGTTGCTATTGAGATGCTGGGGAAAACCCTATAGAAATAGCTCTCCATGTCATTGCCACACTCTCAAGGAGTGGTTGAAGTATGATTGAATTGCACTGCCATTTTTATATTTTATTTTTAGGGAGGAGCTGGCTTTTCAATGGCCTTGGCAAGGGACTCCAGTTGAGTCCTCCATGAGCCAATCCCTGCAACAGCCCTTGCCAACCCCGTGCCCTCCAGATGATCTGTACTACAACTCCCATCAGCCCCAGCCAGCACAGCCATTTTGGACTACACCGTCCATCAGGCTCAGCCAGCATGATGGAAATTGCAGTCCAAAACATCTGGAAGGCCACTCAGTTGAGGAAGGCTGATCCATATACTTACTACTGCATTCGCATCGAGCGCATTCATCCCCAGGCCAATAAGGCTACAATCCCATACCAGTTTATCTGGCACTAAGCGTCACTGAATTCAATGGGACTTACTTGTGAGTAAACAGGAATAGGCTTCCTCTGCTTCTCTCCCAGGTAAACTATAACTTAGACTCCCTGTTTCCACCTCTTTTGCACTGGGCAAAACAACTGGGAGGAAGGCTAGGTAAAAAACCATGATGCTAGGAGAATAATGAGTAAATAAGTGTGGTTCAGCCACGACGGCATTCTTGTTATTGGTGCAGAAACGCTGTCATTTTTCTCCCCAGGCCTTTGTCCTGCCTCAGGTCTCTAGTCCAGGTTCATGACATTTGTGACATAAATTCACTAGAGGGCAGCAGCTACCAAGCCAGTGGAGGATTCAGCAATCTGCAAGCAGCAAACCTCTGATGTGATCCAAGTGCATGTGGTGGTCTGCACACCAAACATTTAAAGCACATGACCTCCCCCCCCAATAATCGTTTGTTAAGGGTGCTGGGCATTGTAGCTTTCTGAGGAGTAAACTACAGTTTCCCAGCATTCTTTAGGGAAAGCCATGTCCTTTAAATGTCTGGTGTGTGCTCAATCTATGTCAGTGTGCTTGCTGATGCTCCCAAGGTGTTCAGCCCGAGGAAAAAGGCTTTTGGATGCTGGAGTGGAGACAAGGCAAACCTAGCCAGTCTCTCCTGTCAATTTTGGACAAAACCTGGCCTGCCTCACCAAGGGCCACGTTGTTTTCCCAAGTCCTTGCATTGAACAGGAAAAATAAACACCCATTTTCTCTCCAGTGTTTGCTTGAGCTGTGATTCACAGGGCCCATTCACAAGGTACACACCTCCTTAGTCACCGGGGAGCACTTGTGGGCCATTCATGTTTTGCCTGCAAATCAGGCCACGGATGGAGTAGGCGACTGTGGGAATCATCCCATGACTGACCACATGTGGCATGTAGAAGTACCTAACAAAATATTCCTTTGGACCAAATCACACTGGACTGGGATTCAAAAATAGCAACTTCCAGTCACTCTTGGGTGAGTTGTTGTAGGTCAGGTGGGCAGTGGCCAACTGATCAGGTTGGGAGGGGTGGAAGGCTGCCCTGCTCGCTCCTGAGCCTTTCGCAGCACCTGGCAGGTGCAGAAATAGAAGGTTGAGACTTTTCATGTTGTGGAGTCGAGCTGCTGCTGTTAAAGGCATGGGAAACAGGAGCTGGGAACTCTGGCGGATGGGTGTCACTTTCTTTTTCGCACACACTGTTTCAAGAAAGCAAAGCGCCGCAGTGCTCAGGATTTTACACACAGTTCAAAGTGCAGCTTTTATTACCATAGTTTTCTCTTGGGACCTTTTCGTCCCGGAAACCAAAGGCCTTTCGGTTCCATGCATGGTGTTCACAATGTGCCATGAAAAGAATCTCTCTGAAAGAAACTGTTTTGACAAAAGTGGGAGAAAGCAAGAAGGCGCTATTTTAGAACAGGAATCCTGCCAGCATGCTTCAGCCTTCACGAATCTGCTGCCCTGTTTCTGCTGTTTTGAATGCATTAATTTGCTAGCATCAGGGGTGGGAAGGGGGGGGGGGGTCATCTGTGGATTGGATTAGGGTTGCCAGGCAGCTTGGCCTGCTCCTTTGCACAGGAAATTGGGGGACAGAAATAAGGTGGTGGCATGGAGAGCCAGATTAAATCCTTTAGAGGCCCTAAGCACTGAAAAAATTATGGTGTCCCCCCATGTAATTAAAAAATAAAAACAATACTCAATTGTAAAATAACATTTATTTTTCCAACGGACACAGAAATTGCATGTATGCTGATATGTACATGCATGTACATCACATGCAACATGTGACAAGGTTTGATTTCCTCACATTATTTCAATCTATGTTAGTAGGGTACCCCCCTGGTTTAGGTGAGGATAAGGGAAAAAATGAGAACAGAAAATTGGGAGTTTGTAGCGGAGCATAAGAAAGTCTCGCAAAGTTCTGCTCTCCCCCATGATGGCTACTTTGGTGTCTCTTTTGAAATAATCAAATGCCAATTAAAATAACAGCAACAATCCGTTTCTTTATGTGCCCCTGCATTGCTGGTGCCCTGAACACCAGCTAAGCCTGCCTATTGGGTAATAAAGCACTAAGGGCGAACACGTGCTGGAAGCTGTTGCTAAAGAGGCAGAGGAGCCGGGCTGGTCCAAAAAGTTGGCCACCTAACCCTGGAGCAAAGGTTGCGGGCGAGGGGGCCGGGGCGCATGCGCAGTGAAGCGGACGCCTGCCAAGAAGAAAAGAGCAGGTGGGGGCTTTTTTTGCGCTTCCCCTTTTGACTGCGGAGCCAAAGCGTCGGCGGGCCTGGGACTTCCTGCAGCGGCGGCGAGGCGCGGAAGGGACACGCGCGAGCCCCTTTGCAGTTGCTTGCCTGCCTGCCTGCCCGCCTGCCTTCCAATGCAGCAACCTGCGACAGGTAAAACTTTCTGGGCTCGAAGCCAGCGAAGTGCATATACGGTACTTCGGAGATGAGCCGCTTTTCCCAGCAGAGGGACTGCTTTTCTTCAGCTCTCCGGAGAACCACTAGGCGCCTTTCCCCGGCTTGTGCTTCTGAATGCAAAAAGAGGGGTCGGCCGTCCCTTCCGCCTTATAGTGGTCGCTTATACAAGCCCCCACTGCTGCATAGGGCATGCGGCATTCGCCTTCACCTGAGTCTGGTGACCTCCAGGTGTTTTGGACTACAACTCCCATCTAAAATCAATCAATAAATCAGAATTGATAGTTCAAAACACCTGGCGGTCACTAGACTGAGGAAGGCTACCCCCATTTATTTATTGCATTTCTATCCCACCTTTCCCTCCAAGGAGCTGTAACATGGTTCTCCCTCTCCTCAATCCCCAAAACAACTTTGTGAAGTGAGGTGCGCTGAGCAGTGCCTAAGGTTCCCAGTGAGTTTTGTGGCTGAGTGGGGATTTGAACCATGGGCTCTCCCAGATCCTAGTAGTCCAACACTCTAACCTCGGCCCCACACTGGCCATTCCCATACCCCTGGCCAGCATCTCCAATGGTCATGGATGATGGGAGTTGTAGTCCATCAGATATCTAGAGGACACCACGGATAGGCTTCCTCCCCAAACTAAGTTCTCATGGTGGCCAAATTCCCATAAGGACCTAGGACTCTAGATAGACTGCCTCTGGATGGGGGGCGGGGGGTGTTTCCATAAGAAGAGCCTGCTGGATCATGTAGTCTTTTCGGAAACAAGCAGGACCTGAGTACAAGATTACTCTCCCCTCCTGCAGTTTTCAGCAATGGGTATTCTGAGGTGTACTGTATCTGACAATGGAGGTGAAATGCAGACATTGTGGCTGGTAGCTATTGAGGGCACCCCATTGGCTATCCTTAACCTACACTGACTTGCAGCAGCCAGGCGCTGTGCTTAGCCCTGGAAATGCCCGGGATTGAACCCAAGACCACCTGTATGCAAAGCAGATGCTCTACCGCTGAGCTACAACCCTTCCCCGCACACTTGGGAGCTTCATTTAGGAGGCATTTCTGCTTGGAGGTGCCAGAGATCTCTCGATGCACTTGAAATGTGTGTTTTCTGATGGGTTGGGTCACTGCCTTGAAGCTACTGGCCTTCAGAAACTTTGCATTTCCAGCACTCCAGCTGCTGGCGCGGGCCGATGACATCATCAACCTACGCCTGCAGGTAGAGTAAGGGCAGAGCTGGCAGTGAGTAGCCATAGAACCTAGCAGATTATGTTGCCCTCACATCTCAGGATGCCTCTGTGCCTGTGTGTGGGCACCTTGGGCACTGGAGTTCCCCATAAGCAACTCCTAGAACGGTTGTGTTTGTAGAATTACGCCAAGAAAGTAAAGACTAACCAACAATGGAAAAGATCTGTGGGGAAAGGAACATGTCTCTCCCCACGCAGCAATGTGAGAAGAGCCAGCAGGATCAGGCCAGTGGCCCAACTAATCCGGCATCCTGTTTTCACAGTGGCCAACCAGACGCCTCTGCTGGGAAATCTGCAAGTAGGAGTCAAACACAACAGCACTTTCCTGTGGTATCCAGCAACCGGAAGCATTATACTGGCTCCAACTGTGGAGCAATTGTGCACAGCCATCATGGCTAGTGGCCATCAATAGTTTACCTCCTCCATGAATTGATCTAACCCTCTTTTAAAGCCATCCAAGTTGGTAGCGTCACTGCCTCCTTTTATCTGTCTTGAATTTTCCAACGAGGTCGATCAACCTCCTGTACAGGAACTTCATTTAATGAATGAGGATAAAATGTGGTCATGGGTGGGGTGGGGTGGAGGCCCTGTGTGGAAGAGGTCTGTTTATGGAACCCATGCCTGTTTATGGAACCCGTGCCTCCTGATTTGCTTACACGGACGTAAGCAAGATCATATCCAGTCTTTATTGAGATTTCATTCTGATTTGTTTGCAGGGTAATAATAGGACAACAACATTTGTCCTGATTTCCTTGCAGGGTGTTTACACGTCTTCCTGCTTTCCTTTCACTCATTCCGCACTTTTCAGTGCATTTCCCAGTTCACTATCCTAACTGCAAAAGAAGAGTCCAGTTTCTTATTTCTTAAAGTTGATTTGTTGCACTATGGAGACATAGCTTTGATTCACTTTAATTTTTGCCAACCTACGTTTCCTGGTATGCCTTTTGAACCCCTCCCGCAAAATGGCTTCAGCCTGAGAAAGGCCCTGTGGCTAATAGCCCAAGCATTCTCCAGTATTTTGTTTGTTTAAAATATACTGCCTTTAATGAACCGCTCAAGGCAGTTCTCAATAAAATCGTTAAAATAGATTGAACATACAATAGAGAATTGATCTTTATTAATTTCTTTTAAACAAACTGCTCCTCAAGGAGGCTTTAAAACTAATCAGTGCAGGTGAACTTTTAGAGCAGATCCACAGAGGATAAGGCTATCCGTGGTTGGTATCCATGATGGCTGTTTGCTCTGCCTCTGTGGTCAGAGGAACTAATGCTTCTGAATACCAGTTGCTGGAAACCATAAAGGGGAGAGGCCTCTTGTGTTCCAAGCTTGCGCACAGGACCCAAACTAATGGATTCCAGTTGCAAGAAAGGAGATTCCAACTAAACATCAGAAAGAACTTCTGACAGTAAGAGCTATTTGACAGTGGAACGGACTCCCTTGGGAGGTGGTGGACTCTACTTCCTTGGAAGTTTTTAAGCAGAGGTTGGATGATCATCTGCCATGTTTGATCTAGTTGAGATTCTTGCGTTGCAGGAGGTTGGACTAGATGAGCCTTGGGGTGTCTTCCAACTCTCCAGTTCTATGATTCTGTGATCCTGTCTGACCACTGTGAGAAGAGGATGCTGGACTAGATGGGCCATTGGCCTGACCCTGCAAGGTCTCCTTATGTTCTTATGACTGTCTCCAGTATCAGTGACGGGATGTCCCAGAAGACCAGTTAATAGTTCTGCAGTTCTCGTGTTCCACTTCCGGGCTTTCCATAGGCATTTCCATGCCACTGTTTAAACAAAATGCAAGACTAAATCGTTGGATCCAGCACAGCTCTCCTGGTGTTTTTAACGGCAGTCAAACAGCAAACTAGATGCTGAAACAACAAAAAAAAACAACAACGCGAGGTGGCAGGTGGAGAGAACAACATCTACTACCTGATGCTTGCCGTTTTAAGTGGATGCACTTCCCAAAGGATGGAAGACTGCCGTTTCCAAACAATGAGAAAATGCAGTCTCAACACCTGGGAAACAGTACCATTTGCCAACCTGGTGCCCTCCAGATGTTTTGGACAGCAACTCCCATAGAAAACACCAGGTTGGCAAAGGCTGTCTTACTGCTTCAAGAAAAGTGCTCCTTCAGGGGAAAGATGTCTAGGTTTAGAGGACCAAGCTGATTTTTCTTGTAAGAAAAAAAAAATCATGTGTGTGGTGCGTGGGGGGGGGGGGGGAGCAAAATCTGACCAGGATGAGCTTTTCCAGTGAGGATTGAGTGACCCACATAACTCCTGACTTCCTGGTGTCCGGCCTTCCCTTTGGCCCTTGAGGAATGGGTCAGTGGGGCAGGGGAAGGCAAGCTCTGGGCTTTGGGATCAGAGCTGGGAAGCTTTTACCCAGGAAGGTGATGCCTTGACACCGCTGGTGAGCTGTTCTGGCACTGGGCTGTGAACTCCCTTCACTTTTATAAACGAAACCCGCCTCTCCCCCCCCCCCTTGAGAAACACCTGTTTAAACTTGCCAAACAGGTTAATATTCTCTCTCTCTCTCCATTCCCCTCCCTCTGGCAGTTCGTGGAGAACAGGTTGTGGAGTTTCAAAACAGAGCAGCGATTGCTCAGCACCATCAAGGAGCAAGCCACCGCACCATCGCCGCCGAAGAAAGAGGGACCTGACCACCCTCTCCCGGACACCCCATGAGAAAGACCCATTTCCCAGGAGTCACGGAAGCATCAAGCCTAAGGATGGCAGCCCCCTTGTCCCCCTTTCAGCTGGCATGATCCCTCTTGCCCTGCTCTTTTTATTTTTAAAAGCTGAGTAGCTGTCTCCCCACCACCCCTTAACTCAGCACTGTTGTCATTGAGAAGGCAAGGAGAGGTTCTTCGCCACTACCCAGCTGGCCACTTTGGTTCTAAAGCCTGCGGAAAGCAATTTGACAGCAGCAGCAGCAGCTGAATCAGCTGGTTCCACCTTGCGCCATGATCCGGAAAGTTTTCCTTCTGTTGCTGGCTATCCCCGGTAAGTCCTCGCCCTCTGGGCTCTTTTTCCTTTCCGTTTTACCCCCTCCTCGACTTTCTCTACAACACACACACTTTTCGTTGACTGTTGAGCTCTCTGAAAGAGAGATCGTTTTTTTTTTTGTAGCTCCTATATTTCCCACAGACCGACTTAGTGAGTAATTGGGTAATGATAGCTTTGCCTAATCTCTGCTGGGCTTTGGGGGGGATGCTTTTGGATGGGGAAAGTCCTGCTTCGGTTTCGTTCCAGGCCCACCCACCCACCTTCCTAAGCCTTCCTTTATGTACCTGATGGGAAAGGCAGAGGGTGTGTTTGTGTGTTTTAGGGATCCTAGACATTGCTTGATCCCCTGTTGTTGACTTGCTGTGGATTAAAGAGCCTCTGCTTGATGTAGCCTGTTTTACAAAAGGCAGATTCTTAAGGGGAGATGAGCTGGAAAATGAGATGCCTGGGGATGTATGTATCAGGATTTTGGAGGAAAGATGGACGGTTGTCAGTACCTTTTGCAGAACGAACTGGCCTGTGATAGTTCTACACATCAGCATTGTGGGGGGGGGGGGTTGGACTGGATGACCCTTTGGGTGCCTTCCAACCCTGATCTCCTGGGAAGTGAGGCGCTTCGGCATCCCAGGTTCTTGACCCCATCTGCAAAGACAAGCTAGGATGGAATCCCTCTCTTCCCTCCTCTTCCTGGAGGGTGAAACAAAAAGAGGGCTTGCAGTCTGAAGATGCGTTGCCTGTTTGGTGCTCTTGCGGTAACCTGACCCAAGGAAATTCAGCAAGTGATGTTTTTCCCTTTCCTGGAGTAGAAACCAATTGGGTGTCAAAAACTGAAGCTGCTGCCCCCCCCCCCCCCAATATCAGGCTGCTGTTAAAAGCACAGGAGCAGTGCTGGGGGGGGGGAGTTGGTCCTTTCAGTGGTGTGGAGAGGGATGGGCCACCCTATTTCTTGCAGCCGTCAACACACTCACAAGCTCTTCCCTTGAAATGACAACCATAAGGGCAACACCAAAAACAGATTTCCTGGATTTCCTGGTTTCTTCATTTTCTTAATGACATTTGAAAGTTAGAAAAAGCAAACCTGTTGCCAAAAAAGAAGAGGAGGTCCATTTGGCTGAGGATGCAGGAAGCTTAACTTTTTTGTTGCAAAGAAAACCACTTTCTGGTGGGAAAATGCCATCTCCTCCTGTGCTGTGTCTTTCACAATAACTGAACTTGGCTTGCCTCCCACATGGGAAGGTAGGCTATTCTGTGCCAAGAGCCCCTGTCTGCCTGTCTTTCTCTCTGTGGGCTGCTTGCTCTGTAAATTGTTGAAATAACGTTGTTTCCTGCCTTGTGTGGGTGTTGCGGAGGCTGAGAAGTTGCGGTGTTTGGTGGAGTGGCAACAGAAGACTCAGGAGAGGGAGGCTGGATCTAGACACATCAAAGAAGCATTTCAGTTAAATGCATTGTAAATTTAAACAGGGAAAACAGGCACAGAAAAACCTGACTCCACAGCGACATCTGGTGGCACAATGCTATATCGCATATACAATGCATATGAATCGCTTTTTCTTTACCAATCTAGCTGAGTCCGGAGTTCCCTGAAAGAAGCCAAGGGGAAGTTACTATGTACTTAAGAAGCAAGGAAGCCATCAGTAACTTACCCATGAAAACAACTCACCCCAGTGATTTATTTATATGTGGGATGCCTAGGTGCCCGAATATATTTTGTTCGGGATCTGGAGGTGTGAGGTACTAATGGACCTCATTTGCATTTTAAGCACAATGATGCCACTTTAAACAGTCATGACTTCACACAAAGAATTGTTGTGGTTTGTTAAGGGTACTGAGAGTTGTTAGGAGACCCCTATTCCCCTCATAGAACTGCAATTCCCTGGGCTCCCTGTGAAGCAGGATTGGTTATTAAACCACTCTGGGAATTGTAGTTCTCTGACCGTGTACAGCAGGAGTGTTGCCAATGCAGTGACTCCTAGGTGTTGTCAGATTTCAACCCCAACCATCAATTACCGTTCACCTTGCTGCTTGGGGCTGATGGGAACTGTGGGTCTCCACCATCTTCTGGAGGATGCCGCAACATTGGCTAGCCCTGATGTTGCCACGTTGCTCTTGGTGCAGCCTGAAGAGCGGGAATTCAACAGGGTGTTTTCTTGCTATGCCGAGGAAAGCTTCACCAGTTGGATTTCTGCCTGCCCAGAGCACAGGGGCAAATAAACTGAGGGAACAGGCTGCTCTCCTCTCACCACAGAGTGACCAAAGCGAACCTCCCTAATCTGAGAGACCCTGTTGGGCACCATTCTGCTTCACTAATTTGATAAGATTTGGCATCATGGGATGCCATTTAGAGGAGGGGGCGGTTAGCTTTGCCTTTTCCACTTGCCTCTTTGCCTGTTTCAACCCCCCACCCCACCCCAATTCCCTTCCTCCAGCAGCTTTGAAGTTACTCTACTGGTTTTGCATTACTCTCTCCGGAAGGAGCTCCAGCCCTGCAAGAGATGCTGACTCGGGGTTTGTGCCTTATACAACCACTCGCAGGCCGCAAAAGCAGCTCTGTGAGTCACAGAGACCAGTTTGGGAAAGGCTTCAGGGTTGAGCGAGTCCACGGAGTCCATGGGGCTGCCAGGCAGGCTCTGGAGCCTGGGACTGGGGCGGGTTGGCTGTGGGAGGCAGAATCATAGGAATGTCAAGCTGGAAGCCACCCCAAGGGTCATTTGGTCCAACCCCCTGCAATGCAGGAGTTGCAGCTAAAAAATCCCTGATGGATGGCTATCCAACCTCTGCTTAAAAAGCTCCAATGGGGGGGGCACCTTCTGCCAGAGTCCTTTCCACTGTCAAACAGCTCTTACTGTCAGGAAGTTCTTCCTGTTTTTTTAGTCAGCACCTCCTTGCTGGTGATTTGAATCCATCAGTTCAGGTCCCACCCTCTAGAGCAGCAGGGAACATGCTTGCTCCATCTTCCATGGGACGGCCTTTCCGATATTTGAAGATGGCTCTTGTATCACCTCCCAGCCTTATCTTCTCCAGATCCAACTCCTTCAGTTGTTCATCATAAGATATGAAGTGGTGTCTAGGGATAAGCTAGGGATGGGGCTTGCAAGACGGGAATATGGCACCCCCTTTTTGAGACTCTTGGGGGCCTGGTGGGCAAAAGGGGGGCAGAGCTGGGAGATAACCCCCTTGGGCCAAGCAGAAAGTCTCACTCTGAGATCTTAGCCCTTTCCCTGGAAAAGGGGGCTAATTTCCCTCAAACTCTTTTAAAGCCATCTAGGCTGGTTGCCGTCACTTCCTCTTTTGGGAGTGAGTTCCGTAGTTTTAACCACGTGCTGCATAAAGAGCCACTTCCTTTTACATGTCTCAAATCTTCCATCATTCAGCTAAGGCAGTGATAGGTCCAGGGTTACCCAGTGAGCTTCATGACCAAGTGGGAATTTGAACCCTGGTCTTCATAACCTTGGAGCAAGAGAGATATTCCTGTGCATCCAGGGGGGTGATCAAGTGCGTGCTTGTTCAGTGAGGTGGTCACAACACCCTGCCCTCAGTTGGATTAATTTCACCTCTCCCAAGCCTTGGTGGGTATCTCATGCAGGAAACACAGAGAGATGCCCAGCTATCAGGAGTCCTTCTGCTAGCCATTCCCTCCTATTGATGAAACCTCAATCAATCACCAGTCCATCAAACAGGAGAATGACTGTACACTAACTGTGCTCAAACATTGTGCATGAAATTGCATTGTCTTTGAGCCCTCCTGCTATTTACGTGAATGAATGTCTATTTTTGGTGTGGAACAGAAACCGGAAGGGAGGACGTTAGTAATGTGAATGAGTATTCTAGCCTATGTATTATTTCTCAATCATGCATTGTACAGAGATTGTAGCAAGAATCACTTTCTAAGGCTCCAGGTGGTGGTGGTGAAACTGCGCTTGGATGAGACACATTTAAATTGTAGTTTGTCCCATGACACTGCAACAAAGTGCATAGAATAATAGGATTATGGGGCTGGGAGGGATCTCCAAGGGTCTTTTAGTCTAATCCTCTGCAACACAGGAATCACAACTCAAGAATCCTTGACAGGTTGCCATCCAACCTCTACTTAAAAACCTCAAATGAAGGAGAGTCCACGACCTTTTGAGAGGGTCTTTTCCACTGTTGAATGTCTCTTGCTGTCAGAAAGTTCTTCCTCCCCTCCAGAGCATCAGCAGAAAACAAGCTTGTTCCATCTTCCACAGGGCAGCCCTTCAAATATTTGAAGAGAGCTCTCATAGCACCTCTCAGTCTTCTCCTCTCCAGGCTAAACAGACCCAGCTCCCTCCCTGGGCCCATGCTCACCAGGGATCAGAAGCCAGCCCAGATCCTGCCTGGCATCCTTGAGAGAGACACATTTTTTGCACCCGTGCTTTCCTTCGAAACATCTCTGGTGCACATTATGCCTTAAAGCAGCAGTAAACTGCCTCTTCCCTTTCTCCGCAGTTGCTCCTGCAGCTGTAAAAGGGGGCTAATGGACATTTCCCTGGTAGCTGTCCAGCTTTTGCAAAACAAAAGTTAGCAAGTGAGCCCATAAATGTCCCAGCTGGACCGATTGTGCAAGAGCAGCCATGGTGGCAGCAGGAACCTGTCGGGCAACCAGATTTTTTTCTTTTTAAAGAGCTGGTCTGACTTTGGAATAGGTGGGTGGGGCCAGCTGGTTCTTTGCATCCAGGATCCAAGAAGCAGAGGCTCAAACGATCCCTATTTTCCAGTCGGTTGCTGGCCAGGTTTTTGCCTTGTGGGGCACACATTTCAAAAATGTTGATGCCTGCCAGGATGGGGGGGGGGAAGGCTTTTTTTTGCAGCCTAAGAGCCACATTTTTCTGGGCAACCTCCCAGGGGCCATATGACAGGACAAGTGCAAAAGTGGGAGGAGCAACATATGCAGATCTCACCTTTGTCCAGCAAGCTGGCTTTTTTACACCCACACACCCAAACCCACACACCCCTCCCTCCCTCTCTGCCCTCCATGCAGGCAAGCAAGAGGCCTGATCAGAGCTCAAGGACAAATCCCAGCCAGGCAAGACCACTCAAAGAAGGTGTGAAGCAGGGCTGGTAGGGGTGTGTGGCCTGCAGAGGGCCATGTAGAGCAGCTTGAAGAGCCACATTTAGCCTGAAGTTCCTCTCCTCTGCTATGGGAATATCTGTGATACGGTTCTCTCGATGCCTTCCTGTAGGTGCATAGACAGAAGTTAGATATCTGATGCTGGCTGAGACCGATCTTGGCAGGATTAATAACTTTGAGCTCAGTGGAAATGCGATGTACATGTTTAGCGATCAGCACCAAACCAGCCTTTCCATGGACAAATCGGTGAAGGTGAGGGCTTCAATGGCTACTGTGAGAACAGGATGCTGCTGGTGGACTCTCCTTCATTGGAGGTTTTCAAAGAGAGGTTGGATGTCTTGTCTGTCAAGGATTTTTTTCCACTGCGATTCATGTGCTGCCAGGGGTTGGATTCTGCCATTCTACGCTTCTGTGGAAACCAGATCCACAGAGAGCAGTGCAATTCGGTGCATGCTTGATGTGGGAGTGAATCCTGTTGAATACAATGTGGGGCTCACTTCGGATGTAAGGCGAGGCATAGGACTGAACCACCCATGTTTGAGACGTGTTACGTTGTGCCGCCCTTGGGTGTCCTGCTCCTGCTTTTAAAGCTGCTGGAGAAGAGCGAGCAAATGCAGAGTAGAGCAGGTGGAGAAGAGCCATTTGCCGTGTGCACATGGGAAGAGCGAGGGGCTTAAGCAGAGACCCCGAGCATTAGGATCAGGCATTGCATACTTGTTTGTGTCTGCACACAGGTGGCTATTTCATAGGATTCCTAGGAAGCTGCCTTATAACAAATCAGATCATCGGTCCATCTAGCTCAGTATTGTCTATGTCAGTGTTTCCCCAACTTGGGTCTTGAGCTGGTTTTTTGGACTACAGTTCCCATCATCCCTGACCACTGGTCCTGCTAGCTAGGAATGATGGGAGTTGTAGTCCAAAAAAATAGTTGGAGACCCCCAAGTTTAGGAGACACTGGTCTGCACCAATGAGCAGCAGTGGCTCTCTCCAGAGTTACAGGCAGGTCCATTGGTGGGGATTGAACTGGGGCTTTCTGCATGCAAGGCAGGTTCTCAACCACTGAGCCACAGAGCCCTTCCCTTAAGGCTTTAGTTCACTAGGTCTAACTCCCAGGCAAGTGTGTATAGGATTGCAGCCTCAAGGGTGCTTTCAGTCATGGGGAATATTGCATTAGTTTTCCTATAATTATAATGCCGTTACTTCTGTCCCGTTTTCTAATGTTCCTTTCACACTGCAGTACTTATTGTGTTATGGAACTCTGGCTTTTTCACCCATATACCGGCATGTTGAGCTCAGACCAACAGCAAACACTGGCAATGTCACTACACACCCATCCTTTCCGCACAGCCTGCTTCTGTTCCTCCATGAAAACAGGAAGAAAAAAACCGCATGCCAGTATACCTGCCTAAATTTTGTCACTTTACTCCTGTGATTTACTCCTGGGTCAAGGGGGCTGCAAATGATTCCCCCCTGGAATGAAATAATGCAGAAATGAGCACTAAACATGCACCATATTCCATTTAGTTTTTTGGATTTTATATCATCTGAAAGCTCAGATGCAGTGCAGAAATTAGCAGGGAAATGGGGGGGGGGGGCTGCTTTGCGAATGCAACCTTAGGGCTCTTCCACACTTCTCCACGCTTTCCAGGTCCAGGTCCAAGTGGATTTTTTCTTGTCGTGGCATTTTCTTAGGAAAACCCACATTGTACCCACTTATCCACATTTACCTTTTGCCCCACTCTTTCCACACAGAGCTCTGCACTTTAATGCTCAGCATCCAAGTGTGGTTTTGCTTTGCCCCAGGTTTTCCCAGCAAAAACCCGCTCTTTAAAGATGATCGGAGCAAACAGCTATTTGGGTTTCCCAAAGATTGATGTTTGCTCCGATTGAGCGTCAATGATCAGGTTTTCACAGGGAAAACTCAGGGCAACAAACATGCTCAGACATGGAGTTTTAAATTGCTGGTCGTCCCTGGAAGGAGTAGCGGAAGGGTAAGTGTGGATTATCCATGGAAAACCCAATTGCCGTTTGCTCCAGTTCATTGGTAAAATGAGGATTTTTTGGGGGGGGGGGGAGCGTCAGGATGAGAGAGGAAAAAAACCCTTAGATACAGAACAGGAAAGCCTGGATCTGTGCCTAGAAATGCAGTACAAAATGAAGTTTGGATTAGCACTTAGTGCTGTAAAAATGAGTGGGCAACCTGAGGCCAAAGGGCAGTAGCCATCGGCCTAATTTCATATGGGAGCAAAAGCTTGCAAGATGTTCCACAAGGCGTCCCCAGAAGGTGCAAAAGAAAAAAAGAAAAGAAAAGCAGTGATTTTTCAGGGACAGGGTCCTGGGTAAATGGGGATGGTTTAAAGGGTTTGCGTGCACCAGGCTCATCCTGCCATGGCTTCGTGCCTTGGGCCTCCTGCTGCTCCCTGGGTGAAGTGAAAGTTGTTTTGCAAGCCAGGAGTGCAATTTCCGCCCGCTCGCCATCCCAGCCCTGCTAGCTGGTGGTGACTCTCCCCTGCCCAGCCGGTTCTCTGGGCTTGTTCCTCGGGGACCAGGTTCTCATTAAAGAGGGTGGCAACCCTGTGATTCCTCAGCACTGGGCACGGTGCCCAGGAAGAGCTTTGCAGTCCCAGTTCCCCAAACCGCCACCCTGTCCTCAAAAAAATAAAAAATAAAAAAATGCACTGGGGTTAGGTGGTTGGGGGAGAAATCACCACCCCTTCTGATGGTGGTGGTGTTGGATTCTAAATCCCAGGCATGGGCCCCCTGTTCCACTGTGACGCTGGAGTGCTTAATTCTGGAAGCTTGGTTATAATTGCTGCTTCCCTACCTTAACTTGTAATCAATACTTAAGTGCTGCCTGGTGGCTAAATCCATTCGGAGCATAAATACGGATGTTGATGGTAGTAAATAAATTAATTAGGGATGTAAAAATGCTGTCCATTTCAAATTAAATCAGGCTCCGCCAATCTGGGTGCCCTGCAGATGTTTTGCACAGCGACTCCCATCAGTTGCAGACAGTGCACCCATTTTAGACTGCAACATCCATCAGGCCCAGGCAGCATGATGGGAGTTGTAGTTCAAAACATCAAGATGGGCACCAGGTTGGCGAAGGCTGGTTTAAAGATTCCCCATGAGCCTTCCGGAACCAGCTGGCAGGAGAAAACAGCGAAGCACAGCCTACCTCTTTCTCGCCTGTGTAGGTTTCCTGCCTTCAACTCCTTTTGGACAGCGTGAAATTTGATTTCCCCCCTGCTCCTCCACACCTTTCCAAGCCCTCCAGCAGTAAATGTAAGGCCCAAAGCCAACGAAAGTTGGTTGTACTCAGAAAACCTGCAAGCTAGCCGTGACTAGATCACAAAGGATAGGTGAGGCCGAAGCACTTTATGCCCGAAAAAGAACCTTCATGTCCAGAGGCGACTAGTCTATCTGTGAATATCAGTTGCCGAAGGAAAAACAGTAGCGGAAGGTTCCTCGTTTTGTGACCCGGCTTGGGGCTTCTATACAACATCTGTCTGGACACTGTTGAAAGCAGGATGTTTAGACAGGGTTAAGACAGCGGGTGGGGAATGTTTTGCAGGGCCGCATTCCCTTCCAGGCAGCCTCCTGAGAGCCACATGCCATTGGTGGGTATGGCCAGAGACAACAGGGGTGGAGCAACAGATGCAAATGTATCTTTGTACAGTAGGCTTGTGTCTGTAGATAAATACTCACACCTCTCTATCCTCCATCTGAATGAGCAAAAGGGGTTATCAGGATTCAGGGGCACATTCCACCATTCAAGGAGGGTGTGCCAGGAGCTGGCTTGACTGGGAAAGGTGTCAAGTCCTGAGGGCCAGGTAGAGAGACTTGGTAAGCTCCCAACCCTTAGATGAGGTGAGAAATTCCTCCTGGACAGGGCTATGAGCAGCTAGTGTGGTGTAGCGGTGAGAGTGTCAGACTAGGGTCTGGGGGACCAGGGTTCGAATCCCCACTCGGCCACGAAGCTCACTGGTGGTTGACCTTGGGCTAGTCACTGTCACTCTCAGACGGAGCTACCTCACAGGGGGACAAAATGGAGAGCAAACCTATGTACACTTCTTTGAGCTCCTTGGAGCAAAGAAGGTGGCTATAAGAGTCATAAACATTGCTCAGGCTAGCTAAATAGGAGAGGGTGGGTGGGTGGGGCCTTGTTTTGTACTCTTCACAGAAGCATCTGGCTGCTGTTGGAAAATAATAAATAATGGTGGTAACAACAACTACTACTAAATAAATAATTTCCATTTATATAGCACACTTTATCAAAAGATCTCAGTGCAGTGTACAACATTAGAAACACATTATAAAACAACAATTATAAAAACATAGCAGAAACATAGTAAGAAGCATACTGGCGGACAGTTCTCTGGGAGTGTTAGAATGAGAAGATGAGCTCCGTGAGGCTCAGATAGTTTGGATGGTTCTTGGGAGAAGAGCTTAAATGATCCAGGCACTGGGGGCGGTGGGGAGGGGCACTTTAAGCAAACCACCTTGAAGCCGGCAGAGGATAGAAATCAATAGCATAGCCAGGCACCTCAGCCACAAAGGTCAAGTGCTTGCGTGCTATTTACCTCATCATCTTTTCTTTAGTAATGACCTGGCTTCCGGGCACGAGAAGGGAGCAGAGGCTGAGTCAGTCCAGCCCGGGCGCTGTATTGGTGCTCAGATCCTGCTTTGTCAACGGATATACTTGGTGGCCTCAGGCCAACTGTTCCGCTTCAGCCTTTCCTGTTTGCAAGGTTGGAGTAAGGGGGCTAATGACAGTGGCCTGCCTTACACGGTTGTTGTGAGGATTCCAAGGCAATGTCTATGCAGCGCTTTGATCGATTCTAAAATAGCACTTTATTCTTTTATTGAGCTTTGCAAGAAACCTCCCCACCGTTAATTTGTCTAATGGCAGTGATGGGGGACCTCAGGTCCGGGAGTCAAATGTAGCCCTTCAAGTCTCTCTGTCTGTCTGGCCCCTGGGCCAGGCCACACCTCCTCTTCCTCACCCATCTCCAATTATTCTGCCTGGCCAGACTGTGTCCTTAACTGTGGTCCACAATGCAAAGAGTCACCTATGTTGCCCCAATCACCATTGGCACATGCTCCCCCCCGCCCCAGGTTTCTACTAGAGAATATGGTCCTCAGGCTGAAAAAGGTTCCTAAACCCTAGTCTAATGAAGGCTCAGCATTGCCGTGTCCTGTAGCAGTGAGTTCCAAAGCTCTGACTCACATGGAGAAATCCTTTGTCAGTTTTGGTCCCACTGTCCATCATCTTTATTTAAGTGACTCCCACCTCCAGTTACTGCTTTGCAACTAGGAGGTCCTGGCTGCAGATCCCCTTTAAATTGCATTTTCTGCTGCAGAAATTGTGCCACAAACTAATATTTGCGGAGCTTGTACCTTCTTAAGGGGGCTGACTGAAATAGCTAAAAAAATAAAATAAAAAATCCTTCATGTTCAATTACTGTAAATCTTATTTTAAAAATTAGTGTGATTGGGGGGAAGGCAGTAAGAGCCCTTCCAGACTGGCGGGGGCATCTTCTGCAACATGTAATTGACACAATAATACATTAGTGATGGATTTATACTGGATCGTCCGCACATCATTCCACTATATTGTTCTGTGATGTTTCCCCAGTGTTACTGCATTATTGTCATCTGCAGGAGCACTCTGGGACAATAGCACAACAAATGCTTAACAAACCCCCAACCATTTGTGGTATGAAAAGCTGCAAGATTTCAGTCAGATCGGAAACAAAGCAGTGTAATCACCTTGAAACTTGCAGATGCAAACAGTATTTGGAATCCTGTGTACAGTTCTGGTTTCCTCACCTCAAAAAGGACATTGTAAAGTTGGAGAAGGTTTGGAAAAGGGCAACCGAAATGATAGATGGGATGGAGCGGTTCCCCTATTAGGAAAGGTTCCAGCATTGGGGACTTTTTAGTTTAAAGGAAAGGCACATGAAAGGCAACGTGATAGAAGTTTATAAAATTACACATGGGCTTGAAAAAAGTGCATAGAGAAAAGCTTTCCTCCCTCTCTCGTCACAGTAGAACCTGTGGACATCCAGTGAATGTTGGAATATTCAGGACAGATAAATGAATGTATTTCTTCAAGCAATGCATAGCTAAACTTTGGAAGAGATAGAGATAGCCACCAACTTGGATGGCTTTAAAAGAGGATTAGACAAATTCCTAGAGGAGAGGGCTGTGAATAGCTACCAGCCACGATGGCTATGCTCTGTTTCAACAGTTGAAGGCAGCAGTACAGTATTTCTAAATACCAGTTGCTGACAACCTCTGGAGGGGAGATTTGCTCTTGTGCTTGAATCCTGCTTGTGGTCAGTCACTGTGAGAACAGGACGCCGGACAATAAAGCCTGATCCAGCAAGCTCTTCTTAGCTTCTTCTTATTGAAAGTGGGATTGTTTATAATTGCCCTGATAGCACCATGAGCCCGAAACAGTCATGAAGGGCTGGTGCTTAGCAACTCTTTCCTATATTTTGAATTGCCATGACTTCATTGAGTTATATTCATTGTTTTGATGGATTTGTTGTTATTGCTTGCTTTATTTATATATATATATGCTACTGTGCAGGGAATGGCCATTTTGTTTGTGTTCAAAGCTTGTGCAACGTGCATGCCGTTTTTGGACCTGGAAGAGGGCAGAATGGGACAGGGGCGGAACTGAGCAGGCTGGGCTTATGTGCACCCTGCCAATGTGTGTGATGACCCAGAATGCACCCCCTGCACAAATCAGGGGTTGCCTGTATTTGATATTACAGTCACAGGACCCCCCCCCAAAGTGTCCCTGTTTTCCAGGGACAGTCCTGGATTTACAGAAGCCATTCCAGTTTCTGATTTGATCCCAGAATATCCCGCTTTTCCTTAGGATGTCTCTACAGTCATACCTTGGATCCTGAAGCCTTGGTACTCGGACGTTTTGGCTCCTGAACGCCGCAAACCCGGAAGTGAGTGTTCCAGTTTGCAAAGGTTCTTTGGAACTCGAATGTCCAACGGGGCTTCCACAGCTTCTGATTGGCTGCAGGAGCTTCCTGCAGCCAATCAGAAGCCGCACTTTGGTTTCTGAACGTTTTGGAAGTCAAACAGGCTTCCGGAACGGATTCTGTTCAACTTCCAAGGTACGGCTGTATTTTCATTGGAGAAACGTTGGGAGAGTATGGAATAGGACGTCCCTATTTTCATCGGAGAAACGTTGGGAGGGGACGCACTCATCGCAGTGGAAAAGCATCTGGAAAAGCAGAAGGCAAATATTAAATTGCATCAAAAGGACCCCAAGATGGTGGTTTCAGAAAGTTCACCATGACATAGTTTGGAATGTGGGACTTGGCCAGGGGCAGCGTCAGGAAGCAGTGGCAGAGGTGTCCTTTGGAAACAGCCTTTGGGATGCAGAGCTGCTGGCGTGTCTCCCTTAATCTAATTCTCGCCCTCGCCCAAAATGCCTGCCAGGGGAAAGCACTAGCTCTGCGCTTCTGATGCAAACAGCAGCGCTGGCTGGCTGTCGACTGCCTCTCCTCCTGCTGAGCCAAGCCCTGTTCTCTGCCTCTGCCCTTCTTCGCCCAGGACTCTCCAGGAGGGAGAGGGGAGCGGAGGCACCTTTGCATCTCCTTTTGTTTTTCCTCTGTCCCCACCCTTTTCCCTTCACGCTCTCGCTCTTTCCCTCTCCCCCTGGCTGCCTATTGTATGTGTCCAGGCACATCCTCTCTCTCTCTCTCTCTCTCTCTCTCTCTCTCTCTCTCTAACCACACACAATACCTGTTAGCAGGAGAAGCCGGAACAGGCGGTGGCTCCTGATGCCTCCTTCCCTCCTCCTTCAGGTTGGATGCCTGAGGCCCGGCTGGCGGTGGCAAGGCTTGCCTAGGAGTCGGTGGCACTTGCTCCCAGGGGATCTGTAGGAACATACCAGGCCAGTGGCCCAACTAGTCCAGCATCCTGTTCTCACAGCGGCCAACCAAGTGCCTGCTAGTTGGCCGCTGTGAGCAACTGGTGTTCAGAACATTGCTTCCTCTGACTGTGAGGCAGAGCACAGCCTCCATCATGACTAGTAGCCATCGATAGCCATCTCCTCCGTGAATTTGTCCAATCCTCTTTTAAAGATGTCCGAGTTGGTGGCCATCACTGCTTCCTGCGGGATCAAGTTCCATAGTTTAACTATGTTGGGGTTGCCATATTTCAAAAAGCGAAAAGTTGTTGAGCAAAAATAACAGTGCCGATATGGATTCCTGATTTCCACCAGGACACTTCTTCCGACTGCAGTATTCTGTGTATGTCTGGGAAAATCCGGACGTATGGCAGCCCTAAATTATGTGCTGCATGAAGAAGGACTCCATTTCATTGTGGGCAGGAAGGGGGTGTTTGCATTTTGAGGCCAGGGGCTCCAGCCCAATCTGATGAGGCCCTGGCATACTTCCAGCAAGGCCCTGTGGGGATATGTGCCCATTCACTGTGGATATGTGCCTATGCAGTGGACATCTGTGTGGGTTGCCGGTTTTCTACCAGGCCATGTCCAATGTATATAAAGCCCTGAACAACTCTGGACCAGTTTATATATGAGATGGCCTTGGCCTTGCATATGTCTATTGGGCTGCTCTGATCTGCGGAACTGGCACTGTTACAGGGGCTACGTAATACGTTTTTCTGCATTTGTGAGAAATTGATCTTTCAGGGCTTGTCCACACTTCTGCCTGCCCCATGCCTAGGAAGCACAGGCTGGAGTGGTCTTTCAGTCCCATGGCTGGTACTTGGAGGTAGACTGCTTCTTGCTCTGGAGGATCTACTTAGCTCTCAGTCAGTTTCAGCCAGTGTGACCAAGAGACAAGTATCATGTGAGGCATACAGTGGTACCTCGGGTTACAAACACTTCGGGTTACAGACTCTGCTAAACCAGAAGTAGTACCTCTGGTTAAGAACTTTACCTCAGGATGAGAACAGAAATTGCGCGGCGGCAGTGGGAGGCCCCATTAGCTAAAGTGGTACCTCAGGTTAAGAACTGTTTCAGGTTAAGAACGGACAGGTTACAAATTAAGTTCGTAACCAGAGGTACCACTGTACAGTGGTACCTCGGGTTACAGACACTTCAGGTTACAGACTCCGCTAACCCAGAAATAGTGCTTCAGGTTAAGAACTTTGCTTCAGGATGAGAACAGAAATCGTGCAGTCACAGCACGGCGGCAGCGGGAGGCCACATTAGCTAAAGTGGTGCTTCAGGTTAAGAACAGTTTCAGGTTAAGAACGAACCTCCAGAACGAATTAAGTTCTTAACCCGAGGTACCACTGTAGTCTAAAATAGTGCTTTGTGTCTGAGCACTCCCCCGCCTGCCCACCCTGGTGCTTTCGCCATCAAAAATCATTCTTTACCACTGAATTGGAGCAAATGGCAGTCTGCAGAAAACCCAAATTGCTGCACTGTTAATAGAGTGGGTTTTCCTAGGGAAAGTGGCAGAATAATTTAAAAAAAAAGCGGGGGGAGCTCGGACACAGAGCTTTAAAGTTCAGACCTGTGCTTAGAAAAGCGCAGGGCAACAGGTAAGTGTGGATGAACCCTTACTTTGTAAGAAGCAGGTCCCAAACTGTTGTCTGTGGACCTCATTCAGATGGTCCATGACGTGTCTGTGGATTTGTGGTTGAAGAGCAGAGATTGCATCAAACATTCCTGTTGATTTTTAATCACATTACAATTTGAATTCAAATTGCAATGCAATATATAATAAATCAAAGAAGTAAAGAAGAAAGTAGTAAAAATATGATTACGGGCTTCTAGCTGTACAGGCTTTAAAGTTATAAATATATCATTTTAATATCTTATTAAAGTTAAAGATTGGGATTGAAAAAGTGGAAAAGAAACTGCTGGACAAACAATTTGGATTGGAATACAAAAGAGGGAGGTATGAGGAAGTCCAGAAAATAAGTAACTTAAAAATGGAAATGGAAAAGAGATAATGTTTTTAATTGTTATGCTTTTTTTTTATTTTATTGTTGAATTTTGTTTTGTTTTTTGTGTGTGTTGTTGTTATATGTATTGTGTATGTTTTTTTTCTCTTTCTTTGTTGTTCAAAACCTTAATAAAAATTATTTTAAAAAAAAATAAAGTTATAAATATATCAAGATTAAGGATTAGGATTAAAAAGGTTAAAAGAATGGAAAAATTGGTTTTTAATAGGTAAAAATTTAATGTTATAATATATTAAGATTAAGGATTGGGATTAAAAAGGACGGAAAGAAATTGCTGGACTAACAAACTGAATTGGAATACAAAAGAGGGAGGTATGAGGAGGTCCGGGAAATAAGTAAATGTAAAAGAAGTGATGAAAAGACGGAATTGTTTTTAACTATTTTTTCTTTTTTCTTTTTGTATTTTGCATTGTGTATTTTTCCTTTTATTTTTAAATTCTTCTTTTTTATTAATGTGATTCTTTTTTTGTGAAACTTTAATAAATATCTTAAAAAAAAAAAATGATTACGCAGCGTCTAGCACAACACATTAAAATCACTAAAGCAGGCAGAATAATCATCAAGTGGTCTGCCAAGACCCAAGGGGGGGGGGGGAGTTGGGGAAGTGCTGGTATAAAGAACTTCATGCATTTGTGATGGTTAATCAATATTATAGCATTTCAAGTGTGAGGCCAATGATGAAGGGGTTTTGTCTCATCGGGGAAAAGTAGTTGGGGATTTGAAGGCTGCCACATGTTTATTTATTTACTTCATTTATATCCCATCTTTTCTGGCATTGAACTCAAGGTAGCTTACGTGGTTCCTTGCTCCCCCCCCCCCGCACTCTTTTATTTCCCCCACCAACAACAACTCTGTGAGGTAGGTTAGGCTGAGGTGAGTTATTTTCTCTGCACTAGCCAAAGTCCACATATTCTTGTAGCACTACAAGAGGTTTAAGTCCTGTAGCATCTTCCGTTTCCGGGACAAGAAAAGCTCTCGCTGCAGCTAGCATCTGTGTCAGATGTTCCTTAGATCAGAAAGCTGCTATTTGACCATCCCACAAGTTCAAAAGGTCAAGTTGTGGGGAGGCTGAAATGGGGCATTTAAATTCTTTTTTTCTGTGTCTTCAAAATCATTCTAGACTTATTCCCTTCAGAGAGCTACAGTTGTCAGAGTGGTTTTATAACCAGTCCCTCCCCACAGGAAACTCTAGGAATTGTAGCTTGGGGGGGGGTTCCTCCTAAGGACTTTCAACACCCTTAACAAACTACAGTTCCCATGATTCGTTGAGGGTAAGCCATGACTGTTTCAAGTACAGTGGTACCTCGGGTTACATACGCTTCAGGTTACATACGCTTCAGGTTACAGACTCCGCTAACCCAGAAATAGTACCTCGGGTTAAGAACTTTGCTTCAGGATGAGAACAGAAATCGTGCGGTGGCGGCGGGAGGCCCCATTAGCTAAAGTGGTGCTTCAGGTTAAGAACAGTTTCAGGTTAAGAACGGACCTCTGGAACGAATTAAGTACGTAACCAGAGGTACCACTGTAAATGGTTAGTGCGGATGTGGCCTAAGTAAAAAACAAAGAAACCAATAAGTAAATAAATAATACAGCAAGGCATGTGGGTGCCCTTAGACTGCAATCAGAGCAGCTTCCTGCCCCAACAGGCTAAAGTTGGCTGGAGGGGCAAGAGGAAAAGGAACGGGAAGGCAGGACAGCTGGCTGGATCTGCTTTGGGGGGGGGGGGGGTTGCAGGGGAGCCGTAGCGCTGCTGAATGGCGCTTTTCAGGTTCCAGCATGCCGGTGTCACCTGTTGCATCTGTGCAAGGCATGAAATGTCAAAGGGGGACATGTCGCCCTTTGCCAGCCCCTCCAGCTCTGGTGAAGGCGCAGAGTCAGAGTGGGGACCGGGGCTATGAACGTTGTCCCGCTTTGTTTCTGAAAGGAGAGGCTCCAGTTCTCAGTTTTTCCTGGAAAGTCACCCCTTTAGCATTCCCCGAGAACTGGAGGGAAGGGAAAGGGGTGCATGGAAGAGTTGCTCTGCACATGCTCAGAGGCCTGCTGGTAATCTGGCTCTTGCTCCAAGGCTGCCGCCAGCTTTGAATGAAGAGGCTGTTGATCCAGGTCTGCTGGGCTGCACATGGAGCCTTGATGTTCATATGCTCTCATTGAAGGGCATGGGCATTAGAGAAGAGACCAGCATCTGTTCCCCATTCTGAGACTGGAGTTCTGGAAAACCTGTGGAGGGAGCAAAATATTTCCCCATCCTTGTGCATTCTGGTTGTTTCTGCCTATAGGATTTTTTAAGTTTAGAGAAAAGGCGAAATGATGCGCAGCATGGAGAAAGTGGCTGGAGAAACTTTTTTCTCCCCGTCTCATAACACTAGAAGTCATGGACACCTCATGAAGGTGAATGTTGGAAGATGCTGGATGGATAAACGAAAGGGCATCTTTGCACTGCGCAATCTATGGAACTCACTGCCACAGGAGGCGGGCGATGGTCACCAAGTTGGATGACTTTAAGAGAGAACTGGATAAATTCATGAAGTGAAAGGCTCACAGTGACTACTAGCCACAATAGCTATGCTTGTAATGCTTCTGAACGCCAGTAAGGGAAGCCACAGGAGGGGAGAGTTGCTCTCGTGCTCGAATCCTGCTTGGGGGCTTCCCATAATGGGCATCTCTGCTTAGCCCACTGCAAACAGGATGCTGGACTCAATGGGCCATTGACCCGATCTAGCAGGCTCTTTTACTTTCCTTATGCTGCCATTCAGTCCCAGCCAGCATGGCTGAAAAATGGCAGTGCTGACTGGAATGGATGGGGGGAGGAATTTCAAAACAAGCTGGAAGGCCGGACAAGGCCACTGACTAAATTTCACCCAATTTTAACATGGAGACCCACCCCACCCCTGAAGGCAAACTCAGGGACAGGGATATTACTAGGTTACCACCAATACCCCTTGAAAAAGAAGGAATGCCCGTGGCAAATTTACAAATCACCTAAAACGTACGAAGTGCTGTATGTAGATTAGAAGCACAAAACTCACTGCCTACATTCTAGGCTGAAAGACCTTCAGTCCCTGTCTACATATTATTAGGAGTCTGGTTTCCTTCCTTCTAGCAGACATTGTACTTCTTTCTCCTCCTCCTCTCTCTCTGTCTTGGGACATCTCTTCCTTTGGTATGGTAGCCAGACTGGTTTGACAGTCACTCCTTCTCACAACTGAGTCCTGGCTGAGATGTAAAGTTTTGCAGGGAGGTGTGTGTGTGTTAGTAGTTCTTTTTAACAGATGATTTTTTTAGCACATGCTCCAAACCATTTGCATATTTTTGGGGCGGTGGTGGTGAATGTGACAATTATCCTGGTACAGTATAGAACAAATCAAAAACTAGAAGCGTAGATATAGGACACTTTCGCACCATACACGCAAAGTGATGCCACTTTTAAGAGCCCATGGCTTCCCCCCAAAGTATTCTGGGAGCTGTAGTTTATTAAGGGTACTGAGAGTTGTGAAAAGGACCCTGTTTCCCTCAGAGAGCTACAGTTCCCAGAGTTCCCCATGTGGAAGCAGTGACTTGTTAAACCACTCTGAGGACTGTAGCTCTGTTAAGGGAAACAGGGTCTTCATAACAATTCTCAGCACCCTAAACAAACTACAGCTCCCAGAATTCTTTGTGGGAAGCAATGGCTGTTTAAAGCGGTATCGACATAGCTCTTTAAATGTTTGTTGTGGATGTGGCCATACCCTCATTCTCCTTCCCACTCTTCCTATTTCTTACCCGCCATATGGCCGACAAATTAGGTAGTGTAAGGCCCCTTCCAGCTCTCTGATGCTATGAAGCCTCCTTGGGTGGCCTGGGACACGTCACTTGGCCTGACCTCCCTCGCAGGGATAGCGCGAGAGATAAGAGCAGCTCGTAACCCGCCCAGAGCCCTCAGGCCAGGGTGGGAGAAGGATATTCTCTGCAAAGGCTCCATATCAACTTCCCTGCAGAGGTTTTCATTGCAGGTTTTCTGGAGTTTGCATGGGAGTTGTGGGCTGGGGGGTGGGGGAGTCATGATCACTGCCCACCCTCCCTCTTTCTCTCCAGCCTCCTTGTTTTCTCCTCCTTCTTAAGTTATTCTGCTGAGACACGCTCTCTCCCTCCCAAGGGAAGCGTCTCCCTGCCCTGGCTGGAATGTTCCCATGAGGCAACCAACCTCAGAGTTGCGTGCCCAGGAGAGCTGCTCCTGCGTGCTTGTCATGCTTTTTTGCGATAGCATCTCCCAGAGTTGGCTGGGCCTGACTCCAGCGTCGGGAGATTTCCGCCTTCCTCACTTTCCTTTTGGCCTCTTGTTTATTTACTTCATAAAATTTGTACGCCGCTGGGTTGTCAACAAAACCAGAAAGTGGTTGTCAAAGAGAAAAATGTGGGAGAATATTGCCTAATAGAAAGTAGAATCGTAGATTCATAGAATTGTACAGTTGGAAGGGACCCTGTGGGTCATCTAGTCCAACCCCCTGCAATTGAGGAATCTCAGCTAGATCGTACGTGACAGATGGACACCCAACCTCTGCTTAAAAACCTCCAAGGTAGGAGAGTCCACCACCTATGGTAGAAGTGTGTTCCGCTGTCGAACAGCTCTTACTGTCAAGAAAGTTCTTCCTGGTGTTTAGTTGGAATCTCTTTTCTTGTAACTTGAATCCATTGGTTTGAGTCTTAGACTCCAAAGCAGGAGAAAACAAGGTTGCTCCATCTTCCATTTGACAACCCTTCAGATATCTGAATATGGCTATTATATCTCCTCTCAGCCTTCTCCTCGCCAGGCTAAACATACCCAGCTCCCTCAACCGTTCCTCACAAGGCTTGGTTTCCAGACCCTTGAACATCTTGGTTGCCTTCCTCTGCATATGTTCCAGCTTGTCAATATCCTCCTTAAGTTGTGGTGCCCAGAACTCCACAGTACTCCAGGTGTGGCCTGAGCAAGGCGGAATAGAGCCGGACTATGACTTCCCCTGATCAGGACACTATACTTCCAGACCCTCCAAGTGTCCCTATGTTCCAGGGACAGCCCTGGATTTCCAGAAGCCATCCCAGTTTCTGATTTGATGCCAGAATGTCCCACTTTTCCTTAGGATGTTTCTATATTCATTGGAGAAATGTTGGAGGGTATGGAGTTATGCGACCCCTGAACCAAGGAGACAAGTAACTACACAACCTTTAGAAGGCATCTGAAGGCAGCCCTGTATAGGGAAGTTGTTTTGATGTTTAATGTTTCATTATGTTTTTATACATGCTGGAAGCCGCCCAGAGTAGCTGGGGCAACCCAGTCAGATGGTCAGGATATAAATAATAAAATTACTATCATATCATCATCATCATCATTATGATGGACAAGAATGTCCCTATTTTCATCAGAGAAATGTTGGAGGGTATGTACTTCTGTTGATGCAGCTTCCTAACAATTCTCAGCCCCCTTAAGAAACTACAGTTCCCAAGATTCTTTGGGGGAAAGAAGCCATCACTGTTTAAAGTGGTATCGCAGCTCTTTAAATGCATGGTGTGAATGTGGCTTTTGCTCAGGCTCTCATGTTCGTTTGGAGCATTCAGATGTGGCTTATTCCACCCAAAGCGATTCCTCTCTTCTCCCAAGTTGGAGCAGAGGATGGTGGGGTTCGTGGACCCAGGCCTGACTCAGCACAAGGCGCAGCGTCACAGGCTGCCTCTATCCTGAGCTGGCGGTTGTGATGATTTAACTTTATTACATTCCCCCCCATGGGCACTTCTCCTATAAACACGCAAAGATATCAGGGCAGGCGGTGCACATTTTGCTGACATACGAAAGACTGCTTTGGGGAGCCAGCTGAACTTGTTTGGCTCCTCTCCTTCTGCTCCCCCCACCCCTGCCGCACCGCCTCACTTTATTCCTTTTGGTTTCCTTTCTGATGTTGTTAACAGCTTCCTTGTTTGCTGCCTGGCCACAGTTACACTTCCTTGCCTAGCTAGTATTTCAGAACCCTGAGCCTTCTTTGCAGAAAATATCAGGTGCACTCCGCTTGCTGGGAGTCACCACAACCAGGCACCATCAACAGGCAGGGTGGGGCATTTGCTGGGGGCCAGAGACGGCTAAGGACCCCACCATTGATCCTTTGCCTTCAGCTTGCCTTCTCATTAGCTGTGGTTCCTGCATTGCAAGGGGTTGGTCTAGATGGCACTCAGGGTCCCTTCCAACTCTAGAATTCTATGATTCTATTTTTTTTTTTTTAAAGCAATTTATTGGATTTTACAATAAGAATAAACATAGTAAACAATATAACATTTGTCTTAACATAGTTTCACATTTTCTTTGGACTTCCTCACATCTCCCGCTCCCACTTTCATCGTTATAACATTTTGTCAGCAATTTATCATCTTATTCAAATTCTTATATCTAGAATTCTATGATTCTAATGCACGTGTGTCTGAGTTCTGAACACCTGCCTTTTCCAGCTTGAAATGTTTTTCCTCCCTCTCTCATGACAGTAGAATTTGTGAGCATCCACTCAATGACACTGGGTGTTGTAAGGTTCAGGAAAGATAAAAAGAAAGGACTTCTTCACACAGTGCATTGTTAAACTGCGGAACTCGCTTCCACAGGAGGCAGTGATGACAGCCACCAACCTGGATGGCTTTAAAAGAAGATTGGACAAATTCATGGAGGAGAAGGCTATCCATGGCTACTAGCCATTATGGCGATGTTCTGCCTCCACGGTCGCAGGCAGAAATGCTCCTGAATGCCAGTTGCTTGAAAACTCAGATGATCTTGTCCTCCAGTCCTGCTTGTGGGGTTTCCCACTGGGGCATCTGACTGGCCACTGTGAGAACAGGATGCTGCACTAGATGGGCCATTGGCCTGATCCAGCAGCCTCTTCTGATGTCCTTATGAACCTGTACACCAATTGGATCATCCTGGAGGCCCTGCTTCAGGTCCCTTTACCTTCAGAACCTAGACGGTTGGAGAACAGGGTCTTTTCTGTGCTGGGGCTGCATTTTCTTAAATTTAGAGTTTTATCTAGAAGTTGAGAAATTTTTATTTTTATTTTTACAGGCTTCCCTAGGAGGATGAGTGGGCAGTTAGCTGCTTTTGTTTACTGAGAACTACTTTATATGGTTTTTAACTTGTTTTTTTATTGCTGTATACTGCTGTGGTGTTTTGTAACGTTTTAGTGGCTTATAAGTATTCCAAATAAAGATAAAATAAAAAATAGGCGCAATCCTTCCACAGAGACGTTTCTTTGGTCCCTGTCATTGTTGAAGCACCAGGCACAAACAATTTTATTTTATTATGCCTTTGGTACGAGTTTCTGCTCCAGAGCCTGAGTCTGCAGTGACTTATTTGTTGCCTTTACCGTACACCCCACCTTCTTCTCCAATGAGTGGCACACGTGCTTCTCCCCTTTCCTCATTCAATCCCTACAACAACACTGTGAGGTAAGTTACACTGAGAGGCAACATCTGGCCTAAGGTTGACCAGTGAGCTTCGTGGTGGCCGAGTAGGAATTTGAACCCTGGTCTCCCAGGTCCTGGTCTAACCATTACACCACACTATCTCTCACTGGTTCTTGGCTGCTGTTTGACTGTATTTGGTGCCGTGGATTGATTCTGAGGTGTTTATGTAGCTTGCAGCAGTTGACTTTGTTGTTTGGTGTGTAAACTGCTCTGAACATTGACACGCAATTGCCTCTCGTCGATTGGAAAGCCAAAAGCCTGCCCTTTAGATTGAAGAAGTGTTTGGAATACACAATTGTCAGCAGTTGATGTGTGTGTGGAGTGGCAGGCTGAACATGGCCTTAGTAGTGTTCGTGCGCATGTGCTTACATGCTCAAGACAAGAGATGGCTGTCCAATTGGCTACTCAGAGATTTGACTTCTAGAGACCCAGAGAACCTGGAATTCCCCAAAGGGCAGGAACACAGGGGCATTGGAAGCTACCTTATACCGAGTCAGGCCATCATTGGTCCATTTAGCTTAGCATTGTCTACACTGATTGGCCCCAGCTGCCCAGCGTTTCAGACCAAGAGTCTCTCTCAGTCCATATCAAACAGCAATATTTCTCCAGCAGCTACAGGATCCCTGTGGGTTGTGGCTAATGTCGTGTGTACTTGGTTTAGAATCTTACAATTGAAAGGTATCCCCAAAATTGCTTTCATTCCAAAACAATTAATTACTGACTGGCGGGGAGAGTTTTACAGTGATCCATGGGCCCATAACTGTCTCTGGTAAATGCACAGCCCTAATGTACATCACTAAATAAAATTTGAGCAAACACCCACCTGCCCAGATTTTCTCCCAAATTCTCCGGGGGGTCCCAGAAGTGCTTCCCAGCAACTGCCCCACCCTTGCAGTCCCCACCCCCAAACCATGGACTAGGAAGGGCACACACAAGTAACAGGGTTGTGAGGCACTTTGTAAATTAAAAGGGCAGGGACATCAATGCTGAATAGGTGTGGTGGAGTGTGCATGAGAGGCATTACATCAGTAGCGTTAATTCTCCTTAAGACCAGGCTTGACGTTCATTAAGGAGGGGGGCGGTATTGTTTTCAGGGCCCCAGCTCCTATTGTTCTGGCCCATACATTTTTTAAACCCACTGAAGTTCTCTCTCTCTCTCTCTCTCTCTCTCTCTCTGTGTGTGTGTGTGTGTGTCTATTTCAGAAAGAGAAGTATTTGTGGAATCTGATTGAGTCAAATACAAACCCGCAAAGGTACAACAGAGAAAGTGTATAAAGAGAAGTTCCCCTCACTCTCTCATAACACTATAATTCGTGGACATCCAACGAAGCTGATTGTTGGAAGATTTAGGACAAATAAAAGGAAGGACTTCTTCACACAGGGCACAGTTAAACTATGGAAATTGCTCTCGCAGGAGCCACCAATTTGGATGGCTTGGAAAGAGGATTAGATCAGTCAGAGGCGGAAATGCATCTGAATACCAGTTGCTGGAGGCTTGTGTTCAGGTCCTGCCCATTGGGGCAGCTGTTTGGCCACTGTGATAACAGGATACAGTACTGACCTGGATGAGCCACTGGCCTCATTCAGCAGACTCCTCCTATGTTCCTATGCTCTTAGGTTGTACTGCAGAGATAAGTCTTCTGTGCTGTGATTATCTTGTGCTCGCAGGGACCCCAGGTTATTTTTTTTAAAAATTAAGTAAACAATGGAGCATCACCAAACCACATGAAAATGGTTCCCCCCCCCACCTCCAGCATAAAACCCTCCAGCAAGACAGCCAAGATTTCTGCACTCTCTCTTTTCCGCCCCCCTACTGTGTGTTTTTCATGATTTGGGAGCAGAGGGGTGGCAGGATGGGGAGGGGGGCTCACTTGAAACAAACGGGTGAGTTCATCCTCTCCACCAAACCGCCTACCCACCCACTGCGCCAATGCCTGCATTGTGTGCCCTCTGACGATGAGTCAATGGAATTGGGGATTTAGAGGGCTTAAGTCTCATAATTAATGTAAACTTTGCCTCAAACGGTTGGCAGTCACCGTGCCCCCCTCTCCTGGGGGTTTTCTAAGCTTCCCTCTATTGTTTTCTGGTCCTTCCCAAGAGGCCTTGCTCCCTTCTCCCCACCTCACTTATTTCCAGCTGGCGCTCGGGGCTGTTGCGATAAAACTGATATCAGATACAGCTTTTCAGACTCTCTGTGCCTGCTGGGGCAACATGTACTTCCCCCAAAGAATAGAGACAAATGTAAGGCCCAACACTTACGTATGAATGATCAGATGGGGACAGAGGGCCCCTGGCTTGACAGCAGTTGGTGTGAAAAGCATCCAGGGGTCTTTGAGGACGACAGGTTTAATATGAGTCAACAGTGTCCAAAGCTTGGGACACTACATCAAAGGCTCAAGATGAATAATAAGTATAATAATAAATTGGCAGTTCTAACAACAGAGGGGTTAAGGAGTGGCGACTGGGGCCTTTGAATTTATGCATATATGATCTGGAGCAAGGGGTGAGCAAATAAGCTGGCTATGTTTACTGCCTACTACGCTGCTGGAGCAAGATGATGAAGCTTCTGGAAATCAAGCCTTATGAGGAACCGTTGAGGGAATTGGGTATGTTCATCCTGGTGAGGAGGAGGCTGATATAAAGACCTGAAGGGCTGGCACATGGAGGATGGAGCAAGCTTGTTTTCTGCTGCTCCAATGGTAGGACCCAAACCAAAGGATTCAAACGACAAGAAAGATTTCCACTAAACCTTGGGAAGAACTTCATGATGGTAAGAGGTGTTCGACAGTGGAACCGACTCCCTGGGAAGGTGATAGACTCTTCTTCCTTGGAGGTTCTTAAGCAGAGGTTGGATGCCCATCTGCCAGGGATTATTTAGCTGTGATTCCTGCATTGCAGGGGGGTTGGGCTAGATGACTCTTGGTGTACCTTCCAGCTCTACAGTTCTACGAATTCTGGGAGCTGTCCTTTGTTTAAGGGTGCTGAGGCCCCTGTTACCCCCCAAGAGCTCAAATTCTCTTAAGAGGTTTAACGGTCTGTCCTTCTTCCCAGGGAATTCTGGGAATTGTCCCTTTGTACAGCAGGCAGTGGGTTCGTGCTGACAACCTGCGCCCACCTGCCACTTACAGACCCTGGTCTGGACCCTGAAGAATGAGCATGCTGGCAACTCTCTGTAAAGAAGAGCAACAAGGCATCCTATAGTTTAGGGGTAAATGGGGAGAATGGATTTTCTTGGCTTAAAGATAAGGGATACCACAGGGACTATCTTTGGTCTGGGTTGGAGCATATGGGGCACTTATTGGAAGATCGGGGCTGGAGAGCCCAGGATCATATCTCTGTGTGTGTTTTTGTGCTGAGGGTGGCACTTTGCCAGCTGTAGAAGAAGCATGGAGCTGTGAGGGTCATTACAGCAAATATAAGAACAGAAGATCGGACCTGCTGGATCAGACCAAAGGCTTAACTATCTAGCATCCTGTTTCCTACTGGGGCAGTGAAGGTTGGTGCCCATTAGGATGGGTGACGTGGAAGGCAAGAACCAGAAGTCTGGAGGCAGAGCCAGCTAGTCCTGGTTTTTGTCCTCCTCCTCCTCCAATTCCCTGCTGAGTTCTAGGAGGGCAACACTGAGACCTTAAATGCCGCATTTGCACCATATGTTTAAAGCACTATGATCCCACTTTAAGTGGTCATGGCTTCCTGCAAAGAATTCTGGGAGCTGTAGGGTCCTGAGAGTTGCTGGAGGCCCCTATTCCCCTTGCAGAACTACAGTTTCTAAAGTGGTTTAACAGCCAATCTCTCTTCCCAAGAAATTCTAGGAATTGTAGCTCTGGGTGGGGAATTGGGGGGGAGGGTCTCTTACCATCTCTCAGCACCCTTGAACAAACTACAACACATCCAAGTAATCAGCAGCAACACTATTGGCAACCTCCTGGTCAGTTCTGACCTCATCAATGCAAATGTGACGTTAGGATTTTGCCCCAGTGTGCGTCATTTAACACTTATTTGCACTGAACCACATGTGCCATTTAATGCCATTGAAGATTTTGATGTTCTTTATAAACTTGTTTTGTAATTATCACCCCGAATAACTGGATGTCACCAGCAAACTTAGCCACCTTATTGCTCACCCCTCACTCCAGATCATATATGCGTCAATTCAAAAGCTCCAGTCGCCACTCTGTTGCGAGAACTGCCAGTTTACGATTATACTTATTATTCATCTTGAGCCTTTGATGTAGTATCCCAAGCTTTGAATATGCGCCCCCATTACAACAACCCTGTAGTGTAGGCCAGTAATGCTAGGTGGAAGCCCGAATGGTGCCTGAATAGGGTGCTTCAGACTTCTCACTCGACTCCTCCCACCCCATGACTAGAAAAAATACCACGCAGAAGCCCAATTATGGAGACATGCCTCAGTTGCATATGCAAAACCCAGGGTTTCATAGGCTCCAACTGTCCCAGTTTACAATTCCTGTTTTCTTCTACCTTCCCCAGGGAAATTACTACGTCTTGTATTGTCCTAATTTCTGCCTTTGGGGATTGCTTTATTTGAAATGTTGATTAGTTGCTAGTGTGGTCATTCGGCTCATCCTCGTAGATAGGTGGATTCATTATGTCTCTCTAATGTGCATCCGTGTTTTGAAATGCATGAGTGCTAAAGGCGCCAGGCAATGCACACCCGTTCAACTGCTGTGGGAGGCTTTGAAAGAGTCATAACTTACTGTAGGGCAATTATTTCCATAGCAGCCTTCCCCAACTTAGTGCTCTCCAGATGTTTTGGACTCCAACTCCCATCAGCCCCCAGCCAGTGTGACCATTTTGGACCACAACTCCCATCAGCCACCACAGCCATTTCATGTCCATCGCCTAGCTTTTCAGAAGAACACAGTACAGAGTCTTCAAGAATAACCCTGTTCCCATGTCTACAAGTGAACAATTAATGTTCATGACAGGGAGGAAATTATTATTCAGTCAGTCAGTCAGTCAGTCAGTTTCTGTCCCACACCATCATATAGGTCTGGTTACAATACAAAAAACACAGCACCATAAAAAAAAATAGCAATTAGAACTGTGTGTTCTAGTTCAAAACTGTATTTTTATAGCAGGCTGCTGAATCTCAGAGCCCTCAAGAACCTTGGGCAAAGAGATGGTGTCTCTAAACCGTGCTGAAAGATAGGCATGGAAGGCACCGGATGCACCTCTGACTGGCAGGCAGCACCCAGCCTGACCCTACAGGATGTGGGGAGGACGTTGACTTTAAGATGGAATTAGACAAATCCATGAAGGACAGGCTTTTTAGTGCCTTGTGAGCCGTCATGGAGCTTCCATGTTCAATAGCAGTGTATCCCTGAACACCAGTAATTGGGGATCAACCCTAGGGGACAACCATATTGCCTTGATGGTCTGCTTGTAGGCTTCCTCGGGGCTTTTGGGTGGGAAGGAATTGCTGGGATAGACGGACCTCTGGTCTGATCTAGCAAGGATGCTCTTATGTCCTTATGGTAGTGCCCATGTGAACAGTCCCTGCTTGTGTGGGGAAACCAATGTGCACAGTGGACACCCAGGGGTGGTGTGGCCTGCTACTTTCCACCTCACCTGGTCTTGTGTATCAACTTTACACTGGTGGTCACATGAATGGGGCTGATGCATGATAGTGTATGGTTTGAGGCATAGGATGTGGTCTGTGGTGCGGGTGTACGATGCCCACAAAATGGTACTGTGGTCAGAGAAATGTTGGAGAACATTAAAGTTTGTGTGTTTGTGTGCTGTAGAATTTAGGGAATTTAGTAGAATTTTGAGGCACCGGGAGAAGCCTGCAGCTGCGCCCCAAGAGGTGTCCCTCCTGTGACTCTTCCTCCCTGAGGACTTTGTTATCGTGTCGAGGCAACAGTGCCTCTCCCACTCCATTGCGGTTCCTGGATCCCAAATGTGGCGTCTGGGATCAGCTAAACCCTTAAAACGGCGGGCTTAGTCCCGGCAGGGCTGGGAAGCCTCAGATAAGACCGGGGATTTGGGTTGTGCAGGTATTGGCAGGTGCCGTGCTCAACTCTTGCCTCCATCTTGCCAGCTGTACCCCCCGGTGGGTATTCCCCCCGGGCTGTGGCAGGCCTCAGAGGGTGCAGAGAGGGGTGAGGAGTTGGAGAGGGCTCTCTTGGAAGGGAATGAAGCCCACCTAAGCAGATTGGGGCCTGGCGTGGGGCTTGAAGGTTGTGGGGTGGTACAAGGGACAAGGCCCAATTCCCACTGAGGTGCCTGACCTATGTGAGGGGCGTTGTGGCTCAGCAACTACCTCCCAAAGTGGAGGAAGGACATAGCCATTGTGGCTAATAGCCCTTAGCCTCCTTTAAGGTGCCCCCAAAAGACTGAGGTAAAAATGTAAAGGAATCTTATTGCTGTGTGTTTGAGACACTGGTTTGCAAAATTATCTCGTCCTTTATCCCTCCAGTTCTTCCTCTCTGTTCTTGTTTATGGTGCCAGCACCAGGGCTGAGGAGTCAGGAGTTCTGGTGGCAGCTGGCTAGTCTTGGCTGTCCCAAAATGCAGTGTCCCAGAAGTTCCATGATGATAGTGCATTGTGCATTTAAAAAAAGTCGTCAAGGCTGGGGTTGCCAGGTCAGGAACATCCCAGACGCTGAGGTTTCCCAAACCCTGGAGATGGTGATTATTTTGGAGAGGGGAGAAGAGGAAGGCAGACCCCCCCCAAGCATTTGTGCCATAATTTGTGCACATGAGAACACACACACACGCCTGCCTGCCTGGAGATTCAATCTCAGCAAACCTGGGCCTCAGCTACATTAGTTTTTGGGGGTTTTTTAAGCGTTTTAAATGTGTTATAGCACCGTAACACCAGATGGCACTGTGGAGTTCCGTCTTTCGGCAACGTGATTCCCCATTATGAGGTTTACAACACGTTTTCCAGAAACGGTTTTTTAAATGTGTCTAGATCCAGCCCTGGAGACTTCAGGTCAGACCTGGAAGTCTGGCAACCCTAATTGCGGCTCTCACAAAAATACTGGGCATTGCAAAAATAAAAATGGAAAACTAATATGGTAGCTGCAACAGCGGCTGCTGGGGGACTGGAGTGGAGACCCCATTGACTCTGGAGAGAGCCTGCCTTAGCCTTGCACATTTCATTATTGTGCAGAAGCCTAGCAAGGGAGAACCTTCCAAAGGATATAAAATGGTCATGGTTACATCACATTCCTTATGCCTGTGGCTTGCTAGGCAAGTTCAGCAACCGGCATGGAATTTGTCATTCTGAAAACCACAGCTTTCATTAAAAACAAACCCACGCCGCTTGTCCTCATGATTGCTGAGATTACTTTGAAATTGTGCTGGCTGTGTACAAAAAACTCAAATTAGGAATGAAAGTAGACATTTGTGATATTGTGGAGAGGCAGGGAACTTTTCTGCCTCACATATAGTGCTGGAACTCAGGGTTAGCAAATGATTACAGATTGTTTGGCAATGGGTTCAGGACTGGGCGAAAGAAAGTTGCTTGTTCACAATGAACTCATGTGTTGCACTGCCACAAGATGCAGTGATGTGGCTTATAGCTTTGAGGTCTTTTTAAATGGCGTAGCGAAAATCCATGGAGGACAGGTCTGTGTTAATGACTGTTCGCCGTGAGAGATAAAGGGCACCTCTTCCAATTTTATACCTTTGAATAAATTCCAGAAACTGGGAACAAACAGCAGAGGGTGTGGCTTCCTGTGAGCTTCCCAGAGTCATAAATTGGCCGCTGTACTCTGTGCTCTGGTAACTGCCAGACTGGACTGCTGCAACACGCTCTATGTGGGGCTGCCCTTGAAGACGACTTGGAAACTTCAATTGGCCAAAATGCAGAGGTCAGATTACTGGTTGGGGTTGCATTTACCAGTAGATCTCATATAAGCCCTGTTTTAAAACAGCTGCACGACTTGCTCGTTCGTTTCTGGGCCCAACTCAAGGTGCTCGCTTTAGTTTGTACAGCACAGCCCTAAATGGCTCAGACCCCAAATACCTGAAAAACAGCCTCCTTCCCTAGAGAGCCTCTTGGGTGCTGAGCTTGGCAGAGGGGGGCCTCTTGGTTGTTCCACCACCCTCAGAAGTTTAGGATGGTGGTGACCTGGGAGAGGGCCTTCTCTGTGGCAGCATAAGCTCAGGAACTCCCTCTCCACAGAGCTGTGTCAGTCACCTTCACTATACAGCTTATGGTGAATGCTGAAGATGCACCTCCTTACCCTGACTTTTGATACTTGAGGTGTCTTATGGGTAGCTTAGTCAGTAGAGCAGGGGTCAGCAAACTTTTTCAGCAGGGAGCCGGTCCACTGTCCCTCAGACATTGTGGGGGGCCGGACTATATTTTGGAAAAAAAAATTGAACAAATTCCTATGCCCCACAAATAACCCAGAGATGCATTTTAAATTAAACACACAGTTAAGGAGCTGGGCTGTGGGCCCTTGCTTGCCTCAGCCTCCTGGAGCGCCCTGCCTACTGCTCCCTATGCCTCAGACCCTGTCGTGTTTGTGGAGACAGGGGCCCCTCTGGCTCTGATGATGGGTCCTCCTACTCTGGTTCCTGTGCCCCTCCATCACCCTGAGTCGGGTTTCTTATTTGGACTTGCTCAGCACTGGTTGGTTTCTTTTCTTTGATTGCCCTCTCTGAACTTGCCGTGCGCGAGATCCGAACCCCAGGGTTTGCAGTGACTCTGTGATATACCGTACTTTTGGCTGGGAGAGACACACAGCACCACCAGCAACTTCACATCACCCCCTAAGAAGAACAAACAAGACATACAAATTGGGCAGGTGTGCTCCTTGTTTGGAGGGGCTCTTGCCTGCTCCTCACCCCCTTGGCATTGCCCATGGATTAATCTGCCAGTCTTGTGTTCTCTCTCTCTCTCTCTTTTAAAAAAAGCATTTTTTAAAAAAGTCCTCTTGAAAATTTGCCTGCATTTCAGGTCACCTTTTTTCTATTTAACACATCCTTGCATGCCATCTTGCTATGTACAGTGGTACCTCAGGTTACATACACTTCAGGTTACATACGTTTCAGGTTACAGACTCCGCTAACCCAGAAATAGTGCTTCAGGTTAAGAACTTTGTTTCAGGATGAGAACAGAAATCGTGCTCCAGCGGCGCGGCGGCAGCAGGAGGCCCCATTAGCTAAAGTGGTGCTTCAGGTTAAGAATAGTTTCAGGTTAAGTACAGACCTCCAGAATGAATTAAGTACTTAACCCGAGGTACCACTGTACACACATTTTTGCAAGCCATTTCCCCCCATATAATGCACTTTTCTAAGTTACTTGCATTTTTAAGCTAATATATATTTCAGCTGATATATGTATTTTTATGCACAATTTCCTCCAACATATACGTTTACGTGGTTGGAGAACTGCATTGCAACATTCAGAGACGTGCAGATTTCGGAGGATAACCCAGTTTCGGTTCATGTATTGTTTTGGAACGTACAAATTAGGTAGGCTGGCATAAAACGCCAATTTTCCTGGTCTGTGTGTTCCCTGCATTCCTTGGCGGTGGCGTGTCTATCTCAACTCTGCTTTGCTGCCCAAGGTAAAATAACTGAGGCTGAAAGTTAGGCCTCACTCCAATGAATGTGGTGGTGGTAAGACAGGGTTAGGATCCTCTTGCTGATCTCTGGGTTACTCAGAGTAGACCAGCAAGTCTCTATGACTCCTTTACCGTTGGACAACAGGAGCCTCTGCATACTTAACTCATCTGATCCACAGGCAGGATATATATCTATATCTGTATATCTATATCTATAGCTATCTAGCTATGAGCCTCAGTCTTCCCCAGCTGTAAAATGGGATCTTAAAATGTGCTGCTGCTGACACAATTTGCTGCAAGCAAAAACAAATTCTGCCATGTCTGGCCTTGTGCTGATCGTATATCTCTCAGCCCTAATCTTCTTCACAGGTAAAATATGACTATGAATTGGTTGCCTCTGACCAGGTCTTTGCGAAGCTCTGCTGCCCATTGTTAAATAATTTTTTATTGGAATCCGTAGCATCTCAGAGATTGATTTCATAGAACTATACAGCTGGAAGGGACTCCAAGAGTCAACTGGTCCAACCTCTTGCAGTGCAGGAATTTGTGTGTGTGTGTTTGTGTGTATGCGCAAGTTGTCCTGGGTCTATTCTGCTGTTGGTTTTGTTATTTTAGATTTTGTACTTGTTTTAGCATACAGTGGTACCTTGGTTCCTGAATGGCTTAGTTGTTGAACGAATCGGCTCCAGAACGCCTCAAACCTGGACATCAGATGCAGCTTCTGCTGCATTTAAGGTCCCCAACCCTAATCTGCGGGTTGCCATCCGATTGGATTTTATTCTGATCCTGATCTGATTTGAGGATGTATTTTAATTGATTGTCTGATTTTATGTTAATGTATGTTAGCCGCTCTGAGCCCAGCTTTGGCTGGGGAGGGCGGGATATAAATAAAATTTATTATTATTATTATAATTATTGAGTGCAGGAAGCTCCTGCAGCCAATCAGAAGCTGTGCCTTGATTTTTGAACCGTTTTGGAAGTCGAACGGACTCCCGGAACGGATTAAGTTCAAGAACCAAGTACCACTGTATTTGTATGCTCAAAACCAACCAGAGAATCTTTTCGTTATTGGGCAGTACAGGTAGCTCACATCTTGCCTGGAGGTTACATTCTGGGAATAGCGCATAGATGCAAAAATGCACATACTTGAATCACCCCGTTGGAACTGGCCCAACACAAGAAATCTTACCTTTCAGAGCTGGCGCACCAAATGCGTCTTAACTCCCAACCAAACAAAGCAAAGAGCTTTCAAGCTCTTTGCTTTGCTTACCAGACTCTGGGAGGCTCACCGGAGATTTCACGGGGCTGTCCGAGATGTCGCCAGAGCCTCTCGGAGCCCTGTGAATGAGTCTGAGAGCTTAAAAGCTCTTTCATGCCAGGAAAACCCTGCTCAGAAAAAGCTTTTAAGGTCTCCACCTTTCGGTGCATTTAATTTGTGTGATTTCAACCAGCCAGCCTTCAACTGCATAAAATTGAAATTGCACAAGCTAAAGACACGTAGGTTGCGAGTTACCTGTATACAGATATTGAAAATAAAACAAAACACCCCAGGCAGTTGTGGCTCATGGGCTTCAGCAGGTAACTGGCTCCATCATTTTGCACCAGGCCCTGTCCACACCTACATTTTATATCTGGCTCAGGTTGTTGGGCCTTATAGGCTCCTAGCAGGAGACCCTGCAAGCCTGGAATCTGCCTGCTTCCAATCCTTCCTTAAAAAAAACAAAGACAGCTAATATAAAACCCCACCTCAAACCTCTGAGGTATGGTGGACTTGAGTTCCACAGGTTAATGTTCTGCTTTGCGTGACACTGAATGGGAAGGAACTCTCCACCCCACCCCACTCCTGGCTGATCTCCTGCAGGGGTAGCATCAGCAACAGCAACTGAGCTCCATCCTTGGAGACACAGCACCATCCCAGCCCAGCTGGGCTCCCTGCCCTGCTGCTGCTGCTGCTGCCGCCGCCGCCACTGCCTCGTGCATTCTCCAAGCCCTCGCCCCTTCCCTGCGGGGACAGCCAGCCGGTTTGGCTGGTGCTGCCTGTTCTTGGGCAATTTGTTATGAATCTGTCAGAAAGCTCCAAAACTGCCGAGTGGCTGATACTGGGCGTGTGTGCGAGACGGAGACAGCCGGTGCTTTTGTGTCTGTGTGTGCGTATGCATGATCGGGGCCGCGGAGGTATGTGAGACGGGTGCAGGGGATGCCCACGTGTGTGTGTGAAAGAGAGACAGAGACATTGACAATGAGGCTGTGCTTTTGATTTTATTTTTTTTATTAATTTTATTGAGTACAAATTAGAAAAAAATACAAATATACAAAAAAAGGAAAATACATGTAACCAAGAGAAAATTAGAAAACATTTTACCTCTTCTCATATTTACAATTATTTACACCTCTACAAAACAATATTCACAATATAGAAAATAAATGAAAGGTAAAATATAAAAGAAAAGAACAAGAAGATAAAGAAAAGGAAGAAATAAGATCAAGAATGAGAATTTTAAAAGTAGGTAAGTATTCACTATACACTGCGCTTTTGATTTTTATAATGCACCACCAAAGGACAGGAGTCGAAAGGGGAGGTTGTCCGATTTATTTGACATGATAGAAGTTTGCACAAGTATGCACGGAACGGAGAAAGTGGATAGAGAGAAAAAAAGTGTTTCTTCCTTTCTTGTAATACGAGGACTCGCGGACATCTAATGAAGCTGTGCCCAGTTAAACTGTGGAACTCACTCCCACTGGAGGCAGTCATAGCCACCAACCTAGTTGGCTTTGAAAGAGGATTCGACAAATTCGCGGAGGAGGATAAGTTGCTCAGTGGCTCCTGGCCAGGATGGCTTATGCTCTGCCTCCACAGTTGGAAGCAGCAATGTTTCTGAATACCAGTTGCTGGAAACAGCAGGAGGGGAAGAGTGCTCTGCTTGCAGGTTTCCTAATAGAGGTGTCTGGCTGGCCGCCATCATAAAAGGATGTTGAACTAGATGGGCCATTATTTGGGGGTAGCCAGCTTGTGATAAATGGTTTTTAAAAACCCAGTAAAGCACAAGAAGAAATAAAAAGTGAGAATGGCCTCGGTCCTGCTGGTGAAGGGTAGATAGTAATACTCTGGAGACAAAAAGTATGTATTAATGGAGAAACCCACTGAGCAGCTAAAAGTTCTAAACTCCACCCAAAATGCTGACTACTTCATAGAAATATGGCAGCCTTCCATCACTCTTTCAATAGATAATACTACTGTGCGGAATCCACACAGGAGTGACTACGGTTGTTTTTTGCTAACACAGTCATCCTCGTATCATTTCAAGTGGGTGTGATAGGGAAATGTTTCTGTGTTTTTTTTTCTTTTCTTTTCTCCCTTCAACTATCATCATAATGCAGAAAAGATGGCTAAGGTATTGTAATTCAATAAACATACCTTTAAATTAGTACAGTGGTACCTCAGATTACATACGCTTCAGGTTACAGACTCCACTAGCGCAGAAATAGTGCTTCAGGTTAAGAACTTTGCTCCAGGATAAGAACAGAAATCGTGCTCCAGCAGCACGGCGGCAGCAGGAAGCCCCATTAGCTAAAGTGGTGCTTCAGGTTAAGAACAGTTTCAGGTTAAGAACGGACCTCCGGAACGAATTAAGTATTTAACCCGAGGTACCACTGTAATAACAATAGACAGCTTTAGAGCAAGGTTAAGAGAAAAAAAGCTCATCTGGACATTCTGGCCATAGGGCAGTCAGGGTCATTGTGGCCATCTTTGCCCCTGACTCCTCTGGGCCTACCCCTCCGAACAAGTTACTCAGGGTTAGGTAACTATGCCTGCACAATATCTCTGCTCTGTTAAAATGCAGGTTGTGAGGAGTGGTCAATGTGTAGAATATGGAGTCCTCCTCCCAGCTCCAGGTATTTTAGATCATCTGAATTAAGGCTAGAGATCTGTGCCAGATTACGCAAGAGTTCACAGAGGAGGCTGCTAGCCACAGTGGCTATGCTCTCCCTCTGCATACCAGTGCTGGAAACCACAGGAGAAGCTATGCTTCTGAATACCAGTTGCTGGAAACCACAGGAGTGGAGAGGGCTCTTGTGCTCGGGTCCTGCTTGCGGGTTTCCTAAAAGAGGTGTCTGGTTGGCTGCTGTGATAAAAGGATGCTGGACTAGATGGGCCTGCGGCCCGATCCAGCTGCAGGGCTGTCCTTAGGTTCTGAGGATGAAGGAGAGAAAGGACAGGGAAAGTAACTTTCAGGACAGTGACCTTCTGGAGAGCCAGAGAGGGCGAGAGAAGGGAAGATGGAGGAAAATGAGGCAATGCGAAGATGCAGCAGAGTCAGCTGCCATAGTGGCTTCTGTTACCAGTGAGCAAATTATTCGGACAACACTTTCCACTGCAGGAAACAAGATGCCCCAGGCCAACAAGAAAGGCAGTGGAATTGGATGGGCCATCCTTTGGCCACTGCAAAGGAGAGAGGCTGGCTGCTATCCAGATCAATGCAAAGAACACTTAAGTCCTAGTGCGTCTAGTGAGATTTAAGTGAGCTTAGCAGTGCTGGATTGCAGCCTTTGTACATGCTCTCAAGCGAAGGGCAAAGGATGTTAAGTGGAGGTGCCAGCTCCCAACATTTGAGAGAGGCTTAAATCGTGAGATTTTATGCAAATCATGTCATAGGCGTTGACTCCCCTTAACAATTACACACACACACACACACACACACACACACACACACTGCAATCTTAAGCTTACTCAGAAATCAATCCTGCTGAATTTGATGGAATGTAAACCCTATTCAGGTGTTCAGGACGTGGCTTACCTAAACACACATGGATTAGACAAATTCAGGGAGGTTAAGGTTATCAGTGGCTACTAGCCAGGATGCCTGTGCTGTGTCTCCATGATCAGAGCCAGGGTTAGACAAATTCATGGAAGAGAGGATAGTCGATGGCTTCTAGCCATGATGGCTATGCTCTGTCTTCACAGCTGGAGGCAACAATGCTTCTGAATTCCCTGTTGCTGGAAACAGCAAGAAGGGAGAGTGTTCTTGTGCTCAGAGACTGCTTGCAAATTCCCTACAGGTGTCCGGTGAGAACAGGATGCTGGACTAGATGGGCCGTTGGCCTCATCCAGCAAGCTCTTCTTATGTTCTTATACAAGCATAAGTGTGCTCATGCCATGCCCCACCAAAATCTTGTAAGCAATTAAGTGGTTAAATTACAGGAAGAGCTATATAATGCCTTCTGAGCAAACAACCTGTAGTCATCTTCAAATTAACACGGTACTCATTCAGTGTCACTATTTGTGTCTTTTGTTTCTTCATTAAAATTGCATATCAGTTTTGTTTATTTTGGGAACTTTGTTGAGTCATAATTTGCCGCAAGTGATGCATCGATGTGTTCATGGCATAACTTTTCAGAAACAACGAGATCTGGCGATTTGTAAGTTGGTGGCTTTGGAATGCAGAGCCCATGAACTTCCTTCTTCCTTTCCAGACCTGAGTTAGTCACTGATGAAACTGTCATTTGCCTCCTGGAGTTCCAAGTGCTTCTCTAATCTTTTCAAGTTAATCTTTTCTTAGAATTATATCCTACCTTTTCCTCCAATGAGCTCAAGGTGGCCTACAGACTTCTCCTTCTCTGCATTTTATGCTCACAACAATCCGGTGGTGTAGGTTTGGCTGAGAGACCATGACTGGCCCAAGGTCACCCAGTGAGCTTCAAAACTGAGTGGGGATTCCAACCCTTGTCTCCCAGGTCCTAGCCGGACACTATGCTGGCTGCACCTGTGGAACTGCATACCTGCTTCACTGTGACCAAGGGAGCTGATTCTTGCATCTGGTGTGGCTAAGCGTCTTCCAGGGAAACTCTCACACCTGTTAGCAACTTCTATGTTAGAGTACTCTTATCAAACCTCATTTAGAAGAGGTATGTAAATTCCAGTTTAAACAGCAGGCTCCTAATGCAGTTGCAGAGTCTAAGCCAATGCCAAAACAAATATTTGGAGATATGATAGGTTTCTCAGTTCTGCTGTGCAGATTTTTGAATACCTTTTCAGTATGCAGTTTTTAGAATTCTTGGTCTCGCCTTGATTTGTTTTATTTTATTTTGGCAATCTTCCAGTATGAAAATCTCATAGGCTTTTAACCATTAGAGCTTAATGACTGATTTGTGTTATTTATCAAATGCTATTAACTTCTCAGTTTATGATCAAATGCTATCTAATGATGTGGCATATACTGATGATAGCTCCTGTTATATGGGACATGGGTGGCGCTGTGGTCTAAACCACTGAGCCTCTTGGGCTTGCTGATTGGAAGGTCAGCGGTTCGAATCCCTGCGATGGGGCGAGCTCCCGTTGCTCTGTCCCAGCTCCTGCCAACCTAGCAGTTCAAAAGCACACCAGTGCAAGTAGATCATAAGGTACCGCTGCATCTCTGGCTTCCATCACGGTGTCCTGTTGTGCCAGAAGCGGTCTAGTCATGCTGGCCAAATGACCCGGAAAGCTGACTGTGGACAAACACCGGCTCCCTCGACCTGAAAGTGAGATGAGTGCCACAACCCCATAGTCGCTTTTGATAGGACTTAACCATCCAGGGGTCCTTTAGTTCCTGTCAACTTTAATGTGCTGCAGACTTTAGGGAATCAATTGAAAGCTAAGCAGGGCTTCCTTAATGAGAAAAGCAGTTGAAAGTGTGCTTGATCATCACTGGTTCTAAAATGTGCAACATGGCATATTGTGTCTATTCCACTCTCCGTGATGGTGGGACCCAGCACTGGCCCACGTGAACCATAGTGTTTCAGAGTAGAGTGTTATGCAGTTTGGTTTTTCCAGTTAAAAAAAAACCCTGAAATACAAAGACCAGTGATTTTATATGGATGTAGAGCTGGGTAACTCTTTCCCTGGGCATCACTATAGTGAAAAACTTAGGTTCTTTGCAAAAGTCAAGAGAGGAAATCCAGTTCAGTTTTAGTCTGGAGGTGTCAACAATAACTGTGAGGTGTATGACTCTACTGTTTTTCTGTCTGTCTGATGTGAGTGGAGTACAGTGGTACCTCGGGTTACATACGCTTCAGGTTACATACGCTTCAGGTTACAGACTCCGCTAACCCAGAAATAGTACCTCGGGTTAAGAACTTTGCTTCAGGATGAGGAACAGAAATCGTGCTCCAGCGGCAGCAGGAGGCCCCATTAGCTAAAGTGGTGCTTCAGGTTAAGAACAGTTTCAGGTTAAGAACAAATTAAGTTCTTAACCCGAGGTACCACTGTACTCATCATAGGACATTCCCCAGAATCCTTTAACATGTAGCATTTTTTTGGCAAGTGGAAAGCATTCCCGAAACCCACTATTATTATGTAGCCACTGTCTATGCTATGAAATTATGTGTACCCTTGCATGTCTCTGTAAAGTGCTAAATACCACTGCATGCTGAATATTCAATTGTGGGTGGGGGAATCAGATGTCATGTATCCAATACTGAAATCACGTATCATCAAATTCTTTTGGAGAACGCCTGCAGCAAGCATAAGAACATAAGAGTCGCCACTGGATCAGGCCAGAGGCCCATCTAGTGCAGTATCCTGTTGTCACAGTGACCAACCAGATGTCCTAATCAGGGTGTGTGAGAGAGAGTGACTTTTTTTAACTTTGTAAAGAGCAGAACATAGGAAGTGGGCTAAATTCCTTTTTCAGTGCTGTGGAGGATTGGCACATTCTACCCTTGAACATGACGAGAAATATGCTCTTATTTTTGGGAAATTGCACCCCCTTTCACCCCGGCTTAGTCTTTCGATAGCCTGGCCCTTGAGAGTAGACAGCTGATTCTATCCAGAATGTTAGGGCCGCAGAACGATGTTGGATAGAAATTAAGTGGTTTCCAGCTGTAATGCTTTAAGGGATTATGAAAAATGGGTTGTTAATAGGTAAAAATTTAATGTTACTATTTTAAGACTAAAGATTAGGATAAATAAAGAGGGTAAGGATTTGCTGAACCAACAAATTGAACTGGAATACAAAAAAGGGAGGTATGAGGAGGTCCGGGAAACAAGCTAAAGGAAAACAAGCAATGGAAATTCTGTGTGTTTTTAACTATTTTTATTTTGTATTTTTGTTATTTTTTTCATTTTTATTGTAGTACTTTAAAAAAGCTTAATAAATATCTTATAAAAAAAAGAGAGAGTAGACAGCTGATTCATTCTGGCTCATGGTCATCAATCCCTGGTGGCTGCTTCATCAAGTCCACTAGAATTTTGCAGTCTTGAACATGGACCGGTTGCTATCATGAAGAGCTTTTTGCATTCCAGGAGTAACTTCTAGGATACAAGGATGCTAGACTGAAGCTGCCTTGGGGCTCATAACTGCTTGGCTGTTGACTTGCTTCCCACCAGCTCAGCCTCTACATTTGTAAATAAACAGGTTTTGCTGGTTAAAGCCAAGAGGGTCTTGGTTCTTTCTGTTAAAGGTTAGTTTTACAGATATAATTGGTTGTCAACAGCTGTGAGCTGCCCTGAGATCTGAGGATAAAGGGTGGTATACAGATTTACACTAAACAACAACAACAGTTCAGAACATAGTTAAAACTGTAGAATTCACTCCTGCAGGAGGCAGTGATGACCACCAACTTAGATGCATTACACAAATCCTGCTTGCAGGTAGAGGCACCTCGCTGGCCAGTGTGAGAACAGGATGCTGGATTAGATGGACCATTGGCCTGATCCAGCAAGGCTAGTCTTACGTTCTTATGTGTGCACATTGAAGTGCATTGAAGCATGTATGTGTGAAACCCTTCTGCTGCTTAGAGATTTTCCTTCTAGATACTCTGAACCCTGAAGGACCCTGCTAGCAAACTAAATAAAGAGTGCTAAGACATCCTGCCAAATGGATCCCCAGGGACAAAGCAGGGGGTGCATTTAGAAGTGGAGAATATTGCATTTGTTTTTCCTGATTGTAATGCTGGTGCTTCTACCCTGTTTTCTAGAGTTCCTTTCACACAACGCCAGCTGTTGCTTTATGGGATTGTGCCTTTTTGATGGATATAGTGGAATGCCGCGTTAAATTTAATTCACACAATGTGAACACAAAGTGACACAATGACAAACGTCATTGGACAACGTCGCTACACTCTTTCCGCACATGCCTGCTTCTGTTCCCCCATGAAAATGGCAGGAAAGAACTGCATGCTAGCATGACCACTCCAAATTTCGTTAGTTTACTCCTGCGGTTTTGTGGGTTCAGGGGACTGCAAATGGATTCCCCCCTGGAATCAAAGAACACGGAAATGAACACTAAACATGCACTGTGTTCCATTCGTTTTCTGGAAATGGCTTTTGCATTGTGTGAAACATCAAATATAACATAGAAATTAACAGCTAGGGAAATACAGTGGTACCTTGGTTCTCAAACGCCTTGGTACTCAAACAACTTGGAACCCAAACACTGCAAACCTGGAGGTAAGTGTCCTGGTTTGCGAACTTTTTTCGGAGCCAAACGTGCTCCATTTTGCGTGTTACGCTTCCATTTTGAGTGTTACGCTGACAATTTGAATGTTATGCTGAGGTCTGTCGGTTTTTGCTATTTATTTTGTATTTTTGTTTTTGTGGCTCTTTTTGTTTTGTTTTTGTGACTGTGTGGAACCCAATTCAGTTACTGATTGATTGATTATGTGACTGCAGTACATTGTTTATTGCTTTCATTTTATGGATCAATGGTCTTGTTAGATAGTAAAATTCATGTTAAATTGCTGTTTTAGGGGTTGTTTTTAAAAGTCTGGAACAGATTAATCTATTTTGCATGACTTTCTATGGGAAAGCACACCTTGGTTTTGGAACACTTTGGTTTTGGAACAGACTTCTGGAACGGATTAAGTTTGAGAACCAAAGTACCACCGTAGAATAAACTGCCATGTGAATGCAGCTAGGGAGGGCGATATACCAGGGACACGAAACCCAAAATACAAGCTATGCCTGGGAAACAAGGACAGTTTGAGCTTGTTAAACGGATAATGTTGCCTGCTGCTCCCTTGACTTCTGCGGCTGTGGGTAGCTCCAGGGTTTGGGACAGCCCCATCCTGGCCTCCCTGTTCGCCCAGGCTTTCCTGTTTCACTCCTTGTCACAGTGACAGGGTGACAGCAGGGAACCAGGCCTGTTGTTCTGTTTACGGCCATTGTCGCTGCAGCAACAGCCCTCGGAGCAAGGGACACAGCCCCAGCGAGAGGCTGGGTTTGCAACAGCAAGGAAATAAGCAATGTACGAAACCCCAAAGCCGCTGTGGCTTCTCATTGCACGGCTGGGCACACCCTTGGCTCCGGGTGCAGCTTCCCCAGCCGGTAAAACCTTGGCGGCAGCGGAGGCCTCCTGGAGCAGGAGAAAACGGAGCAGAGAGAAAGCCGGTTTTCGTGACTCACTAGAGGGAGTGAATTGAGGGGCTTGTGGTGATGGCGGCAGCTTCCCTCGACCCTTTTGTGTCCTCATTGTGCCCTCCTGGAGAAATGTGCACACACTAGCTTAGGGCTTAGAACCCAACTCTCTGGCACGCCTGCTGTTGTGTTTAACATGCATGGATTTTTCTGCATATGGAGAAGTAGTGTCACAGCATAAGAACATGACCCATCCAGTCCAACATTCTGTTCTCACAGTGGCTGACCAGACGCCTCTGGGCACAAGCACAAGAACTCTCTAGCCCTATGGCATCCTGTGACAACTGGTATTCAGAAGCATTGTTGCTTCCGACTGTGGGAGCAGAGCAGAGCCATCCTGGCTAGTAACCATTGATAGCCCTCTCTGCCATGAATTGGTCCCATCCTCTTTTAAAGTCATCCAGGTTGGTGGCCATTGCTGCCTTCACGAGGTAGTTCCATGGTTTAACTACGTGCTGCTTGAAGAAGTCCTTTCTTTGATTTGTCTTGAATCTTCGTACAGTGTTGGGGGGGCACTGTGAATGACTCTTCTCCTGCAGGGCAGAGAGGGCAGGTCTGCCTGACGCCAAATGCAACAGAGGGGTGTGTGTGTGTGTGTGTGTGTGTGTGTGTGTGTGTGTTTGATATCGGTTGCCAGCCATGCAACCAATGGGCCAGTCTTCTGCTCTGACTAAGCTGGTGCAATCTCAGACTCTGTTGACACAAAACTGCTGAGCATACAGCAGGAGTCTGAGCTGCGTCTCAAAATCTTCTTGCTCCCTGCACACCTCTGTGACTGTCAAAGGGCTCGTGAGAGTCGCCCTCCTAAAGGGCCGCTAGGACACGCCTTAGGGTGCTACTGTTGTGTGCCAAAGGGGCACCTCCGAAAAGGGCCGCAGCTGGCTCGATAGAAAAGTTTGCAGGGTGATCATCCTTTCATTCTCTTTTTGGAAGTGACTTCCACTGACCTGCCGCCACAGCTACAAATCGCAGTCCGTCACCGTGTGATAACTGTGCAAATTTCTGGGCAGGGTAACTGTGCTGAAGGCAGGATCATAAAAAGCTGCAGCGTCAGCAAAATGGGTGAGTCGTATCCTGCGCTGCCGTTTCCAAGCTGGAACAGATTTCTGCTCATGTAGCAGGTCTTCCCTCTCCTCCTCCTCCTCCTCCTCCTCTTCCTGCCCCCTGCCCCCACAGGGGAACCCCCTCCCCTCAAGCAAATTTGGGGGGCTTCTTGTGAGACACTGCAGGGAGGGGAGAGGAAGGGGAAAGTCTTGCAATGCAAGCGAAACTGCACCTATCTCAGGAATTCCGAGCATTTAGAGAGTGCATCAAAGCACTCAGCTTTCCCTGCATTATATTGCAATTCCCACGACAACCCCGTAAGCTAGGTCAGAATTGTTGCGCTGATATTGAGTGTTCCTGGGAGAGATTGTGGCTTGCTTCCAGCTATGCAGATCCTTTTGCTCTTCTGTTCTAAGCTGCAAGCAGAATTGCAAGCACATACGATGTTTGGACCCTGCTCTGTGGGGACCACTATAGTGGGCAGGGCAGAACTGCAGTGGGCGGGGCTTTTTGAAATTTAGGGCACAGCCGCTATAACCCTTGCAGTGGGTACCATTTTATGACTTTTTATTTAAAATAATCAGTCTTTTAATTAGGTCTGAAACACATCTCTGGCTGTAATTAAATGAGAGAGAAAATGAAAGCGAGGTGTAGTGCTAAGATACCATAATTGTGTCACTTTTTTTAGAAGTGATTTTTAAAAGCTCTTTGACTCACTGCTGTTTTAGCAGCATGGTAAATGGCAATGATCAGAAAGTTTTTTTAATGATAATATTATAGCATTATGTTGTTTATGGTGCTATATCTCTCTTTCATTAAAAAATATTGTTACATGCCACCCCAGTATTCCAGAGGTCCAAGCCCTTACCCATTGGTTCATGTTTCTTTTGGTAATGAGGCACAGCAGAGACTGTGGTGTCTTTATGATATATGGTTTATTTACACATACATACAACAGAATCAGCAATGAAGGGGTTCAGAGCATTACACGCCAAGCGAGTCTTGCTTCTGCCAGAGCTGTACCTTTGGATCCAAACAGACTCCACCCATGGCTCTGACTCTGTAGCTTGCTGTATTTTACAGACTCAGGTAATGAGTCAGGTAATGAGAAAGGCCCTTTTTGTTGCCTGAGACCCCCCTGCCCCCTGTCAGAGAAGACAACACAGGTTACACATATGTAACCTGTCTGTGGCTCCACAGCCCCTTTGGTGTTGCTGCTGTTGTTCACCAGTTAGGAGTCGGAAAGCCTGGCTAGTTTGCTTAAAATCAGCCAGAGATCGGCAAGTGGATCCTAACGTTGCTTCACACACACCCTTCCTGTCCCAGGACAGCAGAAGGAATCCAAGGAAACCTGCTTTTATATAAATTGATCTTGGAGAAATTACAGAGTAAGAATGTAGCTGGGGGTAGGGAGTGACTCGTGTGGCTTCTGTAAATGGAATTGGCCAGCCTCTTGAACTGCAACTGATGATGATGATGATGATGATAATAATAATAATAATAATAATAATAATAATAATAATAATAATAACTACTACTACTACTACTACTACTACTACTACTACTACTATTATTACTATTACTATTGCAAAAAGCATCCCTACTGACCTTTCCAGCAGGCCCCAGAAATGCATGAGCACATTGTGAGTCATGCGCGACAGGATACGTCTTGGCCTTCCCCGCCTTCTCTGCGCATGCTCCGCTCTCCTTCGCTGTGTCTCCCCACGGAGAGCAGGTTTGGCAAGACTGTTGTTGAGCAGGGAGGGAGGGAGCCCAGCTGGCGGGGGGGTGGGTGAGATTAAGGGTTCAAGAGAAATGACCCCGGAGAAATCTGGTTCGGCTGGTTGGGTGCCTTCCTTTCTCACGTAACTCCCACTCAGAGGTGAGTTTCAGGAGCACCTTTTTTCTCATTTGGAGGCTATATATATATATATATATATATGTACATATATCACTTGGGTTTGGTGGAGAGACACCTCTGGGCGATGGGACGGCGGCAGGCAAGAAGGGAACCGGCTGGAAAGGTTATTATTTTTTGTAACACCTGCAGTCACGCACAAGGGAGGGCTCCTCTCCCAGAAGCTGAAAAGTGCTGGAATCCAGATGCTTTGATGGAGGGTTTTTTTTTTTAAAAAAAGAAAAACATCCTCGGTGAGACCAAGTTTGAATGCCATGATCCCTCCTGAGCAGGTGTTGACCAGGGGAGCAAAGAGCTGTGGTTGCCTTTGACAGCTAATGTGGCTTCTTTTTGTGTGTCATCCACACATGTGGCCTAGTGCTTTGCAGCCGCAGGAAACGTTGAAACAGGTCTCTGTCCTGGGGACCATACAGTGCAAAATGTTGACAGTGTGGCTAGACAGTCACAGGAGGGAAGGGAGAGGCGAGAGGAGGAAGGCAAGGGTTGTCAGGGCACGCAGTGACATGTACATAATCACGGACAATTAAGGATGTGAGGGCTAAATTAGACACGGCATGAAAAGTCTGTCATTGCCTTGTCTAGTGGTGGCGTATTCTTTGATTAAAAGCAATGGGGCAGTGGATTGGATCAGGAACGACAGTGTGGTGTAGTGGTTCGAGTACCAGACTATGATATGGGAAACCAGGGTTCAAATCTCCCGCTCGGCCATGAAGCTCGCTGTTACTCTCAGCCTAATCTACCTCACAGGGTTGTTGGGAGGATAAAAATGGAGGAGAACCATGTACGCTAGCTTGAGCTCCTTGGAGGAACGGCGGGATATAAATGTGACAATCAATCAATCAATCAATCAATCATAAGCACCGGAGGACAGGGGGACCCACCCCCCCTCAAATAATTTTTTCCTGATCAGAATCTCCCATTTGAGGTTCGCTCCAGGGGGAGAGTGAAAGATAAATCCCTGTGTCCTCCCCCCCGCACATAAAATGTACACACTGCTTGATTGCAACAAGCCTCAAAGCAGTTGACAAACAGAGAAAAATCATTGCCAAAACAGTTAAAAACAACTGTTCAATAACATTCAAGTAAAAGTTAAAATCAGTGATAAACTAAAAACAGATTAAGACACAGACCAATGTTCCATACATGGCATAGCTAAACAAAAGTGTTTTTACGGTCTTCAAATAAAAACATCCTGAAGGTCCCAGGCCACAGAGAGGTTAGGCTGGCCTCAACTAGAGTCAGGGCTTCCTCGGCTGCGGCTCCAATCTGGTGGAACGCTCTGTCACAAGAGACTAGGGCCCTGCGGGACTTGACATCTTTCCTCAGGGCCTGCAAGACAGAGCTGTTCCACCAGTCCTTTGGTCAGGGCGCAGCCTGACTCCCTCCTTTGGCAATCTGCACAGAGTTTTTGCTTAATGGTTGCCATCCATTTGATTTTAATTATTTTTTATAATGAAATGTTTTTAGAATGTTGCACTATTTTATTGTTGTTAGCCGCCCTGAGCCCGGCTTCGGCTGGGGGGGGGCCGGGATATAAATAAAATTTATCATTATTATTATTATTTTAGCAGACGCCGAAAAGAGAACTGTGAAGGTGCGTACCTGATATCAGTAGTCAGGGAGTTCCAAAGTATGGGTTCGGCCACATGAAAAAAGTCTTTTCTCACAAATGGGAAGAGGCAGGAGGAGGCTCAACATGGCCACGGTGGCTGCTGGTAAACCCAACAGGTCACAGTATATTGAGGGGTCCTGGCCCCCTGCTTGAAAATTTTGGGGGGCCTGCGCCTCCCAACCCCCCAGATGACACCACCTGTAACAGTCCCAGTTATGCAGAGCAAAACGGTTGCGAGGGCACATATGGGCTAAGGTGATCTCGCTGGTATTGCAGCCTTCCCTAACTTGATGCCCCCCAATATTCCGTGGCCCGTCCGGCCTACCCACAGCCGTGAGGGCAACCTGAGTGCAAGAACTCTCTCCCTTCCTGCAGTTTCCAACAACTGGTATTCAGAAGCATTGCTGCCTCAGACCACATAGAGGCAGAGCATAGCCACTCTGGTTAGTAGCATCTCCCATGAATTTGCCTTATCCTCTTTTAAAGGCATCCAAGCTGGTAGCCATCACTGTTTCCGGCGGGGCGGGGGGTAGAGTTCCACAGTTTAAAAGGACTGTTGTGCCTTAATGCCCCACAGAGGTTTTTTTTTACTGGAGACCAATAATTGGCCCTGACTGGGATCATAGAGTAATGGAATTGTAGAGTTGAAAGAGACCACGGGGGTCATCTAGGAACCTTTCGCCCAATGCGGGGCTCAAACCCACAACCCTGGCATTAATAATAATAATATTTATTTATACCCCGCCCTCCCCAGGCAAGGCCGGGCTCAGGGCGGCTAACAAGCAATAATAAAAATAAGTTGAATGAATACAACTTAAAAACAAAATTAAAATACAACATTAAAATATTGAAACATTAAAATATTAAAATGTAGCCTCATCACAGGAGGAGAAAGGAAAAGAAAAAAGAAAGAGGGGCAGGGAAATCAAATTGGCTCCAAGCCAAAGGCCAGGCAGAACAACTCTGTCTTACAGGCCCTGCGGAAAGAAATCAGATCCTGCAGGGCCCTGGTCTCATGAGGCAGAGAGTTCCACCAGGCCGGAGCCAGAGTTGAAAAGGCCCTAGCTCTGGTTGAAGCCATTAAGAGTCTCATGCTCTACCAACTGAGCTATCCGGCCTGGACTAGGCAACTGTCTGGACTTGTCCTGCAGGGATGTTTGTTTGTTTTAATTATCCAAACCTGCTTGGACTTTAAAGCCACAGCAGGCACTTTGAATTGGCTGCTATTTGTGCAAATGTTGGTGCCAAGAGGACTCCTGCAAGCGCAAGACACCATTGCAGTACACAGCGCCTAAAGTGTCCCTCTCCCTCAGGAACATCGCCATCAGTCTTAACTGTAAGTTGATGTTCCAGTGCTCCCATCTCCCTCCTCAAGCAATTTGCTTCTATGAGATGGTGCTATATTGCATTTTACGAGAGAAGAAAATTTTATTGAGAATTTGCATATTGAAAGCACTTCAGATTGCCAACTAGATATTCATTCTAATTTGCTGCGGCTTGACCTAATTTTCAAATTTCATGTTAGAGGGCCTCTTGCATGCCTTTAATTAAGTGTATCGTTCATCGGAATGCATTTGAACATCGTGTTTTGATTTATGGACTGGGCTTTTTTTATATAATGTTTAACACTCACCAAAATTTCAGATTCATGAATGTCCAAAGCCAGATTTCATTAGTGTGTTTTCAGACTGGGATTAAATCCTTCCTCCAAGTTATATTGGCTAACTAATTCATCCCAGTGGTTCCTCCCTCTCCTTTTTTTCCTTTTCTGGAAGCTTGTAAGGATGTGGTTTGGTTTTCTTTCTTAAGTCTCAGGATTCTGATACTGAATTTTGAACAGCCTTGCCCGTGTTGCCTTCAGATCTTTCTGACTGCAGCTCCCATTATAAATCATGGAATTGTAGAGTTGGAAGGGACCCTGAGGATCATCTAGTCCAACCCCTTGCAATACAGGAATATGCATCTTTCCCATATGCGGATCAAACCTGCAACCTTGGCATTATCAGCACCATGCTCTAACCAACTGAGCTATTTAGGCCGCCGTTTCAAACAGCATGGCCAAGATGGACTGCTAGCTAGGACTGATGGAAGCTGTAGAGGGACCCAGGTTGAGGTTGGCTGCTTTGAGGTTGGCTGGTTGGAAGCTGTAGAGGGACCCAGGTTGAGGTTGGCTGCTTTGAACACTGAAAGCCTTTATGACTTCTCTGAATGTCATAACTGTTTGTTTCATTAAAGTTATACACCAGTTGATTATAGAAAAAACTCAAAGCTCTTTCAGTCCTTGACAGGTAACCTGCTTAAAACCTTATTTGATTATGTCTTTTGAGACCTCTTTTCTGTTTTTTTAAGAAAGTGCTGACCAGGGCTGAAAGTAATGTAGAATAGAAGTATAAAGGAAAAAATGTTGGAAGAGAAGAACCCTGTCCCTCAGCAACCTGGTGCCTTCCAGATGTTTTGTTCTCCCTTTGGCACCAACCAGCACATCTGGAGGTCGCCTGGTTGGCAAAGGCTGCTGAATCCTGAATCAGGCAGTTCTCAGTTTGAATCTCACCTCTGCCATGACTTAAGCAAGGCCTCTCACCTTTCCGCTTCTGGGGATCGTGATACTGGACTACCATCCAAGCTTGTTGACAAGATTCCTAGGAGGATGTGTACATAAAGTGCCTTGGACATGTCATATAAATGGGTTGGGTGCCTTCTGAAACTTGCAGTGATGGCCAGTGTAATCAAATTCATGAATACCAATTTTAAATTCAGATTCAAGGAGTGCTGTAATGAATATGGTCTGAGGCCAGGAATAAATTGCTGAGCCCTGTTTTAAATGGCTACTGAACCTTGGAGTTAACATTGTTTTAGGCGTTTCCCATATAATCTCTCCTAGGGCTGAGTCAAATGAACTTTATTGGTTAGTAAGAAAGATCTGGGATGCGTGTGAAAGATTTCAGGAAAATCTCCCCTTCCTCGCGGTTTTCTCATTCATTTTGTTTGGCATCTGTTTAGGGCAGGGGTGAACAGATCAGTCTACTTCTAGTGATGTTTTCACATGTGTTCATTCAGAAGCCTGTTTTATGTTCATTTACACATCAGAAATACCGTATTTTTCCATCTGTAAGACGCCCCCATGTATAAGACACCCCCTAATTTGGGGGACTCAGGTTTAAGAAAATGGGGGAAGATGTATCCGTGTATAAGACACCCCCTAATTTTTGACATTATTTTTTAGGGGGGGGGACCTAGTCTTATACACAGAAAAATACAGTAGATGTATTTAGGGCAGGGGTTGTCAACCTGGTCCCTACCGCCCACTAGTGGGCGTTTCAGGATTCTAGGTGGGCAGTAGGGGGTTCTATGGCACAAGCTGAATCCTCCTTCCAGGAATTTTACCATCAAGAAAGATGCATTAGTGGGCGGTAGGTATAAAAAGGCTGACTACCCCTGATTTGGGGTCTACCCCCTAACCTTTTCCATTCAGTAGTCTGGCTTCTAGTGCTTTGTATGTTGGCCTTCCTGGTTATGCTGGCAAATATGTAATTTAAATGTTCCTCCTCTGTACAATGGTGAGGAACAGTATAGCTATGTGCTCTGATATTGCACAACAGTGTTGCCTTTTGTGCAGGAGAAGACGTGGGCCTTGTCTTGAGACATCATATCCTGTTCAGCATAGTCACCAATTACTAGCACTGATTGGGTGTGTCATTTGTACACCTGAGGATGCTCCCATCTTCTTCTCGTGACTTCTAACCATTCAGCTGCCTTTTTTCCAGGCTCATGGAACCAAGCACCACTTGGGTATTAATTATAATTATCAAAGGTCATTGGGTAAAAGCCCCCGTTAAATAAGTTTCAGTAAGAATTTGGGGAAATGTACTCAACATTACACACGGGTGATATATATACTGTACAGTGTACCCATTGTTGTCAAATGTAAAATGACTGAAAATGATTTGGTTCCAATGTGAACTTAACATAATTCCTCTAATTCCTAATCAAAAGTTTGAGGAATACTGACTTCCCAAGTCTCAGTCTGGATCTGACTGACCATTTCTGGTATCATTTTTTTACTATTCAAAAATAGCTTCTTCTCCATCACTGCTCTTCTGGGGCCCAAATGAGACAGCTTGCAGGGTTTCTGCCAGTCTGAAGATAAAATTGTGGTCTAGGTCACAGGTAGCCAACATGGTGCCCTCCAGACGTTGTGTACTACAATTCCCATAAGACCCAGCTAGCACGTCCAGCCATCATGGATTATGACAGTTGTCCAGAACATCTGGAGGGCACCATGCTGATGACTCCTGAGGTAGGTGGACCAGTGGCCTGACGTGGGAACCTTCCCGTGTGAGGCTACGTAAGCAGAAGTATACAGATCAAAGGAAGCCATAGTTGCATTCTGTTCTGCCTTGGTCAGCTCCCACTTGGGAGTCTTGTGTCCACCACAGTTTAAGAAGGATATGTGCAAGCTTAAATGTGTGCAGAGGAGGCCAACCAGGATGATAAAAGGTCTGGAAACCAAGCCTTATAAGGAATGGTTAAGGGAGCTTGGTATGTTTAGCCTGGAGAAGAGAAGACTGGGAGGTGATATGATAGCCATCTTCAAATATCTAAAGGGTTGTCACATGGAAGATGGAGCAAGCTTGTTTTCTGCTGCACCAGAGGGGAGGTGCTGAGCAATAGATTCAAATGATAAGAAAGGAGATTCCAATGAAACGTTAGGAATAATTTTCTGATGCTAGGAGCTGTTTGGCAGTGGAACAGACTCCCTCACTGGAGTTTTTTAAGCAGAGGTTGGATGATCATCTGTCAGGGATTCTCTAGCTGTGATTCCTACATTGCAGGAGGTTGGACTAAATGACTCTTGGTGTACCTTCCAACTCTATGATTCTGCGATTCTATTAAACATTCCTATGCTGCTTCCAATATCCATTTACTGTTGACTAACTCTGTTAGGGAGCCATTTGACTCCTCAGTATTTTCTGCCCTGAGCCACTCCACAGTTAGGGTTTGGTCAAGATGTTGACCCTGGGCTGCTGACTATGTCAGTCTTAGTCAAGCTGACGTTATGATGAGACTTTGGGATGTGTGTTATGGCATGACATCAGCAAATCTCCCTTGGCCAAGAATTGCAGTGCATGCAGGACACAGCTCACACCCTCCTGGTCCAGCGGAGGAAGGTCACTTACTCACCGGACAGGTACTCACGTCTTTATCTGATGTACCAACATGTTAGGACTCAAACAGTGAGGATGTCGCATTTTCTTCCTCATTCTAAATGTGGAAGTCAAACAAGAGCATGACTGGCTTCTTCAGAAATGTTTGTTCATTACAACATCCAATGTACCTGACCATATCCTCGTACGCCGCGTTAATTCATCCGAAGAAGGCTTCGCCAACCTGGGGCCCTCCAGTTGCTTTGGAATTCTATTCCAGCTGTGGTGGCTATGGCTGATGGAATTGTGGTTCAAAACATCTGTAGGGTCTCACATTTGGTGAAGGGTGATCTGAAGTAACTACAGTGCCTGGTTTCGTACACACAAGTGCCAACAAGGTTTAAGATCCCTAATTCACTCATTACAGGTATGTGATGAAAAAGTGGAAATAAGCCATTTCTGAATAGGGTTGCCAGGGCAGGAGCATCCCAGACCCTGAGATTTGAGAGCTCAAACTTGAGACCTGGGTGCTGTCTCTGGTGATGTCACAGAGTTGGCCCCTGGTGATTCTTCTTCTGTGCTCCCTCCCACCACTGAGCCCTGGAGACGGAAGTTAATTGGGAGAGGGGAGGAGTGGGCAGAGGTGGGCAGACCATTTCCCTCCAAGAGTCTATGCCATAATTTGCAGCTGCCTCCTGCCAGGCTGAAGCTTGCAAGCTGCACACTCTTGCCCACCTGGAGATTCAAGCCCTCCACTTGCCACCAGGAGGGAACCAAACAAACGTGGGGTCTACGGATCAGTCCTGGAAATCTAGCAACTCTATATCTGGGTGCCAGAAAAGTATCTGTTTGGGAATTTCAAAAACTCATCAGCCAAAGTTGTTACACACCCTTTGTGGAATAATTGAAAAGTTCCTTGATTTATGAAAAAGGCCCCCCCAGCCCCCCCCCCAATTCGACAGACAACAATATTGAGTGCTACCTTTTGATGTGCTAGTGATTATTCCAAGCCCCTGGAATATATGTCATACTCCACCTGCTTGATTGGGGCACTGAATTTAGGCAGGGGAGAATAAAGGATTCTGCATTTAGAGCTTACTGGGAAAGAACGCTGGCTGTAAAACCATACACTTGTATTATGAGATGAAGAATGAAACAATTATTATTATTTCTGTAGTCCAAAATATCTGGAGGGCAGCAGGCTAGTAAAGGCTGCTTTAAGATGATATGTAATTACAGTATTGCTTGACAACAAAACGGTTTGTGTCCCAAAGAACTGCTCCCCCCCTGTGGCACAATGGGTCAGTGCGCCTGGCTGTTAACCAGAAAGTTGGTGGTTCAAGAACAAAACAGAGCACCTGGGTTCCTATTCTAAGGGCTGCTACAGAGTTGGTGAGCCCGTGTGTGTCTCTTGCCTGTGCCACTTGAACTCCTCTGCTCATTGAAAACCATTATGTCATTGAAAACGATTATGTCATGGAGAAAGACTCTAGTTTATTCTTCTCTGGTCTCTGAACCCTGGTGTCCCCCAAGCCCTAATTGAGTGCTCTAACCACTACACCACCCCAGTTATCTGGACCCTTGGCCTGACTCAGCAGAAGCATTCATCCCCGGTTCCTTGTCAAAACAGTTCTGCGAGCTGAGCCAAGGCTCTGTCTCCTGAGTCAGCTTTGGCAAAAGCACAAGCACCACATTTCTCGATGGAATTGGGTTCCCCGCCTCCAGACGGCCCTAACCATTGAGATCCCTGCCGCCTCTGCCGCCTTTGAAATGGTGTTGCATGCTGCTGTTTACCTTCCAGGTATCTTTTGGCCAGGCGCCCGTTCCCTGGGTGTGAGAGGGCTGATTCAGTCAGGTGGCATGAGAAGGGATGAGGAAGGAAGCTGAGTTCTCTCTCTCTCGGATGCAGCCGTGTGGCAAAAGAGGCTTTTCTCTTTCATGGTTATGTTTTCTTTGCTGACTGAATGCAGAGTCCTAAGCAAACACCATTTACTGACACCACCTAAAAAACACATATCAGGTTTCTTGTGCCAGGTTCCTCTGGGCAAGGGGATGTTTAGGTGTCAGGTAGCCTTGGTGCCCTGCAGATGTTTTGCACTACAGCTCCCATCAACTCCAACCAGTGCTAGCAGGGGATGTTGGGAGTTGTAGTACAGAAGGGCCATGATGGTGGGGGCTGATGGGAGTTGTAGTCTGAAACATCTGGAGGCACCCCATCGGTGCAAGCCATCTTAAAGGAAAGGCCAGCTCTTTGCCACAAAGTCCTTCCTCCTGTGCCTCAGTTTCCTCTTTGAAACAGAACAGGATGGGACTAAACTTGGAAGATTTGTTTTGATCCAGGATCACAATGTCCCCTGGCCTGGCTTAACATTTCAGGGTTTGGGTTTCTTTTGAAGCTCTGTGCAGGTGGGAGAATGAGGGGGTTGGATTCTGAGGTGAAGTGAAACTGACTGAGATGTTTCAAGCCACAGTCAGGGAATGCCAATTTGAATGTTTCTAGAAAAATAGCACCTTAGCCTGTGCCCTAGATCTGCTAGTTTTCTCTTGTAGAGAGAAAACTCACTCCTTGAGAGCCAGTGTGGTGTAGTGGTTAAGAGTGGTAGTCTTGTAATCTGGGGAACCAGATTCGCGTCTCCGCTCCTCCACCTGCAGCTGCTGGGTGACCTTGGGCCAGTCACACTTCTCTGAAGTCTCTCAGCCCCACTCACCTCACAGAGTGTTTGTTGTGGGGGAGGGAGGGAAAGGAGAATGTTAGCCGCTTTGAGACTCCTTAAAGGGAGTGAAAGGCGGGATATCAAATCCAAACTCTTCGTCTACTCTTCTTATTTCATGCAAGGGGACGTACCAAAGGGAAACCCTCCACATGGCATCTGAAGTACTGTAATCCATTATATCACCTCAGAAGTTCATACAGCCTAATTCCCACCACATTCTGGGGCATGTGCAGATCTCACCTCAGGGTCTCTGAGACAAGACTTTTCCTCAGGGTGAGAAGCTACCAGGCCCACCCTCCAGCTTTCTCCTTCTTGCAATTTACAGTTTAACCCACTCTTTATGTCTGGCGTGTTGTTCCGGACTAACTGTCCATCCTACCTTCCCACCCTTCCTGCGGAAGAAAGTGGTGTGGAGGGAGAGACCCCAATGAAGGTATAATCTACAGCAGCCGTTCTATCGGGCTATAAGAGCAGGAGAAGGACAGGCCTGTAGGGTTCTGTGGCCGTTCTACCAAAAGACCACCACCTTTTTACTTCTCCCTGAAATACTTCCATTTTATCTGGTCATTGCAAGAACTGTTTCAGAGAAATAGTACCTGAGCAAAATTATTTTTTCCCTCCTCTTTTCCAGCCCCTTTTCCTTTTGTGTTGTGTCTTTAAGCCAGAGGGCAGGAACTGACTTACCACTGACATTTGAAAGCTGTTTTGGCTGAAAAGCAGGGCAAAAACTTGTGACCGGCGAGGTGCAGGGACTCCAGCAAACTGCTACCTTCCTTTCCCCCAGCTTCAGCAGTAAAGCAGTAATCATGGTACCCTACTTTGCAGGGCTGTTGTAAGGTTACTGAGAAAACATAGGCAGCAAAGTGTCTTTCTGGGTGCAAATCTGTGCAAACGTTCTGGGAAGTAAACCCTGTTGCACTCAGTCGGACTTTCCCTGGAGTAAACATGTGTAGGGTTGCACTGTACACCGTGTTGATTACTTAATTAAAAGGCCATTGAGGAGACATGGGTCACCTTGAGCTCAGTCACTGCCTCTCAGCCTAACCTACCTCACAGGGTTGTTGTTGTAGAGATTAAATGAGATAGGGAGGAAGCCATGCGAGCCACTTTGAGCTCCTTGGGGGAAAAAGGTGGGATATAAATGCAATAAATAAGTAACAGCAGAGAGTTTACGGCAATGATAAGCTGCATATTTTTTTTTTTTTAATGCAGCAATTATAGGCTGTGTTTAAAAATAAAATAAAACAATGGGGCCCTAAAATAAAAAAAATCTACACTAGCTGGTGAATCCCTTTTCCTGTACAGGGAGCTCCGCACGCACAGCCCCTCCTTGCCTGGGGAAGTCTCAGCAGTTTGCAGGCGGAGGGAGGAGATCGCACAAGCTGTGGCAGAGCCCAGGTATCTGTGCAGGCAGGTTTACCTGGACTCTCTGGCCTGTCCGCTTCCCTGGAGGCAGGAGGAGCCTTCTGCAGCCGGTGGTTCCGGCTCTGGAAAGGATCCGCGGGAGGCCAGGCAAGGAGGACACCTCTGCTGCAGGGGCAGAAGGGCTTGAGGTGGGGTGGGAGCTGGGGGGGGTGGAGAGAGGGAGGGGGGCAGAGAGGCCCTTTTTCTAACATGCCATAAAAATGCAGCCAGATGCACAAGGTCTCCTTCAAATGCAGTGAGGGTCCTTTCTGGTTCCTGCTTTTCTGTTTTGTGTGTTTTGTTAAAATGTCACCAGTTAACGACAAAGAAATAAGTTAATGGCAAAGAAAGAAATGTAAGCCCACCCACAAGCCACACTGTAGGGCTATCCTCACCCGACTGCCATGAGGTGATCTCAGGGGCCAGTCCCTGCCTCTCGCTCTCACCTGCCTCACAGGGTTGTTGTGGCAGGGATTGAGCAAAGAGGGGGGAGAACCATGTAAGCTCCACAGAGAAAAGAGTGGAATATAAAGGCAAATAATCATACAGTGGTACCTTGGTTTAAGAACAGCTTAGTTTATGAACAACTTGGATTAAGAATGCTGCAAACCCGAGTGTTTTGGTTTGTGAACTTTGCCTTGGAATAAGAACATGTTTTGCTTCCGATTGAGTGTGTTCCATTTGTAAATTGAGTCCCCCGCTGCTATGGGAAAGCACGCCTTTGGTTTAAGAACAGACTTCCGGAACGGATTAAGTTCGTAAACCAAGGTACCACTGTAATAATAACAACAACCAAAACCTCATGCAAAGTGACAAGCGAGCGAGCTTTTGTGTCCTCCAGAGCTCTTCTTCAGGATGGCTGTTAAGAGGATGCAGCAGGGCAAGGTGGGGAGAGAGGAATAGAGAGAGAGTGAGCTAGATACAGTGGTACCTCAGGTTACAGACACTTCAGGTTACAGACCCCGCTAACCCAGAAATAGTACCCCGGGTACTATTTTGCTTCAGGATGAGAACAGAAATCGTTCTCCGGCGGCACGGCAGCAGCAGGAGGCCCCATTAGCTAAAGTGGTGCTTCAGGTTAAGAACAGTTTCGGGTTAAGAACAGACCTCCAGAACGAATTAAGTTCTTAACCCGAGGTTAACCTTGGTTGTTGAACTTAATCCGTTCCAGGAGTCTGTTTTGACTCCCAAAACCGTTCGAAAACCAAGACGTGGCTTCCGATTGGCTGCAGGAGCTTCCTGCACTCAGTCAGAAGCCACGTTGGATGTTCAGCTTCCAAAAAACAATCTGTGTTTGTGGTGTTGGGGAGCCAAGCCATTCAACAACCAAAGTACCACTGTACTTTTAAAGCCTGCAGACTTTGAGGCTTCAGCATCACGCCCAGGATTTTCTCCGCTCTGCTGCTGTTTTACTCAACATTCTGCTGAATTGTCCTGGAATGCTTGGACCTTGGGTAGCACTGACATTGCCCAGATTAGTGATGTTTTTATCATCTCTATTTCAGGGCTCTTCTGTTTGGGCCACATTTTATTCTGTTTCCCCCATACTTACCAGGCACTGGTCTGAGCAGTTTTTCTTTTGCCCTCTCCACTTTCCCTGAGAAAGACCCGTTGTTTACTGCTGAATTGGGACAAGTGTCAATCTGCAGGGAACCTGACTGATGTTCCTTAGGATTCAGTGGTAAACAGCTGGTTTCCCTGGAGGAAGTGGGAAACCTCTCGGAATCATGCCTAGAAAAAATGGGACAAGCAGATTCAAGTGAGGATGAGCCCTTAATAGACTTTTTGGGGGTATTGTTTGAATTCTATTATGGTGTAAATATTTTTTCTAATGATTATGTTTCATATGAATTTAGCTTTTTGTTTTTTACCCTTTTTTGTATATTATCCCTATACCTGTGAGTATAGGATGGTATACAAATTGTTGTTGTTGTTGTTAGCATATGCTGCCTTGAGTCCCGGTCCAGTGAAAAAGTGGAATTATTATTATTATTATTATTATTATTATTATTATTATTATTTATTTCTATGCCACCTACACACAGATGAGCTTGCGGGTTGTCACTTAACCCTTCCCTGTCTCCTCAGGTGTGCTGGCAAAAATCCTGGCATCCCAGAACAGCATCACTGCGGTGCTTGGCAAAGATGTGGTCCTCCCCTGTTCCTACCAGGCCTCAGAGGGCGAGAGGGTGGTTCAGATCACGTGGATGAAGCGGCGGGAGGACGGGACAGCCCAGGAGTTGGTGGTGCTGAACTGGCAACACGGGACCTACGTGCAGGATCCCTATTCAGGGCGAGTGCTGCGACAGTCCGAAGGAACCCTAGAAGATGGCTCCATCCTGCTGAAGAATGCGGTGCAGGCCGATGAGGGGGCATACGAGTGCCACCTCATTACCTTCCCTGGGGGCAGTTTTGAGTCCAGCCTGACCCTCAAGATCCTAGGTAAGGACCTCCTAATGAACCCTCAAACTGAGCCCTGGGTCTGACTTGGGTGGTAAATCTCTGTCTGGGCTGGCTTCAGGTGAGGGTCCGCAGAACTGAATGCTGTGCAGTTAAAACCAATCCCTGCACGTACAAAGCTAGCATATCAGGGAAAACGCTCTTACATTAATCTTCCTGACATGCTAGTGTTGTTGTTTTTTATCTTCAGGGATTATTATTTTTAAAAATGCATATATTGGATTATTGGATATTACTTTATCTGATAGAAGTTGCTTATTTTAAAGCCATATTTTTATCGTGACTTATTTGCTTTGAATTGGGTTGTTTATGGGATGTGCAACCCTTGTTGCATATTTTGTGCTTTCTACCAGCAAGCAGATTGCCTTGGGTATAGCAGTGCAAAAAAGGGGGGGTACAAATTAAAAGTGAAGTGCATATACAGTGGAACCTCATTTGCCAAACGCTTCGGAAGCCAAACAATTCGGAACCTGAACAGCAACAACCCAGAAGTGAATGCTTCCATTTTTGAATGTTTTTCAGGAGTCGAAAGGCTTCCGGGGAGTTTTTTTCTTTTTTCCCCATTGAAGTTGCTGGCAGCCCTTTGATCCTTGGTTGTCGAATGTTTTGGAAGTCGAACGGTCTTCCAGAACGGATGACGTTCAACAACCGAGGTTCCACTGTATGTCTTTGCATGGAGAAGTATTCATATACCCCAACCTCTGCTTGCAGCCTGAAGTCTGAATCTCAAAGTGTACACAACCCCACACACACATACCAGCACAAACTTCATCCTGGTGTAATCTGACGGGTGGGAACCAGTTCCTTTGCTGAGTTTCTGGGAATGTTCACACTAAATCTGTCATCCACCATGGCTGTTAAGCCACTTTAGGGGTCTTCTTTCATAAAATCATAGATTTGTAGAGTTGGAAGGGATCCCCAAGGGGTCATCTAATCCAATCCACCACACACACACCCACCCACCCGCTGTGCAGGAATCACAACTAAAGAATCGCTGGCAAGAGGCCTCTAGCAAAGGAGAGCCCTCCACCTTTCCAGGGAGGCCATTCCACTATCTTTCCCCCCCCAGAAAAAGTTTTTAGTCATTTTATAATACAAATAAACAACACAGGAAAACAAACAATACAAACAGATTCTTGTCTTATCCTTATTCTTTCTAAACATTGTTAGATGGGCTTCCCCAAGTCCCCCCTATCTGATTTTCATTTTACCTCATCTTTAGCAGTTTACATATATAATAATTTCTAACCATTTTTTTTAATCACACTTACTTTAACCATAAAAATCTTCACATTTTATCACTTGCAAATAATACTATTTTAAAATACACTATCTTCTACTTCTAACCCTGCAGCCTAAATCCACTTCCAAAGCTATTCTAAGATTTAAATGTTAACATATTTTTTCAAATATTCCTTAAACTTCTTCCAATCTTCTTCCACCATCTCTTCTCTCTGGTCTCGGAGCCATTCCACTATCTTAACCGCTCTTTGCCCTCGGAAAGTTCTTCCAGATATTTAGCCTCATTTTCCTCTTCCTCTGACTGCAGTTCCCCCGTTGCCCACCTTGAACCTCGGCCCCCCGCTGGAGGAGGGGCAGGGCCGGACTCTGGCTGCCTCGTGCACTGCGGAAGGGAACCCCGTGCCCACGGTGACCTGGGAGACGGAAGTGCGCGGCACGGACAGCAGCCGCGTGTCCTCGCACCCCCGCTCGGCCTCCGTCACCAGCGAGTTCTACGTGGTGCCCGGGCGGAGCATGCACGGCAAGGCCCTCACCTGCATCGTCTCCCACCCAGGGCTGCAGCACAAGAAGAGGATCACGCACACCCTCAACGTGGCATGTGGGTATCTGCCGGCCCTCTGGGGTGGGTCAAACCATCTCCGCACAGAAGGGGTGGTGTGGGGACTTTCTGGGCACAAGGGTCACTCACATCCCCTCAGGGACCTACCTTTCAAGGACAATGTGCTTCTGGCGGTTGTGGCCAGAGGCAAAACTAGCCAGAGCCACAAGGTTAGCTCTTAAGTTTAGGCCGTACATTTAAGGCGCATTTAAAGCAAATGGCTGTGGGGAACGGTAGTTTCCACAACTGAGCTACATTTCCCCAGAATCTGTGGAAAACTACAGTTCCCAGAGTTCTTTGGGGGAGGTTATGTGCAGTGGATGTGCTTTAGATGTATGGTGTGTGGCCTGTTGTACATAGAAAGTCAGTTTTCTCTGTGTGTACACACACACACACACACACACACACACACACACACACACCCCTCCATTCTCCATCCGAGCAAGTAAAAGGCAGGATCACAGTTGAAAGGCACATTCCCACCAAGAAAAAGGACCCAAGGAGGGTGCTGTGCAAGCCAGCCAGGGGTGGGGTCTAGGGAGGTGGACATTGCATGAGAACAGTCCTGAGGGCCAGATAGGAAAGCCCAAAGGAGCCAGCTTTTGACCTGGGCCTGTCGTGCCTCACCACTGTCAAACCAAGATATCTGGCCCAAAGCTAAGGCCAAACAGTGATTTAGCACAATTCATGAATTCGATCCAGCAATCTGTGAATTTTATCGAATCATTTTACTGATTCTTTAGCATCTTTATTTGGGAGTAATTCCTGAACTTCTGAGTAGATATGAGCAGGCCTGTGCTGTTAATCTCCAACTTCCGCACACACACGTGGGATGTCTTTGAGACCTTTGAGCACGTAGCTCCTTGAGGGGAACTCTGCTGAGAACCCTCAGCACCCTGAACAAGCCACACTTCCCAGGATCCTCTGGGGGAAGCCTTGGCAGTTTAAAGTGGTGAGATTCTGCTTTAAAATGCACAGTGCAGGGGACATGGGCTGCTCTCTCCTCTCTGCCACTTTGACCTCTTTTAACATTGCCTCCACGCAGATCTGTCGGATGCCTCAGTCCTGGGCCACGAAGAGGGGGAAGATTGGGTCGCAGGAAAGGAAGGGGCATTCCTGAAGTGCCTCGGAGATGGGAACCCACCTCCCACGTACAACTGGACACGGTCAGTCGCTTTTCTGTGGTGCAAGAGATGGCTCTCTCTTTCTAAACAGGGAAGAGGCCTGGAGTTTTGTTTCTTTATTCAGCATGGGGCAGTTGCCAGAGGCAGAAAAGTAGGTGTGGCCAGAGGCCAAGGGTGGGTGTGGCCAGTGGGGGTGACTATAGGTAGGTAGTGGGTGTGGCCAGAGGCAAAGGCAGGTGGATTAATGGCTATGACTTTTACCTTTTCACAGTAGGCTACATTCCAGCCTTAGAAAAGTAAGGCATTCCTACACACACCTAAGCAAAAGGCATTTTTCACATCTTGAGCATACATTCCAGCAAAAGCACTTGAGGAGAGAGCATGGAGCAGGAACCCTGAGCAAGTGTAAACTGGGAAGGGGGGGCATGGCCCAAAGAGAACTCCGAGGGTAAGATAGAGAGGTCCCAAGGGCCACATTGGGCCCCTGGGGATCCAGCCCCACCTCTTTCGTGGTGATGAGATTAGAATTTCAGACAAGGACGAAGAAGAGCCAGATTCATATCTGTCAGGGGGCTCTCTGGTTTAGCTCGGACCGATCAGACTCTCTCACCCTAACTTGTCTCGCAGGGTTGTTGTGAGGATAAAATGGCGGCGGGGGGGGGGGGAATAGGACACATGGCCCGCATATGCTCCAGCTGCTTAAGGGAAAGGTAGGATAGGAATGTGAATCGTCTGGAGTTTTTTAAAATCAAAGAATGTATACCTGACTTTTTAATTCCAGGAATTTACGCAGTAGTCATTTATTAAATTTGTATGCCGCCTGCCCTGGAGCCTCTAGGCATTCGGAATAAGAAATGCAATTAAAAATCCATACATGCAATTGTATAAGAACATCAACAGCCCATCTCTCCAGCTGAAACATTTTGAAAACCGTGCTTGCCGTAGGAGCCAGTTTGTCTAGTCTGCATCCCAGATAAATCACAAGTCTTGATCTTGTCCTGGTTTTTTTTCTTTGGAGGATGCTTTGTTAAAATCGATTTGAATTCTGCAGATGCCCTATCTCTGAACAATGTGTGGCTGCATCTTTATCTCTTACCCACTCATGTAACAATGTACACGCACGGATTTGAAGGTGGCATGCTGTGGTCAGTCTGCCATTTCGTACATGGAAATGGGCAAAAGCGCTTTGAGGTGTTGGTAACAGTTTGCAGGACAGACACTGCCTTGACTTTTAGAAGAGTGTTGCAGTCAGCCCCAGTCTCCAAACAGCGAGAGACTCCAGGGGTGCCTGCACTTACCCAGGGTTCAATTTCTTTGGAATGAAGTGCCAGTGGAGACCGTGGTGCCTTTTGGATATATGTTTTTGCTTGGCTTTAAAAGAAAATCATACAGATTTATGGAGAAGAAGGTTATAACCACGATGGAGACTGTACTCTGCCTCCACAGTTGGAGGCGGTAATGCTTCTGAATACCAGTTGCAGGAGAGGAGAGGCCACTCTGAGAACAGGATGCTGGACAAGATGGGACATGGCCCTAATCCAGCAGGGCTCTTCGAATGTTCTTATATCCTACCCTCCACTTGTTACAGAAGCCCTGTGCATTGCAGATGATTCTTGGGTGTGTTTTTCACAAGTCCATTCTGCTCCCACCATAGCTGTCAACCTTCCTTTTTTTTGCGGGAAATTCCCTTATTCCAGCGCCGTTTCCTGCTGCTATCCCGGATTGTTAGATATCCCATAGACTGTCCCTGGGACAGGTGAGGCTGCTGATCCCTTATTTTTGAGGCTGCTGATCCCTTATTTTCAAATCTGAAAGTTGACAGCTATGGCTCCCACTGTCGATGACCAGGCCTCATGGGGCCTCAGCATTGTCTGACATGAACAAAGAGCCCGGTCAGTAGTGCAGCTGGGTCTTGGAACCAGAAGGTCCCCAGGTGACCACCCAGAGAGTGGCAGGTTATGGGAGCCACACCCAACAAGCCTGGCATTGGCACCTTGGCTGCTAGAAGCATGGCAGGGCCCACTGGGGCAGGTGTTGGTTGCTGTAGAATCCTTTCTGTATTTTTTTAAGGTGGCCATGAATGCACATGGTAATAGATTCTCACTTGATTATCCCTTTCTACAACAGAATGGTGCTTGTTATTCCCAGGTAAAATGTATTTAGCATCAGGGCAGCAGAAGCAAATGCCGTTTTGTTCCTGTAGTCATGATGGTGCTGTGAATTCAAGGCAGGCGTGCAACGTGCTCAGAGCATTGAAAGAAAAATAAATAAATCCAGAGTTGGCAAACTGTTTTTGTTTGTTGCTGTGAGATATCAAGAATGTAGAAGCATGGAATTAGGGGAGAGAGAGTACAGAAATGGGAAGTAGGTGCTTTACAACTGGCTACCCAAAGGGGGCACCTTGCAAGACCCTTAAGGCCAGGTTCTAAAATGACCCAGCTGCACCAGTAAGCTTCTCCCAGTAAGCAGTCCCCAGTAGGCTTCCAAGGAGCTCCTCACAGATGCCCTAGAAAAACAGAGTTGAAGAACCCCTGGCCTACTAGGACAAAGTGGGCATGGCAGGCTGGGAAGAGTTCCGTGGCAGAGTGCCCTCTCTGCAGGCAGCAAGCAGCTCAGCTTGAAGCCAGGGGGAATGAATCCTGCCCTAGCGCTGGGAGCCTCTGGAGGCAGCCTGTGCCCGTTAGGGAGAGCAACAGCCGAGCCAGCCCCCACCCCTCAAGCACCCGCCCCTGGGGCAATCCCTAACCCACGTGACACTTTCCCGGGATGCAAATCCAGGATTGCACCACCAGAGGAGTCTGGGGCCGCTTGGCATCTCCCAGCGCCAGCCTTGGACGCCTGCCTGGCCCGCCTGACACCGTCTGGGTGCCAGCTACGAGGTGCGTTTCCTGACGTCCCACAGAGAGCTGGCGAGGCTTGCTTCTGGCAGCCCCTCTTGCCCCAGGCGCCCAGGCTGGGGATCCTTCCCTCCTGCCCCCCAAAAGGCAGCTGCAGTAGTGCATCTGGGTGGCAACCACTTGCCCGCCTGGCCGTTCCATTCCCAGCCAGCCAGTGGTGCACCTGATCTGGGCTGGCTGCCGCAGAGAGCTCCCACGGATCCCATTCAAAGGGAAGGCTGATCCTCCATAAACACTTATTCATCACTCAGCCATCCCGGCCTGCCTCTCGAGCTCTTTTTTTTTTTTTTTTGCGCTCCGAGGGACTGGCTGAGACTTGCTGTGGGTTTCGGGGAAGCAGCCCCGGGCCAAGATGCACCTTGTAGCATTTTGTGGTGAGCGAAGGTGGCGGGGGGGGGGGGGAGAGACGGTGAAAAACCAGCCAAGTCAGCACAGGGCTGGGGGGTGGGCGTGGTGGATGGATGAGGCTTTGCACAGGCCAGGTTGTCGGGGGGGGGGCAGGAATGAGATTCTTTTGAGGTCTGCCTGCCTTTTATAGAGGTGCAGCAGTTCGGCAGGAAACATGGCCTCTGTAGAAAGCTGCACAGCTGCTTATCGGGCAGAAAGTGGCCAGGATTTCATCCTGCTGGCATGCCTGCAAAGGCCGAGGTCTCAGTGTCAGTACAGTCATACCTTGGAAGTACATTCGACTTCCAAAATGTTTCGGAAACCAAGGCGTGGCTTCCAATTGGCTGCAGGAAGCTCCTGCAGCCAATCTGAAGCCGTGTCGGACATTCGGGTTCCAAAGAATGTCTGCAAACCGGAACACTCACTTCTGGTTTGCGGCATTCGGGACCCAAAACATTCAACTCGCATGGTGTTCGGGATCCAAGGTACAACTATTGTCCTTTTCTGCAGAAAAAGTGAGAAGGCAGGGTGGATAGTTATCCTGGAACAAATGCTGGAAATGAACTGTAAACTGGGGTGGGGGATAGAAAGCTGGAAGGTGGGTCCCTTGCCCTGGAGGCCCTGAGATGAGAGCTGTACATGCCCCTAGCACACATTTGGAGTACCCTGAACAAAATTGCCTTTTAAAATTAAAAGTAAAAGTATCTAAAGGGTAGACCTTGGTGACCATTTGTTTTTTAAATATGGCATGATTTTATTAGGCAAAGATTGAGGCACCATCAGTAAATGCAAATGTCTGGCTCATTTAAAACTATCTAGGACCTTTATTTTCAATAAAACTGACGGAACTAACTGGTGGAGAATACTTTAAAAAAAAATCTTTATTATTTGTAAAGGGAATATCGAATCAATACTTTATTATGCCTTTGGGGCTGTGCTGTGTCTTTGTACTGCAACGCTTTATGGGTTAAACCAGGGGTTTTCAGCCCATGTACCGTGGTACCCTGGAGTGCCTTGAATGATAGGGGTGCCACGAGCAACACTGGCCTTTGTCCCTCTGATGCCTTCTCACATCTCTGCCTCCCAAAGGCTTGCACAGCTGTTTGTTGCAGCAGCCCTGGCTACCACTCCCCAGGCGAATGGTGCCTCTGGCGCTGATCAGGGGGTGGTTTGAGAGACCAGGGGCGGCGGCAGTAGCTGCCCAGAAGTCTCCCAAGGAGAAGAGAGAAGAGAGGAGGCTGAGGGAATACTCCACAAGGGACAGTGTTCAAAATGGGGTGACAAGCTGTCCATAACTGGGCTCCTGAGCCTCACAGGGGTGCCGCAGAAAGAATGTACGGTAGTTGGTCAAGGGAACCGTATGGACTCAAAAAGGTTGAAAACATCTGGTTTAAAGTGTTGGTTCTTTGTTTTCTTTCCTTTTGTCATGTTTGCATGTGAACAAATCAATAACTTTAAAAGGCGGTGGGGGGAAGGAGCTAAATGAAGGGAGAAAAGTTTTGCCCTTTGCAAACACTGTTAAACGCATGTGTGTGTGTGTGTGTGTGTGGACAAGAGGCTCCTGTTGATGCACCCATGCGCAGTGCACATATGTCCTCGCTCTTTCCCCACATGCAGATGTCTTCTCCCACATCAGTGTCAGTTGTGTGTGCGTGCGAGTTGGGAAGGGCACGGCGCTGTTGCCTCGGCCGGGCTCCGCTCGCCGGCTCAGACGCTTTGCCGAATCTCTGCGCAGAGTTTGGGGTGCTGTCTGGACACGCTCCGGCACCCAGCTCAGCTATGCAAGAGACCCGTGGGAAAAGGGAAGGGATCCCTTTGATTTCAGCACCTATTGTTCATGATGTCATGGCTGACCCCGCCCTCCTCTTCCCTGCCCCCCCTCCCCTTGTGCCCCACACCTCCCCTCGCGAGCCTGGACATGTTGCTGAGGCGGGGAAGCGGCAGAAAGGGCGAGAGCATCTGGTTCAGGAGTTCCTGGCCCTTGCCATTCCTCTTTTCCTCTTGCGAGGCGTCTTTGGGGCGGTGCCTCTCCCTCTGGCGAAGGCCCCCTGACACCCCGCAGCCGAAAATAGGGACATACTTGCAATGTTTTTAAGAGAAAAGGTGAGGAAGAGGCAACACAATGGAAGTGTAGAAAATTACACATGGAGTGGAGAAAGAGACCTTTTCCCTTCCCCTTTCAGCATAAAACTGCTTCAAATCCCCACTCAGCCATGAAGCTCACTTGGTGTGATCTTGGGCCAGCTGCTGCCTCTTAGCCTAACCCACCACATAGGGTTGTTGTGGGGATTAAATGAGGAGGGGGAGAGCCATGTATATCACCTTGAGGTCCTTGGAGAAGAAGGGTGTATAGAAATGCAATAGATAAATACCAGTAAATCTGGAGTAGAAAATGTACATACACGGCTCTGCGTACAGAGAGTTCATGGTGTGGTGGTTGGAGTGTTGGACTAGAACTTGGGAGACCAGGGTTCAAATCTTCACTTGGCTGTGAAGTCCACTGGGTGACCTTGGGCCAGTCATGGCCTCTCTGCCTAACTTAACCTCACGGGGTTGTTGTGGGGAATAGAGGAGGGGGAGAGCCATGTATGCCACCTCGAGCTGCTTAGAGAAAAGGCTGGGATATAAATGCAATTGAATGAATGAATGAATGAATGAATGAATGAATGAATGGAAATTTAGGACATCCCATGAATGGTTCAGGACAGATCACAGAAAGTCCTTCATTCAACGCCTAGTTAAACCACAGAACTGGCTCCCGCAGGAGACAATAATAGCCCACCAACTTGGATAGATTAAAAGAAGTTTGGACAAATTGGATGGATTGAAAGAAGTTTGGACAAGTTCATGGTACAGGCTAGCGATGGCTCCTAGCCACAGTGGCTCAGCTCTGCCTCCATGGTCAGAGAGGCAGCAATGCTTCTGAATATTGGCTGCTAGATAACACAGGACCAGGTGACCTTTCATCAAATGATGCAGCAGTGTGTGTGTGAAACTGCCTGTTTGGGAGGTGATGAATAGACACCTCTCTGTGACTTAGCAGGTGCTGCACATCTTGAGCAGTTGAGTTCAGGGCATTGGCAAAACTCTAGGTGTCAAAAGAAGACCCAGCAAGAATCTGGGTCCGCAGAGATAAAGATGTTTTCCCCACCCCTTCCTGACTTGGTCTCCTCTCTCTGCCCAGGCTGAATGACCCCCTCCCCAGCGGAGTGAAAATCAAGGGAGACACCCTGCTCTTCCAGAGACCCCTTAACTCTGAAGATGGAGGCGTCTATGTCTGCCAAGTGGCCAATGGCTTTGCAACCAAGGAGGCGGAGACGACCATCAGCATAAAAGGTACCATTCTGGGACAGCTCAGAAACAGGCGGCAGAGCTGATTTGGCTTGTCTATGCTAGACAACAGCGCAGGCCACATTCACACCATAGCTTTCAAGCACTAGGGCACTGCATTAAACCGCCATGGCTTCCCCCAAACAGTTTTGGGAGCTGTCATTCATGAAGGGTACTGAGAGTAATTAGGAGGCCTCTATTCCCCTAACAAAACCTACAGTTCTCAGAATTCCTTGGGAAGAGGGATTGACTGTTAAACTACTCTGGGAATCATACCTCTGTAAACACTCATTTCAGTGTTTCTTTTAAAAGTAAAATGTTTTTTAAAAAAACTTAAAAGAAACCTGCTCCAGTGTTGAGGGTTGGTGACGTGCCCATTTCTAGCCAATCTGTGCTGTGCCCACCACTAGCTGTACACACACATTTTTTTGTTTCCTCAGAATTTGATATAGGGGAGAAGATAGGGGACTAGGTCCTCCCCCCCACCCAATGTGTGGTGGGGGAATAAAAGGGCTTGCCTTCCCTCCTCTCTCACCTGGCAGCCATGGGAGAATTTTGCCTCTCCTTGTAAGGAAGCCACTCCTTCTGTAACTCTCTAAAGATCTGTCCTTCAGAGGAACTGGTGCTGTAGGACTTTGGGCAAGGGGGTGATTTGTGGGTTTCTTCCAGTCCCATGCAGAGAAGCTCAAAGTGGACTTCATGCATCACTGCCATGGCCTACTCACCTCTCTTTTCTTGTCTCTCCCAACAGGCAACCGGGCCAAGCAGGTGGACGTGGTCTCCATCTCCATGATTGGGGCAGGACTTATCTCTGTAGTACTGCTTGGCTTGCTGGTCCTGGTGGTCATACTCATGACTTGCTACCACAAGAGAAAGACCAAACGCATCACTGAGAAATAGTAAGCAAATGGGGATAGGACCATAGAATTGGAAGGGACCCAAAGTGTCATCTAGCACTTCACATGACATCGTTTTGGTGTTATTAGCCCTCTTCTCTGATGCCAACCGTAATCACCTTGGTCCCCCCGTTACGCTTTGAGCCGGACTAAGGAACTAGATTTGGCTAGTGGGCTGGATTCTTACCTTCCCCCCCACACACTGTGGGCTAAGTTTCACAGGTGAGTGGGGACACCCACCTGCCAATCACTTGGCATCACGATGACGCCTGTATGGACAATCAGCTGATGGTTGGGGCTTGCAGAGCACCTCGTACAGAGGCGTGCAAGCCCTGGCAATCTGTTGGTCATCGGGGCTTTTCAGTGCCCTTTGGTCCAGCCACATGCTTGCCTGCCCCACCCCTGAGGTCATACAACCTACGCAGGGGTTGTGTTCTGGGAATCACACCATGCTGAATCTCTAGTGGCGGAGTGTCCCATAGGACCAGGCCAGCTACACCAAAGGCTTGGTTTCTCGTCATTGTGAAATGAGCCCCGCCAACTCAGGGTATGACCAACAGCACTTCTGCAGATAATCTCAGGGGCTGAGCTAGGCTCTCTGGGTTCAGGCTGTCCCTGAGGCACCCTGGAGCTAAGTTGTTATGGGCTTCATTAAATTAATTTGAACAGTGAAGCTTCTGGGCAAACTAAGAGACCTGGCAACCATGCCCCCTGGTGCCACGTCTGGTGCCTTGGCACACAGTGAGATATTCCTGTTAGGCAGAGGGCAAGGGGGGAAGTAGCTGTCTCACCTGGCTTCTCCCCCTATTTGTGTCCGGCAGTGAAGAAGAGCTGACCCTGACCAGGGAGAACTCCATCCGGCGCCTCCACTCCAGCCACAGCACTGACACCCGGAATCAGGTGAGGGTCAAACAAAAACATGTTGGAAGTCCTGGGCCACAGGGAGGTTAGGCTGGCCTCAACCAGAGCTAGGGCTTTTTTGGCTGTGGCCCTGATCTGGTGGAACGCTCTGTCACAAGAGACTAGGGCCCTGTGGGACCTGACATCTTTCCGCAGGGCCTGCAAGACAGAGCTGTTCCACCAGGCCTTTGGCCAAGGCAGAGTCTGACCCCTTCCTTTGATAATCCTCATAGAACTCTAGCCCAATGGTTGCCATTAATTTGATTTTGAATTGATTTTAGAGTGAATTGATTTTAGAATGCTGTGTTACTTTTATTGTTGTTAGCCGCTCTGAGCCCGGCTTCGACTGGGGAGGGCGGGATATAAATAAATTATTATTATTATTATTATTATTATTATTATTATTGAGAGTGTGGGAGTCCCTGTGGATTGGCTGGGGAGGGATAAGAAGGCACAGACTGGGCTTTTCCATGGAAAGGAAGTGGGTGGGGATAGAGAGCCCCCTCTCCTTTCATAAAACTGTAGGGTTGGAAGGTAACATAAGGGTCAACTTGTCCAGCCCCTTGCAATGAATGCAGGAATCCCAGCTAGAGAATCCCTGACAAGCTATCCAACCTTTGTTCAAAAACCTCCACCGCTGCAGGAAATAAGCAGTGCTTTGCTTGATCTGGGCATCTCAAGTCTCATACAGTTGGCCAGATGGCTCTGGGAGGCTCAGACACCATCCTGGTCTGCACAGGTAGACTGCCTCTGAACTTGGAGGCGCCCATTTATCCATGGCTCGTAGCAGGGCTTCCCCACACAACTCTGAGCTTTAGAGCTCCACGTCTGAGTGTTTTGCTCAATTGGGGCAAACATCAATCTGGGTTTTCCATTTGCTCCGATTCAGCTTTAAAGAGAGGGTTTTTGCTCCAGTGCAAAAAAAAAAAAAAAGGCCCTCAGACACAGAGCTTTAAAGCACAGTCGGTGCCTGGAAGGAACAGAGGAAAGGTAAGTGATGAGAAGCCTGCAGTTGATAGAACTGTGAAGCCTCTTTTTCTCCTCTTCCTTTGCTGCAGAGCTGAGCCCATGGAAGTCCTTCAGCACCCTCTAGAGGGAGCAAGTGGAATAATGTAAACACGCACACAAGCCACCTTTCTAAATATGAGAAGGGCTGAGCTCAGATCTTACTTGAGGCCACCTTCTCTGACCTGGGAAATGCTTGTGGTTGCCTCACCTCAAAGAGGATATTGCAGAGTTGCAAGAAAGGTTCAGAAAAAGGGCACCAAAAATGATCCAGGGGATGGAGCTGTTGCTCCCCTACAAAGAAAGCTTCCAGCGTTTGGGGCTTACAGGTGGGGCGGGGGGAAGAGGCGACACGATAAAAGTTTATGAAATCATGCACGACATGGAGGAAGTAGAGAGAGAAAAGATTTTCTCCCTCTTTCATCATAACACTAGAACTCACGGGCATCCAGTGAAGCTGAAGATTCAGGACAATTATTTTTTTAAGTGACTTCTTCACGCAGCGCTTAGTTAAACTATGGAACTCGCTTCCATAGGGGGCAGCGATGGCCACCAACTTATCGAGTCATAGAGAAGGGTCATCTAGTCCAACTCCCTGCAATGCAGGAATCGCAGCTAAAGAATCCCTTTGGATGGCCCTAAGGGAGGCAGATTCATAGAGGAGAAGCCTATCAGTGGCTACAGGCCATGGTGGCCATGCTGTGTCTCTAGAGACAGTAGTGCTTCTGAATACCAGTTGCTGGAAACCACAGGAGGGGAGAGTGCTGCTCTTGGGCTCGGATCCTGCTTGCGGGTTCCCCATGGTGGATGGAGTCTGCTTGACCACTGCGAGTGCAGGATATTGAACTAGATGAACCATTGGCTTCCTCCAGCAGGCTTTGTACACAGTCAGTCCCCAGGTTCTCCAAAGCTCAGGTGGCTTGATTTGAGAACCAAATCAGAGCTCAGTAATATTTATATATGACTCTTACACCCTGCCTTATATGCCTGCAAGGGGCTCAAGGCGGCAGATGTGGCTTCATCCCCCCCACATTTCCACCTCGCAGCAACCCTGCGTGGTAGGTTAGAGAGAGAGAGAGAGAACGGACGAGTGGCTTAATTGTGGAGTGGGTAACTTTTAACAAGCGCTGCAAGTTTCACTTCTCTGTTACCATCTCTTCGCCATCCCTTCCCTTCCCCATGCCCTCGTTTGTTTTCAGATGGAAGAAAACCTTCCCTTGAGGTCAGAGAGCCGGCAGGGCAGCTTCCGTGGGGACAGCCTTTGCCGGGAGAGCCTGCGAGCCGACAGCCTCTGCCGGGACAGCCGGCAGGGCAGCTTCCGGGCAGACAGCCTGCGTGAAACCAGCCTCTGCTCTGTCATGGTGAGCACCAAACCCTGTTGTCCTTTCAGTATCCAGCACCTCCTCCCAGTCTTCCCTCTTTGACCTCTCCTCCCTGTCCCACCTCTGAGCCTTCCTCCTCTGGGGCTTCCCTGGCTGGTGCCTCCCACCGCTGCTCTTTGCCCAGCCAGTCCCTGCCTATCTAGAGCATGACACGCCTGCTGGAAACAATTCTATTCTGCCAGGCCTATGCAGGCAGTTAAGAGCACGTCTTGCCACAACGGTCAATCTATATATTATTTATTGCAAATAATCTATCCACCACTTGACTGCAAAAATCCTCAAAGTGGTTTGCAAAAAAAGATCAAAACAAGAAAGTTATCTCTAAGGAAAATCAACAGCGACAATAAAATGATTACAGCTGCGGTCCAAGGGTTTGTTATTGTGACTGGAATGTAATGGAATTTATAAGATTTTGGAACGCAGAAGTATAGTAAATCATCAAACCATCAATTCCAGCACGCGGGGGGCAGCACCTATATTGTATAATTTGTCTTTTGAATGATTGGCATTTTTGATGGTATTATAATTTGGCATTGTTACAATGAGGCTTTTATTGGATTGAAAACAAATATAAATAAATTCAGAAATAAAAAAATTATTAGCAAGAAAAATAGCCAACAACCATTTAAGACTTCTGAAAAGTTAAAACAGCAATAGACTTAAAGCAAATTAAAAGATAAAAAATCTTAACTTTTTAAATATGGTTTTCATTGTCTGGTGTCATGTATTTTTGTTGTGAACCACTTTGTTGTGATAGATAGATAGATAGATAGATAGATAGATAGATAGAGCTTTTTTCTTTAAAAAAATATGTTTAGGGGTACTCTTATTTTGACTCAAGAAAATCACCATTTTATGGGGGGGAGGAAATACAGTAAATGGACAAAAGTACAAAGATTAACAAAATGTTTAGGGGTATGTGTACCCCTCCGTCCCCCCAGAAAAAAAGCAGAGTGTGTGTGCGCGTGTGCGTGCGTGTATGGGAGAAATATCTGACACCCTGCTTCTCTCACTGGCTCAGAGCGAGGAGGCCGAAGGACGTAGCTACTCCACCTTGTCGACAGTGCGGGAGATCGAGACACAGACAGAGCTCCCCCCGCCACCCCCCACCCCTGTCCAGGAGGACCAGATGGAGAAGGAGAAAGAGGAGAAGGAGCAGGAGGAAGAGGAGCAGCGGGACAGCGAGAAAAACATCAAGCAAGCCATGACCCACTTTGTCCAAGAGAACGGCACCCTCCGGGCGAAGCCCACCTCCAACGGCATCTACATCAATGGCCGGGGACACCTGGTGTGACCTTTGCCCCCTGCCACGGAGCCCCAGGACCCGACAGAGCACTGAACCCACTTCCCAATGGCCTGCCGGAGCCTCCCTTGGGCGAGGGAGCCAAGGCTGTCACCTCCTTCTGAGCCACCCGGCCGCCATGCAGCTGCCCTTGGAGATCTCCGCAGCCCTCACCACCCCGTTCTTCTTCCCCGGGAATCCTGGCCATGGTCTTCTCTTGCTCCGTCCACTTGAGGAGGGAACCAACTCATTCCCAGTGGGGTGGATCAACAGCCGGTTCGGAAATTGGGAAAGCTTCCCCCACCCCTTTTCTTTTCTGACTTTGGCCGGACGGTGACATTGCCTGGCCTGCGTTTTTGTGTCGTGTTTTTAAAAAATGTTTTGAGGCTACACATACAGGGCAAGCGATTCTGAGGGTGCCACCAGGCAGCAGCGCATTTATCTTGGCTCAGGGACAGAACTATGAAACTTTTGTGCCTCCCCCCCTCTAATTATTGTTGTTAATATTATTATTATTATTAGTTGAACGTTTGTGGCCCCTTGCGGTTACGGACAGAAGCTCCCCAAAGCCTTGCCGAGGCAAGCAATAAAATCATTGTTTTTATTTTATATAATTATTATTACCTTGAAAGGGAAAGGCTAGCTTCCCAAAGACTGAATGTAGGCACAGAGACAAGGAATCCCGGCGGGCCTCAGGGGAGCCCTGCGAGGGAGATTCCCTGCTTGGGAGATGCCCGTGGGCAGGATTCCACCCTCCCCAGTCCTTGATACGATTCCTGCGGGGATGACACTGAGACGCACGCTTTTTCACCCAGCCCCATCCAAAACGCAACTTGTGCATGAATGCAAAGGATTCCGGCGGCTAGTGCTCCGGTTTGGCAGATGAAACATCTGGCAGCCCAATCCCACCGGGGTGGGTTGTGCCACCACTTCCAGTGCGACCACCTGGAGATCGGTTTTCGTTTGGGCAAACCCCTTGCCACTCGTTCAAGCTATGCAGACCAAAACTGCTTCCGAAGCAGGAAGACAGCAGGACTTGCCAGCACCATGGAACAGGGAACAGTGAAATGCCAGGATCTTTTGGGATTTATTCTTGCATCCTGGGTGGTGAAGGGGGAAAGGGGGATTGTGGGTCTCATTGCCCTTTGTATATCCACAGTCATAGAAGGTTGGAAGATTTGTGCAATGTATCATATTCTCTCTCTCTCTCTCATCCCCTCTCTTAAGTCCATTTCACATGTGCATATAACCCCTTGGCTATTCATCTCTCAAGGGGTCACAGCTGAACAAGTCAACTGGTGCCTTTGAAAACCTTTTTTTGCATTGGAGCTATTGTGTGTTTGTTTGGGGCAGGGGGAGCGAGGGGTGTCAAAAAATTCCCATGGTGGAGATTTATGGCTGGTTTACGCCCCCCCCCCAAAAAAAAACCATCCGCAGCTGAAGCCATCAAACAAGGTGTCACAGATGGCTGAGCTGGCCCCGAGGGGTGCATGTCTGCACACGCATGTCTGCACACGTGCTTCTCCGTGTTCCCCCACTGGGCGTCTGATTATCCCACAAGGACTCAAGCCAAATGTTTGAAGTGTCTCCTCAGGAAAAGGGTTGTGCTTGCCAGGACACGAAGTTAGATCTAGATCTGAGATGGCCCCATTCACACATGCAAATTGTGAGCACCGCCACCAGAGAGCATTAGGCAGATGCTGAATCACTATACCAGCCCCTGGACTCATTTGTTTACAGCGTGGGGATAAGAATACTGTTCTACCTTACCGGATTGGTGTGATAAGAAATAATGTGTGTGAGGTTTTTCTGAGCGCTCAAATGGTGTCATGCACGTGCTACGTTTAATTAGGCGGAGAGGCTGTAGGAACCAACCCTTAGCCTTTCTGACTCAAGCAATTCCAACATGTAGAACCATAGAACTGAAGGGTTGGGAGGGATCCCAAGGATCATCTAGTCCAACCCCCTGCAATGCAGCAGTCGCAGCTCTGCCATTTCCCAGTCTATGCAAAAGCATACCAGGTCCTTGTTTGTGGTTTTTGTTTTTGCCCAACGGGGACAGCCTCACATCCCCCAGACTCTGTACTCACTAGTAAATGGGGAGGTATGTTGCTGGTGCTTTTGAACAACATCCATGCGCTGCAGACTGCAAGGAGGTCATACTGGGTCAGAATCTGGCCGCTTTATGTTAGCAAACACCACTTCAAGGTACTTTGGGTTATGGGCGTAGCCAGGATTTTTGTGGGCGGGGGGAGAACCTCAGTTTGCTATGTATTTTTATGTATTTTTATTGATTTAGGCAGCTTCCACTCCCTGCCCCCATTTGGCTATGCCCATGCTTTGGGTGATGCCTCTGTGAAAAGTTCTGCAATAGCTGATGGCAGCTAAGGGTAGCTTTGCATACCTAAAGTTTTGTTCCACGAAGGTGCCCCGTATCCCTTGCCAGGAGTAAACGTACATTAAGAAATATGATCACATAAAACATAGTCTTAGCATAGGAGCTTCTGGCTTACCCTGGGTGAGCTGAAATGTTGCTTTTTTGCAGTTAGTGGGAGGTCGAATTAAATGAAGGTTCCAACACAACACCTAGGCCACATTCGCACCATACATTTAAAGCTCTATGGTACCACTTCAAATACTCATAGCTTCCCTAAAGAATTCTGGGAGCTGTAGTTCATTAAAAGTGCTGAGAATTGTTAGGAGACCCCTATTCCTCCCCCAAAGCCATGATTTCCAGAATGTTTTAACCAGCACTGTTTTTCTAGGAAAAGAGGTGCCAGAACTCACCTTGTTCTCTTGTAATAGCAATGGCACCCACCTGAGAGGAACTGGGCTCCAGTATGTTCCAGCTGGGAAAAAAGCCCTGGTTTGAACAATCAATCCCTCCTCACAGGGAACTTTGGGAACTGTAGTCCTGTGAGGGCAATAGTGACACCCTAACAAATCTCAGTGACCTTCACAAACTACAGTTCCCAGAATTCCTTGGGGGGGAATCCAGGAGTGTTTAGAGTGGTATCATAGCACTCTAAATGGTGGGAATGTGCCCCGATGCAGTGCACTGAGATCCTTCTGGGATGACAAGGAGCCCCTACAGCATTCATTAAAAGCTTCCTCTTTGTATTTTATTGCTTCCTGTTCTGCATGTCTTGGGGATTATTTCACTACAAAAGAAAGAAAAGATTAATAATAATAAGTGATACAGTGATATAGTCAGTGATGCAGCAAACCACTTTGAGGGGTATTTTAAACAATCAAGTGGCATATAAATTTTATGAAATTAATAAATAATAGTGATTAGAGTGTTGGACTAGGACCAGGGAGATCCAAGTTCAGAGCAGTCAGCTGTGAAGCTCAAAAGATGACCTTGGGCCAGTCACCCTTAGCCCGAACCTAACGAGTTTGTTGGAAGGATAAAATGGATATATGAATGAAATAAGGTGTTAGCTGCACTGAACAAGAAGCAATAAAGTGGACCAAATCTACTAAGACAAGCACGGTTGCCCTCAAAAGCCTCCATAGTGCCTAGCCATGCCACACTTAGTGCTTCAGCTGCATTTTGTAGCAATAATGGTAGTTATGTTTGCCATAAAATGCAGTTTAAGGGGTCTGGCGCAGGCTCTCAGGCCAAGCCCACCCCCCTGGTGTTAGTGTAATATTTTGTCAGTATGGTGTTGTAATGTCTTATTGCAGCTATTCTTGATATCCCAAAAGGCAGCTCTTAACTTGGAAGGAGAAAGCAAGCTGGGATGGTTGCCACCGCTCTCCTGAGGCTCAGACCCCAAGACACAGAGGAAGGGGTTTAGAAGCTCAAGGGCAGATTAGGGGTGGAGTCTGGTTTTTGAGAGGATGAAATCTAACAGAGCACCTGTAGGTTCTGGGGAGGAGGCTACCTGGGTGTGATGAGTCAGAGTGGAGCCTCGTGGACAGGAGAGTGCAGCTAAAGGCAAACATTTTATACCCAAGCCATGAATTGCCTTTCCACGTGATTCTCCTGGAGGCTCTTAAGGCAAGAACCCTGCAGTTTCAGAAATGTCAAACTCTGAGACACTGCAACTGTACAAACTGAGAAGAGTGGTGGTGTTTTTCCCCATGAGGCCACAAACCTACCCTAAAAGATCCAGTCACAAACTGACATCAGAGTTACTGAGTCAGAGAATTTCATAACGCAGAGCAATTATCACCACAATTAAGAGATGCCTACAAATCTCCCAGGCTACGCAACTCTTCTCTAATCTAGTGGTCAAAGAGACATCTAATTGAAGCCGTTCCTTTACAAAATGATGAACAGAGCATTTGTTTACAAGAGATTTATGTTGGTTCTCAAAGGTTTGTCACCCATCTGGTCCTGAAGTCTCTGGACACAAGTCTTTATTATGCTTTGGTTTATCCAACATCCTTTTTGACAGGAAGGTCTTAAACCCAGGAAAGGGGGCAGAAGCTAATTTTGGTATGGAATTCCTCGCACACTCCAAAATGGAGCTTTTCTTGCACAAATAACTATAAATACACTTTACCAAAAGTTTAAGAACAAAGATAGAATAGGGATCTCTTGATATATACACATCCAGATCCCTTATACAGTATGTGCATCTCTCATATGTATGTATGTATGTATGTATATATCTATATGTCTATTTGATTTATCTATTTCCTATCCATCCGTCCAGTTTTTCTCCAAAAGCTTGTTGTGGCCTGGCCTGGGCCACTTAAAATGGCAACCATGTCTGCACCACGAACTTAGGTTTAATACCACTTTAGCCGTCATGCCTGCCTGCAGAGAACTCAAGGAACTGTGGGCTGATGTGGGCCTTCAGAATTTCCTGTTTAGAAGCTCTACAAGTGGGACTGGAAATAAAGGGTTGTATTCAGCTAAGTTCTACTCAAAGTAGGTCCATTTAAATTAATGGACCCATGTTAGTCATGTCCATTAATTTCAGTGGCTATACTTTTAGCATGACTTGCGCTGGATTCAACCCAAAATGTTGCTGTGTGAGCACTCCTGTTCACTATGCCAGCCAGCCAAGCTGTACCTTCCTCCATTCCATTTCCCCTCCATGTTTTCTGCACGCCCCCCTCAAGAAAAAAAAACTCTCCATGGTCACACTCAGTCCTCACTGGACTGTTTTTGGGATCCCAGTCCTTTGGAGTACATAAGCAATAGCACTCATGACTGAACGCTGGGAATATTAGAGTTGTGTGTCTGCACCACCATAGAATTATAGCTTCCTGGGAAGAAATTGACTATTAAGCCAGTTTAAGTCTATAGTTCAGCCTTCCCCACAGCTTGATAACTTCCAGATCTTTTGGATACCAGCTCCCACCAGCCCCAACCAACACAGCATTTTGTTTTAATTGTGCTTACTCCTTTGTAATGTGCCTTTAGGACTGCGGTCCAAATGAACTACCATTTCTTTAACCAGCTGACCAACTGTAACAGCACCCCAGCAAGGTAGGCCAAAACTGATAAACTACAATATGTCCAGGGACACCAAGCTCAGTGAGCTTTGAAGTTGAATAGGGTTCTGAGTGAACCATGGGTGGTCAAACTCCAAACAGTCAAGTTGCTAGACATCTTGATCTACCTCAGAGCAATACAGGGAATTCAGGTGGCCCAACCCCTCTTTTGTTTTAATTGTTCTCCACCAGCAGGGGCTGTGCCCAAATTTCGTGCCCACTGCCTCAATCCCAAAGAGGATGCATTTATTCTGCACCCATAAGGATAAGGCGCTTCCAAAGTGAATTTATATGACTCTCTTTTACGTCCTTTTACATGTATTACTCTGATTTCTTGATTGTCTTTTTTTAAAAAAGAAAGAATTTTAGGAAAAGGCTGTGTCATCTGCTTCTAGGACCCTTGAGGTCCTTGTATAATCTGTAAATGTGTATATAAAATCCCTAGCAATGGATGCCTGTGAGTGTGTGTGTGTGTGTGTGTGTGTGTGTGTGTGTGTGTGTGTAGATATATAGAGAGAAATATTATGCAAGTGTCTTTCTGTGTATAGGAAGGGACTTTGGGGCGCTCTTACATGCACTTCTGCTGTTGTAAATAAATTGCACCTTTGGCACCCCAGGACTTGTGTGTTGTTGGATGGATTTGTAAATCTTTACAGATTTTTGCCTGGTTTGGAAAAAGTCGTCAGGGAAAGTTTTCCTATTCCTCTCTCATAATCCAATCCTAGAAAATTAGTAAACCACCCAAGGAAATGGATCAGAAGTACAATTTCAGGCCAAAGAATGTGCATCAACTCATAATTACGGGATTCACCACCACAAGATGTAATGATGTCCACTAGCATAAACTGCATTAAAAAATGACTGGCCAAATTTACAGAGAAGCTTTGCCAGTGTGTAAGGTTACCAGGTCAGGAACATCCCAGACCCTCAGATTTCAGGGCCCATAACGGAAACCTAGGGGTGATGTCAGAGGCTGGGTCCTGAAGACAAAGGTTAATTGGGAGAGTGGAGTGGAGAAGGGCAGCCCCCCCCCCCAATCTATGCAATAATTTGCATCCAGCTTCTGCTGGGCTGAAAGTTACAAGCTGTATGCACAGCCTTCTTATTTTATTTTTATTTTTAAAACGTTAAAGGCACTCCTGCTCACCCTCCACCTTCTACCTGGAAGGCGCCAGGCAAACCTGAAGATTTCAGGTCAGGCCTTGAGGCTATGTCTCTGATGGATGAATGCATGGGCGTAGCCAGGATTTTTGTTGGGGGAGGGAGCAAAACGTGGTTGGGGCAGCAGGACTTTTGTTAGGTCAGTTAATTAAGTATTCCTATTGTTTTACTTGATCAAGGGCCTGGCTACGCCCATGACTGAATGGATCCCCTGTGCTAAAATATGACGTACGTAAATACCACTATCAGTTCCTTATCAAAAGAAGCGGCTATTCTTATGGATACCTTAAGTATCCATAAGGGTGTAAGGAAGGCCTGGCTGCTGGATCAGACCAAATGTGTGAAATACAATGCAGCAGAATGAAGGCAGTTCCTGAAATGCACACTCTCACACATGCTAAGCTGTTTTCCATGCACGCTGCTCCTTGTAGGAGATGCAGACTGCAATTGTATCAACCCCAGTGAAGCCTAACTGAACCTTAAGGTCCCATTGAAGTGTTAGGCAAGGCTAGCCCAAGACGTTTCGGTACCTGAGGCAAACCACAAAATGGCACCCTCCCAACCTGCCAAGGAAGGAGTGAGTGAAGACCTACATCAGGAACGAAGAAAATAAAGATCTACATTGGGAACAAGCGGGGAGTGTAACAGCAACAACAGTGGGCGACGCATTCCTTGGAGGCCGGATCTGCTGCCCCCGGGGAATTTGCTGCCTCAGGCGGACACCTCACCTTGCCTCACGGGTGGGTCAGCCCTGACTTTAGTGCCATGGAGCAGGTTAAGAATGTCATTGCTGCTGGTTTGGCATTACAGCCTCTGGATTTTATTTATTTTATATCACGTTATATTTTAAGCATTTTTATCCCACCCTCCATCCAAACGAGGCCCTCAGAGTGGCTTGCGAGTCACTGCAAACAAGACACAAAAGGGAAACTTGACTAGGGAGGGGAAACAGGCAAACTCAAGTACGAGTTATTCGTTACAAGTTCATCTGAAGACGAGTTCTTCTAATTACCAACTTTCTGGAAGGGTGGAAAAGATCAAGAAGAGAAGTGAAAAGCTGCTAGCACCTCATCTATTAAAAGTCTGATGCAGTGCCTGACTAGTCTTCAAGTAACTTCTCTCTCTCTTTCACACACACACACACACACACACACACACACACCTGCTTAGGACCCTCACAACATTTCTGGCCGTGGGCCAAAAATCTGGATTCGTCCTTTTTAGAGGCTTCGACAAAATTTGTGATGGGTGGACCGATAAAGGAGACATATGGCCATGTGGCCTAGTCCTCCAACCCTACGTCCATGGGTCTATTGGCAAGTGTGTGTGTGTGTGTGTGTGTGTGTGTGGTTGAGATTGAACGAGTTTCTTGCGCAAGAGTTAGCTTGCTCTTTGTGGTTTCAAAGATGTTCTGAACGGGAAGTTGGGGTTTAGAGGCAAAGCTGAACTCACTTCCTGTTGGGCTCTGGGTGAGAACAGAAGCGTAGCAATTCTCGTGTCCCCACACTTTACTTCGGGCCCTGGGCCTCAGCAGTTTCCTCCCTGCACCCAGATCACACGTTTCGTTGCAGCAGTGCTGGCCAAGGGGTGCCTCTCCGCGCAGAACCTGGAAAAAATATTGGAGCGCATCGGCCTCTGGATAGCCTAGAGCCATTTCGTCACGGAGAGCTGATGGCACGGGGAGCAGCCATGGGTTTAAGGAAGCAGAAGGTCTCCACGGCGTCGGAGGGCCTTTGAACAGCTTCTGCAGAGAGAGGACAGGGGGCCCAATGAGCCCCCAGTGGCCTTGGGAGCAGAAGGAGACGAGAGCCACTGAAGGCTGAGCGCTCACACGCCTCGACACACATGTCGCTCGCCATGAAAGCCCGGCAGAAGGTGAAGCGGAAGGGACAGGCCAAGGATCGGGTCTTTGGGTGTGACCTAATAGAGCATCTGCAGTTATCTGGCCGGGATGGTAAGTGATTTGTCTTTTCGGAGGCCGGAAATGTCTTTACCTGGTAGCGTACAGCATCCATTGCCCCCACTAGGAAATGGTTTGAGAAAAGGGGTCCTGCGCCTCAAGGGTGGCTCAGAACACCTTATTCGGCTTCAGTGGTCTTGGGCTGGGCGTCTAGAGGGGTCCCGCCATCTCCTTCCTGGCTGGCTCCAAGCTCCACAAAGGCATTGAGAACTTCAACAAAGTGCTTTGTAAAACCTTTGCATTTGTGAGTAAGTTCTTGAAATTGCAAATGAGTGACATTGACTGTGACACTGACACCCCCAAAACAAAACAAAAACTTGATTGTTTTTTATTTATTTGAAACATTTTCAAAACCACCCTTCATTCAGTAGATTCCAGGACAATGTACGATGGCATATTATTATAATATATTATATATTGTAATTTTATTTTTCCTCCGAAGGAGTCCAGGGTGATGATATATGGTTATGCTATTATATTATATTATATTATATTATACTATACAAGCACCTGAGTGGCTACAAAACTATTAATAACAGAAGCCATTAATCCTGGGGGAAAGCATAACTCAGAGATACAGCATCCGCTTTGCACACCGAAGGACTCTGGTTCAATTCCCGGCATTTCCAGGCAGGATTGGGTTTGTCTCTCTTCTGAAATCCTGGAGAGACACTGCCAGTCAGTGTAGACAATACTGAAGTAGATGAACTGGGAGCTTGGCTCACTATGTACCTAACCAATTTAAAACACCTGGTCAAATTAAAAACGTCTTAATCTGGCACCAAAAAGATTGCAATGTCAGCACCTCCTTGGGGAGGGTATTCCAAACTTGGGGGTGGGGTATCATGGATTTGTTGGAACCCACACAGGAGACTCTGCTATGGGTATCTGTCTCCTGGTCCATTAGCAACACACACAACCCCCCACAAGCAGTACCAAGGGGGGGGGGAGTACCACTCAGCATGATTTTGTGCCCAGTTTTCATTTTTAAAAAATATATATGTATTATTTATCTAGAATATTCATGCCCTGGCAGGAGTGCCAGCTTGGCCTCGTGACTGTGGGTGCCCGGGGCCGCGGGTACCATGCAGCGTGCATGGGCCTGGCACTGAAAGTTGTGGGTGTCCGGCGCCTTCAAGGGGAATTTTGTGGGTGCTTGGGCACCCAGGGCCTCAGGGAGTTGGCAGCTATGTGCCCTGGCCTTTTAATTCAACCCCTCTTCCTCAGAAAAGAAATCACAGATCAGCTTCTAAAATGTGACTATAATAAAAAATCAGAATATATATTTTTTAATGATCAGCATAAATGTATAACTAAATAGTATAAAACAAAGGGTGTCTGAAGCATTTTCAGATAGTAAGAATGAACGGCCATGCTAATCTCAACATCCTTGTTCACTAAAAGCAGATACAAATGTTGTTGTTTTAACCTGGTGCCTAAAGATAGAAGGTTTAACATCTTCCTATCTAGAATGTCTTCCCTAGAATGGCCTGGTGAGCCAAATGGGGTGGACTGGTGGGCCAAGAGTGGCTCATGGTGTAGAAATTGCCCACTTCTGTCTCAGTGCAGAGATGGACAGTCCTTTAGGTATCCTGGTCCCAAGGTGTGAAGGACTTTTAAAGCTCAGAGCCAGAATTTTGAATTGATCCCAGAAGTGGACCCAGAAGCGGACCAGAGCAGCTGGCCTGGCACTAGCAGACCCCCCCAACGATCCCTATTTTCCAGGGACAGTCTCGGATTTACAGAAGCTGCCCCCGTTTCTGATGTGATCCCAGAACGTTCCCACTTTTCCTAAGGATGTCCCTATTTTCATCGGAGAAATGTTGGAGGGTATGGTAGGACGTCCCTATTTTCATTGGAGAGTATGGAGTTATGTGAATCCCGACTCAAGAAGATACAACCTTTAGAAGACATCTGAAGGCAGCCCTGTATAGAGGTGTTTTTTTTTTAAAAAATAACATTTTATTATGTTTTTATTTATGTTGGAAGCTGCCCAGAGTGCAACCAAGCCAGATGGGTGAGATATACCGTATTTTTTCATGTATATTTTGGGTTGTAGCTGGCATACCAGCCTCACCTGGGCAATGTAGGGATATAGGAAACAGTCTTGGGGTTTATCCACACCTACCTTTCCTCCACTCTTTTCTTTTCTATATATAACTTTATTTATTTTGTTTCTCAAATTAACTTTTTACACTCACATATCCAACATACATCATAAAATCAAGATTCCATAGAATCTCCTGGGCTTCCCTCATCCCCTTTGTGGGTCCTATTGTTAGTCATTTCCTCCTGCATCTTTTATGATAATCCAAATCTTTTACATCTCCATTATATCCAAAATTCGCCATGAAACTACAAGTGCCATTCTAATCCTACTAACAATTTTAACTGTTTACTATGATTCTTCAGATAAATTATAAATTCCCCCATTCCTTATTAAAATTCTGGTCTTCTTGATTTCTGATTCTTCTGGTCATTTTTGCCATTTTGGCATAATCCAGCAATTTAATCTGCCATTCTTCTTGGTCGGGACTTCTTTCCATCTCTGGGCCAATAACATCCGCGCAGCCGTGGTCGCATACATAAATAATCTTTTCTGCTCCATTGGGATTTCGGCACCTAGAATTCCTAAAAGAAAGGCTTTGGGGTTTTTTAAAGAATAAATTATTTTAAACATTAAAATGTTCTTCCACTCTTTTTCAGGCATGATTCACGCTTAAAGTTTCTAGGGCCAAGCATTTTCTATTTTGCCCCGGAGCTTTCCCTATGCAAACTTGCTCTTTAAAGCTCAGTCAGAGGAAATGGCAAGCCATAGAAAACCCAGATGAATGTTTGCTGCGATTGAGAGCTAAAGAGTGGGTTTTCACAGGGAAAGTTTGGCGCGGGGGGCGGGGAGCTGGGAACGCTCAGACATGGAGCTTTTAAACACAGGCCTGTGCCTGGAAAGTGAAGAGCAAAAGTTAAGTGTGGATAAGCCCTTATACTAACTGATTCCAACCATAAGGACCTGTTGGATCAGGCCAATGGCCCATCTAGTCTCAGCATTTGGTTCTCACATTGGCCAACCAGATGCCTGTGAGAAACTAGTAAGAAGGATCTGAGCACATGTGCCCCCTCCCCTCCTGTGGTTTCCAGCGACTGGTCTTCAGAAGCATTATTCCCTCCCACCGACCGTGGAGGCACAGCACAGACATCTGAGCTAGTAGCCATCAATGGCCGTTCTCCATATGTTTTCTCTAATCCTCTCTTAAATCCACCTGAATTGATGGTCATCACTTCCTCCTGTGGGAGCAAGTGTGAAGAAGTACCATATTTTTCAGTGTATAACACGACCCCTCTTTTTTGGGACTCCAAATAAAGAAATCCCCTGTATGCACTATCCGTGTATAAACGACCCCCAATTTTAAACTTGAAAAAATAGGGGGGAAATGTAGTCTTATACACGGGAAAATGCGGTACTTTCTTTTCTCTGATTCTTCCGACATTCTGCTTCATTGGATGTCCACAGGCCCTAGTGTCATGAGGAAATCTTTTCTGTATCCACTTTCTCCATGCCAGGTGTCATTTTATAAACTGTTGTCTTGTCGCCTCTCACTTGTCTTTTCTTTAAGTGCTTGGTCCATCTAGCTCGGTGTTGCTTGCACGGACTGGCAGCAGCTCTCCAGGCAGAGGACATTCCCAGCCCTATTTGGAGGTGTCAGGGATTGAACCTGGGGCCTTCTGCGTGCAAAACAGATGTGCTACCCACTGAGCTATGGCAAAAGGGGCTCCGTACCAAAGAGACAATCTGTACCTCCAGTGTGTAAAAATGGATAAAAGGGTATAGACACCTGTTCCTTCAGACAGAGGGCAATCTCATCTAAAACAGGGCAGGCATCATTCACCTGGCAGGTAAAAAAACCACCCTCAGCAGCACTGGGATCTCTATTGCATCACCTGGGATGAGGTTTTAGAAGCAAGAAGCAGCAAAGAAGCAAACCCCCAGTGGAAAACTCCACTCGAGTCTCTCTCTCTCTCTCTCTCTCTCTCTCTCTCTCTCTCTCTCTCTCTCTCTCATGCCTCTGAGATCTGTGAGCTGTCAGATCAGGGGCTGGTAGGGTATAAGACACACAGGAAGTGAGCTGTGGGGAGCAAGCGGTGTTCTGGTGTTCTTGTTTGAATTTGCAAGGGGAGGGGAAGGGAAGGGAGGTGGCTCGTGCAACTTCCTTGTTTTGCTGGTCCAATTTTGGCGATTGCATCAATTAGGTGCTTGAGCAAGCGAGAAAAGACACAACAAGCAACAGTGGCAGAGCATGCCGGAGGCTGCTTACTTAATACTATTAGTAGTACAGTGGTACCTCGGGTTAAGTACTTAATTCGTTCCGAAGGTCTGTACTTAACCTGAAACTGTTCTTAACCTGAAGCTAATGGGGCCTCCTGCTGCCACCGTGCCGCCCGATTTCTGTTCTCATCCTCAAGCAAAGTTCTTAACCTGAAGCACTATTTTTGGGTTATCGGAGTCTGTAACCTGAAGCGTATGTAACCCGAGGTACCACTGTACTATCATTATCATTATTTGCTTATTTATTGCATTTCTATTCCACCTTTCCCCCAAAGAGCTCATACAGTGATGGCCACCAACTTTGATGGTTTAAAAGAGGATCAGGAAGATTAATGGAGGAGAGGGCTATCGGTGGCTATTAGTTGGAGGCAGCAATGCTTCTGAAGGCCAGTTGCTGGAAACCACAGGAGGGGAAAAGGCTCTTTGTGCTTGGGTCCTGCTTGCAGATTTCTCTCAGGCATCCTGCTGGCCACTGTGGGAACAGGATGCTGGCCTAGATGGGGCCCCTTTGGCCTGATCCAGTAGGCTCTTCTTATATCCTTACAGCTTTTATATTGTCCTTCTCCTCCTCATTTCATCACCACGACAACCCTGTGAGGTAGGGTCAAGCTGAGAGGCAGTGACTGGCCCAAGGTCACCCAGTGAGCTTCAAAGCTGAGTGGGCATTTCCACCCCGGTCTCTTCCAGGTCCTAGTCTAACTCCATGCCCTAAATGCCTGCATACATTCCCAGGGCTTAGGTGGAAGAAAACTTGGAAACGGTTAAGGCGAACAAAACGTCTTTAGTTGAGACTGTAAACTATAGAAAAACTAGACAGCAAGTGCTTCAAAAGGACAGGTGAAGGTAAAGGTTATCTGTTAAACACACATACAAAAATGCTGTAACCTTTCCAAATAGAAAAGTTAGGCAATCCTTGCCTAATATTTATGTGCCCATTTAATAAGCAAGATCCCTAAGCATAAAACGCAGTCAGATAATTAGAACAAGAACAAGAAAAATGCATATGCAACGTTAGAAACAAAAAAAATACAAAGATATACACAAGTAAAAATGGAGAAGCTATCAGTAAAACATTCAGTTAAATATCAGTAAGTCATCAGCTGCGTGCTCAGCCAGGTCAAATGGTCCCCTAAACCACCAAAGTCCTGGAGTTACTTCTCTGCAGGGAGCTTCAGTCCCCAATGCAGAAGGTATAAGTGCGTTTTTCAGCCCAAGAAAAATTTGTAGGGAACTTATAGCCCTTGTATGGAAAGTCCCAGGGGGCTCATGTTTGTGGTGGGCAGGGCTGGAAGCATTAGTGGGCGCTGAAGAGCAGCTGTTATGGCCGCTGCATCTGCATCCCTGTCTCATCCACTGAGGAGGAGGTGCAGGGGAGAGACACTGATGCAGAACATGTCCCTATTTTCATCTGAGGAGTGTTGTGGGGTATGGGATTCTGAGTCAGACCATTGGTCCATGCAACTCAGTACTGTCTGCACTGACTGGCAGCGGCTCTCCAGAGTTTCAGACAGGGAGCCTTTTCCCAGCCTTGCTTGGACATGCCAGAGATTGAACCTGGCACAGGCTGCACTTCAAGCAGGTGTTCAACCGCTGAGCTGTGGCCCTTCCCTTTGTGTGTCTTCCCATTGCCTATTAGTATTAGTATTGTTATTATCTTCATTAACATACCACCCTCCCTCTCAGCAGAGCCCAAGGCAGTGAGCAGCATAATAACCGGTGTACAACAATTGTACGCCATAATTTTACTGCCTCCGGGCATGCCCAAATTCAGGTGAGGCCTTTCCATCATTTGATCTCCCTACCAAGAAAAGCTTCACTTGCTAAGTCTCTGCACTGCTGTTAAAGGCAGAGGAGCAGGGCACATTAAAGCAGGTGGCAACCACAGCTGAATACAGCTCATCTCTCCCACCCAGCACCCAACATTTTTATCCCCTCTGCAAAGCAAAGCATGTTTGCACAAAAGCTTTTGGGGAGCAGCTCTTGTCCGTGTGGGAGAAGCAGACCCCTGCTCTTGTTCTCCCAGGCTCCTGCAGGCCCTCTCTAGCAGAAGGACGGGATAGGGTTTACACCGGGGGTGGTGTGCTCTTGAGCAAGCTCCCTTTATGTCATGACATGCTCTAATCCAGTCCTCTGGGCGCTGCATGTGGGCCACTGTCAGGGTTTATACAACCGCTCCGCTTTTCGGGAAAGCGTTCAAGGAAGAGCGATAGGAGGTGTGTAATGAGCACAATTAGATGGTATCTGTTAATGACGGGGCTGCTTTTGGCACACCTGGGCTGCAGCTTCGCAATCAGGGGACAATCAGCAGGAGCAGATCTCCCAAAGACAAGGTGTCACTTTTCTAGGCACGCATACCTGAGATGGACCTTGCCGGTTACATTAACAGGGTGGAGCTGCCAGGATGGAGCTGGTAGATTCCTAGGAAGCTCAAACCCTGCAGCAATCTCACAGATGAAAATAAGGGCCTGCTTGAAACCTCCATACCTTCCGTGGCATTACCAGAGTCTCTAAAACTGAAGTTTTGGAATGCAGCAACTCCCCTATGAGGAAAGGTTGCAGCGTTTGGGGGCTTTTGAGTTTTGGAGAAAGGGTGAGTAAGAGGTGACTTGTTAGAAGTTTATAAAATTCTGCACGGCATGAGGAAAGCTTTCCTCCCTCTCTCATAACACTGGAACTCGTGGACATCCAAGGAAGCGGAATGCTGAAAGATTCAGGACAGAGAAAAGGAAGTCTTTCACACAGGGCTTAAACTGTGGAATTTGTTCCCGAAAGATGTAGTGATGGCCACGTATGGCTTTAAAAGAGGATTGGACAAATTTGTGGAGGAGAAAACTGCTGATTGCTACTAGACATGATGGTGATGTCCTGCCTCCACAATTGAAAGTGGTAATGCTTCTGAAAAGCAGTAGCCGGAAATGGCAGGAGAGGAGAGTGTGCTTGGGCTCTGGTCCTGCTAGTGGCATCTGGTTGGCCACTGTGAAAACAGGATGCTGGACTAGATGGACCCTGGGTCTGATCCTGCAGGCTCTTCTTATGTTATTTTGTTCCTCCTGTCTGCTGTATCCATTGACTCTGTAATAGCCTTGTTGTCCATTGATCTAATAGCCAGTACAGTGGTACCTTGGGTTAAGTGCTTACCGTAATTCGTTCCGGAGGTCTATTCTTAACCTAAAACTGTTCTTAACCTGAAGCACCACTTTAGCTAATGGGGCCTCCTGCTGCCGCTGTGCTGCCAGAGCACGATTTCTGTTCTTATCCTGAAGCAAAGTTCTTAACCTGAAGCACTATTTCTGGGTTAGCAGAGTCTGTAACCTGAAGCGTATGTAACCTGAAGCGTATGTAACCCGAGGTACCACTGTAGAATAATTGTTGTTTTGGTTAAAGATGCATTGGGATGGCTCTTTTGATTATCGGTGCATGTTATCAACTGTCCAAAAAGCACACAGATTTAGAGGCAGATGCCCTCTAGCTGCATGAAATTAGGGATGAGTTGAGCAGCTCATCCATGCATCCTTTTGTGCCGTGTTTCTATCTAGACACAGGTCCAGGTTTTTCCAGAGTTTATTGTGAGGAAAATGCTTTGAAAGCGGTAGCTCTGTGAGGTGAATAGAGGCCTTCTAACCACTATCAGAGCCTTTAACAAACTAAAGCTCCCAGGATGCTTTGGGGGGAAACCATGACATGTTTATAATGGTGTCAGAGTGCTTTCAATGTATGGTATGGCCTTGGCCCAGGTGGAAAGCAGGAGGGTAAGTGAGAGAGGCAGTTTAAAGTAGCGTCATAGTGCTTTAAATGAGTGGTGTGAACATGGCCTGTGTTTATTCATGAATGAGGCAAGGCACTTCTAAGCACATGTTGCTGGGGAAGAAATAGTGGGGAAGGCCCTGTCTGCAGTGGAGCATAGCCTCTGGACATCCCTGAGGGATAAACAGCAGAGAACCTTGTTGTGGTACCTTAAAAAAAAAAAAAGACATATCAAGGTATTATTCCAAGAGCTTTCCTGAGATAAAGTCCATTGCAACAGATCCATGAAGTAATAATCTTCACTTGCAAGTACAGTTGCCTTGCAACTTATACGAGGGTTGTGTTTTGGGGGCAGTGTCCAAAGCAACCCGTTTAAAAACCATAAAAAGACTCACTGACCACCTCTGCTCTCTCTCCAAAGGCCGCTACAGATTCTCTCTGCACCTCTGAATGCAAAAGTAGAAGGAGGAGAGCAAAAAGCGGGGAAGGGCTGCGGCCTTTACATCTAGACTATGTCATTTCTTGGAAGCGCATTCTTAAAAACTGCTATACCGTAACTTAGCTGAGAGCTTCAGTTCTCCTTCTGTGTGCATTTTGCTTCCTGTCTCTGCTTCGGAAATGAAATCACCCAGGGACTCCACCCAGACATCTACCCTTGATGAGAGAGAGAGAGAGAGAGAGAGAGAGAGAGAGAGAGAGAGAGTCTCCACACTTGCCCATTGCACATCAGATCTATTTTGTTTCCCTATTAAGTGTAGATCTTGACATTAGAGGCCCAGCGGACAATGTTAACTGGGTTCCAAGCATCTCCAAGCCTGCCCATCTCTGACACTAGAATGGACTTCTGATTCATTCGAGGTCCCCATAAAAAAGCAAACACAAGCAAGTTTTCAGTTGGTTTGTATACTGGTACCTTCCCTACTTCATGAAGGAGCTATTGCAGATACGCATAGGCCACTTCCTCCAGCTACTCAACGGAGCTATGTTGTTTAAAACCATATGATATAAAACCAGCGTGATAACAAAATCATGAAACAAAACTGCAAACAATCATGTTTTAAAACAGCCCTGAATCTACTAAATCAACCTGCCTGCAAATCCCCCTGCCGCAAAAATAAAGAAGTCCCAACAGAAAACAGTAAAAAGGCAGGCTTCTCGCCTCACATGTAATTCACCTCTTTCCTATTTATATCCTCACAACAAACCTGTGAGGTAGGTTAGGCTGAGAGACTGTGAATAAGCTAAAGGCCACCTAGTGAGCTTCATGGCCAAATGGGGATTTGAACATCGGTCTCCCAGGTCCTAGTCTGACTCTCTAACCACTGCGCCACACTGGCTATATTGCCCTTTCTGTCAGGGATTTGGAGACTTTTAAAAACTGTTCAATCTTATTTTCGGTCGTAAACCTAAATCAACTGGTGAATATTTAGACGGGGTGTGGGTTTTGTTGTCACTACTTATCCCTGCAATGGACTTCCCCCAAAGAATTCTGGGAACTGTAGTTGCCCCTCAGAGACTTACAATTCCCAGTGTCGTTAACATCACCCAGAATTCTTTGGGGGGAAAGTCATGTGTTTTGGATGTGCTTCAAATGTATGGTGTAGAGCTGCCCTGTGGCTGTCCAGAATGGAGGTCCCATTGGTGGTGGGCCCCAGGAGGCCCCACGGTCAGCACTGCTGGGTGGTGATGATGCCAGCTCTCCCGGGACCACAGCAGGCTCCCTTTCAGGGTGATTTTGGCCATCTGTCAAGAGGCACCACCATTCCCCAGGCTGACTCTCAACCCTTTCCCAGTTCCTCAGGTTCTGAAGAGCTGCACGGAGTTTGTGGAGCAGCACGGAATCGTGGACGGGATCTACCGGCTGTCAGGAGTCTCCTCGAACATCCAGAAGCTGAGGTAAAAGCCAGCTGGCATTATTCATGTGTGGAACCCATTGCGGGAAGATGTGGTACTGGAGTCGCCAGCTTAGATGGCTTTCAAAAAAGGATTTTTTGGAAATTTATGAAGGAAGAGGAGCAGGGGGTATCAACTGATGGCTGTAAGCTGTGATCCATAAATGGAACCTCCCTGCCCAAAAGCAGCCTACCTGGAATAACAGTTTAAGAATCCCTGACACATGGCCATCCAACCTCCAACAATGGATAATCTACCACCTTCTGAGGGAGTCTAATCCATTGTCTTACAGCTCTCGCCATCAGAAAGCTCTTCCTAATATTTAGCCGGGATCGCCTTTCTGGTCATTTGAATCCATTGGTTTGGGTCCTACCCTCTGGAGCAGCAGAAAGCAAGCTTGCTCCATCTCCCATGTGACAGCCCTTCAGATAGTCCAGATCTTCCGGTGTTACTATATATTCCATTGCCTTTTTCCTTCCTCCCCTTTCCTGGCCCTTTGCAGGTTGGAATTTGACAACGACCGGGGCTCCCCTGACCTCAACAAAGACTTGTACCTCCAGGACATCCACTGCGTGAGCTCGCTCTGCAAAGCCTACTTCAGGGAGCTGCCCAACCCGCTCCTCACCTATCAGCTCTATGATAAGTTTGCTGTGAGTATGGCTGACCTAGGGCATATTTCGCACTAAGGGCCTTCACTCTAGGGCAGGCCAAAGGCTGCATTCTCTTCTGCGGAACCTTCCAAGAGCCATATGCCAAGGGCAGGTGTGGGCAGGGAAACAGATTTAAATTTCAGCTTTGAACAGTAGGCTAGTTTCTACACCCACCCAACTCTGCCTCAAACAAGAGTCATGGAATTTGAAATATACTCGGAGTCGAGTGTGGATTTCATGCTCTTTATTCAGCTCATAGTAGTGAGGAATGAAAGTTTCCCCAAAATATCTGCTTTATATACATTATTTACACAATGGGTCGCACGTGATTGGCTAATTCTGGGATTCTCCTGTAGGCCAATCAGGTTGCGGATTCACTTCCACCTGGAGCTGGATTGGGTGGCTCCTGTGGACCAATCATACTGCTGCATTGTTCTAGGACCAATCAGACAGCTGCATTCTGGACCCTATTGTTCTAGGACCAATCAGACTGCTGCTTTTTGGATCCTATTCAACTCAGTACATAACAGAATTACAGTGTTGGAAGGGACTCCAGGAGTCATCTAGTCCTACCCACCTCCCTGTAAGTCGTTATCAGAGGTCAAGGACAGATTCCAGCAAGGCAGAAGGAGGCAAAGCAGGGCCAGTGAGGGATGTGGCTTGAGAGAGGAGGTGTGGCCTGGGGAGATTCCCGAGGTCCAGACAGAGAGTCCTGAAGGGCCGCATTTAGCCCCCAGGGTGTGAGGTTCCCTGTTCCCTGCCCTAATACATATAAAGTGTTGCTTTGTTGTGCTCACCAATACAGCAGTTTCCAAGGTTCATGTGCTTTCAATGTGCACTGGATGTATGGTGTGGATCTGCCCTTATTGTGTATAGATTTGCATGCTACTCATTGAATCATCAAATTGTAGAGTTGGAAGGGACCCAAAGGCTCATCTAGTCCAACCTCCTGCAATGCAATGGCAACTGTGGCTCAGGTCTGGCAGATGACTGTACCCGATATCCAAAACCATTTGCTTTCAACGTTTGGTATTGCATGGCAGGGTGGGAGGCATGCTGTGGAATTGAGCAAACAAAATGGTGAGCTGAGTACCTCTCTCCCACTTCACCCAGGATGCTGTGGCCATCCAGATGGAGGAGGGTCGGCTGGAAAAGATCAAGGATGTGCTGAAGGAACTCCCAGCGCCCCACTACAGGTACCTGCAAGGGCCAAAAAGCCCTTTTTCTGGCTCAATCCTCATAGCGTCTTTCGGTCTCGCACATGTGTGAGAGCTCAGGACATAAAAAGGAGTGTCCTGATTTTTGTCCCCCTGTAGATTGCTGAATGCTAGTATGGCTGGTAAAGAGATTTCACAGTCCACTTCCTATTGATGGATGCTGGTGGTTGTGATTTCTCGTTCAGTTGACCCTCACTCTGTCCCGCCCCCCCCCCCCCAAATCTTTGTTTTGGCTTTGCATCCACCACAAGGACCTTGGAGTTCCTGATGAAGCATCTAGTTCACATGGCCTCTTTCAGCTCTGAGACCAACATGCACGTACGGAACCTGGCCATCGTCTGGGCTCCCAACCTGCTCAGGTGAGACATAGCAGCTTTTATCAAACAAGTTCAGTTCTTGGTGAACCATTATTGACAGCAACTTTGTTTAAGGCATGGCAAAGGGGAATTGGACTGAAACAAAGGCAAATTTGGAAAACTAGATTTCTGAATAAGGAGGAAGAAGAATGGCCTGACAATCAGGAGGTTCTTGCTCAACGAACGAGTGTCAGCAAGACCCACCACACCCACTCCCAACCTGTGCACCTCTGCCTCATTAGGCTTCACTCCCTCTCCCTCTCTTCTCAGGTCCAAGGACATTGAGTCGTGTGGCTTCAACGGCACAGCAGCCTTCATGGAGGTCCGCGTCCAGTCCATAGTGGTGGAGTTTATCCTCACCCACGTGGATCAGATTTTCAATAATGTCCCTCTCTGTGGTAGGTCTTTGTGTGTGACAGACAAATACCATAGAATCATAGAAATGTAGAGTTGGAACTTCTTGTAGTGCCCTCCATTGCAATACCCCTCCATACACATTCAGTACATGGGCCTTGAGGGGAGGTGGGGGGGGGCACTTCAGCAGCCCTAATGAACTTCCCAAAGAGCTTTCAGAATTTGAGGACCTCCCGAGAGAGGTTGTGGTGACAGCATATGGTTTGTTTGTTTATTTAATTTATTTATTGCATTTATACCCCAACTTTCTTCCCAAGGAGCTCAAGGTGTTGTACAAAGTTCTCCTCTCCCTCATTTAATTCCCACAACAACCCTGTGAGGAAGGTTAAGCTGAGAGTCAGTGACTGGTCCACAGTCACCCAGTGAGCTTCATGGCTGAGTGGGGAGATTTAAACCCTGATCTCCCAATTACAGTGGTACCTCAGAAGTTGAAGTTGAGTGGGGAGATCAGTACCCTGATCTCCCAAGTACAGTGGTACCTCGGAAGTTCCAGAATCTGTTCTGGAAGTCCGATCGACTTCCAAAACATTCAGAAACCAAGGCACAGCTTCTGATTGGCTGCAGGAAGCTCCTGCACCCAATCGGAAGCGGCATCAGACGTTTGGGTTCCAAAGAATGTTTGTAAACCAGAACAACTCACTTCCAAGTTTGCGGCGTTTGGGAGCCAAAATGTTCGACTTGCATGACGTTTGGGATCCAAGGTACAACTGTACGAGTCCAATACTCTTTAACCACTGTACCACACTGTCTCTCCTGCACTAAACTAGCTCTCTGGCTTTATTCCTGCACTCACTTAATTTTCTGATGATGCTGTTTTTCCTCCACTACTGCTATAGCCGGGAGCCGTGAATCTCTCAGGAAGTCCCTTCTCCTTGCGAGCTCACCGGTGACCTTTGGCGACGACAAATACTCCTTTTCCTGCAATATCCCAGCTGCGCTGAACCAGGGGGATGGCCCACCGCAGATGCGACCCTACCACACCATCATCGAGCTCACCGACAACAAGTACACACCTCCCTTCCCTCTCTTTCCCCTTCCCATGTTCACTTTTGTATTTGCCTGCTGAGAATTTCCAGATTCTAGTTACAAAGGATGGCATCAGATGCCCATTTTGCAAAGCGACTACAACCAGAGGGCATGAAGCCCATTTTGTTGGCTGGGCTGCAGAGAAAAAGGCACATCCCTACCTACGTGGTGGGCTTGCCCCCAGACTGTGCAACGTTGGTCACAGCTATTCCAGACCGCTTCATCTCCCAGCAAACTGCACAATTGCCTTGGATCCCTGATTATTTTAGCTGGTGTTGTTTTTCTTGCATGAATGAGAATAGTAAATCCATGCACAGAGATTTGTTGATGCTTATTTTAGCTGCAGCCAGACAGGAAACCCCTTTCCCTCTGCCCTCACTTCTGAGGACTTAGAGAGTCCTAAGGATCCCATTGGAAATGGCTCCAGACACACGATGACCGTCCTGCAGGCAAAATTTATAACCTCCATTCCAATTCTTCACAGAAGAAAAGGATCCCTTAAGGCAAAGAAATGGATGTCAATTTTCAACCTCGGCCGATCCAGCCATGATGCCAAACGCAAGTTGAACAAGCCAGAGGACAAAGGTAAAAGGCTTAACGCTAAAGCTCATTGTAACTGTTCAAGCAGACTAAGAGTTAAGTGTGCCACATATATGGCCTGAAAGTGGGTCTTTCTGTCACTATCTCGTTGATTATTTTTCCCAACAAAAGCGCCAAGTGCTGCATTATAGTGCAGATCAATGGTTCCCACAAAATTTTGAGCCACTGTACCTTTGGTTCTATACACTCATCCCCAGTGCCCCCTGCCCTATAAAACCATTGTTCAGAATAGAAGGACTATAATAACACAATAAAATTCAAAACAGTAACAATTAATTGCACATTTAATTCAAAATGCAATTAAAACTCTTTCGTTTAATTAATTCAACAAAATGGATGAACTCGATACAGTGATAGCAGCTTTTCAGAGTCTAATACAGTGGTACCTCAGGTTAAGTACTTAATTCATTCCGGAGGTCCGTTCTTAACCTGAAACTGTTCTTAACCTGAAGCACCACTTTAGCTAATGGGGCCTCCTGCTGCCGCCGCGCCGCCAGAGCACGATTCTGTTCTCATCCTGAAGCAAAGTTCTTAACCTGAAGCACTATTTCTAGGTTAGCGGAGTGTGTAACCTGAAGCGTATGTAACCTGAAGTGTATGTAACCCGAGGTACCACTGTAGTCGTTTACACCTCTAGTACCCCCCTGCCACCCCTTTGCCTCCAGAGGGCAGAACCACCCACTTTGGGAACCACTTTGGTTGTAGATTCCCCCAGAGCTTTATTAAAGAGCTTTATTAAATATATGGGACCATGATATATGAGACAACTTTTTCTCTAAAGGATTAATTATCTGGATGTTGACTGCTAGAATCTCTGTTAACACAACAATGGAAGACACTAAAAGATTTAAGCTTAGCACTATGGTACAGTATAAAAAAACATCTGAACATTTATGTGCAATGTGGTGAGACTTTATATCTTATGTTTCATCTGCCAACATGCAAGACTCTTCAACGACATCAAAAATATAAATTTGGATTGATGGGAAAGGTCAGAAACCAGGAAGATCGAGTATTCTTAAAAGATTGGAATAACTTTGTAATATATTTAAAAGACCTCTGTAAACAGTTGAAAACATTGGCAGGGATACAGTTACAGTTCTATGAAAGATAAATAGCCACTTTTTTATGCATCCTGTGGTTCTTTTGGTTCATTATGTTGATGTTGCTTCTTTTATTTTGTTGCCTGTAAAAGGAAAAAATATATACTATTAAAATTCAACTGAAAAAAGTTGGTTTTTTTTTGAGGCCCGGATTTGGTTGGCTCAATCCTGCCTTTCTGTTTCAGATGACAAAATGGGAAAGATGCGTCTGCGGCCGGCCAAAAGCATGGATTCCCTCAGCTCCATGCCATGTGCCAGTGATGGTAGGTGCAGAAATCTCTGGGGTTGTTTACATTTGCTGCTGAGGGCCTGGCTGGCTTTTGCCCCACTTCTATTCCTCCTGGAGCATAGAGATGGAGGAGACAGAAGGACTTGGGTGTTTCACCAAATCTTGGAAGGACTTTAATCCTAATAATTTGGATTGCTGGTATTCAAGGGTTTGGCAGATTCCCCTTCTTGAAAAGGTATCTCCTTAAACTAAAAGTATCTAAAGGGCAGAACTCAATTTTTTTAACATATGACGTGATTTCTTATTCAATTGAGGCACATCGGCATAGTCAAACGTCTAGCTCATTTAATACTATATAGAACCTTTATTCTCCATAATGATGGAATTAACAGATGGATAATACTTTTATTTTCATATATCCTTACTATTTGTAAAGGAAATATTTTTATGAGTTAATACTTAATTATCCGTTTGGAGCTGTGCCGTATCTTTGTACTTTTGTCCTTCCAGGCTGTGACCCTTTACAATTTAAGTTTCAGATCCTTTGCTTTCTTTCTTTATGTTATGTTTGCACTTTTTTTGGTTGACCAATAAATAATAATAATTTTTAAAAACCCAGCAGCATACCTATTCACAGTAATCTCATAGCAAATTCATCACAGTATTAAGGCTACTGGAAGGCAACCTTGGAAAAGGTTTGGGGCCCAGGCATGAGGCCCTGTCTTTTGGGTCCCTCTTTGATTCAGCTCTCTTCCTTTGTGTGCAGATGACATTCAACTGGGGAGGAAAATCTCCCAGAAGCAGCTCACTCTGTGCCGTGAGAGTTTTGATGGCCCGGCTTCTCTCGATAACAGTTTCCTGCTGTCGGAGTCTGACGAGTATACGGAGAGACCCAAGGCCGAAGAAGCACAAGGCGAGTCGGAGGGCGAAGCCACTGCCAAGTCGGAGCCCACCACCCCAAAAGCCAGCAGGTCCAGCCTTGTTGGGGTGGCCCCTCAAGGGCGATCCCCCAAAACTGGGCGCAACCGCGCAGAGAAGTGCGCCGGCGTCCACATCTCTGGGCCTTTCTCTGTCACGGTCCCGTTCCACATCACTTCCAACCTCACTTTGTCCCGGCTAACCCGGGGGCTCGAGTGCCCTGCCCTGAGCCACTGTGCCCTGGAGAAGGACCCTTCTGAGACCTCTGAGGCCAAAGAGGACGAGCCTTCTAAGCAGAAAGAAACTGAGGAGAAGCTGGTGCCCGACCTCACAAACAAGGAAGATGCTGGAGGTAAGTATCTCCCCACCATTTCTTCCATCTACAAGCTGCCTTGGTGGTATAGACCAGGGGTGTGGAACCATTTTTGGCTCCATGGGCCAGATCCTTATCAGAATTGGCTCCTGAGCCAAATTTGACAGAGTTCTCCCTGCCCCCCCCAACCTTCATTTTACCAGGCAGGGGTCTATGCAAGCCCCCTACTTGAATCAGGAAAAAGTATGCATGGAATCCTGCAGGATTGAAGCTATGCCCATCAGCTGAAGATCAGCTGTCACGAGTGGTGTCAGCTGATAGGCAGGTGAGTGTGGTTTGAGCCAAGATGGGCCTGCAGGCTAGAGGTTCTCTACTCCTGGTGGCACTTGGGCCTTGTTGCCAGATTCCCCAGTTTGTGCCCACTGGCGCATTACACAGCTGCATGAAGAACCATCTTCTCTTGCATGAAACCTGCCCATTCCTTAACATCACCCTTTTGAGGCTGTGCCCCAGATGCCCCCCATTTCAGAAGTTAAACAGATGACAGCAGGTGAGAGGGACTTTTCAGTGGTGGCACCCTTCTTGACCTGGGAACTGACCCTACTTACAGTTGATACGTATTCCCAAAATAATACAGATGAACACCTGAAATGTGACATATTTAATCAACTAGAGGAATCTTAGCTGATTACCTATATGAATCTTCATTGATTCATCAAATAAATTTGCAAAAATGTGTATATAATAAATAGAATTGATTGTATTCAACTAAGCTCTACACATAATAAAATTAATGGGCAAATGTTAACCATGTCCATTAATTGCTACTTCGAGTATGGCTAACACGGGATGCAACCCAATAGTTCTAACTTACTAACTTACTTTATTTTTAAGTGATCCAGACTAGGGTCAAAACAAGTACCCCCCCTTTCTCTCATAGGGGAGGTAGGTGTTGTTTTTTCTTCTTCCTAAGATTGTGCTCACCATCTGCAGTTTTCCTAAATACTTGCATTACAAAGAACTTGGGGCTCACCAAGGAGCTATTCCCTGTCGCAAAGAACTGACTTGCTCTTTGCTTCTTCTTCTTCTTCTTCTTTTGCTTCCCCTTATTGAAACAGATGCAAAGGCAGGAGGCCTGTCTGATTCGGAAGAGAACCAGATGTCTTTGGAGGTCCAGGACTCCTTCTCTTTCCTGGACAGCCAAGATGCCTGGCTGGGTGAAAGCATGGATGGAGACCAGCCCCGGAAGAGCACCAGCATAGCACCTGATTTTGCAGGCAGTGGTGTGGACAGTTCCCCACTCACGGAGGACGACATGAGCAGTGGGTTCATGAATGAGATGATAGGAGGCGGGATGGAGGTGAGGTCCATGACTATGTCACCCAAAATCTTTACCTAGTTAAAAATGCAGGTGCTCTTCCACCCCATCCTTGAGTCTCTGTCCTAGCAGGAGCTGCACATCAGCTCCTACCTGACCATTTTGGCAGCTCCAAGGTGGGAAGGGAGGGAAGAAAGGAGTCCTTTGGAGCTAGACAACTCCTACAATCTCTATAAGCAGATACAGACAACAATGCATAGAGCTCTGTGGGGGTGGGGATCCATTAATATAAAATTATGCTGCAGAAATAAAGTACAGGATGGGGGTTGACCCTTTTATACATATTAAGTGTGTTTTTGGCATATAATCTTGCATATAATGGATGGGGCTATTTTTAAAAGATGTAAGTGAGTGCTCAATACCATAGGTGATCCAAAGTGAGCAAAGTCCAGGACAGATAAAACAAAGGACTTCTTCAGGCAGTGCATAAACTATGGAACTCCCTCCCACAGGAGGTAGTGATGGCCACCAACTTGGATGGCTTGGAAAGAGGATTGGACAAAATTCATGGCTATGCTTCACCTCCAGGGTCAGAGGCAGCAAAGCTTCCGAATACCAGTTGCTGGAGGCCACAGGAGGGGAGAGGGTTCTTATGCCTGGGTCTTGCTCAGGGGCTTCACAGTGAGACATCAAGTTGGCCACTGTGAGAACAGGGTGATGGGCTAAGTGGACCATTATTAGCATGATTCAGCAGGGCTCTTCTTAAACGGGTTGGAACCGCCAAACATTCATCCATTATTTATTTATTTATTTCATAAAATTTATATATTGATAGTAGGAAAAAAATCTCAAAGCAGTTTACAAACAAGATAAAACAATGAAATTACAACTAAAAATTTACAACTGTAATTTAAAACATACAGAAAATTAAAGCCACAGTAGAATAAACTAAAACACATTAAAACTCATACAAATTCCAGCCATAAATCCCCTTTAAACCCAGTACAGTAGTTGGATTTGGGCACATGGCGTGTTTTAAGTAAGTTTTTATTTTACTTTTTAATTGTATTGGTTTGGGGTTTTGCTGCCCTGGGCTTTTTTTGGAAGGGAGGGCAGGAGAGAAACGTAATGAATAAAGAAACAGGCAGTTTCTTATGCTCCCTTCAGCCCCAGGCAACACAGGCCTGGGGCTGATGGGAGTTGTAGTTCAAAGAGCCTTGCTGTCTGGTGCCTAAACATATGGAGAAAGGGAGGTTGTTCTGTGTGTTTGCTATATTCATTATTTTTAAAAGGGTAACTGAGAAAAAGAAAGACGTGTGTGTTTGAACCAAAGAGGAGCCTTATTTAAAACTCTTTTCTTTCTCTACCTCCAGCTGGAGATGTTTTCAGCTGTTTCACCACTAGATTACCTGTCCATTGAGGAGTGTATGAACGAGCACTCAGAAGAGGAAGATGACCAATATTATCTGGCTGTGGGATGTTCAGATGGCGATGAGGTTTCTAAGGAGGTTGACAGTGAAGAGGTCTACTTGAGTGCTTTTGATGACCTCAGCCCCTTAGCTGGCAAATTGCAGCATTTCCAGCAGCCAGATGAAGACCAGGCTCTTGATGACACCTGTCTTCCGAGGAGCACGTTGGATGATCAGCCCTTCAGTCTGGCTGGACAGCCCTCACCTGAAGACCCAGACAGCTCCCATCTCTTTGAAGTTGGCAGGGAGCCTCTCCTGGATGACCCTCCAGTTCACGACTTCAGGTTAGACAATTCCCAGCTGGATCCAGCTTCCGCCAATCCATCTGAAGAAGAGTTGCAGGCCTTCCTGGATTCTGGTAGTGATTTCAGTCAGTTGGAAACACTCATGAAGGCTGAAGCTGAGACCATCCAGGTAGATCCTGACTTGGCAGCGTTGCAGATGGAAGGTGTAAACGCCAGAGGTGAAGATGACCTGCTTCTAGGAACAGGGTGCTTGATGCATGCCAGATGCCCTGATGGAATTCCAGAAAACCCGGTGCAAAGATCTTCGGTTCAAGAGAATCAAAACCATGCAGTCCAACCGAGCCTTGAAAATGAGCGGGAACGACACAATGCATTAGGCATTGAGCAGGTTGCAAGATCTCCTTGCATCCCCAGCATGGAGGTAGATGGATCTACCTTGGAGGTGGATGGATTGTATGACTGGCACCCAGACTACGAGTTCCCATTTCAAGCGGCAGAGCAGCAACAGAGGGGAGAGACTGCTCTTCATCCTCAGGCAGCAGAAGTTCTTTCACCCCCGGATTTGCACAGAACTCCACTTTCCTCTTTGATGGACAATTGCTTTGAAAATGCTTCTTCCGAGACGTCTCCAATGCTTGCGCCGAGTCTTAAGCCAGATGCTCCACCTGAGAGAGCCCCTCCTGGTGGCTCCTCGCCTGACAATTGCAATGGGTCTGAAGCCTCGTCGCTCAGGGCCCCTTCTCTGCAGGGCTGCCCAGAAAGTCCTCCACAGACACCACCACATTCAATGCCGGCGAAAGCCTCCGATGCTCTCAAGCACGACCTCTCTGACGGAAGCGTCTCCATGAGGTTGACCTCACATGCCATCAGAGTGCAGCAGGCGAAATCTTTCCCAGTCGTGCCTCCGAAACCCCAGTTTGCCAAGATCCCTCCAGCCTTAATGCCAATATCTCCAACCAAGGAAGCCTCCCTCACGTGGTGCAGCCCACCTGTCCCAGAAAAGAACTGTAGAAATGGGATAAAAGAGGGTCCCAGCGAAGGCTCTCTGCGCAGGCCCCTTCGCCCAGCCAGCCTGGACGTACATTGCAGCACCCCAGATAGCAGTGAAAATGTAAAAACTCCCCTGGCTGTTTCCAAGCTGCCCACCTCTCCAGGTAACTGTCTTGGAGATTCAGGGGCCCTCCGGAAGCAGCGGAATTCCATGCCTGTGAGTTTAGAGAAATATGACAGAGATTACGAGAGCAGAGGAGCAGACGCGGTCCCAAAGCTACTGCACTCCCCACTGGACAAATGCAGCCTTTGGCCCAAGAGCAGTGATGAGCTCCCTAATACAAAGTGCTCTCTGCTAGAAAGTTTGGATAAACACAGCAGCAGCACTACCACCGCCAGGGGTGAAGAAGGGAAGGGTGAGCCCTCCCAAAAGCAACTTCCAGCGCCTCTATTGCTTGGTGAGGCTGGTGGGGCTGCTCCCCAGAAGCAGAGATGGGCCAGCTGGCGCAACGGGAACAGCATGTCGTTTGATGAGGCGGTTGCTCTTGCCAAGGAGAGACACGTGGGCCAGGCCCCAGTGAGGAGGATGCAGACCTACTGTTTTGGTGATGTGGAGGGGCTGTATGGCCCTCCCAGAACAGAGAAGCCACCCCCAAACCCTAAGCCCGCCCTGAAGCCTCTGGGGCAGCGGCCCCTGAGACCCCTGTCCTGCGCAGGCACAGCCGCAGATGCCTTTGTCCCGGGGAAGCCGCTTCTTGCTCCAGCGTTGCCTGACATCATCCCAGAAGGCCAACTCTCTCCAAGCCTGGAAGCTCTGTCCCTTCCTCAGGATCTCCCGCCAAGGAGAAAACTGAGCTTGACGAAGGCAGGGCGACGTGCGTCCAACTCGGAAGAGGTGCTTTTAGCAGCACAGCAGGAGCGGAGGTGATTCGCTTTGGCAGCTGGTTCCCAAATCTGGCCTTCAACTGTGCTGCCTGGTGCTGCTGGGACCTTGGACTTCTGCACTGATGTGGCACCTCCCCACCCACCTAATCAGGACACAAAGGACTGAAGAAGAGTCTTGCTGGAACAAACCAACGTTAGCTAAGAATCATCTGCTTCAAGCAGAGATCAGCCAGAAGTCCACAAGCAGGGCCTGAGAAAGCAAGAGCTGCAGGAGCCGCACCCACGGGTGATACAACCAAGGGCATGTCACGTGGGTGCTGCAAACTGGGGTAGCTGCTCAGATTTGAGTCCTGTGCGGTAGGTAGGGTGGTAGATAGCGATGTAGGATAAATGCTATTGTGAGTGAGTAGGCTTAAATCGATGCAACGGAAACGACTAAGAGAAAAGAAAAGAAATACTGTAAGTTTACCATTCTGAAATGTGCGTATCTTCTGTGCAGGCAGGCATCCCCTTAACTATTAACACATATTGGATGGTTGCATATAAAGCTCCCCTTTAATCAGTCTTAGCTTCTCCCAAAGAATTCTGGGAAGCGTAGTTTGTTACGGGTGCTGAACGTTGTTAGGAGGCCTCTATTCCCCTCACAGCAGTACAATTCCCAGAGTACCCTGTGAGGAGGGAATGCCAGTAAAAGAACTCTAGCCTTGGGTGGGAATAGGGGATTCTCCTAACAGCACCCTTAACGACTACAGCCATGTTCTGTTGAAAACTGTATCATGGTGCTTTAAATGTATGGTGTGAATGAGGCCGAAGTAGAACTGTTATATAGCCTACATCCCACTCGGCTTTTACCCTGAAGGCCTGAATGTACTTATAGATGCAAGAGACAAATTTCTGTTTAGCTCTCTCTTTAAACATGGAAGGATACTGAGCGAGATCACTGCCTTGAAGGTTGAGGCTGTCATAATATTTTGCATACTTATTTGGAAGGAAGTCCTGCTCAGCAATGAGAGACTTACTTCTAAGTATAAACATACATAGGATTTTGCATGTAGACATGCACATGGGATCATGTATGTACCTAGAGGCTCTCAAACGTCCCAGAAGCAATGAGTGACAGTTACCAGACAAAACATTGTTTCTCCACTATGAATTGGAAAATAAATGTCCATGCTGTTTGGTTGGTAGTAATGAATATTTGTATGTGGCTACCATGATGCTGCACTCAAGAATTTGCAGAACGTAATATGGGGACACAAGATCGCCCACATGGGCTTTGTGGATGACACAATATCCTGGATCCTGGTACTTGGGGTGGTTTGTTAGTCCAGCCTTTACCAACCTGGGGCCCTCCAGATGTTTTGGACTACAGCTCCCATCAGCCCCAGCCAGCACTTGGATACATGGTGGCTGGGGCTGATAGGACCTGTAGTCCGGAAATATCTGGAGAGCTCCAGATTAGCAATACCTGTGTTAGTCCCTCTTTCCAGTAGAGAGCCCAAAGGAATATTGTTACATGAACTTTATTCACTGGCCCAATATCAGTAACGTTTTATCTCAGAAGTCCAGATGTCTTGCCTCATGATTCTCTCTTTTACACAGGAAAAAAAAGCAACAGTCTTTAACTCAATGCATTTTCATATTCAGATGTTAAGTGCAGACTATACTCGGTTTGTGTGTATTAAATTCAGAAAGCAGAGCATTTGAAAAACACTTATTGTGTCTGTGAAACTGTTTATTGACCCCGCTTAGGAATGGCTTAAGCGGCCTGTTGGGTGACTAAAGTGTAAAAAAGATAGCAGGAAATTTATGTGGCTAGCCAAATAGTACCAAGATTAGCATACCAGCAGAGAAAAACCTGTTGTGATTTGTATATGGAGAGTGGAAAAGGGGGCAGATTGGTCACTGGTGTGAGAATGGGAGTGTTACAAGGACTGAGTTGTTCCCATTTTTCAAATGCTGTAAAGTGTGTGGGGTTTGTCTACAACTAACTGGTGACACTTCCTCATAGCAGGTTAGTGTAGACTTAGGTCATATCCACACCATACATTTAAAGCACAATTAACACACATGACTTTCCCCCCGGAAACTCCTGGGGATTGTAGTTTACCCCTCACAGAGCTACAATTCTCAGCACTCTTAACAAACTACACTTCCCAGGATTCTTTGGGAGAAGCCATATGCTTTAAATGTGCATTAAGTGAATGGTGTGGGTGTGACCTTGGTGCTGCCCGTGCAGGTTTAGTGGTAGAGTCCAAAAGATTTCCGTCATTAAAACGCCATCCCAGATGTGTTAAGCAACGCTTTTCTTTGTGGCTTCTTCAGCTATTCTTCAGTAGCCATTGATATTTGTTGACACTTATGAAATTGTTAAAAATAGCTGCATGAACGCCAATGAAAAAAGGTTGCAATAAATCTTCAGGATCTTGTGATGCCTAAGCCATACCTCAACATTTGAGACAATTTGATCTAGTGGAATCTCTACTACTAGATCTACTGTGGACGTTTGGAACAAAACAAAACAAAAATCCTTCCAGTAGCACCTTATAGACCAACTAAGTTTGTTATTGGTATGAGCTTTCATGTGCATGCACACTTCTTCAGACACACTGAAACAGAAGTCACCAGACCCTTATATATAGGGAGAGGGTGGGGAAGAGTATTACTCAGAAGGGTGGTAGGAATGGGTGATTGGTTGATAAGTGTGGTTAACCTGTTGACGGCTGTTAACGACTGCAATTGGTCTTACAGAAAAAAGCAAGGGGTGAGATGGCTAAAAATAGCTGTATCATGTATAATGAGATAAGAATCCAATGTCTCTGTTCAGACCAGGTCTCTCCATGGTTTTAAGTTTGGTAATAATTTGCAATTCAGCAACTTCTCTTTCCAGTCTATTTCTGAGTAATACCCCTCCCCACCCTCTCACTATATATAAGGATCTGGTGACTTCTGTTTCACTGTACAGTGGTACCTTGGGTTAAGTACTTAATTTGTTCCAGAGGTCCGTTCTTAACCTGAAACTGTTCTTAACCTGAAGCACCACTTTAGCTAATGGGTTCTCCAGCTGCTGCCATGCCGCTGCTGCACGATTTCTGTTCTCATCCTGAAGCAAAGTTCTCAACCCGAGGTAATATTTCTGGGTTAGCAGAGTCTGTAATCTGAAGCGTATGTAACCTGAAGCGTATGTAACCCAAGGTACCACTATATCTGAAGAAGCTCATACCAATAACAAACTTAGTTGGTCTCTAAGTTGCTACTAGAAGGAATTTTTTTAAATTTTGTTTCGACTATGGCAGACCAACACAGCTACCTACCTGTGGAAGTTTGGGTTAGCCTAATGCATTTTTAACAGGTGTCTTGATATTTCTTACCTGCTTCTTGGGCACAACTCTGGCATGAGGCTGGCCTCAAATGAGGGTGTTGCATTTGGGCTTTTAAATCTGCCCAGTCATGCAGTTTAGTGAGTGGACTCAAGTCAAGTTGCCACAAGTCACCCTCCCTATGTCTAAACTTTTGTAGAGCTGTGTGCCCTTTTGTACACTGTAGGTGCAGTGTAGCAGCTAAGACCTGTGCTACAAAACAGGAAATTCTTGGTTCAGATCTTGCTTCTGCCATTTACTCGTTAGTTGTAGGTGAGCCATTCTGCCTCAGCCCTCTCATCTACAACAGTGTGAGGCAGGTAATGATATTGGTCTGCTCTGCAGGGTGCTTGTAAGGGTTATAACATTTTGCATCATCTCATGCTGCTTGGTGGAATGTGAGGCAGAGTACCATCTGCTATCACTAGGGAGAAGCATTAACATCACATCCTGACCCCAGTGGCTCTCTTTGTCACAAACAGAAGAGCAGCAATTTTGGGTTCTATTTTTGTAATGCTTTCATCTGTCATGAGCCACTTTGAAGGAAAGGCTGGGTATAAACCTTTAAAACAAATAAAATAAGATTTGTAAAGTGCTTTGAACATTCACATGTGCTACACACTTGTCAATACAAGTGTCCTGAAGGAAGTACTGGGGTGGAGGGCAATCACAGGATAAAAGTCCAAACCGGAATAATTCTTGTAATTCTAGCTGTACCGTTTCCTATTCCAACCTAACGCCATTTTCAGAGAAGAAAATTAACCTGACCCGAAAAAATATATATATATTTTTGCAAGTTGCCAACAACCAATATGACCGATATGGAGCTGCTTCCTTCAAAACGAAACACAGCAAATGCCATAATAATTTGCACTGGTTATGTGAACATAAGGTAATCATAAGACACTGGAGTCCTTTACCAATAAAAAAGGATTTAACATAGGTTAAATCAACACCATACATTTGAAACAGACACCGCACCCATTTAAAGCACATGACTTTCTCCCAAGCATCCTGGGAACTGTAGTTGTTAAGGGTGCTGGGAATTGTAGCTCTGCTGAGTAAAGTCTTGAGCTTTAAATATGAGTTGGGAGTGCTTTAAATGTACATTACGGATCTGTCAAGGCTCAGAGTAACCAGAGGAAACTTGTTGCCCACAACAAAGATGGCATCCCTAGGCAATGGTCCTTCCTTATTGGCTAGAGAAAATGAGCCAACCCCCGTTGGACGTTAGAAACTGACAGCTGAAGATAGCGCCCTTCGCTAAGATGGCGGCCACCGGAAGCTAAAGACAGACATTGCGCTCCCCCTCACACCCCACTCACGGCATTGCATAACATAAGTGAATTTAAAAACAGTTCTCTCATGGCCTACCTGCACTAGTCCAAGTGCAGGTGACCATAAGCCGCTCCTGAACGGCGCTGGCGAGAGGAAAAAGACCCGAGCCGTCATCCTCCCTCCCCAAAATGGCGCCGGCGAGAAACGAAGGCCCGAGTCCCTCCCTAAAATGGCGCCTGTAAGGAAAAAAAAAAATGGCCGGATCCCTCCCTAAGATGGCGGCGGCCGGAAGCGGCGGCCTTTCCCCTCATATCGTTTCCAGCCGCGACGCCCCGGGTCCAGGAACCAAGCTCGGCGAGGCGGGGCTTGCGCCGCCTGCCGTGGTTGCCTCCCCGTCGAGCTGTATGGGCGGCGGCGGCGGCGACGGAGAAGAGAGGCAGAGAGGACGGAAGAGAAAGGCTCCGCGGTGCGCATGCGCCGATCTCGATGGAGAGACAAGGGGGCGAGAGAGACGGAGGGGAGGCCAGGTAAACAGTCGCCCGCCCCCCAATCCCACCTCTGGCAGAGGAGGAGGAGGAGGGGATAATCCGGGGGGCAGGCGGGGGACAGGATAGGGTTGGACAGTTGAAGGCTCCGTGGTGCGGGAGGCGGCGGGGGACAGCAATGAGGAGGGGCGCAGGATTGGGCCCGGGGATGGGGTGGACGGGTGGGTGTCTTTCTGGCCTCAGTTTCTCAAGGCGAGGTGGCTCTCTTCAGACGAGACTGGGCGGGGCTTCTCCCACAGCAGCTCCTCCCCATCTCCAGGCCTCTCCCGATATCTCTTGTTTTTTGGGACTTCACACGTGCGAGGCCGCTTTTATTATTATGGGCTCGTGTCTATCTCAGTTGCACTTGGGGATGTCAAGTGAGCCAAGTCAGTTTGTTTCGTTGGGGCTGCTCTGGGTGTGACTAACGTTTAAGTAAGCAAGCTATTACCACGACGGCTCTTATGATTACTACCGTCATGTTGTTGTGAGTTTCGTCGGCTCCAATCCAAAGGGTGACTAACGCTGGGTGCATGCTTTCTCTCTCTCTCGTTGTTATTATTTGCATTGGTCTGCTCTTGAGGGGGCTATGGTTGAGTGCAGCCCAGTAGTATTACACTACTGCTGCTGCTGTTCCCGTCAACAGTTTTATTGGGTCTATTCTGAATGTGACTAACTTTGGGTGCAAGCTGCTGCTGAATGCAGCACTGCGGACTCTGCGGTGCTTATCTCAGACCCTCCTTCAAGTGCTTCTCCCCCATAGGATGTCCAGTGGGTGGAATAGGGCTTTTCAGTGGTGGCTCCCTGCTTGTGGAATGCTGTCCCCAGGGCACCAGACAGAAATGTAACTTTTTTTACCTGGGCTTTTGGCCCTTAATTTGAGGGGTTCTAAGTACTTGTGGCTTCTCTTAGTGGCACAGAATCCGTAAGACCTGCCCTTCGTTTTGTATGGATGTGTTTTTATTATTATTATTTGGTTTGTTGTAACAGGTTTTAATGTTTATACTGTGTTGCAACTCACTTTTGTGAGTAAAGTAGTTAATAAATATAAATATTGTTTATTTTGTTAGCTGCACAACACGGTCCCTAAGTTATCCACAATCAGGTTTTAAAAACATACAAAATATTAGTGTTGCTATACTAATAACAACAGTGAGTAACAATGTATGTGGTGCTATATAATATTTATAGTATTACTGTACAACAACACCTGTGTACTGTGTATAGTATCTTAGAGTTTCATTGGCAAGAATGAGTAGGCCCCTTTCTTCAAGGAGCTTACATATTAGAGTGGAGCAGGAGTAAGAAAGGGATAGGAGCTAGGAGGGCACAGCTTGGGGGACAGGGCATCTGTTTTTCCATGCAAAAGGTCCCTGGTTCACTTCCTGGTCAGTTAAAAGGATTGGATAGCAGACGTCTCTCTGCCTATCCTTGCTGCTGAAGAGAGTAGTGGGCTAGCACAGTGTTCTTCAATCTTAGGCCCCTAGATTTGGTTGGACTATGACTCCCATCATACCAATGGTCATTAGCCATTGGTCAGGAATGATGTATGCTGTAGTAAAACAACATCCTTGATAGAAGGCAGCTTCCTTCTTGTATGAACACAGGAAGGTATGCATCATTCAAGCTTTGTTGCCATCAGCTTGGAGGATCAAAGGAGTGGTGTGACTTGGTGGGTTGTTGCTTTCCTTGGAAAAGCTGCACGTCTAACCCCCACCTTGTGATGCAGTGTAAGAAACCGGGATAGAAAAGCTTGGAGCCAAATGGCTTCTGGGACCTGGGTTGTTAATGCATGTTTAATTTGGTGTTTACAATAAAAAATATCGGTACCATACTTCAGTTTTCAAAACACTCCATTGTTAATATCCTTAACGCATTGTCTATCTTTAACATATACTTTGAGGCTTCAGAGCACTTACATTTCAGTAATCCTTGAGTATCCGCCAGCCGCAAAAACCGGTACCTAGACGTTTTGAGGAGCTCACAAATGGAGAATCGTTAGGTGCAAATGCGCCTGGTGCCTTACTAATTTCAAGCCCTGGTATGATGTGTATGGAGTCTGATCCCTACACCACCCTGCCTTCTTTAAATATCTGTGTGAGTGTTTATATAGTGCTATCAGTGTATATAGCCCTCTGCAGGGGAGCATAAAATGGGAAAGGTTGCTGACCTGGTAAGCTTGCAATCTAAAACTTAAAAGTGATGATGGGGTGCAAGAGAAGTGCCTCCTCTCGTTCCAAGTGTGGGGTTGTGTTGAGTGCAGGTCTGAACCATGGTGCCATCACTGTACATGACACTTCACGGAAATGCACATAATACAGTGGTGCCTCGCAAGACGAAATTAATTCGTTCCGCGAGTTTTTTTGTCTTGCGGTTTTTTTCGTCTTATGAAGCACGGTGTCGGAAAAGTTTTGGAAAAACTTCAAAAATCACCAAAGTCTTCAAAAACCTCAAAAAAGGCTACCACACCGCGTGCTATGAGTTGCTCCTCGAAGTCAAGTCGCAACTGTATTAACGGTTTTAAGAAAAAGGAAACAAACTTGCAAGACGTTTCCGTCTTGCGAAGCAAGCCCATAGGGAAAATCGTCTTGCGAAGCAACTCAAAAAACGAAAAACCCTTTCGTTTTGCGAGTTTTCCGTCTTGCGAGGCATTCGTCTTGCGAGGTACCACTGTATTTAAAAACCCAAGGACTGGATGGGTCCCCAGCCGAAGGACATTGCAAACTAGTAAGTGTTCATATGAGTGGTTAGAGCAATAAGACGTTGTCTCCATTGGTTGCTCTGTTCCCTCCCCTCTGGTGCCCGAGGGAGGAAGTTTGTGATGCAAATTGATCCCTATAATTTAATGTACCTTCTCACAGTCCGCACTTGTGGGATGTCAGTAATCTCTATTACTGATTTCATAGAATCATAGAATCATAGAATCATAGAGTTGGAAGAGACCACAAGGGCCATCGAGTCCAACCCCTGCCAAGCAGGAAACACCATCAGAGCACTCCTGACATATGGTTGTCAAGCCTCTGCTTAAAGACCTCCAAAGAAGGAGACTCCACCACACTCCTTGGCAGCAAATTCCACTGTCGAACAGCTCTTACTGTCAGGAAGTTCTTCCTAATGTTTAGGTGGAATCTTCTTTCTTGTAGTTTGGATCCATTGCTCCGTGTCCGCTTCTCTGGATTTATTTATACAGTACGAGGGATGCCCATCTCTAAGTGGTAGAGCACATGCTTTGCATGCTGTAAAGACCCAGACGTTCCCTCATAGGGCTTGGAAAGACCTGCCTGAAATCTGTCACAGTGGGTGTAGAGCAGGATGAATAAAAGCAAGTTCTTCTTTACACAGCACATAGTTAAACTGTGGAACTCCCTCCCATAGGACACAGTGATGGCTACCAACTTGAGGACTGGAAAAATTCTTGCCACAGATACACATGTGGCAGTTATTTCCAGGTTAGACAGCTGTAAGGTGCTCTACATGGGGCTACCCTTGAGAAAGGTCTGAAATTTGCAATTGGTCCCAGCAAATTAAGAGTGCTGCTGGGAACTTGGTTGCATGATACATCTGTTGCAATGCCTCCCAGTTCGTTGCCTGGCTCAGTACAAGGCACTGGTTTTTACCTTTAAATGCAGCTCCACCCTGTGAACCAGCTTGTGGGGTGGTTTCTGCATCCCTGTGAGGCATGTGGAAACTAAGGACCTGGGATAGAACATCTTCATCAGTGGTGCCCAGGCTGAACATTGGGAGATCCAGCTTTCCACTTAAAGCCTTTTAGTGACAAGTTGAAATGCTTTCCGGGCATTTCATGGAAATTCTTCTAGCTTTTGACTCTTCAGCTTGTTGGTCCTTTTGCTTTTTGCATTAAGGATGGCCAGATTTGTTTGGTGCTTCTGTTCTTAGAATTCTGAGCCGCCCAGGCAATTCCATAGTAGTGGAAATAAATGAATATTACAGAGAGCTTTTTTAACCAAAAGCTAAAATCTGAAAGCACTCTGGGGCATTGAAATTAGGGCAAAATTGCTTAGCTTTGGTAATAGCATTATTATTAGTGTGTGAGGAAATGAGGCAGCAGAACGATAGGCATCATCTTCACGAATCTGTGTTTTCCTTCCCAGGGTCTGGATGAAGCAGCTGTGAAGCAGTGGAAGACTAAAAACCCAGGCTGCAGTCTTCTGATGCATAGTGGAGTGAAGAAATGAAGGGGTGAGAGAGAGAGAGGATGCCTCTGAATATATTTTGCTTTCTGGGGGGTGAGCAATGGGGGGTGGCTCTTAGTCTCAGGCCCTGCTTGGGGGCTACCTGGGGGTATCTGCTTTGCTTCAGGGTGCTAGCCACAGGGCTCTTATTATGAGAGTGAGTGAATGGCCCCACAAGTTTCTGAGATAAATTCTGTTTGTAAACAATAGCAGGGCTGTTAGGCCTAGTGGCTGATAGTTCTCTTTTCCTCCTGCTCCCAGGATAGTTGCCCTGCCAGGGAGTCCAGCATCCTGGGACCAGAACAAAAGATTCTGGTGAGCCCACAAGCAGGCCTCCCCTCATTCATCCTCAGCCAAAAGGCATATTGCCTCTCTCCTTGAAGGATTGGACAGATTCATGGAGCATAAGGCTATAAATGGCTTCTGGCCAGGAAAGTTATGCTCTGCCTCCATGGTCAGAGCCATAGGAAGGAGGAGTGCTCTTGAGCTCAAGTCCTGCTTGCCTAACCTCCCTCACAGGGTTGTTGGGAGGAGAAAGTGGGGTGGGGGGAAGAACTATGCGCTCCACCTTGAGCTCCTTTGAGGAGAAGTGGAATATAGATGTAACAAATACATAAAATAAATTACGTTGCACTTTCTGATACTGTTTTTAAATGCTGTAAGCCCCCTTCAGTCCCAACTTGAGAGCAAGGCAAGATATAAACACATTAAATAACATTAGCCTCCAAGGTCTGGTGCATGTGGAGCAGGGTGTCTGCTGAAGGTCTCTTCTAAATAAGGGAGCCCCTCCCTCCTTCTGTAGCTGGCCACCCTCAAGAAAGAAGCAGAAAGGTGGGTGCACACAGCCCAAATACTGTCTCTGGGCTCCTGGGTTCTCTCCTCATGTGCCTTCCTTTTTCTCTTTCTTGGCAGACAGCAGAAAGCGGTAGAGACGGAAGAGGGCACTGTGCAAATCCAGGAAGGTGAGCACCCAGCCACACCTGCTGCTCTTGCTTCCGGCCTCCCCACCCCCACCCCCATTGCCTCCCACTCCCCAAAAGCTAAACGGTGATCTGCTAGTGGAGATTCCCCTCCACTCCCTTCTAATCTTCTAGAACAGTGCTCCGGTGGTTGTGCGGGTGGGTGGAGAATGTTCCTGCCTGGGCAACGCTTAATGAGCAAATGTGTCCATCTCTCTTCCCTGGGCGGCATCCCCTTCCCTTCTTTCCTTAAGGGGCAGTGGCGACAGGCGAAGATCCCACCAGTGTGGCCATTGCTAGCATTCAATCAGCTGCTACCTTCCCTGATCCCAACATCAAATATGTCTTCCGGACAGAAAATGGGGGCACTCAGGTAAGACACTTAATCGAATTCCCCTCGTGCCGCTGGTTTTGTTTCCTTTGGGGTGGGTTGGTGGGTATGCAGTATAGTGGCTCTGTTATTCCTTGACAGTCAGAGGCAGCAGTACCCCCACAAAAGCCACAAGAAGAGAAAATACTCTTGTGCTTGTCTCCTGCTTGCGGGTTTCTTCACAAGCATTTGGTTGGCCACTGCAAGAACAGGATGTTGGACTAGATGGGCTATTGGCCTGATCCAGTACTGTTATTCTCATGTTCTTCCCACTATCTATTCTCTCTACGTCACCCCTAACTCAGCACACACACCCCATCTCGTTTCCCAGCATTTCTGAAAAATAGACTAAAACAGCAGGTGTTCATAAAAATGGGGATGGGTCGCCTGTGCTGCCTTGTCCAGTGTGTCCAGAGGTATGTGGAAGACCCCCATCTTTGCTCTGCTGAAGTGCTCCATCCTTCCACCTTCTGGAAGTCCAAGGTGACCAAAGCATAAGGAGACTTAGCACAGGGTGCCTCCCTGTCTCTGGCATGCAGGGACTTGTACCCTCTCAGGCTGGTCCTGCCAGCCCCTTCATTAGCCTGGCCTGTGTGTTCCCCCTTGTATGCATGAGCTGCCTCTTGTGCAAATGCAGTTATGGGGGCATCCCGGGACTGCATCCTGGAGAAAGAGGCCAAGCCAAATGGTTTGCAATGGTCCTGCTAGCTCTTGGGGTTATTTCCAGCAAGGCTCAGGGAAGTGATGGGGGTCTTAATTTTTAAAGAAAAATACCATACTTTTCCGTGTATAAGACTAGGTTTTTTTACTCTAAAATAATATTAAAAAATGGGGGTCGTCTTATACATGGGGATCATATTCCCCCATTTTCATAAATTTGAGTCCCCCAAAATAGGGGTTGTGTTGTACACAGAAAAATACAGTACATTTGTAAGATCCCAGCCCCTCCTTCAAAATGCTCAGCATGGTGTAGATGTTTCTGCTCCCCTGCACATTTGGGAAGGGCCATAACTCAGTTGTAGAACATGTGCTTTGCATGCAGAAGGTCCCAGATTTAATTCCTGGCTGCATCTGCAGGCAGGGTTGGAAAGGACCCTTGCCTGAAACGCTGAAGAGCTGCTGCTAGTCAGTTTAGGCAGTACAGTCGTACCTTGGTTGCCGAACGCCTTGGAACTCGTATGTTTCGGCTCCCGAATGATCAAAAACTGGAAGTGAGTGTTCCGGTTTTGGAACGATTTTCAGAAGCTGAACGTCTGGCATGGCTTCCATGGCTTCTGATTGGCTGCAGGATGTTCCTGCAGCCAATCGGAAGCCATGCCTTGATTTTCGAACAGTTCCAGAAGTCGAATGGACTCCCGGAATGGATTCTGTTTTAGAACCAAGGTACGACTGTACTGAGCTACATGGACCAAATGGCATGACTCAGTGTAAGGCAACTTTCTATGTTCCCCCCTTGCAAGAAAGTAGCTAGGTGAAAGCATGTGTCATAGGCTCACCCAGTCAACCTCATGGTTCAGCAGGACTCTGAACCTGCGTTTTCTGGCTGGAGCTGATGAGGGTTTGGAGGGGGGCAGATTGGCAAAGGCTGTTCTCACCACTAAGCACTTGCTCTGTTAACGATGTCCCCCCTTTGCTCTTTTCACCAGCTGATGTACAGAGTGATTCAGGTAGCTGAGGGGCAGCTGGATGGGCAGACCGAGGGGACTGGGGCCATCAGCGGTTATCCTGCAACACAGTCCATGACACAGGTGGGTTCTGCTGAGTCAGCGGAGGAAATGGTGACATTGCCAATCTGCTCTATGCAGTCATCCTTTCTGGCTGAGCTGTTAGCTCTGCTTCTCTGGCCCCGGATGGTATGTGGCTGATGAAACAGGCTCCTTGAGGCTTATGGGCAGGAGGTGGATATTCTGCAGGCACATTCACCCCAATTCTGCATCTTGAATAACTTAGGTACTGCTGCATGTAGTTAGTGCATTTGCAGCATTCAGCATCTGCTAGTCAATACGTAGGGCCAAAGGGTGATTCCAGGTGGGGCTTAATTCGTAAATGGGTTGTTGAGATCTTGCAAACAGGTCATTGGCAAGAGAAGTTTTTCTTCTTACTGGGTTTTCCCTGGAAATAGTACATCTGAACTAATATAGGGGGTGGGGATACAGGCTGGCATATTTTCGCTGTTTATATTGTGTGGACTCTCAAAATCTTGCAGGCATGTGGCACCCCCAGACCAACAGAAAGAGCCCTCCTGGAAGCACCCAAAGAGTGACAAGGAATCCTTCTTAGCTCCTCCCCTTCCCTTTGGCTTTTCCATAGCTCATAAGGACTGGAAGTTTGTTTCATAAAACCAGGCTGCTGAATATCAAATAACTGCCTCTGCCCCTCACTTCTTGCATCTAAGGTACCTTTGAAGGTATAAGCAGCTCAATCCAGGCAGTTGTGGTGCTGTTGGGGTGTTTGTGAAGGGTATCACTGGATCACGTTCCTCAGTTTTGTTGAATTAATTCAACTAAATAAGTTTTAATTGGATTTTGGAAAACAAATGTACAATTAATCGCTACTGTTTTGAATTTTGTGTGTGTTATCTTCGCCAGTGGGTTGTCCAAACTTCTGTTTTGAATGATGCTTTTATAGAGTATGGTAGAGTGAGACTAGGGATGAGTTTATGAAACCAAGGGGGTGGTTGCCTGAGAAGATTTGGGAACCACTGTGCTAGACTGAAGGTTCTGAACCCTCCTGCGCCGATTTTGCACTTGTGCCTTGGGCTTCAATACAAAAGCAATGTAGGAAGAGCATCTCAAGGGAGGAGCATCCTGAGAGAATAACACCATTGTCTGTCTCTGCCTGAGATGGATACCTGCCCAAGTATTTGTTGAGGTAGATGTATCTGAAGGAGGCTCCTCTCTTCTCCTCCCCCCAGGCTGTCATCCAGGGCGCATTCACCAGCGAAGATGCCGTCGAGACAGAAGCTGCGACTACGGAGACGCACTACACGTACTACCCTGCCACTGCAGTGGCTGACACCAGCACGTCTGCCGGGGCAGGAACCACAGCCACAGCCGTGGTGACGACCCAGAACTCAGATGCCCTTCTTGGGCAAGCGACACCAACTGGCACAGGTCAGTTGGGTTGGGCTACCTGTGAGACAACTAGAGCCTCCCCTCCCCAGGAGCCTTCTGGCAAGTTCAACTTACTTAGCTCCTTCCCCTGGGAAATGGAGTTGCTCCCACCTCTGGGCTCGCTACAGATTTTCCATATCAAGATGGAGCCATTTTGGCCATCTCAGGTTGTTCAAATGAATTGGAACGATGTCGCACATCTAAAACGGTTTTCGCAGAGCACGAGTGGTGAAGTTAGGAGTCTAGGTTACACAGGTTGGACACAGATTTCGGGAAACAAGCTCCCATTCCTACAGATCAGGGAAACCCAGTTTCAGATGTGAAGGTGCAACCCAGTCATTTTCATATCCTCACCACCACTGCTTCTCCCCCCCTTTAGAACTAGGGCAGCTTGGCCACCTGTTTGGTTTCATGGCAGTTCCTTCAGAGCTGTGCTGCTCTTCTCTACAACTCTGTCTTGTTTTGAATTGCACAGGGCAGTTTTTTGTCATGATGTCACCACAGGAGGTTCTGCAAAGTGGGACACAGAGGTCCATCGCACCCAGGACACACCCTTACTCACCGTGAGTGCTCTCCTTCTGTCGCATGCCAGTCTCTAAAGTTCCTCTTTTATTCGGGGGTGGGGCACAGTTTCCTTGAGTGTCCAATGGCTTCCCAGCCTGGAAGGGGGGCTGCTGAGGGCCTCCTCCTGTCTCTGGAAACCTGAATGGGAAACCCAGTGCCAAATTGTGTTTTTGACTCCCTCAGGAAGTCTGAAGCTCCACGAACGACCCGAGATGAGAAACGTCGGGCGCAGCACAATGAAGGTGAGTGGGAACTGTTTTGCTAACGAATGTGATCCTTGAATTTAGCCACACTGTTCCATGAGGAGAGGTTGCTTGGAGTGCTGACTGCCTTGCACTCCTCTGTAGGAGGATCTTCTTGCAGGGCACACTGCAGCACTGCAATCTGTTCAGCATCTTGAAGGAGATTGGTCCACATCCCACCGTTCTAGTATGCCAGTCATTCTTCCACCTCATGCTCATTTATTGTTTTGTTCGAATTCTTAGTAAGTCTGAGACCCTGTATGTATTGAGATAGATTTGCGCACAACAGAAATGTTTAAGAAGAAGAAAATTCATGTGAAACCAGAGAGTATTTGTGCCCAGTTCTCCAGCCAGAAAGGCTACCAGAGCGGTTTACATACTCAAAACAAGGCAGTCCCTACCCACAGGCTTACAATCTAGAAACACAAGGGAAAGGGAGCAGACTTGGTGGTGTATTCTACATGTGCCATGGCTTCCGAACTAGGCTTGTACTTCTCCATCGTGTTCTCTCTCCTGACCCCCATATATACTATCTTGCTCACAACCTCTTCAGCATACCCTGTTTCTCCCCCTCCTCCACCTCATCTATTATCTTGCCTGGTATGTTCTAAAAAAAGAGAAAGCCTCTAAAGAAATCCTCTAAGGGTGTAAAGATGTCGCTGCATATGCCAGTACATGTTCACATCTCATCCTCCAGGGATTTTATTCTGAGTTCTAAAGTATTTCCAACCCTGGCTAAAATTCTGGAAAAACTAGTAAGGCCTTTTGATGCATTTGAGTTGTGTTCAGTTGCAGGTAATAATCGTCAAGAGGTGGGACCCGGCTGGCCACCTTAAATAGAGAGTTGTGTATGTAGAATGACCAGGCCAGGAGGCAGGTCATTTTGGGCTGGCCAAAAGGCTCTTCTTGAGGAATATCGAGTGCTTTTTCACATAGACCATAGCTAAACTATGGAACTGACTCCTGCAGCAGGCAGTGATGGCCACCAAATTGGATGACTTTAAAAGAGGATTGGACAAATTCATGGAGGAGAAGGCTACGAATGGGTACTCAGCATGATAGTGATGCTGGGAGGCTGTCATGATTTCAAATACCAGTTGCTAGAAACCACAGGAAGGGAGAGTGCTCTTTTGCTTGCAAGTTTCCCCAGAGGCATTTGGTTGGCCACTGTGAGAACAGCATGGTGGACTAGGTGGGCCCTTGGCCTCATCCAGCAGACTCTGTTTATGATGTTTATCTTTCCATCTCTTCCAGTGGAGCGCAGGCGCAGGGACAAGATCAACAACTGGATTGTGCAGCTGTCTAAGATTATCCCTGACTGTTCCATGGAGAACACCAAGTCTGGGCAGGTAAGGGGGCTTGAACTGGCCTTCTGTAGGAGCAGAGACAGTCTGGGCCCGGTTACAGAAAGGCTCCAGCAGGGTGCCAGCCCTTGACTTCAGGCTCGCTCAGTGTCAGCTACTGCATCTGTGAAGCTGCTTGCCATTCTAATTTCCACAGTGCCCTGGCATGATGCCATGTTGACTACATCAGGGCTTTCTGGGTAATCTAAAAATGGTGGGCACATCACCGAGGGATCAAAAAGGCCAGAAGGGGCTCTGCCTGAGGGAGCTGACCTGTGCTCAGCACCCTCTCAAACATTCTGCCTACCAAACTTCAACATCTTGTATCCAGAACTCTTCTCTGCACATCAAACAAATCGTTCATTTTGGCATTTAGTAACCCATGGTGGTGTCCATATCAAGCAGTCTGTTTGCATGTGCATGGATTAAAAAACATATAGGTGCAAAACAGGAGGCGTTGGGTGAAGCAGCAGCCATCAGTTGCTTTGGATGCCTTGTAAAAGCAGACCTGTTTGCCCAGACTTTCCCTGACCCCGGAAGATTGGACCCTGATTTGTGTGTTTCAATCCCTTTAATGCCTTTTAAAATTCCTTTTTACAAGCTTTGCTGCTGCTGCTTTCTTTGTTTTGGGTTGTATTTTTTCTATTAATTCTGTTGCTTTTCTATTGTTCATAGCTCAAAGCTTTTTAAAACATTAAGTGGTTTATAAGAGCTTTTGAATAGAATCTTTAAAAAAACGATCCCAGGATCTGTCTTGTCACCCCCATCAGGAGGAGTCCCCTGCTTCCATCTTCACCTGGTCTAGGAATTGTTTGGTTCCCTGGAAACTGTCAGGGGTGTCTTTCCTCTCACACACCTGCCTTAACTTGTCGCAGCACCTGGTTTTAACATTTCTAGGCAGGAGGAGGCAGTTTTCCGGTCTTCAGGGAAACGGCACACTGGAATGGGTGGAGGGGGGGGGGTTGAAGAGAGAAGGCAGCCATGAACTGCCGAGTGTTCCCACCTGAAGTGTCAGGGGCTGGTACTACCCTGGAGTCTCCCCCCTGGGCCCCCAGCTCAATCACTCACTTTCACTGCAGAGCAAAGGGGGGATCCTCTCCAAAGCTTGTGACTACATCCAGGAGCTGCGGCAGAGCAACATTCGTCTCTCCGAGGAGCTGCAGGGCCTGGACCAGCTACAGATGGACAACGAGGTCTTGCGGCAGCAGGTAAGGCTGGCCAGAAGGGGGGCAGGGTGTGGATGTTTTTCTACCAGAAGGGGAGAAGTAGTGGGGAAGCTCTTTAAGGGGTTGGAACTGGCATGGCAGGGGCTCTTCCAGCAGAGTGCCTATTGCTTGCAGCGGTATGTATGTATGTATGTAGGGACGCGGATGGCGCTGTGGGTTAAACCACAGAGCCTAGGGCTTGCCGATCGGAAGGTTGGCGGTATGAATCCCTGCGACGGGGTGAGCTCCCGTTGCTCGGTCCCTGCTCCTGCCAACCTAGCAGTTCAAAAGCACATCAAAGTGCAAGTAGATAAATAGGTACCACTCCAGTGGGAAGGTAAACGGCGTTTCCGTGCGCTGCTCTGGTTCGCCAGAAGCGGCTTAGTCATGCTGGCCACATGACCCAGAAGCTGTACGTCAGCTCCCTCGGCCAATAAAGCGAGATGAGCGCCGCAACCCCAGAGTCGGCCACGACTGGACCTAATGGTCAGGGGTCCCTTTACCTTTATGTATGTGTAGGAATATAGGAAATTGCCTTGTGTGGAGAGAAACCACTGGTCTTTCTAGCTCAGTATTGTCTACACTGACTGGCAGCGATTTCTGGCAGGCGTCTCTCCTTGGAGATGCTACTGGGCATTGAACCCGAGTCCTTCTCAATGCAGAGCAGATGCTCTCCACTGAGCTGCAGCCCTTCCCTTAGCATCTAGGGACATAGGAAGCTGCCATATACTGAGGCAAATCATTGGTCCATCTAGCTCAGTATTGCCTACGCTGATTGGCAACAGCAGCTCTCAGGCGTTTGAGGCAGAGGATATTCCCAGCCCTGTCTGCAAATTGAACCTGGAGAGGAATGGCAAACCAAGCTGATGGACTATGCCGTAATGGCAAAACTGACAGGAAAACTCACAAACTAAGAGGACAGAAACTCTATAAAAGAATGGGAAAAATTTATAAGCTACTTAGGAGACGACTGTAAGCAGATGGAAACATTGGCAGGATTTTGATTTCACTTGTAGTGTAACAATTACCATGGATAATATGGATTGATATAATAGAGTATGGAAGAATTTGCAGTTTTAAATGTTCAAAATGGGACCCCATGGAGAGGGTGGGGGGAAGTCCCGGATTTCGGAGGAATCTATGTATATGGATATATACTTTGATTTTTATAACTTTGTACATGTAAATCCAAATAAAAATGCTTTTTTGAAAAATGATTTCAAATTGAACCTGGGACCTTCTGCATGCAAGGCAAGCGCTCTGCCGCAGAACTGAGGCCCTTCCCTGCTTCCTTTCTCCCTCTGCAGGTTGAAGACCTGAAAAATAAGAACCTGATCTTGCGAGCGCAGCTGCGGCAGCACGGCGTGGAGGTCATCATCAAGGACAGCCACTGATAAGCCACCACTGACCAAGGGCCCTCCTTGCCCGCCTCCTCCTCCTCCGGCACAGCAGCCGATGGGGGTCCTGTGCCTCGCTGGTGCTTCCACGCCAGGCCCCCGTCCTTGTTGTACAGACCCAGTGAGCAGCGCTGTTGCTCCCGGGCCAGGGAGCTGGGCTGGGCTCAGCTCAGGACACTTGCCTCTGCCCAGCGCTCTTCCTCACGGCCCGGGACCTGGCTTGCCCCCTTGAGCTTAGACGCTGCCTCTCGACACAGTCCTCTGTCTTGATACGACCCTAATCAGTTCCAGGGTCATGACCTTTTCTCTCTTTCTCTCCTCCCTTTGAACAGCACCTCTCACCTGTGCGCTCGACACACCTCCTGCTGTGTCCGTGCATGCGATATTATGTAGACATGTTGCACGTCCCCCCTTTCTCCCTCGTGCCGCCTGTAGGCCCTGCCTCCAGAGCACTGCCCATCTCTGGGCACCTTACTCTTTGTGAGCGTGGAGAGCTGAGAGTCTTCCTCTCCCCCAACCCTGCTTTGTGGCTCTCCGGCCCAAACCAGCCAGTAGGAGGAAACCTTTACACCGCAGTGACAGCCTCACACGCGCTTCCCCTTCAAGGCTGGCCACCTAGTTCTGCCTCTGGGCTTCCACTCAAACAGCTGCAGGTCTGATGTGGCCCTCAAAACCCTCCCGAGAGTCTGGGCTTGCACTGAAGACAAGCCTGCCACAGCCTCCCCCTTTCTTTGCTCCACACCCTGGAAGGTGATTTAACGTTGCTCTCTTGCCATGGAAGCTGTTTGCCAAGGAGGTGAGTGTGGGTTGAGAGCAGCAGTAGCTGTTCTCCCATCTCAGGTGATTGGACAACTGGTTGGGGTGATGCTTCTCTCTTTTTTTGTTTTGTTTTCCCCCCTGTTTTTTTTTTTTTTAAAGTAAGTCTGGATTAAAAAAATAAAGTAACGGAAAAGCAGGGGGTTGTTCTGTGTTCTGGCTTGCGGATGAGTGTCAAGTCTCCTCTTGCAGCGGTAGAGAGGACATTGAGTTTGGCCCTGCCAAAATATGGGGCAGTACTGGTGAAGCAGCTGGAGAGATCTTCTGCCCTAGAGCACTGGCCTTGAACTGGTGGGTTGGGATATTGAAGAAGGATATTGACAAGTCGGCGCATTTGCGGAAGAGGGCGACCAAACTGATCAAGGTAAGAAAGCCTTGTGAAGAATGGTCAAGGGAGTTTGGGGATGTTCTGCCAGAAGATGAGACCGAGAAGTGATGTGATAGCCATCTTCAAACATCTGAAGGGCTACCAACTGGAATATGGAGGAAGTTTGTGTTCTGCTGCCACTGAGGACAGGACCAAACCAACTGATTCAAATGACAATAAAGATGATTCCGACTAAATAGCAGGAGGAACTTTCTGACAAAAGAGCCACTTGACAGTGGAACAAAGTCCTTCAAAAGGTGGTGGACTCTCCTACCCTGGAAGTTTTTTAACAGTGGTTGGATGGCAATCTGTCTTTTAACTGCGGTTCCTGCATTGCAAGGGGTTGGACTAGACAACCCTTGGTTCTATGACCCACTACATGGTCTGAACCAAAGTGGTTGCAACAGTGTTGTTGTTGTTGTTATAACACCATACATCAGTGTGGTGTAGTGGTTAGAGTGTTGGCCTAGAACCTTGGGAGGTCAGGGTTCAAATTCCCACTTGCCCATGAAACTTTCTGGGCCACCTTAAGCCTAACCTAACCTACCTCACAGGGTTCTTATGGGGATCAAATGAAGAGAGGGGGAGAGCCATGTATACCACCTTAAGCTCCTTAGGAAAAGGTGTGATAAATGCAGTAAACAGCTACATTTCCCAGCCCTAGCTGGAGAGGCCAGACATTGATTCTGGTTCCTTCTGCATGCACAGCATGTGTCCTTCCACATCCGTTCTCTACTCCAGGACACTAGCTAAGGACATGGAAATTTCACACAAGCCTTGCACCAAATTGTTGGAGATCAGAGCACAAGAAGTGTGTGTGTGTGTGTGTGTGTGTGTGTGTCTTACGCTAATTATATTCTCACCCAGCATAATTTGGCTTGCATAAAATGGGAGAACCATTACCTAGCGTTTCTGCAGATGCACCAACCCAGCTGATGCCGTTTCCCTGAGCCAAATGGTCAAAACAACTCGAAGCGCAAGGTCTGGTGGATGATGATTGTTATTAAAGCACAGAATCCACACATAGCCCCAAACTTGTCAGATCTCTGGGGTAGGGCTCTCCCCAGGGCAATTTCCAGTCCCCACCCCTAAAGTTCTGTCCCTTTGCTCAAGTGGAATTTATCCATGCAGAGGGTCATCTGTTGTGGTTGTTACTAGACCAGAAATCCTCTGGGTTTTGGGAAAGGACCTGGCTGTTTCCCTTCCTCGCTTCCAGACGAAGACCCCTGCTCCTCAGAGAGGCTGTTGCTTCTCCATCTCCCCCAGGGTTGCCGTGGGCCACCTGGCAGTGTGGCCTGGCTGAGGTTCCCCTGCTCGGGCCTCCATTCACGATGGGCATAGGTGGTGTTGGGAGTGGAGCTGGTGAAGATCCAGAGGGGCTTGGTGATGGGGCTGGCCGCAGGGTTGGCTCCAGAAGGACTCTTGACAACTATCAGGCGCCCCAACGTGAAGCTGTCTGTTCTGTGGAGCAACAGCCAAGGTTAGCCACATTTGGAACACTAGGGCTCAGTCTAGGGGGTTCCCCCAAAACTGTTTCACAAGCTTTATTCAGGTGGTCTGAAGAATGGCAAGAGCAGTGTCTGTTCCATAGTTCTTGGAACCTAGTGGACCGCTTAGAAGATGAGCAGGGTAAGATGCAGGAAGGGGCACTTCAAAAGGAGTGGAGAGGATTATCAGCTTGGAGGTGAGTGGTGCAGGCCTGAAGTTCTGGGGGAGAGGCACTTGAAAGGTGTGGAGGGGATTTGAAAAGCTGCAATTCCTAGAGGGGAATTCTGAGAATTGCAGTTCTGTGAGGGGAATGGGGGGGGGGCAGTCTCCTAACAACGCTTAGCTCCCAGAATTTTTTTTTGGGGGGGGGGGAGCCTTGATGGTTTAAAGTGGTATTGTAGTGCTCTAAATGTATGGTATGAATGCACCTTGTGTATAATACCCCAAATGGTAGGTATTTCCTGGCTGCAATTCAGAGGTCTGCAGTGATCCTAGTCCAAGAAGCATGCTAGCCCACATTGGCCCTTGCATCGATTTACCTGTGCTTTTTCCGTGCATTGTCCTGTTCCAGCTCTCTCTGCTTCTCCACGCTCTGATGGTGCAGCCACAACACCAGTGCAAAGAGCGTCATCAGCACCAGGCCCATCGTGAGCATGAGGCTGATCCCCACTGCGAGGGAGGTGGTGCCATGTGAGGCTGGAATACAGCAAAGGAAACGGGATGAGAGAATGGCCACTCACAGCGCCCACCAGTCCCGTTATCCCTGCTGGCTGATGGGAATTGTAGTCAAGAGCATCTGGAGGGCACCATGTTGGGGAAGGCTGGCTGAAGACCACTGTCTTGCCCCCTAGCAACAACCAAGCCTAGTAGGGTTTCTAGATCTCGAGGAGGACAGAGTTAACAGTTGTACAGAAGAGGTAACTGGGAATGGTCCTAAACTCTGGGAGAATGGAACTTCCCCACCTTATTGCAGGAAAAAGATGGGAGCCTTTGGATAGTGGCAGCAGAGCTTGAACTGGGAGCCTGCCTGATCCATAGCTCTGTCTGCAATCTTAACTCCACTTACCTGTGCAGAGCTAACACCTGGGATGCATATTTTTAGGACCTATTCCAAATGCCTTTTAAGACTTGTGTTTAAATTGTTGTCACAACACCAACAATAGTTAATACAGTGGTACCTCGGGTTAAGTACTTAATTCGTTCCGGAGGTCCGTTCTTAACCTGAAACTGTTCTTAACCTGAAGCACCACTTTAGCTGCCGCGCCGCTGGAGCACGATTTCTGTTCTCATCCTGAAGCAATGTTCTTAACCCAAGGTACTATTTCTGGGTTAGCGGAGTCAGTAACCTGAAGCGTATGTAACCCGAGGTACCACTGTATAGGCAAGTACATCAGGGGGAAAGGCCTAGGCACATTCAGAGATGGACGCCTTGGTACAATGAAGCCATGCCATGTGAACCTTCTGGATCTGCAGCTGAGGGCACCAGCTTAGACCCCAGCCCTTTCCAGACACTGGCGATACTCACTGACGTGAACACGCAGCTCCAGGACGCAGGAGGTGGAGCCCAGCATGTTGGAGGCTGTGCAGCGGTAAAGGCCCGAGGCCTGCGTCGTCAGGTTTTGCAAGGTCAGGAGGGCACGTTTGCCATCTGCCCAACGAGAGGGCCGAAGCCGGAGGAGAAAGGGGAAATTAGCAATGGGAAGTAACTCCTCCCCCCCCAACCCCCAATCACAATCAGCATAGGACCCTCATCTGTATTACATGAATGTGAACAGGAGCTGACCCACTACTGCATCCCCTTAGGAGAATTCTTCAAAGCTTGGCTGAGATGGATGGATGTCTAAAAATGGCAACAGATGCATTCTTGTTCCCGGAATAATGAGGCAGTGGGAGGTTTGTGTGTATGTATGTATTAAGAGCAAGGGAGGATCTGTAGCCTAGACGTCCTTCCTTGGATTCAGGACTTTTGGATATTTCGTCTTCCAAATCAGGCTTCCTTAGCTTGCTGCCCTCCTGATGCTTTATAGATTACAATTCCCATCAACCCCCAGCTGGCATGGTCAGTGGTGGGGGTGTATGAGAGCTGTGATACAAAATTCCTGTGTGGTACTGCTCTCAATTGATTTTTAATAGAGTTAGGCAACTAATAATAATCACAACAACAATAATTGGGGGGGGTGTAGTCTGTTTGGATGACTCCCTTGGTCCCTTCTAAGCCTGTGATCCAAGATCCAGTAATGCTTGGAAGCTAATAGCTGCTGACTAACCAATACCAGATCCCATTTTTTAAAGGATATTTATTTATTTATTTATTTATTTTTTAAAATCATATTTATTAAAGTTTCCAAAAATATAAAAATACAAAGAAAAAAGACAAAAGAAAGAAGATATTTAAAAACCTTACTTTCATTCCCTACTTTCTGGGACTCCCCCTCCCCCAATTGTATTCCCCTTTCCTTAATTTGGTTCTACAAGCTCTCACTCCCAATTTAAAGCTTAATTTGTTTAACCCACTATCCAGATTGAATTGTACAAATCTTACCACCGTCCCACATCATTAACAGAAAAAGAGAAAAGATTTTCCCCAAGATCCACCCCAGTTCCTTCCACAAATTCCCTTTTTTTTTAAACACGTCCGATCAAAGTAAAATAACATGCGTAAGTTATGTAAGGAAATAGAAAATAAGAGATATAGAAAAATTCAAAAAATGGTTACACAGCCGTTGGATTTCAAATCTCCCCCCTTCCCGGTTTGAATTCCCCATGTCCATCAGTCTATACATTATCAGCTTGGAAGTCTCATTTCATGACCAGATTTCTCCCGATTCCATCTTGCCGGTTTTCTTTTAGTTTATTAATTTAAATAATATTTGACTTCAAATGTCCAATCTAACAAAGGCCTTTAATTTCCTTGATCTTTACCACTCCTCCCGTTGTTCTTTCCGTGTCGTAATCAGTCCTTTATTCTTCTTATTCCTCACTTTCTCAGGTTTCTTGTCCTGTTCAGCTGCTAAAACTTTCTAATTCAGAAATCTAGTGTCTCTGCAGAGGTTTGTTATTCAGGAACAAAAACTTACGTCCAGTCCCTTTCTTTCTTCAATAAAAAAATTCCATTGTCTTCCTCTGTAGACAAAATACTCTTTCAGTTTTGCAGCTTTCCCAGAAGATAACAAATCCTGTGCGAATCCCAGGGTATTTTTCCACTTACGACCGTTCTTGTAGTAACCCAAAACCCCTCTAGGGGGGATTGTAATAACTTTGTATCCTCTAATCCAAAAGTCAAATTGTTGCTTATTTTCCAACAGTTTATATCCATATTATAGCAAATTGTAACAAAATTAACCAGCAAGGTCCTCATAACAAAGTCCTCTTTATATTCTCCAGCTTTGACAGCCACTTTGACAGCTGTCAAAGTCTCCGTCTCTCTTCACCAGGCTCCACGAATCGCCCCGGTTCCCAGGGGGGGGGGTTGCATTTTTCTTCTCACCCTCCACTCTTCTCCTCCAGCACATTTCTTATAATTTCCCATCGTGAAATTAATGATTTTTATCAGAGACATACTTCCCTTTGGACCTTGGTCACCCAGTCCTTGTTTTGGAATGCTTACAATAGGGGGATTGACGTCCATTTTAAATACCCCCCGCTCCTGCCCAATCCAAAATTTTTGACCCGGTTTCCCAATTACTCACGGGTTGTTGTTTATTGTCCAAATTTTCAATAGAAGTAGTCAGCGCTCTCCGTCGAATGGCATGCGGCTGCGCTCGGCAGGGAAAGCAGTGGACTCAAGCACCACGCCACTCCCCGGCACCCGATCCGAAGCCTTTAAAAGGCTCCTTCACGAGTCGGGAGGGCGCTAATGGTGCAAGCCGAGTCACCCATGTCCACGGACTCCGTGCCCGTGGTTTTAAGGGTCCCCGCGTCGCCGGCGCGGTAGGACCCAGCCCCTGCCGAGCAGACTCCCTCCGGAGCTCGGAGGGAGTCCGCCATTCGGCGATGGCGCTAACCCGGAAGTGTAAAGGATATTTATTTAGGCTGGCCAGTTAAATGCTGCCATTTACTGTATCGAAGAGACAAAAGGGTGGGTTTTTTCCCAACTCACCTGGCTGGATGCCACATCATCCTAGAATGGAGAACAATATCTTCCCCATTCCTTATTAAAATTTTGGTCTTCCTGATTGTTATTGGCCCAGAGAAGGAAAGAAGATAAAGTCCCTACCAGAGAAGAATGGCAGATTAACTTGATGGATTATGCCGAAATGACTGGAAGAATCAGAAATCGGGGAGACCAAAATTTTAATAAAGAATGGGGGAACGTTATATTTTATCTTATAAACCATTGCAAACAACTAAAATATTGTAGTTTAATGCTGAATTTTGGACACAACAGAGAGGTAAAATATTTGGATTATTATAAAAGATGCAGGAGGAAATTATTAACAATAGGACCCACAAAGGGGAGGAGGGAAGTCCAGGAGATTCTTTGGAATCTTGTTTTTATGTTGGATATGTGATTGTAAAATTTTAATCTGAAAAACCAAAAAAAGAGGGGAAAAAGGGGAACAATAGGCCAAGAAAAAGGGTCTGCGTTTGAGAGAGCTGTGTGCAAGAGTTTGGGGCTGATGCTGGAAGCTGGAGACTCAGAAATATGTGCTCTGTGCTGTACTTGGGGGCTCCCCTGGAAACCTAATGGGGAAGCAAGTTTTGTTGGGGTGTTGATGCTGTGATTCCCTCCCTCCTACACTGGGGTTTGCATATATGTGAAGAAAACCATGTACCTTAAAGAGACCACCGCCTCCCTTCATTCCAAGGAAACTGAACCCTGGGTAAGCACAGGTACCAGCCTGGCCGTTAGGGTGCATGCAACAATATATAACACCCTCTCACAAACCATCAATCAAATAAAAGTGTTGTAAACAAAATCTGCCCTTTTCCCCTTATGGGGTATCCAAGAGCCCGTATAGAGTCCTTATGTGGGTTCCCTATCAGTAGGAGAAAATAACAGAGGCCAACCAGAGAATATTGAGAAGCAAAGCAGCTAGTAAGCCTGATCTTTATTAAAGCTGTTGCAACAGGGTACTCCCCTCACACGCAGGAGGACGGAGGAGGACCCAGAACCAAGGTGTGCCTGCCCTTATATAGACATTTTTAATTCCCTGTCCTGGAGCTCAAGACAACCCCTCCATACATCATACATACATCACAGAAAAGGTGGTCTACAACAGAAATTTGAATGTTGTTGTTTTTCCTGTATGCCAGGTTGTCTGATAATGCCTTATCTGATTGCCTTTCCTGGTAGTCTGTCACCCTTTGAAATGGTGATTACTAAATTCCTATAACAAGGAAGGTTTTTTTCCACCTCCTCCCTCCTTGCAGAGAAACATTTGGTCAGCTTGGGAGTCAAAATGGTTTCAGGACTGTCTTCCTGTGCTGCTTCAGACATGTGGTTTATATATTTATGTACGTGTTTGCTTGGTACATTTATGAACATTTATTATATATCTAAGACCTTAAAATTCTTATCATAAAAGGCCTTCCATCTAGTTTGCTGCTTGCCCTACTCATACTGGGACCAGCAGCTGTCTCAGGCTGAACGCCACCTCTCTCGGCTTCTTGTTACCTTCATAGCTCATCATCAGAGGTTGTGCATCTGGTGGGATCTTCTCCCAGGTGAATGTGGGGGTGGGCATCCCTTCATCCACGGTGCACGAGAACTGGAGGCTTCCGCCCTCCTCGCCGTCGCCCTCGCTGGAGCACCTGGGACGAGAGGGAGGCACTGGGGGAGGGACACAGAAGAAGAGGAAGTCCAGTTCAGACCCACAAGCCCCATTTCTTGAGTTATTTCTGCTCATTTTTTAGATACGCAAATATTTTCAAGATGACAATAATGAAGTTGTTCCAAATGAAGATGATGTAGAGGCCTAGCAGTATTTAGAAATAATAAATAAATAAAAGGTAATGAAAACCAAATGTTTGATATGCTAACCAGAATAAAAACCAAAGTTACAGGGAACCAGGCAGAGGGCCTTCTCAGTAGTGGTGCCCACCCTGTGGAACACCTTCTTATCTGATGACAAGGAAATAAACAACTACCAGACTTTTAGAAGACACCTGAAGGCAGCCCTGTATTGGGAAAAATTTTAATGTCTGATGTTTTACCATTTTTTATGTGCTGTAAGCCGCCCAGAGTGGCTGGGGAAACCCAGCCAGATGGGTGGGATATAAATAATACAATTGCTGCTGTTGTGGTTGTGGTTGTTATTATTATTTATTATGGAAAGAGACAAGCCTAGCCTCGTGCTTGTGAGGGAGCTGAGAGTAAGGATGTGGGAGCAGCCATACCAAACACAGTGAGCTGGATGACTCCAATGTTGGGCGTGGCAGCGTCTGGCGGGTTCATCACACTGCACTGGTACCTGCCACTGTCCGAGCTCCGTGTGTCGTTCAGGATGATGGTGGCGCTCTTGGTGGGCGAGAAAGCAAAGCCCACCCGGCCTGTGTAGTGGGAGATGCTCTCCACCACCTCGCCTTGCTCGTAGGCAAGGACCTGCAGAGCAGAGGAAGGTCAAGTGAGATGACGGGCCAAGGATGCTCAGAGCGAGAGAAGAGAGTGAAGCTAAGAAGACAGTACACTGAGGCAGTTTCAAGGTGGGCAGGTGAGTGAAAGTCTAGACTCTCTGTTTGGTTATGCTGGACCTTGGCTTTCTTGGGCACCTGTTAGAGGACTTGAACTACCTTTTGTTCAGGATGTTGCTTGTCAATGGATAGCCATGGAGCATCCCAGACCCTGAGATTTTACGGCCCAAACCTGAGAGCTAGGGTGGCACCTGGTGATTCTGCACTCCCTCCCACCACTGAACCCTGGAGACGGAGGTTAATTGGGAGAGGCAAGGAGGGAAGACCTTGGAGAGCCCGTGCAGTAATTTTCAGCTGGCTCCTACCAAGCTGAAGCTTGCAAGCTGCATGCATAGTCTTCTGAATAATTAAAAAAGTTTTTTTTTATTTAAGGCACTGCTGCCCACCTGGAGATTCAAGCCGTCCCACCTGAAGAGGGATAGGCAAACCTGGAGATTTCAGGTCAGGTCTGGCAACCCTACTAAGGCTGATTGGCAGATCTTTCATCAAAAGGGACCTAATGGTTAGGAAACGGTTGGCAATTTCTCTGGAGAGTGATTTGAATGTCTCAGGTTGGAAGAGGCAGTTTTGAGACAGAAACAGGGAGAGAAATCCAGAGGCTGGAAGAGAATCTTGGAGACATTGATCCTGCTGTCTGGAGATGTGGTGTGTGTACTTCGGAGGAATGCATAAATACTGCAAAATACTGGCTAGGAATAACTTGTGGTCCCAAGTATGTGGAGAGCTTCAGCTTGGCACATGCTGCTCTAACCACTACATAACGCTGCCTCTCCTTTTGGCATGATGAAAAATATAGTTCTGATATTCCAAGGGCCACCATCAGCCTCAGAGCCATCATGGTGAGATTCAAGGCTTTGCCCTCAAAGATGTATGTTAGAACGATATCACAGGCACCTGAAAACTCAGGGCAGAAGCACTGCAAATTCCAAAAGGGGTGAGTTGGTGAAAGACACCCCCCCAAAAAACAGCTTGATCTCACCTGCTGAGGGTGGTTGGGGTCCGCAGATGGAATGATGGTCCATATGATATTGAGGTGGTTCAAGGGTGCTGTGGTGCGGAAAGAGCACGGCAAGAGGGCACTTCCTCCCTGTACAACCTGGATGCTATCAGCCACCACGGAGACTTTCACAGCCCCTGAGACTGAGAGAGAGAGAGAGAAGGAGGGTCAGGGATGCTCAGAAATTGACCTTTCCACTGCCCCTGGGCCTTGCTGGCTTTTTGAATGCCTTGGATAGAAGGCTAGACTACACGAGGCTTGATCTGACATTTATCCCTCTCTCCTAACACTGGAACTCGTGGACACACAGCACATTGTTAAACTGTAGAACTCCCTGGCACAGGATGGCTTTAAAAGAGGATGGGACAAACTGACAGAGAAGGACATTGATAGCTGCTAGCCATGATGGAGAGACTATGCTTGGGTCCTCCTTGAAAGTTTCCCACTGCAAGAACAGGATGCTGGCCTGGAAGGGCGGTTGGTTGGATCCAGCATCTTCATCTTGTGTTCTTACGATTCGGCAAGGCTCTTTTAAAGCTATAAGCAACCTTCGCCAACCTGGTGCCCTTTGGGTTTGGGGCATGCTGGTCAGGGCTAATGGTCATTCTGATTCTAACAACATCGGAAGAACATCTGGCTGGCGACGGTTGTGTTTAAAGATCTGGGATTTACACCACTCTCAACTTTGTACATTTAAAGATTATCATTCCCCCACCTTTCCCCCCTCCTTTTTTCTCGTGGCTCAGTTCAGTAGTCATTAGTTCCTGCAAGAAAAGACACTTACTGGGGACAAGGCCTATAACTGGATGTTATAAAGGGACAGCAATGGGACACCTCTGGTCTTCCAGATGTTGTCGGACATACTGGGGACAAAAAAACTCCAAACTTTTGGCACCGTGGCATCACAGTGGAAGACCCACAGGTGAAGCCAATGGGGGGGAAATGTAAGTAGATTAAAAAAAAAATGACAGTGGGGGGGGGCTCCTTGGGGGCAGCAGAATGCCTTTTTTGGGAGAGGGCAGATACAGCTCATTCCTTCCTCTTGAAGACCCGCTCTAGAGATGGTGCCAAGGGGAGTCTGGGTTGGAAATGAGCCACGGGAGACTCTGTTCCTGACCTTTTCGCTTCCTTTCTCCAAAGGCCTGAGCACTGAGTGGCTGGATGGGAGGTGGGGGCGGTAGCTTTTTCCTGAACAATGGGCCTGTGTGTCCCACTCCCAAGGGACCTCTCTCTTTTTGCCTCTCCTCCAGGCGAAGTGCGAAGGCATTGCAGTGAATGGGAACTGTCCCCGGGTTGAATTCTCAGGCTAGATAATTAATTGGAGCTGCCTGGAACAGTGACATCTTCTCAAGGTAATTGGTGATAATTGAGAAGGACCCGGTGATGTCATGGGACGTGCCTGAGAGACAGCGGTGAGAGCCTTTGGGTGCTGAGGCAGCTTCCAATTACCCCCCACCCCCATCTCTGAGCAACCTGTTTGCAAAGATAGCAGTCGGTACCAGTTCCTCAGGACCAGCTTCCTATCCCCCTCACCCCACAGACCCTCCTGGGTGCTGAAATCAGCCGAGGGGGCCCTCTTGGTAGTTCTACCACCCTCATATGCTCAGGGGGTGGGGGTGGTTCAAGCAGAGAGAGCCTTCTCTGTGGTGGCCCCAAAGAAGAAGAAGAGGAGGAAGAGGAGGAGGAGGAGGAGTTTGGATTTGATATCCCGCTTTATCACTACCCTAAGGAGTCTCAAAGCGGCTAACATTCTCCTTTCCCTTCCTCCCCCACAACAACCACTCTGTGAGGTGAGTGGGGCTCAGAGACTTCAGAGAAGTGTGACTGGCCCAAGGTCACCCAGCAGCTGCAGGTGGAGGAGCGGAGACACGAACCCGGTTCACCAGATTACGAGCCTACCGCTCTTAACCACTACACCACACTGGCTCTAAGCTGTGTGTGGCACCTTCACAGCTTTCAACAAATGGATTCTGAGTGTGTGTGAGGAAAAACCCCCACCAGTCACAACAACCAATTGTTTCTCCGTGACCATGCTGTTGGTAAAAATAAGGGGCATGGGTTGGATTGGGGCCACAGTGGCAGAGATGGGCCTTTTTAACAAACCATTATTGTTCTACTGTTTTCCCAGTAGGGACTGTACCCACCCTCCCAAGCTGCTAATTGGTATGGATGAAGAAGCAAGATTTCCATAAGATTTCTCAGTACCATGGCCCTGAACCAAATCTGCCACCCTTTGAATTTTTAAAAAATGCTATCAGGACTACCTTGGCTGTAAGCCAGCCCCCAGCTCCAACACTGTAAAACCTGCAAGCAGAAAGGCAGACTGAGGTGATACCCACCACACCATTTATTTTAAGCACTCTTATTCCACAATATTGCATTTATGCATTTATTTATTCATTTGATTACGCCCTGCCTTTTTTCCAGGACTCAAGGCAACTCATGGGGGGGCGGGGAACCCACACAGATAAAACACCCATAGCTAAAAAATAAAAGCTTTGAAAAGTAATGGAACTATAATTCCAACAGTGTAAAAAAAAAAAAAAAAACCCTATTAAAATACAGACTGGGGGGGCGGAGAGGAAAAATAGTACAACATGCTATTAGCAGTCATGGCTTCCCCCTAAGATTCCTGGGAACCAAAGTTTGTTAAGGGGGTGCTGACCTTTCAGTCCTATAGTTCTTAGCACCCTTTGTGCCTGTTAAAAGTACTTTAAATGGTTTGGATGTGACTCAAGCAGAATGGACGAGGACCCCAAAAATATTCTGGTCTGCCTGCCCAGTTTGGTTTGTTCCCCCAGTGAGGCTGTTTCTCTCCCCCCTGAACCCCTGGAAAGAAAGAAAAACACCTCCCTTGTTTTGCACCATCCCTGTTGCCTGGTACCTGTTATGCAGCCAAGGAGAATCCACCAGCCAGGTAGAGCTCTAGGCCAGGGCCGGCCTCTGCCCTTCTTTCCAGGGCTCATGGCTCTCCAGCGGTCAGCTCAGTCCACCAGCGCAGCTCATTTGGTGGTGCCTTCCGCCAGCCTGAAACCCTTGAAACACCCTCCTCCCCCCACAACTCATCCCTTTTCTCTCTCTCCCCCTCCCCCCCCCCCCCGCTTTTCTCTATTCGTCCATCCCTCTTTGGCTGGAGACTCAAAACCTGCTTAGTCTGCCTGGGCTATCCCTCCAACGGCATCTGACAGGCATTTAAACTGTAGGCTCCTTGGGGCGAGGACTGGCCTCTTTTCCTAAGTTAGGTGTATACCTCTGGCATGGTGCTTTAAAAAAAAAAGACCAAAGGATTATATGTAGTTATTTCAAAACCTTTATATACCACTTGATTGAATTTAAAAAAACCCCAACAGCTCTCTAATACAGTTTACGGAAAGAAAAAAATGAAATTATCAGTAGAAACAGCTATGTGAAACATTCCAAAAAAAGTAATTAAAACCAGTGGCAAACTAAAAACAGCTTAAAATGCATGTCAGCAGTCTGTGTATCTGGGCAGATATGCCTTAAAAGAAGCGCTTTAATCAGAGGGCCGAAAAGAGTATTTTGACAGCACTCTTCTGATGTCAGCAGACAGGGGATTCCAAAGTTTGAATGCTGTCATGCTAAAAATTCACTTTCTTACTTGATTTTTTATAGGGCTGGCATATGTACAGTTCCTTCCAGACATTACCAGGATTTCAAAGGCAGGGGAAAAAAGCTCAACATTTTTGGGATCTTGGTTTTTACTTCTTGAAATATGGCAACCCTAATTTCTTACAAATGCAGAATGAGTATTAGGTTCTGCAGTCATCCTGCTGGAAAAGGATAGCAGTTCTGGAGGGATAGTTGGTGCTAGTCTGCAGCAACTGCAAAAAACAGGAAGGGGGTTAGATTTTGTGTCACCTGAAAGCATATTTATCATGGCATAAACCTGCTTTTCTGAGCCCCGGCCAGTATGGCTGTTTTCTCAGAATAAAAGTGGCAGTTCTTTTGTGGGCATGGTGTCATAGATTAACCCAGCTCCCCTTGAAGGGCTATGGCTCAGGGATAGAGCATCTGTTTTGCATGCAAAAGGTCCCATTTTCAGTCCCTGGCATCTTGAGGTGGAGATGATACCTGTCTGAAAGCGTTGAAAGCTGCTACCAGTCAGTGTAGGGAACATTGGGCTAGATGTACCAGTGAACTGACCTGGTATTGGGCTGTATCTTATGTACCTATGCTTTGTTTTGTCTAAAGCAAGAGGTCTCCAGCTTCTTCTAATCAAGCTGATCTTCAGGGCATAGTAGTGTTAAAGGGTGGTTGTTGTTTTTTTTTGAGGGGTCAGTCTAGATCAGGCATCCCCAAACTCGCCCCTCCAGCTGTTTTGGGACTACAATTCCCATCATCCCTGACCACTGGTCTTGTTAGCTAGGGATGATGGGAGTTGTAGTCCTAAAACAGCTGGAGGGCTGAGTCTGGGGATGCCTGGTCTAGATGCTATCCAGGGATCCCTTCTAAGTCTGTGATCCTGTATCTAGCAAGGTTTAGAATCTAGCAGAACAGGCTGTTAAACCAGCCCAGCCAGTCCCTTTGTTAAGGTAATGGCCTTAGCTGACCAGTTAAGTATGAAAATAATAATAATACTAACAGCAACAATTTTGTTGTGGGTTTCTGGATGAAACATCAGCTCTGGATCCATTCCAGTCCGGCTTCCGCGCTGGTCATGGGACCGAGACGACTCTGGTTGCCCTAACAGATGATCTTCGTAGACAGCTGGATCGAGGCAGGTCGGGGCTGCTGATTCTTCTAGATCTGTCAGCAGCTTTTGACATGGTCGATCACGAACTCCTGGACCACCGCCTTGCCGACATGGGGATCCAGGGCACAGTCCTTCAGTCCGACCTCTCTGGTCGGGGACAGAGGGTGGCGCTTGGGGGGGAATTGTCATCGCGCCACTCCTTGGTGTGTGGAGTGCCTCAGGGTGCGATACTCTCCCCGATGCTTTTCAACATCTTTATGCGCCCCCTCGCCCAGCTTGTCCGGAGTTTTGGGCTGGGTTGCCATCAGTATGCTGATGACACCCAACTCTATCTGTTGATGGATGGCCATCCTCACTCGGCCCCAGACACACTGACCAGATGTTTGGAAGCTGTGGCTGGATGGTTACGTGGGAGCCGGTTGAAGCTAAATCCTTCGAAGACAGAGGTCCTATGGCTGGGACGGGACGATATGGGATTGGGGGGGCAACTCCCATCTCTTGCGGGGGCGCAATTAGTGCCAGCACCGTCTGTTAAGAGTTTGGATGTAATCTTCGACACCTCCCTTTCCATGGAGGCGCAGATTGCAGCTATAACAAAGGCGGCATTTTTCCATCTCCGCCAAGCTAAGCAGTTGGCTCCTTGCCTCTCTCGCCCTGACCTAGCCACTGTGATCCACGCGACGGTCACCTCCAGACTGGATTATTGTAACTCGCTCTACGTGGGGCTGCCCTTGAGACTGACCCAGAAACTCCAGCGGGTGCAGAATGCTGCAGCGAGACTCCTTACGGGGTCCTCGCTGCGAGATCACATTCACCCGGTGCTATACCAGCTGCACTGGCTCCCGGTGGAGTACAGGATCAGGTTTAAGGTGCTGGTTTTAACTTTTAAAGCCCTATACGGCCTAGGACCCACGTACCTATGGGACCGCCTCTCCTGGTATGTCCCACAGAGAAACTTACAGTCTTCAAATAAAAACATCTTGAAGGTCCCAGGCCACAGAGAGGTTAGGCTGGCCTCAACTAGAGCCAGGGCTTTTTCGGCTGTGGCTCCGATCTGGTGGAATGCTCTGTCACAAGAGACTAGGGCCCTGCGGGACTTGACATCTTTCCACAGGGCCTGCAAGACAGAGCTGTTCCACCACGCCTTTGGCCAGGGCACAGCCTGACTCCCTCCCTCGGCAATCTTCGCGGAGCTCTGGCCCAATGGTTGCCAGTGGTTTGTTTTGAATTAATTTTATAATGAATGATTTTAGAGTGTTGTGTTGTACTGTTGTACTGTTTTTTTGTTGTTAGCCGCCCTGAGCCCGGCTTCGGCTGGAGAGGGCGGGATATAAATAAAATTTATTTATTATTATTATTATTATTATTATTATTATCTGACTGGGTTGCGCTGGCCACTCTGGGTGACTTCCAACATATATAAGATGTGCAAGGGATTACCATAGAGACAAGGCACATCATCCTAGGTGGGGTTGTGTATGGAAGAATTGTGCGTGAGAGTTTGGGGGGTTGATGCTGGAAGCTGCGGATACAGACTCAAAGTTATGTCTTGGAGCTTCCCTGGGAACCCTAGTGGGGAAGCAAGATCTGTTGAGCACAGGCACCCCTGGAGTATTTTGTTTTGTCAGTACTTTGAAAACCTCGATAAGCAATTGCTAAAAAAAGAAAAGAAAGCAGAGAGGGGATCGGCAATGATCCGCCACCTCCGAGGACTGCGGATTTGGCCCACGGTTTCATTTTTCACAGTGGCCTGTGACTGACAGTAGCCAGCAGAGGGCAGCAAATCCCGATTGATAGATTCCAAGAGCAAATTCAGAATTCTTCACCAAATTGGATTTTAAGCAAAACGTGAATACCATGGTGGGGGAATTGAGTCCCTTTGGAGTGGTCTTTCTGATGCAAATAGCAGGCACCTCACCCCCAATCCAGAGTTGGGCAGCAATAGGTGAAGGGTTTAAGATTCCCACACCTGTGAGGCTCCAAACCTAAATAGTCCTCCTCCTGGCTTAATTTGCTATTAACCTAAAATACTTATAATCTCAAAGATTTGGGAAAGAGACCTTTTAGAAAAGTCAGCATATAAATCATGGATTTCTGTAGACCAGTATTTTAAAAAAACAACACCTCCCTTTGGTTTGGTGGTTACTCATTTTATTTCATAAAACTTATACATACACCGCTTGATTGTAACAAACAAAACATCAGACTGCTTTACAGAAAGAATAAAGCATTAAAAATTATTGGTAGAAATAGCTATAAACAACCATTTCAAACTTTCAAAAAATTAAAATCACCACTAAACTGAAAACTGATTAAAATACAAATCTACATTGTTGTTGACACATGTCGTTCAAAATCTTCTAGACAGAGCCAGACATGGTAACAGGTGAGTGTCCTGCCCCCCCCCCCCAATCCTGGCTACACCTATGAAAGCAAGCTTTTGAATATACTGTACTTGAATATGAATGCACACGCACACTTGGAGCAATATCCTAAACTCTGCGGCTAGGTGAAAAGATTTTCATAATTTATTTTTTGCTCCTGGTTGGGGAAGAATCGGGGCGCCTGGATTTTTGAAACCCTCCTCCAAATCAGCTTAATAAGGAAACAAAAAAAGAGTTGTCTCACCTTGGCACATCTAATCCCCCCCGCCAAGGTTTCCCAAATAATCCTGGGAACTGTAGCTTCCCCTTCGCTAAGCTACAATTCCCAGCACCCAGGAAAAACTACAGCTCGCAGGATTGCTTGAAGGAAGTCATGCGCTCCAAATGCGCGTTGGATGCACTTTGCAGGCGTGGTGTGGACCTGCCCCAAAGCTGGTGGGGGTTGAATCCTGCATTTCCTTTGCTACCTTGCAGGGCGGGAAAGCCCAAGTTGACGATGCTGGGTGGGCGTGGAAAGGATGTCTCTCTCCCCCTCCTCCAAACTCCAAGGAGGAGGCCAGGAGGGCGGGGCGAGTCTTTTCCACGCCCCCCTCCGCGCGCCTTTCCTCGCGGAGCGCTTCACCTGTGCGGGCGGGGCGGGGCGTCCCGCTCAGCCAATCCGGGAGGGGCTCCTGCTCACCTGGGCGCCGCTGCGCTCCGGCCTTGCTCAGTCGGTTTGTGCGGCGGAGGAGGCAATGGCGGTGGCGGCGATGGGCTGGCTTTGGTGGGGCTGCTTCTGCGCCGGGCTGTGTGAGTAGGCAAAGGAAGTGGGTGCAGGAGGGGCTGGGGGGCTGGAAGGAACTTCCCAGGTGAGTGGGGCTGCAAGGAGATTTGGGGCAGTCTCCCAGGTGGGGCTCAGAACCAGAGGAAGCGGCCTTATACTTGCAGCCAGACCTTGGGGTCCATCTCGCTCCATATTGTCGACACTGACTGGCAGCGGCTCTCGGGACGCTGCGGAGATCGGACCCGGAAAACTGGCAAAACTCCTTATTTTAAAAAATAGTTTTTCTAGTCCTTACACTGACCATTTTCCTCTTTCTCCACTCCTAGCCATTTCCTGCTGGTGACCTCTTTGGTTGTATGGATGAAATTTCTTAAATATTAATTCTCTCTCTCCCCTTACTCCCCCTGGCAAAATAAACCTTGCCTGTGGGTTGTGTAATAGATCGAGCAGACCTTGGAAAGGGAAAGCAAGCAGAATTCCTGCCAGGCTCTCTCTGGCTCAAGCCAACACCCCACATTTCCCAGAAGTGCTTATTTTCCCCCACCATGGTTCATTGCAGGTTGTGCCGGCCAGCCATCTTCTCTGACTGTTTACTCAGGAGTAACAGCCATAGAGTTAAAACAGGAGTAGGGGAGGGATGCTCTCTCAACAAAGTATGCACACCTCAGTTTGCAGCCAGAGATAGGGAAATTGTATTTAAAGCATCTGTGTTAATCCCCTTTTGTAGGTTGGAAAGAAGCCTGTGTAGTTTTGTTAAATACACAGTGTGACGTTTCTTTCCGTTATCTTCTCCAGAGGGATAGGTGTGTGCGTTTGTAGCAGTGCAAGCAAAGGATCCTGGGAACTGCAGTTCGTTCAGGGTGCTGGAGACTGTGGTTCCAGGAGATGGAAACTAAAGATCCCAGAATTGTTTGGGGGATACCATGTGCTTTAAATGTATGATGTTGTGGGTCTGCCCCAAGAGATTTGTGGCACCTTAAAGAGTCACACCTTTTGTTGCAGTGCTTAGCATTTGGGGACCATGGTTCACCTCAGTGCATGGTGTGTGATCCTCAGATGTACGGATGCAAAGAGGAGAAAAATAAATGTTGTATTTAAATAGCTGCGGAATATAAAAATACAGTTTGTGACAATTCAGTGAGCGCTTAAATACAGGCAAAAGGACCCTTTAGGGCAGCAGTAGCTGATCATCCCAACATCATATTAGCAATCCTGAGTAAACATAAGGTGAACCTTTGACTGCTTTTTCCCTTCAACCTATGTCCTAATAGCAGAGGGTCACGCTCTAGGCATCTGATAAAGTCCACAAAAACTTTTACGCTGTAATAAAACGGCCAAAATTTTTAAAAAGCACTAGACTCTTTGTTGTATATCTTCCTAGATTTCTGCCTTTCTGTGGTCCTTTATCTTTTGTTCTGAAAGTTATTTGTTTTTTGAGTCTATAGAAACTGTACCTTTTTAATATTAATTCAGCTAAATTACTCACACAATCACCCATTTCTTTTTTGGCTTCAGATAAATGGACGGATAGTTTACATAGAGCTGAGTTCGTGTTTAGATAGTGATGCCATGTGAGTTCGTAGAACTTCAATTGTAAACTTCCAAGGGTGTTTCGGTTTTTCTCTCTTGGTTGCTGAAGCCTTAAAATGGTGGTTGCCCTGCCGTGCTTCCAATAGGAGAGAATTTATTTCCTTGTTGAATCATTGTTTAAAAGTTAGACTCGCTGTTCCTTTCGTTCTTCTCTGTGCTGGTATGTGTACAAATATATTTAATTCTCGAAGAGTTGGCCTTGGGAGAGGTTTGGAGGAGTAGATTGCTTTGCTGTTCCTACTTCTTTAGGCCTAGGACTCCTGGTGTGTGGTGTTGGCACCAAAATGTACTGTTTTCTTCCCAAGCTGTCTATTGCTAATTTCCTTCGCAAGCTGGAATTGCAGACACAACAGGTCTGTCTTGGCTGTTGCTTAGTATGTACAGCCCTGAATTTTATACTCTGTTCCTTCTTGACAAAATGATTGTCAGGAGGAGGTGTAAAGGCAAGCAGAATCATGTTTCTGTGTTCTTTTAAACCACACCCCGGGATTTAATGAGCGGTGAGCTGGCAGGGTGCCCCATGCCCTGATCTATCCATTTCAAGCTACCCAAACAGGTCCATCTTGCACTGGGCTTTAAAAGCTTTTAATAAAGGCGTGATCTGTTCTGAGGGCCTGATGCCTGTTATCTGTTGGCTCAGAGACTCCTGCTGAGTGCTTTTGCAGCGGGTGTGTGTATGTGTGAAATAGTTATTGACCAAAGAGAGAGAGCAAAAGCAAAGATCAGTTTTAGAAGCAAGCAGGGGGGTGCTTGTAAAGTTTCTGTATATTCTGGTTGGGGAGATGCTGGAAAGGTGACTGCAGAGGGCTCTCTTAAATCTGGAAGAGATGAGATGTGGAAATTGAGAATTATTTCTTGAATGCTGCTTTTTGGATCTGGTTGCAAGGTGTTGCTATTGGTAGACAAAGTCCTTAACAACTTGGGACTGATTTAGCTGTGAGATCGCCTTTCCCCATATATGTTCATGCAATTCCTACAGTCTGCAGAACTGGCGCTGTTACAGGTGCTACATAATACTGCATTTGTAAGAAATCGATCTTTTACTGCAACACCACCCACACTTTGGAACTCCCTGCCTATTGACATAGGCAGGGGCCTTCCTGCGCCTGCTGCAAACATCTTTGTTTACACATTCCTACCCAGATACATAGAATGCTGATGTGTTTTTAGTTCATTGCTGATTTTAACCTTTTGAATGTTTTATTTGATTTTACAAATACAGTAGTTTTATTGATTGATTCTTTTTGTAACCTGCTTTGGGATTTATTTATTTTTTTAAAAAAACAATCAGGCAGTATACAAATTCTGTGAAATAAAAATAAGTAAAATAAACATATAATCAATCTGGGTTTGCAGGCAGGGAATCAATTAAAAACTTTCGGGGTAGTTTAAGATAATCAGAAATCCTACAATGATCTTTTATTAAAAAGGAACACACAAGTGGCATCATAGGGAAGGTCAAAATATAACAGCAATAAAATGGTTCTGCAACCAACAGTTGCTTGTGATAAAGTTTAAGGTATTGGGAAACTATAAAAGGATGGGGCAACTGAAAGAGTCTTTGCTGGCTTCCAGAGTAGGCCACAGGCTGGAGGATATCATTCCATCAACAGGATGATTGCCAGAAGTGAAAAGGTCTGTTCTCAGGTGACCAACCTCTTGAGCTCTGAAGGCCAGGAAAATGTGGAGCAAGGACTCCAGCAAACAACTTCAACACTTGCCCAGAACTAGAAGCCAGTGGAGTTGTTTTAGACTGGCAGAATGTGTCTTTTCCACCAGTCTGTGTCAACAGCTGCCTTCTGGGCTTGCTGGTGATTCTGAGTAGACCTTAAAGGCGGCCCCTCATGAAGTGCCTTCCAGAGAAAGAAACAAGTAATTGATATTATTTTTACAGGACGTTTTTTAAAGACTTCAGGGTACCATACTCTGCCTGGCAGTGGGGATGGGTCACTGGAGCCTGATGCCTTTCTCAGCTTCCTCCCATAGCCTGACCCCAAACTCTAGAGCAGGCTTTGGCACCCCTTACTTCCAGGAAGCTCAAACAATGGCAAGGAAGCTCGTCCATCTTTTGTTTTGCTCCAAGTACCTGACTATTAGGTGTAATGTTAATCTGTGAGAGCCAGTGTGGTGTAGTGTTTAGTGTTTGGACCAGGATCTGGGAGACCAGGGTTCTAATCCCCACTCGACCATGAAGCTCACAGGGTGACTTGGGCCCATTCCCTGCTGCTTAGCCAAACCCTACCTCACAGGGTTGTTGAGAAGGAAAAATGGTGAGGAGGAAAAAAGCTGTGTATGCCACCACCTTGAGCTCCTTTGGGATAAACAAGGAAATAATCACAGAATTGTAGAGTTTGAGGGGATCCAAAGAGTCACCTATTCCAGCCCCCCTCAATGAATGTTAAAATATAAAACAAAGCAGTCTGATGATTCATGCATTGAAAGAGAAACGCAATGTGCCTGTGGTAGGTAAAAATGGCCAGGTATACATGACCTCAGCAAGCCTTACGGCAACCCTATGAGGTCAGCCAGTTCACAAAGGCCGTCCCACCCCACTTTTCAGTCACAATTCCTCCTGTGGCTTCCTCTCAATATCCCTTCCGGTTCTTGGAGGTGTGGCCCTCTCTGGTGATGGGGAAAGGATTCTTCAGAAGGTGTGAAAACCTGTTTGGGAGACTAGGCTATTATTTCCAGAGGCTCATGCTGGGATAGATTCCTTCTGTCCTTTGCAGAGGAAGTGAGTCTTTTTCTGTGTGTTTCCGCAGTATGGCTCACTCATTCTTTAGTCAGGCAGCACGGCAGTTTTCTGGGGTTATGTAGGGTGAATGTAAAACTACAGGGACTCAACCTGCACTAGCCTGGTGCCCCCAGATGTTTTGGGCTGTAGCCTCCAGCCAGCTTGTCCCTTTTGGACTACAATTCCCATCAGCCTCCCCCTCCCCTTAGGAGGTAGTCCAATGCAGTTGTTGCAGGCTGGGTTTGGTGGGTGATGTAGTCTAATAAAGCATCTGGAGGGCACCATTTGCTCTCCATATAGTTGCCTTATCTAGTGGTTTTCTGCATCTTGGAGAGTGGAGAAGAATTGGTGCCCAAGATTATGTTTGTGGCCCTGTTTGGGGACAGAGTGTGGAGTTGCATTTAGAACAGAATATAAGAAGAGGCTGCTGGATGAGGCCAGTGGCCCATCTAGCCAGCATCCTGTTCTCACAGCGGTCAACCAGTTGTCCCACAAACAGGGCCCAAGCACAAGAGCAAATACCCTGTCATGCCGTTTCCAGCAACTGGGACTCAGAAGTATTGCTTGGCTCCAACCATGGAGGCAGAGCCTGGCCATTGTGTCTAGTAGCCATTGATAGCCCTTTCCTCTCCTCTCCATGAATTTGTGCAATCCTCTTCTAGATCCATCCAGGTTGGCGGCCATCACTGCCTCCTGCGGAAGTGAGTTTCATAGAATTACGTTATTCCGTCCTGAATCTTCCAACATTCAGCTTCGTTGGATGTTCACAGAGAGAAAAACACTTTCCTTCAATTTCTCAATGTTGTGATAATTTTGTAAACGTCACTTCTAACTCTCCTTTTCTCTAAACTAAAAAGTCCCAAATACAGCAACGTTTCCTCATAGAGGAGTTGCATTTCCCAGATCGTGACTCTCCTCAGCCTTACTCCTCTTCTTCTTCCTTGCTGGTCCAAGAGGTTGGATATATTTTAAATAAATAAATAGCCTGGGTTGGACTGTCTAATGCTGTGGATTAATTATCTACCAAGCTCCGCTGTTGCAATTGAGTCTGGGGCAGGTTGTCTGGTTATTTTTTACACAGAGAAGGATCTCTCCCCCCCCCATCATTGTGGGCTGTATCACTGATCAAATATTTGAGCTGGTCTTGCCAGTGTTGGACCATCATCCTAGACAGCCCATCCGACCTGTCCAATAAAGCAGGCACATCCAACTCCCAAGAGACTGCGATCTACTCCCAGTATAGAATAACTGGCAGTGATCTACCCATTGTCATTGGAGGGAGGAGGAGCGTGTGTTTCTTAGGGAGGATCGCCCAGAGTTGTTGAGCTGGGGGGCGGGGGGAGAGAATGAGAAAATACGCTCACCACAAACAGCAACAATCACTATTGCACACAGCACTACCGCAAGCATTACTTCCGCATTCCTAATGCTTCGCAGGAGGCAGGGACATTACTTGCCCACGATCAACCATGATAACACGCGATTTACTAGGGACATACAGGAGATCTACCTGTTGATTGCGGTTGACCGTGAACATCGCTGCAATACAGCATCCTGCACTATACATTTCTAGAGCAGTATCATGTCACTTTAAGCACAAAGAACCTTAAGAAATGTAGTTTAAGTTTACTGAGGGTTGCTCCCCTCCCTGCACTACAGTTCCCAATGTTCCCTTTGAGGAGGGATTGATTGTTAACCCACTCTGGAAATTGCAGCTCTTTTATTATTATTATTATTTGATATCCCGCTTTATCACTACCCGAAGGAGTCTCAAAGCGGCTAACATTCTCCTTTCCCTTCCTCCCCCACAACAAACACTCTGTGAGGTGAGTGGGGCTGAGAGACTTCAGAGAAGTGTGACTGGCCCAAGGTCACCCAGCAGCTGCATGTGGAGGAGCGGAGACGCGAACCCGGTTCCCCAGATTACGAGTCTTATCGCTCTTAACCACTACACCACACTGGCCCTGTTCTGTGGGCACATCCACACCATATGTTTAAAGCACATGGCTTCTTCTTAAGAATCCTGAGAGCTGTAGCTTACCTCTCACAGAGCTGCGATTTGAAGCGTCTTTTAAAAACTACAGTTCCCAGGATTCTTGCTGGGGGGCAGGGGCTATGTGCTTTAAATGTATGGTGTGGATGTGACTTAAGGAATAAAAATATCTCTCTACAAAAGGTCTTCTATTGTCTCCATTCCCCCCCTAACTTAATAGCCTCAGGTGTATCCCCACCCCCCTCCGCTTCAAATTTGTTTAAGGGCTAGCTAGTTGACTGATCTTCCACTGGATCTGGCCTTAGTAGCCAAGGGACCTTCCAGCTGGGTTAACATTGTTTACGTTCCTCCCCTCCCTTTAGGGACCCTTCCTTCCCATTTGGATTCAGAGTTGTTTGTGCTGTTTCCTGGTGCTTTTTAATGGATGTTGAGTACTGTATGATCGCATCTGGGGGGGGTGCGATTACATTCTGGGGGTGCCGCATCTGCATAAAAATGTGTATAATGATAACTGAACCCAGAGTCATCTGCATCCAAAGCAGATCTGCCCTACCCTAGAGCTGCATACATTTCCCTTGCCTTTTATTGCCCAGGGCATCGAGCAAAGCAGTCAGGCTTAGTGACTTGGCTTTAAAACCCAGGCTGGGAGTTTCATGCTACGACCCAAAATCAAAAGTACTTTAATTGACTATGAAAGGCAGAATAAACCCTTTCCCAAACCTTGGTGACTCTCAGTGCTTCTAATGCCATGAAAGCATGAGGGTGCGACTCTATAAAATCGCTGTCGGAACGAGTTTTAAACTCTGGGGAAACTGGTTTTGAAGACTTAAATGAGTACTCCAAGAAGTCCTGTCAGGGCACCGGGATTGCCTCATTTTTTCGCTCCTTTGGTCGTGGCTAATTTAAAAATATTCAGCTCAGTAAAGGAAGGGTTTGTAGGGCAGCAGAGATGGTTAATGGGGGACCTACGGGGGTCTTGCTGGGGTATTCCAGCTCCCATCATTCCTGGCCATGCTGGTCCTCATCCCTGAGGTAAATCAAAGCCCTACCATAGGGATTACCATCCAGTTTCCAGCTGACCACCTGCTGACAGCTACAAATGTACGCTTAATGAAGTGATCTATATTTCCTATTAGCCAAGTACAAAGAGAACACCTTTTTTGTTTCAACGACATTTTCCCCCCATTCTAAAATAGTTATACCTTGCCTCTTTGGGGGAAATGCTGTTTCAAGATGGCTGACAAGGCCTTAAGTCGGCCTTTATCCACCTGACACCCTTCAGCAATGTTAGAAACTCAGATATACTGCATAAGCTAGGTGCCAAATGGCTGCTTAAACCAGGGTTATAGTCTCCAAAACGGAATGTCTAGTTGCCATTTTGGGACCAAATGTGTTTTTCAATAGGGCTTTCTGGTTCCTGAAATTCGTTATGGTTGTGCAGATAAAATACCATGGATGGAATTCTATAGGATGTGTTGTTACTATGTGAAAACAGGCAAGATCCAAGGATCCACCTCCAGATGGTGGAGGCATTAGGCACCATCCTTGTGCCTGGGCATCTTCCCTACATCACAAGTGGTCGATAGCCAGGTGCAAAATGGCGCATGGCAAATTTCGAATGCTGCCATTCAGATGCTTTAAACCACAGCTCCCAGCCATCAGAGGAGCTGTAGGCGAAAAGTGTACTCCCATCCCATGAGTTGATGTAAAGCCAGTTACTGACATAGTTTTCTATGTCTCATCCCTCTTTGGAAATGTCTCAGTTCTTTTGCCACAGCTATTTCTTTGTGACAGGGAGTTCCGTAGTTCATTTTTTCCCTCAGGATGAGTACAGGCATTGGCTCTGGCGGTATGGTGACTCGGCTGCCCCATTTTAAGCAGATCCAAAGGCTCTAAAATAGAGTAGCCCGGCCTCAAATGTTGTCAACTCATGGGCTACTCTCCTACTATGAGAGATGAGGAGCAAAGCAGCTGCAAACATTTTTCTGGGATCCCCCACGCTTGCTTGTTCATATTAAGCCATAATTTGGCTTGGCATTACCTGTGAACCAGGTCACTGTCTCTAATAACATGGCAGCTCTTCCAAGGTTGCTTTGCCGGACTTTTTACCAGAGACCTTTTTAGCTGGAGATGCTGATGACAGTATCTGGAACAAAGCAAGTTCTCTTATACTACTGAACTTGTGCCTCGCCCCAAATTCCTCCCTTCCCCTTAACCCTAGATAGATGAAAGGAGCAAGCTGCAAATCATATTCAAATATTTGACTGTAGGATTTCAATTTAGGTAGTATAATCCTTGTGGTTGTCTCTCAATTTAATCCCTGCGCTAATATCTGATGTTGGTTCTCCAAGCTGGGCTTTTTACACCTGCCCCAGTGAATTTGCAAGTTTGCAACAGGCCTTTGTGGGTGCCCTCCCCTTGCAGAAAAGCAGCAGCAAACTGTAGATGTGGATTGTGATTTACTGAGTGACAGTCCTGGCTTCCAGAGGCTCTTGTGAGTTAATAGGTAGCTCTTTTCTGCCTCTTCCTCTGCAGTGGCCAGGTCCAAAGTTAAGCAGCTGCAGGGAAATGGCTTCTGTATCATAAAATTCCCTTCTAGGGCTTAAGGTCCAGAACTAGTGCCACAGATCACCTCCAAAAGTCGTCTTGCAGCTTAGATTTTTGCAGCTTAGATGAACGCAGAGTTGTTTATGTGCTGCAACTGACTTGACATGATTTTAAACTTATTTTCTATCACATCAACATTCCACCTTTCCTCCAGGGACCAAAAGGGTCCTCCCACAAACCATTTTTTCCTGGCAGGTTTGGCTGAGAGATAGCGACTGCCAAAAGGTCACCCAGTGAGCTTCATGGCTGAGTAGGGATTGAACCCTGGCCTCCCAGATCCCGGGCCAACTGCAACGCCGCAGTGACTTTTGAAGCAAGGGAAACCATTTCTGATAGGGATGGGTGGATTTAGAGCAACATGGCCCAGCTTCTTGTTTCTGGAATCGTGGTGGGACCACCAGTTTCAAAACTGAAATTGGCACCCTCTGAATCCCTGGGCTGTTCAGGTGTGGCTGTTTGTGGGGTGCTGAGTCACGATAAAGTGCTGTACAGCATTCTTTGCTGGAATCCCCAGTGACCAGCCTGTGGTTTCCTTAAAATGATGCAGTCTAGCTTCTCTCCACTTTGTTTGGGACCCCTCAATGAGCGAAGGGGTTACAGCCTCCTGCCTGCAGATTCTCCCCTGGAAATGCGTGTTTGCATTTGTCGCAGTACAGAGATAATTTTATCTAAGGAATAGATTGCTTTTTTTGGATCTTGTTTTGTCAGAAGCCCCCCCATCCCCCTCCCGCTTTTAGAACTAAAGCACCAGGCAGAGTTACAAGGCTGTGAATGTGTGTGCCCTTCAAATGGCAACAGAGATTCACTGGTTGTCCACTGACGTCTTTATTCTGTTAAGAACGTTTGGTTTTGGAGAACAGGGTCTCCATTGTGTGCCATTTGCTTGCCTTAGAACCAAAGGACCTATTGCTCATGTTTCCTGAATGAGCAATGCATCTATTTCTAAAAGATGTACAGCCCACCCCTATAAAACAAATGCAAGGCAGTTCTGCCAGCCAACTCTTGTTACATTTTTAAATTTACACACACACACCTGCAAAAAAACCAAAACAAAAAAACCAACAGAAATCCTGAGCAGGATACTTGGGTACAACAGAGCAAAATATTTTAAAAACCAAGGGTGTTGTGTGTTTCTTAGGGTAAGGAAGACAAATAACGTTTCTAATGCCGTTTACTGGGATTTAATTTATTAGGTGCATAAGAAACCCTGCAACATTCCTCCAATGAAAATAAGGATGTCCTATCCCATAATAATAGTAATAATTTAATTATTTATACACCACTGACTGGGTTGCCCCAGCCACTCTGGGCAGCTTTCTCTCTCTCTGTCTCTCTCTGACATAATAAAACATTAAACATTGAAAAACTTCCCTATACAGCCTTCAGATGTCTTCTAAAGATATAGTTACTGATATCCCGTATTTTTCGCCCTATAGGACGCACTTTTTCCCCTCCAAAAATGAAGGGGAAATGTGTGTGCGTCCTATGGGGCGAATGCAGGCTTTCGCTGAAGCCTGGAGAGCGAGAGGGGTCAGTGCGCACCGACCCCTCTCGCTCTCCAGGCTTCAGGAAGCTATCCACAAGCCTTGCAAGCCCGGCGGGAGGTCCCGCGGGCTCGCAAGGCTTGCGGGCAGCAGCCTGCAGCCCACGAGCTCGGGGGATAGTGGGGAGGTGCAGCGCCGCCACCCCGCTATTCCCGGACCTGGTCTGGAGGCTGGCAGGGGGGAGAAGCAAGCTTGCTTCTCCCCATCGCCAGCCCCACAAGCTCGGGGGACAGCGGGGCAAGCCACTGCCCCACGGAGGCTAGAGAGGCTGTCCCTGAAGGCAGAAGAGGGAGACGGAGCGCTCCGTCTCCCTCTTCTAGCTTGGGGATGGCTGCGCAAACCTGGGGGGGAAATAAAAAAATTTTCCTTGATTTCCCCCCCAAAAAACTAGGTGCGTCCTATAGGGCGAAAAATACGGTAGTTACTTCTCTCCCTTGGTTCAGGGGGTCGCATAACTCCATTTTGTTGTTGTTTAGTCATTTAGTCGTGTCCGACTCATCGTGACCCCATGGACCAGAGCACGCCAGGCCCTCCTGTCTTTCACTGCCTCCCGCAGTTTGGTCAGACTCATGTTTGTAGCTTCGAGAACACTGTCCAACCATTTCGTCCTCTGTCGTCCCCTTCTCCTTGTGCCCTCAATCTTCCCCAACATCAGGGGCTTTTCCAGGGAGTCTTCTGTTCTCATGAGGTGGCCAAAGTACTGGAGCCTCAGCTTCATGATCTGTCCTTCCAGTGAGCACTCAGGGCTGATTTCCTTAAGAATGGATAGGTCTGATCTTCTTGCAGTCCATGGGACTCTCAAGAGTCTCCTCCAGCACCATAATTCAAAAGCATCAATTCTTCGGCAATCAGCCTTCTTTATGGTCCAGCTCTCACTTCCATACATCACTACTGGGAAAACCATGGCTTTAACTATACGGACCTTTGTTGGCAAGGTGATGTCTCTGCTTTTTAAGATGCTGTCTAGGTTTGTCATCGCCTTTCTCCCAAGAAGCAGGCGTCTTTTAATTTCGTGACTGCTGTCACCATCTGCAGTGATCATGGAGCCCAAGAAAGTAATATTTTTCTGGTGAAGATAGGGATGTCCTAAGGAAAAGGAGGATTCCGGGATCAAATCAGAAACCAAGACTGCTTCTGTAAATCCTGTAAAACACTCGTTTCGTTATGTGTTTTGCTGCTTTTATTTTCCCCCCTGTGCTATCTAATCTCTTATTTATTTGAAAAATGCAAACTCTGTTGCATTCCTCCCCCTACCCGGAAAACTGTTAAAACAACAATGTTTACCTAGAACCGAGCACTTTCATGGGCCAGGGGTGGGGCATGGGTGCATTTGGCTTGGGAATTACTGCCTGCCAGCTAAATTACCTGATAAAAGCAGCTGAGGATGGAAATGAGGTCATTCTGCAGAGCCAGTGGTTTGAGTCAGTTTCTTCTGACATGGAAGTGAAGTGAGTAATGAGTGCGTGGATGCCCAGGGGCAGAGGGAGTGAACCTGAAACTAGCAAAGCCAGAAATTCCACCAGGTGGGTTGAAGACCAGTTAACCTCCTCCTGACTCCTCTTTCTGCTCCATCCATGGCCCTTTGTGTGGGAGCCTCTCCTTCCCGTTGGCAAATTATTGCTGTTTTTAAAGTCCCATCCCACCCACTTTCTGGAAGTGAGCAGTGGCTGGCATATTCATGCTTGAGAGAAGGTCTAAACCACTGAGCCTCTTGGGCTTGCTGATACAAAGGTCGGCGGTTCAAATCCTTGCAACGGGGTGAGCTCTCGTTGCTCCGTCCCAGCTCCTGCCAACCTAACAGTTCGAAAGCATGCCAGGGCAAGTAGATAAATAGGTACCGCTGTAGCGGGAAGGTAAACAGCGTTTCCGTGTGCTCTGGTTTCTGTCACAGTGTCCCATTGCGCCAGAAGCACTTTAGTCATGCTGGCCACGTGACCCGGAAAGCTGTCTGTGGACAAACACCAGCTCCCTCTGCGTGAAAGCGAGATGAATGCTGCAACCCCATATTCACCTTCGGCTGGACTTAACCGTCCAGGGGTCCTTTACCTTTTTACCTTACATGAACCAGTGCGAAGGCTCTGCAATGCTTTTGAACAGAAGGTGAGAGAACTGGTTTGTTGGAGCACCGTGTCAATTAGAGAGTGTTTGGAGGTTGAATCTAGATGACCATTGGCCTTTGACATCTACAATATGTGGCTTTTAGGCACTACATAAGAACCCAAGCAGGGACGCGGGTGGCGCTGTGGGTTAAACCACAGAGCCTAGGACTTGCCGATCAGAAGGTCAGTGGTTTGAATCCCCTGGCGGGGTGAACTCTCGTTGCCCGGTCCCTGCTCCTGCCAACCTAGAAGTTCGAAAGCACATCAAAGTGCAAGTAGATAAATAGGTACCGCTCCGGCGGGAAGGTAAACGGCGTTTCCGTGCGCTGCTCTAGTTTCCCAGAAGCGGCTTAGTCATGCTGGCCACATGACCCGGAAGCTGTACGCCGGCTCCCTCGGCCAATAAAGTGAGATGAGCGCTGCAACCCCAGAGTCGGTCACGACTGGACCTAATGGTCAGGGGTCCCTTTACCTTTAAGAACCCAAGCAGAGGCCAGTGGTCCATCTCCTCCAGCATCCTGTTCTCACAGTGGCCAACCAGATGCCCATTGTGTGAAAACCCCCGAGCAGGATCCAAGCACAAGAGCCCTCTCCCGCCCTGTGGCTTCCAGTGACAGGCATTCAGAAACGTTTAATGCTCCCAACTGTGAAGGCAAAGCGTAGCCATCATAGCTAGTAGCCTTCTCCTCTGTGAATTTGCCCGGTCCTCTTTTAAACCCACCTAGGTTGGTGGCCATCACTGCCTCCTGTGGCAGGGAGTTCCATAGTTTAACGATGCACTGTGTGAAGGGGGGTTGTGGTCCAGAATGTCCCGAGAGCACCAGCTTGGTGAAAGCTGCCCTAATAGAAATAAATGTACCTGCAGCAGGGCAGGGGGAGGGGTGTGCCCATTTCCCAGCAATCTTCCCAGCATCACACAGGATCGAGAGACCTGGTCATACGGGGGCTGTTTCTGTTTTCACTGAACACTCCTTCATCAAACACGCGTTTGCATCAGGTTTCGCCTTTTCTCTCTCCTTTCCTTCCCACTTCAGATTCCGCCCACCTGTGCCAATCTCATGTTGCGGTACTAAACCCTGAGTCATAGTATTTACTGCTCTATTCTTCCTGTAGGCAAAAGTAATTTTTCTCTGCCCAAGTAAGGCTGGCGACTGTCTTGTGTGTATGCAAGAAAGTTGTAAAATCGTAGAATCGGAAGGGACCTCTCCCCACCCCCCAGGATCATCTAGTCCTGCTCCCTGCAATGCAGGAATCTCAGCTAAAGCATCCAAGACAGATGGCCATCCAACCTCTGCTTAAAAACCTCCAGCAAAGGAGAGTCCAGCACCTTAGAAGCTTGTCTGTTGCACTAACGGACAGCTCTTACCCTCCGAAAGTTCTTCCTAATGTCTTCCTAAGCCTTCCCTCTTCCCTCCTCCCAACCTATTTTGCTTAGGAAATGTCTACATGCTTTGGGGGGCAATGGAAGGAAGTTTGTGCCATTTAGGTACGCCAGCTGACCACGAGAACCTGGGTAGATCAGACCGGGGAGGTTCAATCCAGCGTTCCCCATCAAAGGGCTCTCCACATCATGATGATGAACTCCAGCTCCCATCAGTCCCTGCCAGCATGACCACTGTTCAGCGATGGTGGGAGTTGTAGTTCGAAAGCATATGGGAGGTGCCAAGTTGGGGGAAGGCTGACTTAGTCTTTAAGCTGCTTGCTGTTGTCTTCAAATACTGAAGGGAAATCCTCTCTTAGTACATTGAGAGCAATATCATGCCACTTTGAAGAACCATGGCTTCCCACCAAACAGTTCTGGGAACTGTAGTTTGTTCAGGGTGCTGAGAGTTGTTAGGAGACCCCCTGTTGCCCTCACAGAGCTACAATTCCCAGAGCAATTTAACAGTCAGTCCCTCTTTGCAGGCAACTCTGGGAGCCGTAGCTCTGAGAAGGGAATAGGGGTATCTGAACACCTCCCAGCACCCTTAACAAACTACAGCTCTGGGGAATAATTGGTGGAAGCCATGAAGGTTTAAAGTGGCACGATACTGCTTTAAATGGATAGTGCATAATGGGGCCTTGATAACTTTGAAATTTCCTCTTTGCTACAGGGTCCTTGATATCAGGCCAGTCGAGCCAGGAGACGCTCGTTCAAGTTCCCGAGAACAGCGGTAAGTCCCGAAAATGATGGCTGCCTTCTCTTGCAAAAAGGATTTCTGTGCTCTTTTTGTCGGACCCGGCAGCAGCTTTCCCCCTCCAGACGTGTTGGACTACAACGCCCATCAGCCCCGGCATCATGCTGGTTGGGCTTATGGCTTCCAGCTAGGGCTGATGGGAGTTTGGTACAAAATGGCCGTGTAGGCCGAGGGGTTGGAATCCAAAACATCTGATGGTTGCTAGGCTTGGGAAGGCTGTCCTGTGTCAGGTGCCAGCCCAAGACATTTTGCTGCCTGAAGCGGAGACCAGATACCGCCCTGGTCCTGTCTCACTTGCAAAAGTTCTGCTGAATTGCTCAGGCCCCAGTTCCTGCCTTCAGCCCTTCTCCCCCTCTGCAAGAGCTTTTCAGTCATCCTCGTAGAAGGAGGTGTCTTCAGTCGGCTGTGTTGCAAGGCCAGGGTGGGGCAAGGTGCCCCCCCTATGCCCCCAACATTCAAATATAGCAAGGGGCATCTTCACAACTCAGCTCCCCGCTTCCACAACAACGCACCCGTTTGCTTCCATTCCTCTAGAACGACCCCACAGCAGGATTTCCTTGCCCACAACCCTTTTCTCGCTCCCCACAGGAAACTGCTTTATACTGAGTCAGGCAGGGGAAGCCCCCAGCCCATCCTTCCTTGTAGTGAGTCAGACCCTTGGTCCATCTAGCTCATGGGCAGCAGTGGCTCTCCAATGGTTTGGGGCAATGAGACATTCACAGCCTTGCATGGGGATTGAACCCCAGGACCTTCTGCATGCAAGGCAGATGTTCTGCCTCTGAGCTCCGGCCCCTTCTTCCCAATTCCTAATGCTTAAAAATGTTGTATTCCTCTTTTCCATCTCTCTCTCCCACACCTTCTCCAATTCATTTTGTCAGCTGGATAATTTTAGAGCCTGGACTTAATGGCACCCCCCACCCCTTTGCAAAACCATGTGTGCTCATTTATTCTTGAAGCGTGTAATTAACACTTATCTTCATTCATTGTCCCCCTCCCCCCTCACCATTCCATGCTTTACAAGCTGCTTCTAAAATCCTGAAGTGTTGCAGCAAAAAACAGGCAAAAGCAGTTTGACTTCCCCCTGATATGTGGTATTATTATTATTATTTATTATTATTATTTTATTTAAGAAAGAGATACTGATATTTTGACAGGATGGTATATACGTGTTGGGGGTGGTGGTGTAGAAAAAGATAACATACCCTTAAGGTAAAGATAATAAAATGACTGATGCTCATTAGGTATCTGCCTAATTAGGGGAGCCAATCAACATTAGTGCTGCCTACCAGGCCAATTCCATGCCAACTGCTATCTTTCCACAGTGGCTAATTGATGTCTATTTTTAGCCATGTTTTTACTGTATGATTTTACGTATGCAGATTTCACTTGGGTATCTATCTCCCTTGTGTTTCAAAAAGTACGGATAAGAAAAGGAAAAGTGTAAAACTAATTCAGATGAGCCTTCCAGTAAGTATTAATGCATATGGTGATACAAAACACAGCCCATGCTGTTTTCTTTTACATGATGGATTCAGATTTAATAAAATTTTCATCCCTCAAATGACAGCTTGTCCCCAATAGTTATCCTCATCTACTTATCTGGAGCCACAGATACAAAGCCATTGATTTAGTGAATCTTCATCTCAAAAGTGCCCTGTAAATAGAATACTCCAAAGAATGTCCTTGAGGGAGAGAGAGACAGACAGAGAGTGCATTTTTTGGAAAAAGCATTCTTCTATCCTTTGCAGTACATGAGAAAACCCTCTTTTGCCAAAATTATAGCTAGTTGTTTCCTGGGGCTTTGGTGCAGTGGCCCTGGGCCTGTTTAAAGGGCATTCTGTTTCGGCGCCCACAACCCAGGTCCCAGGCAACTTCCTGGAGCTTGGATGATGCTGCTTCTCTAGGAACTTGCGCCAGACTCTCCGGGTGATCCATGTGTCCCAATGTGATGCTTTTCTGCCTTCCCGCTTACCCGTGTTCTTCTTCCCCTTTAACATTTCTTTAGAAGCACGACTGCCTTGCAAGGCATACCAGGGCTCCCCAAGGCGTGTGGAGTGGAAATTCCAGGGGGATGGCTCCACAACACTCTTCTATCTTGACGGTCACTTCACAGGTGGGTAGTTTAACTGTGTGTGCGTTCGTGTTTCGGAGGATGAGTTAATTCTAAAAGGGGGCTTTTGAGGTCCTAGAAGATAACTTCTGCTGAAGCTGGAACCCTTTATTCTTATTCTCTGCCATATGGGTCCTACCTGGAAGAGTCTTAGGCCATAGGGAGAAACCAATTGGGTCAGGAGAAGTGTACATCCAGGTTCCTTGATTCAAGGCAGGGAGGAGGTTGCCCCTCTTCCCTGTTGAACATCCATCTGCCTTGCTAGGTTGTTTGTCCTGCTGTCTCCTCGTTTCCAGTGTTTGTAGCACCTGAAACTGAGCCTCTAAGGCAGAGTAGGGATGCTGTTGGAGTACCAGCTGCCTAACAGTCTCCCTTCCGGAGCTGGATTTGACCTTCTTGGCTAGCTTTCCTAGGACCTTTCAAGATCTTCCTACGCTGCTCAGATTTCAGCAGGGTTTGTATTTGATGCCAGATATTATTATTATTATTATTATTATTATTATTATTATTATTATTTAGCTAGCTAGCTAGCTTTACTCATGGAAATGACTCACAGTGACTTAGGCACAATAAAAATACTAGCCAGTTATAGTAAAGGCAATCAGTAAAATCAAAACTCATCCATGCACAAATAAAAGGCAGGCGAGCCATTCTACAAGCAAGGAGCCACCACGGAAAAGGCACGTTCTTGTGCTGTGCCACCCTCCCTGTGCTGGTAGCACATGGAAAGGGGCCTTAATGACTTAAATGTCATCAGATAGACACCCCTCTTGCCAAGGAACAATCAGAAGCCAATTTTAAGCCTCCCAGTGGATCCTTCGCAGCAGTCTTTATCTGCCCCACACCTAGCATTTGGTGTGGGCAGTGGGGGGCCTACATTTTGTGGCCCTGAAGCTTGATCTGTTATGGGGGGCCCTTTGTAACCAGCAATAAGGTCTGGGTAACAGCTGCTACCTACTTCAATGGGGTCATTCCACAACAGATCACCTACAAATTTTTCTTTAAAAAATTAACTACCACATCTCAGATTTTGATTAAAATTGCTGTACTGGATTATCTCACATGTCAAAATCAATAAAGTGAATAAAAAATTCCTCTTCCTTCCTGTGGAATGCCTTCCCATCAGACGTCAAGGAGAGAAAGAACTAATCCAGTTTATATGTACTGTAAGCCACCCCAAGTGGCTGGGGAAACCCAGCCAGATGGGTGGGATATTGTTATTAATATTATTATTGAGTTATGGGGGATAAAAATTAGGGAAATGTTATATACACGCGTGATGCATCATAGAATGATGAGATTGGGTCTCCTAGACCCATTTTTAAAAATCAATATGGACTAAGTTCACTTCTGGGAGTCTTCCCGTGTTGAATGGGGCCTGGTTTGGAGAAAACAGCCTTGTTCAGGGCTCCTACTAGGCAGAATTAGGCCCTGCAGTTTGATGATTCCACCAGTACTGAGGCAAAATTATCACCACTTGTGCTCAAGTATTCCCTGAAAGAGCTTATTTCTTGGTGTTTTCTCATGCTCTGAGGGCCTTCTCCCCCCCCCCCCACAGACCCCTACCAGGATCGCGTTGTGTTCCATCCCAATGAACTCTTTTTCAAATCGGTGACTCGGAAAGACACGGGCCTGTACATCTGCGAGGTGGTTGACACTTCAGAGGGCTATCGGCATTCCTCTGTGCGGCTCATTGTTCAAGGTACGAAATGTCATTTTATGTCCAGAATCCTTCATGACCCTGACCACTGGCCTCCAGAAGCTCAACAGCCCAACAAGCTTGGTCCAAAGGTCTCTCAGCGCTCTTGTGTCAAGCAGCCCGTTAATGAGGAATGAATTATTTTAATACCTCGACCACAGCAATTGGTAGCCTCACAGCTGGATTACTGCAATACTTTCAGTGCGGAGCTGCCCTTGGGGTTGATTCAGAGGCTGCAGCAGGCACAGAATGTGGCGGCTTAGTTGCTTGTTGGGCGAGAAACAACCTTCAGCATAGAACGCCTTGCTTGCAGGATTTGCACAGGCTGCCCATTTGCTACCAAGCCAAGCTATATGTACTAACATACAGTAAAAGGCCACATGCAGCTCACGACCAGCTTACTTGAGAAACCAGATCGCTGTGGTCTGAAGGAGAGTCTCTCTTGCAAGTTCCTAAGATCTCAGAATCCCACTCCACGGAGCAGGGCTGCCCCTGTTCTGTGGAAGAACATTCCTGCCAAGATACGCCAATCAATTCCTCTTCCCCGGGAACTCTGGGAAATTGGAGCTCTGTAAGTGGAATAGTGGGGCCTCCTAGCAACTCTCGGCACCCTTAAGAAACTACACCTCCCATAATTCTTTGGGGGAAGCCATGACTGTCCATAGTGGTATAACTGTTTTTAATTTATGGTGCAAAACGGACCTTAGTTAGAAGATGGCAACAATGATGACAATATTATTAGTGCAATATTGAGGAGGTTTCTCTGTGTGTATTCCTCACCCAGATCTAACTAGAGAACACGGAGAATAATAAGAAGGCTAGCTTTTGCCCTAACAAGATTATGATGGGATGTTTCCTCAAAGGCAAAAGAATAGTGGGGTGTTTTCCCCTTCAGAGTCAGGCTTCCCATACAGTGGTGCGCAAGCTTTGTTCAGGTGGCACATAGGAAGCTGCCTTATACTGTTGCTCCATCCAACTCAGTATTGTCTACACTGACTGGCAGCGGCTCTCTGGGGTTTCAGGCAGGAGTCTCTCCCAGCCGTACCCAGAGGTGCTGGGGATTGAATTTAGGAGCTTCTTGGGGGTAAAGCTGATGCTCTACCACTGAGCTGTGGTCCTTCCCCTGGTCCGTGGTGTGTCTGTAAAAATACAATGAAAAAAATGATCCAGGATCCAGCGCCAGGCAATGCAATTGCAACAACAAGCAGAATCCCCCCTCCCCGATTTGTTTATTTGATTTTCCATATTGCAATTTACAGTCATACCACAACACCTTCCATAAGTACAAGATTCCCACGAATCTCTAGACTTTCTTCCTCCCCCTCTGTGGGTCCCATTGTTAAACTGCATCTTATATGATAATCCGAAAATTTTATATCTCCATTGTATCCATGGTTCTCATTATATTACAAGTGTTATTGCAATCCCACTAACGATTTTAATTGTTTGCAGTGGTCCCCAAGGTAAATTATAAATCTACCCCATTCCTTATTGAAATGTTGGTCTTCCTGATTTCTGATTTTTCTGGTCATTTTTGCCATTTCGGTTTAGTCCAGCAACTTGATCTGCCATTCTTCTCTGGTAGGGACTTTGTCTTCTTTCTATCTCTGGGTTAGCAGCATCCGCGCAGCTGTCGTTGCATACATAAACAGTCTTTTCTGTTCCTTTGGAATTTCGGCGCCTAGAATTCCTAATAGAAAAGCTTCTTGTTTTCTTTTTGTAAGTGTTATTTTAAACATTTTATTCAATTAATTATATATCATTTCCCATTAAAAATCATTTAAGTGAGCCACAAAGACCCTCAGCAATTTTCAAGTAGTCTGGGAACCTCTGGTTTAGAGCAAAGGAATTTAGGACCGGTGGAGTGCATGTTTTTCAAGTTGTCCTGCACAGCTGCTCGCCTTTCACAAACTAACTGAGCGTTCCTGCAACAACACCACCACCTTTGTTTCTCTAACGGACGTCTCTTGGCCTTGCAGTCCCGCCCTCGAAGCCCAAGGCCCAAGTGCCCTCTGTGGTCACCATTGGCACCAAAGCGGTTCTCACCTGCGTGGAGACAGACGGCTCCCCGCCTCCCACCTTCACCTGGTTCAAAGACAACATCCCGATGCCCCAAGACCCCAAAACCAACTCCCTGTTCAGGAATTCATCCTACACGATGGACCCCAAGACGGGGCTTCTGGTAGGGTCTTGAAAACAGGCTCTAAGCTTTGTGAATTCTGCCATATTTTGGGGGGGTGGTGGTGGTGGTGCTACTCTGACTTTCGAATTGGGGGTGGGGAGAGAAGAAGAAGAGGGGGGAAACCCGTTGTGTTCTGCAACTCGTTTTTTATTTTTATTTATTCCGTAACATACACTGCTTGACTGTAGAAAACACCTCAAAGCGCTTACTGCATTATTCACACTGAGATGGTTACACAGTGTAACTCTGCTCTGGCAAGCTTTTGAAGGCCTTTGGCTGAGAGTCGACAAGTGGAAACTATTGGAAAGTTTGGCAGCCTTGTGTGTTGAAAAATAAGGGGTCCTTGGGCATGAGGTTTGTTGAGAGGGGAGGCCAACAGTGAGGAATAGTAAGTCTTCTACTCTCAGTTATGCTACCTTAATGCCACACGCACACTAGTCTTTATTTTATTTTGCCTTTATGTCCCACCTTCTCCCAAGGTGGCTTTTGTGGTTTTCCCACCCAACACACCTCATTTAACTCCCCACAACAACCCTTTGAGGTAGGTTAGGCTGAGAGGCACTGACTGGCCCTCAAGATCACCCAGGGAGCTTCATGGCCGAGTGAGGATTTGAACCCTGGTCTCCCAGGTCCTAGTCGGACACTAACCACTACGCCTCACTGCCTTACTTAAGGTGCCATGATACCACTGTAGATAGTCATGGCTTCCCCCAAAGAATGTTATTTTCAAGGGTGCTGAGAGTTTTTTGGAGGCCCTCCTATTTCCATCACCGAACTACCAAGTTTCCAGAGTTGCCTAGGAAAAGCGGTCGGCTGTTGAAGCACGCTGGGAATTGTAGCTCGGCGAGGGGAATAGGGGATATCCTAACAAATCTCAGCACCCTTAACAAACTACAGTTCCAGGGATCCTTCTTGGGAGGGGGAAGCCAAGACGTTTTAAAGGGGCCTAGGTTTCTTTGGGAGAACATGAAAGTGAGGTTGAAGATAGTGCCCCATACTAAGTACAAAAAAGGGGAGAAGTAACTGTATCGTTCTGCTTGCGTGCTGTTTTAAATCAAACTATGGTTTGAAGGTGAACACACAGCAGGCTGGCATGGGCTGAAATTGTTGATTCTTTGCACCTCCTTCCCCATTACTTCTGGCTTTCGAGTAGACAAGAGAGGTCTCCTGACCCCTGGGAATTGCGTGCTGCTGAGACCCCTCTTTTTCTCCCTCTCTTTCAGTCTTTTGAGCCCGCGATGGCCTATGACGCTGGGGACTACTACTGCCAGGCAGACAACAAAGTCGGGGCCCCCCAGAAGTCCGACACGGTGCGCATGGAGACCAGTAAGTAGGCCCGACTGGTGGTGGGTTGCCTTAATGGTCGGCTCTACTGTTTGGCTATAGAGGGAACGAACACCTGAGAGCAGATCTTTGCAACCTGAACCCAAATGCCTTTACAGATATTTATGAAAAATGCATAAATACATAATATTCCAGAGCTTCCCTTATATATTATTTAGGTTTTAGGGGTTTTGGAGGATGAAGGCACTGGAAACAGTTTACTTAATAACGTTAGCTCTCCCTTTTGTGCCTAAATATATGTGTATACCTGGAATGATGTGAAAGAGTTAATTGCAATTTTAGATTTGACTGGTGTATTATCTGTTGCAGTTGCCCACTTTTCACTTACATTGTATTTGTTCAGTGTGTGCATGCGTGTGTACACACACAAACAACAACAACATGGCACTAGTAACAGATGACAATTAAAATAAAAATAGAAGGGGATATCTAGAAATAAACATAATAGGAGCACATTTCCAAAATCAAACAAAATAAATTAATATCACAAGCTTGCAAATGTGTACATTATCCTGTACCTTATTCCTCCAGTACATTATAAAAAGACTCCCATTTCTCAATACTGTAAAGGCATCTTCTTGTCTCCCCTCTGTGTTTCTTACCATCTCTGTAAGCTTAACCATGCATATACTGTGTCCCAGATTTTAGTTATGCATTCTCTTGAGGATGGTATTCTCATTTCTGCCCTGCCCCCAATTTTGACAAATGCTGTAACCATTCTGGCAGCAAGTTAAGAGATGTTTGCATTAATTCCCTGTCCCCTTCGTGCAGTTTCTTCAACATATTCAGATGGTAAAATTAGAGGGTCCATGAGTAAGGTATAGCCAGTTATTACTTCATTATGTTCTAGTATTCTTTTTATGAATAATGAATTTCCGAATATGAAATTTTGGTGCTCTCAGAGGGAGCTTAACATCCCTCCCTCATTGTCTACAGCCTTGATCAATACTAGGATACGGTGATTTAGAAGGTGCTTTCCACTATTGGGAAAAAAAGGTCAGGAATTTCCCAAGATGAGTTGGCTGAAGTATGGGATTGGAGAAGTGGAAGTAAGATCACGAACAAAAGGATCTTGGTGACAGGGCAGGAATGATGAAAAGATACCTGAAACTAATCCATTAATTGGCGTTCCAAATACATTCTAGTATTTGTCTTTGGAAAAAACAGGATAAGGCCGCAGAAGCCCAGTAGGAATGGGGAATTGCCAGATAAAGAGGAAAGTTATTACAAGTGTGGGGTGGCACTCCCAAGGCAGTTGGCCAAAGGTGACAACAGGCCTCAGGCGGGGAAAAACCATCATTAGACACCCCTGCTGTAAAGAGAGAAATGAGTAAGAAACAAAATCTCACTGCGTGTTAGGTTTGCTGCCCCACTTCAGCCAAAGTTGAAGGAGAAAACCTCCAGTGAATTAGAGTCAGTCCAAGGTATACAGGTGTACAGGTGTCACCAGACGGACTCTCCTTCATTGGAGTTTTGAAGCAGAAGTTTGGATGGCCGCCTGCCAGGGATTCTTTACCTGCGACTCCTGCATCGCACTAGAATGACCCTCAGGGTCCCTTCCAACTCGACAATTCTATGATTCCATGCTGTTTTGCCAGACTGTGTAGGGTCTTGCTGTGTGACAGGCTCCTTTTCAGAAGAGCTGAATACCATCTTCCTTTTCTGTGCAGGTGAAGTCAACGTGGGCGGCATTGTTGCTGCTGTGGTGGTGCTTCTCATTGTCCTAGGCCTGGTGATCTTTGGGGTCTGGTTTGCCTACACCCGGGGCTTCTTCAGCAGTAAGTAGCAGGCTATGCACTTGAACCGATCATGTCATGCAATGTTTAGTTTGATTATATATGTGGCTTCCTCCACTGAGGCGGCCTGGCAAGGTTTTCTGGGCTTGGCGTTTGGTTTAATATCCCATGCACTTCCCCAAATAGGTGGGAGCCTGCAATATGGGGATGACATTGGGCTCCCTTACATGGTTGTCGAATCGTGGCCATAAATGACGTAGGTGAGGTGCTTGTAAGGCTCTTAAACAATCCTGTGAGGCAGCTGTGCCCGCTGGTGGCTCAGGGGAGCTGTAGCCAATAACCTCTGGAAAGAACCAAGCTGGCAAAAGGCTGACCTAGGCTACAGACTAAACACTTAACGCACTGTGATGAACTTGAAACTGTCATGGCTTCCCCCAAAGAATTTTGGGAGCTATAGTTTATTAAGAGTGCTAAGAGTTGTTAGGAGGCCTCTGTCCCTCTCCCAGTGCTACAGTTCCCATTAAAATTGTTATTCCATTTTGGCAGTTGTAGCTCTTTGAGGGGAATTGTGGGTCTCCTAGCAACCCTGCACCCGTAACAAAAATAGCCAGGCCACATTCACACCATACATTTATAGCAGTATCCTATCACTTTACACTGTCATGGCTTCCCCCAAAGGATCCTGGGAAAGGAAGTTTCTTAAGGGTGCCCTGTTCCCCTCAGAGGGCTACGATTTCCAGAGTGGATTAATAGTTATTTCATCTTCCCAAATAGTCTCCAGACAGAAATAGTCTCCAGACAGAAGTTTTAGGATTAAGAACTGTCGAGAATCTTCTTTATTAAAAAGTGGTAGCTTTGAGAGCTGCATAGAGGACAAGGTCTTGGCCTAGCACCTCACAGGAAACTCTGCATACAAGCAGAGAGGATAGCTTTTTAGAGACATGTTACAAAGCATCAAAGCAAGTGTCACAAATATGACCGCAAGCAGTCAGTTTAGACTTGGAACAATACGAAAGGGAAGTTGATCAGCAAATCAGCTGAATGTGACTTTTTGCAGTCTAGACAGTAGAGCATCTGAGGTACTTTCAGAAGATACCACTGCATTCCTTCCTTCTCCTTTTCTGAAAAGCTTGAAACATCACATCTTCTCTCTCTCTCCTGTGTCTGACCCATTTCAAGAAATAGGATAGGAACAGAGTTTACTGGGATTAGTCAAGTGCCCCCAAAAGAAGTCCAAGTAGATCCTAACCCAATTTTGTCTCCACACTGGGAGCTCTGCAAATTGTATGATTCCCAGGATTCTCTGAAGGAAGCCATGACTGTTCAAACGATACAATCCTGCTTTAAATGTAGAGTGTGAATGCGGCCTGGCTGTAGTTTGCTAAGGGTGCTGACAATTCCCAGAGCTACAATTCCCAGACTTCCCTGAGAAGAGGGGTTGACTGTAAAACCATTCTGGAAATTGTAGCTCTGGGAGTGGGAAATATGGGTGTTTCTTCAGAACTCTTCAGCATGTTAGTAAACTACAGCTCCCAGAACTCTTTTGGGGAAGGAGCCATGACTGTTTAATGGGGTGTTACTGTGCTTTGAATGTATGGTGTAAATGTAATTGTCAGAAGAAGATTTGCTCAAATGATTTGAGGAAACTGAAGTTTGCCTTGTTGGCTAAAGTTTTGTTTCCCCCCCTCTTTTTCAGAAAGAAGAGAGTGAGTAGAAGCTTGGCCAGTTGGGTTGGCGGCGTCGGTGTCTCCTCCACCAGAACCCTTCTTCCCACCCACATTGCCCTGCCTCTCTCATCCCCTCCCCACATATTCCTCCTGCCCCCAAAACTCTTATATGTTGGCTGAGGCTTGGGGACCACTGGGTCCCCCTTGGCCCCATTCCTAGCCACCGGCGAGGGTGGTGGGAGTGGATGGCGCTTGCAGAAGGAGCCACGGTGTGCCAGCCTCCAGTGGAAGCCTCTGGGTGTCAGGTGCCCAGAGTTATTTATTAACGAACTTGTATACATTGCTTATATGCGAAAAGGGGTTGCATCTGGTGTTAGCCCTACTCAGAGTAGACCCACTGAAATTAACCGGCATGGCTAAGGTGGGTCTGCTCTAAATAGGGCCACATTCATGCCATGCATTTAAAGCACTGTGGTGCCACTTTAAATAATTATAGCTTCTTCACCCAAAGAATCCTGGGAACTGTAGTTTGTTAAGAGTGCTGAGAGTTGATAGGACACCCGTATTCCGCTCACAGAGCTACAGTTACCAGAGTGGTTTAGCACTCAATCTCACTTCACAGGGAACTCTGTTGACTCCTCTTAAGAGCCAACAGTGTGATGCAGCAGCAAAAAAAGCAAATGCGATTCCAGATAGCATCAATAGAAGTAGAGTGTCCACCTCAAGGAAAGCCAAAGTGCCACTCTGTTCTGCCTTGGTTAGACCCCCACCTGGATTCATGTGTCCAGTTTTGGGCGGCACATTTTAAGAAAGGTGTTGACAAGCCGGAAGGTGTGCAGAGGAGGGCGACCAGGATGGTCAGAGGCCTGGAGATCAAGCCTTATGAGGAATGGTTGAGGGAGTTTGGGATGTTTAGAGAGGTGATAGGATAGCCATCTTCAAATATTTTAAGGGCTGTCACACGGAAGACGGAGCAAGCTTGTTTTCTGTTGATTCAGAGGGTGGGACCCAAATTGATGGATTAAAATGACAAGGAAATTCCAACCAAACTTTAGGAAGAACTTTCCAAAGGTACAGCCTTTTGACAATGGAACGGACTACCTGAGAAGGTGGACTCTCCTTCACTGGAGCTTTTTAAGCAGAGGTTGCCAGGGATTTTTGAGCTGTGGTACCTGCATTGCAGAGGGTGGGACTAGATGACTCTTGGTGGCCCCTTCCAACTCTGCAACCTGTGAATTGTATGGTGTGAATATGGCCTGGGATTTAGCTGAATGGCACCCTCAGCATTCCACCTTCTGCCTACGCTTCTGGGATATCTTCCTCTATTGCCAGGTCCCTGCCTCTAATTTCTCATTTCTCCACCTGTTTTAGCACCACCAGCAATAAGAAGGTCATTTACAGCCAACCTTCTACCCGAAGTGATGTAAGTAGAACAGGAACTTGCTCTGTTCTTTCCCCAGAAAAGCTGGTTTTGTTAGGCGTGGCAATGATGTAATGAGTGGTGTTTTTGGCAGCCTCCGACTGGGAGGAATGATGGGGCCGCTCAAGTCTCTGGTGGGTTTGCAAACGTGCTCATAAATTTATTTCTTTATTTGGAAGAGAAAAAGGTGGGACCATGAGCAGGGGGTAGTCAACCTTTTCATACCTACCACCCACTAATGCATCTTTCTTGATGGTAAAATTTCCTTACCGCCCACCAGTGCTCGATGGAAGGAGGATTCAGCTTGTACCATAGAACCCCCTGCTGCCCACCTAGAATCCTGAAACACCCACTAGTGGGCGGTAGGGACCAGGTTGACAACCCTTGGTTTAAAGGGTACCTATGTAGGTTCTCTCGGACAGCGCACACCAACTTGGGTGATTTCCTAGACCAGTGGTTTCCAAACTTTTGGGGGGCCACTGCCTCCTTGGTGCCATAAACCCATCCCCAGTGCCCCCTACCCAACCCAGTAAAATGAATTCTTCAGAACTGAAGTTCAAAATGTTAACAAACTTGACCGCGTGCTTATATAAAAAATAAATACATGCCAAAATAAATATATGATCTGATCTAAGCTTGTGGATGGATAGATAGATAGATAGATAGATAGATCGGTCGCAGCAAAGAATATTGCATGAAAATTTTTTTGACACATTCTTACTAACAAAAACATAAGGGGTGAATGAAGTTTATAGCATAGAATATTTATTTATAACTACCAAACATGCACAAACCCTCACCTACCACAGATGTACAATAACTAATTTATAAGAGAATAAAGAGCTATTATTGTGACAACTTAGCATCATAGCTACAAACAAACGTGACCAAAGTAAATAGCTTTGAAAGTGATAAGAGTGGTAAAACTTTAAATATGAAGCAAGGGAGGTGTTTTGCTCTAGGCTCTAACCTGGTCATTTGTTAAATAAGTGATCTGTGTGCTTGGAGGGGCCCATCTGCAACGCCCCCTTGCCTGTTAGACACCCCCATGTAATCCCCTCCCAAGGAGTGGTCCTGCCCACTTTGGGAAACACTGGTCTGGAGAGAAAGTATTGGCTGTGTCTAAGCTACAAGTTTGGATGTTGGGTGGCTGTTCTTGGCCTGTTACAGAAAAAATCCAAAGGTTAATAATAATAATAATAATTTATTTATACCCTGCCCATCTGGCAGGGTTTCCTCAGCCACTCTGGGTGGCTTGCAGCATATCTAAAAACATAATAGTAGTTCAGTGCCCCAGCTTCAACACACAGTCGCACACACCTGCGACAGCAAGCCCACCTTAACAGGATTAGAAGAAGCCAATGTGTGTGACAAGTTTTGAACGCATGGAAAGTGCAATATCAGGGCAAAGTGTTTATTATTAAACACTCTGCCATCCTTTTGTGGCCACGTGGCCATTGTTAGCAATCGTGGCATGCTGGTGGTACAAGATCACTCTCAAAGACGGGAGGAGACGCAGGCGTACAGTTAAGAGCTGTGAGGATTATGCACCTTGAAACTTTGGGGTTCTGAATTTATGCGGTCTGGCTCTCTACAGCAGCCTCCCCCAAGCTGGCTGAGGACTGATGAGACTTGTAGTCCAAAGCCCCAGCTGGAGGGGAGGCTGCCCTGCTGGCTTTCTCATGCTGTGTAACTTAGAGGTTTCTTCTCTCTCTTTCTCTTTTTCCAGGGTGAATTTAAACAGACGTCTTCCTTCTTGGTCTGATCTCCACTCTCATGTTGCCTTCCACCATGTATTAAAGTCTAACCTCTCCCTCCTCTTGAGGCTGTTGTAAATGTTCCTTATGAATCTTTGTAATTAAGCGTGATTTTTTTAAAGAAACTGTTTTTAAGAAAAGATGAAGTGTGCCGTTATGAATTTTGTTTTAATGCTTTAAACCCTTGGTCACTACTCAGCTGAAGAGCATCAATTTATGGCGGTCTCATTAGGGGCCTGGCCATCGAGTGCAATCCTATCCGTGCCTACTCTGAGGGTCATATGCAATGAAGTTTTTACACAGAGGAGACCCACTGAAATTAAGAGACCAAATTTCAGAAGCTGCAGTCATAGCAAATGCAAACAGCCACCGCAGTGCCTCTCGTTTGGGTGGAATTAACTGTGAAGGGACTATTGCTGTCTTGTAAAACTTCATTGAATACCACCGACCAAGTCCTATTGAATTCAGTGAGGTTAGGATTGCAGCTTGGAAAACTTAGTTTGGGGCTCCTAGGCTTACCTTTTGACCCTTGCAAGCTGCCCAGGTTTGACCTGTAGGGCATTGCCTTTTGGGATGTCAGTGGCATCCCACAATCTGAGATGGCTTAAGTCAAAATTGTACCTATGAAATCCCTTCCTGGCCTTGAACCCCTTCTACCTCAGATTGGCCTCCAAAAAAGAAGAGAATTGGTTTTGAGAGCAGAATTAATAATCGTGTCTGGATGCTTCCTGGAAGAGTCAACGAGGGGCCAGAGGATATCGATAAATCTACCGCCACACAGTGCAAACTTGTATTGTATTGTCCTGTAGCTGCGATCCAGCACAGAATTAGAATAGGGTCTTACAGCCCAGTCCTAACCACATCTGCTTGGAAGTCAGTCTTGTTGCATTAAGTCACGGTTACTCCCAGGTACAGGATTGCAGCTGTGGCCCATTAATCTGAGAGTTCCTGCATGCGTAGCTGTGGGGTGGATTGGGCCCGGTGTTAGTGGTGGCTTTTATGCTGCGTTAGAGAGTTGGCCTTCAAACTTGAGAGTGCTATCGTATGTGCCTTTTATAAATACTGCTGCGACGTTCTTGTATCATTTTGTATGCTGGGAACAGAATTGAAAATAAACATTGCCCTTCCGTTTGAACCCTGTCTTCTGTGTTTAAATATGTTTTGCGCTTCGAGTAATAGTCACAAGCGGGCAGCGGATGTCTCAGGGGTACGAGGCTATGCAGATGTAACTCCAAACCAGTCGGGTTGCGACTGTGATCGGGTGTGAGCCTTGGGCTGAGGCTGAAAAGTGGTGGTTTGATTTTGTGTGTTGCAGGGGGCTTCAAGGCAGCTTGTAAGCCTGGTTTGCAGAACCCATTGTTTGGCCAAACAATGCGTTCCCTAATCCTTGTGCACGGAGGAAGGGGAGAGCGTGGGAATCTTGAAACGGCAAACTGTGGTTTGGTGCTACCTCTGAATAGCCTCAGAATTTACCCAGTGAAGGAAAGTGGAGGGGGGAAAACACTACCCCAAACATACATCTCAACCAGTCCAGTTAATGGGTTCCTGTTTGCTTATATCCCAAACAGGCCTGTTGCAAGGTGGGAATAATGGCAGTTATTGGGGCGCCAGGTTGAGACTGTCTGGTTCAGCGTAATGTGAAACTTTGGGCTTCTTGGCTCCTCTCTTGGTGTGGCAGAGGTTGGAAAATTTTGCTTCTGTTTTCAACTAACTCCACAGATTCCCTTTCCTTGAACCTGGCTAATAGCGACCTGTTCCCTATCCCTGAATGAAAGCTTGCAGTTTAGGTTGTTCTAGATTTATGCATTTTGTTCACAGAAGGCAACCCCGTAATTGAAGGCATCTGGGCAGCTCATAAGAATAAAAAGGAACAAACTGCAATAAAACGGCAACACGTGAGATAGGATGCCACAATGAAGCCCACAAGTCACTTCAAGCCTGCAGTCCTCTGCTGATTTACCAATTCCCTTTTGAAGCTGATGGCGCTGGTTTCTGAATAAACATGTATAGACTTAACATTACCAAGCAGGGAAACAGGAACTCTGCAGCAACCACAGACGGGCCTGCTTTGTCTATGGAACTAATATAGCAGTGGATATCATGCTGGATCCTTCTGGGTCAAAGTTTAAACTGTAATCGCCTTGGGGCAGAGAGCTGCCCTTTCTGTTTGTTTGTTGCACTTAAATTGCACTATATCTGGCTGATATGCAAATAATAGCGCCCACACCTTCCCATTAAGAGATTTGTGAACTTCCCTCCTTTTCGCAATTTCTCTATTGTTCCTCAAATGTTCCTTCGATTAAACAAGTACGCTGGGAATTGTATTAGGGAATTGTGTGTGTGTTTGTCACTGGCTCACAAATGAGCACTGAAAAGTGACACACTGCCCTCTGCTGGCCTAGCTATAAAACTGTAAGGACTCCCATCACTTTCCTGAGTGACTGCAGTCTTCTTAATTTATTGTTACAATTATATATTATTATTGCAATATATTGAACACCTTCTAAACCACCATCTTAAGCAATTTACACATAAGACAATTAAAAAGTTAAAAACACAAAAATAACAAATGCATTTAAAATGAGATTAAGGCCCTAACAAATGGACTCTTGTGACAAAGACCCATTTATCCATCTAGGAAAACCTGTTGGAATAAATATATCTTCAATTATTTCTGGAAAGTGCAGAGCATGGGCATCTTGTTGTATTTTGATAGGGATGCTATTCTACAGGACAGGAGTAGCCACACTAAACGCCCTGATCTGAGTTACTGCGGAATGGGCTTCTGAGATTATTGGACCTTCCAGGAGAGACTCTCCCGTAGACCACAGCAATCTGCTGGATGTATAAGGGATAAAGCGGTCTCTCGGGTAAGCTGGTCCTGAGATGCACGTTAATACATGTGACTGGAACTTGGCCTGGTAGTGGCCGGTGCGAATCCCACAAGCAGGGTGTCATGTGCAGGCCTTCTAGCAACTTAAGTCTCTATGGCACCAAGCCACCACCTTATGCACCACCTGCAGCCTCCAGAGCGACCCCTAGGGTAGCCCCACATAGAGTGCATTACAGTAGTCCAGCCATGAGGTTACAAATGCATGATTAAGTTATCCTGCTCCAGGTGGCCGTAGCTGTCTTGCCAACCCAAGTTGGTAAAAGACCCTCCTGAATGTCAGAGGATTCTGGGCAGATAAAAGGCAGTCCTCCTTCACGTAGAGCATAGTTAAAAGAAGGAATTGGCTCCTACAGGAGGCAGTGATGGCCACTAACTAGACTGGCTTTAAAAGAGGATTGGACAAATTCATAAAAGGAGAAGGCTTTTGGCTATGCTGTGTCCCAACAGTTGGAGGCAGCAATGGGCTCTTGTGCTCAGGTCCTGCTTGAGGATTTCCCTGTGGATAGGGGTCAGCAAACTTTTTCAGAAGGGGGCCGGTCCGCTGTCCCTCAGACCTTGTGGGGGGCTGGACTATATTTTGAAGAAAAAAAATGAATGAATTCCTGTGCCCCACAAACAACCCAGAGATGCATTTTAAATAAAAGCACACATTCTACTCATGTAAAAACCCGCTGATTCCCGGACCATCCGTGGGCCGGATTTAGAAGGCGATTGGGCTGAATCTGGCTCCCGGGCCTTAGTTTGCCTACCCATGCCTTTGGAGCATTTGTTTTGCCACTGTGAGAACAGGATGCTGGACTAGGTGAGCCACTGACCTGCATTTTATGTTCTTTTATGTTCTTAGGTTTTGGTGCCTCCCAGTATGCAAACATCTCCATCCCTTCACAGGACTCTTTCCTTTCAGCACATCAAACTAGATAATCCCAGACCTGCCTCTGACATCACACTGGGAAAGCCAACTTGGCCAATTGGGAGGAGGCTCTGGGCCAAGGCTGGTTTCTATAGCACCATCCAGGCCAGGCCAGACTGCTTGGAAAACAAATGTGAGCTCCTCAAGCCCTTTGGGAGAATGCTTGCCATCTGCAGCGGCTGCTGCCCCAAGCAGTGGCCCTAGAGTACAGGAAACTAGGACACCATCAAAACGTGGAACCATGGAAGGGCATCGTGGCAAGGCCTCCACATTTCTGAGGTGATGGGAGGTGAGAGGCAGCAGCCCTAGTGGGGAGGTTCTGGGAAGGGAGCTTCCATGATTATGGATGGGGACAGGTTGGAGTGATTAAGGCCTGGCGTAGACTCGGAACTGTACAGTTGGAAGGGACCCCCCAGGAGCCATCTAGTCCAACCCCTACAAGGCAGGACTCGCCGCTAAAGAACATATGACATTTTCACAAAGTTGAATCCCTCACAGTTGTCTTTAGGTTAGAGGGTTAGAGTTAGAGAGTCGGGGTTAAGGGTCAAGGTGTTTGGGGCTTATGATTAGGTGCTAGATTTGGGCTTTCAGTTATTTCCAGGCTATTATTTCTAGGAAGCCACCCAGATTGGCAGGGGCAACCCAGTCAGATGCATGGGGAATGAATTAAATTGTTTGTTTGTTTGTTTGTTTGTTTGTTTCTACTTATGGTGGCACCTGCCCACCTAGCAGTTCGAAAGCACCCCTAAGTGCAAGTAGATAAATAAGTACCGCTTTATAGCGGGAAGGTAAACGGCATTTCTGTGCGCTGCACTGGTGCTGGCTTGCCAGTTGCAGCTTTGTCACGCTGGCCACGTGACCCGGAAGTGTCTTCGGACGGTGCCGGCTCCCAACCTCTTGAGCGAGATGAGCGCGCAACCCTAGAGTCAGTCACGACTGGCTCGTACGGGCAGGGGTACCTTTACCTTTACCATGGTGGCATATCTTTCCATCCACTGCTGCCATCTGGTGGCACAATTGTGTGCCTGCAGCCTCTTTCTCCCCATTGCTGCCATCTGGTGGCTTTGTAGTGTGCCTGCAAGCCTACTGCCAGTGTGGGTCCACCTGTCATTGGCTCTGGCTCCACCTATCATTGGCCTCTCTGTCTTCGCCTTATCAGTCTCAATGGGCACCAGCTGCTATTGAGCCCTGCTGAATCCACTGTTGCTAAGTTAGTCTCTTAGCCACTAAGCTGCACACAAACACTTAGAATCATAGAATCATAGAGTTGGAAGAGACCACAAGGGCCATCGAGTCCAACCCCCTGCCAAGCAGGAAACACCATCAGAGCACTCCTGACATATGGTTGTCAAGCTTCTGCTTAAAGACCTCCAAAGAAGGAGATTCCACCACACTGCTTGGCAGCAAATTCCACTGTCGAACAGCTCTTACTGTCAGGAAGTTCTTCCTAATGTTTAGGTGGAATCTTCTTTCTTGTAGTTTGGATCCATTGCTCCGTGTCCGCTTCTCTGGAGCAGCAGAAAACAACCTTTCTCCCTCCTCTATATGACATCCTTTTATATATTATACACACTTATAATACACACTTTGATCCTGTGTGTGAAATACTCAGATTGACCTGATCACACAAAATGAGCTGAAAGAACTATTATAGAGCTGGCACTCTATTGCAATAGAGATATGAAACCCCTAAAGTGAATTTCATTCCTCCAGCTGACAGTGATGAGGAAGGAATTGGGGTGTGTGGGTGAACTATATTTTGTTGTGTGTCCACAGAGGAGACGGAGAGTGTCCCTGTGTGGTCCAACTGAATAGCTCAAGTCATGTGAAGTTGTGTGCTTCATGCGAGCATCCCTCTATAACGTTGCTGCTCTCTGTAGTTGTGGCAAAATGGTTGGACATAATATTATGTTTGCTGACTGGGAACAGTTATGGACCACAGGTATGAAGTTTATGGCATGTAATGCCCTAAGAGAGAATATTATGAAAATGATATACAGGTGGTACATGACCCCAGTCAAGCTTGCAAAAATCTATCATTTGCCCGACAATAAATGCTGGAAATGTAAAGAAACTGAAGGTACATTCTTTCACCTTTGGTGGACGTGCCCAAGGATTAAGGCTTCTGGGAAATGATATATAATGAACTGAAAAAGGTATTTAAATATACCTTCTTGAAAAAAACAAGAGGCCTTTCTTCTGGGCATTGTCGGCCAATTGGTGCCAAAGAAGGACAGAACTTTTTTATGTATGCTACAACAGCAGCAAGAATACTCATTGCAAAGTATTGGAAGACACAAGATCTACCCACTTTGGAAGAATGGCAGATGAAGGTGATGGACTATATGGAATTGGCAGAAATGACTGGCAGAATCCGAGACCAGGGAGAAGAGTCGGTGGAAGAAGATTGGAAGAAATTTAAAGACTATTTACAGAAATATTGTAAAATTAATGAATGATAGAATGATGTTGGATAGTAATTAAGCGGTTTCCAGCTGTAATGCTCTAAGAGAATATGAAAAAAAAGGGTTATAAATGGGTTAAAATCTAATGGCAAGGATTTGCTGAACGAATAAATTGAAGTGGAATACAAAAAAGGGAGGTACGAGGAGGTCTGGGAAACAAGCTAAAGGAAAATAAGTAATAGAAAATATGTGTGTTTTTAACTGTTTTTATTTTGTATTTTTCTTTTTTCTTTTTCATTTTCACTGTAATATTTCAAAAAACCTTAATAAATATCTTATAAAAAAACAAAATGGGCATGAATTGCACAGAGGTCTCTGTGGGAGACCGATGCATGGAATCGGTGGTACTCTTTGTGTGGGCAACTTCCACCATGGTTCTCTCAATGGCAACGCTGACAGGCCTGCTCTGCTGAACAAACAGTCTTTAGTAACTTTGCCATAATAAAGTTGAGTCCCTGCTATACCGATCGGTGTTTTATTACAAGGCTCCCATTAATTCAGTGTTGCTTGCCTGGTCTTTTCCCCCTAGGCCGACCACGGTCTTCTTGGCCTACAGTTGCCTCAAGGGCAGAGGAGGACGACGATGACAACGGCGACAATGACAATGACAAAACCATACTGTCCAAGGAGCAGATCGAGGACCTCAAAAGGGCCTTTGAGAAAGGGAGTTTTTCTGACCTATCCGAGAGGCTCCAAGACGCTCTTCACTTCCTGGAGAACATCTGCCTGGATGTGGGTGTCGCTGGTGAACCTGGAGCAGGCAAGTCCACCTTCATCAACACCTTCCGGGATCTGCACGAGGAGGATGAGGGTGCTGCTCCTACCGGTGGGGCGGGCGCCAGTAAGGACCCTGTGGCTTATTCACACCCCAAGTACACCAACGTGGTTCTGTGGGACCTGCCAAGCATCAGTGCTCCTGGTTTCAGCGTGAGAACTTACCTGGAGGAGATCAAAGTCTCCCGCTATGATTGCTTCATCATCCTTGCCTCTCAGCGCTTCACCTCTGCCCACGCCAAACTATCTCGTCACATCAAGAAAGCTGGCAAGGACGTTTACTTTGTCCTCTCCAAGGTGGATGCGGAGCTGGAAGCTGCCCGCCAGAGCCAACCGTCTGGCTTCAGCGAAGCGGTGGCCCTGCAGAAGATCCGAGAGGCCTGTGTGCAAGACCTCCAGGCCGAGCGAGTGAAAGCCCCCAAGGTATTCCTGATCTCCAGCGTTGTAGCCAGCAAGTACGACTTCCCCCTCCTTGGGGAGAGCCTCAGCGAGACCCAGGGTGTGCAGAAGAGCCACTCCTTCATCTTAGCCACGCCCAACATCTCCCACCGCATCCTGGAGAAGAAGAAGGCCGCCATGGTTGAGCACATGTGGCTGGTCTCGGCAGTAGCCTGCGGCCAACAGGCTGTGCCCATCCCGGCACTTTCGATCGCATGCAACGTGGACCTCCTGGCCAAGACCCTGCAGGGCTACTGCGTCAGCTTCGGCTTGGATGATTCCTCCTTAAGGAAAGCAGCTGAGCACACGGGGCAGCCTTTGGAGCAGCTCAAAGCCCTGGTCAAGTCACCGCTGGCTGTGGCCATCACCGAGGAGCAAGTGGTGGAGCTGCTGATGGAGGCAGCCAGCAAAGCGCTGAAGCTGCCCAGAGACCTGGTGCCAGTGGCTGAGGTGGGCCCGTCGTTCACCGTGGTGTACAATATGCTGAAGATTTTTGTGGACGAGGCGGCGGCAGATGCCCACCGGGTGCTGCTCAAAGTGTTTATGAGCCACAGGCCTCGAAGTGAGTCAGACCAACATGTTGTGAGCCCTGGAGGCAGCAGAGGGATCTTCTCACCCACGGACACAGAAACATAATGTCTAGAGCAGAGAAAGAAAGCTCATGGCCCAAACACTCAAGTATTCCCTGTTTCTGTGGCTTCTTCTTGCAGAAGGTTCCTCTCCCAGAAGGTTCCTGCTCTTGCTTGAGATGGTTAAAGCAGGAGCGACTCCCTCCCTCTCAGAAACAGACAGAAATACGTTATTATGTCTCAGCCCGAAATGAATAAGGCAACCAGGGCCACATTCACGCCAGACATTTAGAGTACGCTGATACCACTTTAAACCATCATGGCTTCCCCTAAAGAATTCTGGGAGCTGTAGCTTGGTCAGGGTTCTGAGGTTTTTAGGAGGCCCCTAGTTCCACAGACTGGTGTTTGTTTTGATTCAGAGGTAAAAAGTGGGTTTTCCTGTGGAAAGTGGTGGGACAAAAGAAATACCCCACTCCTGGCTTGATCCCGTGCTCACACATCACAAACCTGTGCCTAGAAATGGAGGCACAAAATGGAAGTGTGAATTAGCACCCATGCTCCTCCAGCACCTTTTAAAAAGGTGCCACCCAGGAAATTGCAGTGCTTGTTTTCAGAAATTGGGTGTTCTGTTCAAATTACCTATACTGATCCCTTTTTACTCATCAGCCTCTGTTTTGGTGTCTATTTTCCTCTTAAGATGATGAAGTACACCGCCTTCACCATTATTAATTTTCCAATTCAGAGCAAAGGGGTTGCTAGAAACCAGAGAAGTGTTGAAAGTGGTAAACACTGGAAATTGGCGGATAGCAAGGAAGAAATAGAATTAAGAACCCCAAAAATTAGAAAGCAGAGGAGAAAAGATATAAATGTAATTAAATTTACAAGGAGTAGAATACATCTCAGGAATTCTAAAAACCTTTTAGAGGACAGCATTGAGCAAATGATCAGCCCTCCTCCTTGACTGACTTCAAGAAAGAGGTTGACAGTATTTGTATAACCTCGGTATTTGAAGTTAACCCTCAGTGATGGTTAACTTTCCCACCGCTTCTTAAACATACAGTGAATGTCAGGCCTCAAACTGTGTACCTCATGCTTTAGATACCCCAGAGTCCTTATTCCTCACTCTCTTGGGCCCCCCCAAAAAGGTTAAAGAAAAAACACACCTGGATGTACATTTCCAAAATATAAGATAAAAAACAAATAAAATAAAACCTACATACAGCAACAGTGTTTCGTGTTGTGTAGGCTCCTATGATGTAAGTAATGGGCCCCGTCTGCTAGCCTACTCCCTAAAATATCACTGGTTTGCTCATTTCTGTATGCTGATTGCTTACATTCTGCATGGACTGGTTACATGGCAACATGTGCAAATAGCTTTAGATACCTATTAAGTCCATAAATTACCATACAGCATATATTCAACACAAAAAACAGTGACAATTGGTTGTTGACAAAGGACAGCTGGACATATAAAGGGCCCCATTACCTTCAGTAGCTTAGGGCTTCATCAAACCTAAATCCAGCCCTGAGGTGGACTGCACTGAAACTGGTACCCCTGATGCCACGGCTCTTAAAAATTCATATAGAATAATTCATAGCCCACACTTTTCTTGGTTATCTATAGAATCTGAAGGCGAGACGGGGTGTGTGTGTGTTAACCACTCCAGATGTTTCAACTGCTAAAACTACTAGCCTTTTTAGCTAATGATCTCCAGGTATGGGAAAAACTGGTCAGAACAATAAGCACCCCCTGATCTCTCCTATGACCCTGATCTGCAGTCGTCCTCAATTACACAAGGTGGATAGATTTCTGTTATGTACTGAAGTTCTCACCCTGGGCCAGCAGGGGGATACTGTAGATAGTTATGCAAATGAAGGATCAAAAGTGACGTTCAGTGATTGGATAGTTTTAGAACGTTGCTACAGTAACGTTGTACTGGAGCTCTATATAAGCAGGCTGACTGAGCCCTTCAGCTCAGTTCTGTTCTGGCCTCTGAATAAACAAGAGCTGTTTGAAGAATCGCTGTGTCGTCTGATATGTTCACCCACAACTTAACAATTTCAACACTTCATAAATGGGGGACAAGCTAGTTCAGTGGTTCCCAAAGTGGGTAGGACTACCCCCAGGGAAGCTGTGAGATTACTGGGTGGTGCTAAGAGGCAAGGGGCAGGATGGCCAGCGGGCACTGGAGGCGCAATTGACTCTCAGACTTTGAAAAGCTGGCATCACTGCTTCAAGTCCATCCATTTTGTTGAATTAAATAGCTTTTTGAATAAATGTGCAATAAATTGTTAGTTTTGAGCTCTGTTGTGTTATTATCTTGTGGGTACCGCAAACCACTATTTTGAATAATGGTTTATTATACTGTAGGGTGGTTTGGGGGTGCCAGGAGTGAGTTTGTGGAACCAAGAGGGCGGTGGTCCAAAAATGGTTTGGGAGCCATTTTGAGCTAATCTCTATTAAATTAATAGAGAGGAAATTCAGTTGAAATTAAATCACACCCCTCAAATCCTTCATTTAATTACTGAACCCAGTGTTGAGTAGCTCTGGTGGCTCAAGCCTTGGGGGTGTTGTTGAGCTGAAAATAATCTAACGGATGTTTAGCTAGCCACTGTTCAATATCAGGGCAAAGTAGGAGGTGTGGATTAAGTTGCCACATCCTAGAAGCATTAAACCAAGGACTCTCACCGTGGTTATGGCAGGAGCCTAGTAAGAGACCGTAATGTTACCCATAGCAGAATCACTGATATTTGGAACAAAGTAGACAGAGAAATAGGATTTGGCTCAGCTAGAGGAAACAGAGAAATCCTGCATTAGAGGGTGCTGATGAGACCAGACGTCAGCGCAGGTCCCAGTGAGAGAGAACAGCTCCTTGTTTCATTCCCTGAGATGCTCTACTTACCGTATTTTTCTGTCTATAAGACGCCCCCATGTATAAGATGCCCCCTATTTTGGGGGACTCCAATTTGGGGACTCCCTACTCTGCACTATCCATGTATAAGTTGAGCCCAGATTTCGAACATTATTTTAGAGTAAAAAAACATACACGGAAAAGTACAGTAGTTTCACGTTTCTATTTCTTTAGATATCAATTCCACAGCTGTCATAGGCCTACTGGTCAGAGAGGTAAAGTTCTACATGTCCATCTTGGCAGGCTGTCAAGCCTCCCATTATTTTTTAAATTTCCCATAAATCCATTAGTTATAACTGAAGTTAGAGGGGATAACCCTTGAGCCAGTTTAGGGGAGCAATTACTCCAAACTTTTAAGTGCAGCCTTTGTTGATGCAAGGGTGAATCATGTACATACGTTTTTCTTTGGTTTAAACCAAAACAATTCCCATAGTATTATGGCTACCATGAAGACAAGTGGACGTGTGGGCATAACAAACTTATGAGGACAGAAAATGAATATGCCATTCTAAACCCTGATTTGCCTGTTGAGCATTCAGCAACTCACCCGATGGTTTGTGATTTTAAATGATGGTTAGTGCAATGGTGGCTTGGTGCGATGGCTAAACTGAACTCTGTGCTTAGCTGGTACAGTGGTACCTCGGGTTACATACGCTTCAGGTTACAGACTCCGCTAACCCAGAAATAGTACCTCGGGTTAAGAACTTTGCTTCAGGATGAGAACAGAAATTGTGCTCCGGTGGTGCAGCGGCGGCGGGAGGCCCCATTAGCTAAAGTGGTGCTTCAGGTTAAGAACAGTTTCAGGTTAAGAATGGACCTCTGGAACGAATTAAGTACTTAACCAGAGGTACCACTGTACTTGTGAACTGAACGCATGTAGCCCTCCCAGTACAAACTATTGTGTAAACTGAGACTTTTAATCTAGATTGGAAGTGTGTGTGTCCCTTGAAGAATAAAGGTGCGATCCTATACTTCCTTGCCTGGGAATAAATTCCATTGAGCTCAGTGGACATGCATAGCCTTGCCCTGTAAGTGAATTAATCTCTCTGCAATCTTTTCAGTGCCCTCCTGGTCACTGTGTGTCCTTATGTCAACAAACCTCTGGCCACTGGCCACTGTGAGCTGTTTGCCCTGGTTTGCTCACCGAGGTCCATTTCATTGTTAATGAAGACGAGAAGAGGACTGAACCCGTCTGGTCAGGGGGCTGGGCCTTTCTTCCTGTCTGAGCTGCTGCCTCTGCAGTGTCCAGTAGTAAACAGCCGGAGGAAGCTGTGATCTTGAAGTCAGGTGAGCTGAAAAGTCCCCCTCCCCAAGCATTTATGCTGCGTAAAATAAGGCAGATTTTTTGGCTTCACGTCCCAAAATGGATGCCCACCTTTCAAGCACAGAAAGAGGAGCCTAGAGTGTGAGGGGTCGCTCAATTCTTCATGGAGGGCCAGATGAAACAACCACAGCCTACTAGCCACAATGAATGTGTGTGTGGTGTGTGTGTGTGTGTGAGAGAGAGAGAGAGAGAGAGCGCGCGCGAGAGAGAGAGCGCATCTTTATTTCGTCATGCAGTCCCCTGCCAATTCATGTGGGGCAACTCCAGGTACTTGTGGGTCTGTTTCAGTGCAAACAGCCTGAGGGCAGCTTCCCTTGACCCTCCTCAATGGTCTGCATTTCCACCAGTAGGTTTCCCTCCGATTTGCCAAAGATCCAGCCTTCACTCAATTGCAATTTAGCTCTGCTTCCTTCCAAATCTCTCTCTCTCTTTCTGTTTGAGTGCAGTGCATGATGAGTTCTGGAGCGGAGTGATTCTGAAATAATGAACCTTTGGTCTTTCACTTTAGGAAGATGAAGCAACTTGTGATTATTCTGCTGTGTGCGTTTGTGTTTCCAGAAGGCCAACGGTGCGGTAAGTGTGTGGGTCCCTTGGTGAAATAATAGCCAGTAATAGGCGAATGAGCTTCAAAAAATCAGGCCAAGTTCAAATTGTTACTATTAGTATTAGTGTGGTAGCCCCTACACTTCGGAACTTCCTGCCTATTGATATCACAAAAGTGCCTTCACTATATTCCTTTTGCTACCTGCTAAAAACATTTTTGTTTAGAGAAGGCTACCCAGATGTTTAGAAAGTTGATGGGAGTTTTAATCTGTTTTTGGCCTATTGTTATTTTAACTTTTTTTTTTTAAAATGATATTTATTGGGGGAAAAAAATTTTTTAAATTACACAAAAAAAAGACAAGACAGAAAAATAAAAAAATAAAATAAAACCATCATTCTCAAGTTCTCCACTTTCAATACCTTCTTTCTTTGACCTCCTCCTCCTCCCTTTCTTGTATCCTGATTAATAATAATCGCAGCAAATCCTTTCCATATTTCATAGTATTCTGTCATTACATTACCTTACTCTATTTTCATCTTATCTTATAGAAAACCTTAAAGTTTAAAACTTAAATCTTATTTTTACCAACTTCTCCTAGCCATAACATTCTTACCAAATTCTTTAAACATTTTTACAAGAGCCAAGTAATTTCATTTCAACATTTTTCTAGCATTCATCAATTTTATAGAACAATCCTAATGATAAAAAAAAAGATAAACAATCCAATCTTCATCCAGCGTCCCTTCCTCCTGGTCCCGGGTTTTGTCAGTTGTTATTTTAACTTTTTGAAAGTCTTGAATTGTTAATTTTTCTTATTGATAATTTTACTGGGTTTTTTTTTTTGTAAACCACCCAGGGGTTGTTTTTTTTTTACCACCAAGCAATGTATAAATGCAGTGCTTTTTTCTAAAAAAAAAATGTTTAGGAATACTCTCATTTTGACTCAATAAAATCACCATTTTATAGTTCAAATCAGGAAAAATAAATACAGTGAATGGACACTGCGTACCCCCAGAAAAAAGCACTGTATAAATATGTATACATTTGATGAAATTAATAATTAAAACGCAATAAAATAAATGGAAATTGAATCCTGACCAAACAAAGGACCATTGAGTAGATTATAATATACGGTATAATAATATACATATAATGGTCTTAAAATAAATATGGCTGCTTTAACCCGGAGGCTTGTGTGGCAGTTGAATGAGACCTTTGGAAAGAAATTCACAGGTTCTGGCTGCGTATGCAAGACCTTTGATTCTATGCTCAGTGCAGACCTGAGTACTTGCTTTTTCAACATAATCCACACAGCATCTAGATCTGTTGCTTATTTTTTTGCTGCCGAAATGCACTTATTGAGAAAACGGTTTCATTCTGAAAACAGAAAGCTTGTTGCATGTTGATTTGGCATTACCCTGCAGTGTGTTCTTTTGAATAGTTTCAAAATGTTTTTCTTTTCATTTAATTTCTGTGTTTGTGTTGTTGTTGTAAAAAACCCACTTTGGTGTTTGCCACCCTTTGGGAGCAAAAGCAGGATAGGCATTTAGTAATTAAATAAAACCATGTGTTCTGATCACCTGGCTCCAACCAGCAGCTGGGAAATCACATTTTTGCCCCAGTTCAAGTTTCTGAACCATCTTCAAAGGCAGCCCCAGGCTAAGTACATTACAGCAGTCTAGCCTGGAATATCCTAGTGCATCTGTGTCCAAGATCCTTCTTCTCCAGAAAGGAGAACTATGTAGAATCTGCATAAAAGTGTAGATGTAACCATACTCTCCCTCTCTCCTCCCACCCTTTCTGCTTTGTTTAAAAAGCAAGTGTTCTGGTTCCACTTCGTGTGACCCTTATTTTATTGCATCTGCACCCCACCTTCTTCTCGAAGGAGTTTTAAGGAGGCAACCATGGTTCTCCCCTCCCTCATTTAATCCCCACAACAACCCTGCGAGGCAGAGAGGCAGTCACACCCAGCAAGCATTATGATGGCCAAGTGGGGATTTGAACCCTGGTCTCTCCCAGGTCCTAGCAGTCCAAAGCTCTAACCGTTAAACCACCACTGGCCTCCCTCGCTTGCGGGTTTCCGACCCACTAGTTGAAGACCAGGGCCCTGATGAATTTATTCTGTGCAGAGAGCAATGGCTGTGTCACTTCCTTGAAGCGAGACATCCTCAAGCTGATGGTCAAGTGGGAAGATGCAACCTGTCTCCAGAACCATCAAGGTCTGCCCCCGAATCTCCTTCAGTCTCTGCCCCGAAGCTGCATGGAAATCAAAACAGCACTGGAAGGAGCCACAGGTGGGTGAGTCGGGAAAGGGGCATGTTCGGTCCAGAACTTCTAGGGGGTGCGATGAGCTGACTGCAACGGCCACAAGGTAAGTTCTGCATGTCTCTGCCCATGTGACCATTATGGCGGGGCCTTGAGCTGGCTGTTGTGGACAGGAATCAAAGTGATTCCAAACTATGCGGGGATGGCTCTTGTTAGTGAAATTCTACTCAGTGTTGATCCAGAATAGATTCCAGTGTATAGTTAGCAGAGTAAAAACTTAAACACGTTGCAGGATTACCCAAAAATAGACCAGAGGCAATTAATATTTTATCCATCAGAGCTTTACTGAAGACAAATGAAATCCAGTTGCAGCAGACGTAACTTAAACTTACAATAACGTAGAAGTCTAAACCTTAACACTAAGCATACTATGTGCCACACCAGAAGGAAGAGAGGTAGAAAGATAAACCCAGGCTCCTTCTGCCCTTACTATTATAGTCAGCATGACCTTGACAGAAGAGATAAGAGAACTAGTTTAAACCAGCTGTACTCAGCTTCTCTGAAGGAATAACCCAAACAACATGAACCTTCAACTTGTTTCTTTCACACAAAGAAGCTTCTAGAACCCTCTTCAATTAATTAGAATAGGAAAGATCTCTACACATCAGATCAATACTTTCTGCACTAAGAAATGCAAACTAACAGGTTTGTGCCCCACATATGGTGAAACTGAGAACAGCAAATACAGGCACCCCTCCTCTTTAGCGGCTGAAATTGCGCAAGTCAAATGTGTGCAGAATGGGGGGTTATTGTGTAAGAAATATCCATCTCTAACCACTGCTGCCGCTGCCTATGATATTATTGTAATATTGTATATTTTATTTGTGAATGAGAGGGCTATTGATGGCTGTGCTCATGTCTCCACAGTTGGAGACTACAGGAGAGGGCTCTTGCGCTCGGATCCTGCTTGCTGGCTTCCCACAGGCATCTGTTTGGCCGCTGTGAGAACAGGATGCTGGACTGGATGGGCCTGATCAGGCAGGGCTCTCCTGATATCCTGGTTTCCTCTTGCAGATGGGCTGTATGACTTGGCCACAGAAGATGGCGAGGTTTACCAAACCTTCTGCGACATGACCACGAATGGAGGCGGTTGGACACTAGTGGCCAGTATCCACGAGAACAACATTTATGGGAAATGCACCCAGGGAGACCGCTGGTCTAGCCAGCAGGGCAATGACGCCAAATGGCCTAATGGAGAAGGCAACTGGTCCAACAACGCCACCTTCGGGTCAGCAAAGGGCTGCACAAGCGATGATTACAAGGTCAGCTTTGCTTTCCGTACTGCACATGGTGGGTTTTCTTGATTAGGAAGCGTAGGCAACATAGGTTGTGTTTGAATATAAATCCTAAACCAGAGTTTTGCACCAAACGAGTGTAAGTCTTGGGCTTTTGCACTCTTCCTTGATTTCACCTTTCCCACAATGTGGTTGGAACCATTTGCTTCCGTTTTCCAGCTAACCAGTTTGTCATTTCGCCCCCCAGGGTGGGACAAACTGTGGTTAGTTTAAACTGGGAACGGAGTAGAAATATGGGTCTGCATTTTGAAGTGAACTGACCTCATCAGCTGGGCTTGGACTTACATGTGGATTAGAAGACAGCTAACAAAAATGCAGACACAATGTGTATTTTGCGTGGCCAGGTGGAGACCCCCCCCCTCGACCCTCATGACAACGTGTTATGGGATTAAAATTGGCCACAACTTTATTAAATTTTCAGATGTAGGGAGACCTTGGCTTAGGCATTGGGCGTTTATCCCCCCCATCCAGGGATCTGGGGAACATCAGGGTTATCCAAACTGTGTGGGGATTGGGCTGGCTCTGGAGAACATTTGTTCAAGCAGAGAGGCCGCCCCACAATTTGCCGCAATGCAGGGGAGAGCACTGACAACGAAATGGTGTATGGCCAGTGACTCCCTTCCACACAACCCCTTTAACAGGGAACCCTGGGATCGCTGCCGCGGGGGTTGGGGGGATTGGGTCACTGCTTCACGCCCCCTGCCCATTTAGGGAAGAGAGACTAAAGGATTCCGCCCAAGGCCTGAAACTGCCAAAGTTGTGACGTTTTTGCTACGGGGAAGGCAAAACCTGCCAATGCAGGGAAATTCCTTCCCGGTCCTTCAACAGCAACCATCAATGACCACAGCAGCGCCTGCATACCTGTAAAGAAGAGGTTAACCTGCAAAAGGAATGTGTAAACTGAGGGAGGGCAGAGTGGGAGAAGCTCTGGAGCAGATGGAGGACTTCCAGGTAAGTTCCACCCTCTATTGTGTGTGCAGGGTGGTCCTAACCCTACCTGGTCAACTCCCCTGGCAACACCTCCCCAGCTGGGATTGGCTAACTGTCCGAGGTTAGGCGGGAACCTCCAGGTATCCAGCTTGGGGAGGCGAAGCCAGGCTGAACTGCCGGGTCGTGTAGGATCAGGTGGCTGCGTGCAACTTGCAAAAGGCGCCCCCCATCTGAGGTGGGCAGCGGTCATTATGGGGAAAGTAATACAAAAATGAAAGCAAAAGTTGTCAAGGATGCTGCAAAGCAAGTCCCATGAAGAGTAGGACTGAGGACCAGATAAAGCTAACTGGAGGGCCACACTTGGCCCCTGGGCCCAAAGGTTCTTACCCCCAGCATACAAGATTTTCCTCTCAGACTTTTTTGCTTTTCAGAACCCTGGCTACTATGATCTTGAAGCTCGGGATTTGGCAATCTGGCATGTCCCAAACAACACCCCCATGAAGGAATGGATGGATGCCGCCATCTTGAGGTACCACACTGAAAATGGATTCTTGGCTGAAGAAGGAGGCAACCTTCTCAGGCTCTACCAGGTAAGCATGGCTGCCTAGTGACTCAATATTTGGGCATTGATAGCTGTGACTAGTTTGGAGTACCTGGTGCCCTCTCCTTGTTTTGGGCTCCCAACGCCTATCAGCTCAGCCCCAGGCAGCACGGCCATTTTGGATGACCCCCTGCAACTGCATTGACATTTTGTTTTTAATTGGGATATCTAATCACGTTATATCTGTTTTGGACCAAGTTAAAGGCCAGCATAAGACAAATGTGATCCTTTTGTTTTTATCTTCTCACATTTGTTATTATTAATTTATTGCATTTATATCCCACCTTTTTCTCCAAGGTGTTCATGGTTCTTCCCCATCTAATTTAATCCCCCAAACAACCCTGTGAGGTAGGTAAGGCTGAGAGGCAGCAACTGGTCCAGCATCACTTTTTTGGAGGCCAGCATATATGTTCTCAGACAGGCCTTTCTCAGCTCTTTTGGCATTTCTTCTCTTTCCAGAAATACCCAGTGACATATGGGATTGGCACCTGCCCAGATAACAACGGCCCAGCAGTTCCTGTCATCTATGATACTGGCAATGTGCAGCAGACGTCTTTCTTCTACTCCCCAAATGCTCGATGTACGTTTTAGTTCCGTGAAGCTAGTGCTCAGTGTCAGCGCAAAAAAACTCTCATGGAGTTTGCTTGGATGGCTTTGGTGGAGAAGCTAAAGCCTACCAAAGTATCCAGCCCAAGACCTGAAACTTGATTCTGAAGTAGGGTTGCAAGGTCAGGAGCATCCCAGACCCTGAGATTTCAGGGCCCAATCCCGAGAATTAGGAATAGGCTCTGGTGATGTCATGGGGCGGACTTCAGAGATTCTTTCTCTGTGCTCCCTCCCAACACTGAGTCCTGGAGATGGAGGTTAATTGGGAGAGAGGAGGAGGGAGCAGAGGAGGGCAGATTCGCACTCCACTGAGAGTCTATGCAATAATTTGCATCTGGCTCCTGCCAGGCTGAAGCTTGCAAGCTGCATTCTTTATTATTATTACAGTGGTACCTCGGGTTACATACGCTTCAGGTTACAGACTCTGCTAACCCAGAAATAGTACCTCAGGTTAAGAACTTTGCTTCAGGATGAGAACAGAAATCGTGCGGCGGCAGCGGGAGGCCCCATTAGCTAAAGTGGTGCTTCAGGTTAAGAACAGTTTCAGGTTAAGAACGGACCTCTGGGACGAATTGAGTACTTAACCAGAGGCACCACTGTACTTGTGAACTGAACGCATGTAGCCCTCCCAGTACAAACTATTGTGTAAATTGAGACTTTTAATCTAGATTGGAAGTGTGTGTGTCCCTTGAAGAATAAAGGTGCGATCCTATACTTCCTTGCCTGGGAATAAATTCCATTGAGCTCAGTGGACAGTTTCAGGTTAAGAACGGACCTCCAGAACGAATTAAGTACTTAACCCGAGTTACCACTGTATTATTATTATTATTATTATTATTATTATTATTATTATTAATTGGCATTCATGCCCACCTGGAGCTTCTGTACCCCCTGCCCCACCTGGAGGCAGCCAGACAAACCTGGAGACTTATTATTAATTGGCATTAATAATAATTAATTATTATTATTAATTGGCATTCATGCCCACCTGGAGACTTCAGGCCAGCTCAGGAGGTCTGGCAACCCTGTTCTGAATAAAAGAAAGAATGAGTGAACCCACCCATCCTCATTCTGAACTTGAATTTTAGCTGTTCAGTGGCAGGTGTGGTGGTATCCCCCTGAGCTTCCTCCTGAGTGCCCTGTTGCTTCCCCTATGCTTGGGACAGACCATTGTGTCTTCTTCACCCTCCACAACTGCCTGAAAGTTAGCTGCCCTCAGGTCCACTGTTGCGAGTGCTAAAGTAAGACGCAGCTCCCATTCCAGAAGGTATCTGTATAGGCTGATACTCTTTCTTAAAAACTGGAGATGCCAAGCACTGAACCTGGGGCCTTTTGCACCCTAGGCAGCTGCTCTGCACCTTGGTATGCTGCCTCAGCTGAGCCGTGAGTACTGTGTTCAAATTAACAGCTAGCAGCTGCCAAGCTCTTGGGATAGAGGACAGTCTATATGCTGCATACTCCATAATATCCCTCTCTCCCGCCTCTGATTTTGTTTTTCCAGCAAAGATTGAACCTGGCTTCATTCAGTTCCGGGTGTTTAATAACGAGAAAGCTGCCATGGCTCTGTGTGCTGGGGTTAAAGTCACAGGATGCGACACAGAATACGTGAGTGGCTTCTTCAATTGCCAGCGTTGCATATCCTGGTCCCAACGCCCAGGCCGGCCCAACCATTAGCCCTGCTGAGGCAGCCACCTCAAGCAGCAGGCTGGGGGTGGCTGGGCAGAGGGCAGCAGATCCAATAAGCCAGGCAGCAAAATGTATTGGGCCGGGCCGGCCCCTCAATTTTTTTAGATTGTGCAATCAAAATTCTGGCTTATGTTTCTTTCTTTTCTTCCAGACCTGCGTTGGTGGCGGAGGGTATTTTCCTGAAGGACATCCGAGGCAGTGTGGCGACTATACTGCCTTTGATTGGAATGGCTATGGCGCACACAGTGGCTTTAGTGTCTCCAAAGAGTTACTGGAATCTGCCATGCTCCTTTTCTATCACTAAGGCGAGGAAGGAGGTCAAAGTAAACATGACGATCCGAATGCAGTTTGGCATGATTTTATTTTTTTTCACGTAACAAGGCATGTAATAGAGCAGTCCCACTACCCCTGGTTCACATAGTTTGGCTTTCACAACCCTTTATTTTTTGATGGGCACAATCTGAACCCTGTAATAAATAAAAAAGAATGGAATTATATTTTTTGATGTGACAATAATATTAAAAAATGAGTGAATCTTAACTTACCTGTTTTTCCTCCTAATTAGCTGTATTATGCATATCAGGTGATCCAAATGATCACCTGTTTTTTCTGTTTTATTTTCTGTATGTTCAAAATTTAAAGAACTATTTTTATAAGAAAAATACGGTGAGGAAGGCTGTTAACCGTATCTCCTTCTGCTGTAGAAGCCCATAATGTGTTTGAAAGAATATTGATTTTGACCTCATTCACAGAGGTCAAAGTTATTCCCAGTGGGATAATCTGTTACTGCTCCTATCAAATGTGGGATGAATGTTTTAACCCCTCTCAAGCAGTTTCAGCATTTGGTTCGATTGGAAGATAGTTGGATAAGATAGTCATTTATAAGCCTTATTATTTCATTACATGTACTATCCATGACTGCTAACCACAATGGCTATGTTCTGCCTCCGCTGTCGGAGGCAGTAATGTTTCTGAATATTATATATATAGATATTTTATAAGATATTTATTGAAATTTTCAAAGTGTTACCAGATAAAATAAAAGCAGTAGAAAATACAAAATAAAAATAATTAACAAAGTAGAGAAAGAAAAAAAACAAACCCCTTCCAACCATATGAATACAAATTCAAAAGTAAGAAAAGGTGACAAAAAGAAAAAAAAATACAAAAATACATCACACACAATTAAAAACCATTTAAAAACAAATTCATTATTCTCCTATCCTCAACTGTCATTACCTTCTTTCTTTGACCTCCTCCTCCTCCCTTTCTTTGTATCCTAGTTATTAATTATCCCAGCAAATCCTTTCCATATTTCATAATATTCTGTCATTACATTACCCTAAACTGTTTTAATCTTATCTTTCTATAATAAAATAAACCTTAAAGCTTAAAACTTAAATCTTATCCTTACCAACTTCTCATAACCATAATATTCTTTCATAATTCTTTAAACATCTTTACTAAAGCCAAGTAGTTTCATTCCAACATTTTTCTAACATTCATCAATTTTATAAAACAGTTCTAATGGTAGAAAAAAGAGATACAAACAAATCCAATCTTCATCCAACGTCCCTTCCTCCTGGTTCCGGGTTTTGTCAGTCCTTATTATCCCGTCGATCTAGCCCATTAACCTGGCAGCCTTATATCCGAGGCCCTCAAGTCTCTTCCATGTCCCTTCCGCAGCTCTTCTTCATATTTGTAACTGTATTTTCCCTTGTCTCCTGCTCGTGGTAACTCCAGCTTGGCAATATTTTTAACCCTTCTCGACAGATCAGCCCCTTTTCCAGATTCAACACTGAGTTCCATATGGTATTTAAAAGCATGTTTCAAAGACCCTCCGAAATTAAGAGCCCCCGCAATCCCAAACATCTCACGGCCCATTGTCAGATTTGAAAAGTCCAAACATCCCAGCATAGGGGGGTCAATCCAGCCCCCCATTTCCAAGCCAAACCAAACTTTTCTTTCCAAATCTGGCTTTTTCCAAGTTCATTTGTCAAATCCGAAAACTCATATTCCTGTTGGGCCTGTTCTGTCAGGACACACTCCTGATTTAATTCCTGGGTGGGCTCCACATATTTTCCCACTGTCTGTTCAAAATTTCCCACTGCCTGTTCAAAATTTCTAGTCGAAGTCGCCATCCAATTCATCTTTTCATGTAATTGTTCCAGTAGGGCATTTGTTTTATAGAAAGCACACAACAAAGCTTCTGAATACATTGTCCTGCAAGGTCGAATGCCTGTTCCCACGATTGTTATCTGTAACAGCTGCCGGCTCTCTGGAGTTGGTAACAGTTACACAGTCTCCCTCTAGGGGGAAAACTTCTATTTGTTCTTGCAACAAAGTTTCCCTTTTTGAGATACTTTGTCAATATTTGTTGCTTAAAGATGCGAAGGGAAGCAGTGGAATCGCTATGTTTCTCTTCTTTTAGCTATCTGTCAAAATACTTGTCTCTGGTCAATGAACTTCAAACGTCAGTCCTGACACCCCGCTCCAGGATCAGGACGGAGGAAAGTTACTTTACTTTAAACTCGCTTTAAACAGTCCGGAGAAGATCCCCCTCCTTCTCCTGCTGTCGAAGGGGGGTTCCACAATTTTAAATGATGAAATCCAATCCTTTAAAGGCGATTTTCTAAGCTCTAGTTTATGCTGTCTTTGCTTTATTCTGTCTACAGAAGAACGGAAGGCTGACTTCCTGTTTAGACCTTCCCGTTCCGTACCAAATTAAAAAAGGTTTTTAAAATCCAATTCCTTTCTGCTCGCAAGTCCTTATCTAATGTCCAGTTGTTCAAAATCTAAGTACTCACAGGTGCTTATTTTAGAGTCCAAATTGTCCCAGGAAAAAGGCAGCACTCTCCGGCAACGGCTGTGCGGCTTCGCTCCACGGAAATAGCAATTGACTCACAGCACCGCGCCACTTCCCCCTCTTCACTTCGGAGCCCGTTAGTGGGTTCCTTAGCGAGTTGGGGGGGCGCTAAAGGTGCCCGCCGAGTCCCATGGTCACAGGCTTCATCCGCCTGTGATTTTTAAAAGGGTCCCCGCTTCGCCGTAGCGGAAAAGACCCGTTTCCCGCGGAGCTAGTCCCTCCTGTTCAGAGGGAGTCCGCCATTGCCGATGGCGCCACCCCGGAAGTCTGTTTCTGAATATTATATCCGGTTCCTGGGAATCACAAGTGGGGAGAGTTGCTGTTGCACTCAGGTCCTGCACCCAGGGATTTGAACCCTGGTCTCTCAGGTCATGGCTCAACATTACGCCACACTGGCTCTCATGGCAGATATACTCGCAGATGGCTCTGAGATCGTGTTTACCCTCAGAACCACAGATCCAAGAGTACCCAGCCATGTTTCCTCTGTTCACAGCTCCATGGCAGTTACAAATACCAACTATTATATGAAGCATCGAATCAGCAAATTAGCATTTAGGTTGTGACAAAACATGACTAAGTACTTGAAAGACAAATAAGCCCTTCTCCCCCACGCTGAGTAGGAGGAAGATGTTCTGTAATGCAAAAAGAAAACAGATGGGAAATATGAAGGAGATGGGTAGGAATCGGTGCCTGTCCTATCAGTGCATTAAGAGGGGGAGAGTTTGTCTGCTGTGCTCAGCCACAGTCCTTACATGTAAGCAATTAAGCCACAGTGGTTGATTCCAGACATGAAAGACCCTGGATACTACACTCTGCCCTGTGAAAGCCTGTGCCCTTGTTGTTTAACACTAGTTGTGATTTGATTATTCATTGGGGAGGGGAAAGCACTCAGTACATGCTCAAGAGGACTCTTTACATTTGTATTATTAACACCCTTTTTCATTCATGAATCTTGAACTAGTTCACAATATACACAAAAAGCATTAAGTTAAGGCATAACAGTTTAAAACATTCAGACAGCCATGTAATTTCAGTGGCTACAGTAGGCAGAACAACACCCACCTCCTTCATATCAACAGGAAAAGGGACTTTTTGCTGTTTGGAAGTGATGGCAATATGCATGGGAAAGTATAGGGTGAACAAATGATTAATGGGAAGGTGTGTGAACACCCTGCAAGCAAACCAGTGACCTCTAGAGGGCAGGATCCATCAATAAAAGCCGTATTTCTCAGGCTTTTGCCAAATTTTTGTGGGATATCCAGCCTCACATAACCAACATGCTTTACTTAAAGCATGAAGCGGTTAAGACCTTAGAATATGATGTCCTGCCAGGCTTAGCTAGCTCACTGCTCCTCACTGAGGGAGGGAGGCTTACCAAACTCTTTGTTTTCTCACACTTCCACCATGTGAACCCTACCAGTTATGGAGCCATCTTCCTTTCAACCAAAATACAAGCAAAATACCAACAATTTTGAGGTATTGCACAACAAACCATCTTCATGAAGATATTTGTTGTTGTTATTTTGCAATAAGTGATGGAAAAATGCACTGGGAAGTGTGGGATAACGTTTGCTTTAAGCAACATTGTCTAACCTCTTTGCAAACAAATGAGAATGAATGCTCAAAAGAACAGGTCTTCTGAGGCCTCTATCTCACAGAAGTCTATCTGGGGTATTGTAATTTTGGGACATAAAAACCTATTAGGCTGCACATGATAAATTTACCACCTTTTGTTTGGGATACAGAGTTGAAAGTTTAAATCGTAGAATTATTTCCAGGGGGGAAAAAAGATGTACATCAAGTACATTCTCCACTCCTAAATCTGGGATAAAAGAAAGAAAAATCAACAGACAAATCCACCAAATGGACCTCTGAGGGTTTGCTTGTTTCCTTGTGAAAACAATTGAATAGAAACTGGTAGGCTACCCATGAGGTTATTTGCATTTTTCTGTGAATCTCAAGTTTGAAATTTTAAAAGAAAGCATACGTTTCTAGTGTTTGTAGTAGCAAAGAAAGTCTTGAAATGCAGGCAGAAATGGATGGTAAGCAATACAAATTAATGCCAAATTTATGGAATTTAGCTGCTGGAGCTCCTACTCAAGAAGACCTTGGGGTTCAACATTTACTTCTGTCATGAACTCATTACGTAGCCCTAGGCAAACTGCAATCTCCACTACAGCCCTTCCTCCCTTCTGCAACACGGAGATAATAAAGAGTTACCTAACTTAAAGGGTTGTTGTAAAGATTTCAAGATAATTACGTGCCTGTGTACATGTTCTCGTTGACTCTGCATGCAGTGCACTCCCACCACAGGTCTGGGAAGCAGTGTACACACCAGCCACAATCCGTATATATCTATATCCATCATGCCCTTTCTTATGAAATACTGCATTTTGAGGAAGTTTCCTCAAACCGTATTTGATCCGAATTGAGAAAAAGAAACATTTAGCTGCATTTTGAATTTATTTTTCATGTGCCCAGCCTGTGAAGCACTCATACTCTGAACACTGCACATAATGCTAAATGTAATTATGCTAAACGTAATTACTGGCTGCATCACTGAAGGTGTAATCCTGTACTTGAGACCTACCAGAAGAGAGGCAGTAGAATTTGGTGGAGTCCTGCTATTTCAGCAGAGTGCAAGCATGCCTCCACTCCAGCTGCCCAGTCCACGGGGGGGGGGGAACACTTGCCCTGCCCTGGGCACTGGCAAACCATGCTACACCACTGCAGGAGAGGGCTAGAGGGGTCAGAAATGACACATGGTTCTTCTGAAAGATAGCTGGTTTGATTCTGATACAAAGGAGCTTGATAGAATTACCCTCCTGCCTCTCCAATGCCTATGATAGTTCTGGATGCGATGCTGCATTTATTTATTTAACAAAATTTACATGCTGCTGGATCATAATAAAAATATAACAGAATTACTAATAAAAACGGTAAAAAGCAGATACTTTAAAACATTCAAAATATAATTAAAATCAAGAATAGACTAAAAAGGCACATGTTTAATCTCAGGTTTTGTGTGTCTGGATAGGTTTGCCTGAACAAAAATGTCTTTAGCAAGCATCGAAAAGAGTACAATGGAAGCCTGATGTTAATGGGCAGGGAGCTATAAAGTGTAGGTGCTGCCATACTAAAAGACTGATTTCTTACAAGCGCAGAACAAGTATTATGTGGCACCTGTAACAGTGCTAGCTCTGCAGGCTGAAGCAGTCATTTGGGCATCTATAGTGTACGGTGATCCTGGAAGCAAACTGGTCCCAAATTGTTCAGGTCTTTATATACTGATAGTAACACCTTGACTTTGGCCTTGAGAAGCAAATGAGCACCTAGTGCAGATCTCTGAGCAGAGGTGTTATATGTTGACAGAGTCTCGCTCCTCTTAGCAATCATGCTGCAGCATTCTGGACTAACTGCAGGTGAAAGGGAAGCCCCACACAGAATGTGTTGCAGTAATCTAATCCTGAAGTCACCATGGCATTCCTTATGTTTGCTATTAATTTGTACTGAATTGTTTCAAAGATTTTGAGCAATAGTACTTTGTTAGCTTCCTCCAGCATGCTACTGGAAAAGAGGAATACAAATACATATCATGAACTCCCAAAACTGGCTCCAGGGGAATGGCAATGCTGGATGAGACCAGCAGAGGGCTCTCCACCCTAACAGTGCTACCACTTGACAGTGCTACCTAACAGAATATCCAAGATGCGATGTAGCCTTAGCAAATTCTCAGTTTGCATGTCCCCACCTCTTCCAGTCTAGAGAGGCCAACTATGGCTGTCATGCCCAAAGCACCCCCAAACCGCTGGAGCAAGCACTGTTAGTACCGCTCCTCCTACAGGCATCAAATAAGGACTAGCACTGGAGAATATCCCCTGCTCCTCCAGTCTGTGAAAGTTTTTCTTCTTTGAACCCAGAAGGGATCCGGTTCACATAAAGGGGATGATCTGCCTTTCTCCCTCACACGTGGTGCACCATGACAGCCTTAATTGTCTTGTAATATTTTTTTTATCCTTTTGGCTTGACAATATCTGAGTAAGCAATCTTGCCATGTCCAAAACATTAAGCTAGCAATATCAGTAAATGTCCACAAGCATCAGTTTGGAACAGACTTGGAGATGGTAGAGGCAATGCACAATTTAAAATATAGCTTTCACCCTTATTCAATCATTTGGTCGTGCTGGCTAGTTATAAATAACCGCTAAAGGGCAAATTCCATCAACAAAATAATTTATGCAAACAGCAGTTTAATTGCATTAATAAGAAAATTAGATTTCCTACCCTAACTGAAAATATAGGCTCCTAACTTCCTCCAGCCTATCTCAGTTTTTAAAAAATGTTTAAGTTTTCCTAACGTATCTTACCATCTAAGTTCCCTGGCATTCTGTAATAAATTCCACAGTTATCCAGCCAGTGCCATAGGCAAAGATCCTGTTGTCTTCAGATAGGTGAGTGTGTGTGAGGAAGAGTTAGATAGTAAGAAGGAAGGGTGGAGTGGGAAATAAGTCTCTGAACATCTTTTATACTGTAATAGGAACTGGCCCAAAACGTTCTATCTTGCATATAAATCTAATTACTTGTGTAGACAACTTTAAGGAAGATGTTGAATAGGCATTGCATATTATGAGTGTCCACAATCTAACAATATAAACCCCCTGCTTTCAGTTCTTTATTCAAGTCAGTTTGGCACATTCCAGTATTTTCATCCAAACCATTGCAGGGGTTAAAGCTACATTTCCCTGCCTGCTGAAATCTCAATAATTACCAGCCTTCTCCCCTGCAGCTGCTATTTGGATTCTGAAAAAGCATGCAGAGTAAATGGAAAGATGTATATAATATTATGTCCAGTTTGAACTTTTTTTTTTTTTTGCAAATCCATTAAAAATGAACTTTCCCTCATTGCACCCGGTCCTGAAATAGAAAAACCATATTCTCAGTCCTTTGAATTGCTTACCCCCTCCTATCCACAATGTGTGGAAGATTTTTGAGAACAATTTGACTTCAAGCAGAGCAGATCCCTTTAGCAGGCTTTAGTAGGAGCAGTTTATTGTGTGCAGGAAACCTTATATGGCTATATATTTATATTTTGTGTAAACAGACCAGAAGGGTATTTGTTAACAGAGGAAAAGAACAAGGAAAAACAGTTGCCAGAAGAATGCACTTCAGCAGCTGGGATCTCTCTCTCTCTGGCATTCCAGATTGGGTGGAAGGGGGGAAATAACAGAAAGTACCAGAAGCTCTAGAAACGAGTGAATATTCACCTTCTGCATTGTGACAAGTATAAAATTTGCCTTTCCAGCCCCGTACATCTGTCAAGTACGAACGGCAAATAACAGCTGTCTTCCTACAGCCACATGTAATTTTTTCATAACTGCATTTAATAATAACTGGATTACTGCAATGTACTCTGTGGGGTTGCCCTTGAGGTTGGTGTGGAACCTGCAGCTGGTGCAAAATGTGGCAGCTCGATGATTCATTGGGGCAGAATATCGCCAACATGTTACCCTGCAGTTGAAGGCTAAGTTCAAGGTGCTGGTTTTGGCGAATAAAGCCCTATGCAGCTTGGGACCAGGATACTTTAGAGATCATCTCATCCCTTAAATACCCAGTTGATCACTGCACTCCTCTGCAAATACTGTCTTATCAGGAGGTCTGGATTCCATACAATGCATAAAGTGGGGCTTTAGTGTTGCGGCACCCACCATGTGGAATTTTCTCTCCCTGGATAATAGACAGGTGCTGTCTTCTGTTGTCTGTTTGGTACCTACTGAAAATTTTCCACTTTCAACAAGAAAGTTGAGAAATGTCCCCATCTGCGGCGGTATTCGAATTGCTCTTACTTTTTTCTCACTTGTCATTTGCTGCCTTGGACTTATTTGGCAGGAACGGTAGGCTATATATCCAATAAATAAATAAATAAAAATAAATAAAAGACCAGTCAGTTGAAACCCAAGCCTGTATTATCAATTTCTTCCTATTTGTTATGGAATAAAAATAAAGTTCCTTTTCCAATCTGACCTGAAATCCTGTTTTGGGTATGGTTGCTTACATTTTAGTCAGTGATTCTGCTGCATAAGGAGGCACTGAGTTTGTTTCTAAGCAAGACAATGGAAACACAGAAGTGAGAACTGCGGAGCTAGCAATGCAATAGAAGCACATAACTGCAGAGTTGGAGAGTCCCCAAGAGATCATCCAGCCCAACTCCCTATAAATCCAACAATTCCTAACCACTTGGATGTTTGCTTTTAAATTATATCTCAAGGGAACCCTTACCGCAGTGACTTGCCTGCTAGCTGTCGTGGGACAGCTTTGCTCTGCAAAAGATGGAAGCATATAAGTCAATTCAAATGGAACTGAGGGCTTCTAGGGCCCGGGGCAGGAGTCTTGTTAGAATTAAGTTATAAATGCAAACAAAAAAGCAGGCGGTCCCTGACAGGTCCCTACCATACAGCTAGCTGAGTCCTCCGAGGCCTGGGGCAAGTGTACCCAGCTGCCCTCACCCTGCACAAGCCTGGGGGCCTCACCATTGTGAACGGAGAGTGCAGCTGAATTTAGTACATGCTCAACAGTCCTGTGTGATGATGATGCCTTGCAACGGAAGTATGGTAGTGGGATGACCAAGCAGTGTATTTCAGGGAAGCTTGTCAGCCATGATCAATCTTCACACTCAGTAGCCCCTGATATGTTTCTAAGAAACCCCAGGACTTCCCACAATATAGTTTAAAGAAAACAGTGTTCTAGATCAGGCTTCAGCAACCCGATGCCATCCTGACATTTTGGACTACATGCTGGTTGAGGCTGATGGAAGTTATAGTCCAAAACATCCGGAGGGCCCCAGTTGGGTGATGGCAGATCTAGATTAATTAACACAGAATTCGAAGATGTGATCTTGGGTGTGTGTGGCTCAAAACACGCAAACCCTATTGTTATTTCCTTCAGCGTACCTTCAGGAACACTGTGCTATGCTTATGGCCGAATTCAGGTCAGGGAGCCAAAGGTTAAAAGCAGTCTGGCAGAGAAGAGAGTACTTGAGAAGGATACTATTTCTGGAACGTGCCTTGGATCGCAAGCACCACTGGCCGTAAGCCCCGTAGCAGGGCAAAAACTTCTCTGACATTTGCAGAATGCATTTGACGCCCGAGAGAAAACTAACAAAGCAGCAATTGAGATGCAGACTGACCCAGCTGAGACCAGCTAAGGTTGACTCTTCTGCGTATGCACCAAAAGTTTTAAGCACACTCTCCCCTCCACCCCCCCGAATCCTGGGAACTGTAGTTTATACCTCAGAGCTGCAATTCCCAGTAATCTTAACAAACAAAAGTTCCCATGATTTTTGTGTGTGTGTGTGTGTGTGTGTGTGTGTGTGCTTTAAATGTACGGTGTGCACGCAGCTGGAAAAATAAGACAAAGCATCATATTCGTGGACAAGGTTGGAAGTTTTTTCAATGTAAAGGATGTCATTGAGCAGCATTTCTCTTAGGAAAAGGGCTACTCCCAAAGTAAAGCAGTTGTAAAGGAGTGTGAGTGTGGTGAATTAAAGTACGTGTGTGCCACACAAATTGGTATTTCTGTTTATTTGAAAACACTGAGTTTTTACATAAATGTATGCTTCAAAGGAAATCAGAACTTCTAAGCATGACTAAATGCTACATTTTAGGAATTAAAGATTAATTGGATCTGCTACACTTTTGTGTAATAAACACCAGTTTTACTAGCCTGTAACTTTTTTAAGAACAGCTTTTTTTGATGCCTGGGGCATTGGATCTGCTGGTTAAATCTGATTTTAACTGGTCATGTTCCTTTTAACCTTTGTTAGCATTTGATTATATTCTTTCAATTTCTCTTTCACATTCCAAGAAATGTTTTTGGATTTCCAAGACCATCTTGAGAGGACGGTCAGATCCAATTTGGGCTTCTCCTTTTTAGAACTGTCCCTTCAATTTTTCCTTTGCCAATTTAACCTCTTATTATTGCGGGGGGGGGGGGGCTGGATTAGTGACATGCTGCTTGAGCCACAAGCTTTGTAAACTAAAACTCTAAGGAAACACTTTTTGGCAGAATGTTCAACTGTCACCCCCATGCTCTTTCAATAATTTTAAAATATTTGTTCACAAGCCTCTTTTAATATCTTTTAGTACTGGTTGTGCTTTGTAAAAGGAAAAGGTTTAAAAAACGAAACATGTAAATATTGAAAGGAAACATATTTTCTCCTCAAGCTACTTAAAAAGTTTATGAAGCGATTAGTTCCTTCCTCCCTTTATCCAAAGTAATGGGGCATATTGAGGTCTGAGGGGTGCAGGCTTGGAGTTCCCCTTCCAAAACTTGGCAGAGAAGGTAATAAATATATATAGAGAGATGTGCAATATATCCCTGAATAACTTAAGCAAAATTTCCCTCACACACCCCGCTTAAGCGAAACTTCTCACAGCTACTACAACTCCGCTAAATCCCGCCCTCCGCGCCTCGTTGGCTAGCGGCGCTTTTTTCCTCCACCATTCTCGCCTCTCGATTGGCTACCCTCCTGCCACTCCGCTCTCCCATTTCCCCACCCCACCCCACCCCTCCCAACCGCCTGTTTCTCATTTTTTCTTACAGCCGGCATCTCTTCTACACACACTGTCCACGCGCCGCGGGCCGGCCTCCGATTGGTTGCTGGGACTGTAAACACGGCGAACCGGCCAATCGGAGCGCTGTGCACGAGGGCAGCACGAGGGTACACGAGCCGGCCGCATGGAGCTGCCTGAGATCAACAGCGTAAAGGAGGGGGAAGGTGGGTGTGGGCCGCATATAAAAGGGCCGCATCCGGATGACGGTGCCAATAGCCGAGGCAGGCTTGGGACAGAGAGGAGGCAGGAGTTCCTTAGCACTCCAATTGGCTATTACGCCTTTTATTTCGAGAAGACAAAGGGGGGAAACTTTTGTTAAAAAAAAAAAATTGCCTTTTCAGTTTTGTCCCCTTAAAATATTTCTGGGCATAAAAAGCTAAGCTTTTCGGAACTCAGCCCACTTTGACCCTTTTGCCTGAGAATACTAATAACAGTTGGGTCACCATGGTGATGTTCAAGAAGATCAAGACCTTCGAAGTGGCCTTCAGCGAGCCTGACAAAGTCTACAGCAGCGGGGACAAGGTGGCTGGCCGTGTCGTGGTGGAGGTGGCCGAAGTCACCCGGGTCACCCGGGTCAGAGTTCTGGCTTGCGGGGTGGCCAAGGTCCTGTGGATCAAAGGGCCCCAGCAGTGCAAGCAGGAGATGGAATACCTTCGCTATGAAGATGTCCTCACCCTGGACGACCATCCAGCTGGTGAGCATCATGGTCTTGGGGGGGGGGGGCGCCTGTTTTGCGTCTCCGCTTTTGGAAAAGAATTGAAAGCCCTTCCTGGAATTTTGAGGAGCCCAACGAGTGGGTAGCTTTTGCAGCCTGGTCCTATGCATGGGGACCTGACTGTAGGGAAAGGAGACTTAGGATGGCACCTTTGGCTTTACATAGGAACATCGGAGGCCGTCTTATATAGAGTCATACCAATGATTCCTCTAGCTCAGTTTGCATGGACGGGCAGCAGTGGCTTTCCAAGTTCTCAGGCAGGGGTCTCTTCCAGCCTTTCTTTGAGATGCTGATGGGGCTTGAACTTGGGACACTTCTGTTTGCAAAGCTAATGAGTTGGTTGGAATGGTGTCCTCTTCAGTGGCGTATATATACTTGGCTCTAAATACTTGGTCCAGTTCTGCTTTTTCTTGTTTAAACTGGCTTTTGGGGGCAGGTTTTTTTTTTGTACTGGGTACAGTATCTTCCTATGTTTTCTGGGTTCTCTGTCTAGGTTTGAAACCTAGCGCAGGCTCAGAATGGGGTGGGAATGGAACTCTACCCCATTTAAAGACTGGCTTTCAAAACTTGCATCCCAGTCCTATGTGTGTTTACTTGGAATTAAGTCCCCATGAGCTTGATGGGGCTTGATTACCAAGTAAGCCCTTCTAAGATTGCAGCCTTGCAGGTCTGAGATGCAAGCAAAAGATTAGCATCAAATAGGCGCCAGCAGAGAAGAGAGAGATAATTTTCAGGCTTGGGAATAACCTAAAGCAGAGAACTACTAGGAAGTTGAACAAAGGGTCCAGGGTGATGGGTCACCTCTGAATAAAGGGCCAGCGGCAACTTCAAATCATTGTAGTTCCCTTGCTAAGCAAACTTCCGAGAGTACGGTATGTCCCAGTAACAGTTGGCGCAGCAGGGAACTGGCCAGCTGGGACTCCTGGCAGTGGATGTATTAATAGGTAGTGATTGCCTAGCAGTACGAGGAGTCCCTCATCCTGGGAGAGGGGTATAGTCGTCACCTTGGCTGAAGATCAGAGCAAGTGAGGAGAGCCAGGAAGATGTGAAATTCTTTAGACTGTTGGCTTCTGTAACTTGGGACGTTTTGGTTTGTAATTGGACAGACGCACAGATAGGAAAGGAGACTGAATTTTTTTAAACAGTTGAGACCTTAATTGCATGTGTGAGCAGCTAGTATTAAGGATGAGAAAAGCAGCAGTTCTTGAAATGCTGACTTGTTGGTAAAACAGAACATGGGGGTTCCTTAGGCACCACTCAAGCTTAAATCTCTTACCTGCTTAATTTTTTGAAAGTGCACTGACCTTGATAAAAAATACCTTGCATTATTAGTCATCTTAAAATACTTAAAATCTTTTCTCTATAAGCCTAACATCTTTTTCTCTTTCTGTGGTGTCTTTCCAGATGCAGATGGTTCTGTGATTCTGAGACCAGGAAACACCTACGAGTACAAGTTTGGATTTGAGCTACCTCAGGGGTAGGTATTGGCCAGACATGGCCACTGATACGTTAGTATTAAAATACAGGATTTATCACCGCTTGCCTGCCTTTCCTGTGTCTAATGAGACATTTGTATTCTTTCAGGCCGCTTGGTACTACTTTCAAGGGCAAATATGGCTGCGTTGACTATTGGGTGAAGGCTTTCTTGGATCGTCCATCCTTCCCGACTCAAGATATAAAGAAGCGCTTTGAGGTCATGGATCAAATTGACGTCAACACTCCAGACCTGATGGTAATTACCACTTGAGGTTGTCCTTTGATAGCTTTGGTCATTTGTCAGTCATCAGCTTAGGTAGATTTAGTGCCACAGCTAATCTGAAACAGGCCATCTTTCAGCATTTTTTAGTGAACTTTGCTTCAGAATTTGGAATTCTCTCTCTCCCAATTGCTGTTCAGTTGGTTCAAAGTCTTCACAGAGACATGCATCTCTGTTCATCTTTAGCTTGAAATTAATAGTCTGTGTCCAATTGTCTCATTTACTATCTGTTGAAGCAAGATATTTGTGAATAATTAGTTATAACTCAAGGGGTGATTGAAGGTCTGGCAAGGTACCAAAGGCTGAACTCCTGAGACTACAGATAGTACATATGAACAGGAGCAACACTTTGGAAATTAGTCAATGTTGTATGTATGTATGTATGTAACAATATCTTCTTGTGCATTTCTTTTCAGTCACCTGTAGCTGCCAAGAAGGAAAAGAAAGTGTCCTGTATGTTTATCCCTGATGGGCATGTGTCTGTTAGTGCCAGGATTGACCGCAAAGGATTCTGTGAAGGTGAGGCCTGGCTCCTTTCCTCTTCAGGAAACGGGAGTTGACGAGGAAGGGTGGAAAATTGGAATAAATGATGTAAATGGCTAGTAGTCAGACCTGTAACTGCTAGCTGTTCCAAGCCAAGCATAGTTCAAGGGCTGGAGATATAGGTGTGGTTTGGGGATTTAATGAGGAGCTTGGATGCAAGCAGGGAAAGTCATCATTGAAAAATGTGGCACCTAACTGATCTCAATGAAGATCTGCTGCAGTGGGCAAATTCTGTAGGTCTTCCACAACTAAGCTTCTTCTCCTTGTTCTTACCAGGTGATGACATATGTATCAATGCCGACTTTGAGAACACCTGTTCCCGGATTGTGATGCCCAAGGCAGCCATTGTTGCTAAGCACACCTACCTGGCCAATGGGCAGACCAAGGTCTTCTCCCAGAAGCTCTCATGCGTCCGAGGCAACCACATTGTCTCTGGCATGTCTGAATCATGGCGTGGCAAGACCCTCCGGGTCAAGAAGATCAAACCGTCCATTCTAGGCTGCAACATCCTGCGTGTGGAGTACTTCTTGCAGGTGAGGGGCTTAAAAAGGCAACCCACCCCAATCTTCCTTGTTCTTGGCTTCTGTTGAGGGCTTACAGAATCCATACTGAATTCAAGCACTGAGGTCATATTCAGGGGTGAATTCTGGGAACTGCATAGTCCCAGAATCTATTTTGAATTCTAGGCTGTCACCTGAAATGTTTTTAAAAGGCATTTCGTACATCATTATCAAAACTGGCTAAGATACCTCTGGGCTTAAGACTTCCAAGGGAGATACATCCCAGTAGACTTAAGCCCTGACAACTTTAAGGACAGGACATTTGATCTGGATTAAAGAGCTTCACTGCAAGGTGGCTGACCTCTTAATTCCCAGCAAGCCAAGACAGAAAACACCATACTTCTGATATATTCTGTCTGAGAGATCTTGCATTTAATGACAGCTGCTTTCAAGCCCTGAAACACATCCCTGTAGGCATGGAGTAGCCCTCCTTTCCCCACATCCCCCACAGACTATATTATCTCTCTCAAGAAGGCACCACATTACATCTCACCACATATTTTCCTGTGGTCTTTTTGCAGATCTATGTCAGTGTCCCAGGCTCCAAGAAGATCATCCTGGAGTTGCCACTCGTCATTGGCAGCAAGTCTTCTGGCATTGGCAGCCGCAGCTCTAGCATGGCTAGCCAGACCAGTTCCGAGATGAGCTGGGTGGACCTCAACATCCCAGATGCCCCAGAAGGTGAGCAGAGCTTCCCGGATGCCTTTTTGTTGTTGAAAATGTAGCCTTCTAGTTAGGAGTTAAGGTGGGCCTCTGCAAGGACACAATTGCAGGGGTTGGAGGTCTTTAGAAAGCGGGTGGTAAGAAGCAGCCTTGTCACTCAGTTTTGGGAAGAGCTAGGATTTCTAAATTCCATCAAGTATCTGTTGCTCCAAACACATTACACCAGAAGTATTTGATAGATTTAGGAAAGAATGGACTGACGTGTATCTGTTTTTTTCCCAATATAGCACCTCCATGCTACCTGGACATTGTTCCTGAAGACCACCGCCTGGAGAGTCCCACCACCCCTCTTTTAGATGAGCTTGACAACTCCTTTGACAGCCCCATCTTCATGTATGCTCCAGAGTTCAAGTTCATGCCACCGCCTACCTACACAGAGGTGAGACATCCGACTCTTGTCACACAAAAAAATGTGACTGCAGCACATTTTGCAAGTGGTAGGAATAAAACACGGCTTGCAAGTGGTAGGAATAAAACCAGGGCGAAGAGATGGGGGTGTGGGGTTCACTGAAGAGCAGCCATGCAAAGCAAGCTTTGCGAATATTATTGTGGCTTAAGTAGGTTCTATTCCAAACTTCAGCTTTTGCACTCTACCTGAAGGGGAATGGATCCAGTTGCAAAGCCTTAAAAAATATTTCATTTATATGGGATTATTCTGCCAAGTCCCCCAAGGTGGTCTTGCAATCAAAAATAGTAATGCAAATAAATAGTACAGAATATTTGCAAGCTGACTTCTGGAGCTGATAGACCTTCATCTTACACACACCCTCTGTTCTTCCCTCTTTTCCAGGTGGATCCTTGCACTATCAACAACAATGTCCAGTGAGCACCAATCAAAGGACATTTATGCAGTTGTCTTTTATCCAGCTTTTTCTGGACTTTTAACAATTGCACTCACAGAGATTATGCACCAGGCAGAAATTCCCTGATGAAAAGGGAAGGAAGACCTCATGGTGTCAGCACATCTCGTGGAAGACTTGTCGGCAAGGAGCTGAATTGAATGGCTCTTTATGCCTTTGTGTACTTGCCACAGGCCAAGAGAAGCTATGTGGGTCGGTGGTGGACCCAGGCCTCGGCTCTCCCCTATAGCCAGGTGCTGAAGTGAAACTTTCAAGATGGGACTGTAGGGTAGGGCAGGCATTTCTGAATGAGGGGAGGTGAAAGGCCAACAACAGACCAACAGTTTGGAAGAAATACTACTGAATGACAACCAACAACCATTTGTATCTGTTCAAAATTGTTTTGAATGTGGTGATTTAGATACATGAGGTTGTATGTCTGAAGATTTTTCAATAGGACAAGCAAGCTTTTGGTAGTTTGTTTCTTGCAGTTTTTTTGAGTAAAAGTGCTTTCTCAGGTTTTAAAACCTAACACCCTGATCTTTGGGACACTTGGAAAAAAGTGGGGAGAGTTGCTAGATGGACAGTGGTAGGTTGGTAGGTGTTGCTGCAGGTGCTGGATGGGATTGGGGTTTTCTCTCAATAGCATTAAGTGAAGGAATGAGGTGAGAATAGAAAAGTATAGCAGGTGGTGTTAAGTGTTAGGTTGTAATAAACACTCCATCCAAAGGGGCAAAAAAAAGCCCCAGGGAGAAGAACTCCCAGCTTCTTAAGAAGCAATAATTTTGTGTTCTTTTGTGTTTGCCTATCGAGCAAATCAAACACTGTTTAGAAGTCTAGCTTTCTAAAACAGTCTCAAGTGTTGTTGTAATGGACTTTTGTGGCACTTAATTTCTGTGGTTTTTGTTCTGTTTTTGTCTAATTCTACGTTCTCCTTGGTATGTAAACAAGCAAACATTGTATAAGGGAGAAAAATCACTATATGCCTGTTTTTTTTCTTATCTTGAATCTTTAGTGTTGTGTGACTATAAACCAATGTTGATAATTTGGGGTATGGGGCAAGTTGTTGGCAGCCTTGAATGATGCAAGGGCAGGATCTGAGGCTCTGGTGGGGGGGGGCAGCACTTTCCCCCACCATCTTCTTGAGAGGTTTCTCATGCATTCCCTTGGTTATCAAAAGCCCAGCAATATCTAAAGACCAATCTCTATATATTTTGTTGAATGGTGCCAAACAGCTTTGTACTTTCCCACAAAGCTGACACAAGCAGAATAAAATTGGGCATGGCTTTAGGCTTGTGTGAAATCAAATAAGGAAGCATATCTATTTCTGGGCTGCTCTTCTTCACCCCCCGCTCCTATATTTTTCAGCAGATAACTTGGTTTATTCCCCACTGATGGAAAAATGCACTTTCTTTAAACAGTTTTTGAAAAACAGCACTGCATATCTAAAGTGTTAATTGATCCCAGATTTTGTCACTCCAAATATCTTGTCACAAGATACTATATAAGTGACAGGTGGACATAAATTTGGGTGTACTGATTTGTTTTCCTATTGTGTATTTTGTTGCTCCGTTTTGCTTTATTTTGTACTGGTTTGAAAATTTAATTATATTTTGTACTACTGCAGTTCTGCAGGATCCCCCTTTTGGGGTCATGTTTCTAATAAATGTTCAAAAATTGAAATGCCAGTGTCTTTGTCTGCTTAGGCATTCCTGGAGGGAGGGTAGGTGGCGGGGTGGTAGTGGTCAGTTTCTCACCACATCCTCAAATTTTGCACGTGACCATGCAATTTGCATTAACTTAATTTGCACAATGGGACGCGGGTGGCGCTGTGGGTAAAACCTCAGTACCTAGGACTTGCCGATCGTATGGTCGGGGGTTCGAATCCCCGCGGCGGGGTGAGCTCCTGTCGTTCGGTCCCAGCTCCTGCCCACCTAGCAGTTCGAAAGCACCCCCAAGTGCAAGTAGATAAATAGGTACCGCTTTATAGCGGGAAGGTAAATGGCATTTCTGTGCGCTGCACTGGTGCTGGCTCGCCAGAGCAGCTTCGTCACGCTGGCCACGTGACCCGGAGGTGTCTTCAGACAGCGCTGGCTCCCGGCCTCTTAAGCGAGATGAGCACGCAACCCCAGAGTCGGTCACGACTGGCCCGTACGGGCAGGGGTACCTTTACCTTTAATTTGCACAATACATATGGTGAACTGGATATAACAGGATCATAAGAAGGGAACTCTCTAAATTCATGTGAATGAAAACTACCAAAAACCCATCTTCATAGAACTGAAAGGGACACGAAAGCATCATCTAGTCCAACCCCATCAGCAGGAATCGCAGCTGATGGCATATAAAGAAATGGTGTTTCTAATGCTAATGGGAGCCAGTGTCGCACAGATTCAAATTCCCACCTTGCCATGATGCTCAAGGGGTGGTGATGTTGGGATACTTGGTTTAACTTGCCTAAAGGTGCTTGTGGCAATAAAAGAGGTATTCATATGTTCTGCCCTCAGCTCCCTGGACATTAGTGGTAGACTAATGTAACAAAAGTACCAAACAATAATATAAAATACTGGACTCTCGGCCCTGTTAAATCCAAATTACGGGAAAGGCACTTCACTCACTGGAGCTTGTAATTCTCGTCTTCCTGCTGGATGTTTTTGTGTGAGACCCACTGAACTTGCCTAATGAGAAGGTTTAAAAATACATATCAAGCAGCTAATTTGGAGACTCTTGTTGGGGCAATGCCTACCTACCTATTAGCTGCATTAAGTCTCAAATACTTGCAAAAATGTAGCCAGTTCCATTTGTGCCTCTTGCTTCTCGCGTGTGTAGGTTGCAAATCGGCACTATGTTTCCCTTTGGCCAATCAGTATAGCAGCAAGTAATGGGGTTGAGAGGAACTCTGAGAGAACTTGAACCCTAACGCTGCTAACTTAACCATTGCTGGGAGCCCCTGAGGTCTTACTGATACCCTAGAGGAGGTGATTGGCATAGATGTGGTTAGGACACTGGCAGAGATGTGAAAGCCAATGGCCAATGCACTCTTGCTTTGTGGGGGATCCTTTGGGAAGCAGAACAGAAATCTCCACAACTTTGATAAAACCTGCTGCTGAGCTGAGCGATGGAAGTTGTCAAGACCACTGATCCATTTAACCCAGCTCTGCCTCTTCTGACTTTGCATTAGTGAGCTTTCTACCTGGGTAAGGTAAAGGTAAAGGGACCCCTGACCATTAGGTCCAGTTATAGCCGACTCGGGTTGTGGCGCTCATCTTGCTTTACTGGCCGAGGGAGCCGGTGTACAGCTTCCGGGTCATGTGGCCAGCATGACTATGCCGCTTCTGGCGAACCAGAGCAGCGCACGGAAACGCCGTTTACTTTCCCGCCGGAGCGGTACCTATTTATCTACTTGCACTTTGACATGCTTTCGAACTGCTAGGTTGGCAGGAGCTGGGACCGAGCAACAGGAGCTCACCCTGTCGCAGGGATTCAAATCGCCGACCTTCTGATCGGCAAGTCCTAGCGTCTGCCTGGATACCTTTTTCAAAACTCAGAACCATCTGCACATTCAGCTATGCCCCCCCCCAGCTCCCATACATACTCAGATCTTGGGTTGCCTCTCAGAGAGAGTTTCAGAGGGTTTTCAATGAGGGACGGGGCCTTTTCAGTGGTGGCCTCTCCACAGAATGCTCTCCCAAGCCAGGCCTGCCAGGTGCCAACATTAACACTCTTTTGGTGCCAGGTTTAGATGTAACTCTTCTCCCAGGCTTTTGAATGACTGTGACGATCTTTCTTATTGCTGTTTCTATGTTGTGCATTTTAGGGACGGGGTATTGTTTGAATCGTTAAACTTGGTGGCGGGTTTGTTTTAATTACATGTGTTGCCTAGAGACATTATAATGAACATCCCGGCAAGGCTGCCTGGCGCCAGCACTGAACATCCTCGTGACTCCAGGTAAAACCCTTTTATCTTCTCCCAGGACAGCATGTGACTAGTTCTCATGAATGTTCTGCTATTAACCAAAGAAAATGTTTCCTACTGCTAATGTTTTTTCTGGGTCTTTTTCTGGATCATTTAGCTCCTAATTTTTTTTGTGTGAGTTACATATATATATTGGCAGTAAGTAACAACAACAACCTTTTTAAATTTATTTTTATTTCCACAGTGGGAACAGGATGTTGAATTAGATGGGGCATTGGCCTGAATCAGCAGGCTCTTATGTTCTTAAGGCTGGTCAGCACAATGTATGACAGTGGTTTCCCCCAAGATCTCAGGCAGGAGACTTTGCTAGCTTTGCTTGGAGATACCAGGAATACTAGGAAAGGAACCTGGGACCTTTTGTGAGCTTAGCAACTGTTTTGCCACTGAGCTACAGCCCTTTCCCCCTGGAAACCCACCAATGTTGGCAGACATGCTCCTTTTTGTCTAATAACATCTCTGTGTTCATTCCATTTTTATACTTTCACCTACGCCCCCATTTATACACATTTATTTATACCGTTAGCATGTTTACACAGGAATGCAGGAATGCATAAAGATCAAATAGATGAGAACTACAATAAATTAAAATCAACACATGCCTGTACCCCATCATTCTACTTACCGTTTCAAAATTGAAAAAAGGCTAATTTATCCACAAATACTTAACTTGCAATCTCTTATGATATGTTAATTTGATATTTATCATAATTGACCATATTCCCTGCCCCCTAATCCATTAAAAAATGGATTGGTCTGAATGTGTAATATATGCACAGGCAGACATACACTATTTTCATGAACAGCAAACAATCACACAGATTTAGCCATTTTGGAACCTGGCAAGGACATTTTCAAGTTTAACAGAACTCATCTTCATGCAAGGAGTTTTTGAAGAGTTCTGTGAAAGCTGAAAGCTCACGTCCTTCAATGCGAACCTTAACCAGCCCAGCGAAAGATGCTGTTTCTTCAATTAATATATTTTATCTCTTCTCCTTTGGAAGCAATGTCAGGGACTGCCATTAACAGCTTCACTCAGAGGAGTCAATAAAGTTAAAAGGGTACATAAAAATGGAGAAAAAACTTATCTTTGCTTGCCTCAGCCTGGCAACTGTGTTAAATGGGCAAGCCGCCAGCCATGGTGGTAAGGGAAACACAAACAAGCATAATCACAAAGGTGCCCCAGATAAGGTAGATGAAATCTTGCAATCAGAACAGAGGGCAGTGGCCTGCAATTAAATTGCCCTAAGAGAGGTCTGGCAGTGTTTGTTCTAATGGCTCGTGAGAGATGGGGCTGGGTCGGAGGAGGCTGCAGCATGTATACGTGAGATAAAGATGACTGCACGTCATGTAGAGTCTTATCTGTCTCTCATTGCCCCGTCTGTGCACGGAGCAGCGGGGCAGCTGAGGTTTCATAAAGCCTTCTGCTTCCAAACAGTCCAGCCTCTGAAAATTCCTCGAAATGGGCTCCTTTGCTGCTCAGCACATTACGACAAGACAGCAGTGCTCCTTTGCAGACACTGCAGCCGACGCACTAATGTGTCACGACACACAGTTTGGAAAGCTCTGAGTTAGACAATCAAAACACAAACACTGGTCAGTAGGCAAGCAAAGATGGAGTGAGGAATCCCAGCCCACTTGCAAAAAATTTGATCCCAAGCAAAACCCATCTCACGTTGCTGGGGGGAAAAGTGCCTCTGAGTTTGTGCAAAGGCTCCTTTCCCTCACTGCTTGAGGCATCTTTCATAGCTCAGGCTGCAGGATCTGCTGAGCTGCCCAGGGTCCTGACCTCACCTGCATTGCTCTAATCTGCATGGAAGTGGCACCAGCTATTGCTCCTGCTTCTCCCATGACCCCAAACCCCAGCAGGATGGGGTAACAACTGCTGTGCAGTTACAGAGCTGCTCTGTGAATCGCGGGCTCCACTTCTGCCTTCTCCCACTCCTCTGCCCCTGACATGAAAGGTCCTGGCCAGGTATCTGAAAAGACTACCCAGAGAACTCATTGATCTAACCTCCTTCCACCTCATCTTGATGCTTCATAAAAAGAATTGAGATTTAGGTGTGCAATAATCTTCTTTTTAGGGGGGGAAACTTTATTGAAGTGAAGCAGACAAATAGACACAGCAAAAATAACAGAAACAACAACAAAAACAGGAAAGTATATACGGAAGAGACAAATGATTTTTTTAGGAAAGCCAGGTTTCACCTTGCACTGTGGAGAGGGAGCCTGCTCCACCTTGCCTGCTCCATCTTGCTTTCAACATATTTCCGTGATATTTCCTTTTTCAAATATGTAGAAATATTTGTTAATCCTCAACAATATTCTGCTGTGCTCATGTTCCATGTCTGCTCTGAGGATGCTGTGCAATGCTTTTCTTTCAATACCTTCTCTCTCTTTTTCTTATTTCCCTCCTGTAATTTTGTCCTGGTCTTTATAATTTTAAAACTTCAGTAAAAATTATATGAAAAGCAAACAAACCCAAAATTGCAACCAGCTTGCGAAAGCGCAGCTGGTGGGTGCTCTCGCCAGCATCTCAAAGAGCAGGAGAAGAGACTTTGGGCCAAGAGAAGATGGTAACCTTTGTACAACATGCTTTGGAGAGAGGACTCTGCCAAAGGGCTTATCCGACACCACTGCTGAAATAAGCCAACACTGTTGATCCCCCTTCAGCCTAGCGGGACAGGTGGGAAAGGGCCAACAGGCCAACCAGGGTAAAGTTGAGAGGGAGTGAGGAGGTGGGAGGTAGGCTGGGGAGGGAGGGAGAATATAAGGTTGATCTAGGGGTCACCCTCAACTTGCCATGCAGACAGCTGCCAATCAGTGGTTGCCTCTGCAAAGATTGCTTGGGCAGAGGAATCTGAGTCCAGCAGGGCTGGATGAAGTTACAGACCTAGCAGCAAATCCTGATACGCTCCTCAGAAGTGTTTTTTAAAAAAATGAAACAGGCTTGGGGGCTCAAGTCTGCTTAGCAGCCATTCTTAGGAGCACCCCAATTCCAGATTTTTGTGTTCATGGGTGAAGAGTCTGCAGACAGATGATGGTAATTGTTAAGAGATCAGAAGGCTATACAGTGGTACCTTTGGTTACGTACTTAATTCGTTCCGGAGGTCCGTTCTTAACCTGAAACTGTTCTTAACCTGAAGCACCACTTTAGCTAATGGGGCCTCCCGCTGCTGCTGCACCGCCGCTGCACGATTTCTGTTCTCATCCTGAGGTAAAGTTCTTAACCTAAGGTACTATTTCTGGGTTAGCGGAGTCTGTAACCTGAAGCGTATTTAACCCGAGGTACCACTGTAATTCAGTTGTTCCCAAAGTGGGTGGTATTGCCCTCCTGGGGGGGATTACCCCGGGGGGGGCGCTTTAAGAGGCAAGGGGGTGGCAGAGGGACACTGGAGACATCGATGACTCTCTGGCTTTGAAAAGCGAGTTCCTCTCAGCTATGCTGGATTAAAGTACATCGTTTTCATTGCATTTTGAATAAACGTGCAACTAATTGTTACTGTTTTGAATTTCATTGTGCTTTCATGTTCCTTATTGGGTTGTGCAAACTGCTGTTCTGAATGATGCTTTTCATAGGGCAAGGGGCACTGAGGATGAGTTCATGGAACCAAGGGGACGCTGGCCAGAAAAATTGGGAACCACTGATAATAATCTGTAATTGGAGAGCTGGAAAACGTGTGGAAAAGAGGATCAGGATGGTCGCGGTGGGGGTGGGGGGTGAGAGCACCTTTCCTAGGAGGAAAGCTAAAATCAGGGATAAAACAGATGTTCTTGGACTCCATCTCCCCCCTGACCTCTGGCCTTGCTGGTGAAGTCCATTTTGGAGGCCACAGGTTCCCCATCCCTATCACATGGAGACAACAGAAGAGCATGGGACGTGTTATGTAAAGGAGCCTACAGGTACTGGCATCTGTTAGAAGTGATACAACCTCTGTCAAAACTCCCAGATTGCTTTGCCCACCAGACCATGCAAGGCAATTCCTCTGAACTCCATGACCAGCAACCAGAGCTAGCCATATTGTATATCAGTCTAAATAGCAGGGTTCTCTGCCAACACTAAGTAAGTCTTAAATAAGCAGCCCTGATAAAATTACATAAGATCCATGTCTGTGGCCAGTATCTCTACAGCAGTGTGCCCCAACCTGTGCCCTCCTCCAGATGTTTTGGACCACAACTCTCATCAGCTCCAGTCAGCACTCGCTGAAGACGATGGGAGTTGTAGCCCAAAACATCTGGAGGGAACCAGGTTGGGGAGTAGGGCTGCTCTAAAGTACTAGCTGCAGATATTAAGTAGTGTCCTTGCAAATGTGATGAATGCACAGAATTCGCTTTGCTGAGGATTTCAGAATGTCTTTTTTCTTTAAGAACCCCAAATCTTAATTTTAAAATTGCTGGGATTATTTCGTTTTGGGCAGTTGAAAGTTAGTTAAAGATGAATTGCACATACTTACTACGGAAATATACCGGTATTTTGTTAAGTTTCTCACATTGGGACCTGTTCTTTCCCCCCGTTTTCATTTACAAAACTCTGTACTCTGATAGTAGGCTTAAAAGCAGCCCCAGCCAGCACAGTGTTGGTGTTGTTGTTGTTGTAGTAAGAAAATCATTTCTTACATTTATATCCAGGGCTTTTGTTCAGCCAGAACTCTCCAGAACTCAGTCACGGCACCTCTCAGGTGAGCACCATTATAAGAGAACAAGGGAGGCGTTCATGGTGAGCACCTCTTTTTCTACAAAAAAACACATTGTTTATATCTCACTGTTTTCTCTGAAATGCTTGCAGAGAGGGAATGCGCATAACAGATTGTCATTGAATTGGCTACTCACTGTCTCGCACTGGAGCTACCTGCAAATCACAGCCTCTGGAAATCCTTATTTTTCTTTGCATTTATATGCCATAGAGCAAAGTTTAACAGCTGGCCTCCCTTTCTTGCAGCCAGTGATCAGCACCTGTGAAAATTTCAAGTTCAGGAAATCTCAAGGTCAGACACCCTGAGGCATTTATGGTCCAGGAGAACGGTTACGACTTTCATGTGACTCTCTCTTACCCTTGATGACCGAAATAAAAGTATTGCAAACAAAGGATGGTTGAGAAATTAACAGAATTTCCTAGTAAAAGATCGTTCTCAAAATGCATTCATTAATGGTAACCTCCTCCTCCTTCCTGCCCTCTCCAGTCTGCTTCTCACACCAAGGCAAAAGCATTATGGCAAGCGAGGGCTCCTTTGTGCATGTGCAGAGTGTCTTTCCTACAAGGAGATGAATAGGGCACAACAGTCCTGCTCTGGGATACCGGGAATGTAAATCAACTGCTGCTCTGGCTTCAAAGCCCATATACTCCCAAACATATTTTCTGAGCCATGAGGCATGAGGACTAGAAACTTGGAGACCTTGTACTGCCTCATCATAATCCTGGATTTGTAGGGAATGTGGGAGAAGAAGGCAGGAGAGAAGGCAGAAGATAGAGTGACACAGAGGGAAACGGTGATTTTAAACAACAGCGGATATTTTAATAAAGCTGGGGTGGAAGGACACAGAGGAAAACGTTAGTTTTAAACAACAGCGGATCTCTGAGTAAAGAGGAAGGGAAGACACAGAAGTGGGGAGGAAGCATCAACATGGAGGGTGAAAGCAGGAGTGCTGCAGACGAGAACAGAGAAGTAGAATCAACAGTAGGGTTGGGATGGAAAAAAGCCAGCTTAGGAGTTGTATGGGGTGGGAAGGGGAAGCTTCAAGGGGGTTAATGCAGGGGTTGGCAAGGAGAGTGGAGAGGGTCAGAGCCCCTAGGATGTGTGTGTGTGTGTGTGTGTGTGTGTGTGTGTGTGTGTCTGTGAGTGTACTAGATTATCAGGAAGCTGTTTTCTATGCCCAACACCATAATATTCTTGCACTCTTGCAGAATCACATCATCTATATAGTTTCAGGAAAAGCCAACTACCTTATAACTCAGCTGAGAATAGACCACGGGTCCAGCTTCCAGGTGAACTCAGTGGGGCCCCCTCTTTTTTAAATAGCTTACCTGGTGATTTCATAGCTAAAGGTAAAGGGACCCCTGACCGTTAGGTCCAGTTGTGACCGACTCTGGGGTTGCGGCGCTCATCTCGCCTTACTGGCCGAGGGAGCCAGTGTACAGCTTCTGGGTCATGTGGCCAGCATGACTAAGCCACTTCTGGAGAAACAGAGCAGCGCACGGAAACGCCGTTTACCTTCCCGCCGGAGCAGTACCTATTTATCTACTTGCACTTTGATGTGCTTTCAAACTTCTAGGTTGGCAGGAGCAGGGACTGAGCAACGGGAGCTCACCCCGTCGCAGGGATTCGAACCGGCGACCTTCTGATTGGCAAGTCCTAGGCTCTGTGGTTTAACCCACAGCGCCACCCGCGTCCCTTGGTGATTTCATACCTCCCTCCCAAAAAAGGTTCACGAGGCAAGCCAGGAGGAGTATGTTGGTTCTCCCCTCCCCAGCCAGACTCAGAGTGGATATTTTTGAAGCTTGATCACTCAGCACACAGAAGCCTCTCACAATCCAGTGGCGGCTGTTTACACATACCAGCTGTCTGCGAGGGGGTTTTTTAATTTATACACAGGCATGGATATGTATCCAGATATCTTTCCTGGAAGTTGTTTACCACCCTGGAGGCATCAGGGAGATCTGGGGAGGACACGAACCCACCACCCTACAAGGAGATGGAGTTGAGAGCTGCCTGCCTAACTGGGGACTGAAAGCGAGGAAGAAATAGTCGTGGTGGTGAAGGGGCTTGGCAAGATCCTGACTTGTTGCTGTAGCAATGGAAGGGCAGCGAAGGGCTTGGCTTGACTTTGGGCTTGTCAAGGCAGATCCCACCTCAGCAGTCATAGCAAAGAGTATGTATCCGAGCCCAAAGGAGGCAGAACTAAGAGTGGAGAGTGTAAAATGATTATTTATTATGGAAATTTTATTTATAAAATTATTTGTTTCTTATTTGCTTTTTGCATTTATAGCTCTCCATTTTGTGCGTATCCCCTCTTCCTCAATGACTCCCCACAACGACCCTGTGAGGTAGGATAGACTTTTGATTGGCTCAAGGCCTCAAGGCCTCCCAGTGAGCGACATGGCCACATAGGGCTTTGTTTTGGTTTTGTTATTTGGTAAATATTTCTTATTCTATTTTATAATGCATATAAAACAGAGAGGACAGTTATTAAAAATAGGTGAAAATGAAAAATGAAAACCAAACTATGGAATAGGAACATCGAATAAGTGCAGTTGCACAGGTGTTAGAATAACCAAATAAAGAATATGAGCCGTATCTAATCAAGTATAATTCCAGATTTTCCAAGCCAAGTGGGGATTTGAACCCTGGTTTCTCCCAGGTCATACTTTGAACCCTCTAACCCCATGGTTCCCAACCACACGCCCCACAGAAGGGCTATTTGATTTTTAAGGGGGGGCGAGAATGAGTTATTAACAGTGAATGGCCTTTTAGGCTTCCTCCATGTGAATAGGAGTTCACTTTTTGAATAATAAGAATTATATAGTGGTACCTCGGGTTAAGTACTTAATTCGTTCTGGAGGTCCGTTCTTAACCTGAAACTGTTCTTAACCTGAAGCACCACTCTAGCTAATGGGGCCTTCTGCTGCCGCCGCGCTGCCGGAGCACGATTTCTGTTCTCATCCTGAATCAAAGTTCTTAACCCGAGGTAATATTTCTGGGTTAGCAGAGTCTGTAACCTGAAGTATATGTAGCCTGAAGCGTATGTAACCTGAGGTACCACTGTATATCATTGGGGGGGGGGCATCAGGATTTTAGAGATGCTTAGGTGGGGCATGGCCAAAAAATGGTTGGTAAACACTGCTCTAACCGCTACACCAGATGGCTTTAGTTCATGGCAGTTGGTTTAACGATTAAGGGCCAAGGAGATGCCTGGAGGATTCCTCATCACTGATGGGATAAGAGCAACTTCATGCCTTCAAAATGTCTCTTATCTACTAGGCCCAGTCTGTATTTTCTGGCTCCTGTCATTACTAGCAGTACATTGTTTCTATATTGAGGAGAAAAACTTCCACAGAGTCCAGTGGGGTTTACTCAAGACCAGAGCTGGCTTGCGTAAAATTCCAGAAAGAATTACATACCCAGGAACGAAAAGAGTGGCAAGAGGCACAAATTGTGATGGATGTCTTCCAGATTGTTAAGTTGTGGGCGAACACAGATACCATCTCATTTCTGATGTCAGTCCAAGACAAGCAATTGCAGAGCAAAATGTTGTATTCAAAAGGAAGCAGAGAACAGCCAGAGGGAGACAGTGGTGGTGCAGTGGTTAGAGTGTCGGACTAGGACCCAGGAGACCAGAGTTCGAATCTCCACTTGGCCATGGATCTCACTAGGTCACCTGGGGAGCCAGTCACTGTCTCTCAGCCTAACCTACCTCACAAGGTGGTTGTGGGGATTTTAAAAAGAGGGGAGATTTATATATGCCACCTTGAGCTCCTTGGGGGAAAAGTGTAATAAATAAAATAAATTAATAACATCTGCTCTATATTTTGGAAAGTGGTTTGTCTCTGTGTGTGTCTGTCCATTTGTTCTCTATACTTTTGAACACTTCTCAAGATAATATCACCAAATTCGGCACAAAGATTCCCAAGGTGGGGGCGGCAGTATTGGGCGCCATTTTGAAACAAGATGGCAGAACGAAACATGACATTGGCATGACTTCACCTGGTTCTTGGGGTGATGGGTCCAAATTCACAAATTACACTATTCACTTAAAAACACAATTTTTGGTTTCTAAAAATTCCCCAGGCAGCACCAGGCACTTCTTGCTCATAAATAAACAGTTGGCAGCAGCATTCACCAACCTGATGCCCTTCAGATGTTTAGGACTACCACTCCTATCAGCCCCAACCAGGAGGGCCAATCCGGAGAGCTCTTGGGGGTTGTAGTCCAGCAACAACTGGAGGACCACAGTCTCCCCACCTGCTATGCCAGTGAAATCAAATGGGAGTGTTCTACAAAAAAAAATTCACTGATTTCTGTCCCATGAGAAATATTAACAGCAAACAGGCAAAATTTTACTTTTAAAATAAAGAAGAATGTGGTTATGGGCAAAGTTTAGCAAGGGATAACATGAAGGCTAAATTTAAATTTTATTTTAAAAATTATTTTATTTTTAAGTAAATTTTATTTTTTTTATATTGCCCCAATAAAAACTTGTACCTTGATACTGAATAAGCCTTCTCTCTATCTTTCGGAAAAACAAATCTCATGAAACTCCCTCTTTAAAAAAATGAGCAGCCCCAGGTGGCTATAATGCCATCTTATTTATTTCCCCACCTTTGTTTATTATTATTATTCAACATGCCCCTATTTTGTTTAACATCTTTTTACTGATTGATTTCATTTATATCCCACCCTTTTGTCCAAGGAGCTCAAGGTGGCACAATGCTTCCCCCACCCTCATTTAATCCTCACAACGCCCCTGTGAGGTAGGTTAGGCTGAGAGGCAGTGTCTGGCCTCTGAGGTCACCCAGTGAACTTCATGGCCAAGTGGGGATTTGAACCCTGGTCTCTGAGGTCTTGGTCCGACACTCCAACCACAACACCACACTGACTCTCCAGATGAAGTTTTGGAGAACTCTGGAGCTCGCCAGATTGGTCTTAATCAAGGTTTTGCTCAATTGAGGACCTGAAGTCCCTGCCCCCACCTTATAGACCAACATTTTCTTATATAAGCTTATGAAAAACAACCAAGAGTTTTGCAGCACGCTGAAGATAGACAGAATTACTGCAACGGAAGTTTGCTCAGGGTAGAAGCTTACCTCATCAGGTGAACTCTAGTCCAAAAAGTTTATGCTATAACAAATCTGTTTGTCTTCAAAACGCCGCAAGACACTTGTGTTGTGTACACACAGAGACATTTTATTATAGAATAAATGGAGACTGAACACTTGTTTTCTTCTATAGAGTCTGCACACAATGTAATAAATATAATAATAATAACTTTTTCTTTATACCCTGCCCTTCCCGGTTCAAAAACCGGCTAACAACAAATTTAGAACGCTTAATTATAAAAGCAGCATAAAATACAGTATAAAAACATGGATAACAATAAAATTCAAAAATCAAAAATCAGTTTAGGGGAAATAAGCATTAGATAATCCCCAGGGCTAGCTGGCTGAATTGGTCCTACTTGGGCCAGGGGAGAATTAGCTGTGGGGTCTCAGAGCAGGTGATCTATTACATATTTTTTGTCCCTAGCTGCCTAAAAACACTAACCTATTTGTAGCACAAAAAAATACAGTTTTCCTCAATCTAGAACAGTTCATGCCTGTCCTCAACCATCCTCCTTCATTGGAGGTTTTAAAACGGATGTAGGATGGCCACCTGTCAGGGATTCTTTAGCTGCGATTCCTGCATTGCAGGGGGTTGGGTTGGACTAGATGGCCTGTGGGAGCCCTGCCAACTCGACAGTTCTATGATTCAACCAGCTGCGTTCGCCCTAGATTGAGTCGAAAGCCTGCAGTGGGTGTGGTTACTTGATAGGCAGTTGATAACGCTCCCCTTTATTAGTTCGCCCACGTCTTTCTCTCCCTGGACATGCCCCAGGTGAATGAAGGACGTGGTGATTGTGATCTTGGTATTTGCCCACCCACAAGGTCATTGGGTGGGTGTGGAGACACGCTCATCTGCTGCCTTGCTTGTTTTTGCGGTCACAGGCTAATACGACTATTGGCTACCAATCTGGGAGCTTATGAAAGATCACCTAGTAATTAGCTGATGGATCAAGGCCATGCTTAATTGTCCACCCATCAGTAAAAATTTGGACACTAGAAAGAAATCATGGCAGTACCAAGTACAGTGGTACCTCGGGTTACAGACTCTTCAGGTTACATATGCTTCAGGTTACAGACTCTGCTAACCCAGAAATAGTGCTTCAGGTTAAGACCTTTGCTTCAGGATGAGAACAGAAATCGTGCTCCGGCGGCACAGTGGCAGCGGGAGGCCCCATTAGCTAAAGTGGTGCTTCAGGTTAAGAACAGTTTCAGGTTAAGTATGGACCTCCAGAACAAATTAAGTACTTAACTCGAGGTACCACTGTATGCAAGCTTTGGGCCTATCACAGAGCTCTTTATCAAGACAGAGCAAGGGCACTCGAAAGCTTTCCCATTGCTATATCATAACAGCTGGTCCAACCTTAAAAAGAGATGTTGTCATCTTTATCTCTTCTGGAAATCAAAGCACTGGCCACTGTATACTAAACTTATCAGCCCAGAAATTCCCACTTGTTTTATTTTGGACTTTTCTTTAAAAACAAATGACTCAAAAGGTATATAACTTCCCTGCCTGTTTTGTTTTTCAGGAAATGTAGGGCAAATGACGCCCTTGGTTATTGACATTAAACAGTGCCCTACTTAAGCCCAGAAGAGTCAGCAACAATGGCAGCCAAGGATGGAAGGAAGCCTCATTGGACAGAGAGGGATTTACTTCTGAGTAAACATGTGCAGGGTTGTCTCCAGGGAAAGGCTAAAAGCTCAGGGCAGTGCCGGATTAAACCCTGTGGAGGCTGCTAGGCTGTCAAAATCAGGGGGTGGGGCCCTCGCAAATTAACTCCTAATGCGTTTTTGCAATATTCTTCCAAGATCAAATCAATATTATTTTGATCCCTTGTTGTGGGGCTCCTTCTTTGGCGATCACTCATAGCCGAGTAAGACTGTCTTCTGTGAATATGGTCTTAATGGTGTGTCCATAAGTGACTGTGGAGGACAATTCTGAACTCACACATCCTTCAGCAGTGGGGACATAGGTTTCTGGGCAGGAACTGTGGGGCCCATAGGCTGGTACCTACTCTGCCTATTTGGTAATTCGGCACTGGTGAAGAGTAAAAAATTAGGTAAAAGGTAAAGGGACCCCTGACCATTAGGTCCAGTTGCAGACGACTCTGAGGTTGCGGCACTCATCTCGCTTTATTAGCCGAGGGAGCCGGTGTACAACTTCTGGGTCATGTGGCCAGCATGACTAAGCCGCTTCTGGCGAACCAGAGCAGCACACAGAAATGCCGTTTACTCTCCCGCCGGAGCGATGCCTATTTATCTACTTGCACTTCATGCTTTTGAACTGCTAGGTTGGCAGGAGCTGGGACCGAGCAACGGGAGCTCACCCTGTCGCGGGGTTTCGAACCGCCAACCTTCTGATTGGCAAGCCCTAGGCTCTGGGGTTTAACCCACAGCACCACTGTAGAGGAAGCTATTGATCAGCTTTTACTCTTTGCTCTGCCCCCAGTGCTATCATCTCTCTCTCTCTCTCTCTCTCTCTCTCTCTCTCTGTCTCATCATCATCATCATTTATTTCATTCATATGCCACATTTTCTTCTAAGGAGCTCAAGGTGGGCATACATGGCTCTCTACATCATTGGGTGATGCTTTTCAACCTAACCTACCCTGCAAGTTGCCCCCACCCCCAAAGTAGCTGATTGCAGTTCGAAAGAGGAATCGTCGCTAAAGATCCATACATAAATTCCACTTTTATTTCTTGTAAGCAAATCCTTCAGACTTACCGTACTTGAGTCAGAGAATTCTGACGGAAATGGGCATGGAAAAAATAGCTAGTGTTTGCTTATTTGTCCAAATGCCCAGAACAGAAATCAGTCCAGTGAATATTGACTGTTATCTGCTGTTGCTGCTTTCTGAATGAAAACAAAACATGTTTATGTATCCACCCCCCTGCCCCCATTTGCATTGTGTTTCCTTTGCACTGAAATGAATGCGGTGGAATAACATAATGACAACATAATGTGCATAACTTAAATAAGTTACACACACACACACACACACAGCAACACTAACCCAGGGCTCTGACCTGACCCAGAGAGTACCTCACTTGGCCTTGAATCATGTTTTTTGGGAGGAGCTATTGTTTAATTAGGGCTAATTTGGTCCATCATCTTGATTCAAAATGGCAGTTGATGGTTCAACTTTGACATAAATAAACACCCCACCCCACCTCAGGAAGCCTCTTGCCAATTTTGAAATCTGTGCAATTTTGACCCCTTAAGCCAAAAATCATGTGAAGTCACACTAAAGTCATGTTTCAGTCCACCATCTTGATTCAAGATGGTACTTGGAGTGAAGATGTTGATGAAAATTGCTGCTGCCTCCATCTCAGGTAGCCTTGTGCTGAATTTGGCGGTGATATCTCAAGAGGCATCCAAACCTATGGAGAACAAACAGACAAGCCACTTTCTCAAATGCATGGTAGATTCCAGCAACTTTTTGTTTTGCAAGTTTCCCCATTCAGTAGGATGGTCCATTTTGACTAAATTGTGGAACTGCATGATTTCCAGCACCTGCGGACTTTGGTGAGATTCATGAGTAAAACCTTAAGGCATCAACAAACTCTTTCTGCTTACCAAACTGTACATATTTTGCACGTACAGGACTGTCTAAGGCAAAGATTATATCAATGAAGTAGACAAAATCCTGAAGATTGCCTTTTCCTGTTAAGAGAACCTAGCCTCTGGTCCCATCTTCTATTTTTTTAATACACTCAGTGCTTTTTTTGTTGGGGGACACATACCCCTAAACATTTTGTGAATCCTTGTACTTTTGTCCATTTACTGTATTTATTTTCCTTGATTTGAATTACGGTATAAAATGATGATTTTCTTGAGTCAAAATGAGAGTACTCCTAAACATTTTTTTAGGGGGGGGGGGAAGCACTGGATACACTACACAGTTTGTTGCAACACTCAAACCAAACCCCACAGGCAAAAGAAGGAAAGTTTTTTCCCCACATGGTGACGGGTCTCCAAAATCAATGTCTTCTCACTGTTCAGGACCGTCTTTAGCATTTGCGCCACCAGGGTGCAAAGATCTGCCCAGCGCCCCCAAATTAACTTTTATGATGCTTATGTCACTATTATCATTTGATAAATAGAGCTCACACCTGCGTGGCTCCAAAAGGAGTTTTTGTGTGTGTATTTTTGTTTAAAACCAGCTTTTCTAAAGAAGACAAAGAACACATTGGGAGTCGGTGTAATGACTCCACACATGCGCTTATGGTCGTAGGGAGGTGTCAGAAAGATGAGATGGGTGGGCATTGTGTGCATGCGTGGAAGAGCCATCTCGGGCAGCCTTGCATTGTGGGAGCAACCTTATTTCTAGAGCAGCTGGGAGGGCCCTAGTGAGCACACATATACAAGTTCTTCTTGGGAAGGTTCAGGAGTCTGTGCGCACTCCCGTCGCTAGATAGGCGCATTCTCTTTCTGTCTGTCTCTCCCTCTTTCCTGTCACTCCCCCTCCTCCCGGCTTCGGTGAGCGAGACTTTCCAGAGACGTGCCTCTGAACCCATTGCCGCATAGCAGCTCAATACAATACAATAGGCAGCTTCAGTGGCGGGCATCTGGTGCCCCCAGAATTCGGCGCCCGGGTGCCCTGCACACCTTGCAGCCCCAGGTAAAGACAGCTCTGTCACTGTTCCTGCTCATAGAGCATCAAAGCAGCAAGCCGGGGAATAGTCTGTGGCGCTGTGGGTTAAACCACAGAGTCTAGGGTTTGCCGATCAGAAGGTTGGCGGTTCGAATCCCTGCAACGGGGTGAGCTCCCGTTGCTCTGTCCCTGCTCCTGCCAACCTAGCCGTTCGAAAGCACATCAAAGTGCAAGTAGATAAATAGGTACCGCTTCGGCGGGAAGGTAAGCAGCGTTTCTGTGCGCTGCTCTGGTTCGCCAGAAGCAGCTTAGTCATGCTGGCCACATGACCCAGAAGCTGTACGCTGGCTCCCTCGGCCAATAAAGCAAGATGAGCGCCGCAACCCCAGAGTCGGCCACGACTGGACCTAATGGTCAGGGGTCCCTTTACCTTTAAACAGCTAATGCATTCCTAGAGTTGTTGTTTTTAAAAATTGTTTTAATGGCATAGGTTTTTTAAAAACTCATGAATCAGGATGCAAACAAGAGTCAGTGGTGATGCAATGGTTAGCATGTTGGACTAGGGCCTGGGAGAGGGCAGGGTTCAACTCCTCACCCGGCCATGAAGCTCCCTGGGTGACCTTGGGCCAGCCACTATTCCTCTCAGCCGAACCTACTTCACAGGGTTGTTGCAGGAATCAAATGAGATGGAGGAGACCCACATGCACCCTCTAGAGAGAAAAAAAGGTGGGATAAAAATGCAACAAATAAGTAAATAAATTGGGATGAATGCTCATAAGGACAAGGTTGTCTGGGGTTGAGACCAGTCTCTGCCGCTTTTACCGTTTTGCATCGTAAGAGGCTGCACAGGGTGCACCAGAGTGAGGTGGCAATAAAATAAAATGCAGAATAAATTAGGCAGGTGATAGCTAGAAAGAAAATTGGAGAGCACATGTGCTGTGGCGCAGAGTCAGAGTTAATATTAGTTGTTTTCCTGCAGGCTTTTTTCCTGTCACCAGGCCAACTAGGATAAAGGTTGCACATTGTCTTTCCTCATGAGCACTCAATCACTGAAGACTTTCCAACTGTGTGACCATGCCCTTCCTCAGTCCCCAGAGCCCTTGCTTGAAAGGCGAAGGTTCCTTCCCGGTCTCATGGCACGATTCATAACAAATTCCCTCTGGGGGGAAAAGCTTTCATGTGCAAAAGTTTTTTCTATAAGTTGCTGCTCCATCTTTCATCTCATATTATTCCCATAATTAAAAGACCCCTGTAATGTCCAGCTGTCCCAACTGACCAGGTAACCAAGTGACAGCTGCCCGTCTATGTCCTCTGTCCATGGTAAACTACTCTTGAAATTTTGTCTGTGTGAGTTTTCTAGTGGTGCCAGCCTAGTTCCCACCCTAACGTAGCCAGTAATTACTTTTCTGAATGCCAAGGCAGATACGGCACAGAACCAGCCTTCCCCAAGCCCTCCAAATATTTGATTACAGATTCCATAGCCGCAGCTCGGCCATTTTAGACCACAACTCCCATCAGCCCCAGCGAGCATGGCTGTTTGGTGCTCCATCTGCTGTCAGTGGCAGCTGTAGTTCAAAATATCTGGCGGGCCCTTGGTTGTGGAAGGTGTCAGAATAGAGTAATTGCTTTGGAAGACGATAATCAGACATCCAAACAACAGGACCAGTCCAATGAAGTTGATGTTGAAGAATCATTGCTTCGACACTGGTGATCTTTGCTTCTTCCAGTACACTGGCATTAGTTCGCCTGTCTTCCCAAGTGATGTGTAAAACTTTTAGGAGACACTGTTGATAGAATCTTTTGAGGAGCTGGAGGTGGCGTTTATAAGTGGTTCATGTTTCACAAGCATACAGTAAGGCTGGTAGTACAATAGCTTTGTAAACAAGCGTTTTGGTTTCCCTGCAAATGTCCCGGACCTCAAAAACTCTGCACTTCAATTGGGAGAAAGCTGCACTCACAGAGCTCAGGCGATGCTTGTAGAAAGATAACCCTTGTGGAAAGATAACTGCCCAGGTAGGAGAAGTGATTGATGCTATTATTATTATTATTATTATTATTATTATTATTATTATTATTGTTATTTATACCCCACTCATGTGGCTGGGTTTCCCCAGCCACCCCA